AACAGCATATTCCAGGGTGAGCTACACAATCTTCGAACACCTATAGCCTGTATCCATTGTCAATGAAAGAAAACATGAACTACCTAATAACTTTTAAAAATTGAGCTGTACAGAAAAAAAGAGGACTTGAGCACAAACCAGACTTACAAAAACTACATGTCAACATCGCAAGCAGGGGAGAGAGTAATTCATATTCTGTGTAATAAATTTCTAAAGTTTGTCCACAGCTCCATAGGGATTGCTGGAGGCAGGATTTATGACCTATACTGCAGCCCGTCACCAGAAGGTGCTGTTCTTGGGGTGGCTTCACCCAGGGAGGAGGCAGATGGCGTCTATTCTATATACAGAATCGAACAATAAATCTAAAAGTTAAGATCACTGAAGTACATCCAACAAGTATTCATTTGATACCCAAATCAAGATGCTGAATTGCTCTATATTGTTAATATTGACCTAAAAGCTGCTTTATATGAGTTACAACTGAAACGTACAACTGAAAAAAAGATTAACAGTTATTAGGTATTGAAATTCTGACTCTGACTCTCTGTCTCTCTGACTCTGAAAAATAAGTCATTTTACCGCCTTAGATCAAACTCTGTCCAAAACAAAGAAATATTGACTTGGAGAAATCAAACAACTAGTAAATTCACATAAATCCCTCTGATTTTCAGCATGTGCCATGAGTATTTTTTTTTGTGTAAAGCTCTCTTAATCAAATCTGTCAGTGAAACTTCCTGTCATTAAGTTCAGTGTTGTATAAGATGTTACTAAAACGTCAGTAAAAAGACAGCCCAGGATCACTTTGTGAATATCTGAGTATAGAGTGGTTTATGACAGATAAACGCTAAAAACGCTCACGGGACCAGAGAATGTTAAGCATTTATTTCTGGTAAATAATTAATGTTTTGATTGCCAGTCAAATTGTTGCTGATTGACAGTAATTGGGCTGTTTTTTTTAAGGGACTATGATAAAATATTGATCGACCACTTTTGTTTATTCCTAAAAAAGAAGTTCCAGCATTTCTCCCCTTTCACTTTCTTTTCAGCTGCAGCGTGTCAGCGCTGTGCTGGAGCATCAAACATGTTTGTGTACACACTCAGGGGGCATCTCCTCATGCTGACTTTGCTGATAGCAGAAATAAATTCAGAGGCCCATCAGTCAGAGATGTAGGAGTGATCTTTCTTCCTCCACAGTTTCACACTGAGGCTATAAACTGATCTCTGTCACTGGGGGAACAAAGAAACCTTGCTAGACAGTACATCTGCAGCTGCAGCATACAGGAGCAGGATTACTGCCCCAGTGGAGCTTTCTGTTTGGATATTTCACCGTCTGCACTCAAAGCTGGAGCACCAGGTGTGCAGGTGAGATTTCTTTCTGGGTTGAAAATTAATGTGATGCAACATGAGACCAAGAACAAGAAAGAGAGGGTGTCTTATTTGTATGAGCTTGATATGATGAAAATTACAACTTGTAACCCATAATCAACACAGTTGTCTCCTGCTGTTCGGCTCATTGAGGTCTGTATTTGGTTTCACATGATCAAATTGACCTGCAACACTGATTAGAGGAAAAATCAAAGTCCTCCCAGGCACTCTAGCAGCCCCTCGACTTTGCCCCTTCCTCTCTCACAGACATGTCATGACTGATGGAGCCCAGAGGTGTGGGAGCTGCCATCTAGGGCTCATCTGGCCCGTGACGTGCCCGGGGTTTGTGACAGTCACCAGCAGAGCAGACCTCCTGCCCCCGGCTGTGGTTTCCGTTGAGCTGAGGCCGGCTAATGAGGACATTATCAGATCAGTGTCTTCAGCCTGACACAAGCTCAGCCTGCAGCAAAACTGATTCGACCTTTTCCCACCTGCTCACAAGATGAACGATGAGGAGCTTCACACAATTTAGTTGGAGGAAGAAGGAGGTTGTGGATGTTATTGCATATTATTCCCAAGAAGTAAATAACTTCAGGGGTAAATAAGAAAAACAATATGATTTATGAAGCACAATTCAATTTAGAAAGTCTGCCGGTTATTTTGTCCATTTCAGTTGACTAATGGCTGTATTATTAATGATCAAGATTACTAAATGAAAAGATTGAAAATGCAAAAAAATAACTCTGCTTTGGTTTATAATCTTATTTTTGTGCCAAGAATTTTTCCTCACAGTAGTTCACTTAAAGAGGCGGATTTCATGTTGATTTTGGTTTAGAAAGACAATGATTTTAAGAATTATTGAGTCAGGACTTAAGGGCAGAACTATTTGAAATTATGGGAAAAACCAAAAAGCCTTTTAATTAGTCTGGAGCTCAGATCTAAAACAATGCATATGCAGTGATTTTCTAGGTTTCCAACTGTTTTCTGTAAGTGCTTTACAGAAAACATTCACCCCGCATTCACAGGTGCAAAGATGTGTGAGTTAAGTTGACTCAAGAAAGGACATACTGTATTTGTGAAAGAAATAATATTTTCATAGCTGTTGTCCCTAAATGCCCTCATTTGAGGTGGACTAAGGTGTTTTCCAGGAGATGTGAATCTCTCCCTATAAAGACAGTTTGAGTGGATTTGATCCTTGTTGGCAAGTACTTCATTCAAGGACGATCCATCAAAATAAAGAGCTATTCAGTTTGATTCATTTCACAATAAATCAGTTGGATCAGATTTGATTCAGTGTAATAATTGATCCCCAAACCGTCCCATCAGGTAAAATTAGTCTTGCGGTTAATGTGAATAATAGCTTGTTAGTCACTGCACAGTCACCTGGTGAGCTAACTAACACTACCTGAACAGACACCTGTGCTTATACTCTTGTGAAAGGTGAAAAGTCAACTTCTGAGTCTCCTGAGACTGAAGCTGCTGAACACAGCATGAAAACACACACAGCAAAACATCAGTCAACTGAATGGAAGCTTTGAAACAGGTCCATCAACAACTTAGTGTGACGTTTTTACCAATCCTGTACACCTTCATCGTTATGATGGATCACTAGTTCAGATTAATTAGTCACACACAACAAGATTTTTGATCAAAAATGTGTTTCATATTTGAAATATCACATCGGGGCAGCCCTGATCGTCTTCCCAGCTGCTTCGGGAAAGTAAAACCACTCTTAACACACCACATGAACATTTGAGAAGAAAACCTTGTGAATAACTTGATAACCAGGTTTTTACTGACTTTTGTCAGAATAGGAGATCTGCTCAATTATAATGTAGTCTGTACATCATTTTAGCTACACTTGACAGACCAAGTTGGCATTGTTCACCCGCTGACTCTGTGGTCCCATGTTTAGCTATTTTAAAAAAGTGGCGTTCAGCTCTGAATGTTTTTAGTGTTGAATGAACTTTAAACTCATGTTTGAATGACTTGAAAAGAGTACACCCCTTGTCACACATGTCGCATCTATCAGCTTGTCCAAGTAGCTCAAAGACAAGAGAGAAAATACCTGACCTAGTACAGTCTAAAATTGACTAAATCCCCTAAAAACGCACAAGGGCACTGATTCACACATTACGCCTTGTGTTTATAATTTGTACAGGAAACATGAAGTTGGATGATGAATGACTCATTTAATGTGTTGATGTCCTTCAGGCATTCAGCTTTTCACACTAATGTGATGATAAAATGTGCCACCTATCAACAAACACAAACCTGAGGCTGGCTGAGGTGTTGGTGGTTTTGTTGGGATTTCTCACTGAATGAACAAATGAAGATGTTTCACTATGACACTTGAGTTAAAGTAAAAGGGCCACTAGAGTTCTTATTATTCAACACCAGGATAAAGGAATATCTCCACAATATTTTATTGCAGTCTACTATCTATTCAAACAGTGCTGGGATATTTATCCAAAATTAAAAATAACCTCACCCTCTTGGAGGCGCTAAAGGAAAAAGTCAGCAGGATAAATACTTACAGACCCACTCTGATGAAAATCCTATTTTTTCTTGTTTCTACATGTTCATATGGCATTTTTCATGAGAAAAATGAGTGAAATTGCATTTCTGAGTATTTCCATATTCAAATCGCCGTGAATCTCTGGCAGACCAAAAGGGCAGGTTCAGATGCAGTGGGATTTCTTAAGTCACAACTGCAAGCTCCACCCCCGGACCCCCACTATACAGACCAGACTCAGAGAAGTTGAGAGGTGATCGCAGAGCAAGCGTGTTTGTTAGCGGATTGTACTGCTCGTAAGAAGGATAATTATAATATTAGCTTTCATCGTGTCCCTAAAGACATTAGGGTCTCAGAGCTGAATAGCTCCTATGTTACCGGCTTTTTCTTCTGCACTGCCAATTTTAGGCTGCAAGCTAGTGTGGAGAGGAGTGTGCAGAGCTGCACTGTCTCCGCCCACAACTCAGAAGTTAATTGCTAATGATCTACTGGAGCTCTGCAGAAGAAAAGCCCTTGAAAATGGCACAGGTAATGTGATTTTGGCTAAAAACTTCATAATCACAATTTAAAGACCACTGAGAACATTTTAAGTAGTAAAAAAAATGATTGAAGTGAGACTTTAAGTCAAACACAAACTTCCACACAAAAATCAAGGCAGCAAATTAAACTTTTTAAAACCACTTCTGGCTTTATCAAAGAGGTTCATAAGCAAATGAACAGACTGACATTACCAACCCTCAACCTTAAAAGGTTAAAATTATCATTTTAAAGACCAAAGCCTCTGATGAAGGCTTTGTCAGACACTTATGAACTCTTCCTCTTGTTAAAAATGTAAACATCACAGAAGTGTGAGGTGATTTAACAAATGCTGCTGCTATTTTAAAAACTGCTCTCAATCAGTGACAGAGCCACGACGGCTCTGCCCTCTTCACGCCTCTGTGGTTATGGGTAATTGTTGTGTTTGTATGTGTGTGTGGCTCTGAATGAAAAAATAAACTGTGCACCAGCTGCAGAAACAACAGCAGCCAGCTATCACATTGTCAAACACCCATCTGCACACAACACTTTAAAGCAGGAAACAGTGGTGCGGCTGCCTTGAGAAGTCTCGGGACTTAAAGGGGGTGCAAATCAAGCATAAAAAATAGCTGTGATTGCTGCGTATGCACTGCTGAACATTTGCTTGGCAGAGCAAAGTAACATCGAATGAGGACCGAGCATCAGCAGAGAGCCATCTGTTTTACCTCCAGTCCTGCCATGACTGTAAACACACTGTTGTGATGTAGATCATGAAGAAATAAACAGCAGCATTAGTTTTTTTTTAGAGCAAAAACCTTTGCAGCAAAAAATAAACATCGACCCCTCAGCTCTGCAGCCAGAGGAGCATCATTTCCCCACCCCAGAGACCAGGGTGCAAATAAGCTTTGTTTACTGTTTTACACCAATACATGAACACAATTATCACCACTATGATGGAAGAGAGGTGTCTCGGAGCTGAAACCAATTTTAACTTTAAGTGTCATCTTCAAAACAGAGCCATTCTCTCATTTTGAAAGCCTTCTGCGGGCCATTAGTATGCACAATGAGGTGCACTTCATCTGCACGCACAGGGAGCAAATTAATTTCAAGCACTGGAACTGTAGTGGTTTTGTGTAATGGTAGACAATGAAGGCTGGTGTTGTTTATCAGCTGTTGGCTGCATGGTCAGCGAGGCAGAGTAAGGCTGTGTAAACATCACTAAATTTCTTATTTATGTATTAGTCCATCCATCTACTTTACTCTGGCAGTGTTATCACTTTGCCAATAGCTATCACTATCCTTTATCATCTCATCCATTTCAAACATGGCATGGCGGTGACATTCACAGAGAATCTATATGCTGGAAACATGTTTGAAAGGAACCTCAGAAATGACAGCTTAATGTCCTCGGTGACAGCTAATTTGGTTGTGTGGGAGGAAGAGGGAGCTGCCAGAGTGTTTATTTCCCTGAGAAAAATCAACATATCTGATCTTGGGTGGGAGTGAGAGTCGTTTTCCTGGTTGAATTTTTCCTCCTTGAGGAGAGTAACAGCTGCTAAGAGCTGCACAAGATCACATGCGGCCTATGTTTGCAGGATGCCATTCCAAATTGAGATTAGTCACGGAGGTCATGCTGCTACTAAATGCATACATTTGACAGCGTCTTGCTGGCAACTTAATGAACCAAGCAGCAGCCTTGGATGAATATGCCAGAAACAAAGGTGCAGTGAGAAACACAGAGGAACACAGAGCTGGAACCATTATGCTGGTGGCCTCGAGAATACCGTCTTTTCTATGATTTCCTGTGCTGGTGTTTGCAGCCACATTTGCATGCAAACAGACAGCAACATGAATGTTTCTCTTTGTCCTTCAGCAGGGCAGTTGTTACAGAAAATACATTGGTTTTAATGTCATAATATCCTGGATAGATTGAACATGCCTGAGCAGGTTAAAGCTCCTGTGAGGAGTTTTCACACTCACATCAATATAAATGTTTCTTCAAAGCCTGTGAAGGCAAAGAAAGATCAACAGCAAGAAAAGCAACCCTTTTTCAAAGAAATGACAAACACTGGCAAGAGGTTAATGTCAGGCAATGTGACAAGCTGCACACTGGAGATACAGCCTTGTGTTAGATGTTCCTGGGAAAGAATGGTTAATGTTATTAAACTGACAAAAAAAAAAACCCTGAAAGTTCCTCACAAGAGCTTTAAAATGGGAGTGGGCCAAATTTGTGCACCATCACATTTGTGTCTCATCATCATTTTCCTGTTAAAAGCAAAGAAATTCTGCTAAATATATTTTCTTAAATCAGTGTGTTTTCTTTAAAGTTTGATTTCCTTTGTTAGAAAAAAGTAAAAACCTTATTATGACGTATAATTACGACTCCCATTTTGTAGGCCTTTTTATGGTGGATGTAAGTATGTAATAAGCACTGCATTTAGCTGCCAGGCGCCACCTGAGGATTTAAATGTTAGTGGGTATTTATATTTCTTTTTACAGCCCTGAGTGGGAAAGGGGCATTAGGGGTTCAATCGTTCTATAGTTGAACTGCAGCATTTATATAATTGTTAACACCAGGATACAAGCAAACTTTGCAAACACGTTAGAGAGGACATTCAGCACAATATTTCAAGGTTTCAATTACTGAAATACCATCATCGTAATATCACTCCCTGCGCCCAGAGGTAATAAAAAAATCCAAGCAGTCACATTATTGTACTTGTTTAAATCATGTCGAGTCCCTCGACAGTCTGAGAGGCTGTCATATTTATCAACACCTTACACAAAGCCCGGTGCTTCTGACGCCTCAGGTGTGAGTGTGCACTTATAAAAGAGAGAAAACGCAGAGGGGATGCTCTGAAAGACGAAACAACAGGAAGTGGACATTGAAGTGGAGAAAACCCTCATCCTTCAAAAGACTGATGTTTGTTTTTAATTCACAGCGTGTTCTGTCCTGTCTGTGAAAACCAACCCTAAGGATGTGATTGATGAGCTCCTCTGCACATTCATGTAAAAAACTGGTGAAACAACTTCATATAATGTATATAATTAGCTGCTTGCTGTGACAAAACCCACAAAAAAATGATCATCTGTCTCACTGTTTGCCCCTCTTCATCTGAAAGCTTTAAGCCCCCCCCCCCCTCCGCCAATCAGCATCCTCTTCAGTCTACTCGATCGACTGAGTATCAAATGTCAGAGAAACATGGTGGCTATAGACAGTGACTGGTAAACATAGTAAAGCATTAAGATGCTAACAAAATCCAAATAATAATTGAGTTCAGTTTTTGATTGATGGGTGAATTAAAAATAACATATCAAAGGAAATCAATATTATTATATATTTGATCTTGCTTCATTTTTTTCCTCTTCTCCCAAACATCTCTGATCATGCAACCCTCAATGTCTGTGCTGTGAACATGATAGTGACAAATACAACAGCCCATTAAGTGCATTTTACATGCACAGTTAAAGGGATATTCCGTTGTAAAATTGAGTTATGGTCAAACACACTATAACACCAAGTTAGACACCAAGTTAGGGGAGATGAATGTTGCCGGCTGCTTGCTTCGCTAGTTATACCAACTTCAGGAACATCCGCATGATAGCAATACACAGCGGTTTATGGATCCACGCACACACCTCAAGCAAAACGCCACTCTATAGCCACAAATAATGCTCAGAACAGCACCTTACTTCATCAACAGTACATATAGGGTCCCAGACATAGTCCTGGCCACCAAACATCTTTTTTAGCTTTGCCTGATGTCTTTAGCAAAGAGACTAAACACAACTCACCCACTCTCCTCCAGCAGCTGCTTGTTTGTAGTGAGACCTCAGGCTAGTCCTTCATTGACTGCAGTGGAGTTTCGCAGCTCAAGAAAGAATATTTATGATCATTGTTTCATGGAAATGCAATCAGACAGAGATGCTAAGGCAGAAGAATTATTGTGTCTGCAGTGCAAAATTATTATTATGATGGTTATTACTTAATGGAAATGATAAAGTAATGATCATAAATGTTCTTCCTTGAGCTGCACTCGGTGATGGACTCGTCTGAGCTCTCTCCTTTAGTACACACAGCTTCTTTCCGTTCTACTTTGTCTTTGTCTTCTTCTTCATCTGTCTATAGGTGTCTCTCAACAATGCATTTATGCTATTCAACCTCAGGGTCCCACAGCCCTTTGCGCAAACTACAGAGCATGTGCAGAATTCTTTGGGTAGTTTCATTCCTAATAAGATGATGTGCTGTTTCACTCATAGTACTTGAAAACAAATCTTTCACAGTCTCCTCTCTTTCCAAATAGCTTTAATTTCACAATTACTGACCAAAACTGATGAAAGTAAAAGATGACACCTCTGTTTCTGCACTGGTCTGAACCTCTTCACCTCCAGATGGAAAAAGGCTGAGGACACTGTGAAGGTGATGAGAGCACAGTGTGTCTGATTCACCCTGCCTTTGTCTCTCTCTCAGCAGATGCTGAGCTGGATGAGTGCCTTTAGATTGGCTACTATCTTCTCATCAGTGCTCTGTCCTTTGCTATCAACAACTGCCTCTCAAGCAGTGAATGTATTGATTACAGGTGCCACTGATTTCCAAATGGCCAAAACCATAGCATCTCTGCGACTGAAATCAAGACAATAAGTCGGAGCACACTGCTATTCTAACAAATATAAGAACAGGAACATATAGATATCCAGACATCAGTGAGGGAGTGAGTGACACCTTCAGCAGCTGCCTTTGACTTCTAGCAGAGAAGTGTTAAAATCACATCAATGCTGCAGGGCTTGTTATATACAGAATACTAATTGGCAGGAAGTAAGGTAACAAATTTAATAAATGTCAACATATGTGTCAGATGCAGACATGCACACACACACACAGACGCACACCAATTAGTGACGGTGTACTTCCTGATGGATGGCTAACACCAGGGGATCATGGTGTTCTCCCAACTTGTAACTGAAGCCACAGGTACTCTCTTTAAATATCCGAGCTGTGCAGAGGAGCCTCGTCCTTAACCCTCATCAAACCTGATTACACCAGGTGGCCTCATTACTTAGCCTCTCAGTGTCGATGAGGATTTACATTATCTTTGATTTCCTGAAGCGTAATTAACAGACATGTGTGTGTTTTTTTTCCTTCTTCTTCTTCTTCTTCTTCTCACTCTGGGTGAAAATTAACTTTCGACTAGCTGCTTTGATAGGGGTGTCTTATCCATCAGTCAAAGCCAATGTGAAGCTCAGGACCACGCTTTTTTTCCAAGAACTGACTGTCAGAAATTCCTTCGAGTCCTTTCAGAGCACACACACGTCATATCTGACTCAGGGAAGCAGCCAAGACATTAATTTCAAACATTACAGGGTTTTTTTTTCTCCGAAATGTGAAAAGTGAGGCTGTCACATCTTGTGATTGTAGGAAAAGCTGAATTATTCAAATCAGGGCAATTTAAACTGTGATGGTTTCTCACAACACCTACACCCAGATCATCAGCAATCAAACTGTTACCTGTTTTTATATTACGGCACTGTATCTCCAGTTCTTGGGTCCATCATGATTGAATATGACGAATAATGGAAACTCATTCATCCACCTATGTGGAGGAAAATTATGTCTAAGTGTGATGCAGATTGTTAAAATGCTCAGTGTGGGTGTCAGTGATCTGTCACTTTGTACTGCTTTGATTTAAACTGACTGTAGCTGCTGTTAAATTGGGGTACCCTTTAAAATGCTATTTCAAAGGCTTAGATATAAATCTACATAGACTTACCAGCTATAATATTATGAAAACCTCGGCAATCTAATGCAATTCAAGACAACAGCTACACCACAAATTTCTCTTTATATTAAATTGCTCAGCCAATATTTATTTAAACAGCACAAATTCACAATAAATGTTATCACAAGAGACTAGCTTGTAAGGAGACCCACTCTTATCTCTTCTTCATCCCCCACCGATGAAACACTGCAGCATTTAGTAAGTTACAAAGGAGAAGAAAAACTTAGGGGAGACCGGGGCTTGTTGTCACACTTTTTACACTCTTATATAATTCTAGTAATCAATACATCATATATAAACAAAAAGTGAACCAGATTAAAGACCAAAGTCTCAGGTATATATTTCATAATCATGTCATTTTCATATCTTGTGTCAGTGCAGAGTTATAAGCAATCAAATAGAGAGTGTGAACATGTGACATCTTACCCCACCATCAGGTAAGACGTCACAGTAGATTTTGCTGCTATTGAAACAAGGACAAAATTATTATGGTTCTCATTTTTTAAACTTGAAAGTGAACATCAAAGTCAGGCACAGAAAATGTTTATCATTGAGCTAGAAAAAGCCATTGAACATAGCCACTAAACAAACGTGAACATAAACTATTATGTTTGGAGAGTTGTCTGACTCTGTATTTCAGCTGGGGTGAATGTTTATCAGTATCGAGCTAAGGTATGGTAGATGACATTAAAGTCCTTTATTGTACTCCAGGTTGATTTATTAGCTAGGGTCACCTGCCTGACTGCCCTCAGCATCACGTCAGGAACTGTACTGCCATGTTCTGTTTTTCTTTTGAGATTCCTGACCAAGTCTTCTCACTTTCTCCTCTCCTTTAAATCACTCTTTTTCTGTAAAAATAAAGTCAAAATTTCAATATGACAACTGCTGATAAGCAGACTTTCTATGTTAATATGAATCCCTTTGAAACACGTGACAACTAACCCCAAAAAGACTGAGACATGTTGCCCCAAACTACTATGTTTGCTAATTTTAGCTTTAGCTTAAAGTTAGTCTAAAACAGAACAATGACTGAGGTATGACAGGATGTCTTAATCTCTCCTCTAACAAGTCCACATGTATCCCTGCTAGCATTTTTATCTGGAAGAAGCTTATTTTAAAATATGTACGGTTAAAATTTTTTACTTTGAGTTGTGCGAAATGGTTAACTGGTTCATCTCAGCTCACAATGTGCTCTTTTCTTCTCAGACAGGACACGGCCCCTGACCATTTAAGGTTGGAGCTAGGGTTAGGGTTAGGTGTGGGGTTGGAGCTAGGGTTAGGGTTAGGGTTAGGGTTGGAGTTAGGGTTAGTGTTGGAGCTAGGGTTAGGGTTGGGCTTGGAGCTAGGATTTTTCTGAGTGCAATGAACCAACTCCCGAGTCTCTAGGACGTTCCTAAAAAAATTTGATTTTTTTCCCATAGGAATGCATGGGTTAGGGTTAGGGTTAGGGTTGGAGCTAGGGTTAGGGTTAGGGTTAGGGTTGGAGTTAGGGTTAGTGTTGGAGCTAGGGTTAGGGTTGGGCTTGGAGCTAGGATTTTTCTGAGTGCAATGAACCAACTCCTGAGTCTCTAGGACGTTCCTAAAAAAAATTGATTTTTTCCCATAGGAATGCATGGGTTAGGGTTAGGGTTAGGGTTAGGGTTGGAGCTAGGGTTAGGGTTGGCGTTAGGGTTGGAGTTAGGGTTAGAGTTGGAGCTAGGGTTAGGGTTGGGCTTGGAGCTAGGATTTTTCTGAGTGCAATGAACCAACTCCCGAGTCTCTAGGACGTTCCTAAAAAAAATGGATTTTTTCCCATGGGAATGCATGGGTTAGGGTTAGGGTTAGGGTTGGAGCTAGGGTTAGGGTTAGGGTTAGGGTTGGAGTTAGGGTTAGTGTTGGAGCTAGGGTTAGGGTTGGGCTTGGAGCTAGCATTTTTCTGAGTGCAATGAACCAACTCCCGAGTCTCTAGGACGTTCCTAAAAAAATTTGATTTTTTCCCATAGGAATGCATGGGTTAGGGTTAGGGTTAGGGTTGGAGCTAGGGTTAGGGTTAGGGTTAGGGTTGGAGTTAGGGTTAGTGTTGGAGCTAGGGTTAGGGTTGGGCTTGGAGCTAGGATTTTTCTGAGTGCAATGAACCAACTCCCGAGTCTCTAGGACGTTCCTAAAAAAAATTGATTTTTTCCCATAGGAATGCATGGGTTAGGGTTAGGGTTAGGGTTGGAGCTAGGGTTAGGGTTAGGGTTAGGGTTGGAGTTGGGTTAGTGTTGGAGCTAGGGTTAGGGTTGGGCTTGGAGCTAGGATTTTTCTGAGTGCAATGAACCACCTCCTGAGTCTCTAGGACGTTCCTAAAAAAATTTGATTTTTTCCCATAGGAATGCATGGGTTAGGGTTAGGATTAGGGTTGGAGCTAGGGTTAGGGTTAGGGTTAGGGTTGGAGTTAGGGTTAGGGTTAAGGTTGGAGCTAGGGTTAGGGTTAGGGTTAGGATTAGGGTGGAGCTAGGGTTAGGGTTAGAGCTAGGGTTAGGGTTGGGGCTAGGGTTAGGGTTAAGGTTGGAGCTAGGGTTAGGGTTAGGGTTAGGGTTGGAGCTAGGGTTAGGGTTAGGGTTAGGGTTGGAGCTAGGGTTAGGGTTAGGGTTAGGGTTGGAGTTAGGGTTAGGGTTAGGGTTAAGGTTGGAGCTAGGGTTAGGGTTAGGGTTAGGATTAGGGTGGAGCTAGGGTTAGGGTTAGAGCTAGGGTTAGGGTTGGGGCTAGGGTTAGGGTTAGGGTTAAGGTTGGAGCTAGGGTTAGGGTTAGGGTTAGGTGTGGAGCTAGGGTTAGGGTTAGGGTTGGAGCTAGAGTTAGGGTTAGGGTTAGGGTTGGAGTTAGGGTTAGTGTTGGAGCTAGGGTTAGGGTTGGGCTTGGAGCTAGGATTTTTCTGAGTGCAATGAACCAACTCACCGAGTCTCTAGGACGTTCCTAAAAAAATTTGATTTTTTCCCATAGGAATGCATGGGTTAGGGTTAGGGTTAGGGTTGGAGCTAGGGTTAGGGTTAGGGTTAGGGTTGGAGTTAGGGTTAGTGTTGGAGCTAGGGTTAGGGTTGGGCTTGGAGCTAGGATTTTTCTGAGTGCAATGAACCAACTCCCGAGTCTCTAGGACGTTCCTAAAAAAATTTGATTTTTTCCCATAGGAATGCATGGGTTAGGGTTAGGGTTAGGGTTAGGGTTGGAGCTAGGGTTAGGGTTAGGGTTAGGGTTGGAGTTAGGGTTAGTGTTGGAGCTAGGGTTAGGGTTGGGCTTGGAGCTAGGATTTTTCTGAGTGCAATGAACCAACTCCCGAGTCTCTAGGACGTTCCTAAAAAAATTTGATTTTTTCCCATAGGAATGCATGGGTTAGGGTTAGGGTTAGGGTTGGAGCTAGGGTTAGGGTTAGGGTTAGAGTTAGGGTTAGTGTTGGAGCTAGGGTTAGGGTTGGGCTTGGAGCTAGGATTTTTCTGAGTGCAATGAACCAACTCCCGAGTCTCTAGGACGTTCCTAAAAAATGTGATTTTTTCCCATAGGAATGCATGGGTTAGGGTTAGGGTTAGGGTTGGAGCTAGGGTTAGGGTTAGGGTTAGGGTTGGAGTTAGGGTTAGTGTTGGAGCTAGGGTTAGGGTTGGGCTTGGAGCTAGGATTTTTCTGATTGCAATGAACCAACTCCCGAGTCTCTAGGACGTTCCTAAAAAAATTTGATTTTTTCCCATAGGAATGCATGGGTTAGGGTTAGGGTTAGGGTTGGAGCTAGGGTTAGGGTTAGGGTTAGGGTTGGAGTTAGGGTTAGTGTTGGAGCTAGGGTTAGGGTTGGGCTTGGAGCTAGGATTTTTCTGAGTGCAATGAACCAACTCCCAAGTCTCTAGGACGTTCCTAAAAAATGTGATTTTTTCCCATAGGAATGCATGGGTTAGGGTTAGGGTTAGGGTTGGAGCTAGGGTTAGGGTTAGGGTTAGGGTTGGAGTTAGGGTTAGTGTTGGAGCTAGGGTTAGGGTTGGGCTTGGAGCTAGGATTTTTCTGAGTGCAATGAACCAACTCCCGAGTCTCTAGGACATTCCTAAAAAAATTTGATTTTTTCCCATAGGAATGCATGGGTTAGGGTTAGGGTTAGGGTTGGAGCTAGGGTTAGGGTTAGGGTTGGAGTTAGGGTTAGTGTTGGAGCTAGGGTTAGGGTTGGGCTTGGAGCTAGGATTTTTCTGAGTGCAATGAACCAATTCCCGAGTCTCTAGGACGTTCCTAAAAAAATTGATTTTTTCCCATAGGAATGCATGGGTTAGGGTTAGGGTTAGGGTTGGAGCTAGGGTTAGGGTTAGGGTTAGAGTTAGGGTTAGTGTTGGAGCTAGGGTTAGGGTTGGGCTTGGAGCTAGGATTTTTCTGAGTGCAATGAACCAACTCCCGAGTCTCTAGGACGTTCCTAAAAAATGTGATTTTTTCCCATAGGAATGCATGGGTTAGGGTTAGGGTTAGGGTTGGAGCTAGGGTTAGGGTTAGGGTTAGGGTTGGCGTTAGGGTTAGTGTTGGAGCTAGGGTTAGGGTTGGGCTTGGAGCTAGGATTTTTCTGATTGCAATGAACCAACTCCCGAGTCTCTAGGACGTTCCTAAAAAAATTTGATTTTTTCCCATAGGAATGCATGGGTTAGGGTTAGGGTTAGGGTTGGAGCTAGGGTTAGGGTTAGGGTTAGGGTTGGCGTTAGGGTTAGTGTTGGAGCTAGGGTTAGGGTTGGGCTTGGAGCTAGGATTTTTCTGAGTGCAATGAACCAACTCCCAAGTCTCTAGGACGTTCCTAAAAAAATTTGATTTTTTCCCATGGGAATGCATGGGTTAGGGTTAGGGTTAGGGTTGGAGCTAGGGTTAGGGTTAGGGTTGGAGTTAGGGTTAGTGTTGGAGCTAGGGTTAGGGTTGGGCTTGGAGCTAGGATTTTTCTGAGTGCAATGAACCAACTCCCGAGTCTCTAGGACATTCCTAAAAAAATTGATTTTTTTCCATAGGAATGCATGGGTTTGGGTTAGGGTTAGGGTTGGAGCTAGGGTTAGGGTTAGGGTTAGGGTTGGAGTTAGGGTTAGTGTTGGAGCTAGGGTTAGGGTTGGGCTTGGAGCTAGGATTTTTCTGAGTGCAATGAACCAACTCCGAGTCTCTAGGACGTTCCTAAAAAAATTTGATTTTTTCCCATAGGAATGCATGGGTTAGGGTTAGGGTTAGGGTTGGAGCTAGGGTTAGGGTTAGGGTTAGGGTTGGAGTTAGGGTTAGTGTTGGAGCTAGGGTTAGGGTTGGGCTTGGAGCTAGGATTTTTCTGAGTGCAATGAACCAACTCCTGAGTCTCTAGGACGTTTCTAAAAAAATTTGATTTTTTCCCATAGGAATGCATGGGTTAGGGTTAGGGTTAGGGTTGGAGCTAGGGTTAGGGTTAGGGTTAGGGTTGGAGTTAGGGTTAGTGTTGGAGCTAGGGTTAGGGTTGGACTTGGAGCTGGAGGATTTTTCTGAGTGCAATGAACCAACTCCCGAGTCTCTAGGACGTTCCTAAAAAAATTTGATTTTTTCCCATAGGAATGCATGGGTTAGGGTTAGGGTTAGGGTTGGAGCTAGGGTTAGGGTTAGGGTTAGGGTTGGAGTTAGGGGTAGTGTTGGAGCTAGGGTTAGGGTTGGGCTTGGAGCTAGGATTTTTCTGAGTGCAATGAACCAACTCCCGAGTCTCTAGGACGTTCCTAAAAAAATTTGATTTTTTCCCATAGGAATGCATGGGTTAGGGTTAGGGTTAGGGTTGGAGTTAGGGTTAGTGTTGGAGCTAGGGTTAGGGTTGGGCTTGGAGCTAGGATTTTTCTGAGTGCAATGAACCAACTCCCGAGTCTCTAGGACGTTCCTAAAAAAATTTGTTTTTTTCCCATAGGAATGCATGGGTTAGGGTTAGGGTTAGGGTTAGGGTTGGAGCTAGGGTTAGGGTTAGGGTTAGGGTTGGAGTTAGGGTTAGTGTTGGAGCTAGGGTTAGGGTTGGGCTTGGAGCTAGGATTTTTCTGAGTGCAATGAACCAACTCCTGAGTCTCTAGGACGTTCCTAAAAAAATTTGATTTTTTCCCGTAGGAATGCATGGGTTAGGGTTAGGGTTAGGGTTGGAGCTAGGGTTAGGGTTAGGGTTAGGGTTGGAGTTAGGGTTAGTGTTGGAGCTAGGGTTAGGGTTGGGCTTGGAGCTAGGATTTTTCTGAGTGCAATGAACCAACTCCCGAGTCTCTAGGACGTTCCTAAAAAAAATTGATTTTTTCCCATAGGAATGCATGGGTTAGGGTTAGGGTCAGGGTTGGAGCTAGGGTTAGGGTTAGGGTTAGGGTTGGAGTTAGGGTTAGTGTTGGAGCTAGGGTTAGGGTTGGGCTTGGAGCTAGGATTTTTCTGATTGCAATGAACCAACTCCCGAGTCTCTAGGACGTTCCTAAAAAAATTTGATTTTTTCCCATAGGAATGCATGGGTTAGGGTTAGGGTTAGGGTTGGAGCTAGGGTTAGGGTTAGGTGTGGGGTTGAAGCTAGGGTTAGGGTTAGGGTTGGAGTTAGGGTTAGTGTTGGAGCTAGGGTTAGGGTTGGGCTTGGAGCTAGGATTTTTCTGAGTGCAATGAACCAACTCCTGAGTCTCTAGGACGTTCCTAAAAAAATTTGATTTTTTCCCATAGGAATGCATGGGTTAGGGTTTGAGCTAGGGTTAGGGTTAGGTGTGGGGTTGAAGCTAGGGTTAGGGTTAGGGTTGGAGTTAGGGTTAGTGTTGGAGCTAGGGTTAGGGTTGGACTTGGAGCTAGGATTTTTCTGAGTGCAATGAACCAACTCCCGAGTCTCTAGGACGTTCCTAAAAAAAATTGATTTTTTCCCATAGGAATGCATGGGTTAGGGTTAGGGTCAGGGTTGGAGCTAGGGTTAGGGTTAGGGTTAGGGTTGGAGTTAGGGTTAGTGTTGGAGCTAGGGTTAGGGTTGGGCTTGGAGCTAGGATTTTTCTGATTGCAATGAACCAACTCCCGAGTCTCTAGGACGTTCCTAAAAAAATTTGATTTTTTCCCATAGGAATGCATGGGTTAGGGTTAGGGTTAGGGTTGGAGCTAGGGTTAGGGTTAGGTGTGGGGTTGAAGCTAGGGTTAGGGTTAGGGTTGGAGTTAGGGTTAGTGTTGGAGCTAGGGTTAGGGTTGGGCTTGGAGCTAGGATTTTTCCGAGTGCAATGAACCAACTCCCGAGTCTCTAGGACGTTCCTAAAAAAATTTGATTTTTTCCCATAGGAATGCATGGGTTAGGGTTTGAGCTAGGGTTAGGGTTAGGTGTGGGGTTGAAGCTAGGGTTAGGGTTAGGGTTGGAGTTAGGGTTAGTGTTGGAGCTAGGGTTAGGGTTGGGCTTGGAGCTAGGATTTTTCTGAGTGCAATGAACCAACTCCCGAGTCTCTAGGACGTTCCTAAAAAAATTTGATTTTTTTCCATAGGAATGCATGGGACAAAAAATTTTCAAAGTGCCAACCCAATTTTTCACCTTCCAGAATTGTGTTAGGAGCACGTTTCAGGCCACGGGGAGTCTATAGAACCTAATTCTGGGGGAAGCTTTTTGAAAAGTTTACTTAGGGTTAGGGTTAGGGTTGGAGCTAGGGTTAGGGTTAGGGTTAGGGTTGGAGCTAGGGTTAGGGTTAGGGTTAAGGTTGGAGCTAGGGTTAGGGTTAGGGTTAGGGTTAGGGTTGGAGCTAGGGTTAGGGTTAGGGTTAGAGCTAGGGTTAGGGTTAGGGTTGGGGCTAGGGTTAGGGTTAAAGGAAGAAAACTAGTATTCCACTTTTTAGTTACACCCTCTGGTGGCAAAGATGATTGCAATGTGACAACTTACCCATGTGACAACAAGCCCCGGTCTCCCCTACTTTAGCAGGCAGAAACCTCGAGCAGAACCAGACTCATGTTAGACAGTCATCTACTGAGGCCGAGCTGGGTTTAGAAAGAGACAGACAAACAGAGACAAACAATAACAACAACAAAACAGTGGAGTGTTTTATTTTGAAAGAATGGACTTTATTTTAATTATTCTATTCTACTTTATTTTACTTTACCGCTGCTACTGTTGAATTTTCCTTGGGGGATCAATTAAGTTTTTCTACTTACTATTTTATTTTACTTTGTTTAGAAAAATATATGGCAGAGCTGTTGCCCAGGTGCTAACTGTGTTCTGCCATGTCAGTTTATATTGTTTTTCGATTACTAACAGGGTTAGATGTGGTATGAGAATAAGGTGAGCATAGAGATTTTGTACTTTTGATTCAGTCTTTCAAGATTTTAGAGGAAGTGTTTCATGACAGACTGATACCTCTTAACAAATTCAGCACAGAGTGAGAAAATAAATCCAAACTCCCATGCTCAAGCTGCTTTGAAGATTGATTATATCAGCGCTGCTGCAATGATTTATGGGTGTGGATGTTTAACAGCTCAGGTGTATTGCTCTTTTATCAACAGTAGGCACATAACCAAGTTGGTCTCAAAGGGTCACTCTGATTAGCTACCTTTTTTTAGTCAGAAATGCAACAAAAATGGTGGTTGGCAAATTTTGTTGCTGAACTTGTAGGCTACATTATTGAGTGTGATTTTTATGCAGTGAGTAAACATCAATTTCTGGAGCTCTCTGCTGTGGTTCTCACATTTTATGTTATTTCATTTTTGTTACAAGGACAGTGTGTGACAATATCAATCATTGATAAAAGAAAAATGAAAAGATGGTTGCACCAAATTAAGCACATTTCAAAACCATAAAATGAACTTTAAAAGACAACGTATCCTATTCAGAATGAAATTTAAAAAAGAGGACAGTTAAAGGAAAATTATTACTCTGAATTCAATGCTGGTAATGCTTTAGCATAGACAAAATATTAATTAAATTAGAGTTTTTAATGTCATGTTTTTGTTCAAGGACCTGATGGTTTAAGCACCAAATGTATGAAGAATACAGTCCTCGCTGTAGTAGTCACTTGTCTGACTCCCAGCTTCAACCTTTTGCTGTATGTCTTCCTCTGCACTCTGCTCCCCGCATTTCCTGACAAATTAAGGTTTTAATTAAGATTAAAAGATAATAGCAAACTAAAAGCCATCAGCCAGTCAGGCAATAGTCAGTTAAACGTTTGAATAATTGGGTTGATAACAAAAATATCCCACTCTAACCATGAAGCATCACCTAACAGTAGCAGAGCCTAACTCAGTCTAAAGGTCCTTACACACGCTGGGGCCGACACGAATATAGAACTCTATACACACACACACCAAGCCCGATGCAATTTTGCGACTTTCCGGGGGGAAAAAGACGCATCCTGGGGAAGACTTTTCCCGGGGAAAGTCCCGCCTCCTTTGCCTCTGATTGGCTAGAAAAGCTGGAAACGTCATCACACGCTCAAGCCAAACGGTCAGCACTGATAGCCAATCAGAGGCGAAGGAGGGCGGGACCTTCTTTTATCATGCTACAGCGTCGTGGGTGGAAGCGAGAAGACAAAAATGGAGTCTACTTCAACTTCAAGTGATGGGGAATTGGTACTCCTTTTGCTTTCTCAAAAGAAAAAGAAACAGCACATGGTTGCATCCAATATTACAAAAAGAAGAGAACTTGGTGACCATGTAGATTCTCATTCATCAAGGTCATGGTTTTCTTGAAGACTCCAAAACCAGACAACTGGACTGTGTAGAGTTGAGAAGACGTTTCGACTGGGAGGAGTTGGAAAGAATGTCGTTGTCATTGTCTGTCCCCTTCTCCAGTAAGATAAATATCTGCTTCTCACACTAACAATAATTAGAACTGAAGAAGCTTCTTGGATAAGAGGCGAAACATCTTCTCAACTCTACACAGTCCAGTTGCCTGGTTTTGGAGTCTTCAAGAGAACTTGGTGAGTTTCACTGCTTGGTTCAGGAGCTGAAACTGTACCACGGTCACTTCAGAACCTATTTTCAGATGTCCATTGGACAAGTTCTGCTGAAACAATTTGCTCCAAGTTTGAAGAGGCAGAGGACTAGACACTAGTGTTGAGATGGCTTTCTGTCATGATAGCATGTACTGAGTCGGGGCCAGTACCAGATAAGCACATAAAACTATGGTAACAACCGTTAGCTTATGTTAGCACAGATGAAAGTTAAAACAAAGACATTTAGCAAACTGTTAAAGCACACAAAACATCATCATATCAGAAATGACTCTCCACAAGTTGTCCTTCAGGTCGTTATCTTTGTAATAAACGATCATAAACAATCATCCAGACGGCCATGTTGGATATACCGGTGAATCTGACTTCTCAACAACACAAAATCTGATTGAACAAGTGGACACACAGTATGCGAAACTCTGGAAAAATCGACCTTGATCCGAAAAAATAAATGCTGCAATACTACAGGACGGGAAAATGTCGCTGATGTGATCGCTTGTATTGACAGGATACGGGTTTGAAAAAAAAATATTGACGTGCAAAATAATCGCACGACAGAAACGGTCCCGGTGTGAAAGGACCTTAAGGTGGGTCATTGGACTAACACTGCGCCCAGCTGTGATCACAGGCAACTACATTTAACCTCCAGCTCTTTATTGGCCAATTAATTCACATGATTTGTGGTGTGCAGAATTCAACAAATGTCAAAAAAGAATACTTGATTTGCTGGGACGGTGATTTCAATCTGTTTTTGTGTCAGAATGTTTAAAACTCTCTCGTTTCAGACCACCAGAGCACCAAAAGACTTGATTAAAATTTCTGTGTATTTTTGGTAAATGAGGCTGAATAACAACACCTACACTCCCAACCCAGGGAACTGCAGCATCAGTGTTTTTGTTATCTGCTGTAACTGTGTTGATGTATGAATGATGAAACCAGGGACCAAGTACATGGACAACAGCAGCCTTGTATGCCCCTGGACAACAGAGTCAACATGTTTTGAATTGTAACTATGTCAGCATCATGTGAGGTTCACTGAGTACAAGCCAGCATGAAAAACACGCTGCACCCTGGAGCTCAAGTGAACAAAGCTGCTATGGAGAATCAAGGCAAAGCTAGCCTAATAAGACTGACTTTTAGCTGCTAAAATGTCACCGCGTGCACTGACTTGGAATTTATTCAGACCCCAAACTAAAATTAGATTTTTTTTTTCGCCTCGGCATATTGAGGAAGGCTTAAGTACATCTGAAGGTATTTCTCCAAGGCTGTAATAATAAGGTTAGGGCCTAGTGGAGCACTTTTTAATTACTTAGTCATGGCCGGAGTCCTGCAGGAGGCCTTTTACCTTGCCCCTAATATTCCCTGCAGTTGCATCAAGGTCAAACTTGAAGAAATTAACAGACTTAAAACAGCAAAATCAAATAGTCCCTACAGGTTCCTCTCTTAATTAGCGAAGTTTTACCTAATGTGTTTAACTTTGCAACAGTTGCTGAGGACAAAGAGTTGGGGTAAACAAGATAGATATATATAAATATGACACTGACTAATCCTCCATACCTCAAACTCACTGAAACAGCGTGTTGCTGCTTCCTCATGAGCCCGATATTGTTGCTTAACGTCATGGTAACAACCTTGACGTGTGGGTTGACACAGATCCCCCCCCCCCCCCCCCGACTTTCATGATATAAGAGCACACGCAGACAAGAGGTTTGAAAAGTGTGCTACCATTGAGCACCCTTGAAAGGAAGCCTCTTTTCATTTAGTGGTCTACTGAAGATGATTTGCATTCACGGGTTTTAATTGTGCCGTGTGATGTTCAACAGGCTAAGCTGCTCTAGAAAGCTCATTCCTCTCATCTGCATCAGTGATTGATAGAGCGTGATTTTCCCTTGAACTTTCAAGGGAGTTCAGAGCGCCGAGGGCGGGGGTGATGGCGAAGATGGGGGAGGGAATGACAGGAAGCATGTGGGCTCAAGGAGAACCAGCTCTTTAGTTAGTCCATATTCATAGATAATCAAACAATCAGCTTGAGAAGCTTTTTGAAAAGGCTTGATTGTAGATCTCTACGAGAGTAAATAGTCATCCAGTAATCTTCAAAATGGAGCTTTTAGCTATCCATCCATGACTGAAAAACCAGATAAATTACCATTAAATTTCTAGTGAAACCTCTCTTTGAAAGCTTCTTGCATAATGTGACATATTTTCAGTATTGTTAAGAAAAGAGGCAATTTTATAAAGCCTGTCTGCTAATCTCTATTTGCAGGCCTCTGCCTACAGATTCAACATTCTTATGTCGCATATGTAGGCAGAGGGCTGGATTCTCAGAATGAGAGGTGTTCAGGTTTACGTTTTTTAGTACATTCAAGCTACTACGTTAAATCAGCTGTGTATGTCTGGACAGCAAAAGCAGCCAGCACCACTTTTAGCTTCTGTTGATAGAAATCCAATGGCAAACTATCCCAGATTCAACTTTTTAACTTAAGCAACTAATTTGCTGGATACTGTCACAAAACTGGATGGCACAGTGGTTAGCACTGTCGACTCACAGGAAGAAGGTCCTGGGTACGAGTCTGGGCGATTCTGTGTGGAGTTTGCATGTTCTCCTTGTGTCTGTGTAGGTTAACTCTGTTTCCTCCAACATCCCAAAAACATGCAGAAGTGGGGTTAATTGGCCACTTTCAAATTGCCAGTAGAGGTGAATGTGGATGGTTGTTTGTCCCTATATGTCAGCCCCACGGTCCCCAACAGGATAAGTGGTAGAAAATGGATGGCACAAAACCCTCTCAGTGTTTTTTTCCTGACTCCCCTAGATGCACCAATGATCTGTCTGATCTTCATTCAACAGTTATTAATTTCAAAATGTTTTTTCTTCTTGCATTTCTATTTTTTTTGCAGATCATCACTATAATGTTGTTATTTCAGAAAACTTCATATCTCTTATTTGCGAGTAAGTCAGAAGAAAATGAGTTTCTTTTCCAGGTTTATTCTGCAGTAGGAAGCAATAGCAAAGCCTCTCTGTGACAAACTGTTTACAGTAAAAAAAAGTCTCACTGGAAACAGATAAGCAGGTGCTACTCTAAGAGATGGAAAGACCTAAAAATATGAAAGGTATATATCAGCGTCAAAGAGCGGCTGTCTCCTAAAAATGGCTTTTTTTTTAACCCTCCCTGTGCTTCTGTGGCTCATGGTAATTCATAACCCTACACAGTTTCTGCAGTGACAGCTGAGGGTGGAGCAGTTTTCTCAAACTACACTACAGGCCAAAAGTTTGGAAGCAAGATCAGATTTGTACAAAAAATATCATAGTTTTCATATATATAATTTGCAACACAATAAACATGACTATTGTGTAAAGAGTAACTTATCAGAGGACATTTTGACTATAATTATTAGGTATTTGAGTTATTGTTGCTTAGACTTTGCTTTCTTTAAAGTAACCTCCTCTGTCTTTAACAACAGCTTAGCATATACCAGGCATTCGTTCCACAAGTTTTTAAGGTATGTTCCAGGGATTGCATTCCAAGCTTTCTTAAGTTCATTAAAAAGAGACTGTTGATTCATGGGACGCGTTTTTCTGACCAATAGATCCAATTCATCCCGCACAAGCTCAATTGGAGAGAGGTCTGGAGACTGAGGGGGCCAAACCATCTTTTGAAGAACACCTTCCTCTTCTTTTTTGTCTAGGTAACCCTGACAGAGCTTGGCAGAGTGCTTAGGGTCATTGTCTTGCTGCAAAACAAACTTATGAGCCACAAGTCTGAGTCCAGATGGAGCAGCATGGTGCTGGAGGATGGAGTGGTACTGTTCCTTCTTCATGATACCCTTTACGTCAAACAAATCTTCTACTCCATCACCTGCAAAACATCCCCATACCACGGAACTACCACCTCCTTGCTGAATTGTGGGTGTAACACATGGTGCTTTCAGACGTTTACCAGTTTGTCTGCGGACACAGACTCTGTGTGTTAAACCAAACAGTGCAAACTTGTTTCTAGTCATCATGAGTCCAATTTTTGTGAGCTTTTGCCCACTCATATCTCTTTTTCTTGTTCTGTGGACGAAGTAGTGTTTTTTTGCAGATACACAACCCTTCAGACCAGCCTTTCTCAAACGTCATTTCACAGTTGTTAGAGAGTTATGAGTTTCAACCTTGTCATGTTGATTTCCTCCCTTATTTGTGGTACTGTCTTTCACTGATCTCTCTTACTGGTGACAATGCTATGTTTATCCTCTGCTTTTGTAGTAACTCTCTTTCGTCCAGGTCTTTTTCTATCATCATAACTTCCAGGTTCCTCTAGTCTCCTCAGAGTGTAGTTGACTCCTTTGTTAAACACCCTGAGGCGTTTTGCAATTTCTCTTTCTGTGTATCCTTCTTTCCTCAATGTACAAATCTAAACTTTTGTTTCTTTACTCAGTTGCTTCTTTCTACCCATTTTGCGGTAGTTTGAAAGCAGTTGAGATTTATTAGGATTTTTGTATGCAGACTCTCAAAGGCCAAAAAGTTGAAGTGAAAAATCCAACTGTGATTTGTTTTTTTTGCATTTGCACTGAAGTTGTGACTCTTGCAAATGTTTTCAACCCTAAAACTAAGCCCTTATTATCTTTTGCTGACATGTATTTAGCAATGGTCTGTTAACATCAATGTATATCTAAAGGTAAATGGAGTAAAATGGTGCATCTCAATGAAAGCAACATCTGATCATGGAGTAAATACATCCCAAAACACTTAAAACTCATGCTGGATTTAAAAAAAAAGCATTGTGAACAAAAACTTGAAGTTACTCCCAACTGTTCGGCCTGTAATGGCCTAGCTTCCAAACTTTTGGCCTGTAGTGTAGGGAAATACTTATAAATGAGGAGACATCTTACATTAACAAAGATAGCCCACCACATGAAACTATGACAGGAACACATTTACAGGTAAACACAAGAACCGCAAACATGTCTGTATGTCTGTTTGTGCTCCTGCAGAGCAGTATCCACTTAGAGCTGAAGCACAGAAAAAGTATAGTCCTCATTCAACAGCCTCTCTATACTGGCCGCAAAACAAACCTTGGAATAGGGTTTCAATGCTTGTTTTTAAAGCCCTGAATGACCTTGGTCCCTCCTAAACCCTTACACCACCCACAGGCCCCCTCAGATAATCTGACATGTGCTCCTGGTCATCCTCTGCTCTGAACCAAAAATGAGAGGAATGCATGCTCCCACGGTCTCAGCCCCTATAAAAGCCTGCTCTCTTGGATCAGATCACCCTCCCTCTTATGCTCCCTTAAGTCTTGCCTCATAGCAGCCAATCCCCTGAGGTCTGAATAGGCTGTTTGTATAGTCTCTTTGCCCTTTTGTTGTTCACTCATTTTTCTCCTCTCTTAAATCTTGTGGAGAGTCTTAATGCACTGCTTCTTGACCATGTGATTAAGGCAGGGTCTTCAATCAGCAGTGTTATGAAAGTTTTTTCAGTTAGAAATATAATTCTGTCTCTTCTTAAGTTCTGTCTGCACTAAAACAATAAAATATGTCAGAGAGGAGTATCTGAAACCATTATAAACATCATTTCTGTGACAGAGTTTGGACAAATTAACAGAAACTTCTGCAAAACATCTACAACCCTGAATATTCATTTTCACCGAAAAATACTTCTTCATGCAACAAAAGCCTGACAATCATGTGTCAGGTGATCTCACCTTGCCAACATGTTGCCAACATGTACTCCACTTTGGTAGCTGGCAGGTACCAATTTTATCCCTCTGCATACAGCTACCTGTGAACTTACATCCACCTCATTAAAGCAGCATCAGCTCTCAGAGCACCATGTCCCAAGCCTAAAATAACATGAATACTGAATACCTACAGTTTAGACATTCTGTTATACACAATGGAAGTTCATAAAAGTTCAAATAAAACCTCCGACAGTCTTTTCTTTTCGTCATGCAGTTTTAAATGGTCTGTACTAAAGGGGGAGAGAGAGAGAAAGTGAGTGAACTTTGCTTTTCTTTTATCAAGTGGACAGAAACAGGACTGAACATAATAAGTATTCAAATGTGTCTAAAGCATTGATATTTTCCAACATGGATTTTCTAATGTAAAACTAAAGTTACTACTGAGTGTTTGTTGTTCTGCCATTTTTGACAAATGGTAGTGTCTTTAACATATTATAAAGAATGCACTGATCAAACATTTAAGTCTCGATACAGAGACCCTTACTCAGGCTTTGGTTGGTACAAATCTGATCCAATCCTCTAAACAGACTTAATCATGATCAAATATGATGTTGAAAACTGTGGAGGGAATTTCAAGCATTCAGGTGTCAGAATATTTTGTTTTTAAACCACCTCTGCATAAGAAGTCTCTCACAACTTATACCACTCCTTCCTATCCGCCTCTGTTTTGCTGTGTTGGATTCATTGTTTTCTTTTGCTTGATGATTTATGACTTTGCACAAACTGCAAGCTGCAGCTGAAGTGACAATCTGGTATAAACCTGAAACCCTTAGCATACCTGTGAAGTTTTGGTTTGGAAAATAAGGGATCAGTGCAGCAAGCTTACATGAATAAAAGTGAGGAAAAAGTACTACGAGAAGGAGCCCCCAGTGGCAGCCAATTGGGAGCGTGGGATGGCATACTTCAATTATAAACAGCATAGGTAACACACACACCACATATACACCAGAAACAGCCAGGCCAGAGAAAAACACAAAATACGATATACAACACTGGAATATTATGACCCTGTTTTATGATGCCCATGTTATGGGCAACAAGGACATCATAAAACGTAGCAACAATAAACAAATCAGCTTTTGTACATTTGTTAATTTTCTCCCAAGAAGGGCTGGTCACAAACTCATCTATGGAAAACTCAGTGTCAGTTTAACGGGCCCCCAGTCTGCTGAATTTATAGTGAGTTCCTTCCATGACGTGTTACCTTAATGCAAAATGAAGGCTGCTAGTGACTTTCTCCATGCTGGTATACTCCATAAACACGCGATAATATAAAACATATCTGCCCCTGTAGCCTTGTGGATCAGCGTTTTGTCCCTAATACTTCGTGGTATTTCCCTTTTTTCGGCCAGTATATGATCCAAGGGTCTGGTCAGTGCACTGGAAGTGCTGTATAAGCTTACCAAAGTAAAGCAAATTGCCTTTTATTTTGTAACTCCTTTTAGTATGAGTTGTTTTGTCTGATGGTTTTAGCCTCCTTTTCTTATAATAAATGTGTACAAAAGCATCCTGAGAAACAAGCAGTGATTAAAGCCTTTTATACAATCATTTATTTTGATGCATCAGCATCTACAGCTGTGCAATCCACTATGTGAGGTTAAATATTACATTTGTGATTTGAGCAGAAAAAAATGTCAGGCTTTGTAATCTGTTGAAACTAGAGTGTTGTCTATCTAAAATTCACACTTTTCTTCCCCTTTCCTGCCATGGTGGTCCTCAGTCGCATGATTATTGGCACCTGCATGTGCTGTTTATTCAGCTCCCCCTGATTTTGACACTGGTCAACCCTGTTCATTTATTCCCTTAATTTGACATTGATTTCTCTGCTCCCTATAACCAGTTTGCTTTTGCTCATTATCACCTCTCCTGGTGTTGTTTTGGCTTTGCTCCTTATTGTTTAATTAATTCTTGTTTGTCTCCTGCCAGGTAGTGACTTCATAAACAAGCAGGTAAAAAAATGTAACTCACATGTCAAGACATCTATTAGCCTGCTAATTGTCAGTCAGCATTAGCACTGTGTCTGTTTATCTGTCTGGTTATCTGTCTGAGCTGTGTATTCCCTATAACAGGCACACAATGAAACACCATACAGGGGCAGGCTGGCTGGCATGCAATACATTTTGTACTTAAGATTAGCAGCACCTGTCAAGCAGCTTGTTCGCCTTAAGTATAAACGGCTTAAGAGAAGTATCTCGCTTTATGAGCTTACTCAGACACAATCTGCAGTTAGACATCTCATATTAGGAGCAGTGATTCTAGCCTGATTCTCCAAAGGTGAATAAGGGAGCAATGAGGGATCTTAAATGCATATTCCAATTCTCAGCGAGCCAAATCCACCATTCGGGGCTGTCACCATTTACACCATCATGCCTTGTGAGTGTTAACACTAGAGAGCGGGGGATACCTTTCAGTGCTGAGGCAAAGAAGATTAACTCAGTCTACAGATGCAAGTGTGCTGCTAACACTATTTGGGGATGAAAGCATAGCCTGCAGAATGAAAGTAAAAGTGACAATCAATTCCTATTCACTTCACACACAAGGCTAATTCAATCAGCTGTTATTTCCCATACATATACGCCCTGAACATCAGCTGATATCTGCTGCTAAAGAGTGTGAATACATCCTCTTTATTGTAAGGCAACAATGGCAGACTGCATCACTTTTGCAACAAGAAATAATAGCACAACAAAGATGATTTTGCAGGGTGTTCGTTTGCTTAGAGGTTTTTTGTGGGTGCTTTTAAAGGAAATACATTTGTGTTGGTGGGATTTAGCTGCACCGATGTTCTGAATGCCGAAAATAAAAGCTTTTATTTTGCTTATGGGGAGAGAATATAAGCAGTGTTGAGGGAAAACGGTTTGCTGTCTGAGGACATGGCGGCAGTCCATCCTTTAGTAGGGTGAGTCAGGCACATCATCTTTACTGCATTCAATCTCTGAATAATGCATACTAGATAGCTGCATGCATCAGCAGCAGATGCATGAGCCTCTTTGGCATTTCTTCTCCTCACAGTCAGACTGCAGGCACCCCATCTGCCCCCATCAACGCTGAATAAAACAGGAGAAGTAACACCAGCATCCCAAGTTTAGCCCTCTTGCATGATGTGAACGCTGGCCTCCTAAAAGTAGAGTTTTTTTCTGGAGATCTTGTCGGTGATACTCCTTATAGATGGATAGACTTTTGTTGCTGCTATACAGTTTTCATTGCTGTTACAGAATGAGCACATTTGCGAATGTGTGAGATGAAAGACCGAAGCAGGAGCTGGATGTTCGGTTCCTCTGCTCTCTGCATTTAGATGCCAAAGATCACAGCTCCATACTCCATTTTTACAGCTCATTTTGAGCCATCTGCAGCACTCTAAGGATATCAGACACTTTACCATGAGGTTACTTTCCCTCAGATTGTCACTGGCACCTTTTGAGCGTATCAGACTTTATAGTGTCGTTTTTTTTTTAAAGCATCAGGGAATTGTTGTTTTTTTCTGTCTTCTGACAATGCAGAAGCTCTTGCAGCCTCCACTGATGTTTTGTTTGTCTCACTACTCAAAATTGTTGCAGGCGGCTTTGTCTGGACTGAGGTTTTAGGATTATGTACTTTGAGTTTCAGAAAGATTCATTTGTTATCTTCTTTTCTCTTGTGCTGGACATGCAGACAGGTCTGGCAGCAGTTGTAAATCAACTGCTGCCATGAAAAACCAGTGTGGCAAAGAATCAAACAACCTGGCAGCTTCATGAAAGTGTCTGGAGTCCTTAATCTCTGCGTGAATGTGGAGTTATTTTTTTTAAATACTGCGGCTGTATTATGAAACCTTTCAAACAACAGACAGAACCACTAAAGGTAATGGAAGAATTTTTATAACAACGCTTTGCTGGAGCTGCCAGCTTCACAAAAAGACCCACAACATAAATTGGAGGGGCTGCAGTATTTGCTTGTTTTGTTTCATGACTCACAGCGCCCTCAGACTGATTGCTTTTGTCAAGTACACGAGAGCCGTGCTATTGTGAGAGCCCTTTGGTGAAATATATATATAAAAAAGGTAAGGAGTATGACACTACAAATAAAATCCAAAATTTGTAATGAAACGTATTTTTGCCACTGCATTGGTTTCTGTTCTCCTAAGACTGCCGGTGAAGGCAGATGAAGTCAGCTGAGAACTGGCAGGGGAATTACATCTAAGAGAACCGCAAGCATCAGTAGGAGAAGCCTATTATCTCTAATCATTCGGGAGGCTATCTGAAACAAGACCTTTAAACCACAACCCAACCCTCCCAAGACTGCCTCCCCACTAATAAACTGTCTTTTCAATTAGCACCTATCTGACGTTACAATGATAACACAAAACCAATTACACGCTGCGCTGCAGATAACTCCTAATCCACTTAATAGGTCTGATTTGACTTCTTCTTTCTTCTTCTCCCCTTCCAACACCGCTGCCCGCGGGCTCTTTCTTCTCCAACTAGGACAAGGTATCACTTTGAATCATCTGTATTGAAGGCACATCAGCGATAACAGGCCAGCCAATCTCCTGGAGGTCCTGATGGTGTTTTTGTGTCTGTGAATGGGGTGTTGATGACAGCTTTGGGGCTGAGAGGAGCAAGGCTAACTTTCCATTTGTGGCCTAAGGTGCTGACACTCGAAGTCACAGCTCTGCATCACGCCTTCACTGTGCCCTCATTTGTGTTTCTCAGATAAAGTCGTTAATTAGCTTTAGCCATAACCTCAAGGAATAACATCCACCCTCTGTCTTTGCCTTCCCTGTGTGTTAGTATCAGAATGACAACAACGATTGTCTTTGCATGCAAAGGTTTAGTCTCAGGGTTCCAGCGCACAGCAACATCTACCAAAATAGAATCAAACTAAATTAAGACAGCAATTTCATGGCAGGGTTCATGATAGTCACATGAATATAACAGGAAAATAAACCAGGTGTCTATTTTAAATTGTAACAATAAAACAGCTGCACAACATGTAGGCTACAGGAAGGTGCAGAATACTGCTTTGAAGGTGTGTCAAAGTTAAAGGGATGAACGTGATACAGAGATGATAATCCAGCATGGAAAGAGGAGTCAGATATGAAGGCTAACCACCCAGCAAAATGTGGTTAAAAAGACATTGAAAAGATGTCCATTTGTCTAAACAACATCTAGATTTTGCTGAAAAGTGAAAGGCGAAAAGATGTAATTTTCGTGTAATTGAAAAGACATGTCTATCGGGACATTGCCTCTTACGTTTAACTTTGGTTGAAAAGTCAAAGGTGAAAAGAGTGATTTTCAGGTTGTTGAATAGGACTGTTAGAGCCCAATATGTGACAATGACCTGAAATGTTATAAAAACAGATGTAATAAAACCCAAAATGTAATAACTGGTCAATAATGTAACAAGATGCTGAGCCCAAAACACAATATCTTTTAGCTCCAAATGTAGCAACTTGTCACATTTTGGGTCAAATCAAACACGACAGCCTTTATAAAGACAGTAGTGTTTGATTTATCTGACATTAATTTATTGTTTATGTGCAGTAAACTTTGGTTAACTGATGAAATAAACATTTGCATCACCTCAACATTGTTACGTCTTTATAGCCAACTAATAAAACAATGAAAAATGCCAAACAACATATTCTTTTATTTTAAGATAATGTTGGTAATCCTTAAGTAGCAAAGATATCTTATTTTTTTGCTGATCCCATCCTCTACATGGATGTTGTGTAGGTGTAGAAGATAAATATATCCTATTCAATTTAACATTTAACTTTTGTGCAAATTTGTTGCAGAAAATGTCAATGAGACATTTAATCTGAGTCCAACCATTGATGTCAACAGGCATTAGAAATTGAAATGTAGCTAAAATAAATCTCTTCTACTGAGTCTGTAAACCTCCTACAGTGCATTAAATGTATCTAAAACCTATTTTTCTAAAACCTGATCAGTTATTATACGCTTATCTGTGAATGGACTGATTTCATCCCAATACATATTACTGAGTTTCAACATCAGATTTTTTTATGTATATATAAAAATATTGGTTAAATATGAGTCATAGATTGAAAAACTGACCTTTATGAAACCCTATTAGATAAAGATGATTGTAGTTTTTTGTTTTCAGTCTTAAAACCAAATGATTCTGAGCAAAGAGAGTGAGTGAGCTGCAGATTTAGGACCCGAGTGTCTCTGGAAGCAGCAGGGCTGAATAAGCGCACTGAGGCAGTACAGCCATTAACCTGGACCTGTTTGAGCACTGACAGATATCAGAGACCTGCCTCTAATGATGCCAGACAGACACAGCACTTTAATTAAGAGGTGAAACAGCACCAAATTGGCTGCCTTGTTAAAGTGAGACCAACACTCACACTATACCCTGTCTAACAATCTGCTGCAACTTTGCTGCCTGTTAAAGTCAGACAATAAAAGTTCAAATTTTATATAGGATAAGAATAATAAAACCATCAAACCATCAAAAGGTAATCATGCAGCTCCATGTTTAAATCAAAGCAGGTCTATACAGCTGTGAGTGATTTTACTGCATTGTGCAACTGAAAGGAGGAGACCCATCTCATGCATCATACAAAGAACAAATCAGTCATAATTTCAAAGAAAATGATTGTTCAATGGCATCACGTCTTACTGCGAGTTCCTCCTGTTCAGAAAAGCAAACAAAAGGCACTTTTTGCTTCAGGCTTATTTCTATGAAGGGGGTGAAAAAAGGGGACTTGCTGGATGCATTTATCAAATATGGCAATTTGCTTAATGGACTCTGACAAAGCCATTGGCGGTCTTTATTTAGATGCAGATGACTTCCTCCACTGGCTTCCTCTGTCACTGGCGGAGCTGCCTGTCATGGAAAAGGAGGAGAAAGCTCCCTCCTGTTTCTTACAGACTTCAGTCAATCACTATCTGAGTCTGTCTGTGGGTGAGACAGACTGCCTGTCTACACTCCCTCTCACCCCTTTTGGCTCCCTCTATTTTCCCCTCTCTCGGTGTAAATTCTCCATTAATGCAGCCAAGAAGAGAACAAACCATCTCTCAGTTGGACTCCTCGTTGTGTATTAAAGCACAGAGCTGCACATGGTCACGGTTGTCATGATACAAAGGAAAAATTGGGAGTTGGCTGAGAGAAATCCTAACAGGTCTGAACAGTGTCTGTGTCTAATAACATGGAGCTCCATATCTCCCAGAAGCAAAGCTGTCATTCCTAAAAACAGCCTGATGAAAAAGTGAGATTAAACATGCTGTTTCTAATTCTTTCTTTGTGACAGAATTTGACATTACACACCATGACTTATAACAAATATGCCAGCGAAAAATTAAGCTATTTCTGTATTCAACTGCTGTATTGCTTACAGGATAAGTTTTAGGCCTGGAAGAGCTGATAAGCATGCAACCAGCATACTGAAAGCACATGGCTTTCCGGCTATTAAAAAAACTTGCAGAGCAGTGCCTGTGTGTGAGTGTGAGTGTGAGTGTGTTAGGAGGGTTGTGATCTTGTGAAGGGGTGGCTCGATGTTTAGGCAACAGTGCCCTCTTGGAAAAATGTGTCAAACTGAGCTGAAGCACAGATTCTCATACACAATTTACAACATGAGTATAAAAATGTAGTTTTTTTTTCAAATGTGGCAGTCCTAACCAATGAAATCTTATTTTACAGTATGCTTGGATGTTGTATGAAAACCAGTAGGGATATGCTTATAATGAGGGCTGAATTGTAGAGGCGGCTTTATTAGATTGGGAGGTCCAGACAGTGTCAGCTGACTGAGCAAATAACTCTGACAAGGGAGAGGATTCAAGCCATAAGCCTGAGCTGTGAAGACAGTTCACCACACCCAGGGAGGGTTTCTGTTATCTGGTTTATTTAAAAATATGATTAAGTCCACACATAATCCAAATATATCAAAATTAATAGCGAAAAATAAGAGTTACAAATAAAGTCAGGTATCACAGATCTGACTGTGATCATTCCACAAATGTGTGAGTTTTTCCAGTGTGTTCTTGTGGCTCATATGAGTGTTAGATGTTTTTCATTTCAGCTGTAGCCATGCAGTGTCAAACACAAAATAAAAAGGTGTCAAAGCAGAAAGATGGTTTACTTTCTTACTGTAAAAGAAGAGAAGGAAACAAAAGGCCACAACAACCCTCTCAAATGCCCTGGCTCAGAGACGTCCTTTACTCTCTTCAATCAGAGAAAATTAGACTGTCACTATGGGGGTCCACTGATAGTTTTCACAGATGTGGGAAATGTTACTACGAGTGGCTGGGCAGACTGACTTTTCTTTTGTCCCAGACTAGTGTCACTTCTGCTGTTTTGTTTTATTATATTGTATCATTATTATTATTCCTTTTTTTTTCTTTTCTTACTTTCAATATGCTGTGCTCTGGGTGCTACAAGAAGTGAACTACAGTTCATCTTGTATATTTTGTCTCTGAGGGATTGTTTGGAGGTTGTTTGTCTGTGTGTTGTTCTTTGTTTTCTACGGGATTGTACAGTATATTTCATATATATATTTTTTACACTGTGAATGCTGTGTATAACTGTGCGATGTCAGTACAAAACTAAATAAACAAAGTTTGGAAAAAAACAACAACAAATGACCACAAAATCAGGGCTGTGAAGTTTTCTTAACCTCTGCTGTAGACGAATATCTTTTATGAATGTGAATTTCAAATGAAAAATCCGACAGGAAAGCCAAAGTACCCCGTCTCCCCTGTCAGCTCATCCCCACTGACACCTGAAAAGTCAGCAGAGGCTAACTTTTAATCATTTTTCATGAACAGGATGCTCGATAGCAAAGTTTGTGTAGTAACCATGGCAATACCCAGGTAAAAGGTGAAGCCAAGCTGTTGTAACACGTGCAGAATGTGTCTCGGTGTTGTCTTGCTGAAATCAGCAGGGACATCCCTGAAATAGACAGAGCTCTGATGGCAGCACATTTTACTCCTAAACCTGTTTGTGCCTTTCATAGAGCCTTCACAGATGCGACAGTTAGAAATGGGCACTAACACGAGATCCTGACCTTTGACTTGAGAACAGTCTGGATGGTCCTTTTCCTCTTTACTACAGAGGACACCATGTCCATGATTTCCAAAAACTGTTTGAAATGTGGATTTGTCAGACCAAAGAACGGACTTTTTCACTTTGGGTCAGTCCAACATCAGATGAGTTCCGGTCCAGAGAAGCCGGTGTTGTTTCTGTCTGTTGTTGATATCTGTCTTTGTCTTTGCATGGTAGAGTTTGAACTTTAAGATGTAGAGACCTACTGTGTTAACTGACGATAGTTTTCTGAAGTCCTCCTGAGCGCACTTGGTAAAATCCTTTACAGACTGATGTTGGTTTTTAATACAGTCCCCCTTGAGGGGTCAAATGGTGGTGTTGGGTCTAACTGCTTACATGCAGAGATTTCTCTGATTCTCTGAATCTTTTGACAATATTTTGGGCTTTAGATGATAAAATCTCTAAATTTATGCAGTTTTATGTTGAGAAACATTGTTCTTAAACTTCGGAACTATTTGTTCATGCAACTGTTGACCGAGTGGTGAACCTCGCTCAATCTTTGCTTGTGAAGGACTGAGTTTTTCAGGGATGCTCCTTTTATACCAAATTTGGCCCTTACCTGTTTCTAATGAACCTGTTCACCTATAGAGTGATCCAAACAAGTATGTATTTAATTGAATATAGGTGAAAAAGGATTTACAGATCACTGTATTCTGTTTTGTTCACCTTTTACATAATGTCCTAACGTCACTGGAGTTGGGGTTTGTGCCTCTTATAATAGCTGGCCCCCTACATTGACAAAGAGCCTTCCTGCCATAACTTGGCAAACATTTGCCCATTATTACACACAAATTACTCTACATGAGAAGCGGACACGCAATACAGGGAGTTCATATTTTAAATGGTATTGATGTTGCCCCAAAGTCAGGTTGAATCTCACAATGAATAAGCCTTGAGCAGAGGAGAAAAGAGATCAATACTCTGTTATTATTTTTGTGATTATTTTTGCTAAGTAACAAAAAAGCATTAATGTTCTCAAATTGCAGCTCTGCAAGCCCTATTATGTTAAATCACTGTGTGTTGGGTTAACATACATGTAAGCTGGGCAGCTACTAAGTGAAGAGAAGAAAATTACCTTATTTAGACCTACTTAAAGACAAAATCACTTTATGAGCAAAATATGAGTCATGCACTCTGTCGGTCTCTTTTTTGCTCAGGAATAGAAGACAAAAGCGAGAGTAACAAGCAAAAACCATCAACAACAGAACAGCATTTTCACCAATTACCACTTAACCTCTTCAAAAAGGCCACATCTTTCCATTTAAGTTTTCAGCTTCTAAGTCGAGAAATAAATAGATGTTGTGAAAAACAGTATTAGTCAATTTAAATGAAGTTTTTCTGCTCCAGATTTCAGCAGATTTTGCAAACAGAAATATGCTGTACCCTGTACTGATTGTAGAAAATGGTTTCAATAAGATGTAATCTCCTAAAAAGCAACTTAAGCATCTATAAACTTTGACAGAATTGTCAAAGTGGATAAGTAATAAATCCATTAGTCAGTCCACAGAGAAATAATCATTTATTATTTTGACTATTACTTAATTGTGTTAAACAGCAAACAGAAAACGAACAGATTTTCCGTTTGTCTTTCTTACTAAATGTGAACACATCTTCATCTGCTCTTCAAAGGTTTTTTCCTCTACTTTCAAAATGACTTTCATAATATATAGAAAAAAATCATCAGAAGAATTATTTCATGTAACCCCTCTTTGGAAATGACATTAGTCTTGTGTTTAAAAAACTGTGTGCCTCACAGTGGTGAGAAAAAAAGATAGATTGTGATATTTAGTTTGTTTGAATGACTTCTCATTGGCAAGATGTGAAGGACCTGCTGGGATTTCTACAACGTTTGCTTTTCAACAATTAAACCAAAGCCCTGTGGGCCTCTGCTGTGACAATAGTGGGATGAAGCCTCCTCCAAAAATAAACACAACAAATTGAGTTTTTCTTTAATGAGGCTTAAATATGACTTCTGTTCTTAAGATGTGCTAATGGAGATTAATCTTCAGAACTGTCACAGCCTCAAATCCTCTGTGTCTTTCATCACTGAGTACAGATTAACAGCAATGCACCAGGGAAGATGATAAGTGGTTTCTTTGAGTCCATATGGGGGCAAGGACTCTATTTAGGGACCAAGAAAGGATTTGCATCACACCATGGGACCCTTTAACGACAGCTAACTCAAGTGAAAGACCCTCAAAGCCTGTTAAATAAATGGCCCGTTGCAAAAACCAGCACCCAGCATAATGATCTTTGCTGAATTCAATGATGGGTCAGCTGTAAATCACTGTTGGATTCATACATACTTCATTCAGAGTATCTCATTTGAATGAAACACAGAGTTTTGAGGCCAAATTACATAAAAACCTTTTTTTGTTGAGAAATAATTGAAGTGGACAGGGTCACAGAGGACTGTAACTACAGGCAAAACCCAAATGAATCAGAGAAAATTTTTAAATAATAGGAAAACCATCTTCTTCTCAGAGTGCTGAAGCTTCTTTAATAAGGAGAATATTCAATGTCATGTAAAGATGAACTCTGAGGGTATGAAAACTCACCACTATTTAAACATTCTGGTTTTAAGCATGCACAGCCACTTCTTGCGTGAGCCAGGAGCAGTGATCAATTGCACTAACACGGTTATGAACAAGATAGCAACATCTTGTCCAAACACTCCTTAATAATCTTCTCCTGGAGCATTCCCCCGGGACAGAACAATCTCATTTCAGCATGCAGGAGCATATCTGTTCAGCATATTGTCAACTGCAGGCAGACTGCAGGAGTCATTACTGATGACATTTGATGACACAAAGGCCAATATTTGAATTGGGTACACGGGACAAAGCCTCAAATCGATGTTTCTCATTGACTTGATTGGACAAAAGCAATCACTTCCTTGAATCTCCCTGATGAAAAGCAGCAGAAAAACACAGGCTGGCGTATTACGCACTGTATGAATGTTATTTCTGTAGGCAAGCGCTGTGTCAGGACCTTGTCAGAGCCACAATGATGGAGAGGAGGTGATTGTTGTTCCCATCTGGCTGCATAATGAGCTCCGAGCAAGGCATAGGGTCACTAATAGAAACATGTCATACAGCCCAAAGAGCGCAGTGGGAGTAAAACAAATTGTGAGGCTGTTTGTGGAGCCATAAAGGATCCGGCAATTTCTTTTTGAGTGTTTCATATCATAATTGTCTTTCTCAGTCATTACTACAGTGCACTATGATTTGTCCTTTTCCACAATTACTCTAATTGTTCAACCTGTTTTTCTAGGTCCTCTCTGTGAGAGAGGGAGGAGGCTGTGGAGCTGAACCATGAAAGTGCAGCAGTGCATTGAAATTCATGTGGGAAGAGCAAGAAAAAGTGGTCTGATCTCTGCAGAGGACCTATTTCACCATTAAATAAAATGTTACAGCGGGATGGAAACCTTGTCGAGGTGTCACAGAGTAAAAAGTATAAGATTTCCAACTCCAAGGCAAAAACATCGAGGCTCCTGCTGCTTTCTTTTGAGGACTTAAATGACCTACAAAACTTGCTGTAAATCTTATCTTCTTCTGACTGTGATGTTTGTATGGAGGACTTCAGTCGGTCAAAAGGGGTTATAATTTGTTGTGGCCATCAGCAGTACAACTTACAATGTCTTCAGGGTCCTGGGGTTTTCACAAACACACGCGACAAGGAAATACTCTCATTCAAGGCTGAGAGGAGACTAGGGTGTAATTTAGAGCAAATGTTGCTGAAACTTGAAGTACAAATAAAAAAGGAAAAGCAGAAAAAGTTCAGTCTTTGTGTGAGAATAAGCTGAAGATGTTTTTCCCACTTGAAAGTGTGGCTTTAAGATGCAGATTCACAGAGACATATTTAGCTTAAAGGGAACTGGAGCGATTTCTGGTGAAGTTCAGAGGTTTGCAGGTCGTGGTATGGGGAATCTAAACTGATGCACTGTGAAAGTTTGACCTTTTAATCTTGTGTATGGATAAATACTGAATCCTATACTTCTAAAAGTGACCTCTTATTACATCTATTACATCTACATCGCCAGTGAAGAGAAATAAAGATTCAAAGAACTCATTCAGGATAGATTATATTATGATTGTTATCATATTATCAGATAGATGTAGACTATTTGTGTAGGTAAGACACATTATGAGACATAGAGTGATTCTCTCTTTTATTTTCAGAAAATTTATCTGATTTTTACCTTAATCCATCAATTTATTTGTAGAGCTACAAAATGTCATATAATGTGAAAACTTTCAAAAAAATTTTTCATCTTCAAATATCTTGTTTTGTCAGAAAAATCAGTTCTGCAACAAGAATTTTCTATTAAAGAAGAAAAAATTAGCAGAAAAGAGAATGTTAATCCAGTAAATATTTGGTATTTTTGGATTGAGGAATTCTCCAAGTGGTTGGCCTGAGTTTATCAAAGTAACAGGGACTGTCAGTCTAAGTTTTCTAACTTAAATAAACTCAGTGCAGCTCTAGACGATTATGAGCTTGATTTTTAAGAACATAGACCGAACACAGAGACAATTCTACTGTTAGCAGAACATTTACAATTTAACCTGTCAAAAGTACCTGTCAGTGATAAAGTACAAACATAGTGCGCTCAAAACCAGATTTAAAGAGGAGACTAACATGGAGCCCAAGGGCCTCAAACCTCTTTCTGTTCACAGGCTGCATTATGGGGTGAAAGGTCGTCATAATCCACAACGTGCTGCAGTGAGTGGTATTTTAATACACATGGTTCATGAAGGTTATGTGTACCCAATGGTAAGAGCAGCACTCAGACTATTGAAATGACAGCCCTGAAATGTATTTTCACAATGAGCCTCTTATAATGAGTCGCACAGTTCCATATGAACAACTTCCTGCCAGATCTTCTTTGTGTGTTTTCTGCTTATGTAACCCGTTTTAAGTGCAGTCAAAATGGTGAGTCTATATCGTTTAAAACTGTTATGGGTTGCTTGCTTAAGGCATCTATTCCCTGCCAGACAAACTAATCAAACCATAGCCATCCTACAGAGTAATGAGGGTTAAACTCTCAATGAAAAACCATGACTTCACTTTGCCCTTCTCGTGTTACATACAGAAACAAATGAATGAAATTTAGCCTACTACAAATAAAAACAAGCTAAAAAGAAACTTAAAATTGGACTTAAATGCAAGTGGCTAATTAAAAACACAATTGAATATCATGAAATCAGATGTTCAGTACATCCAAGTCAGTGTTTAAGAGCTAGGATAAGTAGAAAGGCAAATGCACCACAACAAGATGAATAAGTTTGAACTAATATCTAATAATAGTCCTATGCTGCATTCAGGTGCTAGTCCCAATTTCCGACTTTGGTATTATCTGATTGTTCTATTACGGTTAAATGCTAACAAATAGCCTACCAACATCAGCCACTGCTTTACCAAACTCGTTATTTAGGTGTTAATATTGTACTTTATGTGACATCTTTATTTTCTAGGTTAAGTCTAGACAAGTCTAGGTCACACTGCGTGGACAACAACTCATGGTAAAACATGAAAGCTGAGCTACAAATTATATTTGAATGATAAAGCGATAAAATGATAAATTAAAGTTTCTTTAACTTAAAAAAAAGCCGTTTCCCCGGCATGTTGCTGACAAATTTGAGCTTCTGGGATGCTGTCAGGTCTTGAGTAGGTGTTCACCTGCATTTTTCAACTCGGAAACTCGTTTATCCGATGTGTCACCTAAATGCAGCATTTCCGGAAGTTGGAAGGCACCGTTGCTAAGCGACAGAGGACCCAAACAAGCGCGAGAAACATCTCTGTAGTATGACTGTGAAACGTTAGCGACTCTTCATTTTGGCGTTTTATGTCAATGACTGAACCCCTGCTACACATTTCGCTTCCTCTCTCGCTCTCTGTCTTCATAAATTAAATTTCATGAGCTTACCAAATGGCCGGAAAGAAGAAAGAAGCAAGTCTACAGGTGAGACTCGCGCTGCACGTAATGACGTCAGTGGTCAGAAGTTTCTCGATACCTTTGTGAAGGCCTGATATTAACTTTAATGTTAAACTAACTCCGTTTCCATGTCCAGGTGTCAGTCACAAACCAAGAGCAGTGGGAGGAGATGTTGGCAACCAAAGGGTTAACAGGTAGACTCTCCAGAAGTAAAACAGTCATTGTAAAGTCCTGTTAGAGGAGGAGGTCTACATATTTAAGACTCGTAGTAAAGGCTGTTTAATCAGCCTGTGAATGAACGCTGTCATTGAGCTGTTATTTATTGTATGCTGCTGCCCCACTGTGTTCAATGAGATAATTGCATGTAGATTGAGCGCACTAATTTACACTCACTTAAACACACTGTTTGCCTGTTTCTGTAGTTGTGGATGTGTACCAACAGTGGTGTGGTCCGTGCCGAGCTGTGGTTAGTCTCCTGAGGAAAATAAAGAATGAACTTGGGGATGATCTTCTACATTTTGCCACAGTAAGGCCGGAAACTTTTAAATAGCCTAGATGTCAAAATCTGTAAATGAAGAGGCCTAAAGTTGAGTTTATGCGTTTGTATGAGCGTTTGTTTGGTTGTTTCAGGCTGAAGCAGACAGCGTCGATGCTCTAGAGAGGTATCGAGGGAAATGTGAGCCCACCTTCCTCTTCTATGGGGTGAGTGAGGCTGAGAGTGTACATGTTTTTTTCACATTTTACCATCGGTTTTTTTTTTTGTAAAGACCTCAGAGTAATGTCATTCTGTAATTATCTCTATTTTCATCTGTTTATTTTCTTGGTTTATGTCTTTTTTCTCTTTTGTCTTGGCTTTAAAATCCTCAGAGAGGTTCTTAATGAAGGCAATAAAACAGGGCTGACCAAAGTCATAATCTACCTGATGATTATTTTTTACAGTTTTGCCCATTATCTACTGTTCTTCTACTTTTTTATTCATGAGAAATGAGTATAATCTTGTACATATTTTCTGTTTGCTGACTTTCAGTGGGTTGCTCAACTGCACCTGCTGTTGTCAACATCTCTTTCTGAGCTTGTTATGCTGAAACCAAATTTAAAAAGTTGAAATGAAAACAGAATGAAGCTCTTTTTTTTGTTAAATGCAAAGGGTGGGGAGCTGGTGGCGGTGTTGCGAGGAGCCAATGCTCCTCTCCTTCAGAGGATGATAGTAGAGGAACTGGCCAAGGAGAAGTTAGTCCTTGAGCAAGGTGGAGAGCGCAAAGTGGTGAGCCCTAAAACATCCACACACTCACCTACACACCCACACAGTGTTGTTATCCATTCACACTTGTTTTAATTTAAGAGCTTGGACAATAGAGATTTTTCACAGCACACATTTTGTCCGGTCACAGTAGAAATAGCACTGTTAGTACGAATAACAGTAACAATGACTGCATCCTATTTAAGTGTCCCAGTTAGCCATGACAATGTGAGAGTGAGTCAGCATGCACATTACCAGAACCCTGAGAATGATGGAGCCCAAGTTATATTCAGCCAACCTTCATTACACTGTTTGTACACGTGCTTTTTCTGCTTTTAACATTTCAAAATTAATCCATGAGACAGAAAATTAGTCAGCAAATCTTTTTTTTTTAAATTACCATTTATCAGCTTTTTTGTTTAATTAAAAAGTTTCAGAACCAAAAATAATAAGCCAAAAAAAAAAAACTTATAAGACACATTTATTTTCACTGCTGCACTAATGCTACACAGCTGTGTCTGCTGGTATCTTTTGACAGTAATTTCAATGTTGAGGAAAACTCAACGACAATCATCCGTGTCATGTCCTGTAACAGCAGCCTCAGAAATACTCACACCAACAATTATTCATGTTTTTTAGATTAGATTACAGGTTTTAAACAGAATTTAGGTAAAAACTTTTTTGAAATTACAATCTCAAACTTGAAAACAAAGAGCAGCAGGTTAGGATCAAACTTGGACTCCCTGCATTGGGACTACAACCTCCATGTATGGGGCCCGCATATAGACTACCAGATCAGCAGCACTCTGCATTCATTATTTTGGAGCTTTTATGTTTTGTTCAGCTTTGTTTGTTGTCAAATCTATTTGATCTATTTGATTTGGCTGTAAAATTAACTATACAATCATTGTTTTGACAGTTTTTGTTTTGGAAATTAGAAAAAAAAAAACTGACTCAACCCACTGACATACAATCAGACAAAAAGTGAAAGTGCTACGTTCATCAGAAATGAACCAAAAATTCTGTTTTGTATGCACAGGCTTCAATAATCCATACAGTTTCACAGTCAGAAGATATTAAAGTTAAAAAAAAAACCCAGTATTTTGAATAAAAGGTGCAGACGTTCACACCAGGGCAAAACCTTAAGCTTCATAAAGAGTTTGTTTTCATCTGTGTGTCCAGGAGCCCAATATTTGGTAATGTCTTGAGCAAAAATGTGCAAAAATCTCTAGAATAAAATTATCTACTTCTTTTTTGTGACGGGCAATTTTCTTTCTTTGTCAACAACATACACCAACAAAAAACAGGATGTTTGAGGATAACAACTGGCAGACAAATCAATACTTGGTTAAAAAAAAAAAAAAATCTCTTTTCACTCTTTGTGTATTTTGATGTGTTGTGTCTGCAGGTTAAAGATGATGGTCTGCTGGCTGATGAGAAAGCAGAGGAGGAGACACTTGAGCAGTCAGAAAACAAAGAGAGCATCATTGGTAGTGTGAAAACAATATAGTCATTATTGCCATTTGTATGAATACTTGTTCTTTTGATACAATGATGACTCATATTTCTAAACCTGTGTTGCCACAACACTCTAAACCACTTTGTCTGGATTACTAAACTAACACTTGAGTTTCTCTTTCCTCCTGTAGTTCCTGCCAGTAAATCCTACACAGTTGCCATCATCAAACCAGATGCTGTTGCTCATGGCAAGGCAAATGAGATCATTATGAAGGTACACAAAGACCAACACTGCTCACACTCTGAGACGACAACATCGTCTCAAGCCTTCCTGCTGATATTGTTAATTATCTGACAATGCTCCCCTGGCTAGATTCAGGACGCTGGCTTTGAGATCCTCGCCCACGAAGAACGTGCACTGACTGAGGTGGAGGCTCGAGACTTTTATCGGCACAGAGCAGCAGAGGTATATAGAGAAGGATAGAATAAAATCAACAATGCACATACAGATACACTCATTCATATGTACAGTTGCAGTGGTGGAATTTAAGTCAAACTAGTCCATGGTTCGGTGAGAGTCCAGGTGGTTTGTCTGGGTAATTTAAATTCTAGGTCAGCACCCTGATGGGAGCAGAGTCACGACCAGGGCGAGAACCATTTCAATTAGTTTGCAATACATCACACTTCCATCTGCATTTCTGCTCAGGGCTTAAAATAGATCTGCTGTGTTAGCAGCTTTTGTGTTTTTGCTTATCACGCTGTTTGTGATAAGACTAAATCATTAGAGATTCAGAAAAACAAAACATGAGAAAAGATGGCCAGGTCTTAAGGATCGGAAAATTTGGTCGTAAATTATCATGTTGTTTTTTTTATTTATTTTTTTATTTGAACTCATTGCCCTTGTTTCAAAAGCAACAGGCAACTATGACCGTTAAAACTCAAACATTTGTTAAACTATCTCATGTGTATGCTCTTGTCTCTGTATGCGCCTGTGTCTATGTGATAATGGTTTATAGGAGTGCTTTGAGGACTTGGTGCAGTTCATGTCCAGTGGTCCGTCTCATATCCTGGTGGTCTCCCAGGCTGAGGACTCAGCCAATGTTGTAGCAGCATGGCGTGAGTTCATTGGCCCTGCAGATATTGAGGAAGCCAGGAGAGAAAAGCCTGGAAGGTAAATTACTTGTATACATAATGTTTTCAGGAAATGGTTAAAATTAGTGAAATAGTGGCAAAATGTTCCTTAGATATGATTTGATGTGAAAATGGTGATTGTTTCTGTGTCTTTGTGAAGACAAACGTTTGTTTACAGCACAGACGTTATTCATGCACTGTTGAATTCAACAGTGTTAAAAATCTCAGGCTTAAGTCCGGAAAAGCGAATAAACAGCACATTCTCATCCGCTCTGTCAGACACACCCAAACATTATGCTTCTCTCTGGTCGAGCACCAGCCGAGCAACCATCTGCTCTCCTCTCCTTTCTCTCTCCTGGCTTCCTGCAGCTTGCGGGCACAATACGGCACACAGGCACTGTTCAACGCAGTGCACGGTAGTGAGGACATCGACCAAGCCGGCAGGGAGCTCGCCTTCCTCTTCCCCAACTTTAGGACGGCGTCAGTGAAGGAGCAGGATGGGGAGGAAGAGCGTGTGGAGAGGACACTGGCTCTTATCCGGCCTGACGTTGCCAGAGAGAACAGAGGTGGGGTCTGTGCCAAATGCACAAGAAAACTCATGTGTGAGCGCAGATACAGACACATGGCTGTTTTTTTATTGATACTGTGAGACTGTCTCTTGACTCCCCTCACAAAGGTGTTGAATAACACAGATGCAGCTATAGTTTTCTGTCACTGATTGCACTTTCAAACTAGAGCACACCAACTTCCCATATTCAAACTGTCAGGTATCACTTGTTTTTTTTAGGTTTTTGTTCTAACTAGCTAAATCTAGTAATCTTATTCTGTCCATCCCATTTTTATCTCTTTCTTCTTATATCCATGGTACTGCAGAGGAGGTCCTCGCCAAAATCCAAGAGTCAGGCTTCACAGTGGCTCTGCAAAGAGAGGTGATGTTAACAGAGGAGCAGGTCAAACAGTTTTTCTTCCAGTATGTCGAGGAGGACTCTTTCCCTGCTCTGCTTCAAAACATGACCAGGTGATTTCAACATGCTTTAGATATGAAGAAATTCGAGGTGTACGTTGTTACCACTGAGGTGCATTAAATCTGTGTTTATTGACAGTGGGCCAGTATTAGCTTTAGCTCTGGCCAGAACGGGGGCTGTCGAACACTGGAAGAACATCATGGGTCTTACTGATGAGCATGAAGCCAGAGAGGAGAGCACTGAAAGGTGAGTGATGTAGGATCTCTTAATGTACAGATTGAATGCACTGAAAGGAAAGGAGCTCTCACTGTTGAAAAGAGCTCTCTTCTGACCTCTCTTTCTCACCTTGTTGGTGTTACAGCTTATTAAATACACAAGTGCTTTTAGAGGGGAGAGAGAACTCACTGTTCTGCACATTGTACAATCACACAAGGTGAAACGAACTGCTTAGACAAATTATAATTGAAGAGACATTTTTCGAAAAATCACCATAAGAAAGAGAAATCTTAGAAACAATCAGAAATAATCCATTAGATTAAAATGAAATTTGACAGTCTGCTTGGATCTATAATCCTGACTTGTGTATTTCTCAGTTTTGGGACTCGGTTTGCTGTGGAGAATGACTCCATCAATCCACTGCTACATGGCAGTGCAAGCCTTGAAGATGCGGAACGAGAGATCAGCTTCTTCTTCCCCAAACAGCAGACACTGGCAATGATCAAACCTGATGCCATGGAAGAGCACAAAGGTCGTTTCTGATCATTTAAACATGCACTTACCTTAATGTACAATTTTTGAGGTACTGATTGCCTCATTATTTCTGTCCTCTCCAACAGATAAGATTTTGGAGGAGATCCATGCCAATGGTTTTGCTGTGGTGCAGCAGAAGGAGTTGGTGCAGTCCAAGGAGGCAGCTGAGGAGTTTTACACAGAGCACAGAGAGAAGCCTTTCTTCAGTCAGCTGGTTGAATTCATGTGTAGGTTAGTCTCTCCCTGAACACAGCCAGAGGAGAAGGACAAAGTGACCACAGCAGACCTGTCCTCGTTTTATTGCCTCTGCAAGTTTAACAGCACTTTTCACAGTAATTTAAGCAGCTTAGACTTAAGGAAGCCTCAGGCAAGTGGTGAGGACGTCCATCTCAATTTTAGTCTTTGTTCCACCACACATACATGGATTTTGGAGTTATCTTCCGCTCTGATTAGTCCCTTCACTCGGTTGTTACACAACTGCTTGAACAGAGAATAGTGCAGTTGGATACTTAAGCCTGAAAAACGACCTTTACTGTCACTCTTTCAGTATCAACTCAGATTTAACCATTATTGTTAATTCCTATCCAACTGCTGTAAAAAGTTGTCTTGTGCTTCAGTGCCTTTAAAAAAAGTGTGCGTTTCTGAAAGTGGAAATGTCTGGATTCTATCTGGGGTCTTTTTCATGTGTGAAGATGCCATGGATGAAGAGATTGACAGACTGGTGGCTGTAGCATCAGCAGCAAAGCAGCTGTTATACCAGACACAATGGTGAAGAGGGAACAGAGCCTGAAAGCAAAGCTCGTGATTCACAGAGAGACTTAACCTTCCAACCCTCTCCTCTGGTCATGAGCTTTGAGTTTACAGATATAAGCAGCTGGAACAAACTTTCTGCAAAAACCAGCTGAGCTCAGCCATAGAAATAGGGTCAGGAGCACAAAAAAACAGAGGGAGCTTAGAGTAGGCCTGTTACTGCTCTGCATCCAAAGAGGACATTAATAATGGTCCAGGCATTTGTTTAGGGTGCAACCTAGACTTATACCTTTAGGAGAGGCCCATCTGAACTGGGAACACCTCAGAATCCCTTGAAAGGAGCATAAAGTGATGCTGTATGGAAGAGTCTTGTATTCACTTATGAACAAAGAAAGGACACTGTTGGTTTTTTTTTAGTGTTTTTTTTTCTTTGCTGTTTTTTTTTTTTTTTGACTATTTTTTTCCTCTTTCTGTTTTTCTGACAATTTTTTTCTTCTGTTTTTTTGTACTAATAGTTTCAAGAATCTGTGAGAATCTCAAACAACCAGATTATATTAACCACCACAGCTGCTCCAAATCAGCAGATTTTCCAGCTCCTAGATAACTTTGACTATGGGGTCAATGACAGGTTGCACAGTGGTGTAGTGGTTAGCACTGTTGCCTCACAGCAAGAAGGTCGTGGGTTCGAATTTGGGTCAGGGCATTTCTGCGTGGAGTTTGCATGTTCTCCCTGTGTCTGTTTGGGTTTACTCCAGGTACTCTGGTTTCCTCCCACACCCCAAAAACATGCAACAGTGGGGTTAGATGAAGTAGGTGTGAATGTCAGTGTGGATGGTTTTTCATCTCTATGTCAGCCCTGCGATGAACTGGCAACTTGCCCAGGGTGTCCCCCGCCTTCACCCGAAGTTGTTGGGATAGGCTCCAGTCCCCCCCACGACCCCCAACGGGAAAAAGCAGTAGAAAATGGATGGGGTCAATGAGAATAAAACATGGTCTTAGTTAAACATAGGGTATTAAAATCCTGAGGTGCCTGCAGAAAGTAGACACATTTATGACAATTCCATCCATCTGTCTTAAAGAAAGGAGTATCGACCAGTGTCTCAAACCCAAAAGAAAGTGAAACTTGATTGGACTAACAAGCGGGCCGTGTTTGCTTCCAATAAATCAAGCAGAGGGGGATGAAAGTATCTTTTTTTCAAATTATCATGATCCCAGAGAATAGGAAGAACAACTAGTCTGAATGACAAAACACAAAAAAATATTCCAAGAAACAGAAAAGAAAAAAATGCTATGAAAAACAGAAAAAAATGAGTGCGAAGAACAGAACAGAAAAAGAAATTACTCTGAAAAACAGAGCTTTTTTTTCCCCTTTTTTTTATGAATGCAATACACTTCTGAAGAGCTGGGACCAGGATGTCTAGGTAAAGTAACACCATGTCAAGGAGCAGTGGCCTCAAGTCTAAAGTGTATCATCTGTTGTGTGTTATTCATGTACTTATAAATACACCTGACAGTGATGTCACCAGGTGCTGGACCTCACCTTCACACCACCTGACAAAATTGTTAAAACAGACAAAAACTACATCCTAATGTTAAGCCTGTCTTATCTGTATTCTTTTATTAAACAGATCTGTTGAAACTAGATTTACCCTGGAAACCTGAAAATTACAGATTTCAGTTTAGCAGAGTCCTTGAAAATGCCACCTGAAAAGATTAGATCAGAGTATAATTTAACCTCAGAAAGTTATAGTAATTATTTTCATTGTTTTTTTTCCCTCTTTTTTCAGTGGGCCTTGTATGATGCTCATCCTGGATAAGGAAAATGCAATAGAGGACTGGCGGGCCATTATGGGTCCCACAGACCCTGATGAGGCCAAGGAGACTTTCCCAAATTCTCTGAGAGCCCGTTTTGGGTCAGATGTTCTTCACAACTCAGTCCACGGCAGCTCCACTGAGGAGTATGCAGAGGAGGAGATACGGCTTATCTTCGGGGACATCAGCTCAGATGCAGAGCTCGCCGATGATGGAGAGACTGACACAACCGTTATAGGTAATCATACGATGCGTATGACAGTCGGTTCCATCTGCTACACCACCTGCTTTTATATAAACACCAATTTTCAGCATTCAGCTCCATGTCTGTGCTTGAAATGAAAGCTGCTGAAAAATTGAGCTTGAGGGAGATAACATTTTCTCTCAGAGTAAGATCGAGACAATTCTCCTGATGAAAACTCAAGTATGTTAATGTCTACATTTCTGGTTCATACACGTCTGCTAAAGTGCCCATCCAGCATGAGTGTTATTGACTTTTAACTCAAGCATCACACCGTCTACTTTGCATATGTCACTTTGAGTGAGGACACTACTCATAGGTTTTGCAAGGTAGTGGTTATCAGTCTCAAGTGAATAAAGAAAACATTAACGTCTACAGTACACGAAGCAGGTTAACTTAATCCTTTATTAACTAATTAACAGAGAACCAAAATGTCCCTCTTTTTAAGTCCTCTGAGTGAAAATCCACCAGCTCTGGTCTTTGTGAGATTAGGTTTTATTTGAGGCAGGTTCAGCCAGACCTCTCTGTGTGCACTGTTTCCATCAGAGAATCCATCTCCTGAATAGCAACACAGCTATCACTGCCTTCCATCCTGGGAAATAAGGCTAGCTAGCAAACAGACATGTCTGTTAATGATGGCCTGATTCAGATAACCTTCCACAAGCAACAGGAGTTATCTCTTCAGGTTCAGAAAAATGACGCTACAGATCTTCAAAATCTCCTTAACAATGGCTGTTGCAAAGACATAGACAGCTCCAATGGTCTCTTTGTCAGGAGAGGGCGCGTGTTCATGCGCTCTGCCTCTTTTAGTCTTGTGGCTGGTTCATTTATCAACAACTTACCCAAACTACTCCAGGGTTATATGCATTTAAGAGTCAGGTCAAATCATCACATATTAAAAGTGACTTACCTAGAGTACCCCAGACTGACAAGTGCCATCCTAGACACTACTTTTAGTTATATCATAGCCTAACTCCTCTTGTTCGGGGGTGGGAGTTCAAACGTCTGAAGAAACAATATCACTGTCTTTTCACAAGAAATGAATATCAAAGGGTTTTTAAGATCAATAATAATAAAAAACTAGAGTTTATTGTCGCTTTTTTTTCTCTTTACAGGTGAACCACTAAATTTAAATAATGGCAGCCCACAACCAGGAGGAGGTGATGATCCAGAGCCTCCAAACTAAAACAATCTACACACCCTGGGATTTTTCTTGTATGGTGTACCCTGTAAAATATCGAGGACATAAAAGCAATACTTGTCATCTTATGGATCATGAAATAATGAAAAAGTACGTGTTTTATGTTTATGTGTTTTGTATACTGTATGTTTAGGTGGTGGGTCAATACTATCTAGCATCATATTCTCTTCTTGGAAACTAAGGGGTGAAGTTTTATAGTACTGTGAGTATTGAGTGGTCAGCTTACATGTTGCCTTTTCTCTTTACAGCAGTGGTAAAACACACAATTCTGACCAGGATCATAGTCATGTAAAAGTAACTTATCAGTAAAAGAGCATTTTCTATATCTGGAGATCAATTAGGGGCATGCTAAATTCAGTCCATCATAGATTGCCTGCTATGGAGAGCCATTTCGAGGTCTGACGACTAATATGTGACACTATGAGTGGCAGTGGGTAATCCCTCAAGAGAGCGAGAAACACAGAGACTAGTCTTCTACATGAACATCACAGAAACATCACATTGCATTAAATCAGAAACTGCTTTAATTAACAATTTTAGGACTGAAGAAAAAACACTGAAACAAACATTTAATTATCTCTCATAAGTAAATTTATAGTTTTATTATTGCTCTATTAAAAAAATTAATCAGACATATGTTCAGTCATGATAGGCTGTATAAAACAGAGAAAAAAGACAGTTCAGAGTCATCTGCTAAAATAGTCTTTAATGTTCTTCTTGTTGGGGCTTTGTGCGGCCATGCCTCGATGCTGACCGCAGCTGTTTTCAGGTGGGGAATCCTCCCAGTCATTCGCAGCCTCCAGCAGGATGTCTTCATCCATGTCATCACCTTCACAGAAAGACCTCTGGAACATCTCCACAATACTCTTCTGGTTACGGTCCTGAACGACATATTTAATTACACCTCTTAGAAAGTATCATAATTTCACCTATTTATTCTATGCGTATCTGTGGACACTTAAAGAAACTGTGAAAATAGTATTCCTACCTTGGAGTGAAAGCTGGCGTTGACTGCTTTGTCTGAGAGGTTGGACTCAGACAGGCCCACTTGCTCCAAGACGTTCATTTTGGCCTGGATCATTGGCCTACATGGTGTGATATAATAGAGTGGGTAAAACTTGCCTAAGTGCGTATTTTAGAAAATCAACATGAACATAAACCCAAGAGTTTCATCTTTAGCTGGATGGCAGAGGGAAAAATGATGCAAATCACAGTGTGATTATCAGCAGAAATAGGTCATACTGCCCACTGACTGACACATACCACAGGTGATCATCAGCAGTTCCCTTGGCAACCAGGTAGTGAATGTTCACATTGCTGGTCTGTCCAATACGGTGCACTCTGTCCTCTGCTTGAATAAGAACCTGCGATGAAATGTTACAAAAAAAGAGCAATTAGATTTTTTCATGAAATTACCAGATGCTCTCTGCATTCAGCAGCACTGACCCCTCCAAGTCCACTGCTGCTCCAGGAAAATATAAGTTATGATTCATGCTTACTCAGCTGCCATGATTTGAAATTAATGCACCATTAAAATTCTTGTTGGAAATTAAGTCGTGGTTACAGCGACAGGGGTCAGGCTAAGTGCAGGTAGGGCTGAAACGATTACTCGAGTAACTCGAGTAACTCGATTAATAAAATTCCTCGAGGCAAATTATATGCCTCGAGGAATCGTTTAAATCCGGAACCACGGTGTTTGACACGGACGGTTATTTCTGTTGCGCAGAAGCGTGCTCTTTCCGCTCCTTCCGCTGCCGCGCGTTTGGTTCAATCATGGAGGGAAACGAGGACAGACAGAAGCTGTGTCCGAAATGGCATACTGCCTGCTATCTACTTACCTACTCAAGCAGTAGCTATTGCCTACTGACTACTCAAAGATGATTTGAGTATGCCGCGGCTGCCCGAGCGTTTACACACATACATACTAAATACCCCAGAATGCATTTCGTGCCGGCCGGACGCAGCGCCGGGAAAATTTAAATAGTCCTACCACAAGCTACATAGAACGACTGCATACCGGACAAATTATATAAATTCATTCAATAATAATATTTTTTCTAGCGAGAAAGTAAGTGTTTACATCACGATTATGAGCCCAGTTGTTTGAAATAGTGGCTGTTTGTAAATTTGTCTCGGCGTTTTCGGAGACCGAAGCGTCCACTTGGTCGGTGTTTGCGTCTATTTACCGTAAACACCGGGCAGCAGCAGCTCCCCCTTCACGTTTCCAAATTATTGCGAAGTGTTTTCATAATCAACATCTACACGACACAAACCGGGCGGCAGTGGATGAAAAAAATCACACAAACATCCGTGTATCCATGGTGATAATGCTATACACCACCTGCTAGGCGTGTGATGAGCAGCAGAGGGCTGCAAAATGACCAACACACAACAACATGTAAATAAAAATGTAACACTTTTATATATTGAATAAATGTACATTTGCTTGTCAAATTATGTTAGTATCCAAGAATTATATTATTTCAGCCTATTAATTAAACAAGTAAAATTAGATCCAAAGCCTGGAAATAGTTGTGACTGGTTTAGTGAAAACTGCAAAGATCATTACCATAGCAATTAAAAGACCATCTGCAGACCTTGCCTTCAGTAGTTTCATGTGAACTACATGGTAAAATGTAAAACTTTTGGTTCCTGATTTATGCAGTAAAAATATTCATTTGAAAGACCTGGCCTATTTCAGTTTTGTGTGTTACTGATGGTTTTTAATGAGGCAAACGTGATTCAATGCAAAGTATTACAGTGAGAGCAAAACATTTCTTATCCGATTACTCGATTAATCGACAGATTAATCGATAGAGTACTCGATTACTAAAATAATCGATAGCTGCAGCCCTAAGTGCAGGGCAATGCTTTAACAGAGACTGAAGCTGTATTTTTCCCAACACAGAGCTGACAGACGCTAAAAACAGGTTTGAATCAAATCTGCGCCTGAAGATATTTCTATGAGGGTATCACACTGACTGAGCAGTGTGGACTTTCTCCGGCTTACCCCTGGGTTCCAGAAAAGCTCAGCAAAGATCACCAGGTCAGCAGAGTGCAGGGTCAGACCCATGTTAGCTGCAGTGATTGAAAGGACAGCCACACAGCTGCTGGTGGAGAACTGGAACTTCTCACAGAGCTGCTGCCGCTCAGCAGATGGAGTGGCCCCGTCAATACGGATGTAGGTGACATTCTGGGTAAGAAAGTTTATGACTCATTACAAACACTTTGAAAAAACTCTTAATCCACATACAGGGTTTATGTTGGTTAAGAAAAATTGAACTCAATGAGAAACACTTTCTAATAAAACTAGTTTTATTTATTACTGGTCCTGGTTCAAATGTGCTTGTCACTGCCTACACTCATTCTCTGCAGTTACAGCTGAGTTGACCTAGGAGTTGACTTAAACTTCCACACAAGAGCCAGTCTTGTTAGAAAGTCAAAATGTGCTTTCATAATTCAGACTCCTGTGGGGGTCCTGATGTACTCACCCTTTTCCCCAGTTCACTGGTGATGTGATCAAGGACTGACTTATGATGGGCAAACACCAGAAACTTCTCTCTCCCACACTCCAGCATGTCAGTAATGTACTCCCTAATAGTTAAAGAAGAAATACAGTCAAATATTCAACTTCCATGTGCATTTATCAGAACACTTCTCATTCTCTTAAATCTAGTGCAGTCACATCAGTCTGACAAAAGACCAATTCATTTTGCATTTTAATCTCAGCGCACATCATTCTTAATATGATATGACGCACTGATCCCACCATTAGGTCTGTACTTACATAATAGCTTGTAGCTTGGCTTCAGCTGTGTGGTTATAAAAGAGGAGCAGGGCCTCCTTCTCTTCCTTTTTCTGAGAAAGATAAGGAACAGCCCAAGATAAGAAGTGACAGGAGGTTCTTTTTGATGATTGGATAAGACTGCCACTACTCCAAGAAGCAGTGCGATTATGAACAATCAGGATCAGGATCCCACTCTCATCGTCAGGTATTTACTCACAAATGAAGCTGAGTGAAGTACTCAGGGTGAGCTGAGAGGCATTTGTGAGGCCTGAAAAGACCCTATCAGCCTTCAATCTGACTGTCTCCTGTTTAACAGGATCCTCTTTGCTTATTTGACTCTGCAGTGCATCAAAGTAGCACCATTTAAAAACATTAATATACTGGTTTATCTATTTTCAGAGAATATGAGAGCTAGTGCACAAGGGTGATCCATAGAAGAGGTCATACGACTAGACCACATTCCACCAAAACAAGATTAAAAGGAGATTCCGGTGTAAAATTAATTCAGGGTCAAACACACCATAACACCAAGTTAGACACCCTGTCGAGAGATGAATGTTGCCGACCGCATACTTCTCTACTTATACCAACTTTAGTAACGACCGCACAATAGCAATACAATACAATACAAACCTCAACCAAAATGCCATTCTATAGCCACAAATAATGCTCAGAACAGCACATCTTTTTAGCTTAGCCTGATTTCTTTAGCAAAGTCACTAAACACAACTCAGTGTACGGAGACCTTGGGCGAGTCCATTACGGACTACAGCAGGGTGACACAGCTCAAGGAAGAAAATTTATGATCATTACTTTATCATTTCCTTTAAGTAATAATCACCATATTAATCATTTTGTAGTTCTTCTGCCTTAGCGTCTCAGTCTGATTGCATTTCCATAAAGAAATGATCATTAATGATCTTCCTTGAGCTGCGTCACCCCACTGTAGTCCATAATGGACTGGCCTGACATCTCTGTACAAACAAGCGGCTGCTAGAAGAGAGTGGGTAAGTTTTGTTTATTCTCTTTGCTGAAGAAATCAGGCAAAGTTAAAAAGATGTTTGGTGGCTAATACTATCATTGGGACCCTATATATACTGTTGATGAAGTTAGGTGCTGTTCTGAGCATTATTTGTGGCTATAGAGTGGCTTTTTGGTTGAGATTTGTTTATGGCTCCTCAGACCACTGTGTATTGCTTTTATACAGTCGAACTAAAGTTGGTATTACTAGAGAAGCAAGCGGTCGGCAACATTCATCTCTCGAGGGGGTGTCTAACTCAGTGTATTTGACCCTGAATTAATTTTACGTAGATGATGTAGAGTAGTCAGATTTTTATATTTTCAGTTCTCTGTCAAACAGGATCTCATAATTATTTGGAGTTAAAGCCACTGAGCAGAATTCACAAAAAGATTTACCTTTAGTTATTACAGTTATTTCTTTCTTCATTCACACTGAGAGTTACACCCTTACACTGCAGACTTTTGACTCCTGGTTTCTTCTCACTTTGAATCAAGAATTAGAAAACAGACAACATTTCTAATGCTGTGCCTTTTCAGTGTTACGGGGGGTCATGTTCACTTACGTTGTTGTTTACACGGGTTAAACGCTCGGCAGCAGCTGACAGAGCAGTCTTTAAGCGGGTGGTGACACCATCTATGGTCACTGTGACCACCTTGCGTTGTTTCGAAGGAAGCTGGGAGAGAACTTCTGACTTTAGGCGTCGCAGCATCAGACTCTCCTCTAGCAGCAGCTTCAACTCCCCAAGGTTGGAGGAACCTGAGTAGTCCCACCCCCAAGCCATCTTTTGGGGGGCAAAGAGAGGAGGAGTAAAACTGAGCCAGCAGCACTGCGACATCTTAAAGCAAATGTTCGTACAAGAGCTGATTTATCAAGCTGAAGACCAAACAACAGGGGACTAAAGTTCAAATTTAATTCACAGGAATCACACATGCTCTCGGAAAGCTCCTGCTGGTGTCCATCAGGCTGTGAAGACCAAGTTGTAAAAAGCACTGTGATGAGGATAAACCCAATTTGCTTAAAAGCAGCACAAAATCCCCCCAATCTTAGCTGGTTATTAGTCATCATGAACAAATTAAGGCTTTAATTGCTCCTTAAATCATGCAGAGTGTGCCCCATTCAAAACCACTAAAATTAATTTAGAAGATTTAATGGAAGGAAGCAAAGTCACAAACTGGGTGAAATAAATGAAGACCCAAAGAGAATAATCACTGCAGAGAAAAGTCTACACGTCTAAGAAACTAATTGGTTTATTTTGAATATTTATTAACTTTAAATTGTGCTGTCATCTTTGTTATGTAAGGGCGGCTGATAATACATATTTGATAATCCAACATCTTCAATTCTCCAGCCAACTACAGTGTAACAGGGTTAAGCATCGCCATTAAAAAAACTTAAGCTACCTGTTTGGCAGCACAGTAGCGCTGCCCAAAATCATGGAAGCGAGGGAAGAGAGTTGGCCTGACAGCAAGGATCTGTGTGTAGAGCTCTGAGGGTCTGGACATGGCTGGGGTCCCAGACAGAAGAATCACCCTCTTTGCTGCCTGGAGATGAAAAAAAAAAGAGAAAAAATCTGATCAGAGACTGCTGAGGGGAGCTGAGTGACAGGAACAAGAAATTAAACCAAGCAATGTCCAAAATCCTGCAATGCTTTGGACCAGAAGTGGTTACTGGATCTATTTTACCAACAGATACTCATGAACTCTACAGGGACAAACGATGATGGGTCTGCAATACAGTAATGAAAGAGCTATTACATGATGCCTCCAAAAAATTCACAGTTCAAAGAAGCAAGATGTTTATTGAAAATGTATTTGCTTGCTCTGTATTTGGGCACACTGTAAGGATTTTGTTTAATGTAATTTGAACATAGTAATACAACCGTTAAATAATATTCCTGTTCAAGTCAGTGTCTACTTGTATATTTTCTAGATTTTTTTTTCTCCCTGTTTTTAACAACTCATGTCTTTAGTTTCTTAGAAACAAAACAGTATTTATGTTTTTAAAAGGGGTTTTGTTTAGCTGTGAAATTTGTTAAGTTACTAATTTTTTTAAAGCAAAGCTGCTGAATGGGTTTTGGAAGCAAGTAAATCAAGTACCTTGAGGAGAGGTAAGGCTGCTTTACAACGGGCAGTCTTCATGTTCTTCAGAAAGTGAGACTCGTCCTGCTCAGAATGACCAGATCACACACATAGTTTAGATATCACACTACATGGCTTAAAGAAAAAGAATAACTGACTTCATCAAAAATTGTGTTATTACAGGTTAGCATGCATCACCTATGGGGACCAAGGTCCCCGCAACGGTTGCAGGTTCGAGTCTGGCCCTGACCATGTGCTGCATGTCCTTCCCCATCACTCTCTATCTCCTCCCTATATTTCTAATCTATCCTATCCATTAAAGCAAAGATTGCCCCAAAAAAATACTTTAAAAATTAATAATAATAACAATAACTAGAACAGATAAATAAAATAAAATAAAATAAAATAAAATTTGTGTTATTAAAAGTTTCATTTCAAAATAGCTGAATAATACACAGTCCAACCACATGACTGACCATGATGAGAACACTGAAGGGGTTTCCTAGCTGCTGCTTATCCATCCTGCTCAAGAGGTCATAGCTGATGATGTTGACCAGACCAGACCGCAGATTTTCTTTGGCCTTTACCACCACGTTGATTCTGTCAGCACTCAGGGAGGGAAGCCAGCGTCTGAAGGCCTACGGGCAGAAACACTTTGTCATGTTAGACATGTAGAGTGAAGCAGCAACACTTCCCAGAATAACAGTAAAAACAATTGGTTAGTCTTTGAAATACCAAAGAAATATCCACACGTATTTCGCTGACAAGTCGCTGATTCAAATGTTGCTTCTCACTAGAAATTCAGCTCAACTGCTACTACGATGTTTTCATTTATCTAAGCAGAGCTCAGAAAACAGTGGCCCAAATGTTCCTGACAATTTGCTTACTTGCTCTACATTCCCCTGTCAACCTGACTTAAAGTCAAAAAGTTACATCTCCCATGTTCAACAGCTGCAAACGCACAGCGCTAACAATGCAGATAATATCGAAGCCAGACAGACTAAGTGTCCTTTAAATCGAACAACATCCTGTAACTAACTCTCCTCTGTGAATCTAACTCCTGATTGGATGACTGTGTTTGATCCAAGTGACTATTTAGAGAACAGACTGTCTAGTCTTGTCAATAGACAGAAGGCAAAGTGAGGCTCTTCTGAAACTGTGCAGCGTGGAGAGAAGAGTGAATAGATGCTGCAGAAAATCAGACACAAAGAAATAAGTGGGACCAGAGATGAACTCTGAGAGTGCTGAGAATGTAACAGAAAAAAAACATAGAAAAGGACACAGTCACATTCAATAATGCCATGTGCATTATTCAATGGTAAATGGACTGTGTTTATATAGCGCTTTCTCTGCTCCTCTGACCACTCCAAGTGCTCTTACATTCTAGGTCACATTCACCCATCCACACCACAGTCACACACGGATGGCAGAGGCCACTTTGCAGAGAGAGTACCCATCAGTTTTAACTAATCCTTTTAATACACTGTTGGGCACAGCCAGAGGGGGCGATTCAGCATCAAGTGTCTTACCAAAGGACACTTCAGCATGTAAATAGCAGGACCTGCAATCTAACCCTCAACCTTCTGATTGAGAAGGTTAACTTCACCACTGAGCCACAGCAGCTTCTTATCGCCAGATTGGCTCAGACTAGTACATCAGACTCTATGACTCCAACTCCACCAGAGGTGGTACATGTGTGAAACTAGGGCTGGGTGATATGGCCTCAACTCAATATCATGATATATTGAGCAGTTCACATCGATAACAGACGATAACTACTCCACAGCTGCTCCAACTTTTGAACCGTCCTCCATCTCCTCACCTGTCTTTCCCTCTTTGTTACGGACTGGATGAGGTGGAGTCACATCACTGACATAGGACTGTGTCTTACAGGGACATGAGACCATAGCCTACCTAAACACATCCAAATATTTTAGTATTGGTAAATTTTTGGTTTATCGCCCAGCCCTATGTGAAACATTCATAAAAACAGATTTTAAACTTCAATCATTTCAGCTGAACAAGGTCACTTGCAAAGCCCTGCTAAACTTTCTATAAATCTCACCCACTTCTATTTTGACACCACTGCACCCACATATAGAAACAACATGTTTGTTACATGAACATTAAAGTTTTCAAACTCAAAGACACAGAATGTTCACGATGAAGGTGAGCAGGAGAAGTGCAGCCATGGTGATAATTATTTATGTAAAGACATATTTATGCAAATATCAAAAACAGTTTGAGAAATAAAATTTGAATGATTTAAAAATTGCACATAACATAAAAAAAACCTGAGCAGGATTGTTGGCAGTCCTACATCATATGTTACTCTCAAACCTGAACATATATATCCCTCAGGCCTTCCTAGATGTGTAAACATGTCATCAGCACTTAATGTCTCCCCATCTCATCAGGGATGCTGGCTTTTGAACTGAGAGCTGACAACAAGCCAGGCGATCTGAAGGTTGTGGTGTCCATGCTTTCCAAAAATAATGTCCAATTTTGAAATTTCAGACCACAGGAGCGCTTTTTATTTTGCTTTGGTCCATCTGAAGTGGGCTTGGGCCAAGAGGAGTCACCAGCATATCTGGACCTTAACTCCTATTTGTGAATACAGTGACAAACTGTGTTCACAGATGATGAGTTTTGGATGTGATTATGAGCCCATGCTGCGATTTCCACTGCAGAGTCATATCTGATTTTGATGCAGTGTTGCCTCTCGCACAAAAATCATATCCAGACAATGTCCATTTTCAGTCTAGTCTCTTGTTACGAAATTACTCCCAATTATCAGATTTTTTAAACATTTTATTCCACAGTTGACAAAAATTCGGAAATTCATCAAAATTTTATGCTCAAGAACATTATCCTAGAATTGCTAAATTATTTCCTCACCCCATCCCTCACAGAGTGTCGAACCTCCTCTATCTTTACCTTTGAAAGACTCAGTCTCTCTGAAGAGCCCGTCTCATACCCGTCATCTTACTAACCTGTTGCAAATTAAGGTCAGTATTTAGGAGATGTTTCCCCTGGCCCAACTTAATTGAGAGATGTTGCTGGGATCAAATCCGAGGTTTTACATAAGAACATTTTTAACATTCCATTAGGTGCCTTTGCAATAGTTTAAATTAAAGGTTAATATGGTTTTCAAAAGCATTGAATTTGGTTTTAACAACATTTTACACAGTCTTTTTGTCTTCCTGTCTGTTAATAGAGAGTAAGTAAAAACTGGTCCCATCAAAACTAGGTCTCTACCAGGACTTGAACTGACAATCCTTTCAGTCCCATCTTGTCCATATAAGCTGACCTACTGCCCCCTTACAGTTGTTGATCAGCTGGTAAAACTGACCACTTCATCTTTCAATTTTTAAAGTCTTTGAGGAAAGAAAAAAAATGCATATGCTCCATAAATGAACACTTTGACAGGTATGAAAAACAGTTAAAAACACAGTTTCATTTTACCATCTTCCCTCGACAAAAAGAAAGCAGCCTTGAGGGACAGGAGAGTGTTCACATTTCTCGAAAACAGAAAGCATCAAGCAGAGAAAAGCATCATTTTGGTGTGAGGCTTTAGTCAGAGGAAACTAGACCGTTGTACCCGAGTGCTGACTTGATGCAAACCGAGAATGACAACATTAAACAGAAAACAGAAACTAGAGGATCAACACCTGCACCTACTAATTCACCAGCTTTTTTTCAACAAGACACAAAACTTTAATTTTTTCTGCCGATCTCTCCTACCTCAGCCCAGGTGAATCTCACAGAGGACGGAGCCACCACTAGCAAAGGCCACTCATTCCTGTAGTAGGCTGCTATGCAGATGGCCTGAACTGTCTTTCCCAGGCCCATGTCATCAGCCAAGAGGAGTCGACCTTGTTTTAATACTGCAAAACTGATGGGTCACAAAGAAACTTACAGTTAGAGGTCATGTGAGTGATCAAACCATCTCAGACCCAAAATTTGTCAAGTTAAATCACAGATAACTGCTGTGGAAATACTGATTAATCATGCAAAGTCTTTTCGTTTGTGCATACACTGAGAAAACTATGGACAAATGGCTGTCTCTTGGCATTGACTTATTGGCTAGATCATGCAGAGAGAGCAGCGGTGGCTTTTCAAAGGCACCTACTTGACTCCTTCCCTCTGGAAGGGCATGAGGCTGTGAGTAAGTGTGGAGTCGATGCTGGAGAGGTCTGCTTCAGGGACGACTAAAGACCTGGCTTCAGACCCGTCAAAGCTGGCAGAAAATGCCTGGACTATTGCCCTGGGCAGAGGCTCCACCTCCACTGCTGCTATCCCACTGAGATGATCCACTGGGTATGGAACAACGCATGGTCAGACAAGATGGCAAATGTCACGGAGACAAACAGGAGCAGAGAGATAAAAGCAGCCAAATACAGCATATGCTGCTACTCACTGAGTCTCTTGTAATCCTTGAGAGAAAAGCTCCATTTTCTTGTTTGCATGTCTGCCACAAAACAAATAAATCTTTATCACAAGCTGTGAAATTTAAGAGCATAGAAATAGAAAGGTGTCAAGAAAACTCTGTTACCATAGTTCTTTGTTGGCATCTGCTTAAATCCTGCAATGACATCATTATGGTAACCTATGTCGACTTCAAACTTTGTATGAGACAACAGGATGCACTGGCCCTGCAGAGTGGCCCCAGGTTTCTGCCAGCCGTTGCACAGTTTCAGCAGTGCTCCTAGTGCCGCTCCGTCATGGGCTCGACTGGTGGCTGCAGCAACGTCCAGAGCTTCCATTCCCTCCAGAGGCCTCAAAGTCACAGAGGGGATTGAAACTGCTTCCTCCACTGTATTACAGGGGAAAAAGAAGAGGAGATGCAGCAGGGGAGGAAGAAGAACTCCAAATAATGCATTGAATTCAGGCTACTTCTGTATGTTCCTTATGAACACACTTGGCTTTAACTAATGATCATACTTAGCTGTTGGTAGTCTTCCAGCCCAAAATTCCACATCTTTGTGGCAGGATCTAAGGCGGAACAGAATAATCACATATTACATTTGGACAGTGAGATAAATGAAGGCAAACGTGCAACAACAACAACAGAATTACAAAGGAACTCTAGAAGGTTGTTACTTTCTGAGTCGGAGGATTTGTGCACGAAGCATCTACCATTGATACTATTTTAAAGCTATGTTTGAAGGTTAACAGTTTATATAGAATGACACCAGCAGGTTACATTTTTATTCATTGGTTTGCAGATTACCCTGAATACTATGAAGTGGTGTGTTTGAAAATTACACAATTTGTCGCTGCAATACCTCAAGTCAGTGTTAAACACTACTGAGGTTTGATTCTCCTACCTATTTGTAACACAGAACCCAGTTGAGTTAAAGGAATATTCCGGTGTAAAATTAGGTTAGGGTCAAACACACCGTAACACCGAGTTAGACACCACCTCGAGAGATGAATGTTACTGACTGCTCGCTTCTCTACTTATACCAACTTTAGTAACGACTGCACAATAGCAATACAGAGAGTCACGAGTTCAACCAAAAAGCCACTCTATAGCCACAAATAATGCTCAGAACAGCACCTAACTTCATCAACAGTACATATAGGGTGGGGATGGGAATCGAGAACCAGGTTTTGTTGAGAACTGGTTCCAAATGGTTCAAGCCATCGACATCGTTTACATCTTATCTTAACCATTCCCTAAATGATTCTTTTCTTCCGGTCGTAGCCGCTGCTGCTCCGTCTCAGCAATGGCATGGAAGGTACGTATGTCCTGTGTTAACATGAACACAATGCATGCCAGACTTGGACTAACTGAGTTAGAAGCGTATCAAAAACACTCAACCCGACCCAAAAAACCTTCGAAATTTTGCGCACGACTCGGCCTCCCACTTAGTAATGACCTCTTTTTGGGGATCAAGAATATGGTCACCCTAATTTGACTTAATACCGACTGAAGTAAACACTGTACAATTGGTTTATCGTTTGATTGTTTTTAGACTACTGTTATCAGAGACTCAATAAAATTTTGAGTTAACGGTGAAAACCTATAGTCTACTTTTTTTTTTTAAATCAAAGAAAGGCATCAATAAGGGAATTGTTAAAGAATTGAATCGATAAGCAGAATCGATAATGGCATCGATATCAATAAAATCTTAACAATTACATCCCTAATACAGGGTCCCAGCCATAGCACTAGCCACAAAACATCTTTTTAGCTTTGCCTGATTTCTTTAGCAAAGAGACTAAATACAACTTACCAACTCTCCTCCAGCAGCCGCTTGTTTGTACGGAGATCTCAGACAAGTCCATTACCGCAGCGGGGTGACGCAGCTCAAGGAAGAACATTTATGATCATTTCTTCATGAAAATGCAATCAGACCGATACGCTAAGCAGAAGAACTACCGCGTCTGCAGTGCAAAATGATCAATATGATGACTAATACTTCAAGGAAATTATAAAGTAATGATCATAAATGTTCTTCCTTGCGTCACCCCGCTGCAGTAATGGACTGGCCTGAGGTCTCCGTACAAACAAGCGGCTACTGGAGGAGAGTGGGTGAGTTGTGTTAAGTCTCTTTGCCAAAGAAATCAGGCAAAGTTTAAAAGATATTTGGTGGCTAGTGCTATGGCTGGGACCCTATAGATACTGTTTATGAAGTTAGGTGCTGTTCTGAGCATTATTTGTGGCTATAGAGTGGCTTTTTGGTTGAGGTTTGCGTATGGCTTCTGGGACCGCTGTGTATTGCTATCGTGCAGTCGTTACTAAAGTTGGTTTAACTAGAGAAGCAAGCGGTCGGCAACATTCATCTCTCAATGGGGTGTCTAACTTAATGTTACATATCAATTTTACACCAAAATATCCCTTTAACTTGGAACAAGGGGAACATTTGAAATTATCTCATTAGCAAAAAGTTGTTTAACTGTATTTACATAGCTGAAGACTAAACACCTGTGGTTTGACAGGTCCTCACTGTGCACTGAGGATTTGAAAAAAAAAAAAAAACTCTGCAAAAAGGACTGGGCATTAAACCGATCTTCAAACAGTAGAGGTCTGGTCAGTAGATACTTACCATAATTCTTTGTTGGAATAGATTTGAAAACTGCAATTAGGTCTGCATGGTAGCCCACTTCTATCCTAAACCGCCCCTCTGTGTGAGGTACACATCTTCCTCTTACAGAAATGGCAGGCTTCTTTGCAGGTGCACCATTTAAAGTTGTGGAGTTTGTTGGAGGCTGAGCTGTGGGGCTCTGTGTAGGTTTGCTACTCTGCTTGTAGAAAGAACCAGTTGCACCAACAGAGCTGCTGATGGAGAGATTAGGCTTCACACCAAAGTTTCCACCACTGGAGGAGACGCCACTGCTCACTTGTTGACTTGTTGTCTGGGAAGGTGAGTTACTGACTTTCACCTTCAAATAAAGAACAAACATGAAATAAGCAAGTGAAAAACAAGAAGTTAATCCCATAAACAGAAAAAATGGATGCTTCAGTAAAATACTCACCAGTCCCACAATGGAAGAGTTGGGCAGAGCACTTTGATAGATATGGTTGCCAGTGCCACGTGACTGCTGAAGGTTTGGGTCATGGTTTTGGTTATGGAGACCTTGTGGGTCTGTGTTGAAAGGAGGACCGAACCGTTTTCGTTCAGGGGCTGAGCTCTGAGGTCGAGCTTCTCTGAGATGAGTGGGAGCAGCAGGAACAGGACCACTGCTATGTTTGGGAGGCAGCGCCTGAAACGACGGCTTATTGACGTGTCCTGCTGTCTGTTTATTGCTGCTGGTAGTAAGTTCGAGTTTTTGGGCTCTTCTTTCCAAAGCCCTCTGTCTGTTTTCCTCTATTCTTCTCAGCTGCTCTCCTGTCAGCTGGTAAGACATGCTGAACTTTTCTGTAGATACAAACGCCAACTCTCGACTTCTCTGTCCCTAAATTCATAAAACAAGATCCATCAGAACTATCACACATCTATTTACCTAAAGTATGTAATCAGTGAGTCCGCATCAGCAACAACAGCACATCTACGACCGTTGATAAACTTGCATTTTAACAACAGCGACTAACGCTTGCTAACGTGGTGGGCGGGAGCAGCAAAACTTAGCAGCAAAGTAAGTCGACAGAGTCACCGTGGATTCAGAGATGAGGTGGTATTTGTCCCAGGGGTGGCATCTCACTAAAAGTCGAAGAGTGAGAGCTAAAAACAGGAGTTCTTATTAATTTCTGAGCTCGCAACGCGTGCAGAGGGAGTTCATGCTAGTCGGTTGCTGCTTCAGTGTCTGCCGCGCAGGAAATGACGTTGAAAAACAACCAGGCACGTGCCGGTGGCGGTTGCCTGGTGATGTAGAGACGTTGCTCAAAACTGGAACGAAATAAAACAAACAACAAGCAACAAAATTAAATCAACGTCTTAATGACAACTCTCAATTAAGTTTTTTTATTCATATCTATAATATTTAAGCATTAAAGTGAAAGGAAGGTCAACTTTTTTAAAGAAAAAAATGGATAAAGTAGTCATTCAAGTTAATTTTTTGTCAATATAAAAAAGTAATAAATAAAGTAGGTTACTCTAAAGTTAACTGATGCAATACCAGCAATGTCTCACTGATGTTAAGCTTGGTAACTTTAGGCAGATGTTATTGAAAACCTTTAATTTTCAGCCTTTAATTTTACTTCATAAAATCATAAAAATACAGTTCTTAAAGTAGATTGGGCAAGTTTGCTCATTTGACTATGAATAACAGATTTGGCATCCCCACTTTTCATTGAATAGCCCACTGTGTTGCTGATGGTATCTCTAGTGTGACTGAATCAAAGACTTGTTGTAAAATGTGTGTAGGCTACACCTTAGTCTACTTCCAGGCCCACTAACGCATTTTAAAATGCGGCAGCTTTTACCAAAATTACTGATCTGAGTCCACAGTATTTCTGTGATCTGCGTCTCAAACACAGACTGTATATACTATGGACAACTTGTTTTCGCCTCCCGTCAGTATACAGATTTGAAGCCAAAGGGTGTGTCCGAAATGGATCCCTAACCTCTATGGGCGACTATATGGGGGTTAGCGCCATTTTGAGGGGTGTCTGAAACCTGAGTGATCAATTCCATTGCGTCATGCCATGTAGTGTCCGAAACCTCTCGTGATTGAGCTCACTACATAGTCAACTATATAGTGAAATCCCATATGGGGGTAAGGGGTTAGGGATTGAGTGATCAATTTCGAACACAGCTAAAAAGTTCTCAGTATTTCCGTGATTTTTCTTCATTTCCTGAAACCAGCATTGCGCAGTAGCATTGTACGCATTCGGCGGGAGAGTCACCGAGAGTCGCTGTGATGACGCTCGGCTCAAACAGCGTATCCCCCGAGTGAGCTATGCAATCTTCGTACGCCCATAGGCTGTATCAAGTGTCAATCATAGAAAACACGAATCCCCTAATAACTTTTAAAAATGGAGCTGCACAGAAAAAAGAGGACTTGAGCACAAACCAGTCTGACAGTAACTACATGTCAACACCGCAAGCAGGGGGGAGAAAAAATGATATTCTGTGTAATAAATTTCTAAAGTTTGTCCACAACTCCATAAGTTTTGCTGGCAGAGGCGGGATTTATGACCTATACTGCAGACCGTCACCAGAGGGAGCTGTTCTCGGAGTGGTTTCACCCAGTGAGGAGGCGGACGGCATCCATTCTATATACAGTCTATGGTTTCAAACCATCAGCTGCATTGGTTTTGCCACAAGAGTGTTGGGTTGTACAATAAAGACGCCCAGCTGCCCGGTTAGCCAGGTAATCACTTTCCCATGAGTCTGCCTCTAGGTCCAGATGCTTGAGTTTATGGCTGTGTCCGGAATGAATCACTCAATCCCTGACCCCTAACCCCCATATAGGGTTTTACTAAATAGTTGACTATGTAGTGAACTCAATCACTGGAGGTTTCAGACACTACATGGCAAGCCACAATGCATGACGGGATGCCCACCACTGGTGAGTGACCATCGGATGGTCACAACATTTTTCAATGCTCTATGGGAAATTTTGAGTCGCCTATATAGGGCACTGGAATTGATTATTTAGGTTTCGGACACCCCTAAAAATGGCGCTGACCCCCATATAGTCACCTATATAGGGGTTAGGGATCCATTTCAGACACAGCCTTTGACTCACTTTTTCTTTTTCTTTTTTTTTTTCTTTATCACACTGCACTGTGAGATTTATTATGTATTGCCCTCGATACAACCTATTTAAAATGTAATATGTCACTTTTATTGGCCTATTGCAATTACCCTAAAAAAGTCTGAATAGCCGAGCTTTCCTTTAACCAAGAGAAATACAGTGCTTTCTATAGCCTTGATAAAAGTACTACACTTACTGATATGACCTGGATGATTTAATAATTGTATGGCTGAAGGAAATGAGTCATTTTGTCACCTTTTGACAGGTAATTCATAACTCACTGTATGCAACACCATAGAGCTGGAGTGATTTAACTTAAAGAAGAAAATCTGTGCCTTTAAAATAGCATTTTGTATTTTTTTATTTTATTTCTGTTAGCCTTTTAATCTTTTACTCCATCTGAAAGTGTGTGTTATTCTTTTGTTCTTTCATATTAGTACTACAAATATGCTGTCCTTCATTGATCAGACAGAGTTAATAAATAACCAATCTGTTAATTAATCAATACCAGACAGCTGTGTTGATTGATAAGTGAAAGAAAAATTGTATGTGTATGCTATCACATGTGTATTTTATCATTAAATAAGTATGTTAATCATCATTTACTGAAACTCACTTGGTGTGAATGCTTTCACAGTCATATCTGTTTCTTTTTAATGAGCATGGGAAAGGAGAAGTATGGCCTTGGAGTTGGGACTGATACTTTTCCGCTGAAGCCGTGCAACTAGATGAATGCTATAATTTCACTCACAGGTTGTTTTCCCAACAGTGTGACATTGAGCTGATAAGCAGGAACCTGATGATGAACTAAGCTGTCTTTGTTCTCCCAGTACAGACCACAGCTGCAACCCGTGCCCTAGTTGGATACTGTTGTAATGTCATGCCACTTGTGAGATGATGTTAGTGGGCAGGGGTGTCTGTTTCTTGACTGCATAAAGGATGTGTAAAAATCTGGATTCCTCAGTCAGAGGAAGCTGCCTTTGTTGTAAGCTGCTGACTTCTTGCAAGTAAAAGATATCGAAGAAAAGGAAGTCCACTATCTCTGTCGTTCTTCTCAGCTGGCTGCAAGTCAGATGCAGTATTATTTTTCTGACAGTAAGTCAGTCATGAAATACAATTCAACTGCAGCACTTTCCACTATTCTATTCATTTATTATGTTTGGAGGAAAATGTGGAAAATAAAGTGCTTTTAGTGGCTGTTTGATTCAAGCTAAACCTATAATTTGTCCTCGTACTCATTGAGGCCACTTTCAAAGTTGATGATATTCATGTTGAGTCAAGTGGCGCCATTTAGCAAGGTTGTTATCAGTAATTTGCGTTAGTCTTGTGATGTCTAATGGTTGAATTGTTTAATTATTGATTATTGGCTGCTGCAAGTTCATTTTCTCGAGACTGTTGCCTGATAAAAATAGGTAAACTGAAAAGTCCCCTTTATTCAACTCATTGGCTCCGTCAGCCATGATAGATAGCTTGCCTTAAACAGGTAATTAACCATTTCCCCGTGTGTGTGTGTGTGTGTGTGTGTGTGTGTGTGTGTGTGTGTGTGTGTGTGTGTGTGTGTGTGTGTGTGTGTGTGTTCGTGTGTTTGTCTCCGTCCACGGTTGTAGTAATGAGTTGGCTGCTTGCATCACCGTGCGCTGGTGACGTGTGGCGTCTGGGAGCTGTCCCAGGAATCATGGTGCTGAAGCTGCAGCACCGATTCAGCAGCCAATGATCACAGGAGAATCCAGGGCTACGGATGCTTTCACCCAGAGCAGGACAGTCCGACAATCGTGTTGGATTATAACGGAGATTTGAACCCCCCCAGCTTGTTCCTCAGACATGGAAATTCGATAATTGGGGATGTAAGCTTCACGTTGACTTGCCAGCGACCTGCAGTCTGGCTGGGGATCTATGAGAAAAATCCCGAAACTGTGAGTCGTATAGAAATCGGGGTAGCTCGCCAGGTAAGACAGATTTCGCTTCCTAACATGGCACGCCATCGATTGCCTTGAAAGCCGTACAAGACGTCGACAGTAATCTGAGCTGTGTTGATGTCTTATCCGCTGTGTGCTGTTAAAATGTTTGAATTGTAAGAGTGAGCGCTGACATTTTGTTTTGTAGTCTGTATCAGTCCATTGTACCATAGGCAGATTGGATTCTTGGGTTTCTGGGCTCGTCGTGAATCTGGAGGGAGAAGCCTGTCGAGATAGTTTATGTTGTACAGAGCAGGCAGACTATTAAGGCCATGAAATGACAGTGGGCACTGAGTGAACGGGCCACAGCCTTATTACTTGAATGCATATTCCTATCAATCTAACATTTGACTTTCTTCTTTTAGCTGTTCCATTTATTGAACTTAATGGCTTCAGACACTTGTTTGCATCGATGGGATTTATTTGCCTTTTGGATTTACATTCCGGAGGAAAGACGGTAAAAGACCATCAGTTATAATACATCAACAAAGAAAACCAAAAGGCTGAATTCAACCAACACTCGCAGAAAAACGCACCCTCTGTTCCTACTTTCCCTCCCCTCCACGTATGAAGAAGTGTTTGCACATGCCGGGGATTTATACAGTACATGCTGATTTCTTCCAGCACATTTGAATGGTGCTGTGAGTTTGTGACCGGAGACAGCCTGATGCTGCGCAGCCAGGGCATGCTGAAGAGCCGCTGCTGCGTCCTGCTCGGTGACCTGAGGGTGCTCCTGCTCGGGCCACCGGCACCGCCGACACCGCTGCCTCCGCTGACCCCCATGAGCGGCCAAACCACTGAAAGCCATGAAACAGGCGTCATCGTCCCTGACAACAACAACACGTTAACGCGGAGCCACCAGCACGCAGGCGACCCCGCTTCCGCACCTGCCGCGGGAGCCATCGGGCAACCGGGTGGAGAGCGACCGGTATCGGGCTGGGTGGATGCGGCAGAGCTGTCGGCGGCCCTGCGCGGCTGCAGCAGCTCTTCAGATGACTGCTCAAAGGGCAAACTGGAGGAGAGGTTCTCCCTCACGAGCTACACGGAGAGTGGCTTCAGGACGCCCGTGTGCAGGATCTGCTTCCAAGGACCAGAACATGTAAGTCAAGGAAAAACGTCTCCTAAATAAGGTTTGTAATGAAGCCCATGTGAGTTTAATCTGTTATCTAATTACTCTAATTCTTAATATTTAAAGGCAAAAATGTGATGATTTACTTAGAGTAAATGAAACCTTCTGCCTATTCCTACTTAAATCAGCCCATAAACCAGGTAACTGGAATGTTGCACATGCATGTTCAGGAACCAGCTCTCATTTGTGCAGCCTCTGCTCTGGTTCATACTCTCTGTTACATACTCTAGTCAAGCTTTTTGAAGAAATCTAGAGTGGCCACACTGCTGGCAAGCCCTTTTAGCAGGAATCCTCTACATCCTACCGTCAGTCCCTTGCATGGCTTAAAAAGACAGCTATAGCTGGCAGTGGGAGGATAATGAAAGACCTTATCCCCATGGTTGACAAGTGTGGAGGATACACCGAGATGCAGCATCAACTCATTATAGTCAAACACTGTGAACTCATATTGACGCATTACATGCGAGAGAAAATAAAAAATCAAATAATACCTCTCACTTTGACGTTCACACTCACCACCAGGAAACAGAAGAAAAAGTAATAATGATAATGTGCACAGAACAGAAGGGAAGAGGCACAAAGTAAATCGCACAGCGTGCCTCCATCTTTTGGACCATATCAGTGATAATGTCACACTACATCAATCTGGAGTGGGAAATCTGAAAGAATCTGGCTAAGGTGTGCAGCAATAAATAATAATAGATTATAACAGAGAGGCTGGCACTCTGCAATTTGCCGACACATTAGTTCCACTGTTTGACTGAGCCTTTGAAACCACATTGACAAATATGCCACACCTTACCAATTAGTAATGGAGTTAAGCTTGTTGGAAAAATGTGAAGCATGATAAGTCAGGAGTAGAACATAACTTTTGATCCTGCTGTCCATACTCACGGTTGCTTTTTCTTTACCTAAGCAGCAGATTTACTGTATCATTTCACGGCCATTGCACTGTGTACCGCCTGCAATCTCTCTATGTTTCATCAACTAATTACTCCAAGAGCAATTCTGTGCATCATTCCACCTCTGAGCCCAGGCCTTGTAATTATTACTGACATGGGGTCTACTTAGGAGATTGAAAACAAGGCTTCATCCTCATTTCTTTTTTCCCCCAAAACTCCAAAGATAGTCGGCACATCGCGGCGCATACAAAGTACTGCCTCCAAAATTTGCAGCAGGCTATTTCCCATGGCCTCCCCCAGCTCGCCTCATCGATGCCTCCTTGAGACATTGCAGCTAGTCAATAGCACTTGATTTGGTGCCGTCTTATCATTATTCAAGTTCTTGTCTATCAGCATTCTTTCTTTTCCTGTCATCACTGCTGTTGGCTTGGGTGAAGTCCAGGTATGGATCTGCTGAGGTGTAAATGGGTACAAGGAGAATGAGGCTCCATTTAAAAAGAGAGATGAGTGGACTGCCTGTGTGTCACCGTGTGATACAGGCAGTGGGGACATTAGTTATCCTCTGTTCTGCCTTAACGTCCAGGATGTCACATAGACCAAGGCAGCCAGTATCTGATTTGACAATCCACCTCCAAAACACTTCCTTCTCCAAGGCTGAGATACTCAAGTTAGAGTAAAGACGGGAGCCGGGGCATTGCTTTCCTTGAGCATCCCACTAGAAAAGGGCCTTGAGTCTCTGACAGAGGCAAACGCTGAAAAGGGAATGTGCTCTGATGATTTAATATGACATCAAGCAATGTAATAACTTTGTGTAATCGAGTTCTTGTTGGTGTTTTTGTTGCCCTATTCTTTGAGGTAACTCACAGCCCAAGGCTTTTTGATTTTTTTTTAGGATGGATAACACAGTTTTAACACAAGGAATTTCAGAGTAAACTGCTGTAACTTTATAACAAATCCATTTAAATCCTAAAGACCCATTTGTTTTATGCAACAATGGGATATTTCCAAGGTCTGTACATTAATGAAAATTACACAAAACCCAACAATTATCAATGAATATATGCGTTTTGTACAAGGATGGGGTTGAAAAACAGTCAAACTGACTTAGGATGCAGACTACCCCTGTCAGAGTGAACATGTTATATCCCCAAACACACACCTTGTCAAGTATCATGATCAGCTGAGCTAATGTTGCATGAAATGACACAAAGCAATGTGTCTTTCAGAGCGGTGCCCCTGTTGTTCATGTTTTTTTCACAGACAGTTTACTGAAGACATATTTCAACCCATTATCATTTGCATTTAAGGTCAGCCAGAAGCTTCACAATCACAGAGGCTTTTTTTTTCTTCAAGCTTGTTTTGCTGTGCTTTCAGACTTGAACATGACCTTGTCCCTGGAAGAACAAGAGATTTCTTTGTTTCTCTTTACAGACTTTCAGGAAATAATCAAGTAGTACACTTATAAAGCTTACAAAAAGACAAATTTAAAAGAAATTTACAAAGAAAAGTCATGAAACATTTCAGTGCATGTGGCATCCTCTCCTGAAGTGTCATGCACTATTACATCCAAGGACCCTTTAGGGCTGATGCTTCTAGTGTCCCATCCTCACTTCAGCAGCATGTTGAGAATATGCGAGTCCCTGCTGCTTAGAAAAAATGTTGGCTTTTGCCCCTAAATCACAACACACATAAAGCACTCCCACAGTGTGTTTGTCTGAGGCACAATGAGAAGCCTTGAGGGGTCAAGTTAGCATCATTCTTTCTATACGGCTTCGCTGTGCGGAGGCACTTTGCTCTCCTTATCTATCATTGGACGGCTCCTCTGCCATTTGTTAGGAATGGATTATAAACAAGTTACGTAAGCATAAATTTTTTTTCAGTCTGGCTCTTTTTTATGAGCTGTTAATTCATAAATTTAGATTATAAACTCTGGCAGCTCCTCAATTCAATTGCTTTGAGAGAGCCTTTAACTTTCCTTCTAAGCCTAATGGCTCCTGTAAAATAGCAATAAGTATAACGCTCCCAGCACGGGTTTTATGAACGGCTGTTAAAGGTAAATCAATCTGAAATGATGTGACTGTAATCTTCCTCGATTGTCCCTCTTTCACCTCGAACTTGTTGAGTATGGTTAAAATGTGTTTTGTTGGATGTCTGTAGTGTAGCTCGTTCTCATAAGAGAAATGCTTGTGGCTTGAATGTCACCGGCTATTATCAAAATTGCTTCATTCAGTTTCTTGTGGAGCTGGTTTGTTTAAACACAATTTCCCTTCGCCTTAAGTTAATGAAGTTCACTTTCATTGATTCCAGATCCTTAATAAATGTGAATAGCAATCTCTAATTTAGTCTCATGTCATTATGTAGGTTGGGAGTTGATCCAATTTCATATGGAGGAAATTAGGTGCACTGGGGTGTTTGAGGGAAAATACAGCACAAAGAAATGGAGTATCTCAGCCAAGTTTTCACAGTCTTTTTTTAAGACATTGTTCTAATGTGTTATTTTTTTCAATGATATTTGCTGTTTGATCAACAAAAGGACATTTAGTTATCACTTTCTGTTTGCGTGGGCTGTAATGCCACATTTGTTATCAGCCTCGCTTACTCTCTATACAGCCTCAGTTGTACTGGACTGATCTAGGTTTCAGCTCTTGGCTGCAATCAGGCCAGTCACAGTGAGCGGTCTGAGTCCCACTGGACACGGCAGAAGTGTTCTAGTGCTCCTGCCAATACACTCCCACCCTGACCATCTGTAGATGGGCCTTTTCTCCTCCAGATCCCTGCTTTTTCCCTCCTTTCTCCTCGACCAGGGCACTGCTCTGTCTGTCAGAGATGTCAGCACAGTAATCGTGTGGACAAATCATTTGGAAACTCACTGCAATTTGCATTTCTTCCTACAACTTCTAAGCTGTGTTCAGGGCAGATAGGGACACGGGTTATATTCAATTTTGAATTAACAATACTGTGGCTTAGAGAGTGAATGCCTCAGCTTAGAGGAAAAGCTCTCTTGCAGCAGAAGAGGTTGGCTAATTTATTTTTCATTCACTACAGGGCTTTTGTTCAGTCTCATTAAGATTAAAGGGTATGTACAAGAAGGTCCTGCTTTGAATTTTATAGATCCAGGTTTCTTTAACTGCAGGTCAGGACCTTAAAAGAGAGCTGGACTCCATCTTTTGGGTCATCATATCGGATATGACATGAGTAGTAATATATTTTAATGAGTTTGGGGCCCAGGGTGAGAGCTTATAAATCTCATTTGTTCCTCAGGCTGAATAGGGCTTAAGAATACTTGCTGGTTAAGGATATGACTGAGCACATGCTGCTGTTAAGTGAAAAGCCTGTGTTGCCAAATTTAATGAATATCTCGATTCATTTTTCGTTGATGGCTCTGTTGAGTGTAAAAACCTTGGAAGAAATGTGTCACACAGCTGAAGTCCTCTTCCCTCTGCTCTGATATTCTCCCGACAGGCGGTGTCAAAAGTGTTTCCAAGTGGATAGTATTAGGTTTTCTTCTAGTCGTTGACACCTCTTTGGACATTTCTGGTAACAAACCCAGCAGTTATTAAGCCACGGCTGTAACACTGTCTTCACTCCTCACTCTGACAAGTGATGCTAAAATTGTCACATTGGTTTAGCTCTCGATTTTAGTCTTTGCTTTAAAAATACTTCATTTGATTGAAAAATCTATTACTTCCTCAGGGTCACAAATTCAAACCTTTTTTTACCCATTATTGGGGACAAACCGAGGTCTGCGCAAACATTTGGTTCTTCTAAATTTGTCTAAGATTGAAGATTCCTTATCCATATTTTTTACTGCATAGCAACTGCAATGTAGTTTCTATTAAATCCTTGTCACTATATTTATATTAAGCCTTTCTGTAGAGCTAAGAGCCTCTTATCTTAATGTCTGTAAATCATTTTAAAGCACATATTGTTGAAGGTAAAACACCAGTAGACTTGAAATGTCTATAAAGATCAGCTGCAAGTAGAGAAGGAATCCAGGGTGGGTAGAAAGGTGGGAGAGAGTGACTAAAAGGGAGAAATGATGGGTTTCTTTTGAAGTTGCATGTATTTGGAGCTATAAAAGAATATACTTGTATATGTGACAGCCAGATTCCCTGTAGCTGCTGCAGTAGCAGTGTACCTTCAGCGTGGTATTTTTCAGCTTTGTTGGGGTTCGCTCTCTGACAGAAGCTTCAGTGACTAATCCTCCCCCTTTCAAAGCTACTGGTAATCAAGCATTGTGCCTGTCAACTAGGTGTGAGGCAAAGCTCTCATTTCACACCTGAACTGGTGCTCTGCTATTACATGACTGTGCAGAGCTGTGTACCCCATGTGTGCATGTGTGTTCGCTGAGCTGACTGTGCATGCAACGAAATTTTCAGAAAATCAATAAGCAAGCACAAAGAACTGCTAAGGAATATAAATGTATGTATAGTGAAACCTGGAGTGTATAGCTAAAGAAAAAAAAAGGTTATAAAGCAAGAGGTTGTCAGCCGGTCGATGATGGCCATAGGGAAATATGTTTTATTCTCTGAATCACAAATCACTACAAAGTCTGCTCTGAAGCGTGAGTCAAGTCAGAGCAAAACCTTTTTCTTTGAAACACTGTAGTGCCAGAGAGGCTCATGTTTCACCAGCAGTAGAAAATATGATGAACCAGAGCTGTGATGACTGTCAAATTGAAAAACATGTATTAATGCTTCTGAATTCACTGGAATGATCACGTCCTGTTTTTGCCTTTGTCCTACAGGGGGAGCTCTTGAGCCCCTGTCGGTGCAGTGGGTCAGTAAGGTGCACCCATCAGCCCTGCCTCATCAAGTGGATCAGTGAGAGAGGATCCTGGGCCTGTGAGCTCTGCTACTACAAGTATCAGGTCATTGCCATCAGCACCAAGAACCCACTACAGGTAAAAAGGCTGTATGGAACAAGGAGATCATAATGAGTTCACAATATGATGAGAAGCTAAAAATAAAGATCCCAAAATATCTGTGTTGCCAGATTTGTTGGGGTTTGTTAGCAAACAAGAAGATAGCCCAAGGCTCTCTCCCGCTGGGGCTCACTCAGAAGCAGTTTTGGTTTTTGAATCAAATTTTATGAAGCACAAAACACCATTTTCAGGAACTACACTGTTTCACCGCGGCTCTGGTGGTGCTCTGATCACAAAGCAAGAAATCCAGCTTAAAAGGACTGATGTTCTTGAATTAAACACGGCTTTAGCTTTCTGATCTCCAGAACAGAAACATCTTTTCTCTCAGTTTTAGACCTTGATGATATGAACAGGTCCTTTGTGGTTGCACATGGATTTTTTAGGTATTATTATTATCACTCGGGCAGCACTGCTGTGTGAAATCCTGCAGATACTGTCTAATATACTGAGAGTCAGCTGTGGTATTCCCTTATGAGAACGAGTCTCAATTTGCAGATGTTTAGCAAAATACCAAATATAAGTGATTTAAATGTTTAGTGTTTGCTGTTTTTATTTCAGCACTCGATCGAATTAAACAGTTTGAGAATATGATTATCAGCCTCATTAATCTGAAATACAGATGTTTGAATGACTGTTTTGTTTTTTAACCCAGTGACCTTTATTTCTCTTGGTCTCATTCTTGTCCCACAAAGGTTTTTCAAAGCACAAAACACTAACTTGTTGTGTGGTCTGTGTCTCACTTCAGTGGCAGGCCATCTCCCTGACAGTGATCGAGAAAGTGCAAATAGCAGCAGCAATCCTGGGCTCCCTGTTCCTCATGGCGAGCATCTCCTGGTTGGTGTGGTCGTCCTTCAGCCCGTCAGCTCGCTGGCAGAGACAAGACCTGCTCTTTCAGATCTGCTACGGCATGTATGGCTTCATGGATGTCGTCTGCATCGGTGAGGGGCCGTGTTTCACATAACTTTAGTACATTTTCATTTGATGATTTGATGTGAAACTCTTTTGCAATGAGTGTGGGCATTTAAAAACAACGAATAATAATGAGTGTATCTGTTCTGGTTACATTATTCTCAGTTCATTATGCATTCAATGAGCAAAACAAACAAAATGCCAAAGGTGTTGAGTAGAATCAATAATTATGCCCACTGGCTGAGCACAAATGATTGTGAATGGCCTGAACTATTGACAATCAATACCACAAATCTATACAAACTAATTCCTACTTACACCCAATGTGTGGAGTCCTGTCACATCACCCTGGCTTATCATTTGAATCACACACAACACTTCTCTTTGTAAAATCCACTTTGTAACAGTCGCTATTTTAAAGATGATGAAATGCTCGCAGCTTACTTTATCAATAAAACATGAATTCTGCTTTTGCAGCAGCTGAAGTGGTCTCCATAGCATACATTAAAGAGTGTTTCTCTCTATGATAAAAGCTGCAGCAAAATTCATGAGCACTTTGAAGACCACGATGCACTGACATAACACAAGAGGGGGAAAAGGTGCAGGAACCATCTTTCGGATTTGCGTGGGTGTCAACGGTGAAACTTGTGGAATCGGCTTTAGCCTGCTGTCCTCCTCTTCAGCCTGGGGGGGCCACATGTTTGGAGAGACAGCGTGATGGCATCTCACACTAGGAAAAAGTCTAACTGCCACAGCAGCAGACGGGAGGATGAGAGGAAGAGCTGATTGATTGTCTCCGGTTTGGTGGCGGGGACTGACTGCCGAGTCATTAACTCTGCACTCTACAGAGATTAACTTGTCACCTGGCAGACGTTAAAGAGCAAAGCCTTGAATTTTTTTCTCATGTGCAAATTCTGAGTGGGAGAGAAACAGAGCTGAAGAGGAGGGTCTGGGTTTTGTCAATGAATTCTGTAAATGTAGAGGGTGGTGAGAATTATTCAATCCCCATATTTAGCAGTCAGCTTCTACAGGAGTTTTTGCAGTAATTCAGTTTTATGTTACCCATTAGAGTAAAGGAGAATTTAGTACCACAACTGCAATAAAGGATGTTACCACTTGAAGAATACAAAGGCTATATACTGCCCTGCATACTTGCTGTGGCAGCAATGTCAGAGAGTGAATATCTGTTACAACAGAGGAGAATAGATTAAGACAGCCTCCCATTTATAACGTACGTCCCTCTACATTAAAAAGCAGCAGGATGTTGGGGTCGGGGCATTCGCTGTTACGGATTGATTTCAATTTTCAAGACACTAAGTTCAATGAACCTAAATCAATAAGCAATTTTAAACTGAGATAAGATGGTATTGAACAACCTCAGACACCGCATCATAATTCTTGCTAACCTGCACCAAAAGTGTGGACTTTTGCTGTGTCATAAGTTGTTCCACATCTATAATTATATAAGAAACAAAGATCTTATCTGCAGGTTATGGTGCTGAACTTTAAAGATGAGGTGTTTTGTTCTGCCGCTTCCCAAACTGAAACCTCCTGCAGGCGTTGACACAATGAATCTACCACTGCAGAGATATAAATCACTTTGTTGTGTCATAAAGTCCGCTGCCAGACACTGACATTGTCTAATTGATGCTCTGATCTTCACAGCACTAATCGTCCACGAGGGACCGTCTGTGTTTCGAATCTTCCACCGCTGGCAGGCCGTGAACCAGCAGTGGAAAGTCCTGAACTATGATAAGTCGATGGACAGCGATGACCTGAAGAACATTGCGGTGGACAGAACTCTGTCTCAGCCCAGCCCGGGCTTTCAGACTGGCTTAGGAATGTCCACCTCCACTTCCTCACTGATGGTGGTAGCCTCAACAGCCGCTGGCTCCACTTCTACAACCGTGGTGACGGCTGTACCAGGGGGACTGGGAACACATGTGGACCCAAACAGCGGAAGCACAGTGCCAGACCAACACTGTCCTTACAACATCCTCCACCTCCTCAGCCACCTGAGGCAGCCGGAGGCCCGCAGCCAACCCAGCAATAGCACACGAGAGCTGGTCATGAGAGTCACAACAGTCTGAGGAGTCAGACGAGGCCTTATCTCACACCGAGGTGGAAGATTTATGAACCAGCCAACATTGAAAAAAAAAAAAGTCTTATCTTGACCGCACCAGATTAATACCATGTTGTTGTTTGTTTCAAAATGCATCTTTGATGTCCTTACATGGATTGAATAAAAGTCAAGGGTGTTTGATTTGCAGATTGGTCGGAAACTGTTCTGTCTGGTATTAAAGGTAAAAAATATTTGCTACCATGTCCAGTTATGTTCATCCTTAACCTTTAAAAGGAAATCAAGGCCAAAGGTCCCCCTTCCTTTGAGAGCTTTCAGCATCGTCTCAGGTGCCAACAACTGCCAGCTTTATCCAATTACTGAGCCATGAGATTCAGTCGAAAAGAGGATTATTAAGATGAATTTCTCTTTTTTCTGTAAACCACTAAAATTACTAACAGGACATCTGTCTGTGTTACATAACAATGACACAAAAATAACTATAGAAATCCTCGATGTTCTATTTTTATCACAGAAAACCAAGATTTTAAAATCAGTATCTGAACCCACATTTGCATCTAAGCAGAAGTGTTTTTTCGACCATTATGGGATGGATTTAGCATTATTCTGTATGTCTGTAATTCTCAATGTAAGCACAAGACAACAAGAAAACTACTTTGCGCCTTTCTACAGGGTGTGTTTTCTGGTCGTGATCTGCCCAAATACAGTGATTAACATGCTAAAAATGTTCATATGATTCAGTGATTACTGAAAGTTAACCATGTTGGTCACAGTGAAGCATTGATAAAGGTGCAGCAGTCTTCACCTGGTGAATATTGTGGGGTTAGATCCTTCAATGTAAAACTTGACAAACTCTCCATTTGTGTATGAAAAAGTTCACAGAGCTCTTTGTCCTTCTCATACAAACTGAATTAATCCATCGTCCCTCTGGTGCAGAGAGATGCCAGCATTAGATTTGTCTCATAAAGTCGTTGCAGCAAAGGTGTCACATCAGAGAGAATATTACAGTAGGTCTGATGCTGATTAAATCTTTGAGTGAATGTAAATGTCAGGGAAGATATGGAGCAGTAAACAAGTTTAATGTACTGCTTTAATGAGCACTTTTTCCCCTAATCAGACTCTATTCTTTGGATTTTCTTGATTGTTGGTTTTGCTCTTTTTGGAGTATTAACAAAGTCGATGTGCATCTATACATTTTACATTTACTCTGCTTTCCTGTGATAATAAGTTAATTTTGTAGAGCTCTTGTCTTAATATCAGATGATAACTTGTATCCCTAACACATGAAACAATCATAAAGACTGGTTTTACTCACTTTGCGTATTTGGCTAATAGCAGCGTGGCATGTCATGGTCTGGCTTGTAGAATCCTCTTATCATGAAAATAAAGGTGTAATTAGACATAATCAGTCATAACAGGAGAACTGGATGTGTTATCTTGTGGTGGAAAAGATAAGTTGAGATCTCAAGAAAATAACTGATATAAAGTGATTATCAGGGGAAAATGGCACAGATAAAATGTATTGATGCACATCTGCTCAGTGATGCCTATCTGCTCTTTACAACTTTACAGTCTTTATGACCGTCCATCTCAACGACAGAGAAAATGAATACAACAGACAGACATGAGCTAGTTTACTTCATTGTCTTTGACAGTGTCTCCATGAGTAGACTCACGTTCTTTAGTTCCAAAGTCATTTCATTCGCGGTTCATATTCGTGTTCAGAAGTGGCTTACAAAGCCAGTGATTCTCCCGCCTCTTGGCTCTCAGTTTCAGATATGCTCTTTGATATATTTTTTTTCACAGCTCTTGTTTCATGTCCATAAAAGATCAATTTTATCCCAGGGGACACAAGATCTCTAAAGCATCTAGAGAGGGAAGGAAGAAACCTGGTTTAAAGCATGTTCACAGCAACTCATAGATGGAGTTGCCTGTTTTATTTCCCCTAAAAGTCAACAAGCTGACACTGTGATGGTGTGCAGGGAGACACTTTGCATTATCACACTCTCATTTAGATGCAGTCTCCTTTAAAAAAAACAACATTTTGATGCTAATATTATCTGTTACAAGCAGAAAGCCAAAGCTGATCATAGTGTGAAACATTTTTCACAAGCTTCGCCTCAGATGCCTTTGAGCCGTCTCCAGCATGCATTACATTAAAACACATCATTAGCTTAAAATACATCTCATATGAATGATCTGCATTCAATTAAGAGAGGCTGGAGCCTAATGTCGTGCAGTTTATTTTCACTCCTCTGGGTTTTCGCAAAGCAGCAGTTCACTCTAATGTTGTCCAATCAATAGAGACTGTCTCTCCTCTCAACTTGAACAACTTATCAAAGAACTGTACTGCTGTTTTGGGGAACATTAAGTATTCCCTGTGTAGTATTACACATCTAAAGAGAGAAACCACGAAGTGCATCAGCTGCGTTCTGTTTAGCCTTTTGTGTTCTACCCAATTTATTTCCGTGTTACCTGGTGGATATATGCTATTTTGCAACTCTGCAATTCCTCATCATAATCAAATGCCAGGAGAACAGTATCTGCAGAGAATCAGGTAGCGCTGGGGTTTTCTGCTGAATTATTTAAGCCATGAGGTGCTGATATCAATGGGATGGAGCTGCTCTATAGCACCAACTTGCAAAGGAGCTCAGAGGTTGTACAGAGTTCATGCATCTGCCTTCCTTTGTTCGCTTCACACCTTGTCTCTTTGAATTCACAGACACACACACACACACCTGGCTCTGATAAAAGTCACAAAACACACATGCATGAGGATTTTTACCTGTATGTCATCTTCCAGGATCAATATGAAGCCAGGTCTCCATACAGTTTAAATATTTAACTTCTCACTTGCTGAGCTCAGATCTAATCCATCCATTTTCTACCACTTTTCCCATTGGGGGGTCACGGGGGGGCTGGAGCCTATCCCAGCATCTTGGGGCAAAGGCAGGGGACATCCTGGACAAGTCGCCAGTTCATTGCAGGGCTGATTAGAGATGAACAACCATCTATACCAGGGGTAGGCAATCATGCGCCATGGAGGGCCGAGAGGCTGCAGGTTTTCTTTCCAACCCAAAACTCCACCAGGTGATTTCACTGATTAGTCCCTGCTCTCTGCTTGGAGGTAAGGTAATCAGTGAAATCACCTGGTGGAGTTTTGGGTTGGAAAGAAAACCTGCAGCCTCTCGGCCCTCCATGGCACATGATTGCCCACCCCTGATCTATACCTACAGGCATTTTGAAAGTGGCCAATTAATCTAATTCTACGTCTGCATGTGGGAAACCCACACAGACACAGGGCGAACATGCAAACTCCACACAGAAACACCCTGACCTGGATTCGAACGCAGGACCTTCTTGCTGTGAGGTGACAGTGCTAACCACTACACTACTGTGCCGACATAAATCGAATCCATGTGTGGAAAATAACTTGTGTCATGTTTAAATTCTGTCCTTTAGATGTCAGCTCTGTTCTTTTAATCTAAAACTGTGGTTGCTTTCCGAACCTCTCTCTTTAAACCTGACACCACATCTTGTGAGGTTGTGTTCCTCATCGTGTATATTCATACTTTTTAAATGCTACTTATCCCAAATTTATGCTTTTTTTTTTTTGAAAGCTAAGTAGAATTAGTGTAGTAGTCTTTGAAAGTTTCAAGCTTTGGGTATTTTTCGTCTTAATTTTGAAATTTGTCTACTAAAGCAAAAACACAGGGGCACTTTGCAGAGCCTGAAAGTGAAGCAGTCTTTACAAACCAGTGATTTCAGGAGGGTTATCTGTCTCCTGGTTGGTGCACGGCGTAATAAAACCCACACTGCTTTCATCTGCAGATAATTGACCCAAAAAGGATTTTTGCAGACTATATAGAACACTGAACCTTTGAAACTGAGTAAATTTCATACAGCTAATGCGCTATTCAAGCAGGTCATCTGAGGCTGAATCGCACCGGCAGAGAGCACCGTATTCATCCCCTCCAACTTTTGCTACATCTGAGAATGAAAGGGAGCATTTTGAAGTGCTGAGACGAGGTATTATAAAGACAGGAGTATTGACAGTCACTGACAGTGTTTGGTGAAATTGCAGGAGAGGCAGCCTTAGTACTTCAGGACAGGTTCCTATTGAATACTTATATTCACATCCAACCTTTTTGGTGCACTGAAAAAATCTGTTGCAATGGACTTATTGACCCTGGAAAATAAGGATTCATTTATGCTTGACGGAGAGTTGGTATTTCTGAAATTAACATGAGTTATGAATGTCAGCTTAATGGTCATGTCTTACAAACAATGTGACCTTCTGCTGTGCTGACATGACTTCTTAATATATACACACATTAATAAACTTGAGATCGTCATTTCAAGAATTTAATGCACCTGAAAAAGTGTAGTTCAAAACAATCAGTTGATGACACAGCAACATACAGTATTTACAGTTTCTAAACTTGCCTCTTTTTACACGTCAGCCTCTATTCAGGTTCTTAATTAAACACACTATTTAACCGCAGGCACTCAAGATGCAGGACACAAATGTTGCTAAATTTGCCCAAAGCTCTAACAAAAGTAGGCCAGTACCCGAACAGGAGTTCAAGTTCAGATCATGCATAATACATTGAGTTCACGATCAGTGCAATGGAGCCAGCAATATTCAAGATGGTGAACACAAAGCTGCATCCTGCGTGCCTCACTGTTACACACGCTGGTACCAGCTTTGGCTCTAAACTTAACATCAAACCACCAGAGTGCTTTAGAGGTGGACTCCAGGTCAGGAGGGCAGTTCAGGTTCAAGACGAAAAGCTGCCACAAATCAAGTTCTGCATGAAGAGCAAAGTGATATGAATGAACATTCGCCTGCACAATTAAAAAAATCAAAATCTACTGAGTGTACTTTTCTTCTTATTATGAGTGGAAATAGGTCTTTACACTTTATAACAGCCACATTGACCTAACATGTCTGGATCCTTTCTCCAGATGTGTAAAAATTACAGCTTCAGTCAAGAAACTCATTGAGAAAATTTTGCGTGCAGCACTGGCAGCCTCTTTAACTCATTACAATACATTAAGTTCTTGTTGTGGCTTCTTAAAAAGGATTTATATCTGAGCTTGTAAGATCAGTTTAGCTTATAATATTTCTTAATATTTCTTACATAAATGCACTCTGTGGTATTTGAAACAAACATTATCATCTCATCTTTTTTCTCTCTCTGCATATAAAGTCCTTGAGAAATCAGCATACTTCCTCACGGAGAGTTTAAGTAGTTCATCAAGGTGATTTTTCAACCAACCCACAGTTTAAATTTCAATCAAGTTGAATCACAATCCTGATTTAAAAGCATCAGTTCACTCAAAGCAAAGCAGAAATCAGTTTTTGCACCAGGCAGGAGAAAAACATGATAACAATTTTTAAAAATTAAATAAAAGAAAAGGTTAATACACTTCGGCACAGACACCAATGAGCAGTACATTAAAGGGTCCTGGGAAGGATTTGGAGACACACAGTCACACAAAAGTAGCAAGGGCATCTCCAGATCCTTTTTGATGAGGGTGACTCAACTGGGGCATTGCAGGGGTGGCTGGGGTATGTGAACACACACACACACACTCACACACACACACACACACACACACACACACACACACACACACACACACACACACACACACACACACGTGCGCACAGATTAACAGCTTTTACCATCACGGTCTTTACCATCTACATTAACAACTATCATTTAATATCATCCAGCTGTTTTAATCTTGAGTCAAGTCAGATTCTCATATCACAGTTTTATTGTGGCTGAAAATGAAAAAGTTATGATAATATTGTCACAGTTGTTATGGTCAATTTAGAAGAAGAAAAACCAATGCAACCAGCATAAGGAACCACCACCACCCCCTTTCTTTAAATCTGTAAACTACATTAGTATTACTGAACACTCTTTAATTTATATATTTTTTTGCACAATATCAATATTTATTCTTCTTAAAAAGACATTATTGCCTGTTTATTCCTGCTGCCCTAGTCCTTAGTATGATGTTATTACTTTGAAAGACTGCATCTGCCCCCGAGTTCATGTATCTACCAGTGCTTTTCCACCAGCACCTACTCAGCTCTACTTTTAAGGGTCCTCCATTGTGTGATAGCACCTGGTACAAGGTACTATTCTGGTACCCACTCGGCTGGGGTCCCAAGCAAACTGAGTCAAGCTGAAAATATGATGCCAGAAGACCACTGATTGACCATGTCACTGAATGAGTCATTAGAGCAACTTCTTTATGAGAATCAAACCCGCCATTTTTAAAACCTGGCAAAAAGCCACAGACTGAGCTGCAGGTGTACCATCACCTTAATGTCCTCCATTGTTGTGTGGGGCTTGTGCCGCTTACAAATGACATCATGGGGGTTTCAGGTCTCCTTGTCATGATGACCCAACCCACATTGAGGTGGTCTTCAATAGTAATGTGAGTAGCACTAAACTGTGTTATAGAAAAGCAGCATAAAATAGTCTGTTTTAGTGTGAGTGATGCCTCTGATAAGCCAAATAGCCAGTCATAGCTTGGGATTTTGAGGTGGCCACATGGATCTCAAGGGGGCCAGTGCCACCGTTGGCCACCCCTCTGGACATGCCCCTGTATAGAGGACACCAGAAGCACATCTTGGTGCAGAGTAAATGAAACATCAATGCTGACAGAATAAACTAGGAAGATAGTATCTTAAGTCTGGTCAACTTGCAGGATTAGATGAATGTCTGCATCACAGTTGTTAAATTTGGTGAATTTATGAAGTGCAAGAACTCATCGCAGCCGAACTACCAACACATGTATTAGTGTGTGATACAGTTCACTGAGTGCTAAGAAAAAATTGAAAAGGAAACACAGGAAAGTCTGATGAAAGAAAGTCTTGAGAGACAACTATGGCTGAAATTGTCTTTTCCTGATGTTTGGTCTTTTACTGCAAAGTAGAGCTTTATATTTTCACAGGAAAACAAACATGAACCAGTCAGAGTTTCCAGTGCAGGCATCTTTATGAACTGTGGGTATGAACTTTCACACTTCGACTCATACAATCACACAAAAACAGACTAGGACCTCTTACTATTAGACAAAAGACTTGCTTCAAAACCTTTTTAATCTGAAAACTTCCATCATGCAGAGATAGACTTTTACAAGGGAATGAACTGAAAGATGATGGTGAGTCTGTACTTCACTTGTCATAACTGATTATCAGCAATAAAAATGATTCTCACCAACAGGAAATTTTGTAGCTTATCTTCTCCCCCTGGTGGCACAATAATGTACTGTTCACATGAGACAGGCTTTTCTCAGTATCACAAGCTTCAAATTCACACTGAAGGGACAAATAAAGGTGTGAAGGGCAGTTACTCACAGGAGGAGCCAGAACTACATTTTGACCTTTTGGATGAATGATTATATTAATTCAGGCTGAAAGTGAATGTAACTTGTTTCAGTTTCTTCAAATACCAGCAAAGTCTTTCTGTTTCAACCACTTGGAGAGATCAATAAGAATTAACTGGGAAATTTCCAGTTAATCTGGATCTGGATCAAATCCAAGGCACACAAGCAAATTTACTGATATGCTTTATATCAGGACAAATACTGGGCAGAATCTACAATGTATAATACTACTGAGTGTGATGTGTCATATGTTACATACACATGAAATAAAATAGCCAAATATCCTAAATTAATTACAATTTAAATCTCTTCTGTCACAAAATGATTTCAAAATCTGTACATTTTTAACGATTGAACATATTGTAGAGTATAAAAACAGCCAAACATACTGTGATAGAGCAAATACCTTTGTGATCTCCTCTCCTCACAGTGCGCAGCTGCTCTACCTGTTATTGTTAATCTTGATGCAGCAGGCGTTTAAAGAGAGCTGTTGCCCAGGAGAAACAATCTCAGATTGCCTACCTCGCTCTTAATCGCTCACTTGCTCACTCAGCATCTCCCCAGAAATGCACCCCACCCACCCACCCAGACTTCACATATACAACTACACACACACACACACACACACACACACACACACACTTACTATCGCACTTGGATGCCCTGCAAACAGCAGCGCGCTCTGTGAGCAGGTCAATAGGCGTATCACTGCATTTCTCTAATTGAGCCTCTGATGAGGAACTTCCTGAGCTTGCTGCCTTTGAATGTCGATAAACAGACAACCCTGCACACTAATGCATTCCTGCTGCTTGTCACACAGTGTCAGAGGACAGAGTGTGACCTGATTAAAATACAACTTTTAAATAAGGGCGCATGCAACTCATCAATGGACAATGGGCCTGCTCACACCTACTTGTGCATTGAAAGTGTTATTTTGAACTTTTATTTGCCAACTAAGTGATGCAGAATAAAATTTAGAGGTGGTTTTCTGGTGGTAGCTTCCTCCCAAACACAGAGTGCATGATAGAAAGGCTAGATAAACTCTGTTTGTTTATGCGTGTCTTCAGCTTTTCTTATCCACACAGCAGTGTCCTTATGTGCCCTACTTAACAGGCCTGGAGCTACTTCACCACCAATAACAAATTATATATAAAAGGAATTTTTACAGCTTGGCTTTCTGTTGATTCATTTCAGTGCTGGCGGGAAAGTCAAAGCCATTATTTAGAAAGAGCCTTATCCAAATGTGTCAAAAGATTTGAATATTTTTCTAAAATCTTTCAAAAAAATCACCACAGCTAACAGTTATTAGGTTAATACTTCAGTGCTGCCAAGTATTTCCAGATTTTTGTATCTAATATCTCTTAACAGGAGACAGTTTGAGCAGGTAACTTTTATGATTCATTTCATTTATTATTGTGAGTATCTCTAGCAAGAACAAACCAAAACCAAGATCATCCCCTCTGAATTCATCCCAACACTGATGAATAGAAATGTGACAAATGATTGATAGGAGCCCCGCACAGACTTACAAAAACTTTCAGTTCTTAGAGAGTTACACACTCAAATACAAACAGGAACCCCACCCTGGTGTGCATGGTTTTCATCACTGATGTTATTTCTGGAACAACAAACACAAGGACACCAGCTTTATGTGGCTGTGCTGCAAGACATCTCAGTGTAGTGAGTGGGACCTGCTTAACGCTCGTGCTCAGTCCAGACATCAAAAAATGCTCTCACCTACATTGATTTGTGGGGACCAATTCATCAAGGAAAAGGAAAGATTAACTGAAGATTAATTGAATATTAATTTTATCTTGTTTTTATGATTTTTCTGTCAGTTGCAACAATATACTTACATTCTCTTTGTATGTTCAACAAGAGATCTTTTTTATACGGCAAAAGAGACTGGTTTGTATCAATGTGTGTACAGTTGTGTGTACTAACTTTAACTTTTTTTTCTTTTCCTGATAGCTATTGCTAACACTTCAGAGAAAATTTGTTAACTTGCAAAAACATCAAACACAAATCTGTTGTTGAAACACACTAATTAAGAGGTGATGTAAAAAGCACAAGCACAAGCATGGGGATCTCTAACATGCAAGAAGAGATGGGACAAGATGAGACGAGACGGGACCAGTCAAGCCAAAATGACGGAACAGATGAGACCAGATGAGATGAGACAAAATTATGGGACATGACAAGATAAAATGACAAGACGGAATGAGACAAAGTACGCAATGAAATGGCAGGACCAGACAAGACGACACATGACATGACATGACATGACATGACATGACATGACATGACACGACATGATGGGACAGGAAAGGATAAGACTTGACAACTCTAAGTGAGATGAGACAAGGGACTTGGCAAGACGGGCGGGACAAGACAAGATGAAACGGAACAAAATGGCAGGATGGGACAGGACAACTTGAGATGAGGCGGGGCAAGTAGAGATGAAAAAGCTGAGACAAGATAGGAGGTTCTTTATTGTTCCCCTATTAAAGAAAAGGTATAAGTTTGTTGTAAGTTTCTTAGGCTAGTCCTCACACAGCTTGATAGAAAACTTCTGCAGTGATAAAAAAAAAAAGCGTACTTTTTTTCTAATGTATTAATGGTATAGACATCTTTGACTTACAGGTTATTTGGTTATTGCTCAGTAGAATTGTACTGGGTTGTCCTAACAGTGTGTAGCACTCAGACATTTTTAGTCAATAGAGTGCATTAGTGAATTAGGTGATTTATGAGCAGATGAGGTAAAAGCAGAGATAAATTAAAATATATTGTGGTAGAAAATTTGAATATAAAATATATGAATGTAGTTAAAAATATAGAAAAATAACTGGATAATGTACTATAAAATAGATTCACATTTTATGGTAGTAACATAAGATATATTTGAACGAATTATTAAAAGCTTTAATATTCTGCCAATGATCAGACTGCTGTCCCACCTTTGACCTTTGGTGATCATAAATTGTCTCTTGGTTATTACAGTTAACTTACAGACCACTAAAAGGATCAAGGTTAAGAGAGGTGTATAGCTGAAAGCATTTTAGTAGTAATTGAACTTCTGAACACTTCATATATGGTGTGCAGTGATGAAACATAAACATGTGAATGTTGTTTTTGTCTGCAGCTCGACAAAGACACACGTGTGAAATTTAAATCACACACTCAGACTGACTGCAGCAGAACTTCCACAGATCTTCAGAAGAGCGGTCCAGCTCAGCGTTTCTTTTCCTCCTTACTCTTTCCTTCAATCTGATTCTGTACCTCTTTTTTGATCCTCTGGGTTCTTGGTTGTATGTTCGTGCTTCACTATTGAGAGTGTTTCACTGATATTTTTTTATTATTATTATTGCACTCCTAACTGCTGTCTGTGCAGAGAGTAAATGTGAAAAAAATCTGAGTAAAACTTCTACTAATTTGCTGTAGCAATATCCCAGTCATGCTCTCCTCAGTAGTGGTATAAAAAAACGATGGGAGAGGATAGCGCAGAATACTAAAAAGAGGAGGGTCCTGTGCACTGACCCCTGAGGTACCCCTGTTGGTAAGCTGTCAGGTTTGGACACATCACTCCTCAAAGATACTCTAAGAGATCTCCCTGAGAGGTAGAACATGGATCAGTGGGGGGCACATCCTTGGATACGAAGCTCAGAGAGTGAGGAGAGGAGGATTTGGTGGTTGACTGTGTCGGAGAGGCAGCAGACAGATCCAGCAGCACTGACGGAGGACTGACCAGCAGCTCTAACTAATCATAATTAATCCATTACCTGCTGTGGTGCAGTCTCGGTGGGGTGGAGCGAATCTCTATTTAGAATATTTTCCATTACTTGAGTCAAAATTTTCCATGAAAGTGTATAATAATTTTCTTTTATGCAGCTTGTTGGCTCAGAGTTTTATCTTACACAGCTTGTTTTGTCTTTTTTTCCATGCCTACATACATACACACCATTGGGACCTTTTTGCACGGGTTGCTATGAAGTGCTGACTTCCCCGGACCTCAAAACTGAAGCCTTTTGGAGGGTTTGTTCCTCAACTATATGGACTCATGTTCTATTTAAAGGTTAACCTTACTTATTTCAACCACATTAAACCCTTCACCCTTTATATTTCATTACAGGATAATATAAAAACAATAAAAACTGAGATGAAATAGAAGTAATAAAACACAAGGATGGGACTGAGTGAGCCCCAGAGTCCATTTAAATACTCCAAATTACTTTTAATACAGTTTGGTTTCACTCCACAGTCTGTTAAGAGCAAAACACAACATTTATAAAACAATGTGTCGGTGCTTGTTGTAAATACTTAAGTTAATGATGCAGGAAGTTTCAATCACCACAGAGTGACCTTGTCACAGTAACTACAGAGGGGATGCTCCCCTGCCTGTGATTTATGTTAAAATATAATGAATAAAACCATGAAGGCATAAAAGGACAGGCAGGTCATCAGTAATAATCTCTCCACTGTACAGGGTGAGAGAGGAAATGTCCTCCAAGAGACTATGAGAAATTGATTTAGTGTCTAAGCTCATGATGCATCATCTGTGGTGTCATTAAATGCAGAGCACCTTGTATGTTTACTTATTGATATGATATGATTAAGTACGGGTCAAACAAACTGGATTAAACTGGAATTACCTTAAAACACTTCAAAAAGAAACACTCAACGACAATGAGTGAGATCATTCCCACTTTTGACCACCAAAGGACAGAAATACTAACAAAATACACAACTTTTGTTAAAAAATGCATCAAATGTACCATGAAGGGGAGTGAAGAAAAAACTGCCAACATACACATGAATGTAAACAAAGTCAGTTAGTTACAGATATACAGCTATCTGTGTGTCTGTGTGTGTGCATGTGTGTGAATTACACTGGATTAAAATAGAAACATTTGCAGGACTGCACTGGGACTAAAGCCAATGGGTAAGACTCAACAACTTAACTCTCTGGTGACGGTGACCCCTCAGAGAAGAGGACTATAGACAAACTACTGGACATTATGGACAATGCCAGTCACCCTCTGCACACTGCCATCATCAACCAGAGGAGCCTGTTCAGTGACAGACTGATCCTTCCCAACCAACAGACTGAGAAACTCCTTTGTCCCTCATGCCATCAGACTGTACAACTCCTCTAGGGAGGAGGAGGAGGGGTTACAGGAGGACAGAGGATGGGAAGGAGCAGCAGCAGTAGTAGTTGTAACAGTAATGTGCAAATATCCATTGCTTCAAATCTTACTGTTTATATGTATATATTTAATTTACCTTAAGTTTCATTATGTCTTCATTCTTTAAATATATATTGCATTTTTTTCTTATTTGATCATTCTGTTTTTTGTTTTTTTTCTGTTACACACTAATGCTGCTGGAATTTTAATCTGCCTGAGGGAACCTTCCCAAAAGGATCAATAAAGTTCTGTTTTATTTCATCTAATCTGCTCTAATCTGTGTCAAATTTAAAGGCCCTGTGAGGAATTATTAATTGGTTTCAGTTTTGGCGCCCCCTGTGGACAAAGCTGTCTTTCCTTACGTTGTCCTCTGCACTAAGAAGTGTTTCTGACAAAAATCTCATCCTTCTGACTTTTGTTTGTCGAATAGATTATTTTTGTAAATATTTAATGTGAAAATTGTAAAAACAGTTTTTTTTATTCAGGAGCTCTGCAGATACCCACCCCCTTTCACTGATTTCTAACATTTGAAAATATGATATAGAAATTAGAAAGCATCAACATAAGTTTCAGTCTGTTTCATAAAAGACCAAAAGTTTCTCACAGGAGCTTTAAGGACACTGGTCTTTTCTGAAAAAACTGCACATGGGTGGGCTGAGGGGCCTTAAATCTTTGATTTGCTCTAAGTTCATTATTATGATAAGCCTGTCTCCAAAATTTAAGGCTATATATCACAATCAGATGAAGTCAAATGTAATACAGGTAAAAGTATCAAAAGAAACATGGACATTTTTACTTGAAAAGAATCCAAATTAAGTCAAATCACCAGAAAGAAAGCAGACAACAGATGGATGGCATGATTATTTGAATAACTGCCTCTAAAACGGTGATTTATAGAGTTGCAGGAGTTAACCAGCATTCCTTTATGACATGTCTCTTGCATAATGGTCTTAAGATATAAACAAAGTGAGAGTCTCCACAGCTCTCCCCATGTATGGATATGCAGCAGTTCAGTCTAAGTGTTTGTAAAGCAGCTGTGAGTGGGACTTAGTCTCTGACACTCACATTTATTCTGTCAAACAGATCCATCTCAGCCTGTTCTGTTTGTTTAAAGCCACTCAGTATCCCAGGATAATGCCTGTGTTGTTAGGACAATGTTTCTCTTATCTGCAACATTAGACTCTAATGTACGCTTTAACCCTTCAATCACCGTCCGTGTGTGTGCGTGTGCACGCGTGCGCACCGACCGCGCGTAACGTCACTGCAGACTCAAACCCGGGGCGGCTCCTCGTCCACAAACTGACCCGACCTGGTCCACTGTAATCGGAACTTCCGATTGAGATGATTACCTCCTGAATTTCCTGACAGCTTACAAGAGCAGTTTTGGTTTCACACGCTCTGCACGGTCGCCGTGGTGAGTATGCACTTTATATTTCAACTTTTATTATGGTTAAGAGCAATAAGGACCAGGATGATATTGTCTGCTCGTGGGAGTGCAACTGTTCATGCACACTATGAAACTCAAATAGTCGAGACGTTTGTCTTCAGTTTGTATTTTCAAGATAGTTTTGTTCTTTTTGGAAGACCAAGTTGATCAGGGCTAGTGAATACTCATCTGAACACTTTGTTGTATGTTGTATCCAGTCATAATTCTACACTGTTCTTTAGCAATATGTATCTAAATTAAAAGTGAAAATACTTTGTAGTTTCACATTTTTCCACAAACAAACATACAGAACTTATTTCACAATCGTTTAAAACAGAAAAAGCAGCAACTTCTCACTGATTAGGAACTACATCCATAACTCTGAATAAACCACCTTTTAAAAATTGCCCTGTTGTATTTCAAGTTTAAGCCAGTTGAATGTTTAAGCTCCACTGACATGTAAGTTAATCAAATGAATTGTATGTAAACTAGAGAGTTGCTCAGTCTCTCATTAATAAAGCACGTAGTTTGGTGTTATTGTTTTCTCATTGTGTCATACATATATTTATATTCCCAGGCCACATGGACTTTACATGACACTATGAATTTGTACAGTTTGGGGTCAGAGTGCATGTTAAGGGTTTTCAGTCTCATGAAAAAGGAGAATAAATTCAAAACAAAATAAACACAAATTAAACACGGTCTTCTTGTCTATTTGCAGATGTATTAGATAAATATAAGTTTAAACACAAGAATCTAACTATCTTCCTCAAATTTAAGCAAGTGCTCATCTTTTATAGATTTACCATTACAGCACAGAATACACAGAGCCTTAGAAATATAGTGTATTCACCTTGACAAAAGCTTACTGAAGCTCTTTTTTGCCCATGGAGAGTTACGTTTTTTTGTTCCATAAGTTTTTTCCATGTATTCTGCTATCAGATCATTTCACATTTTATGGTACAGACCCTGGTATCTTACCTATATCCTCCTGATTTGTTGGGATTTCACAAAATATATGAACCCCCAGAAAGCATCATATATATGTGTAGCTCTACTCTGTGCATTTAAACTTCACACCCCTGCAGATTATTACAAGATGGGGGGAGACACATGAATCATAGGTCATGAACCCTGCAAGAAAAAAACACAAATGCTCTTGTGTCCCAATGTTTTTCTAAATGAGCATTTGTACTGGTCAAACAACTGCTCTTAGTATAGCTTAAGAAATGCATTTGTGTTGTTCCTCTCTCTTCCAGGATCTCAGAGTGAAATACTCAAAGAAATATTAGAGAGCTCACACAGGGCTGACTTTCAGACTGAATCGCACTTTTTTCCTCAGGACTCACAAATAAGACTTTTTTTTTTTTTTTTTAAAGGATGAAATCTTCTCCTGGTCGGGATTAATGATGATTTATGTCAAAGAGATAAAAACAAGATGAGACAAGCAGAATTTTTTTTCATAAAATTTAGAAGATAAAAGTAAAAGAAATAAAAGATGATAAAAACTCTCAAGTACCTCCAAATAGTGCTTGAAGCTCCTGTGAGGAACTTTTTGTTTGTGTCTTATTGTGTCATATATTTCCTTTACTTTGGTGACAGCTCTCCTTTTGCAACACTTTCAGGCATCAATAATACTATGCAGAAATTCTCCGTCTTCTTGCTAGTGTTCTTGTTTGCCTTTGCAGGTCATAAAAAGGCATTACTGTCAATTTCAGCCTGTTTAATACCCAGTAAAAAAAAGTCCTCACAGGAGCCTTGTGAAAATATACTCAAGTGACATTTCAGGACAGCACAAATGTCATGTCTTAGCTCTTTAATCTCGTTTACTTTGTAGTTGTCTTTATGTTTTAGGAAACGGTTCAGTCTGTAATTTGTAAGTGAAGTTGTTTGCTTATGTTTGGTAATAGGAATGTAGTGCTTTTATCCCACCAGATATCACCCAACATCAACTTTTCTGCTTTGGAGGGGATTTCCTCTCAAGACTCCTTATCTCGCTCCTTTGTTGCCTTTTTCATGTTTATTGCTTTTGGCATCAGACTCTTTCTAAAAGGCCATTTGTGGATTTTGATGTAATGAAACATGATGCGCAACATCTACGATTTCTATTTCTGTTACATTTCAAACACCATCCTCTTTCCCTCACAGTCTAGTTACTCACTAACGTTGTTTAAAACACAAACATTCCTGCGATCTGTGGAGACGCCTGCTGTGAAGACTCATTGCGTGACAGCTACATCCTGCATTTAAAAGCAGTGTGTGTTTCAAAGTGAGCCTTCAAATACTCTCCTATTTTTTTGCAGGATAAAATGGCGATGATTTGGGGGGTCATCTTTCTGTGCATGCTCCCAGCTGCAACCCCTCAGGGTGTGGAGCCCCGTGGACCTCGGCCAATACCTGGAGCAGGTGACAAACCTGCACCGACTGAACCTGCAATTACAGATTGCATAAGTAAGTGTGAAAAAGATATTCTTAGACAGATAGTCACCGGACAATCAATTCAATCTAATTCAAGTATCCAATCCCACCAGTGAGTACAACAAGGCAGTAAAGACCTTTCCATCCATATTCTGTCCTTCAGCTGGTATTGTGGATTGTCCAGTCAAGGTGTTTTTCACCATCGACACCTCAGAGACCATCGCCCTGCAGGAGGCCCCACCAGGAGAGCTGGTTAATAGAGTGAAAGAATTTGTGAAGGCTTTTGCTGAGAGACTGAATGATGTGGAGTACAGGGGCCAAATCAGGATCAAATGGTCTGTAGGAGGCCAGAACTTTTCCCAGGATCAGCACGTCTTCAGCCAGTTCACAAATAAAGACACCTTCATCAGGAACGTCGACCAGATCGTATACAAAGGAAAAGGCACCTACACCGACTGTGCCATCAAAAACAAGATCCAGCAACTGACCCAGTACCGCACAGGGATGAGGGATGTCCTCTTCTCTGTGTTCATCACAGACGGTCATGTGACAGGAAGTCCATGTGGAGGGATGAAGGCGATGTCAGACAAAGCCCGAGAACAAGGAATCCTTACTTTCTCAGTGGCAGCGTCCAGGAAAATCGATGAGATAGGGATGAAGGAGATAGCCAGCTCTCCTGTTGAACTGTACCGGGATGAATACTTAGCTGTGGATATCGGCAGTGGAGGGAGAATAGTGACAGAATCCATCAAACGTATCTTAGACGTGATGGTGACTAGAATCTTTTTTTTCTTTCTGCTTTATTTCCTTCAATTCTGAAAGCATTTCTAATACAGCATCAGAGTAAAGATCTTTTTCAGCCAACATTGTTTTCTTTTTTCAGAAATATCAAGCCTATTTAAAGGTGAGTTGTTATTATTCATAAAAAAGGAAAAGTTGGTCGAGTTTATATTTCCACAGTTTTATCTCAAACTTGATTTGATATTGTTTCTTCTAGTGTTACAAGCCCAAGTGCTCAGAGGTTCCTGGGATCCCTGGACGAAAAGGGTCCCCAGGTCAAAAAGTGAGTAAAATTTAAATATAAAGAAAAAACAACTTCTATTTCAGATTTTATGGAAAATCTCTTGTTAAAATAATATTTTGTCTCATTTTCAGGGAGTGAAAGGAGACAGGGGTCAAATTGGGCCAAAGGGTCAAAGGGGTAACCCGGTAAGTAGAAGAAAAATTATGATCACTTCTTAAGAAGTCTTTAACAACTTACCTTTGTGAAGAAAATTCTAAATAAAATCTGTGATATTGCAGGGTGATCCTGGAATTGAAGGTCCAATTGGAGCACCTGGTCCTAAGGTTTGCTGAGGCCTTACCGCTGTTTCTGCTTAAAATTTTAGTTATCTGTTATATCTTGGGTGTCTTTGTCTCTTGTTTATTTCTTTTTGTTCTCTGATACAGGGTACAATTGGTTTTAAAGGTGACAAGGTGAGACTTTATACTTACAGAACTCATTATTCCTCCTCTATAATAAAGCTGAGGGAATTACTGTTGGGACTAACGGCTCTGCTTTCTTTTACAGGGTGACATCGGAACAACTGGTTCAAAGGTAAAGTGGCTTTAATATTCTGCCTGTTTGCAGCGTTTTTACTTTATCCTAATCTCTTCTAATCTTCCAATGCTCAAATTTTCAGGGTGTGGCTGGAGAACCTGGAAGGAACGGCACTGACGGTCAAAAGGTGAATCTTCCTGTGACAAATGAAAAGTAGACATTTAACCATGACTGTGACATTTTCCCTGAATTAACAAAATTATCTTGGGTGATCATCAGGGCCGAATGGGCCGAATTGGAGCTCCTGGTTGCAAAGGAGATCCAGGTGACAAAGTAAGTCCAATAGTTTAATGGATATATTGTGATCTGGATTTTCTGTCAGAAAGGCCTCTACTAGCCAAAATGAGAAGTTATATTTTTTGCATCATGTATAGTTTCTGTTATTACCCTGTCATCTCATTTTATATTTATCCTGTAAAGATAATAATTTATTTCCAATTCGAAGTGCTGTATAGCTGTAAAGTTTGGTACTTGGTACTTAATTGTTGGTGTGGTTAAATTCTACCAGCTTGTGAAATCAATCACTATTATGAATAGTGTGCATGTGTGTTTTTTTGTCATTTTGATCAGTTCTTCTATAAAGTTGTTGAAACTGTACAGAGTTTAGATGTAAGATTTTGATTTCGTCTCCAAAAGGGGCCTGATGGTTTCCATGGAGATGTTGGTGACAATGGGCCCCCTGGGGACAACGGAGAGCGGGTCTGTATTAAATCACAACTTTTATTATTTTTGAGTGTAAGACACAGTGCTGAATCAAACCATCACTAATTCTGTGGTTGTACGTTGTCACAACAGATAACATACATGGAGTTACTAAACCTGTGTGAGTTTAGCATACATGCTAACATTTTGGAACACCAGAAAAAAGTGGGGTGTTTTCCAAAGTTATAAAATTCAACATCATTGGGGTGTATGTATCAGAAACAGTGCACAGAACCCTAGTCAAACATTGTATTATTATTTCACTCTGAGTTAAGTTGCTGTAATGATCCTGTTTCATTGTAAAAACCCCTGATAAGTATGCATGGATGCTTGTATTTAACATGGTTGTGGAAAATATGTATTTCCATTTTTGGCAATGTTCAGTGTTTCCTGTCTGAACCTGAATTAGTGAACTTTAACTTCTGTCACTAAGGGGCTCCCCAGCTTTGCTAGTTTTCTAGACCTATTTGTGTTTACAATGCTAACATAACTATGAAGTCTCAGCTGAACCACTGAGCATTGCAAATGTGATTTGTTTCATTGGTCTTCTCTAGCCAGACATGAGCGAGCAATCAAAGTACTTTGTACAGTTTTAATTATCCAAATAAGTAAACTGGAAGTAGCCATGCTGGGGCGAAAGGGATGACTCACTAGCATGTTTGTTAGCCGATCAGTCCCACTGTAACACTTAATGTCCAGCAAAGAGTGCCTTCAACCTGATAATTGCTTACCTAAAATTTACTTCTGTATGTCAGTCACAATGTTTAATTTCCTCTTGAGCCTACAACATGATTATTAATCAAGAAAAGGACTTTCATTTGGTAATTATTAATGCTATTGGTCATATTTGTTTTTTGGGGGGGTTATTTAGGGAGCCCCAGGCCTCCCTGGAAGGCCAGGCCCCCCTGGTTCTGAGGGTAACATTGGAGTGAAGGTAATCTTTTCAATTTGAATATCACAGAAAACCCATCTGAACATGAAGATTGTTGTTACTGAAAAGACAACCTCTAAGATGAATTATTGTCACTTAGGGTGAAACAGGAAATCCTGGAAATCCAGGGCCACCAGGAAGAAAGGGAGATAAGGTACCAAGCAAATTTATTCAACCGTAAAACATCGATAATAACTATGGGTCAACGTAACGGAGTCGACATTACGATAACAATGTTTCTCTTCACAGGGGAGTCTTGGAGGTCCTGGACCAAAAGGCTACCCGGTATTTGGAAAAAAATTGTCACAAATCTAAAGAAATCAAGAAGATGCTATCAACTATGATAAATGACTGTATATAAAATATTTACAGGGAAGGAGAGGAAATGCTGGAAAAAAGGGAGCACAAGGTTCAGAAGGCCGTAAAGGAGAGAAAGTAAGTTCAGAGCTCAGAAAGTTCTTTTACTTATAGAATTTATTCAATATATTAGTATTTATACCTAAAGGGGACAGCCATGGTCATATAATTAATGATAATGTTTTTTGGTCATTTATACGGTAATCTCCTTCACTTACATCCAATATGTCAGAATACACTGAGAGAGTTTGTCCAAGTTTAGCATGAACTGGTGAGAAATGTCAAGATCAGAGCTCAAAATATTTGAGACTTGGACCTTAAAAACGTGTTTTTGGCAGTGAAAAACTGAAGTTTAATTATTAACATATTCATATTCTTTACGTTTTGAAGTGTTAAGATTCATAAAACATAATTTTAACATACCTAAACACTTATTAATGTGTGTTTTTCCATACTTTTACAAGAACACATGGAAACATACACATTGAAAGAGAACGATAGAAACACTGACAAATCAGACTGGACTCTCAACAGCTTGAAAGAGTCCGGTCTCATGGGAGTCAAAGCTCTCTGCGGGGCGTTATTTTTACAGTAAAGGATTGCAAACACTGTCTGACTCACAATAGTTGGACTCTGTTCATGCAACAGGCCATTTCTTAACAGAATTCTGTGGAAATCTATTTCATCTGATTGGTGATTAATTGTGCAGTGCAGATCCTGACATTTACGTTTTTTTCCCAGGGAGAACGAGGGTCATTCGGAGACAGAGGTCGATCTGGGGAGGATGGACTCAAAGGCTCAAAGGTAAAAGGATCATGCAGTGGGTGGATCCTGGCAAACGGTTAGTTCAGCAGTTTCTTAGACAGAAATCTTATAATGCGAGTTTAGTCCTCATGTTCTGGGTGTCTTGCCAAAATAGCTGCAGCCAAGCCTGTTATCATAACAACACAGTCTCCCAACTTACACAACCACACAAAGTGTCTCACAAAGAAGCCTGAACTATGCGTGGCTAAGTTAACATCAGTATCAGTAAGTTTCAGTATGTTGTTGGAGTGATGGTGATCTCATGAGTGAAGCATTTTATCTCTTTTAGGGAGACCCGGGACTGCCTGGACCAAGGGGTCATTCAGGAGAACCAGGGGGCCCTGGAGAAATTGTGTGTACATACATATTGATATCATAACTATCAACACTCTCGGCTTTTTGTCACTGTTGTATTTTTAGTTATACTTTGGAAAATATCTGCCTGAATTGCAATGGTGATCCAATGTTTCATCATAAGTGTCTTCTGTGATTGTAGGGGAGTAAGGGAGAACCTGGAGACCCTGGACCCAGAGGAGACCCAGGGGATCCAGGACCAAAGGTTGGGCAGACTTTTACAGCACTCTTCCCCTAATAAAAAATATTTGAGATTGATTGTTTGATTGTTTGTTTTTTCTTCAGGGTGATAGAGGAAGACGGGGATTCAGCTATCCTGGACCCCGGGGACCCACAGTAAGGTTATTCTCTTCAGCTTATCATATTCATATTTGAGTCTGCTGACACCTCAATTACTGTTTTATTTTTATTTTTTTAGGGCGAACCAGGTACTCCAGGTAAAAAAGGACTGCGGGGGGGAAGAGGTGAATGTGGTGCCAAAGGAGAACCTGGAGATAAAGGAACTCTAGGACTGCCTGTAAGATTCACCGCTACAGCATTTATTAATGATCACTTTCTGGTCCAAGATTTCCACCCTCACTCTGTCTAAACTTGTTGAAGCTTAGGAGTTCACAGCATAAAAAATTATTTTGGCAAGTTTGAGAATAGCTTTTTCTTTCAAAACAACTGGCCAGAGCGGTTATTCCAAGGAAAACTCTTCATGAGGCGCTCAGTGGATTATCTTCAGAATCAGGACATTGTTACGGGAAACAGATGTTATTGGATATTCCAGTGAAAATGTGATGGATTTTGTTCTCAAAAAAAAAAATAAATAAATAAGCCTAATGGAAGTTCAAATCTTGTAGGTACACAAAGTACATCAGCTGATCAAACCCATTAAATCTGCTCAGCATAGATATTAATGCACTAGAATTATTTAAGTGCAAATATATCCTCTTTAATTTGGCGTTAAATGAGTCTTTAAAGAGTTCATTAGAAAATAAATTTTCATTCTTTATTAATTAAGCTGCTGAAAAAGCTGTTGAGTCACTATTGTTCTTTCAGCTTGTTGCCTGAGTTGAGCAGAATGATGCAGGTTGTGACCACATTACGAGCGTGATTACAAACAGGGAGACCCCATGCAATAATGGATGCCTCCTTTCTTCACTTACTTATACATAGTTCTACCATATGGATGTTAACATGCTACATTTCAAACCGTAGATCTGAACTAAGAATTAAAATCAGGGGTTGGTTGGATTAAAAAAAAAAAATCATTTTGACTCCATCTAATACCAGTAGTCTGGTTTTTGACTGTAAACCAACGCTCAGCCTCAAAATATGTACATAAATTATGTTGATTTCTCCATAAATTATGTGTCAACTAACCAACACAAGACAGAACTTCTGGGTGTTACCCTGAATCTTGAATAATCACAGACAAAGCAAACAGATAAAGTAGCTGTTAAGATGGGTTATAGTGTAGGTGAAACTTAACAGGTAACTCAGACATTGATTCAGTCTCACCTGATCGAGTGCCTCATGAATAAAATCAAGCGATGCATAAGAGGAATTCAAATTTCCCTCAGGATCAATATAGTATCTATCGAGTGTGAAGCTGTGGTGGACTCCAGGTATGACAGTTAACTGAGATCATAATCAAATTCAATTAAACTGAACTATTCACCAGATAAATCACAGAGTACGGTGTCTCATCTTACAGGAAGAGTTGCACACCAGCAGCCCCAGCCAGACTCAGAAACAGTCATCAAAACTGTCAGACTGTTTTTAAAACATCATTAAAAAGATATTAAACAGGACTCCTTTGCAGAATGACACATCCGTGTTAAGGTTTATGTGGGGCAGGAGACAGTGAGGAAGATAAGATCTCCACAGAAGAGCAATATTGTGCAGAGGTTAGTCAGCCCTCCTGGAAAAAATGTGTTTTAATTTTTTTTTTTCTTTGAACACAGGGGGATCCAGGTCAGCCAGGTGAGCCAGGAAACAGAGGACCCAGCGGCGAACCTGGACCTGATGTAAGCAACAGCAAAACCACTCAAATGATGACCCGACCATGCAAGCAAATTTAAGTGCTAACTGTATTTCACTCTCTGCGTAGGGGGGAGAGGGGCCACAGGGCGATCCTGGCCTCACTGTGAGTAACCTTTATAAAGCACTACTTCTATGCACACAATGTGTTATTTATACATTCCTGGTTTTTAGCTCTATTTTAAGCTGCATATCTGTCACTGCAGGACTGTGCTGTCATGACTTACATCAGGGAGACTTGTGGTTGTTGTGGTAGGTGGATATCATAATAGACTACACTCAGCTCAGATTTTCAGTTTCTACTGCATACTGATCCTGCTCTGTTTTTTTTTTATCCTCTCAGACTGTGAGAAGCACTGTGGAGCTCTGGATATTGTTTTTATAATTGATAGCTCAGAGAGTATAGGGCTGACTAACTTCACCTTGGAGAAGAACTTTGTTATCAACACCATCAGCAGACTGGGATCTATGGCCAGCGACCCTGCATCGCAAACTGGTACACTCAATCAGAAACCAAAGCAGAGCACAGATGTCCCCGCAAATGCTTTCGCAGACGCGGTTTCAAGTGACAACAAGAAGAGGCAGAGGCTGCCATAGAAGATTAACAATTTCCAATGAGTGAATCATGTAATCCAAAACTAAATACACACTCACAGCCAAAAACATTTGGACAGGACCTCATGCTGGCAGCGCGCTCTTCATTAAAACTGTGACTGCGCAGTGACGGCAGTTTGTAAGTGTTGTATATTTTCAGCCTTCAAGGTGTTACCAGTAAACAGTCAGACTGAAAACAAGCATAATTTACTTTCAGAGTGACGCAAGCACCGAGCCAAACATCAGGGTGTTTTTTCCTTTCTATTTTCAATAAGCCATTTTGAGTATCAAACACAAATGCAATGATTCACCTGCAAGAATCATCAACACTATTAAGTTTCACTTTGCTTCACAGAAAGTGCAGGGACCACACCTTTTAGTACAAGTAGTCCTTTAAAAAATACACATCTATGCGTGACTTTTTGTATTTATTACTTTTTTTATTTTAGTACTTTTTGGAAACACCCTCATTCTTACGTCTTTCTTCCAGGTACAAGAGTTGGAGTTGTCCAGTACAGTCACAACGGCACTTTTGAAGCCATTCATCTCAATGACCCGAGCATCAACTCTCTGTCAGCCTTCAAAACAGCTGTGAAGAATCTCCAGTGGATCGCTGGAGGCACCTTCACGCCTTCTGCTTTAAAGTTCGCTTACGACCACCTCATCAAGGACAGCAAGAGAGCCCGAGCCAAGGTGTCCGTGGTGGTGGTCACAGATGGCCGATATGATCCACGTGATGAGGATCCTCTGCTCACTTACCTTTGCAACGACGACCAGGTGGTGGTGCATGCCATCGGGGTTGGTGATATTTTTAAAAAGGCGGAGGATGATGAGACCTTGGGGTCAATTGCTTGTGACAGGAAGGACCAAGTTCAAACATTCAGACTTTACACTGAGCTAGTGGCAGAGAACTTCATAGACAAGATGGAGACCGTGCTGTGTCCTGGTAAGGCTGCTCTTGCACTGAAACACATTAGTGATACTACTAATCTTTAGTCTAACTCCTGCCCTCTTGATGTCTTCATAGATCCGCAGATCGTGTGTCCTAACCTCCCTTGTGAAAGTGGTGAGAGCTCTTCACAGCTTGATTATTTCTTACTTGCAGAAATGGTTTGCAGCTCAGTGACTGATTTGTTTCTGTTTTTAAAGAACCTGATGTAGCTCCATGTGTCCAGAGGCCGGTAGATTTGGTTTTCCTACTTGATGGTTCTGAGCGCCTTGGATCTGAGAACTTCCGACATGTCAAAGAGTTTGTCTCCGAGTTTGCGGAGCGGATGGTGATGGCCCGTACCAAGACTGACCGCGCAGGAGCCCGTATGGCACTGTTACAGTTTGGGAAAGAGAATGAGAACGCTGTCGCTTTCCCCCTCACACACGATCTTGCTGTCATTATGGACGGCATAGCCAACCTGACTTACTTTGATTCCTCCTCCAACGTGGGGCCTGCTATCTTCTACGCCATTGACAACATCATGGGGAAGGGAACCGCCCGCAAGACAAGACGGTACGCGGAAGTTTTGTTTGTTTTCATCACAGATGGCGTCACTGACACCCGGAACCTGGACGAGGCGGTCAGCGCCATGCGTGGGGCAAAGGTTGTTTCTGTAGTGTTGGCCACAGGAAATGACGTTAACCAACAAGTCCTGACAAAGCTGGTCATGGGTGACCAGGCCGCCATCTTTAAAAGTAAAGACTTCTCAGGTCAGGCTCGATCCAGTTGGTTTGACCGTTTCTACCATTGGGTATGTTAAAGAAAGACATCAGGGACGCTGACGCCGTATTGGTGCTAATGCTCTTAATCAGGTATTTTAAGCAAGAGATAGCAGTCAAGTATGTTTCTGCTTCACGTTCCTAGTGAAAATCACAGCATCACTCTACTGCACTATTCAACTCCAGACTTTTGATACAAACACACCATTCAAGTTGAGCAACTTTTACTATTGAGCTTATGATTTTGTTTAATAAATCTACTAAGACAATGAAGAGCTGTTTTTTTTTTTTTTTTTTGGTGTCAGAAAAGGACGCTAATGCACTGCAATTTTAAGACATGAAGAAGACATGAAAAACATGGAGTATAAAACAAACACCACCAATAAAAACCCTGAACTTACAATTACTTATATACTGATGTTAACTTTGCACTTTGCGGTTAGAAAGAGTCTTTGCGTGGGAGGGGGAACAATGGACAGCTGATTTGGTTTGGACTGAGGGATCACATTCTTCTCATTGCTCTGTGTGTCCACAGCAAAGCCTCCCTTCTTACATCATGTCCAGCTGCACAGGAAGAGAGTAAAAGGAGGCGTTAAGGCTGGGGAGTTGGTGTCGGGTCTCTTTAGGCCAGACCCATCATCAAGCATTAGGAGGAAATGGCTTTAACATGAGCAGTAAAAAATATTGAAAAGAAACTTACCAAGTCGTCAAAGTCGCCTGTATCTTCAGCTGGTGGGGGTGCAGCTGCCTCCTCCTTTTTCTCTTCAGAAACAAGAAACTGAAGACAAAACAGACTTAGGTCAGGAGATCTGTCTTATTATGGCCAAAGTTACAAAAATAATCATTTTGCCCCAGCAGATTTAAAAGGAGCGTTTTGCCTTAAGTCACCTGATTGGCTTCACTTTTGGAAACTTTGCATCCTTCAACTTCGTCCTTGCTGATCAAAGTTACGCCGTCTGTCAGTCAAGCAGTGAGAGTCATTTAAAAGACAGAGCTATTTAAAGGAGACTGTGATTCAGCCTCCTTTTTTGGTTGTGTTTACATATTTGAGACTCCAGCTATTGTTTGGAAACTTCATCACTTCTCGAGGGAAGAGCAATTTGCAAACAATTCTGCAGCCCAGTGGTAAAGAGGCTTATCGCACCTTGAACAAGCAGGTCCCAGAAGACCCCCAGCCCTCTGTTTGGGATGCTCCTTTTCAGGGATTGGAGGTAGCTATTGTACAAATCTGCATTCTCGAGCTGAAATTAAAAAAAAAAAAAACAGAAAACTTCAAAACCTTTTTGAGTCTCTGAGAAGCCCACATCTACATACAGGCACTTAAACAGACTCGCATAAGTACTGGCCCCGGTTCAAGTCGTGAGAAATGAAACAGACTCTTCGTAATCTCAAATTGACTCATAATCTCCACTGCAGAGCCAAAACTTTGTGTTCTTCTTTGTGAAAATCCTTTTAAAGAAGCACCTAAACAGACCACCACCCACCTCCGGCCTTACATCACCACACACTCCCAAACCTGAAGATAGTGACTGTATGTTTACCTTAATCGACTGCTCCCTGAAAGCCTGAATGCAGGTGATGCTTTTCATGTAGTAGTGCGTGTTCTTGTTGCTAAGCAACTGCTCGATCCTGTGAGTCAGTTGCTGACAGGCTGGGAAGGACACGGGGGTCACCACAACCAAACAAAGAGATAAACACAATTACAAGGGCTGAACATGAGTCATGAGGGTTTATAATACCACCAGGAGAAAATGTTTATCAGACCAGCATGCCAGAGGAGCGAGGAAGATTAAAACTGGACCTCACCCTCTCCAAATGGAAGAGTCTTCTGCTTGATGAGAGTACGGAAATCTCGGGCTGGATCCACACTTCCCACCTGGTTCAGAGTTTAAAATTATTAAGTGAAGGAGTAATGCTGTGTTAAGACTATTCAAACAAGGGGGACTTTATCTAATTCAATATTGGTGATGTTTATCCAAAGTTATTATCTCTCAAGGATGATTTTGCCACCCAGCCTCCCTTGCTACTTACTGAAGTAACAGAGCCTTCGGCAATGTCAGCCAGATTATACTCCCCCTCCTCTTCATCTCCTTTGGCCTTCTTGGCATCTGGTTCCTCTGAGCTGTAAATGACAAAAAAAGGCCAGTTTAAGTACAAAAATCATTCAAAAGACTCTGTTAAACCTCTCGCACATTACACAGAAAATGACTCACAGGTGTATGAGTATTAACAAACTTAAAGGGATATTTCAGTGTAAATTTAAGTTATGGTCAAACACACCGGAACACAGAGTTATATATCTCCTCGAGAGATGAATGTTGCTGACAGCTTGCTTCTCTAGTTATACCAACTTCAGCTTGTTTGTGGGAAAGCCCTGACCAGTCGATCACCGAGTGCAGCAGATCATTTTCTTGAAGTAATAATCCTCATAATAATCATTTTGCACTGCAGACACAGAAGTTCTTCGGCCTCAGTGTCTCGGTCTGATTGTATTTCCATGAAGTAATAATCATACATTTTCAGCGGCACTCAGTGATCGACTCATCAGGGCTCCCCCACAAACAAGCGGCTGCTGGAAGAGAGTGGGTGAGTTGTGTTTAGTCTCTTTGCGAAAGACAGTAGGCAAAGTTAAAAAAGATGTTTGATGGTTAGTGCTATGGCTGGGACCCTATATGTACTGTTGATGAAGTTAGGTGCTGTTCTCAGCATTATTTGTGGCTATAGAGTGGCTTTTTGGTTGAGGTTTGTTTATGGCTCCTCAGGCCGTTGTGTATTGCTATCATGTGGTCGTTACAAAAGTTGGTGTAACTCGAGAACCAAGCGGTTGGCAACATTCATCTCTCAATGGGGTGTGTAACTCGGTGTTACGGTGTGTTTGACCATAACTTAAATTTATGCCAGAATATCCCTTTAAATGGCAATTCTATTCCACCTCAATACAAAACCAAACTTACTCTTTGCCAAAGATCTGAGCACTCGTCTTAAGCTGCTTTTTCTTCTCCACCTCTGTGAGAGGAAACTGCTTCTTCACATCCCCTAGAGGAGCCTTGCAACGTTCACTGATGACTTCAGGACGCTCGAGAGCAGCCTTTAGCCATGGCTCCATGGCGGGAAGAGGAGTGTCAGGGTTCAATGCCCGATGGTGCAGACACTGCAAGAAGAGTTTTTTTTTTGTGTGTGATTGAGCTGAGAATTAAACGCATATCTTCATAAGTACACCGCCCACCCTAAGTCGGACAAATCAAAGGAGTTCTGTAACTTTGAAATCCAAGCTGAACTGCAGTACCTGGAAGTGCCTCTGGAAGGCAGGATTGGGAATTTGATGAACCTTGAACAGGTCCTTCTTCTCTCCATCTTCTTCCTCCTCCACCAGCATCATGGAGTCAATGAGAGAGTCCACAGCTGACAGTTGGGATTCTTGGGAAAATCATACAGAGACCATTAAAATCCAAGCTGTCATTGTTTCTGTCATGTAATTACTATCAGCACAGCCGGTGTGATCCAGTCTGCAAACACTAAAAAGGGTTGGGTTATCATGGGACCAGAATATATATATAATCAGGTTTAAGTGCTTGTAAGAGTCTCTATCTGCAGACAATCTGCCCTCCGTCCGTCGTGATGGGTATATGAAAAATGGCTTACATAATCAGGTTGAAGTGCTTGTAAGAGTCTCTATCTGCAGACAATCTGCCCTCCGTCCGTCGTGATGGGTATATGATTTCCTGATCAAACAACAGTGTTTGGGACATTTTTGTGTGTGAGTCGTCGTCTGCTGGTCAGGACATAAAAAACACAGCGATCAGGTGATATCACTGTCTCCCTCCTCTGTGCTCTGTTAACAACAGAGCCCGGATGACTTCATCAGTGTAGATGATTGCCAATTGTAAATGAGAGCTGTTATTGTTGTGGCTATTTCAGAGCTGCAGGTATGACAGAGAGTACAAGGACACATAGTATGCAAGATGAAGCAGATCTGCATTTAGACTAAATCCAGCTCATTCGAGCTCATTTGTGTGGAGATGTGGATGTGTTTGTCAGTTCATTAGAGTTCAACTGTATTAGTAACTGTGAATACACTTTCCTGCTCAACTGCTCCTGCCTTTCTCTCATAGCAGCATTTGGTTAAAAATATAACTGCAAACTCCAGTTTTTCTACAGCTAAGGTACTTTCAATCCTATCCTGACACTGCAGTCTGAGAGCACATCCAAAAGCACCAAAATCTGCCACAGTCATGTCTACCAAAAACCCAAAGGATGCGTGTGCGCCTCGTTCTGGTTCAGCTCTGTCTAAAGGGCATACCCTGCCCTGCTGGGAGCATGTTTGAAGTGTAACTCAAACAGAGTGCAGCCTGGAGCGGTTGTACTCAGTAAACAGATAACAACACTAACTACAGGTCGTTTTGCATATCGGTGGTTCATTTACAATTCATCTGGGTTATATTCAATGGTTGGAGTTCCTCTGACACTGGTGAGCATACTATGCGATTACAACATTTAGTTTCGTGCAGGTTTTATTGTTTTTAGTATCCATAAAGATGTTTCACTTTGTTGCGCTGTTACCTACAGACAAAGTTAGCTGCTCAGAGTCCTGTTGTAGTTGGCATGGATCTCATACAAGCCATGTGGTTGTTTTGTGTAAACAATAGATCAATCATCAATACAGGATCTGATATACAGTGCCCAGCATAAGTCAGTGCACCCCCTATTGAAAGTAATGTATTACTCAATATCTAGATGAGCAAAAGTACAATTTCCAAAGTTTTGACAGGTTTTGCTCCCAGAACTTTGATTGGGGTGTACTCATTTTTGCATCCTGATTTTAAATTGAAAAAAATACATACTTTTTTTGTATGTAACTTAAAAAATCTTGTTTGCAATCAATGGCCTACGTTTGGGGGTGTATTTTGTTGTAAAGTCTGACATAGAAAATGTTGATTTTGAAAGGAAACTAAATGTTTTCTGACAACTCTAAAGGGGTGAACTCATTTATGCTGAGCACTGTATGGTCTGATGTACGGCCAAGATAAGAAAACGGTCATCTCTGTGTTTGAAAGAATGTCCCTGTCAAACTCTGTTCTGTGCCGGGTGCAGGCTCTGTCATCAGTTTTAAAGCGGACCTTCCTGAGACGGGCATGAACTCACAATCTTGAAAACACAGAAGAACTTCCTGACACTCCAGGGAGGTTTATTTCGGTTCTGGCTGAAGTTCAGGGTCAATCTGTCACACTTGCCTGTGTTTATGGATTTTGTGTCTAATCTAGAATTCCTTCCTGGCACAGAGAATAAACTGTTTCTGTCAGATTGATTTCTTTGTCTCTCTTTGTTGATGACCATCTTCTTCAGGCTTTGTCTTCAGTTGTTTTGATGTTGGTTGTAAAATTATAAAAATGTGAAAAAATAATAGTAGTTTGGTCATTAAAAGAAAAAACTTGCCAAGTGAGGTGGTGGGCATCAAAAATGGTTTGGTAAGATCCAACCAGTCAAAATCGTACCTGATGGAGTAAACTTTTTGTTGTTCTCAAGAGATGGAAATGTAAACAGTCTGAGGTCCTCCATGAAGGGCAGCTGGACGTACATTAAGCACTGTTGAGGTTGAACGAAGGATCATTATCTCTTTGCTCATTTCCTCACAGATTCAGTCGATTAACATTATTCTCTGTGATCTCACCTCATAGTTCTGCTTCACACAAGGAAACGCTGCTCCTACTTGAGGGTTGCTGACCTTGTTGTAGGCGTAACGTACAATAGCGACCATTTCAAGTTCATCAAGCGCTCGAATTAAAGATGACAGAGCAACTGCTGCATGCTGCTCCAAGAAAACAGGAAACAAAAACCTGTCAGCAACAGCACAGAGCCTGCATCAACATGAATCCAGTTATTTTATTACCACCTCGTCATCCTTGGCAGGAAAAATCTTCATGACTTGATTCCCCATGAAGTGATGGCGTTGCACCTTCAGGTAAAGGATGGAGAAAGAAAAGTGAGTAAAAATAACCACTGCAGTACTGAACATGAGATTAAGTTTATTTGAACACTTTTTAAATGACGTGTACTTAAAAATAAAGAACAATACCAGGCTCTGCTTGGTAAAGCCTAAAACTGCAAAGCACTTCCCGTCGTGTCTGTATTTCATCTGGTCTTGGTCGACTTTTGAGAAGGGGACAATATCACTCCCGTAGCGAAAACCTGAATATTAAAGACAGAGGAAGTCTTCTTTGAGGATCTTATTTCACAACAGAATTATAAGACATTATAATTTCACCTTCTCCCTCACCTTGGATAGTATCATCCATTTGCACCTCCGTCTCATTGTCATCATCCAGGCAGTAGACAGTCTCTCTCTTTACGTCCTCTCTCTGGTTGCTTTGTGCATCGACTGTAACCCACATTTTTTTCATTTTCTCATCTGTCACCTGGAGAACCAGAGTTTAAGCGTCACTGTCAGGACAACCAGGTTAAAAGATAATGAAAAGGAAGACATCAAATTTGCCTTGAATTTATATTCATCTTTAATGAAAGCAGAGTTTATGTTTGTCTGTTTGACTTCACTGAACTTACTGCTTTGTATCCAATAATACGAATCGACAGACAGCTGCCGATGGTCAGCTGACAGGGCCAGGCAGTGGGCCTTTTCTCGATCCGCTTGAACATGCGCAGCTGTTCAATTGCATTCCTGCAGCGTAAATACAGCACAGAGAACGCCAAGTTTTATGACATCATGCAATCAGAGAACTCAGTGGGACAAATCTGTTATTCACATGAAAATGGATGTCAGGGAGAAAGAACTGCCACATGACCCCTCAAACCTGAATGTATAAATTTCCCCCAGGCCTTCGTCTTCATCCAGGGTGAGCATGACATGTTTCACCATGTCCAGGCCATCCCTCTGTTCACTGGTCAGTCCCTTTCCTGTGCCTGGGTGACCAGGACCTCGTCTGTCTGCATCTCTGCCACCATTTTCATCTTCATCTTCCTCTGCAGGGAATGGCAAACTGAAAAACATTTAAGATTAGTTACAGAAGTCAGTAGACTTCACTTCAACTGGAACAATCCATGAAAGCATTTTTTGAACCAATGACTGATTTGATTTAATCAAATTACTCACTTTTGGTAAAACAATATATCTCCACAATAAGCCTGTATTCGGTGCTGTGTATCAGCACTTCTGTTTTGTTGTTTTTAAACCAAATTAGAGAATTATTTGTTGAAACCTCTGGCAGGATTAACTATGATAGTCGGCTGTTTGTATCTGAACTTACAAAAACTGCAAGGTGATGTCTGTTTGTTTCAGATTTTCAATGATAACGTCCAGGTGCTCAGAACTGGCCTGAGTACTGAGGTCAGTCAGGAGAGCAATGATGAAACGATCATACTTCTTGTCCCTAAAAGAAATGATAAAAAGTGACACTATTATAAAACTATCATTAAAAAGCAATTAAAAAAGTAAAGGTTAAATGAGTTGCAAACAAACAAATCAACAAAAAGCATGGACAAAGGTGAGTTTGTTTTTTTACTTTGTTTCAGTCTTGATGAGATCCATGCAGACAACAAGTGCATCCAGCCCTAATGAAAAAGAGTTAAGGTGACCACAGACTCTAATGCATCCCAGATTTTAAGTAAATTCTTTTATCCCCTTCACAATATAGTAAAAAAATCAAACACAACCTTTCTCAGACTGCTGCACAAAAACTAGTCCATGAATTTTCTTTCTCCTGGTTAGGTGTATTTGAGGCCATGAATAATCCACCATTACCCTTCTGTGTTAAAAACCATTTAGGATTAGTCTAAACCCTGAACAAAGATGATGTATTCTCAATAGCAAAACAACCAAAGGAAGAACCAAATGACATGCATGATATCAAATCTGGCTGTAAAAAGGGGTCTGGGACATTTCACATCTGCTTGTTGACATTTTCTTAAGTTTTCATTGACAGTTGAAGAACATAGAGGATGATTTTTTTAAAGTGCCATTATAAAATAAGACAGGTGAAGTGACACAGGGAAATTGAAGAGTAGCATACCAGCAACTGTTGCAAAACCTTTGAACCTTGACTTGATAAAGGTTCAAGGAGCTTATCAGTTATACTGCTTTTCAGTACAACACTCTCTAGTACATCACCGCCCACTACAACTCCAATAAGTATAATAATCACCTGTTTGATCATGTCAAGAACTGAAAAAGAGGCCTCCTGAAAGAAGTTAAAATTGCTCAGATGTCCACAGTATTATGACTAGTCAGCCTTAATGTGTCCAAACCGGCAAAGCCTATAAGTAAACTGATAAATACAGAGTCCAGTAAAAGGATACAGTCTGCCTGTGAATTCTCTGGCTGGATCTGATTCTCTATTTCCTCCAGGAGCTCAAAATCAGGTATCATCAGATGACGGTGCACTGTGATGTTCTGGTACTGTCCATCCTGGTCCAGACGGTTATTTGTGGAGTCTGTGCCAAAGAGAACTAAAGCCAGTTCATCCTTTGTCTCTGCAAACACCTGTGAAAGACCAGTGCAGACTAGAATGTCAGACAGATTAAGACTACAGTCAAGCCCAAAATCATTCATACCCCTGGCAAATTTTGACTTAAAGTTACTTTTATTCAACCAGCAAGTTTTTTATTAATTGGAAATGACACATGCATCTCCTAGAAGATAATAAGATGATGTACAAGAGGCATAATTGTGGAAAGAAATATTTCAAAGCTTTTATTTAAATTTGAACAAAAAGTGGCATGTCCAAAATTATTCATACCCTTTGCAAACTGTCACAGACTATGAGAGAATCCAAAGTTCTATACCATTCCAAATAGTCCAAGCTGTTCTAAAGCATCCTAATTACCCTGATTAATTGGAAACAGCTGTTTTAATCAACTCAACAGGTGAAAAACAGCTCTCTGCAGTTTTGGACAGTCGTGACTAAGACAAAGGAGCTCACTGAGGACCAGCGGCTGCGCATTGTGGCTGCTCACAAGTCAGGAAAGGGCTATAGGGCCATATCTAAATGTTTTCAAGTTCCAGTGGCTACAGTGCAAAGTGTTATTAAAAAATACAAGATATTCTGCACTGTGGAAAATCTCAGAGGACGTGGTCGGAAGCCTAAAGTGACACCTGTGCTGGCCAGGAGGACAGTGAGAGAGGTGAAAAAGAATCCAAGGATCACCGGCAAGGCCATCCTGGTGAATCTGGGCTCTGCTGGTGGCAACATCTAAAGGCAGACAGACCAACGGACACTGCACACTGTGGGGTTCCACCGACGTAGACCAAGGAGGACGCCACTTCTTCAGATAAGGAACACAAACGCCTGCTCGGCCTTTGCAAAAGCTCATCTGGACAAAAAAAAAAGACTTCTGGTCTTCTGTCATGTGGTCAGATGAAACAAAAAATTGACTTGTTTGGCCACAATGATGTAGCCTTCATTTGGCGTAAAAAAGGAGAAGCCATCAACCCTAAGAACACAATCCCCACTGTCAAACATGGTGGTGGGAACCTAATGCTTTGGGGGTGTTTTTCAGCCAGTGGACCAGGGAACCTAATCACAGTAAATGGCACCCTGTAAAAGAACAATACATCAAGATTCTCAACAACAACACCAAGCAGTCTGCAGAGAAACTTGGCCTTGGGTACCAGTAGATGTTTCAGCACCACAACGAGCCAAAACACACAGCAAAAGTAGTAAAGAAATGGTTAGCAGACAAAAACATTAACGTTTTGCAGTGGCCCAGCCTGAGTCCTGATTTGAATCCAATAGAGAATCTGTGGAGGTAAGGGAGCTTAAGATCAGGGTGATGGCAAGGAGGCCCTCCAACCTGAAAGAGTTGGAGCTCATCGCTAAAGATGAATGGGCGAAAATACCAGTGGAGACATGCAAAAAGCTGGTCAGCCATTATAGGAAGCGCTTGATCGCTGTAATAGCCAATAAAGGCTTTTCTATTGATTATCGAGAAGGGTATGAATCATTTTGGACATGCCACTTTTTGTTCAAATGTAAATAAAAGCTTTGAAATATTTCTTTCCACAATGATGCCTCTTGTACATCGTCTTATCAACCTCTGGGAGATGCCTGTGTCATTTCCAATTAACAAAAAACTTGCTGGTTGAATAAAAGTAACTTTAAGTCAAAATTTGTCAGGGGTATGAATAATTTTGGGCTTGACTGGATAACAACATTAAGACTATATAATTACTAGTCCTAGAAATGATACATTTACCTGGCGCTGGACAAACTTCTGCATGACTTTTTTGGCCTGTTCATAGGCAGACTCTTCACCCGGAGCATTGTTGGACATAGAGAGTCCAACATCCATGCAGAGCACCAACGCTGACTACGGGGAGACATGTAAATCAGGTTTGGAAAGCAGGCGAAATCACAAATAAAAACGTGAAAATAAGCTATTACAAACAAGAAATATAAAGTATTTGTCAAAAGTATTAATTTTAAGGAACCAAACTGCTCTGCCAGTATAAAGAGTGTATACCATAGACTGTATGGTGTATACATGTTCAATAGAGGGCGTGAGCAAGCGCCAGACTAGACATGTCCAAACATGTCGCTATGGTGAACCTCTGTTTACTACACACTTATGTATCTAAAGTGTTACCACCACCCACTGCAAACGAACATCTGTTCTGGTAAAGCTTTATTTAAGTACAATTCATTCATTTTACAGATGTATTTAAAAGTTACTCACTCTTGAACCTGCCATCCTCTTCTTTCCCTCTCTCCCAAACTGCGTGCCTCTGTGTTATGGCTCCGGGTAGAAACTGTTGATGGCAGACACAGAGCGCAGGTTCCTGCTTGCGGTGAAACGGTTCCGCAGTAAATCTCAGCGAGCTTTATCGGATCGATTTGGTCGGTTGGTCTGATATAAATCCCAATACACGCGTTTAATGAACCATATTCAACCTCTGATAGGGTGCAGTAGTTTCTGTAGAGGTGCTTCAGGGCTCGAGACGGGTCTGTGCAAATTATGAAATACACTTTTGGGATGTAGGTCAAACGCCCTCCAGTGTTTCAAATAACAATGTGCAAAGAGAGGAGTCATTCTGTGTTGGCGGATGAATGCATGCATAAAATTAACATGGGTGAATAAAAGCAGAGTTTTATCAGGTCAAACCCACAAAACCACACATACTGCCGACCTTTTATAAGATCTGCTTATTTCTTGTCTTTTCAAAGGCTTCTTTTCAGTCATTTTAGTTGATGTTGTCCCAGTCCAATCACCAGAATTAACCTTAATGTTTCAACACAAGGTTAATATTCTTTGTAGCAATTGCCCATTAGTGTAGTGTTGACCTACAGACTAGTTCCATGATGCATCATAGCTTTTTACAACATATAGCCCTATTAATGGATACAGTAAAACTGGACAGTCAAACAGGCCAGCATAAGCAGTTTCCTACTGCACTGGATTTGGCTTCAGGGCAATTAGCAACCCACCATAATACCAGGGTGCCAATAATCAGATCTCCAATACCCCTGAACGTTGCTTCAGTGTGTACTATGTTAGGGATGTGGCCAATAAAGATTTTAAACACTCAAAACACAAAGAGAACAGCAGTAACTGGCTATAAAATGTTCTTCCAAACCAATCAACAATACGGTGTGCCACTGCCACAAAAGTTATTTAAATCAACACACAATTGCAGTGTAATAACACAATTTATTTCATTTGTGGAATTAGTTTGCAACCTGAAGTTTTATAACATACAATGTTTGATACAGCCTCAATCTACAACCACTGATCCATGTCTTTACCTGTTAGAAAATAAAACTGATTTACTTAACACAGCAGGTCTGATCATTTGGACACATTATCTAACCATCATATCTACCTGAACAAAGGTCAGTTGTTTCTGAGTGCCAGAGTACAAAACACCTAGCTACAACAATTCCCGGAAGTGTACTGTTGTTAAAAAGTATTAAAACATATTAAATAAACATTGAAAATATGACTGTTCAGCTATGTAACAGAAGCTATGAGCTTGAAAATCACTGAGCCCACATAGTGACAAAGACGTGTAGATTGTAAGGAAGTAAAATACCAACATCTGTGTAAATGGTGCCACAAACAGATGTAAACATAAACACATATTCATGGCTATGGCTTCAAATCATGGCTTGATTATTCTGCCAGTGGGCCCAAGAGCAGTGATGAGCAATAGACCAGTATTGATCACTATTGCTTTTCCTTCTTCTCTTTAGATAATGTACATTAAACATCAAGTTTAAATCCAACATCAACACTGGATTAATCCCTAAACCAAATATTTAATTTGAATCTAACTCTGACGATGCAGGTTTTTCAGAGCTAAATGTCTCTATTTTCTATAAAAATCGTGCATAACCCATTAATCAGTGACATTTTAAGCCAATCTACAGTAGACAGTAACATACGAGTTACACTTGTTTTGAAAACATTTGCTCAGATCATCAGCGCTAAGCTGTTTCAGGGCCATTTTCCCCCTCATGAAAAACTCACGTTTTTGAAAGGCTTACATCTTCTTGAGAAACAGTTAGCATTATTAAGGGGTTTAGGTAGAATAAATAAGTCTCAACTTCATAAGAGAGACAAAACATTGCTACTTTTGACCTTTTTATGGGATACATTTGTTGCCATCTATACTTTTTTTTTTACAATAGATGCAAACAGAGGCCGAGTATAAGAAATTCCCTATCTTAAATTTCAACATACAGGTAGCCTGCATCTGTGGCCCTTGAGGCAGCTGCATCCTTTTTCTAGTTGAAAATCCAGCCTTACTTGACACACAACTTTCATGAGCTATTATGATGACTTAACAAACAAGACAGCACTGCCTCTGAAGTGGAGGCTGCTTTTGATGTCAGTGCATCACATACAATAAATAACACATATTTACAGAGAGTATGAATCTTGACTTCAGACAATTTATGTATCAGTGTCCGCAACTTGCCTCGCTAGAGTCTAGAATCCACTTCAAGGAGCACCATGGCCTTCATATATAAAAATATGTGAGTGAGATTCGGTGATAGAAGGATGACTTCAATAACTTTGACACGTAAAAATGTAAAAAATTACAATATTTGACTCCCATGCTCAAAGAAATAGTTTAAATATATAAGGATCAAATAATACCTTATAAAATTTGAAGTAAAGTCCAGCATTTTAGGACAATTCAGGCAGTGTTTGATAAGTTACAGAAAAGTGAGATAGTTTTAAAATACTTCCCTGTGAACAACTGAAGCTTTCTGGCACATGCTCGGTATACCACTGTAAATTAGAGCCTACGTAAACACGTGCTTTTTCCTCTCTTTACACTGATGATGTCTGGGCAAGTTCACTGGGGGCTTTGCTCTGCAGAGTTCCTGAAACAGTATCAGAGTCAAGCAGCTCCACAATGCTATAAGGGGAGCAATCCTCCAGTCCTAGTTTCCCACAGGCCCAGCCACAGAAGCCCTTTTCCAGGTCTCTCACAGCCTGCCACCACTCACTGGCAGCCCAGGACACCTGCACCACCGCTGAGTACAGGGCCAGAGACAGTGCCATTGGCATGATGAGCATGGGGTAGAAGATGATAAGGAAGGGGCATATTGTAATCTTGTGCCAAAATGTCCGCTCTTCATTGTACACTAAGAAGACGTTGTACCAGGTGAGAGTGCCGTAGTAGAAGGAAGTGATGAAGGAGAGAAGAAAAACCACTGGAGCGCAGGAGATGCTCCACAAGACAACATGCGGGCCTTGGCACACACCTAAACCGCAGGTGCGTTTGGAGCCCTCGCCTGCCTCACATTCTGCATCAAGACGTTCCTTTGACTTGGCCAGGTCCCTAATTTCTTTCTCTGTCAAAGTGAGGTGAATGTCTACCAGTTGGCCCTTCTTCTTCCCTCGGGTGATGGTGCCTGTCAGGGTGACATAGCGGCTGTCTGGAGGGAGGCTCCATCCTCCACCTGTAATGACACAAAAATAATCACCAACAAGGTCCATCATTTTGCAAAATTCTAATTCTAAAACCTTTTTTCTTTCCATGATTTTATGGTGATTTCTCATCATTTTCATGGTATCATATTCTACAATTCTATCTTTGTATAGTTTATGCAGTTTTCAGACAGATTATTTGATGTAAATTTCACTGTATATTTTGTTTTTAGCTGTTTACATAGGATTTTTTTCTTTTCTTTTTTTTAAGTATACACATCTTCTTACCCTCGCCTGTAGGTGTGCAGAGGAACTGAGCTCCCTCCTCCGTGCTCCTCTCTCCTCCCTCCTCACCGCCTTGCTCCTCTCCAGAGGCCCTCTCCATCTCAGAGCGGTAAACAATTATGGACTCTGGACGTGGGTCCTTCTTCTTCCTCCTCTTCCTCCTTATGGAAGGCCCCAAATCTCTGTCGTCCACATGGTTCCCTGATATGTCTGACCTTAAGGAGATCATCTGGGGGCTTCCCTCTCCTTCAGTCTGAGACTCCTCTACCTGTGCCATGCTCTCACCTGGTCTGGTAAACTCTTTGACTCTTAAAAGCTACCCTTTAAAAGGCTGCTGATGTGTATTCATCCATTGTGTTTGAGGAGAAACTGAGAACAAAGTGATAAAAGTAAAAACATAAATTAAGAGAAAAAACAACGCCTGAAAGGCATGCTCTATACACTAAGAATAATCCCCTCGTACAGTGATCCTGGCCTAGATTATCCAGAGTCGCCTTTGCTGTGATGATAGTTGATGAGATATGTCTAATGTCAAATCATCATTAATCTAATGGCATTTTGCATTTAGGCTGACACAAACCAAATCGCTTTGGACTGGTGTTAAACAAAGCGTGAGAGGTCTATTCAAAAGGGGGGTTGTTTCTCCTCCTGTACATGACAGCGCACTCTCAGTGGATACCCTCCGAGCTCAGTCTCAGTAGCCCATCAAAAACATCACTTTCCTCAACAGCCAAAACGATAGGATAACAGACTTTTTGAAGATGGCGTGTGATGATCTTCGAAATGAATGCATGATTTCACATGAAGCTTATTAATCGACAATGAAACCCATTCTTCCCACAGCTGATCCCCTCCCATTTAAATCCCACCCATGTCCGCTCTTTTGTCTGCAGACGCCAGCCGGCGAGCAGCATGCATTCAAACTACAGCTGCATATTGAGTATTATCTTACCTTTGATAGGTTCAGCGAAAACCAAATTGATACAGCCCCGCGTGTGAGGAAAAATCACCAGATTTAGCTGACATATTGCGGGAGCCCACGCACCACAGCGCGGTGTTTGCCGATACAGATGCGCTACGTAGAGGATTTCAAGAATAGCACAAAACCCGCCCCTCCAACCCCTGTCACACCAATCCTGCGCAGATCCGGAGACATATCCCTCCTCTTCACTGATGCCATGAGGATATATGTGAGGGGAAATAAAACACAAATGTCTACAAAACATATTTTCTGAAGCAGAGGTTAAATTGTGATAGAAAATAAATAATATTAATATAAAATATTGATATCAATAAAAATTTAATATAAATAAAAAAGTTTAATTAGATAATAAATCGTAAAACTACATTTTCAATGTTAAACAGCAGGTGCACATTTCAGAAGAATACGTTGGGCTGAAACCTTATAGATTTATAAAGTTTTTCCAATAATACTGTTATTCATCCAAATGATTAGTTCTTTAAATGGGGTATATGCAAAAAATAATGTTTATTAGAGTGATAGGATACAACCATAGACTGTGTATACTATACTATTGTTATGCTACTATTATTATACTAGCATATACTATACTATTTTATATATTGTCTATGGATAACAGCCAAAAATAACACTGGAAAAATAAATAAGCCAACAGTATTGTGAAATTCATACTGAATTGCTTGTTTTATTGTTATCTTTTAAAGAGACGGAAATTACTTGAAGAAGCCTTATGGTTTGAACCAATCTGAACCAGTTTATAGTCAAACCTAGACCTACACAAACAGTAGGCTAAAATTCAATAATTGTTATTACTATTTTTATATTTCACAAATTAAGTTATAAAATTAACCCTAAACTTACAGCCCGGTTTACAACGTTGATAGTGCATGCAGTAATTTTAAATAAACTTAAGTACGTTAGGTGTGTCAGGTTAAGGTGGACATGTCTCCCTAACGACCGTTGATGGGCAGTCAGTCGCACGAGCCCCCGACCGTTGATGTAGGAACAGCTAACATTACAAAATGGACGACCAATACTCATTCGACAACATCGACAGTCAGCTTTGTCAATTAGGTTTGTTCAAATTTTCTTGTCTTTAGTTTAATGTTTCTTACTTATAGTTTAACTTTTGGTTGTACATATTTGCTTTATCTGCTGTTGAGGTTTAGCTAGCTAAAGTAAACTACCTAACAACCCTCAACAAAGCTAGTTTTTGTATGAAAAGAGCTTACAACATTTGGTCAATTAGCTTATAATGAAGAGAACACTCAATTTAATGTAAAACAACTCAATAGTTTTTTTATTTTACAGCACTTCAAACCCGAGAGCTTTCCCAAAAGAAAAATGAAATCAACCAACAAATCAAAGGTAGCCTATAGAGCTTTGTATTGTACTTTACACGTATTGTCTTGAAATTGTGCCCATACATTTTTCACATCCTTTCTAACAGTTTGTAGAGATGAAATTGCTGAGAAGAAGGCTTACATGGAAACCCTCAAGAAAAATATCCAGAAACTCGAAGGAGAAATCACAGAGAAGCAAAGCACTTGGACTCACAACAAAGCATGTGCTAAAAGGTACATTTATATGGTCAAACCCTGATGGATTGATTTTTATACAAAATCAAATGTTGCACATTAATCTGATGGTGTTTTTATTTCTCACCTTTATCTTTGTAAATATAGCATAAAGGCCACAAACAGTATACTTCTTCAGTATGAGCGGGAACTAAAAGAAGAACTGGAGAACAGAAAAGCGCAGTACAACCATGATCTGTAGGTACACCAAGCTGAGGTGTTAAATCGTGTTTAACCTTTTCTTACTTTTTTTATCTTGTGAGAATTGTTAAGCAGTTTTGTCTGTTTGTGACCTTTCAAGGATGGCTAATGAAGAGAGAATTGCAAGCTATAAGAAGACATTTCAGTGGCATAAAGACTTTTATACCAGAAGTCCTCTCGCACAAAAGCTCATCGCACTGCAGGCTGAAAATGAGAATATGAAGTCCAGGATCAAGGCTTGGGATGATCAAATAACAACAAAGCAGAATGAGCTGGATATTCTAAATGGTAATAAACATAACATACATATTATCACTATACCAATTGCTGTGGTAGTGCTGTAAAATTTCCTTTTTTTCTCATGCGATTTTTGCTTTAACAGGTCCAGCAGCCAATTCTGTTCCTGCTGAGAAACTATCAGACAGGTATTTTTCAGTGAGTCTTTGTGATGTCCGCAAATTGTAATACATTGCAGAGTTCAGTTTTTCTCTGATAAGTCCATTTCTGTTCCTAGTATTTCTGTACAACAACCCCCAGCAAAACCAGAGGACCAACTTGCTCCTCAGACAGAGGACAGTGATTCTTTCATTGACATCCTCTCTCTTCATCTCAACCAGACAACAGTACTCTGATACATTAGTCAATAAGTAGAGTTGGTCCTGATATAACCACAAACCACTGTTGCTAAACGTGTCACTTGTTTTGTAGGATGACTATCATATGTCTGAGGATGCAAATGCTGAGGAAATTTCTGAGGAAAACAAGGTCCAGAATACCTCTATCCCCAGCCATGACCCAGAGGAAGAGGAAACTGATGGGATAGTGTCACAGCATCTGTTGTGTGGTAGGAAAGGAGACTGGAATGTATTTTATTCAGTGCCAGCACTTCATACTCCAAGATGCAGGATTTTATTTATGTATCATCTAATGTCTATAGCAAAGTCAATGTTTTCCCAGAGCAAAGAGGGCCAGATGTGGTGCAAGGTGAAGAGGAGAACCAGGAAGTTAGACTAGACGACCAGATCTTGGTAATGTTTCAGTTAGATTTAAATTGTTTTATATTAAACACCCAAAGAAAAAAGTAAAATCCAGGGTGATGCTTTTGAAGTTCAACTCATACTGGAGACTGAAAATTAATTGGTAGAACATCTGCTGAATTATGCTCTTACTTTGTCTTTTAAGTTATTCCTCATAAATCCCTCACTGTTATTAAACTGAAATGATACTCAGGCTGTATATGTATTCTCAATGGCTCTGCAAGCTCTGTAAAAAGGTTCGATTATGAAAAACTAAAAAGCAGCAGCTCCTACCATAATCTCAGGCAACCTAATTTAAACCACCAATTAGTAAAGTCACTGCTCTGAACTTTTTTCCTCAAGTGAAGTAGCAAATACCTTTTTGGCTGTAATTTGTGTTTAATATTTTGTTTACTTAAAGCGTTGATTGATTGGGATAGGAACACACTGTAGTTGTATAATGGTCTGTTTAAGTTATGCAGTCTCAAAGTTTTCCCCTCTTGGGAATATTTTAGCACTTTGTTTATTTGTATTTCACTGAGCAGGGACATCAGTCTTCTGCATCAGACAAAGAGGAAGCACTGATGGAGGCGGTGGAGGAAGTTGTTGTTGAAGAGGAAGAATGGGCACCAGTTGAAGAGAGCATTGAGAGAACCACTACTTTCCTTCAGTTCTCATCTGAAGAAACTAATCCTCAGTCTTCCTCAGCAACTGTAAAAACTGCACCATCAACCCCAAAGTTTCCATTTAAGTAAGGCTTTATCTCAGTGGTTTAAAGCTTTAATTCACTGTCAAGACAGCTTCTGAGATCCATGTTTCATGTGTTCACTTCAGCTTTAGCCCTGCCAGCTCTCCCCATCATGGGACCTCTGATACAAAATCTCCAGCCTTCATGTTCTCTCTGAACCCTGATCCCAGCACCCCAGGCTCCTCTGGGTTTGGATTTAATATGGGCTCATCACAGGATGAGGTGAGGAGCAGGCAGAAAGAATAAGCAATTTGACAGAAATCACTTTTTTTTCTTGATATTTAAATAAATATCTTCTATTTTCCACAGGAGTCATCTTTTGCTTTCACCAGCACTTTTTTCAGTGAGAAGGTACAGTGATTTTACTGTTAGAGCTCTTTATTTTGTTAACTTCTACTAGAGCTTAAATACTAACCCGCGTGCATCTTTTTACAGGAAACCCCAGAATCAAAGTCCTCAAACTGTAAGTCTCCTTTAAATGGTTCATTTTTACTTGATAGATCATCCACCTTGAACTGCAGGTATGTACATCTTATTTTCAGGCTCAGGGTTCCCATTTGGCCGAGCAGAGCAAATTGGTGATTTTCAGTTTGCTTTCGCCGCAAAGACTCCTCAGACAAACACGAAGAATAACCCAGAAGAGGATTTTCCTTTTTCATTCAACTTTTGAGAACTACAAGCAATTTTAAATGTTGAATACTTTTGTTGATAAGACTATTGTTTAAATGTTGTTGTGTTTTTTTACTTTCATTTGCAACAGTTGGTTAGTATTCAACTTAAACTATTAAAAAGTTAAAGCAATCCTTTCCATGCAGTTCTTTTAAATTGTTGTTTTACTATATTGTGTTTTCATTTGCCAGTCAAATTTCTATTTAAAGGCTTATTACTAAATGTGAAATAGTAAACATTACCACTGAATATCATTTTAATGTTGAAGCAGGATTGAAATAATACAAATACGTCGATATATGTGGAGATTTCCTTATTTTTTACATAGCAATTATTCAAGTGTTATAATCAACTGTTCCTTAATATATTGTTCCTTGTGCTGTGATTGATAAATGAAGCACTGTTTCAGTCTTACATGTGTATTACTGAATTAATAAAAGAAGTACAAAAACAACCGCCAAAGTCATGATCAAGTCCTGTTCTGAAATTGATGTGTATCACAAAAGCATCTCAAAGTATATGTATTGTAAAATACATGCAATAAGAAAGATTCGAAAATGTTCAGAAACCACTTTAAGCTTTAAAAATCTGGATACAGATAATTATTGATAAAGATTTGTTCAGGGAAATGTGTACTGTACTTTTTCAAAGTCAGTTTTAAATGATTACAGTTAAAGCTTGAAGGCAGGTCTGTCCTTTTTACACATATCTGACCAAACATAGGCTCAATTGGCACATGATGTAGCTGCTGTTCTGTTTTTAATGCTTCTTCCGATGAACAAATTCATGCATTCAAATTTTATACCGTTTGATATACTACAGCTACTTTAACGCTTTAGACAGAGTGTGCTAAGCTGTCCCTATAAAACCTTAATACCTGTCAACAGAAATGGCAGCATTTTGAAGACCTTTCAGTGTCTGTCGGGCCAAATGAGAGGCAGATGAGGATTAAAAGTGCAGAGAGAATGTTGCAGTATAAGAGAGCCTAAAACCCTGGGTCTATGCTGAGGGAGCGTCTTGTTACATGTGCAATCTCTCCTGGGACATATTCACAGAAGCTGGTTTGGTACTTGGCCAACATTTTGAGCAGTGGCCTAAGTTTAAGCCACCACTGGTCCTTTGGCATCCGGTGCCTGAAAAACAAACATTCACAAATTACTGACTGCTTCATAACAAAGGCTTCATCGCTGACATAAAGTATTTTCCTTACTCAAAATCAGTCACTTCCTTTAGTTCAGTGACGGGAGAGAATGAGATGACCTTCCTTTTGAGGCCGAGCACACATGCAGTATCTGGTGAGTTGGCAAACACACGACCTGTTGGAAGAAACAAAGGGATTATATCACAATGCAGTGACTTTCTGCGTCTGAGCAATTAATATCAGCTAAAGCTTTATGCAGTAACTCTACCTTGTCTGAAGTTTTCAGTCAGTCTGTCTGTAATCCACTGGATCGCTCTCACTCCTAACTTGGTGCCGAAATTTCTATCAAAAGGAGAGGGTGATCCTCCCTGGAGTACAAAACCACAAGATGAGGAAAACATGCACAAAAACCCTTTGTTATTAAAAGAAGTGTAATTTTGTTTCTACTGTAAATAATATTGTGGTAGTTTCTGTTCTGTGTCAATGGATCTTATACAACGGCTCTGAACCTGCTGCAGGTGTCCCAGCACATTGACTCTGCAGTCAAAGACGCCCTTTCCCTCTGATGAGTACAGCTTGTGGATGAAGTCTGTGGTGTAGTTCTCGTGGCATTTTTCATTCCTGTTAGAACAAGAGAAAACAGGAGCACAGAAAGTTTCTCATGTGTTACAGAAGTTTTTTTTTTTTAATTATTATTTTATGGAAGATGTGCTATGGTCACTTTACATTAATCAAATATTAGGGCACATACAAAAAAGAGGGTTGCACGGATAAAGTTAAAAAAAAAAAATCAAAGGTATAAACTTTGGAAAATAAAATCGTAATATAACAAGAATGACATTGGAAAGCTGTGTTTCCATGAGGCTGCCTATTATTCTGCCTGTCTCTGGATTAGACCAGATTTCTTTTCAGGGTCCCGATACTTATGACCCTTTTTCTTCTTCTTTCTTCAGCCAGCGTAAAAATATATAAAATCACATATTTGTACACCCACATCAGTCTACTTTCCCTTTTTTGTTTCTATCTCATTGTGTGTCTTTGTTTTTACATCAGATTCAGATTCAGATTCAGATTCAGATTGGATTTATTTGTCATTGCACATGTCACAAGTACAGAGCAATGAAATTGCCTTCCAGCAGAGGAGGGTGAGGAGGAAGCTTGATATGTACTTCTAAGTGCATCAAAACAATCAAGACTAACACAGGGAGGTTATCAGGTCACGTTCCAGACAAGCAGCTGAACTTACTAAAACTGTATTAGTTGATGTTGATGATTCACGCAACTGGATGGCCCAGCCAGGCTAGGACAAATGTGGTATTTAGCACGGCCTGTTTGATGTAGTGAACAAATGTTGGAGAGCTGAAGAGTGAGGAGTGCACTTATTGGTTGAATATTGCATTTAATATCAAACCTGCTGTGGGCCATCCAAAAAAACATAAGCTGCTGGGTAAATGCCTGTGTGCAACTTTTGATCCTGAAAAAACTGTTTCTGAGTAGCTGATGTCTCATCAAGTGGCTTATGGTGGCTGACAGCTCAGTGAGTGCATGCATCAGTGTACAATGACACATTATGTTTGCATCAGCCTGTACTGACAAGCTGAGAGCAGAGGACACAAGCTGCTGCAACACCAAAGGATGGTAAATCTCAGTATGGATTTAATTACTAAATTATTGCGGTGCAAGTTTTCCAAGCGGAAAATCTACCCATATTTGGTACTTAACAAGTGTTAATCTTGGTATGGCTGCATAAGTGTTATTTACCTCAGCACCAGACCCCTCTGAATGTCCTTCTTCATCTTCTCAGTCAAATGCTCCACATTGGTCTGTCAGATGAGCAAATAATTAAAAACCCAGACTGTTTGAAATATTTTCAAATTTAGAAGACAAAACCAGCAGAGATTTTTCTATATAGTCTTCTTACCGTCAGGTCATGGATATCGAAGGAGTCTTCAAAGATGTAGGCTGCATCAGCCCCAACTGCGATGCCAGTGGAGGTTGCCAGATAGCCACAGTAACCACCCATGGTTTCCACCACAAACACTCGTCGCTTGGTACCAGTGGCAGACTGCTTGATCTTATCGCAACCCTACAAAGGAAATAAGTCAGCAGAGTGTAGTAACAGGGTAGGGGGAATGGAGAAAGAGCTAAATTCAACTAAATCCAAAAATCAAGACAGACCGAAAAGCAACAGCAGGAGCAGATGTAGGTAACTCCACAAATAAAGTTTTTCTTGGACAAGAACTACAGGTGTAATTTAACTTTTTAAATTAAGTGCAATGCTAAATATAGGGGCAAATTCAAGTCCTCTCTAATCTGTCTTCTTCCCGCCAACAGTTGAAAGATGAAATCTTAATCTCAAACCACGTTGCCATCCCTGTTTTGACTACATTAACAGGGTTCAAAGTGTATCTGTGTAATGCAGCAGCTCATATTAGATGAGAAGTACTCTGGATGGCTCATCTCTATTCATGTCGGGCCTCAAACATCAAAGTCACACTGTTAATTTGCCATCTGCTCAGCATTACCTCCATGGCAGCATTGACGGCCGTGTCTGCCCCAACGCTGAAGTCGGTTCCAGGGACGTTGTTGCTGATGGTGGCAGGGATTACAACCATGGGGATGCAAAGCTCATCATAGCGACCCCGGGCTTCAAAAAGCTGCAGCACACCTTCGTACCCCTTGGCAAGACATCAAGAAACAGACAGAAAACTTCTTTGAAGTGACGGCCACACTATATTAAGATATATAAGATTCAGCTCAAGCTCTTCATAGGGTTGTCTCTTACCTCAAACCCTCCAATCACAAGTAGAGCGGAGATGTTAAACTTAGTGATGGTTTCAACAATTTTCTCGAGATGTTTGTTTGGAAGAGTTCTAAAACAGGACATAAAACGAGGACAAAAATGTGTTAATCCACTTTGGTTACGACAAATCAGGACACTGTGCACAGCTGGTGCACCTGGTCTCTCAGCTTTGGTGGGTTGCTACATTTCTTTACACAAAATAGAGGGCCTGAATTTAAAAGAAGTGGGTAGAAAGGTCCTACAACTGTCCACCCAAAAATCCTTGACTTTGTTTAGTTGTGTGCCTTATCAGAGTCTGGGATTACAAGATGTGGGATTTATTTTGTTGGGCTGTATTTCAACTGCCTCCCAGCAGCTGTCTTTGCACTTCAATGTAGCACAATTTTACATTTAGGTAAGAGAAAGAAGGGAGACGGGTCAATAATTGCAATTCCTTTGTGTGTGAGTGTGACACATACATGTTATTAGATATATTACAAGAAGGCACTTTGATCATCAATTTTCTCTGTTTATCTGCCCCCTCAAGACCACAAAACTTCTTTAAGTTCAAATGTTGATTCACTCTGAACAACTTAAATATCTTTGTAGTTATTTAACCGAGGTCTATGAACAATCACCTCTTTGTCCCCAGCAGTGAGCCCCCTTGGCCAGTCCATCCCGCCACGTTGTGCCATTCCATCTCAAAAATCTGCCATCCAGAACATGCAAGTACACAATAAATTTACATCCATACAGGGTTGTTATTGGTGAGAGATCTTTGAATGAGATTTAAGGGGAGGAAATTCTCACGTCTCCTTTTGCAAGTCCTTGAAAGCCATCGTGGACAGCATAGACTTTGTGTCCATGAGCAAGCGCCAACCTAATAGCAGACCTGGCAGCTGCGTTCATCCCTGCAGCTGGAGCTCCGACATTCAGAATAGCCACAGAGAAATTGCTCTGAGGGAAAATAAGGAGATTTGGGTCATTTTAGTGTTTTTGTTATATGCTATAAATTAGGGTGACCATATTCTGAATCCCAAAAAAGAGGACATGCACACAAAATTTTGAGGGTTTTTCAGGTCGAGTGTTTTTTAAGCGCTTCTAACTCAGTTAAACGCATATTCTGAATTACAAAAAAGACACTTAACCAGGCCTCTAGGAGGTACTGAAAAATACTTAAACAAAGTTGCATTTATAAACAATATATTCATTTATCTAAAACATTTCTCCTTAACATAATTATCAGTCACATACAAATATATCTCCCTTTTCTTTTGCTCACCGGCAGACAGTGCATGCGTGCATCTCGTCAGTGGCTTTGCTTAGAACTGAGCGGAGGAGCAGAGCTGCAGAGAGCACTGATGCACTGCACTGTTTCATAATAAATGAATACACGAACACACGTCTTAGAGTGTGTTTCCAAATGAACCATTGAACGTGTATGGTAAATACAGAGGAAAAAACGGGCTTCCGTACAAAACCCCAGACATTTGAAGGATTTTAGAAACTCCCCCTGGACAGGCCGGACAGCCCCCCTAAAAGAGGACATGTCCGGGTAAAAGAGGACGTATGTTCACCCTATGTAAATATATTCTTTTAATCCTGCATAAGTTGTTCCCCCTTTGTATAGTCGCAAGACTTACCTGACACTGTGCAGGCTTCTGAAAGGCAAGGAGTTTGTAGATATTCCAGTTGTTCTCAAAACTCCTGCAAGAAAACCATACATATGACACATCATACTGACATACCTTAACTCATTTTAAAAATACATGCGTATAAAAATGTGCAGACAGAATTTTGGCCCTCACCCTCCACGCAGTTTTACAGCCTCCTCAAACCTTTTCTCATTCATGGCCGTCTGCACCAACTTTGTCTGAGGATGATGATGATAGAGTTAAAAAATACATCAGCCCTCCACCAGCGATAGAACTTCCATTAAAACCAATTATAGAAGACAGGAGGGTGACTCACCATCTCCACACACTCCATTAGAGGCAGACGAACAGGATGGTTTCCTGACAGGCCGATGGCACAGGCAGGGGTGTCAGGAGAGGCCTCCATAAGAGCCACCACCGCCTCCACACCCAACTTACTGCTCTGAAAATAGCAGCGTACTTCACATTTGAATGCACTGATAATGTGTCACAGGGCATTATGGGTAATTTCTTGTGTTGGCATCATGGAGAATGGCTTGTCTGAACAACGATTTCATTTTAGCAGTATTGATTATTTTGAATGTACTGAGGATATAAAGCACTGAAACAGGGAGAAATGTGAAAAACTTGACTGGGCACATGGTACAGTATGATACAAGTCATTTATCTGAGCCTGTCAGTCAATCAGAAAACAGTTTTCTCCACTTTTAAGCTAAACCTATGAAGAAAAGGCTTTGGCAGAAACACGTCTTTAGGCAGTCCATGGTTGAAATATTGCCATGACTGGTCATATTAACTGTTGTTCACTTCTGCAGTTAGTAGCAAATAAAAGGTAAAGCAGTATGTTTTCTAACTCACCAGTATCCTGTCAAAGGCAGAGGGAGTTCCTCCTCGCTGAACATGACCGAGAACTGTCACTCTTGTGTCATATCCCAGCCTCTTTACCACCAGCTTCAGACAGACACACATTTCCCCAGATTACAGATTTGTCATTCAGCAGGCGTACACAACAGAGAGAAGTCTTTCCTGAACTCTCCACATTATTTTAAACTCAGGGTTTACACATGTTCTATTGATACAAAATCAAAGTATATTACTCTTTGCTTTAGGCATTTGAACAAAACTAATGCATTATAATTTAATTATAGCACTGTATAACTATAGTTATAAACACTCATAAATGATCATTATGCTTTATAGCAATAATCATAACTCATTTTAAAGCATTTTATCATGACTTAAGAGGGCAGGTATTATAATGTGTTATAACTGTTAACAACTCACTGACAATGCCCACATAGATAATGCATTATACATATATTTATGATGTGTTATAATTTGCTTATAAACTTGTATAACTATCATTATAAACACTCATTAATTATCATAAGGCTTTATAACAATACGCATAACACATTATAATACCTGACCTTGCAAGTCATGATAAAATGCTTTTTAATGTGTTATGATTTCTGCTATAAAGCATTATGATCATTTATGAGTGTTCATAACTATAATTATACAGTGCTATAACGTGATTATATCACATTATACATATATTTATTATGCGTTATAGAGATAGGCGTTGAGTAAAGTGTTACCCAAAACTTCACTTGAAATTTGATTTTCAAACTACCCCTTACTTGTTGGACAGCTGTCACAGGACAGACAACCATCAACCCCCCTTCTTCCTAAATGTTATAACTTACCTCTTTTATGTAAGTTGAGGAGATGGGCTTGCCATTTCTGTCAATAGCTCCTTCTGCTACGATTACAATGTTAAGCCTAGACCCCTTGATACGGCTCTGGAGGCAAACAGATATATTTACATTAGTGAGTCAGTCAGCATCATCCTACCTCCGAGTGCTGAATGTGAAGCAGGGAAACTGAGTCTGGTATGCAAGTAGACCAAAAAGGATTTATTTAAAAACTACTTGAAAGCAGATGAACTGACAGTAGATTTAAACACACAAACATTAGATGAAAAACAGTCATGATATCCTGACTTACTGTTTCTAGGCGGGCACACATGCGGTCCTCCCAGCCCTCCAGAGGAGGAGCCTCTGGGATGAAGAGCCAATCTGCTCCAGATGCCAAGGCAGACACCAAGGCCAGATATCTTGGGTTACAGAACAGAACATTAACACCATCAAATGTTTCAGTCAGAGGTAGAGTACAGACTATGGCTAAATAGATCATGGTTTTACTCACCCACAGTGTCTCCCCATGACTTCCAGAACAAAAGTGCGCTGATGGCTGCAGGGGGAGACACAGCACGTCAATTTAAGAAAGCTAATAAAAACCGCAACAACTATGTGTGCATGCAAACAGATTTTTAAGATTGCAGCAACATGCAGGAAAAGGGGCAAGTCTGGACATGAGTATGGAAGTCATGCCAAAAAGGTTTGTGAAGGGAAAATGAGCTTTAACAACCTCACCTAAATGCATGCATTCCATTACGACTCTGATAGAAGGCTTTGACTGCTGTTTTATAATCTACAAAGCTGCTGATAGATAATAAACTCATAGCTACTTTTATTCGGCTGCAAATTCTGTTTGTTAGTTCAAAAGTACCCTTTTGTTGTCACTGTTGTTATATTTTCATATTAGCCATGGTATCATGTCAGTACAGGCAGATAATACCTTTAAGTGTATCCATAAATATTGAAAAAGTTCTGTTGTTATGTACGGCTGATATGATGACACATTGATTCTTTCACTGTAGACAGACATCAAGTATGACAGGTAAATTTAAGTGCAGGAGAGACTTAACATTGTGTACAATAAAAAAGTGTAAAAATAGCTATTAAAACAGGTAGTTTAAACATATTGGCATCGTCTCATGTTCTTTAATATACTTTGGGCCAAGTACTGAATAATCTGTATCTGTGAAAAACCAGCTGCATGAGTGCTGTCACTGCTCAGTATCACGCAGTGCCTCACCTTTGAGCAGTGGTCATGATCGCATCAATTATCTCCATGATACGATGCAGTGCAGAGTCTGCTCCAATGGTCATGTCTGTGCCGCAGAAGTCATTATCGATGGAGCCCACAAGCCCCACGATGTTCAGGTGGTCATGCTGCTTGGCCAGGGTGTCTGTGATCCTCCCTGAAGTGAAACACACAATCATGAAATGTTAGATAGTATGCAGGCAGTTAACCATAAAATAAAGCTGAGAAAAACTGAAACCCTTTGGTGGGGGGCTGGGGACCTATCACTCTCAGTGTGTATTCCATGTTTGGACATTATTTCTTCAGGAGCTGGTCCTATCTTCTCAAATAAAGTCACAAAAAGCCCAAAATTCACATTTAAAAGGAGAAAAAATTGGGCTCTACTACAAAGCAAGCTCAAGGATTATTTATTATTTCATGGATGATACAGCTGCTTATTTTTCTAAATCTATGCCACCCTAATCTGGTAATGTATAGGTTTTATGGAGGAAATCGTGGTTTCACTGTTTGCATTTAACATGATTTATATTCTGATAGATTACACAGGTACTTTTGAAGTACTTGACAACAACAGCCAATAAGAGAGGTCTGGGGGGAAGGAAGCCTTTGATATTTTATATCATAGACATGTCTTTTATGCACAAGCTGCTCTAAGCCAATTTCCTCTGATGGATAGATGAAGATTTTAAACTCAGCGCAGTACCAGTGTTAGTGTAAATTCAATCCCATACCTCAGATTGTAAAACTATGTCTTAAAGATATTTTAAAGCAGAAAAAAAATATTAGCCTGAGATTTCAAATACTAAATAAAAGTGAGGTTAATCTCAGAGGCAGTGTCAATGGTTTCTTGGGAGCACTTTACCTTTTTGTACGAGATCATCCAGCAGGCTGCTCCACTCATTGCGGAAGATATTGGCTCCAGTTAGGCTGCCGTCTCCACCACAAACACACAGGTTGGTGATGCCTTTTTTCACCAGGTTGAAGGCAGCAGCAAGCCTGCCCTCTCTTGTTGTGAATGCTTTGCATCTGGCACTTCCTATCACAGTCCCACCCTGCAGTCATGTACCAGAACATAAACCAAACATGGTAATGGGTCTTTAAAACATACTTGGAAAAAAAGCATGCATCGGGCACTTCCTATCACAGTCCCACCCTGTAGTCATGTAACAGAACATAAGTCAAACATAGTGATGGGTCTTTAAAACATACTTGGGGAAAAAAGCATGTATTGTAGTACTTTGCAACGATGATTGTTTGGGATATTATCATCGTTGACACATGAGAACTATTACATCACATTAAACAGGAAAAGAACCAGGTCAAGCAATGCACTCAGACAAGTTTGTAATGCAAACCACCTCCTATAAAGCCATGGCAGGACAGACAAAAATGACTGTGCTCTATAAAATTTGGTGTACTTCTGGGTATTTGCTTCAGAAACAATTAATGTAGCATGAGAAAAACAGGTACAGAATCAGTGATGTACTTTCCTGAAGCTTGAATACAACAATAAAAACCAAACGATGCATTAGCTTTAGTGAGGCCCTTCACACCCTTCAACAAACATGCTATATACATTTAAGACAGCTAATGCACAATCCTCTTTGAAAGTGTTTTTTTTTTTATCTTGTAAGCAGTGCAACTTGTTGCTGCTTCTAGGATAGTGGCTTAAAGCACATGCAGCAAGGCCCCTTACCAGTTTATACCCAGTATTAGACAGGCAGAAGAAGAAGAGATGAGAGGAGATGGGTGATCTAACAAAATTCATATTCAAACTACAAAAAAGAGAGAAAATTAGACATTTAAGGGTAAAAAGAAAAGCAAAATTAAGGCACTATACACTGTAACTTTGAAAAGCATGAGTGTGATATACGTAATAATTGTTCTGCATAGCTTGTTGCTAGGATACCTGAATAGTACAAGCCATATTAACATAAATGGTAACACCTCTGCATGTGTTTATTTGACAGGTCAACATGTCTGCTGGGAAAATAGCCTATTATAGCAACCTTTTCCACTGCTACCCTGTCTGATTGAGGCAAATATTTGAACTTACCTGTTGAATGATGTTGGTCACACTGTGCCAGTGAGCTGGTTTGATATTGTCTCCCCCGTCTACCAAGCCCTGGTACCCCTGAAAATTCACAAGCATTTTAAATGTAATTCTAATGGCACAAAAATAAAGACACAGCCTAATATTTATGCGTAACAGAATGATGACTATGAGCATAATTAGCAGAAACATAAGCAGAAACAGCTTGTGTACCTCATATATTAGATAGACCTTGGCTCCCACATAGATGCCCATTCTTGTCACAGCTCTGACGGCAGCATTCATACCTAAGTAAAGGATATTTGCATAAAACTGTAAGCTGCTTCTGAAGAGATTTTTCACAATCTGTTGCACCATCACCCTGCAGGAAGAAATCTAACAGCGAAGTAGTGATGACTTCACAGTCTCTTAGTGGGCAAAGGTGCAACCCACTCTGTTGAAACTTCAATCACAGTCCTGACAAGTATTACTCAAACACATCCTGGTACAATGGCACTCAGATATTGATCTTCAATAAAAGTACCACAACGGAGAAACACTTTGCAACAGGTGACAAGTGTGCGCTCAAGTCTCAAACAAGTAGGCCACAAAAGTGGGAGCATTAGAAATGTGAGTACAGTACAAAAATTCGACTATACACATTGCAATAAATGGCCTACATCCCCAAAGCTTAAAATATAAGAATATAATCTAATAATAATATAGTGTAATAAATATTTATATGTCACTTGGTGTTGGTCCTCTTAAGATGATACTTCAAATTAACTGTTATTAAACATAATTAATTTCCTTACAGTTCATTTAAAGACATTTTGAAGATAAGATTGCACATTAGTACACTACTTGAATGTGGGTGTGATTAATCAGTGTTCACTATTGTGAGTCAACTAAATGTATGGGGCCTATAAACGGCCTTTGACCTTTAAACAGAGTACAAAACTATCAAGCTGTTGATTAAAGGTTGCTCAAATTCCCTGAAAAAATCCTTTAATTATGTCGAACCCTTGCAAACATATGTTTAAGGGTCCCCGTTTAATGCCTACGTGTACTTGACGGCTAAAAATGTATTAGAAAGCAAACTTGGCTGTTTAGTAAGTCACCTTGTGCATCTCCACCGCTGGTCAGCACCGCTATGGCCCGACCAGCCCCTGTCATCTTCAGCTTCTCCAAGTCCATCGAAGACATGTTGACTCCCCCTGTTGAAAACAGCCAAACTGACCGGAAATGAAGAAATGACCGTTAACTTGCGGAGTAAAGTGTGTGGTGTGGTTAATCCTGTTGTTGCTTCCTCCTTTCCGCAGGTTTTCACTCAGTAAACATGATTCTGCAGGCTGTCTGTCTGTCTTCTTCTGCTGGGTTTGACTCCGCCCTGTCCAAAGGAGAGCTCGCACTCAAGAGTACAGTGGGCGGTGTTCACTTTATGATCCAGAACAGGCCGGAAGTGTTCAACAATGGCACGTTCAGCACGCAGGACTCTGAACGACATATTTGACAAAATGAAATAAAACACAGCAACATAAACATATACATCCATATACGTATGTGTTTTCACAGTTCAATGAGCCGCTCATAAATGTTGGATATGTTCAGTATCAGGGTCGATAGAGGAAACAGGCCCATGATTGTGTTCCAGTTTTATTTCAGTCTTACATGTAAATATCAATTTGGCCTCAAGAGCGCGCCTGAAACCTGGCTGAGCAGCTGTTTGACTCCACTGGGCTGATACACACATTGTAACGTGTACAAATAGTGAGGTTGTAAATCCAGAGAAATTACCACTTTGACCTGCTGGAAAACTTTTTATGGTTACATAAAAAAAGACTATACGGTGGCCGGGAACCGCCACTGCTGCAAATAAAAAAAGAATGCAAAAAAAAAAAAAAAAGAAGAAGAAGCCACAACGGTAGTTACTCATGAAAAAAAAAAGAAACCAAAGCTTGCTGCAAATAAAAAAAGAGGCGATGCAGATAAAAAAATAATAATAATAATAAAAAAAGCCACAATGGAAGTTAATGACACAAAATAAAATTGCAATTTTGAAGTTGATTTAGAGGATGCCGGTGTAGCGTTAGCTTCTGTTCAACTTCATATCAACTCAGGCGCCTCATGGCCTAACCAAATGACACATTGAAAAGCACACGAAGCGAAATTAAACAATAACCTTTCCACTTACTTCTTTGCTGGTCTTCTTGCCGTCATCTTCAGTGCCTAGATCGTAAAACACCAGTGAATCATTACTAATGGTCCCTGGCAGCTCAGTTCTGTTGTGGCCTTTTTTTATTTGCATCCTTTATTTGCGCAATAAGAAACTTTTTTTACATCACCACTTTTTTTTGCATCGTTAACTTCTGTTGTGGCTTCGTGAAAGCTCAGGCAACCAACTTGACTCATTTTCTGTGCTGAAAAATATTACTACTACTACTACTATATGAAAAGTTTGCACACGTTTGCCTCAAAACTGCTCAATTCAAAAAATTAAATCATCTGTTCTAATTTCAAAACACTGATCGTAGAACTTGGTGTTGTTTCTAAGAATTAGGGTTTAGGTTTTTTAATCTATCTTTAAATACTTTAGGATCCAGCCTATCAAATGTGACAAATATCAACAAAGAATTATAAAAACTTGGAAAGGATACTGTACTCTCTTGAAAAACCCTGCTACATCTACAGGAAGATAAAACTGAACTCTCAAATAAACACTATTAATTTCGAAGGGAGATGATGTCCAATCTGAGTGCTACAAGTATCCTGCTCATGAGGTAAATAAGATATACAGACCATGGGTTCATGCTGCTACGATGAATTCAACTCTTTGATTTAATAAACCTATAAATACTATAATAACCACCATAAATTGTTACCTATAATCATTGATGTTGAGATGAAAATCGACGGTCTGTTGTGCAACAGAAGAGACAAAGCACAGTGTGTTGGGTACAGTACATCAGCATTTATTCCATGCAGTTGTTTGCTCTGATTTTGTTCTCCCAGATACCCATTGCACTGTACACTGGATAATAAAGGAAACTGACAGGATTGGTTGATCGTAATGCCATTCAACAGGAAGGGAGTTGGAAAATGAGAGTAACAAAGAAAACAGATGTTTGATACACGGGATGAGGCAACATGATGTCAACAGTTAGAGACAATTTCACAGAAATTCAGATATAAGTAACTGGTATTCAGATTAAAAATGAGGGGAAGGGATCTCTGCAGAAGCACAGAAATCAGCATCACACATAACAACAGGCTTGACATTGCGTTTACCCTGCTGCCACAGTCCAATTACGATGTCAGGTTAAATAAAACTTGATGTTGCTAATCAAACCTCAATGAAGATCAGAATGATGAATGGTCCCAAATAATAATAATAATTTAAAAAAAAAACAGGAGATGCTCGTTTTATGACAATGCTTTTTGTTCTATCATAAAAATACTGTCTTCTTCCCATATCAATTCATTGTGCTTCCTTTACATAATACTTTTCAGGAGAAATCACATTTCCAAAGCTGCCTGAAATTAAAAAGAACACCTTAGCAGTCATTCATAATAAATTAACTCAATAATCATGTAGGCCAGCTACAAAGAAAAAAAATAATCCAAATTAAATTAAAACTTTTCAACATTCAATCATACTTCACAGAATATATGCCAGAGAGACAAATGTTAACAGCTTGATGGGATTATCCACTCATTACATTACACTGGGTTATTTCACACAAACGTAAACAAGAGGGTGAAGAGGGAGGCTTGAGGAAAGGCAGCAGCTACTTTCAGTACCAGGTGTTAGCCTCTCCAAAGCTTTCAGGCAAAAGGTAATTAATTCATCAGTACAGGTTTAGATTCACTGCCTGCAACTATGATCACATGACTCACCCCCTCCTGCAGTGTTCAATACTGATGTGATATAGATTAGAGTATTTCCTGCTCATTTTCTACCATTTATCTGGTTGTTAGAGCTCCAGGCTTCTGTCTGAGATGCGCAGTACATTACAGAGAGGGGACAAAAACAGGTTACATTACATTTACAGATGATTATATACAGGAGTAACTAACACTGAGATGAGGTTGTTTGAAAACCAAGAGCAGCTTAATTGCTCTGTGGCCTTGTCTCTGGCTTTTATTCCTAACTTAGAAACTCAGCCGTCTGCATACACTTAAGCTTGACATCATTATCATTAGATTCAACCCTGGCTGGCTGTTAATTCAACTGCGCAGTCATTAATTAAAGCGGGTGACAAACACGCTCACGGGGTAAAAATACAGCTCTCACGGGTGCAGTATCCCATTTCAAAGACAGCAAGACAAAAAGTGATATTGCTGGGATTCTTGGATTAGATTAATTCCCTGGGGTCAGAAAAAAAAGTCATGGATTGGGGATGTTTATATAACACAAAGAAAACTCATTGTAACTGTCGCCATCTAGTGGCTGTGGATATATTGCTCCTGCTCTAAATAACAACATGAAACCTGAGCGTCAATCTCTGGAAAGGCAAGTTTACAAAGAAGGGACGATTTAACAAATAAAGCATCTATGTTACTACTCCTTTCTAGCCACCAGTCACTGTGTTGTGTCTAGCCTGCTAGACGCCCCGATCTACAATGTTATTGCTGTTTTACTCACTACAGCACAGATATACAATTATTGGATGCTGCACATTGGACAGCATAGATTATTACCCTGCGAGAAAATGGTACATGGGAGATGCTGCACCCAGAAGTTTCGGGAAAAGGGATACTGCACCTGGATTGCAACTAAATGTTCTACATAAATATTATTTTCTGATACAGCGATAAAGGGTTGAACATCGAGGCTACCTGTAAGACATTTTTTTTGTTAATAATCCTGGTTCATATTATGTGCCACGCAAAGCAGATTCCTACACACAACAATTGGTCCAGTCCAGTTTCTCACAGTCCTCGAACTATCCTGAGATGAGACTTGAAACTGTAATGTCTAATGAAGAGGAGCAGGCTTTGTTTTCACACTCACACACGCACACACACACACGCACGTACACACATCAAACTCCCTTAACAACTCTAGGTCATGACATCTGATTGTTGATGACAATGACGTTGGCGTGTCTCCTAGAAGGATGGTCTGTGTCACAGAGGAATAGTGTCTTTTTTTCTGTGTGTTTAATCTTCGTCGCTGTGACCCTGCTGGCTCGTCCACTTCATGCAGTCTTACGGCAGCGTCTGCATTTTTGCGAGCTGCACCGGCATGCTAGAACAGTTCAGCATGGATCCTTGATGACTGGACACTGGTTCTAGGAAGAGAGAGAGAGAGAGAGGGAGGGAGGGGGGAGTCCGGCTGCGAGGCAGGTTGTTCATGCTGGTGATCGCACTGTTTTCATGAGCTCCCTTTTTCCCCACCCAGCGTGGGGGGTGAAGGGATGGAAGCTTGGGAGGTGAGAAACTGAGGCTGTGCAGTGTAAACTCATGATAAAGCCATTTGATCGTAATTGGAGCAGGTCTCTGCGTCAGTTGAAGAGTTTGATCTTTAACAAGAAGAAAAGACAGACAGCCAGATCAAGGCTTGAATCTCTGTTTTGATGCCAAAAGTCGCAGTGATGTCATTTCATCTTCTGGTCATCAGCCTCTTAGAAACACTTCAACATATCCTCCACTTTTTCATCATCATCAGTATCATTTGCGTCTTTGTCCAGTCTCAGTCTCTCCCCAACGCACAGTTAGCCCAGTTTCAAAATGTCTTCAAAAGTCTTTTTGTCTCTGTTTGGACCAGAGAATATACAGAAGTCCTGAATTTTCCTCCAAAACTCAGACAAAAATAAATTATGAGCACTATCTACTGTACATTATCATTCAAAAGGGAATCCCTGCCATGGGTTGCCTGGATGCTGTGCTAGCGATGGGGTAGACTGGGTTTAATGCAAGGAAGGGAAGGAAGGGAGAGGGGTGGGGGGGTCTGGGAGAGACTGCAGGGTGAATTTGCTGTGGGGATCTTTGTTTACAATGTGGTCCTCTTATTGCTGTGTTTTCTGCAAAGCAGAGTGGGACATGTCGACCTCCAGGCAAAAACAGAACCGAGTCCTGGGGCTTTTCACCAGGAGGAGGGGGCTCCAACTTTGTTGTTTCTGATGGTGGCATCGGAGCACTCTGCCTCTGATGAGTCACAGTCCGAGTCCCCAAACTGTAGTGGATTCTGGGAGAGGGAAAACAAGAGCGAAAGATGGAAAAACATGAATGCAGTACAAATACACAGGTGAGGTACCTGCTCTTTCTCTTTGTACTCGTGGTTTATGATCATACAGCTCTTGCTATCCTCAAAAGTGGTGTGGTTCATCCTCTGGGAATAACAAATATCTGCTCTAAATTTGAAAATCATCCACGGCTGACATGGATGAACTTCACATATCCCCAGTGCTCACCTCGTAGCTGTGTTCATCTGAGCACAGTTTCCCCAGCGAGATCTGGGTCTTCACTCTGCGGACAGCGCACTCCTTGTCAGAGAGTCCGTCTGACTGGGTGGAGATATCAATGGGGATGTCAGGCGTGTGTGACAGCAGCTCATCCAGGTGCTCCTCCTGACTGGCACTCAGCCTCTCCAGGGGTCCACTGTGGGAGTGGTCGCTGGTGTTTCCCTCCTCACCGTCAGACACAGACAGGTTCTCAGAGCTGAAGGTGGAGTAGGACTGGAAACTGCTCATACAGCGATGAGGTCTGTGAGGGAGAAAAAAAGACACTTTTTTTAGGCTGCTTTTATACAGAAGTTTCCTTTAAGACTGGTAATGATGGTGTTAATTCCTATTGTGGACATGATGAGGTGAGACTAACTTTTACCATTGTTGCACAGCATGATATATAACAGTTTTACATCAAGGTGGGAAACTTCATGATCAACTTTACCTCTGTCTCCTTGGAAACTCCACTTCACTGTCAACCTCCCCCTCCTCCTCTTCAGATGACTCATCGCCGCCCTAAAAGAGACACAACCCCAGCTGTTAATCCACCAGTTTCACAACACAAACACACACCACAGGGCCAATCACGTTAAACTTCAAGCTGTGCTCACCTTCCTGAGAGGTCTGAGGACGCGCGGCAGTGCAGTGGGGAGGGTGTTTGAGTGTTGGGATGTGTTTTGTTCCTGCGGCTCAGCTTTCTTTGTGGCCTCTCCGTCCAAGGAAGGGTCTTTGCCAGGAACCCCCAAAGAGGACTGGGTGTTTTCCTGGGTGTTGAGCAGTGAGTAGTGAGGTAACTCGGGGTGGTTTGTTACAGGAGGAGTCTCCTGACAGTGAAGGCATCCAGGGAAGGGGTGCGCTTGGCAGCAGGGACACAGAGAACCAGCACCAGGGACCGGGTTAGAGCTGGTGGACGAAGTCCTCTGTCGTGTATCTGCGTCCACTGCAGTGGAAATGAGGTCTGGGCTGGATTCAGAAACACGGCGCTGCAGGTGGTCCGTCTGAGGGCTACGAAGGGCGGCAGCGGGGCCGAAATAGCGTAGGTTATTGGCACAGTTGACGACGGCCTCCTCGCGGCCCTTTAAGGGAAGGAGGGGCCCCTCAGGTAGTGGGTGGTGGTGGTGGTGATGGTGGAACTGTTGCTCCTGGAGAGACTGGGTGTCTTCTAGAGCTCCAGCTATAGGTTTCAGCATCCCAGGGAACTCGCTGTGGCTTCCTTTGCTGTTGGCGCGGCGATGGCGAGGCTTGCTTCTGTATCGAGCCTTGCCGGGAGGTGTGGAAACCTTTGGGCTGGCTGACAGAGGTGAGGGGGAGGGGAGAGGGTCGACACTGGGGATGCCATCCGAGCGAAGCAGATCTGGCCTGAAATAAATGAATTCAGCAAGATTAATGAGAGACTTGTCACTTTTATATGATCAGTAAATGTCAATCTCGATTTGAACGCGCTAAGGCTGACGTGGTGATAGGAATTTGAAACAAGAGTAAGACTTTTCACGTCTTCTTGCTTTATTCGAACAGCTTCTGACCTTTTAGCGGGCGGCATCCCTGGTTTGTGGGAAATGCTTCCCTTCTTCTTGATGAGCTTCTCCACAGCATTGGACCTGACGATGGGTCTGACCAGATGCCGCTTGTAGGTGCCGGGGTATTTCTTCTCGACGGCCTGCTCTCTCCTGCAGGGATGACAGGATAAAATTGAAGGTTATGAAATAGTTCAGAAAACTCACTTCCAGGTTCCCATTCAGTGCAGGCTGTCCTGTTGTACTAGGACGACACACACAGGAGTGATTCAGGGGAGGAAGGAAATTCTGACAGGTGTAAAAATAGCTGGTAGGAGGTAAAAGCGGAATGTGGGATGTTGATGATTCTCATTCTTCTTTATTTCTAAGTCATTCAAAGCAAAAACAAACAACAACAGAAATTCCAAGAAGCTTCAAGGGAAGTTCATTTGATAAAAATGTCTGAGATTGTTCATTGTGTGACTCCAAATGTCTTAAAGTTCAAGTGGGAGCAAACCAAACAAAACACTGACTTCTGTTTCCTGCGGTCTTGAATACACCCTCGGCTGTTGTAAAGGACTATTGTAATCATTTCAAAAGCCTTTGAGAAGAAGGAGGAAGTACGAGTATATTTACAGTCTGTCAGGTCTGATAGGAAAGAAAGGAGCAGGATAGTAGCAAAGCACGCTCATGACTACTGTGATAACCTGTTTACATACTTCATCAGTTCCTTCTCTCGGACCTCCAGCTGCAGCATGATGGCGCTGAGCTCCATGTAGAGGTTGTTGGCTCTTTCCAGTTTCCTCTCGTAGTGCTCCCGGATGTCCAGAGCATGCCTGGAAATGTGCAAAAAATGTCAGTTTGTAAACTGGACATCATGTTGACTTCTGCTTTCGTCCTTTCATGAATGAATTTCTCTCTCCTATGTTACATACCGGAGTTCATCTCGTCGGCGTCGGATGAGCTCCTCGTCCAGCCTGTGGATGCATGTGCCTTCACTTTTGATCTTCTCAAAGTGTTTCTTCACCTCCTCCCTCCATTCTGACTGTAACATTGGCAAACAAATACAAAGTCACTCTTTGTGTTTAAAAAGAAAAGTAATGACGAAGACGAGTGGTCGATCGTTTCATTCCAGCAGCTTTAACAAAGACAGCACAAAGGTGTTTTGATTGTGGTAACAATGCAGACCTGAGACTTGAAGTACGTCTCCTGAGGAGCTCCCAGGACGTCAGCAGAGGCAATGTCAAGGTGTAGGAGGATCTGACGAAATGAAGGCCTGTTCCTGGGTTTGCCTTGCCTGGTGTCAGCAGGAAACATGGGGAGGAGATGGATTTGAGATCAGGTCAGTAATCGAAACAGTGCTGGTTTCAGACTTGTGTTAATTAATTAGTTTTGCAAGGATTCTACTTCACCATGTTTGCTTCATGAGGATTTTGAAGCCATCCGGGCAGGTGGAAGGGACAGGAAGGTGGAGACTGTTGCTGCCAACCCCCCAAATGATGGCTGAGGAGTCCACGTCTTTGTAGGGTATCTCTCCAGTCAGAAGCTCCCATAACACAACTCCAAATGACCTGCAACACACAAGCAAACAAAAATCAGGACTTGGTAGACGACTCGATGTTTACACTAGAATAAAAGATTGTTTTTAACATTATTAGAGTCTTCAAAGACCATGCCTTCTAAATGTACTAAGTTTATATATACGTCTTTATAATATGTGTGTGTGTGTGTTTAAGTACTCACCATATATCAACTTTTTCAGATACAGGCTCATTTCTTATCACTTCTGGGGCCATCCAGGCCACCGTACCCGCAAATGACATCTTTGTGCTCTTGTCGCTGAGCTCTTTGGACGTCCCGAAGTCAGAGATTTTCACAGTGTCGTTGTGGGTGACCAAAACACTGAAACACACACACACATAAAACACACAGACTTGTTAGACTGATCAGTGATCTTTATAACCTGTGTTGACCCTTTCATAACCAGGGCTGAGCAGCGTCAGCCTGACACTAATTCTGGTCGAATGACCCGCGTTCAACTATCCAGATATCTTGAAAGAGGAATGAGTTTTATTGGTAGCATTTCAAAAGACTCAGCTGTGACTGAAGCCCATTTCTGCATCTGAATCACTCCATTAGCTAAATGAGACTGACCTTTCCAGCACATTCAGCCTGCTATCGTTCTGCTGACTAATACAGTGTTCAGCACTGCTGCAGCATGATAATATTGATTAGAGAAACAGGGCTACAGTGTGTGCAGGGGTGAGCTTGGATGAGCAGCATCAGAAAGGACACTGAGTCTTCCTCAAACACTAAGGAGACTCGCTTTTTATTAATTCCAAGAATGGCATTTAAGTTAATGTCAAACCAAGCACAGCTGAAAAGAAGGATTGTTTTAGTCGCTGTGGGCTAAGAAATACAAAACAAGGCTGCTAAGCAGTTTTCGTGAGATTTACAGATCAGCTGCTGAATAACCATAACAACACAAGAGAACACACTGTACTCTGCTGCTCAAGTAAAGCTACAGATATTCACTTCTTTTAACTAATGGAGATACAGAACAGGGTTTCCCCTACATGTGGTTGATCGTGACACTCAGTCATGGCAAAATAAAAGCCTCCACATCTTAAATTTTTGTTTGATTTTTTTTACGTGAGAGCAAATTTACGTAATATATTGTATGAATGGCAGTATGCTGCACCACGGGGTGAGCATGTGCCAAGTATTAGCGAGTTGTCGTCTGGATCCCACAGCTGATTAATCACCCCCTCCAAAAAAGTCTCACACCGCCAAAAGGTGAATACTCCCCTCTGGTCTCAGATCACACACCACCACAACTAGATCCCCGTCCTAAAGGGAACACTGCAGTATCTCAAAACTCAAACCTTTATTTCGCAGTAGCTCTTCCTGTTTTTTTTTTTTAACTCGGTTCAGAGTTTTTTTTATGAATGTAAAATCGAATCAGAGTCTCCAGAGATCATTGTCTTGTCTGGTTTTACTATACAGAAAAAAAATCTAACTCACTTGGGAGACTTCAGGTCTCTGTGGATGATCTTGTGCAGATGAAGGTAGTTCATGCCACTGGCGATGCCTGAGGCCCAGTCCACCAGCAGCCTGGGGGTCACCTTCCTCCCTGCCCTCAGCACCTCGTACAGCTGGCCCTGAGCGCAGTACTCCATGATGATGCAGTAACAAGGTGCCTGCGTGCACACACCCCTTGAATGAAAAAACAAGGCAAATACGTAAGAAAACTTAGAAATGGTAAACCTCAGAGCTGCAAACAATACACATTCTAAAAACTTCGTTATACAATCATGAAAATCAAGATACCATGAGGTAAAAGTGCAAGATTCAATAGTTTAGACTCACTTGAAGCTGATGATATTTGGATGCTTGAGTTTCCTCAGGTGCTTGATGTCTGTTTCCTTCTGCTCACGCACCTTCTTGATAGCCACCTCCTCAGAGCGGAACTTGCCCAAGAAGACGGCCCCCTGTGCGCCGCTGCCGAGCCACTGCAGCTCTGAGATCTCCTCAAACGGAACTTCCCACATGTCTGGAAACAAGGTAACCACATTTTGTTAAAACAGGAGCAACACATGGTCTCTTTTAGATGATTTGTTTCTGCTCAGTGCTGTCATCTTCACTCTTTTTTAGACAACAAACCAATTCTCTATCATAGCAAGAGTGTTATTAAGTGGACTGACAACATTTGTTCTGCAGGATCAATATGAAACTGAAAAAGCAGCTGTCAGCAGCTTAGTTTAGCACAGGGACTGGAAATAGGGAGAACAGCTGGCTGTGCTCGGGCCAGTGACAACAAAGTTTATCTAAAAGCACGTGTAATCATATCCTGTGTAATAATGTGTTTCAGTATTTCTCCTGAAATAGATGCAATGACTTTCTTTAGTCTCTGTTGGTTGTACATTAACCTCACATCAGTGTCAAGTCGGTTAAGAGGTCAATCTATTCGTTCAAAAGTTCTGTGTCCAGGTCACAGTCACTTGTTAGTCCCATATGGTTTAGCCACACTGAGCATCAATAAATCTTCAGCCCTGTAAACAACTGTTATAAATGTCTCCGATATATAAAGAGTGAGTCAGATATATAAACACTGAGTCAGATGGTTATCCACTCTTGGTATGTGGTTTAAACCAGCAGGGAGGAGAAAATACACTGCTGCACGTTAGCTGGCTGAGCCTCGCTCTGTCTAACCTCCACTATTGTCCTGACTCTGTGTGCTTGCAGCCTCTGTGTGCAGGCATCCCTGCAGCAAGGTGAGTTTACCTTTTACCACGACCTCAATTCAAACTGACAGCAGAGCAGTTTCACCCACAGCAGCCACACTGTGTGAAGCTAAGGGTGGCTCTTTCATTGTATTTGCAGACTGCATCAGATGGACTGAGACTGACCTTGCTGTTGGAGCTTGTACTCTGTCGAGTACGTCTTCCCGATGATGTTCCAGACAGGCCGCAGACAACCGAACAACCCCTCCAAGAATCCACCTGAGCCGGGCCCCGCTCTGTGGAAGTGCAGCTTGATGTCATCAGGATGGTGGGGGTGATGCTGCCTTCCCTCTCCGCTGTGGTCCATGGGACAGTCCCCTTCACCCATCTGCTCCTCCATCCCACTCCCACATCCGTGCTCACAGGATGCAGGTGACACAGCCTCCTCGTTGTCCTGCTCCTGCAGCTGGAGCACGCTGTTGTCAAAATGCCCGCCCTCGCTGCGTGTGGAGTCCACACTCAAAGCTATGTTTGGGGGACTTATACCCCCCAGCATTGAGTCCTCATCCTGCCCAGGTGTCTGCAGGGGAACGGGCAGGTGTGTGGGCGGGGCCAGGTCGGTAATGATCTGAGGAGGTAGGTTGGATGGAGGTGCCAGTGGAGGCTGAGGCTGGGAGTTGGGGGAGTTTGACTTCTTCATTGCGTCCCCAACCACGGTGAGTTTGAGCTCCTCTTTCAGCTTCCCCACTAGCAGACTGGGGCAGGAAGTCCACGAGAGCACCTCGGGGGAGCTACCCATGGTGTCGTGCATGTGCATGGGCTGCCCAGTGATGGTGAGTGGGGCACGTCCTAACACCAATCTGTTTCGTCTGAATGCTGAAATTCACCTGCATAGATAAGAGACAGATGGAGAACAAGAAGGACAGAGTGGTTAGCTGAAATCCAACATAAGGAAGACAATAAAATGAAATTCACATCTAAAAGCTGGACAAGACTAATTTGTCTGACTGTAGACACTGTGACACAATATAAATACCATTATAACTGCATGGGGCATCATTATTAGGGGTGGAAATCACTAGTGGCCCCACAACACGATATTATCACGATACTTGGGCCACGATACGATATTATAGTGATTTTCAACATTTTGCAATACAGTGAGTATTGCAATACAATATATTGCGATTTATACAATTTTTTCAACTGTTTAGCTTATTTACCATTTGCCTTTTCTTTATATTTGTCTTATTTAAGCTTTATTTCATTTTCATGTAGCACATCTTGCTAACCTTATATATATTTGTTGTACTAACTTTCTTCTGCTCTATGATGTCACCTCTGCCAACCTCACTGGATAAACTCAGAGACTTGAGTTCATATTAGCAACTACTTAAAAAAATTAATACTTGGTAGAGGAGAGGATACGATATATCACCAGACAAAATATCACAATAGTATGCTGTATCGATTTTTTCTCCCATTCCTAATTATTTTACCCACAAAAACAATGCAGTACTCATTTCTTTGCATAGATGTCCTGTTGTGGAAGCTCACATCTCACATCTACCACTACAATTATTTGAAACCATAAAGTGAAATCACAGCAATGATGGAAATCCTATAAAATGAGTGCATTTATTGCTGAATCAAAGATACTGCACAGTGCATAATGCAATTCCGGTCAATTTCTGGGAATCAGTTGGACTAAACCCATCACACACACACACACACACACACACACACACACACACACACACACACACACACACACACACACACACACACACACACACACACACGTGGCTTTACAGTGTTCTCTGTGAGGCAGAAACAGTATCACAAGGATTAAAAGTCTTGCTGTGTATTAGGAAGGCTGAGAGTGAAACATCTGGCATAAAGAGCCTCTTCTCACTGCTTAACCAGCAGGGCCGGCCTCAGCCACCTCAGGGCTGCAGCCAACGGGGTTACACAAGACGCCGCTGGACTCAACTTTCCTGAAGGTCTAGACGCCGATTATCAAATTTTTATAAAGACAGCTTTCTCTCAAAGGAAACGATTTAAAAATGTTTATTAAGGTGCTGCAAAGTTAAATAACAGTATAAATTTATCCACAGATCCACAGCATGGATTCATATGTTGGATTTTACTGCTAATTTGTCTTTGCAAACCAACACATTTAAACCTCCTTCACACATGTGCTCTGTCTAAAAATGTTCCACAGCAGTTTGTTTACACATGTCCCTCACAGAGGTCTGCTGGCTCACCGGTGAATAATTATACAAGGAGGCATGGAGAAAAAAGTCTGGACAAAGTGATGGCTGTTCACGTGCACACATGCAGATCACCTGGAAAATTAAAGACGATTTCATGAGTTTTATGCATGTGTGAATAACGCTGCATGGGCTGTTCTTCATTAAGAATCCCTCTAAAAAACAGGACCCAAAACAAATGGGATAAATCCATATATGTTCCAAAGTAGAGAATGGGCCAGTTCAAATAACAAACCCAGATTAACAAGGATTATAATGGGTGACAAATTACTCACAACCCAGTGTCCACCTCCTGCTTTTTCTGTGCTATAAATAACTTTGTGCAATCTAGTGACTCTTGAGTTGGTTTGATCTGCTCCATCAGTCTTTTTAAAGCCTTGACAATGACAGTTAACTCATCACTGCACGTCCATGGTGTGCTATGATGCAAAATGTTGAAAATCCTAGAAACTCAAAAATCTCCTGCTCCTTTCATGCCAGTGTTTCTGGGTCTGTACTGTGTTTAATGCCACTATTCAGTGACTAAACCAGCACTACCTAAAGGAGCTCCAAAATTGATAGATACTTAAATCCTTCACATATGGGTTGTAGTTTGTTTCAGCTGTAGAGTACACTGTTGTCAGACAAACAGATGGTCATTTATTCTATCTGAGGGCTTGGGAGGAAAAAAAGCAAAAAGCGCTAAAGACTTGTGAGTCAAATACTTCGTAAAAGACACTTGACTTTACCCCATCTTCCCTAAACCCATGAGGACATGGCTTTAAAAATCCAATCATGTGCTGAGGGAGTGTTAGGAAACCAGGACTGATGGAGAGAGAGAGAGAGAGAGAGAGAGAGAGAGAGAGAGAGAGAGGGAGAGAGAGAGAGAGGGAGATATTGAGAAGCTGTACAGAGTGTACAGTCGGGAACAGAAGATCAAAGTCCAGTAGGGAGGAGACGGAGTGCGTTGGTTTTGGTTACGTGGAAGTTTCCTGAAGGGGAGAGGGCAACAGCCAACAGACGTCCAACTGAAACACACTTTGTTTGTGTTTCCTTCTGTGGGACAAGTTGGCACGAATGCACAGCCTTTCCTGTTGGCATAGGTCAAAGTACAACAAAGCTGTGATCTCTCTAATACAAATAACATTTCTGCTATACAAAGCTGCAAAGCTGCAAACCCCAACCATGCATGCTTTAAATCACTGGACCAGGAATGAGTCATCAGAATATGTCCATTTTGATACATTAACTCAAACAGCAGCAGCTACTAAGAACCAAATTAATACCAGTGTTAAAAAAAAGCACCATTTCATTATTTGAAAACATCGAACTTAAACTCAGCCAGTATAGATCTGATATAAGGCTGAGCAATGAACCGAAAATTTACCTATACTGAAATTAATGACAATAACCAACGTCAATTTGCCCACATCAGTATATTTGGTTTTAAATAAATAAATAAAAGTTGTTTTTGGATGTGTGTAGGTAGGCTATGGTCTCATGTCCCTTTAAGATGCTTTCCTACATCAGAGACGTGACTCCACACCATCCAGTCTGCAACAAAGAGGGACAGACAGGTGAGAAGATGGCGGACGGTTCAAAAGTTGTAGCGGCTGGAGCGTTGGCTGAAGTAGACGAAGTTAATGTGGGAGGGGGTGAGCAGCTTGTGGAGTAGTTATTGTCCACTTATCGTTATCAAGGTGAACTGCTCAATATATCGTGACATTGATTTGAGGCCATATCGCCCAGCCCCAATCTAGTATGATTTGTGCATGGATTTGCACATGCTTCATTTCATCATTCATTTAATATTTTCCTAAACATACATCTCAGACAAAGCAACAAAACAAAGATTCATGACAAGGACATCTTAGATAAGCTTCCTAGTGGACATTTTGCGCTCTTGCTTCCTCATTAGACATTACATTAGATTTGATATGTTTCTTTATTATGTAAGCAGTGAAACCAGAACCTGTTGGCTCTTTCTTTGGTGGCATGTGAGGAGGGTTAATCTAGACAAAGACTGTCTGTTGTATCATTAATTAACAGTGCCCAGAACAGCTGAAGCAGACGGCTAAATGTAGTTACAAACCCCAGAGCTGCTGTACTCTGAATCACAGCTCAGGGGACCCCTCTTATCCGATCAAGCAGCGATCTGCAGAATGAAGTTTTTTTTTGTTTGACAACTTCCTTTAAGAATAAGAAGAAAACTTTATTTTTGTCCTTTTGTGTGTGTGCGTGTGTGTAATAATTTATGATCTCAGATAGGCGCACTGACTGATGTACTCACTGAAACCTGATACAGCATTGAAGGTTGTATCAGAGGCAGTCCAAATACAAACGTTGGCATTAGAATTAATCTCACAACCATGCTGTTGTTTCATCGCACTTTGCCTTTTTCCATATTTGCCATCAAAACAATGAAAAGGAATGACAGACAAGGGGACGAGAGTAGATTCCCTGATGGGACCTACAGCGACATGGTCTGCATCTGAGACCATCAGTCCATGGACACAGATGCTGCTTATATGTTACATACTGTATCTGCTGAGGGGGTAACCTGAGCGCTGTGAGAGTGCAGTGGCTGCCAGAAGCTCATCTATAATGCAGGCCTGTCTCTAAGCAGGTTGCTGAGAGTGCAGGGGAAGGAGAGAACGCTCTCTCAGGTATCCAATAAATCCGTCCCTTCCACAGCCGAGACAATCGAGCTGTTCGTGAAGAGGCCCGAGCTGTAATTCCATCCCACGGGCGATTCTCAAAGCTGGGCTTCTGACGTGGGCCAAGGTGGGTGGACGCGGTCCGCTGGACAGAAGCACGCACTTGAAGACACAGGTCAGCACACACACTAGCTACTATAAACCCAGCTATATAAAGAACTATCATTTTGCCTTAATTCTAGCTACAAAGCAGAGTTTGACTGAAAATCAGAGGTTTGAAAGCTCTTTCTGACCAATCTTTTTCCTAATCTAGACTGCGCCTCTGCATCTGTATCTGACACCAGGGGAAGGAAACAGACCTCTTGCTCTCTCCCATTAATCTCTAATGGAAGATCTCTATGGGCATAGAATCCAATGAATAATGTCTGTGCTCCATCAAGACAGGCTCAGGGTTTCATTTACAGGACTCTCAAAAAGTGACCTTAATTACGTAAAAAGGACACACCGATCTGTTGATGTTACAAAAATAAAAGATAAGTTACATGTTGGGATGCTGCCTCGGGGAATAAAACAATCCAGATACTCAGCAGAGGGGAAAAAAGAAAGAGAGGGAGCGACAGAGAGAAAGAGAGAGAAATTATCAGGGGCTGATCCTATAATCCCTCTACAGGCCTCTAGAAACAAGCTTGTACAAACACAGCCCCTATTCAGCCCTCCCCCTCCATATACCCCTCTATACACTTACTTTCATTCCTTGCCCCTCCAAAAGCAACCTAATGTCAAGGACCAATAGCACAATGCATCATGGGAAGTCTTTCTTTAGTATAAACACAGTTCTAGATGTGGATCAGGCCTTTCTGGTAGGGTTACTGTACAACACTTTATATGAGGGTGTGTGGACACAGCAGCTGGTGCAGGAGGGGGTCTGGAGTTTACACACGCACATGTGCACATACACACAAATACACGCACAAGCCTGGGGCGTGTCTGGCAGGATCCAATAATCCCACTACTCCCAGCAATCCACTGGGGATGGGGGTGGGGGGGTTTCTGTGACACTCAGCAAAAGCCGATATGGTTGTTTTGATGGTTGTTTTCAGTGTACTGAATCTGCAGCTACAGACAGTCAGACTGTCAACATAGACTGTAGTTTATGGAGGTGCATTAGTGCTTACATGTTAGCTGAAGAAGAAGCATCAGCGTCATCTGTGTCCCCATCACTCTGCTCCTCATTAAGGGAAGCCCTGCTGGGCCCCGTTGGGGGGGACCTCCCTTTAGGTGACAGCTGCGCCAACAACAAAGACCCAATTTAGGCTCTATCCCACCTCATCACTCACACGTTACCATGTCAACACAGCATCCATCCTGACCTTCTGCTAGCAGTCACACTCGCTCTCATCCAACACTCTGGTGTGGAGAGGCAAAGCCTGGAGGTAGTTTTTTTTGTACGCTTGTCCCAGAGTGAAAGCTGGCATAGTGTTTCATGTCATTATAAAAAAAACTGCACAGACATGCTCTCTCTCAACTGCAATATTTGCAATTTATAGTTTTTTTTTTTTTAAAACAAGACAATAAGCTGCATCCATTTGACTCATGAGAAGATGGATAAAAATGCTAGCCCCATAAATTTACCATACTTTTAGCACCAGTACAGCCAAATTTTCCAAAATACTCAGACTCTAACCTACAATTATGATTTTGATTAAAACACAGTGAGTCATGGCTAGACCTTTTTAGAGAATTTATGCAGCTCTGGCGGAGTGGTCAGCTCCTTTGCCTTATCACTGGAGGGAGGGTGAGATAACTGCTCCAGACTGTTTTTGTCTTTTTTAACCTCAAACAGTGGAGCAAAGCAGGACCAACCAGCCGCAGAAAACCCTTGATTTTAGTCCAGATACAAAGTTAGTAGCAAAGGAATCTATGTACTGAACTGCATGTTACACACTGTGATCTGGGTCACAGTTGAACCCGGTTATCAGTATGTTTCTTCAGTGCAGACACTTTTTCCTATCAGTGAATTACAGTATAACATATTTACTATTATGAACATGTAACACAGACACTTGGAAAAGATGACTCTGCCCGCAGAGCAGCTCCGGCCTGATTTGATTGTTGGGATGTGGGCTGACATCTAAATCAGCTTTCCTTCACTATCATGGCCGTGAGTCCTGCCAGAGGGGGATTGTGTGGTCAGCTGAAGGGAGGTGAAAATAATAATCTGCTGCCGGTTTCGGCCTGACCATGAAGGAGAAAAATAAAAACATGGCTTCTGCTGTAACATGGCTGATTATTTCCTGTCATCTGTCTTTACTCATTCTCTGATTTCCTGTAGTGACTCACCTGGGCTCAAACAGGAACAACAGGCCACAGACGAATATCCCACTAACCTTTGTATCTTCAGGATACAAATATCAATACTATTACTTTAACCAATAATGATCGTGATACTGGTAACAATACAATTACCACTGGCAATACATTTCACCTAAAGCAAAAAACAGCAACATTGATTTGACTTGACAACTCCTGGTAATCTTCAAATCATTAACATAACCATGCATGTAATCTGGGCGTTTTATTTTCAGGGATGAAAAGGTGGTCAGAGGTGAAGGTGGCAGCATCCTCATCATCTATGCCAACATTAGCAGCAGGATCAATACTGTGTTTGTGCTTCAGGTGCCTGACGATGTTTGTCTTGTTTCCTGTGTGATCCATCATGTAACGCCATTGTTTGCATCATGAATGTGTCTGATCTGCTGATGTCTTTTTCATCCTCTTTGTCTCAACTTAGAATAAAACTCATATTAAAAAAATGATGTCAAACAAGGTTTAGACTTATTACTGATTTGAGTGGGTCATTGTTCAACCAATCCATGGGCTGTTGTTACACCTTAAAAGCTTAGTTATTGCCTGATATGATTTTTCCTCTCTAGGAGAAAAGTATCGAACACTAAAGCTGAGCAGAAAAGTAGAAACAGGTCGGCTTTACGGTATACTAAGTATCTGATGTACTAGGGGTGGGAATCACTACAATACGATATTATCATTATACTTGGGCCACGAAACGATATTGTTGCTATTTTTAACATTTTGCAACAAAGTGAGTATTGTGATACAATATAATGCGATTTCTACCATTTTTTCAACAGTTTAGCTAATTCAGCATTTGTCTTTTCTTTATGTTTGTCTTTTTTACGCTAAATTTTATTTTCATGTAGCACATCTTGCAAACCTTTTATATATTTGTTGTTCTAACTTTCTCCTGCTCTATGATGTCACCTCTGCCAACTTCACTGGACAAACAGTTGATTTAATTTTTCCATTATCATAGATTTTACTTCATATAAACAATTAATTAAAAAAAAAAATACTTGGTAAATGAGACGATATATCACCAGACAAAATATTGTGATACCATGCTGTATCTATTTTTTCTCCCACCCCTATAAAGGTCTGTAACTGCATAAGCATACTCTCAGCTTCAAATCATGGTTTTGCTCTTGTTGTGAAGGCTGAACTTTTCAGAGAGGAGGATGAGAGCTGTAAGTCAGATGAATTTAACTGCCAAGCAAAAGACAGACAGGAGGATAATATCAGAGTGTGAGCTCCACATCAGCTTCATCTTCATCAAGGCACAGACTTGGTGAGTTTCTCTGGTTTGTCAGTAAGTTTATCAATTCAGAATCATGTTTTCACTGCTAAGTTAACAAGTTTTAAAGTTATAAACCAATATTTTAACACATCTGAGACACCCGTGTGAGTCTCTAGTGCTTCAAACATTCATGAATGTAACTTGTGCTTCAAATAGCTTCAGCCAGTACCAGCCAGAACCGAGAAAAATAAATAACTGGAGAAAAGAGTGTGCGCCATCGACACGTCACACGTTCCCCCTCCAGCTTCGTTCTCCCAGCCTCACTCTCAATGAGGCTGCAGCCGGCGCTGCAACCAGGACACTCGGCCTCCTAAAATCTGCAACTATCACGCACGCTCCGCTCTGAAGAGCTCGCAGGGCTACAAAAATCGGCCTTTTCAGTCAAGCTGACTCTTTGTTCCTGCACTGCTTAATGATAAAGCTCTAGAGAGCTCTGTTTATGAGCTCCAACCAGATTCATCCGGATAGATGATGAATGCAAACAGACAGGGAGGGACGGAGAGGCCAAGGAGACAGTGAGAGGAGAGAAGGGCTCAGAGAGGGAAGGAAGGAAAGGAGATTAGGGAGGAACAGACATGGAGGGTTAGGATGGGTTTTGTGGCCTGGAACAGAAAAGAGATGAGATGGATGAAGGAGAAACAGACAAAAGGAGATCTAAAAAAAAAAATGCTCTTCTGTTGCTGTTGTGGCTGCTCACGGCGTGATACTGTACCGTCCACGCTCCAATGGGAAAGACTCCCAGAGCGACAACAAAGGACACAAGAGGAGCCGGCTCCATGTGAACTGGGCCTGTCTGCCCCGCACGGCTCGGAGAAAGCAGCACAGACACACACATTTAGACACAGACAGAGACAAACACACACACACACACACACACACACACACACTCAACGCTGCACACCAGAGCAGCTGCTGCCACAACAATCCCCCTTGTGCTCTTTTAATAGGGACGGCCTGCCTGTTCCGCCAACAACAAGGAGCGAAGAGAGAAGCAGACACACAAAAAGTGACACAACAGACCAATACGCATATTGTGAGAGCCTGGCTGCGACTGACACCACTTTGACGGCTGCAGTATGAAAATACACAAATCTACTGACGGGGGGGAAAGTGGGGTAGGTGAGTTTAACAAGAGGAAGTGGGCTTTGTGAACAAACTCTTCTTTTCTGCCTGAAGACACTCTGCCACAGCAGAGAGCCAAAAAATCAATACACATTAGTGCCTCTATTAGCTCCTAGGTTCATTATATCCCAGCATGCATCTCATCTACGTTTCAATATTAGATCTTGAACCTAAAGCAGCTGGAGTCAGACACTCAAGAGGCAAAAAGATCCATACTGCAAACTCCTCATGGATGTGACTTTGCAACCATGATTTCAAACTCCAGAGCAGGATGAGGGGACGGATGGACGGATGGATGGATGGATGGATGGAGCTCTCCCCTCCTCCTCTCTTTCAAAGCCCGGCTGCCGGCTACTCATCCAGTGCGGTTACATAAACATGCTTAGCAGCAGAGGACAGAGGTGGACTCTCACACACACTTACGCACACATCTTCCCCGCTGCCGAGCCGAGTGAATAAAGAGGGATGCAGATGTAAAGTGGAGGGGAAGAAGTCAGGGATGCTGGAGCAGGAAGAGACAGTTCACGGGAGACAAAATGAGACCCCTGAAAATGAGAGTGTTATGTGCACATATACTGACATAACTGGGCTGTGCACAATACACGTGTGTCCCAGAAAAGTCTCTCATCTCTGACCGCTGTGTGCTGTAATAATGCCTCAGAGGAGGATTTGGCTGCTACATCAGGAGAGAGAGGGCTGGTTCTACTGGTCTATACCTTCACCTACAACTCAACCTGTCCTTCAGAGGGCACAGAGAAGCACTGCATCAAAAAAAAAGAAAAAAAAAAAAGAAAAAACAGCAGCAGCATCACCGCTGAGCCCAAAATAGCTCCTGCACGCACCGACGCACGACAGCTAGATACACACTCCTGCAGCCGCACTGCTACTGAGCAAACAGCTGATTCAAATACAAACACACACTTACACACACACACTCACAGGACAGGCTCCGTTAGCAAGTACAGACTGGGGAAAATGACAAAGGCAACTATAACAGAGGAAGATGTGAAAGTACATTCATATCAGAGGTAGTGAAAGACAGAGCATCAGCAGATTACTCACAGCAGACAGAGCTCAGATTCATGGTCCTCTCTCAGCTCTGAGGCAGGGATGGAGGGATAAAAAAAAGGAAAAAAGCAGCCAGGGGAAAGAGAGACTGAACTGGCGGTCAGGATGGAGGAAAACAGCGAGAAGAAGCAGTGGGAGAGAGGGAGACAGAGGCAGGAGGATGACAGACATTCCTCCAACTCCTGCAGCACCTGGGCCGTGAGTGGGTGGCCGGCAGCGTCACCGAGTCGCTGAAGACCTGCTCACGTCACACTTTTCATGAATGGAGCCGTCTGACGCAGAGAGGACGCGGCTCAAAGAGCAGAGGAGGAGGGAAGGAGGGGGGTGTGAGGGGATGCAGGAGTGGGTGGAGCCTTCTGCACAGACTCAGAGAGGAGGGGCGGAGAGGAGAAGAGAAGGAGGAATACGGAGGAGGAGGAGGAGGAGGAGGAGGGGGGATGTGTTTCAAAGCAGCACCAGCTGGGAACAGCAGGTTCGGCTGCGGTGGTGTCTCTGTAAGTAGGACACACCGTTTCTGCACAAGAGAAAATCCCTTTGTATGAAATCAGCAATCAGTTCTCTGCATGTCAATAGTATCACCAGCCCACATACAGTCTCTGCACACTGTGTCCTATACATCACCATAGATTATCATTTATGTGCGATTAATAATATCAGAGTGTTACATTTAATATCGAATTAACCCTCAGGGATGAATCAAGTTCTTCTTATCTTATCTGTAAAACACCATTTTCCCCTAAACTGACAGAAATACTTTGACTCCAACTCAAAGATATTTATTTTATCATTAAAAAAAAAGAGAAACAAATCAAATCCTCACAGAAACCAGACCATTTTGCTTGAAAATTTCTTAAAACAATTGTTAGAAAGCCAATTTGGTGATCAGTTTTCAGTGAAATGAGATGCTACAATCTGCTGATGGTGGTTTGAGTGTGCCCTGGGAAACTGAACGGGTCCCTAATAAAACTTTAGTTTCTTGAGAAGTTTTAGTGTTAAAATTGAGTCTGATATTGTGGCGGTATGATATTATAATAAACAGACGAAAACACATGAAATAAAACAATAAAACCTGGAAGATTATAGGATCTTTCTTTATATGTTCAAACTCATTTAGACATCCACACCGTTCAGAGGAACTCTAATTGAGAAATGTTGATTGTATTTATCAGATTAACATTACTGACCTATTTTTCCACCTCAGGGGTAAATGCTCTGCACAGCTGTGCTTTTCCTTCATCAGCTAATAAACACTCCTCATCATAACACAGACAGAGGCAGATATTCAATGTTTCCAAAGAGATGGGAAACAGTTTTGACCATATGTTCATAATCTTAGTACACAAATACAACAAAATTAAAATAATCAGACATTTAACCTCAACTTTCTCACAAGGCTGAGCAGTCAAATCCACAATCACACCATCAGGCAGTAATCCATACTCGAGAGCAGAACTGGAGTTCAAGTTTCAGGACTGTCGGGCCACAGCGGTTGGAGGGAAACCAAAAGGTCAGCGCTAGACTGTCAGAAAAACAGTTCTTTTCTCTTCCCAAAAGGTCATTTTATAGCTCTCATGATCCCTCACACGGCTGTGGCTGAATGCTCTGAAAATAAAACCACTTCATTCAGCCAGTCTTCTGTGCATGCCTCTGTATTAAAAACACACTAACCTTTCAGTTGGTCTCTAAGCATCTCACAGGGTCTGCTGAGTGTGATCTGGGCTCGGGGTCCTTGCTTTTCACCTGCAAGTACACACAAAGATCAGGAATTAATATGGTCGAGTGTCTATTGTGTGTGTTTGTGTTGATGGCAGTGATTGAGAAAACACCTGCAGGGAGGGTGTATTAAAAGTGACTGATTGAGAGGGTGGGCCGCTGCTGAAAGGAAGTACTCAGAGAACAGATGCTCCACCCTATCCTGTCCTTAAGAGCCAAAAACCTCTGGGGAGGATAATGAAGTGGGGGTGTAGTAAGAATGTAATGATGCATGGAGGGTGGGGGTTTGGCATATTGTTGCAGCATTGTCCAATCTCAATCCTCAAGCCACACCCACCAGGGGACACAGCCAGAGGGGGGAGGTTTGGTATCCCGGGGCGAGGCTGAGGGGGAGACTTCCAAACGCGGCCTTTAAATGGTGTGAAATGACAGTCAAATGAGTCATGGCGCAGATGGCTGAGGATGCTGGCTCTTAAAGAGCCGACGTTAGGCCGTGGTGATTTTGTTAGCAGATAGTTAGATCTGTTAAAATTACCCGTTTGTGATGCAAAATGTCTAAAATTAACACAATGTCAAGCATTCTTCTGGGCCCGCAGAAAACAAGAGTGGGCGTGAGCAGACATTGTTATTCTTGCCTTGTTGCTGCAGACACACTCCTGTAAACATGTCGCCACATACACAAAGACACAGCAGGGGAATTCCCAAATACAGCACTAGTTAAATATTGGCAGAGAGAAAGAGAGAGAAGGAAGAGAGAGAGAGAGAGAGAGAGAGCAGTGTAGATTCAAATACCTGAACTGTTTGCTTAGCAAGAAAGTCTCGCTCTCTCTACAGCCGAAATTCCAAAGGTCAGCAGATCACAAGCCTGCAAGCTCATGTGGAAACAAGCAAAGCCGCAATTCATTATGAAACAAGTCTAACATGCCCAGCTAAGAACTGTCAAACAGCAACGAAAGACTATTTAAGCCGCTACAGCAAAGGATGCTCAGTCCCTCACCACAACACCACACAAGACTTCTTTATGGTCACCTATAATCTTTATAACACCACAGAGGGATATCAGAATATTTTTGTAGGTTGTATGAATGATCAATTCAAGACAAGTCTGAGTCTAAGATTCACTGTGAAAAGTAAGTAACACCAAGGCTCCACTTTGGTGTACAGATTTGGCTGATTTATGAAAATAAATCACTGTTGGTGGAAGCTGAGCTGCAGTCATGGTGAATCACCCTCCTCCTGTTTTTACTCTCCATACAAACTTTTTTTATTATTGCATTCACCAAAGCTGGCAGAAACATCATTGGGCAATACTCAGACACCAAAAGATTTGTTGGATCTGTGAATAGATGTTTTTTTAAAATAAATATCTCACTTACTTTTAACTTATTCAGAAATATTGATTTGTGGAGACTCAAATAATGCACAAATGCCAAGAGCCAGCAGGTAGCAGATTTAAAAGCAAACTCTGGAAAGTTACAGAGACAGACAGTTTGTTGTCATTCTGCCATTTAGCTGCCACCCTCAATTTCCTACACAGATCAGGAGTCATTCAACTTTAATCAAAGTTTCAAATCACATTTCGAAAGCAAGAAGCAGAGCAGCTGAAATCTGAGCCTTTCCATTTTCTACTCTGATCACATCTTCCTCAAGTGGAAATTTCCTCCCATCAGAGTTTATCTGTTGATAAACGATCAGAGTCATCACCTCAGATAGAAAGGAGTCACAAATATATCAGGAAAGCTCTTTATACTAAGATTAAAGGATGAGATGATCATTATTTATAATCATTTAAAATATTTATGGCCCTGAGTCCCAAAATATTTGAGCTGACCTTCTTGTCTGCTTTATTTACCTCTGCTGGGAGAACATCTCTTTACTTGACCCCCTGTTGGGATGCTGCTCTGTGCCTCGATCTGCTTCATACTGTGTCCATTCACAGTGTGCAGGTCACTGCTTGGCTATAAGCCACGCTGCTGCTGCTTGTTATGCAACAGACAGGCAGACAAGCTAAAAATGATCCACAATCACAAGTCAGTCATGATTTGTCGATCTTTGGACCACTCTGACTTGATCACAGTCGTACATTTAATTTCCAAACTCTGTAATAACTGGTATAATTCATTCTAAAATGTACAAAAGACTAAATTCACAAACCTAAAAAGGGATTTATATGTCACTGAAGTGAAGTAACAAGTGAATCAAACTTTATAGGTTATAATTTAAATGGCTTGAATGGTTAAAAAAAGAAGAGTTCTTCGTTTAACCTTCACTCTAAGATTTTTATTTCTAGTCTTATGATTTATGACGCTGAAAGCAGAGACTGTTTGCTGTTTTGTTCTTTCCAAATGATTCATCGCATATCAATGTGGCTGATGAATGTTTTTCTTGAATAAATTGTGAGATTTCAACTTTAAATCACACAGTGTCCCAATCTTAAAGCTCTTATTCTTTCAGAGCAAACACCATCTTTACATCACTAACTCCATGCTTCATCTATTTAAACTGACAAACTCTGTGGAGGTTTTTATAAAATACTATGGCTGTCTACCCCAACACGATGTACAGCAGAAAGAGACACTGACGCCCTGATGAAGTTTTCAGAAATTCTTTATGTGTTGAAAATACTCCAGATCATTTCTGGCTGAAGAAATAGTAATCATTTAAACTATTTCAAACTTCAGAGGTAAAAAGAGTCTGAACAGAGTGTTTAAGATCAGCTTTACCCCAGTTCTTTTCCATGGCCTGCTGTCCAGTCTCCATCACCAACACACAAACACTATCGGTGGGTCAGACGATGCCCTGCCCTCTCCTTCCCTGAGCAGCAGAGGTGTAAACCACACTGGCTCTGCTCCGTTATACACACTCATTACTATTTCACCAGCAGCGGAACAGCCGCACTGACAGCTCCTGTGTCCTCGCATTAATAAGAGAAAAAGCAGCATCGCAGCTTGAAGTGGTTTACTTTTACAATCTGACATCGCATGCAGCAGCCAGGTACTAACAAGCAGACGCACACACACAAACACACACACACTCACATCTACAGTTACCACAAAAATAAATAAGAGTCTGTGGCTGTCTGATAAGTGGTACAGTATGCTGACATGTTCAGTTATGAGGCTATCATGTGGCTTCATCTGACTCGATGACAAAGGCACAAAAGCAGAGATTTACACTGTCACCTGAGCCTTTAGCTCGTCTTGTGAATGTGCACTGTGTATTGATACTGCACAGTGTTTAAATAGCTGCAAAAGCAACATGTTTACTTAGTGAAACATCCTTTGTGTTGTTGTAGAATCTTTATCTATGTTCAAAAATGAAGACGCTTGACTTCGGACTTAAAAACAGAAACTGTCTTTAGTGGATAAAAACTCCACATTTTAATTCGCTCACAACATACTGAAGGGATTTTTCTGCTGAATTTCATGTTTAACAATTTCCGTTTAACAAACTTAAAGCTTTGGCCATGAGATAATGCTCTTACTCCTTTAATCAATAATTAGGAAAGAGGATTAGGGCCAAATGAGGGCCAAAATAAAAAATCGAAATTATGTCAACAAAGTCGAAATTTCAAGAGTGAAAATTGAATTTTCGAGATTAGAGTTGAAACTTCGAGATTACTAAATGTCGGGAACAATCTCAAAATTTTGAGTTAAAAATGTTAAAATATTGAGATTCAAGTCAAAATTTCAAGATTAAAGTCGACATGAATAAAGTAAAAATATCAACTTTTTAAAATTTCGACTCTTGTATTCTCTATCAATTAGAGTTACAACAGTGGAGTCGAGGGCTCAGAGGGAGCCTGGACCAGCATCCTCTAGAACAATTAATATGATAAAGTTGAAAATAGTTTGTAGAGTAACTTAAACTATCTACAAAGGCCTTACTCAGCATCTTTGATCGACTGACAACCAATGATTTGTGAAGTAAAGGTCTTAATCGGGACAGAGACAATTTTAACACATCTATAGGAGGTTTCACTCTTTTAGTATGGTAGTGATGGGCAAGGCAGTTCTTTAAGATGTACTGAATCACTAGAATCAGTTCACTAAAAAGATTTGTTCAAAAGATTCGTTCCTGAACTGATACACAGCTGAACAGTTCAGGATTCAGTTCAATTCATAGCTTCTGGGACCGGGAGACGAGAGTGTTTGGCTGTGTTGCTTTGGCAAACAGGTTTGTAAAAATGAACTTGTTTATAAGTCATGATGTTTTAAGTGTACTGTCTTATGGTATGCTATTTATCAGGTCTGCTCGGTAAATTGGGGTCAGTGAGTGATTCGTTCACTGAACGTTTAGAAGAACTTACACTGAACATGCACCGTTCCCTCACAAACTGCTGCAATGATAGGATGCTGTGGGTTTTATGCACTACTTGTTACATGCTGTGTCCTATTGTATGGAAGTTGTTGTGGTGGCAATTTAACAGTAAATAAAAAAGGTCTGACAAAAATGATTCCAGAAAGTGCGGTCCCTCGTTCGCCAGCTGCTGGCCTGACAATGCTGTTTCTCACTTCAGCTCGACTTAAGTGAGAAATGAACCGAATTACTTCCTCGAGTGATTAGATTCAGTATGTTCACTTAAAAGATTTGTTCTTTTGAACAAATCGTTCGCGAACGACACATAGCTATAATACGGACTGAATCAAACTGATGATGACTAATCCTGTCTACTTCCTCAAGTAATACACCACATACCAAATCCAGCTATTACCGAGTACATCATAAAAGAGCTAAGTCAAGTCAATACTAGCTTATTACTAGCTTGGTCAAAGTTCAGTTTTTAAAACATCTGAATTCCTTTGACTGAAAAATAAAAACTTCATTAACCCATTAATATCAGAGATGGAGTCTGAATTTCTCAGTTAATTTCAAAATGAAAAATATTTAGGATTTTTTTCTGAATAGAAAGTCTCGTGATGTGAAAAACTGGGACTAACTGCAGTCCCATAAAACCAGTCAGCCTGGAGGCAGCTGGTCAGCGGTTGATTTAACATTAACACATGCGCTGGTCCTCAGTGTGTTGACTCCATGCGAGAGGACAAAACTGTTTTCCTGAGATAGAAACAGGCCAGCCTAACTGATTGGTTGCTTTTACAAAGGCTGGCATGGATGAGTGAATCCTGCACACAACAAGCGCTGATTCTCAGAGACAGATAATGCTGGTGAGATTACTGTGCTGAGCCCACCGACAACCCTCAGCCTGACCAATCCGCGCTCAGAGGAAATTACATAACAATGACTGTTCACCACTACCGGAGGATTCTGCCCGCACCACAACAATCCTTCTATCCCGTTCCTCTCTTTATCATCAGTGCAGAGTCGACAAGGAGGAGCAGACAGAGCGCCTGGTTGGCTGGACCGGTCTCCCTCTGAACTGTATGCACCTGATAATCCAGAGCCTGATTTATGGGATTGCGTGCAGAGATATAATACAAAACAGCAGCGAGTCTTAGATAACAGAAAACATTATGAAGTCTTCTTGCTTTAAATTATCTCATGTTTGCAAATACTCCACCTCCTCCTTCCACATCCAGGATAAATGGGATCAAGTGAGCGTGGTGGTGGCGGGCAGCTGAGTCTTACTTGAAACTATGAAGCTGTGGGTCTGCTGTGCTGTTGCTCTCTGGGGTGAAAGGTCAGATGAATATGTGAGGTTACAGCTTAAGGGAGCAAGACACTGCAGGCTGAGCACACACTGTACATGCACTGTACATGAACTGAACGCAATGTACAGCCACCATCAGGGTTATCATCTCTTTTCCCTTTTTTGGATCAGCATCTGTGTAACAGACAAATATCCATGTACAAAGACATTTCTAAAACAATGACCAATAATAGTTTCAGAGTGCTTTACACTGAAATACCAAAGTACAGTCAAAATGGACCAATAAGCACCAGCTCTTAAGGAATACAACAGCAGAAAAATGTCCCTTTCTCACGGACTTAGACATAAACTCAAACTTTTCCATCCGTATTAGAGCTAAACCGATTAGCTAACAGGGCTGATCACAGTCAGTCCACAAGTGAGGAATGAAGACCAAGAAGACGCTTGTTTAGCTCAAAATCACAGTATCTACAGTAGATATAAAAAGTCTACACACCCCTGTTCAACTGCCAGGTTTTAGTGATGTAAGAAAATGACAGCAAGATAAATATTTTCACAACTTCTTCCACCTTTAATGTGACCTATAACCTGTACAATGCAACCGAAAAACAAACTGAAACCTTTAAGGGGAAAAATGTAAAGTAGAAAAATTAAAATAACCTGGTTGCATAAATATGCACCCTTAAACTAATACTTTGTTGCAGCACCTTTGGCTTTCATTACAGCACTCAGTCTTTTTGGGTAGGAGTCTATCAGTGTGGCACATCTTGATGTGGCAATATTTGCCCACTCTTCTTTGCAAAACTGCTCCAAATCTGACAGATTGCGAGGACATCTCCTGTGCACAGCCCTCTTCAGATCACCCCACAAATGTTCCATGGGATTCAGGTCTTGGCTCTGTCTGGGCCATTCCAAAGCCTCAGTCACATTCCGGTGAAGCCATTCTTTTGTTGATTTAGATGTGTGCTTTGGGTCATTGCTGTGCTGAAAGATGACGTTCATCTTCAGCTTTAGCTTTCTAGCAGAAGGTCGAAGGTTTTGTGCCAACACTGACTGGTATTTGGAACTGTTCATAATTCCCTCCACCCTGACTAAGGCACCAGTTCCAGCTGAAGAAAAACAGCCCCAAAGCATGATGCTGCCACGACCATGATTCACTGTAGGTATGGTGTTCTTTTGGTGATGAGCAGTGTTGATTTTGCGCCAAATATACCTTTTGCAATGATGCCCAAAAAGTTCAACTTTGGTTTCATCAGACCATAAGACATTTTCCCACATGCGTTTGAGAGATTTGGGAGAACAGGGGTGTGTAGACTTTTTATATCCACTGTATTTAAGTATCCACTGAGAGGGAAGATGTATAAGGATGGAACCAAAGCACACTGCAGAGTGACAGGTAACAGACAAAATTACAGTCACTCACTTTTCTCATTTATTTCTGCTCTAATTGTGTTTATCAAATCATTCAAGGCGCAAATAGCAGTTTGGCACCGAGTTAAAAAAAGATTTCCAGTCCAGATATAGACATTGTATGCATTATAGATCACATGAGTAGGGATGCATTTTTCTTTTCACATATATTATTCAGCAGATGCACACATCAGCAGTCGTATACACTGCAACACACTAACACACACACACACACACATACACAGCCTGTGTATAACTTGTGCATGTGCTCTGGTTCTTGCTCCTCCACTCGTGTGTGTTAATATGCTCCCCATGAGGCGCTGCAGGCTGTGGTAATTATAGAAGCTCAGCTAGCAGACACATCACAAGAGTGAAGTACATTTAAAGCCATGTGCAGTATGGTATGAATACACTTCATGTACACAAACATGTATGCATACAAACCAAAGCAGAGAAAATGATCACAGTCTTTCTTGAAAAGTTGCCCTCTGAGACGAGGTTTCCTCATGGTGTTTAGCCACGTTTATACTTTAAAAGGTGTAGATAAATTTATCTTCTTCTAAATGTGTCTATGACTAGAACGGTGAGGTATAAGAGTTAATCTGAGCCCCTCCTCTTCATAATACCCCTGCCCAAATATAAAGAAGATGTGGGGCTTAACCTACTTCTCAGCAGAATCCAAGTCCTAAAACTGGCGGATGAGTTTGTCCAATAAACCCTTTGGCAATGTACCACTTTATCCCCGTCAGAGCCCACAGAATCGAGGAGCCCACAAGATCGAGGGTGCTTACTTTCTCAATCAAGCTGAGTTGTCCTTATTGGCATTTAGTGGTCTGATATAGATGTGAGGCGTGCCAGGCGGGCTCTCGGTGTGACAAGCTGGCCCTGCGTGTGGCTCACAGTAAGCTAGGGATGGGATGGAAGCGGGGCCTGTGGAGCTCAGACAGTGTCATTACAGAAATGTCAGTCAGGAAGAAGGAGGGGAGGAAAGGGCCCGAGGGAGGAGAGGAGGAGGAGAGAGGGGGCGAGCGAGTAAAGAGGATAGAGACAGAGAGGGAGAGAGTGGGACAGAGGGCAAGACATTCATGTTCACATCGTTTCCCTCAGCCCGGCGTTTGTTGTTTGGCTTTTTCCGCTCAGCTGCCCTTCAATGGCTGCACGCGACGTGAACACTCCACACAGAGACAGAAAGGCTATTTTTAAAACAGCTGTTGGGCACGCATTACTGTCGACCCTGCTCACCTGAGCACTACATGTTTCATTTATCCCTCGAAAATGATAAAAAGAGATGACATTTGAACCAAGACAAGACTAATTCAGATTCACTTTAGGATCAAACTTGTCAAAGCTGATCTATAACTCCTGACTATTAGTAAAAAAAAAAGTGAGCAGAATCTTCTTTAAATGTACTGATTAATGGTTCATTAGGGAAAATTAGGGATATGCGAACCAGCATTTCAGAGAGGCTTTTCCTTGTGTGCAGAAACAGTGACATGACAATGCAAAGATCATCTGTAAACTGATGATTTAAACTATCAAATCTGGTGCAGACAACCAGCTTTAATGCTTCTATGACACGTGCTGCAGACAGTGCTGAAAGTCTTGGAAACAAGGCAGTCTGACTGCAAAAAGCAGGACAAGTGGACACCATTTCTAAATCATCCAAAGCAAAATTATCTTCATGGCATATCCAATCTAAGAAATTCTCATGCTTCAAAACTTTACTGTATATATTTAATATGTCTGCAAAAAGGCAGTGATTTGTGAAGGATGAGGTACAGCAAGCAGGCTTTTTAACTGACATAGCATAAAAACAGACAGTTACTATATATGAAGCCACACAATAACCAATCAGAATCAAGTTCTCAGCACGGTCGGGTTATTACAGTCAGTTCGAGGTTTCCGGTGTTGTTGAGCCAGAGAGGAAAGACCAACTCTGAATGTTTGATCAACCAACCACAGCCTTTTGATTCTTCTTGCTGTGCTTTTAAAGGTAACACACACAAACACACACACGCACACAAACACACCTTCAGGATGTCTTCGTGATTTGGACTTTGTAGTAGCATCAAAGCTAACGGCAGAGAAATGAAGATTTTAATCCAGCAGTCTGCACAAGGTGTTATGAAGAGGTCCAAAACACCAGACGTGGAGGAAAGCTGCATGAGGAGTGTCTTATAAGTACTCACGTTCCAGACATCACAACAGCTGACAGTTATAGTGAGTCTTCATCAGCGGCAGTCCTCCACTGACAACACAATAAATCTTTACATGGTAGATGTTTTTTCATGTTACGAAACACAGCAATAAGCTTATTCATTAAGCCTGATGGGACAGGGCTGGAGCCACTGCTATACAAATGTGACCAAAAAAACAAACAAATCGAGTCTCCGGGGCCGGGATTAGAGAGATCAGACCAGCTGCAAGGCTACACTGCTGCTGCTGCTGCTACACATGTCAATTACATAAATACAGCTTCCCGTCTCAAACCCAGCATCAGGACCCTCCCGCCCTCCTGCGCCACCAAGCTCGACGACGTGGCACCTGATAGATCAGATGTCCAGGTATTTCTTGAAACGCCCGCAACAAACTCTGTGTTGCCATGGAGCAGCGTTTCCAGGGTTACCCACAACTTCAAAAATAAATACAGAGGAGAAATTCAATGACATACACTTAATGTCAGCAAAACCCATGAAAACAAAGATGAATGTGTATCACATCTTGCAAATCACCTCTCTACCCTGTCTGTGGCACTTGAGTCCAAGCAAGTTCACCTCTCAAAAAACACAAATCTGTGGATTAAAATGTTTGATTTTAAGGAGGCCTGTCAGGTACTGCCATCTTACAGAAGTATGAATGATCAGATTCACATGTAATAATATGTCATACAATGAGACTGCATTTTTCATGATTTTATATACTTTAAATACAGTATATTACTGTACTCAGGGCAATTTCCAGGTCTGGAATACAGTTATTGATGAGTCAAGCTGTTTAAACATGACCTGATCGTAGCCTGTTCCTCTGTGTGCCTCTGTGATTATTTACCCTTTTATTATCAATATTCTTTTTTTTTAATAAAGGAATATTTAGCTCCCTCTTGACTTGGTGACAGCATCCGAGTGTGTGACTTAACAGCTCCAACATGAACCAATACATGTGACATGAAAATGAAACATGACTGTCGTCTGTCGTTGCTCTGTTCGATCTTCATCGGTGTATGTAATAACTCTCTGTCAGCAGAAACATCCGCAGATCAGTGTGTAATTTCAGACATAATCCACAAGCAAGACGCTTTCTACAGAAAACTTACTTTTTTTCTCTCTATGGCAGTTTTATTATTTATTTTATTGCACCGAACTGACTAGGATACAGCGCAACATCATCGGCGTAACGCCATAATATCAGGTAATAATGAGGAGTGCTGTCCTCAGAAAACAGTGTATCTTGCAAGTAAGTTCATCACACCAATAATGACCAAATATTAAAAAAAAAAAACACAAGTAACATTACAGCCACAAAGGACAAACAACATGTGATTTTTGGTTGATATCTTCATGTTCAAGTTGAGGTAATATTTCCAGACTTTGTATTCTCACTTTTTCTACTTGAAAAAGTATCACACAGTAAAGAAGATTGTTTTGATTTCTATGAGACTTTTTAAAGGGGTGGAGACATAAATCTGCTAAATGCTACACTTACAAAACCTGGACTTTGGAAATTTCATTCACATTTGGTTTTGTAGTTGAATATAATCGGCAAGTATCTGGTAGGACATTATCTAAGTGTATTTATTTGTTACTTCAGCTGCCGTCCAGTTAGTTTAATACAAGTTCAACCGCAGCGTCAGAGCCTTTCAGGTCAGCCATCTTGGTTATTCGTGAAAACACCTCCGGGCTCTCGAAGCGGGCGCATATGAGATAAACGTTTGTGATTGGCCTGACCTCAATCATGCCCGACAAAATCAGTCTGAAGATGAGGGAGACCAGATGCATCTGCCTAAAACATTAAATCAAGAACTTGCAGATTTGGCAGATTCCCATAATGAATATGTTTCTGCTTTACACACAATATTCCTGCTTTATCCAGTTTAGACTACAGCTGATGAAGTGCAGCATGGGAGGAAATACCAGGACTCCACTTCTCTTTCTGATGTCTGGAAATTGAACAGATGTTATAGTTTCCTCTAAACTGAGGCGTTCACAATACTTCACTAATTTTCACTGCTGAAATAAAAAACAATGCGCTCATCATTTATTGACGTCAGGGTTCAGGTTCATTGCCAATGTTCTCCTTGTAACGTAAAAACAAATGTAGAAAAAAGCTTCAAATGGCTAAAGTGACGAACATGTGTGCAGTAGCAGCTCACAGTGGCTGTGAGTTTGGTGTTGGGTGTCTTTGTGCCATAGTTAAGAGCACCTGAGAGGTGTAGCCTTCAACACATAGTCAGCAGGGGACTACATTTGGCTGATTGGAGCTGAGCGTGACCTGTAACTGCACCACAGTCGATACGAGAGAGGCAAAGCCTTTACAAACACACATGTGGACACTTACTGGAAACGTCGCACTCAGCACAATGAGAGAGGAACACAATGCCAACAGGCCGACAGATCACAGCATCCAGCGCTCACACGTGTAACCCTCTCCACCGCTCGCTGACTGTCAGAGTCTGCGGCACAGAAACGAAAAGCAGCCGAACCATAAAACTGTTGTGACATCAAGTCATCCTAAGAGACAGATGAATGATTGCATGTGATTTGTGTCAGATGGTTGCCGGGGGTCGCTGAACTGCTCACACAAAGCAGTCAGACACAACAGTCAAGCAATAGATGCAGCTTTTATTCAGTGTTGTTTTAGTTGACGAAAATATTTCCTCAACGTCATTGTCAACGAAAACAACACTGCAGAATATACGTTTAGCATTTGACTGACGGAATGCTCATGAAGTTTGCAACTCAGTTCGTCGTCCACCACTAACGTTTTCGTCTAGTCTTGTCAACGTAAACGCACATTAGTCTTGTCACATTTTAGTCATCTAAGACTTATATTTAGCTTGTCAACGTTATGTCTTCGTCGTGGAAAAAAATGGGCGTTGACGAAATATTTTCGTTATTGAACACAACACTGCTTTTATTGAGGTTTTCACGATTTTGTTAAGGAGAGTCGACTGTTTGGAGCATTTGAGGGCTCCACAACATCTAAAACTACAAACAAATCAGACGTAAATCTTCCTCTGTCTAAAGGTGTAGGACCAGGTTATAAATCTGGGTCAGTATAAAGTGATTACAATGTTAGGATTATCAAATCTGGATGTTGAGAGGGACAAAAATCTCACAGTAACAGCATAACAAGGTACGCATTTTCACAATTACACTTTATGGACACTTTGCCAAATGTAGAGTCTTGTATAGAGGTGGAATTTAAACCTAGCATTGCTAAATATTAATAACTGCAAACGCTCAGTCTGAACTTCTGTGCAGATTTAATGTTGATGCTTTACCTGTCTGCTCTTTATTTCAGTTTTTTACATGCTTATCATGACCATACATGCTTCAGTTCACATTTTGTTTTTGCACAAGCTTCACTTGTAAATATAGGAGGGCAGGTTTTTTCATTTGTAAATGAATCTAAAAGTATTGACACAAGTATTACTCAGTGCTAAAATCCTAACAGCATCACATTTTTTTTTGCTGAAGTTGCACAACAGCTTGTCCGGGACATGGATTTTGGACTTGGACTTGACTCAGAGCTTCAGGACTTGAGCCTAGACTGCAAACAAATGGTTACAGTATAATGCATCACATGAGGATATTAAGATCTGAGCTTCAAATGACAAAAAACAACAACACGTGCAAGGTGTGACTGAAAAGTATAATAGCATATTAAACCCAAAGTGATCACTCACAGCCAGTATGACCCAGCCGGAACATTATGCTGCTGTCTCCCTCAGCCACGTACTCAAACATAATAAACAAAAGCACATTGTGACTAACATGTTTCTCAAAAACAAACACTTCTTCACCGCCCACTATAATTTAGTCTCCTCTCCAGCAGCCTGTAATTTCCTCCTTCTGCTTCAGCTTCACACAAGCAAAGGAAAAGTCCATTTCTAAACAAGTCAGGATTCAACCAGATATTGTCCACTGAGTTACATAATGTAGGCGAAAAAGACCTCTACAGCCCTGCATTATATCTGCTGCGTGACTACAGGACAGTCTCTGCTGACTGCATTGGGTGTTTATTATCAGTACCTGAAGATTCATTCATAAACAGTCAACAGTAGCAGACCCTCGTCGTCGTCTTAATTCTTGAAGCTCCACTGACAGCTGCCCCAGTCAGCACATTTAAGCTTCATCCCACAATCACATTAAACCGTCTCACGTCATTAAAGCACAGCTGTGGACTTTCTAACGTAACATTAACGCCGCAGCTGTCGATACAAGGACGATAAATGTGAATATTACCGTTCAGCAGTGTTGAATCCCGCAGAGATGTCCGACTGCTCTCACTCTCTCCTCGGTCCATCTATTTACTGTCCAATCCTCTGCTATCTTGTGAGCGTGCTACGTCACTTCCGGACACTCTGGACCCGTACACCTGAACCCCGGCGCTCACGCAATCGAAGATCGTCTATTGAGAAGAGTCTCATACAGAAGTAGAAAGAGCGGATAAACTCGTTTTTGGCATTTCTAGCAGGCAGTACTAGCTTCAAACGTAGCCTACGATTGAAATAGTGTTTTATTAATGTGATGTTTGTATTTTGCGTTATTATTTTAGTTTTCACTTGATGTTTAGGGCATTGTGGTACTGTAGGCTACGTTTTTATATGGCCTGATTAGATATAGCTGTAGCAAATGGAACATTTTCAATAAATTTTAAACATGAATATTGAAAAAAAACATTTTATAAGAGTTTATCAAGTTTTTGAAATTTGCTTTGCCTGTCTATGTTTGAAATATACTGCTTGCCAGAGCCAGCCCAAGCCTCAATGGGGCCCTAAGTAAAATTTGATTTTTGGGCCCTATATTTCTGCAGATAATATTGATTGATGATCATTCACACACCTACTACTGTATAAATTTAATGTGCCTGACATGTCTTTACACATTTAAGGGGGTGACTTAGGTAATGACATAAATAATACCAATGCAACCATACAAATAATACCAATGAATGATGTTCAGGGTGCCACGTATGGTTTTTAATCTCAAAATGTAACACTTCAGGATGCTAAGTGCACATTGCACAGCAGGAGGTACATAACGGTAGCAGAGCTTTGACATGTTGACAAAATTTCCTTCAGCTAAATTATTCAAAATCTGAAATAATTCTCTGTAACATACAAAACTCCCCCCTCATACAGTCTTGTCTCGGTCCACATTCAGTCATCATCAAACCAACAGCCAGAAATCTAGGAGTAACCTTCGATTCAGACCTCACCTTCTCCACCCATATCGACAAGATTGTCCAGTCCTGTTTCCTTCACCTGCGTTCTATTGCAAAGATTAAACAGATACTCACCCCACCAGATCTCGAAAAGATAATCCACGCCTTCATTTTCTCAAGACTGGACTACTGTAACTCTCTCTTCCCTGGTTTAAACAAGAAATCACTCTCTCGCCTCCAACTAGTTCAGAATGCAGCAGCTAGGCTTTTAACTGGTTTTAGTCGACGGCATCACATCACTCCAATTTTAGCCTCCCTTCACTGGCTTCCTGTCAGTTTTAGAATAAATTTTAAAGTTTTTATTGATTACTTTTAAAGCGCTTGAAAGACTTGCTCCGAGCTACATTTCAGAGCTTTTAATACCATATGAGCCAACTCGCAGCCTCAGATCCTCTGGCGAAGGCCTCCTGGTCGTTTCAAAGTCGAGGCTCAAAACTAAAAGTGATAGAGCTTTCTCCATCAGAGCTCCTCGACTTTGGAACAACCTGCCAGAGGAGATGAGGCGTGCAGAGACAGTCACGTCTTTTAAGTCAAATTTAAAAACTCACTTTTACAGACTTGCTTTTATGTGATGCTGTCTTTGACCTTTTTCTCCTTTTTCTTTTATCTCTTTTACCTCCCATTTTATGTTGTAGGGTTCTTGTATTGCCTGGGTTTCTTATGAAAAATGAAACTGGCCTTCAATTCCAAGGCTTTGTTTTTAACTGAGCTTTTGTTTTTATTTGTTTTTATTTTCATGTGCTGATGTTCTGTGCTTACAACTGTTGTCAAAGCACTTTGTAAACTTCTGTTTTTAAAGGTGCTATATAAACAAAGTTATTATTATATCAGGAGTAAGAATCATAGGCCTACATCAGCAGCAGCACTGAAATATTTTCACTTTATTTTATTTTCACAATAATATATATTTGATCATACAAAAAGCATCACTCATACATGCAAAAAAATAAAAATATATATTTCAAAATTGTATTATTATCATTATAATTATTATTTTTGATTGCCAGCGAGGCTTACCTGGTGGGTCTGTTCGAGGACACCAACCTGTGTGCCATCCACGCCAAGAGGGTGACCATTATACCCAAAGACATCCAGCTGGCTCGCTGCATCCGTGGAGAGAGAGCTTAAACTCACACACCTGACCAACACTGCAAACCAACGGCTCTTTTAAGATTTGAATTTCCCTCTGAGGATTAATAAAGTTCTTCTTATCTTAGTGCTGATTGGTTGTGAGGAAGATACTGCTCCCTCATGTTGTGAGGCAGATGTTGCTCCCCAGTGTCGTTCAGGAGCCCAAACAAAGTTAGTGTGCTACAATATCAGACAGTAGAAACCAACCAGAAAGTACAGAAAGTTGTGTGAATCCTCCTTTAGCCACGACGACCAACACAAGCAAGAAAACGAACTAAATACCAGAGACTCTGGCAGAATAACAGGCACTTAAAAAGGAGGTAGATCGAACAAGAGCTAAGAAGCCGGGTCAACAATGATGGGGGATGCTTAAGGACCCACAGACCCTGTAACCTTTCTGTTGGACAGCGGAAAACTGGTTGGGAGGGGTCGTGTTTACATTCAAGATTTCTCCCCAAAACTGGCACTTCCTCAGATTCTGCCTACCCCACCTTTAAGCGGCATCTTCTGTCAAAAAAAGTGACCAACTTGCCTTTTGACAGTCAATTTAATCCTTTTTATGAGAAAAGTTAAACAGGCTGTTTCTTCATCTACTTGGCTAACACCTACCCTCTTACACCAGTTTCAGGCATTAAAAACCCTGATTTAAAATTTGTCAATCTTGTCGCTGATGATCTTGTATGTTATATAAAAGCATCAGTGTGAATTTCAGACCATTGCACAAGTGTCAAAAAACTCCTCACAGGAGCTTTAAGCATATGTACTGTGCATAACCATGATGCAGAGGCCCTTAACAAATCATAACAAGTAGCTACATGCAGCAATTTAGTCTTTGACAAGTGTGGTGTAAATTAAAGAACTGTTAAAATTAATTGAACATGTGGGCAACTGCAAATAAATTCACTCACCCCCCCATAACTTACATTAATTATCTATTGACTGCATGTGCCTCTACAGTCGGTCAAGTTTCTATTCACTTGTTTATCTGTGATTTAACTCTGAGAACTGACAAGTTTCCTCAAAAATGACTGTCACTTATGGTTCAACAAAAATCCAAACCACCAAAACAATAACAACAAAACTGAAGTTGCTCCTGCTTGTCGAAAATGTAAATCTGTTTATTGATGTTCCCGAAAGATCCAGGAACTAGGCAGGCTAAACAAGAAAAAGAGGGAACTGATAAATCATTTACTCACAACCTGATGCAGTTATGTAACTAGCCGTTTCAAGTAAAACGGATACAGGAGTCAAATCAGTTCAAGCTTATTTTAAGCACCAAAATGGCCATGTGAATCTTAGCTTTTTAAATTTTTATGTTTGTTTTTTGTCAAGATATGCTGACATGCATAACTTGTGTGACAACAAGTCAGACAGAACTGTGTTGGCATCATTTGTGACGCTGATAAACAGCAAAAATTACGAGCGGAGTGATGCCTCTTCATTGTCTTACCATCTTTGTCAGTGTGGTTAAAAATAGTTTCTGGAGCTTTTCAATGGCCGTACGCTGCCGGGGGTTTACCGGACTGTTTCATGAGAAGTGGCTTGAAGAGTGAATTAGAGTCGACATTTAATGAATTAGACATTTGTGCTCTAGAGCAGGACAGCCCGAGGAATGAGACAGAGTTTCATCTTTTCAAAGAAAATCCATTCATATCAATGTTTGAGCTTCACAGACAATTTCGACTGAGAGAGAGAGAGAGAGAGAGAGAGAGAGAGAGAGAGAGAGAGAGAGAGAGAGATCTAAGGAGTCTTTCATTATTTCTCTGACTGAGGAATATGTGCAGCTGAGAGAGAGGAGGGTGTGAAACCGATACTGCTCTGTCTGGCCACGTGTGTCTGAGCCAATGAGCGTCCTCTGGGGCTGCTCCGAAACTAGTGCAAGGACGAATACCTGGGCAGGTGGAGGAAAACAATGACGAGAAACTGAACTGATACATAAACAAGGAAGGCTTCAGAAAACAGCAGAAAGACTGTCTTTTCTATTTAACTCTAAACTTAGACAAGACAATTCAATGAGGGTACATTTTTATTCATCATTAAGGCAATTCAGGGTTTGTGTTAAGGGCACGTGAACTTTAGTGCAAAATCAGTGGCGGCTGCTGGTCTTTCAAGGAGGGGAAGCTCATTTTTCTGGCCTACATCATAATTGTATTTGTTTATTAGTATGTAACAGAACAGAGTCGCCAAACACAACGGCAGTCGTTTTTAACAAAGACAAAAGTCGCTGAGGATCGGTAAAGTCTCTAGAGCAGTTAAGAACAACGGAATGAATGACTTGGAAAATGCTCTGGTAGATGTTTTATTCTTCAAGATCGCTGATTCGCTTGTTTAGCTGTCAATCAAAAAAGGATTTCGCCTCAGACAGCTCATCCAATCATGAATGCAGAAGCTTGGAGTCCGGGAGAAAGTCGGGACCGCCCTCTCGCCATAGAACTCCAGTGAAGCTTAGCTTCCATTGGGCGGGACAAAGCCCAGCATTTATCCAATGAGCGTCTAGTTTCGCTGCTGGAACAACCTACTTTAAGCTTCCACATTGAAGTCAGCAGAAGCCCAGCGTCCGACTGTTTGAAGCGCTGAGGCGCTGCGAGGATGAATGAGAACGAAGTTATGCCGGTTACCTGTGATTATCAGATTCTTATCACAGTGTCTGAACAAAAGTTGAAGGCTTTCTAGTGCGTATTTAGTTAATGAAATGTACACACAGCCGTACGTATTTCACCACTTTTTCTTTTTTTGGGGGGTGACATTTTAAGGGAAGCCGAGCTTCCCTTGCAGTCTTAGAGCAATCGCCACTGTGCAAAATATACATATGCAAACAGGAGACTTGGCTGTAAAGATTATTGAGTGCTTCATTTGAAAGCTGCATTAGCCAAACAAAAGTGTAAATGACTGAATTTGTCATTATCTCTGGCTTTTGAAATGTTCCCATTTAAAAGTGCATTAGTATTAGCAGCAGATAAAGCATCGATAACATTGTTAATGCCGTCCCTTCAGAAGTTGATATTGCTATCATATGCCATGTAATTCTGTAACTATTTAGGCTTTAACTTGTATTGTATTGTTTAAGTTTTGCAGCCACACATGACTTTTAAAGCTTTTTTACAGTGTTGAACTTCAATGCTCTCTTTATATATGTTCTGTATAAGACATTTTTGACAATACAGACAATATTTTTGTGTAGATGACGAGAATGTAAAATATAGTACAAAACCCAATTCCATTGAAGTTGGGAAATTGTGATAAACATAAATAAAAACTGATTAGCAAATTCTTTTCAACCCATATTCAATTGACTACACTACAAAGACGATATTTATTGTTCAAACTCAAACCTTTTTTTTTTGTTGCAAATAATTAACTCAGAATTTCATGGCTGCAACACGTGACAAAGCAGTTGGGACAGGTGGCAAAAAATACTGAGAAATTTGAGGAATGCTCATCAAACACCTATTTGGAACATCCCACAGGTGAGCAGGCTAATTGGGAACAGGTGAGTGCCATGATGATTGGGTATAAAAGCAGCTTCCCCAAAAATTCACAGTCATTCACAAGTAAGGATGAGGCGAGGTCCACCACTTTGTGAACAACTGCGTGAGCAAATAGTCGAACAGTTTAAGAACAATGTTTCTCAGAGTACAATTGCAAGTCATTTATCAACAACATCCAGAAACGCCGCTGGCTTCTCTGGGCCCGAGTTCATCTAAGATGGACTGATGCAAACTGGAAATAGTGGAGGTCGTGTCCTCCGGGCCAAAGAGGAAATGAACCACCCAGACTGTTATCGACGCAAAGTTCAAAAGCCAGCGTCTGTGATGGTATGGGGGTGCATTGGTGCCCAAGGCATGGGTAACTTACACATCTGTGAAGGCAACATTCATGCTGAAAGGTACATACAGGTTTTGGAGCAACATGTGCTGCCATCCAAGCATAGTCTTTTTTGCTTATTTCAGCAAGACAATGCCAAGCCACATTCTGCACGTGTTACAACAGCGTGGCTTTGTAGTAAAAGAGTGCGGGTACTCGACTGGCCTGCCTGCAGTCCAGACTTGTCTCCCATTGAAAATGTGTGGTGCATTATGAAGCATAAAATACGACAACGGAGACCCCAGACTGTTGAACAACTGAAGCTGTACATCAAGCAAGAGTGGGAAAGAATTCCACCTTCAAAGCTTCAACAATTAGTCTCCTCAGTTTCCAAACTTTTATTGAGTGTTGTGATGTAACACAGTGGTAAACATGACCCTGTCCCTACTACTTTGGCACGTGTTGCAGCCATAAAATTCTGAGTTAATTATTATTTGCAAAAAAACATTTATGAGTTTGAACATTAAATATCTTGTCTTTGTAGTGTACTCAATTGAATATAGGTTGAAAAGGATTTGCAAATCATTGTATTCTGTTTTTATTTACGTTTATCACAATTTCCCAACTTCAATGGAATTGGGTTTTGTACATGCCAGTGAAGTGTAGGCTATCAAACTGAGGTATTTCTAAGGAGCTCACCTGTGAAACATCCACAAACGAACATGAACATCAGAGTGAGTGAGCTGAACAGGCTAAACAATCACTGCCTCTCCTATGACCTCTTTGCAAAGGTATCCACAGGCACATACATTCATAACTTTTAAAGTGACTTTGTTTCCTCAAGTGCATTTAGTGCAGCAGAATCAAACTACGTCAGCCAACAGCAAAAAGGCCTCATGAACCGGCAGGGTGAAACCTGTGAGGCACATACACAGCTGCGACACATCAAAACTTCCTGTTATGCAGCTCAGCCACCAGCCGCAGGGACTCTCTCTGGTTTGAAGCCAGCCTGGTTTTGCCGTTCACCTCTTGCCACTGCAGGGTGCCATGGCTGCTCTCCACCTGAGAGAAAACAATTATGAAACAATGCGTTGACTACATTTGTTGCTAATTCACGCCTTTAAATTACAAACAGAATAACATTCTCACCATGTTGTTGAGATCTAACAACACCTCGCTCTTTCTGTCCAGCTGAATGTTAAGCACAGTCGTGGACACCCAGGCGTTATCTGTGTTCCTGCAGTCATCCACGTAACCCTCAAATACCTGAAAGACCAGAGACCAGGTCAGAGTCAACAAGATCCTCAGTATCATAGTCAAGAAAAATCAGCTTTCACCATGTAACAAAGGCTGGAGAGTAGACCTGCTTTTATTAAATAACCCTAAGATGGCGCTGTATATACAGAATATGAATGAGTGAACTCTTCTATTGATACCCTCTAAATATAGTTTACCTTTGCCACCTTTACCTAAAGTTATTAGGGTCTGTGACATGTTTCAGATAATACGACAAAATGTACCAAAACGGACCTGCCAGCAGCTGCAGTTACCTGAGGTCATTCTTCAGCGTCTTCTGACTGTCATTCAAGTTTGTATTTAAAAGTCTCTTTTCATTTATGGTAGTTTTATCACTGCTCTGATTTCTTTTAATAAATGTTCATTTGAACAGACGTACCTTTGTCCCCTCTGAGGCTTTCTCAGATAGTTTTTCATGTAACTTCTTTCCAAATCTCTTCCTCAGAGCCACCGGTAACTCATTGGCAGATTGGACAGGACCCTAGAATATTTAAGATAAAACATGTTTACACTTTTTTTCAAACAGAGCAGAAAGTAAAAACACTCCTGCAGTGAACTTCAGGTCTCACCCCAGGTAAAACTAAGGTCCCGTGGTCATCCCAAACTGTGAGGTACTCCAGAACAGATCTTTCCCTGTCCCGCCAGCTGCAAGACCACATCCAAAGCTGTAACTTTTGTTATACTAACTATTAGTCTATAAATAATCTTTGAAGGCATGTTTTGACCTACCGTGTGATCACCAGGTCTACATTCTGATTTGGACCGAGGTGACGGAGTGCACCTCGTCCCGTGACACCCGTCCTTCCTTCTGGGTTTCTGATGACACATTAGATGCACATCAGACATGGAGACACACTCGGTAAGCCACTAGAAGTGTTATTTGATGCTTGGTGTCTCTTATCTAGTATCATACCTGTAATTATCTATGGTGTCTTGTTCTGATCTGCAGAATGAATAAAGGCACAAAGGAAATGTAAGATAAGGAGCTTAAAGGAAACCGTCTGGATGGAGGTAAACTTAAAGGCTGTATTTTCAGTGCTTTCAGTCAAACATGTTTAAACTATAGTTCCATCTTTATTTGTGTTATTGTGATAGGAAAGTCACGACAAAAACTCTCATCATGACTTGTCTTTGGCACAAATGTGTCCACAAATCACTGCTCAGGGAGTAAAAGTATCATGTTTTGGTAGAACCATACCCGTCTGCATTGTCCTCGCTGAGTTCACAGGCATAATAAGTCGGCATGTATGAGCTGAAGCCGACCTGGAAAAAGAGAGAAGTTGAAAACCACTTGAATCCACTAAATAACATGAATTATGTCAAACTTGTTTAGTGATGTTCTCGGGACCAGCAAATGGTGTAAATGTAAATAAATCACTGTACCTCCCAGGGCACTTTCTCCTCAGGTACAGGGAATCGTGTGATTTTGCTGTTTGGGTAGTAAAACTGTCGGGCATTGACGTGAAACCTGTCCTCTTTCTCGGACGTGTTTTTGAAAGTGTCAGGGGACTCGTCTGATGCTGAGGGAGAAATAAAGGTGAGCCAAACAAAGAGGATGATGTATTGTTGTTGTAGATGTATTAAAATCAATGAGTAAAGTTGGTGGCTGACTGAATGATGGCGCTTCTTTGGATCCAAAACCCTGAGATTTCAGACTGTCCATAATCCACTGCAGGGCTTTGGCTGACTGGGCTACCTGATGATGAAAAAAACAAGTGGGTCAAATACTTTTGATTGCTGCTTGTACGTCACTGAAGATTTATTTTGTTTGTTTCATCAGGAACAGCTTTGAATAAAATTCAACCAAAGTGTGTCATCTGTTTTCCACAAAGCGCCTCGATTCAGCTGCCCAGTGTAAAAATATGTCAGTCTAGATGCAGGTGCAACATTAGTGATAACCAAAAATCAGGTCACAACCTGCTCCTCTAGTCGAGCCAGTCTTGTCGTCATGGCAGCAGAGCTGGTCTCTTCTTCCCTCTCGAGTCGTTCATTCATGGTCGTAACCCTCAGAAAACAAGCAAAAAACAATGAATAGATGGTTCTGATAGTTATATAAATCACTTATCACTAATATTGGTCTACATCACTAGTTTCATCACCATACTTCAAGATCAAGATACTATGGACTAAAGATATGTAATCTTTCATGAACACAAATTCTGCCATGATGACAACTTTGATCCCCTTCAAACCAGGGGCCCATGATAGATTTCAGGCAACATCATTCACGCATTTAACAAAGGACATTTCAATGAAAATCACAATGTCAACAAGTTCCAAGAGCCAGTTTCCATAACCGAGGATCAGACCGCCAAGGCTCCTGCCTAGGTCCGCCGCCCAATCCCTCAAGCATTGGACCCTTCATGTTCCTCCTGTGGGTGGTAGGTCCACTGGAGGTGGTGCCCATGTGGCTCGTTCGGGCTGAGCCCGGCCGGGCCCCATGGGTGCAGGCCCGGCCACCAGGCGCTCACCTGTGTGTGAAGCGGCTGGGATGCGAATCAGCAACTTCAAGTCCGAGGTCATGGTCCTAAGTCGGAAAAAGGTAGATTGCTTTCTCCAGATCGGAGGGGAGGTCCTGCCTCAAGTGGAGGAATTCAAGTGTCTCGGGATCTTGTTCACGAGTGAGGGTAGGATGAAGCGGGAGATCGACAGGCGGATCGGCGTCAGCAGTAACGCGGACGCTTAACCGATCTGTCGTGGTGAAGAAAGAGCTGAGCCGTAAGGCGAGACTCTTGATTTACCGGTCAATCTACGTGCCGATCCTCACCTATGGTCATGAACTTTGGGTAATGACCGAAAGAACAAGATCGCGGATACAAACGGCCGAAAGGATTTTCTTCGCAGGGTGGCCGGGCTCAGCCTTAGAGATAGGGTAAGGAGCTCAGACACTCGGGAGGCGCTCAGAGTAGAACCGCTGCTCCTCCACGTCTAGAGGAGTCAGCTGAGGTGGCTCGGGCATCTGGTTAGGATGCCTTCTAGACGCCTCCCGTTAGACGTGTTCCAGACATGTCCCACCGGGAGGAGACCCCGTGGTCGGCTCAGGACCAGGTGGAGGGATTGTATCTCTCGCCTGGCCTAGGAGTGCCTGGGAACCCCCCTGGAGGAGCTGGTGGAAGTGGCCGGGGTGAGGGCCGTCCGGGCTTCCCTCCCGAAGCTGCTGCCTCCGCGACCCGGACCGGGATAAGCGGAAGAAAACGACGACAACGACGATGACGACAATGTCAACAAAAAGATCCAAAGATTTATCAATCCCCTAATCAGCGATGAGAAAGATCGTTGTTGTAAAGTGATTTTAATGCTTAATGCTTTAATGCTTGAATGATTTTAACGATATGATAGGATACACTTTATTGCCCCTAGAGGGAAATTTGTCCTGGACTCCAAGAGCTGCACGGATAAAGCTGCCAAAAAAAATAGGTGTCATGTGTAGAGCATTGTAGTACACTTACAGCCTTCACTCACTTTCACTTGGAGAGATATATTAGCTGATGACAGTGAGATAATATTTTTCTTTCGTAAAATCTACTTGTGCATATACAGAGCAAGATCAACAGAGCGATAGAAGACACCACTTTGTCCACAGGGGGGCGCCAAAGTCCATGCAAACTAAAGGATCCTCACAGGAGCTTTAAGTTCAGTTTAAAGATGTCTTTAAATGACTGGTTAAGGGTCTAATCTTAATCTGAGGGCTCAGTAGATGATAACAGGGAAACAATAGTACCAAACTAAAGAAATAAATAGTTTTCTATGATCATTTCTACAGATATAGTAAATATGTGTGCTGAGGGGTCTCACACTGACATCAGCCCTAGAAGACTGTCATTTATCAACCATGAGCTAAAATCAGGATTTAACGAATGAAATTATTTGGGGAGGTTTTACTTTATGGCAGTGTCCAGGATGCGTCTCTCCATGCTCTGGTTCTGCTCCTGCTGTGTGAACAGCAGATATCTGTCTTTCATCAAGGCCTCCCAGGACAACAGCTCCTCTTCCTCTACCTGAGGAAGTTCATTTTCTGAAAGATAACACAACCTGCTTTTACTCCTGGTTCTGTGCACACATATACACACATGGCCAGTTGTAACACGGTCAAAACCACCACTTTGTAGGTTATGTCTGATAAACGTTTTGAAACTTAAAGCTTAAAAATCATATTATTATGATTGTAGACTTTACCAACAAAGTCCCTAACTGCAAAGTCTGACCTCACAGAGACTGTTGAATCGTTTGACAAAGGTTGTTATAAATGACGGAAAATTGTATGTATCTTGATTGTAAAGGCTGTCATATGAAAGTCCTCATGAGACAGAGATGGCAGCTTTTCCGGAGCAAGTGAGGGTGGTATTAAAGTTGTCCATCTGAAACAGTACAGAAGGTGTATGACGGTAAGATCGATAGCTTCACTTACTGAACTCCTTGCATGTGATGGGGGGCCTGCGTAACAAGAGGAGCCTGATGAAGAGGTAAAGATGGCTGAAGATGATAAAGGGAGGAGGTGCAGCAGGGCGGCTGTGGTACTCTTTAATCAACTCATATCTTTGAAACTTCCAGATTGTGTCTGTGTTGTCCTGAACCTCCTGGAACGTAAAGCTGTGAAGGAGTTCAGAAAAGAGAGGGGTCTATAAAGAGAAAGAAGCAGACTAACATCATGTAGAGAAAGCTGCGATCAAAAATCTTACAGAACTCACTTGAAGATGGCTATGAGCAGGTTGAGCAGCAGTATGTTGGCAAAGAGCAGGTAAACACAAAGCATGATGATGGTGAGCCACTCAGGGAAGGCTGGCATTTGGTTTTCATTCAGGACTGGACATTTGGGTTTTAATGGATCTGTTCCATTCATGCTGCAGGAGTCAATATCAAATGCAGCATCTGCAGGAGTCAAACAGATTGTTTTGTGAAAAGAAATCAGTGTTTCTACAATGAAGAATGAATAAAAATTTATAAATCTCAACTTACAATCAATATTCGTTGGAAAGTTCCCAAAAATGATAAGGTACGGCTCGTAAACTGCTCCACGGACAATCCAGTCCAGCCGAATGTCATTGTCAATAAGGATGCCTTGTTTGGCCACACCATACGCCACCACCCAGATACTCAGCAGGAACATAAAGAAGAACATATCCATCATCTGGAGGAGAAAACACAGATCAGATTTTTTAGTCTGTGTAAAAATCTTACAAATTGCACACTCTCCAATTGGAAGTTTCCAAATTTAAACTCCTTTGAACTCTTTTAGAAATGTGAAATAGTTGCAAACATGTCCAATCTGAGTGAGATCTGGTAGGTAACAAACAGACCAGCTGCAGCACTTTGTTCAAAAACACTTTTATTTATCTCTGCTCATCTGCAGACAGCAGATGGAGGCCCAGTGAAGCAGAAGCCTCTTTTTGTATCCCATAAAAGGTGTTTTGGAGCGTAGCATTTTTTGTGCTCTGTTGTTGCTCCCACATCGCATCAGGTCAGCTGTTATTTTATCTTTGTGACACTCTCTTACCATCCTTTTCACAATGATAATTTTGGGTCCCAGGGTTCTGCTGATGGTGAAGATGGCCATGAGACGAAGGCAGAACACCACAAAGTCGACGCAGAGGAGGATTTTACCCGCATAGAAGAGCAGAGTGTTCAGCCTGAAGAAGGAAAACATGGTGATTCATGGATGATTCCTCAGGACATACAGCATTTTTGTGGTTTAACTTGGATTTTCAGAGGCAGAACTTACCGAAATACAACGCCAATAATAAAGAGGATGATGGACAAAACATCTAAAATGTTCCACACATCATTTATGTACATCCTGGCTTTTTTTCTGAACCCAAAGCCATCAGGGTCATGAAAGAGCTGAAAATAGAAATAAACTGTTTAGGACTCTTCTCGGGTATTCATCAACATGTTCCTAATATAACACAAAAAATTTGTGAGTGGAATATATGAGGAGTAAGTGAGAAGAAAATGTGAATAATGCCTTGTGATTTTTGCTACTTTGCTTGACTTAAAGTCAAAAATTTAAAGGAAATGTGATTGGACAGAAATAGTCCAGCAGCAGGTCCTCCATAAAGGGCTTAGTTTTTGAGATACCCCTACCCGAGTTAGAACCAACCACTACCACGTCTTTTCTTATCTTTAGGGTCTCCCATGAATGAAATGGATTGTTGTGAAATTTTATTTTGGGGCAAAATGTGTTTTTGACTATTCTTTACACCTACCCCAATCTCTGAAAGGGAAAATCTTAATGGGGCAGATATGTCAAAAAAAAAAACCTATAACCTGACAATGCTCACTCTTTCCTTCATCAAATTTGCTAATGTATGAATTAGGTGTCTACTCTACATCACCAAAAAGTCAGAATGTAATTTACCAAAATAAATACTGAAATATAATCCTTTAAACATATCTTTAGTTTAGGCGGAAATTGTACTTTTGTGGTGAAAACTCCTTTACATTCCAAGATTTATCAAAAAAGTATACATTTATGTCAAATAAGATGTTACTGCATTGCCTAAGATGCTATTAAACAATAACCAGTAGTTCTGTGGAGACAACTATTACAGCTTATTGCAAATTGGACTTCTTTAGACATAGACCGTCTCTGGAATCATTAAACATTATTTTAATGTTGGCATAACATTTTACTTTTTGATATTTCCAATAAAAACAAAAAGGTTTTGAAGTCAAATTCCTCCTGCGTTGGCATTGCTTAACCCTCACTGAATATCCATTGTTGTGTTTTGGGATTATGTATTCATATTGTGGCAATCCATTATGTAAGCAGAACCATAGTCAATCACACATCGCTGTGTGTTGCAGGGACAATATAAAGTCCTGTCATTCATTAATAGGGTAGGGGCGTCTTAAATTCTTAGGGCCTCTGCTGCTAGAGTAAAAGATTTAGTTCTCTATATGCTTCTCATTGCAGGTCCTCCAGTGTACCAAACCAAGTAATACGATCCCTCAATACTACTGTCAATAATCATCAGTTTAGTTAGGTTAGTAATTAAAAGATAATGCTGTATTTAGATATGAATATGAACAATGTAAATAAATTCCCAGAGGAAAAAAACAATCAAACAATCCATCCAGTTTACGTCTCATGATTGTTTCACTCCTCACTTAACTGAACAGCTGTTTCTGCATTTGAGGTTTCTGCTGATTTCTTAATGGGTTTTCTGGAAGTTTAATCAGGAGGGATGTTATTTACAATGTAGTGCTTAAAAATTCTTTGACTATCACATGCAATAGAGATGAAATGGTAACTCATGATAAACTGTTAAAAAAAAGTGCAATGCTGGTTGAATTATTGTACGCACTCCGTGTTTTGAAGCATGATAGTTTATGTGCTGTGTGCTAAAAACTCATGTACATGTTGTATGAGTAAAGGGGTATACTGTGTGTTAAAAAGAAATACAAGCCTGAAGTGTAATCACAAAGACAGGTGCAGCTAACCAGTGTAGATACTGACTGTAGAGGACCACAGGTGAGAGAGAGGGGATTTTTCTGATGTGTGACCCCAGAGGAGAGTATTTTTTTCACTCCAGTAAATGTAAAGGGGAAATAATCAAACAAACAAAAATAATTCACCCACTCATGTGTGTAAGTCTGAGCCCCTCTTACCTGCCTGACCTCCTCACACACCAGAGAGAACAGCCAGATGTAAAGCAGCAGCTCAGCAGGAGAGGGCGTAGCCTGAAAGTCTATCATCAGCACCACAGCGAACAGGAAGAGGAAGGCGAAATAAGACACGATGTTCCCGTAAAACTTGACCTGAGGAGCGCTGTACAGGTAGGCCAGTCTGGACCAGCTGCCCAGGATCTTCGAGCGCTGCAGTTTGGCTGCATCACTGTGGACAGACAGGTAACTAGGATCAGGTTTTCTTCTTTAACTGTTTTATTTCACTTGAAGACCCACTTCCATGAAAAACATGTTTTTCTTGTTGTCTACATGCTCACATGGCATTTTTCTGGTGCTACAGGGCTATCAAGGAAAACTAAGTGCAAAATTACATTTCTGAGTATTTCTTCATTCAAATCTCAGTGAATCTCTGACAGACCCAAACAGCAGATTTAGATGCAGTGGGATTTTCTACGTCACAAATCCAAGCTCCACCCACGGAGCCCCACTCTGCAGGCCAGACAGCCAGAAAGCTAGTTATGATATTAACTTTCATCACGTCCGTTAAGACACTAGTGTCTGAAAGCTGAATAGCTCCTATTTTACCTGGTACTTCTACTACACCGGCAATGTTAGGCTACAAGCTAGCTTGAAGAGGAGTGTGCAGAGCAGCGCTGTCTCTGACCACAACACAGAAGTGAATTGCTGATAAGCTACTGAAGAAAAGCCCTTGAAAACAACACAGGTAACACGATTTTGGCTAAAAACTTCATAATCACAATTTAAAGACCACTGATAACACTTTAATTAGTAAAAAAATATGCTTAGCGTGGGACTTAACACTCAGAATCTGGTTTCTTGCTTATCTTCTGAATTAAAATATCAGATTGAGGATAATCACTAAATTAATGTACAGTTTCTTCTAATCAGGAAGTGCTCACACTGTCAGAGTGATTCTGAATGCTTTCAGCAGCTCGGGTCATTTTAAGTGAACTCACAGGCGATGAGTGTTCATTCGAAGAACACTTCCTGTCACGTTCTCCACGGTCTTGATCTCCTCGTTCTTCTCAGTTTCTCTCTGAACGACTTCATCACGTCTAAGGAGAGTTGAACAGAGGACAAACATAACAGAAACCTCTACACAAAGAATTGATCTAGACATAGGAACTTGTAGTGCGTTTATTATGAGGCATTAGGAATAAAACATGAATCATTTTGTGTTAAACATAGAAAATAGATCAGGAAAAGGTCTTGCTGCCACTCGCTGGTGTCAAATGTTGTGTTTGCATCTATTCACCACTGTATAGATGTATTATAAGTTATTACAGTGTGTTCACAGAGACTGAAATCTGAACTTCTTCATGTAGTCGAGGTTTTAGGATGTGTGCTCAAACCCTGGGAAATTCTCAAATGGATTTCATTTCTCTGTGCGTTTTGTATGATATACTGTATGTGCAAGGCCAGGTTCCCAAGAATCCTGGCCCTCAAACATCACTGCGACATGGTCAGAGAAATTCAACTGCATTTGAGAGGGAAAGGACCACTCAGGTTGTTTCATAGACTGTATATACTAGGACAACTTGATTCTGCCTTCCACCAATATACAGATGTGAAGCCAAAAAGCTCTTGGTTTTTTTTTTGCCCAGATTAGTTTGTCCACAGCTCCATGGGGATTGCTGGAAGAGGTGGGATTTATGACCTTTACCGCAGCCCGTCACTAGAGGGTGCTGTTCTCGCGGTGGCTCCACCCAGTGAGGAGGTAGACGGCGTCCATTTTATATACAGTCTATGGGTTGGTATCTGTGCTCAAAAGCCAGTGTCTGTGATTGCATGGGGATGCACCATTAATGCTCAACACAAAATGATGCCAGACCACATCTGCACATATTACAGCAGCATGGATCTGAAGTAGAAGAGTCTGATTGCTTAACTGGCTTGTCCAGCTTGGCATCCGTTGAAGACATTTGGAGCATCATGAAACAATAAACATGACAAAGGAGACCTTAAAACTGTTGAGCAGCTTAAAATCATCTATTCAGGCAAGAATGAGACAGTATTTGTTGAGTTTCTCTGTGGAGTATTTGTGAAAGTGAAAATGTAACAGCGTTATCAAAGGTAGTGGCGTATTGTGGAAACTCTTTCAATAAGTGAAAGTTATGAGGAAGCAGAGTTTGAAACTAACCTGAAAACAAGAAATGGAGTGTAGATAAGAGGGAAGAAGACCATGCAGACCAGCACTCTCCACACAGGATTGACCACAGACAGCTCACCACACCAGATCTGAGTCAGAAGAGCCTGAAAGATGGACATGCTGTCAGACTCAGACATACTTAATCTTACGAACTCTTTCTTTTCTTTTTTAAACCTTCAGAGAAAACTGCTGCAGATGGTTCAAAGGCAGGTCCCCAAGGATGAATATAAACTTCAGCTCTACCTGAACACCAGACTGAGCTACAAAGCTTTTATCGTCGGCCTCCAGAGCCAGCCTGAGGCAGGTCGTCCTTCCCCAGTACGGTGACGCTCGAACCAACAACTTCTGAGCTCGCTCTTCATCGTTGTTGTGGCACTCAGTTAACACACCTGAGACAAACACACACACAAAAAATAAAAACAAAAACTTCACTTGAGAAATATAAAAAAAAACACACACACATGCCTCATGTTTTATGATACCTATGGCATGTTTCTCATAGTGGTTGGCCAGCTCTCTCATGACCTCGGCCTCGTCTGCATCACTGCCCTCTTCAGCCATTTTCTTTAGGATCTTAGTGGCGGCCAGAGCAGCAGACATGCAGTCTCTGCACTATACACATACAAATACAGATGTGAGGCCACACATACACAACTCATGCAGGACTGTTTCACAAACTGTTGGGTCAGATCACCTGCTCCCAGGCAATCTCAGCTAGCTCCTTGTTGTCCTGGACCACAGCCCAGAGGAAAAGGTCCCTGCCAAAGTTCCTCTGTGGTTCATCATGTGGGGACAAGGAACCTGCCTGACTCTTAGACAGCTAGAAGAAAGTAAAGGCCATTCGTGAAAGGAGAGGTTATGGCTGTGTATGATTCAGGAAAAAACACAATAGATATTAGATAAAGAGACTCACTGATGTAGACGTATCCTCCATAGTCATGTTAAAGTGGTATGAACCAGTTGAAGGAGGGTAGATGTGCTGAGTGAAGCTGCCCAGCAGGTGGCGCACCTCCTCAGATACATGAGTCATAGATATCGTTTCCCCCTGCCCTGGGAGAGCTCGAACTCTTCTTTCCAGTATCCGTCTCTTGCTGCGGCGAGCTCTGTCAACCCGCTTGGCCAACTTGCGGAGGAAGAAGCAGCTGGGCAACTGTTTGTAGAGCTCACACAGCGTTTCCTCATCTTGAAGGAAATCCCTCAAACTAACACCGTTCTCCAGCAGCAGACTGACAAACTGAGGCTTATTTCCAACCAGGGCTGAGAACATGGCCCAGTGGAGATCACTGGACTGTTTTGGAACAAACCAGTAAAAAAGAGAAACAACAGAAAAGACAAACAGCAGGCATTCAAAAAGACAATTCTCAGATTGTATTCATATCTAGTGATTTATTTTATCATATAAATAATAAATATATATAAATCATATAAATAAATCATATAAATACGAAAGACATTCAGATCCTGTTCAGAGTCCTCTTGAGAAAATCCTGCCCTGATTGAGACTGCTTCAGGTGTTGGTGGACTTACAGTTATCTTCAGAGTGAACCCACCTTCCACTGACTCTCCTCTGTAAAGATCTCCGTCTCTGCTATGTCCACTCTGTTCCAGGCAATAGCCAGCTCCAGCTGCCTCTTCCAGCACTCGATGCCCAAAGGCTCACTGATCCTTGAAGCTGGAGGGAAAATTTAAATCAATCATTCATATGTTTTATCTATCAAAATAAACAGAAAGATTGACTTTTCTTGAGGTGTAAATCTTTTTGTTAGAAGAACATTTCTGAAAGTAATCTCACGGCCACTCTAAATCAGACCCCTCTTTACTGCATCAAAACAAAGGCTGAATAATATATAAGATTCTGCAAACTGCTCATCATAGTTGCTCAGAGAACAAGGCAGCATTTTTAAACCACTTTATATCAAGTATTATGAAAAGTGTATTGGAGTAAAGCTGAAAACATAGGTTCAGTACTTATGGCATGTTTTTTCTCGACTTCAATGACGTCTGAATCACAAAATCTGTTGATTATTCTCCGTTCTTACAAGTGAGAGAAATGCTCTAAATGTTTCAGTCTTCTGATGCTGTAATATGGAATAACATGGGACAAAGAGGCTGATGCAAACAGTAACAAATCATTTTGTGCAGTTACACTGTAAAGCACTCAGAAACAAACATCATAACATGAATTTAAGGCCACCTAAGATAAATCAGACAAGATGTTGAATATTCAAACTGATAAACTTGATAGTTTTTGTTTGTTTGTTTGTTTTTTTTTTGTAAATTTTCACTCATTTTAAATTCAATGTTTCAAAAAAGTTGGTTCAAGGTCAAAAAAAGACTGTAAACTGAGGACTACTCCAAAAACACCTGTTTGGATCATTCCAAAAGGTAAACAGGTTCATTGAAAACAGGTGAGGGTTGTGATTTGTTATAAAACAAGCATCCCTGAAAAACTCACCACTTTGTCAACAACTGCATGAGCAAATCATCCAACGACTAACTAACAATGTTTCTCAACGTACAACTGCAGGAATTTAGAGATTTCATAATCTACAGCCCAAATTATTGTCAAAAGATTCAGAGAATCAGAGAAATCTCTGCATGTAAGCAGCTAGTCAAGTCAAGTCAACGTTTATTTATAAAGCACCTTTAAAAGACAGCAGTCAAACAAAGTGCTGTATATGGGATAAATAAATGAAGTAAATGAATGGAAAGATAACAATAAAAAATAAAATCAAAAACAGTCGAATAAAATACAGACAGTAAAAGAATACAAGCTACAGTGCCTTGTGTGCTCATTTATTAAAAGCAAGAGAGAAAAGGTGGGTCTTTAAAGATGATTTCAAAGACTCTAAGGTCTGTGAAGCTCTAATATGGCCAGGTAAACTGTTCCACTATCTAGGGGCAACTGCTGAAAAGGCCCCGTCACCTCTAGACTTGAGTCTGGTTTTCGGGACGCTTAACAGTAACTGGTCAGAGGACCTTATGGCTCTGGCTGGGGAGTGGTGATACAGGAGCACAGACAGGTAAGGAGGGGCAAGACCATTAAAGGCTTTAAAGACGATAAAAAGAATTTAAAAATCAATGTGGAAGCGGACTGAGAGCCAGTGAAGGGTCGCTAAAATAGGAGTTATGTGGTTGTGCTTTTTCTTGCCAGACAGGAGTCGAGCAGCAGCGTTTTGAATGAACTGAAGGATTTACCACATTGGGACAGGAGGACTTCAGAAAACCATTGTCAGTTAACACAGTTGGTCTCTACATACACAAGTTCAAACTCTACCACGCAAAGACAAAGACAGATATCAACAACAGACAGAAACAACAACAACTTCTCTGGACCAGAGCTCATCTGAGATGGACTGACCCAAAGTGGAAAAGTCTGCTGTGATCTGGTGAGTTCACATTTCAAACTGTTTTTGCAAATCATGGATATGTTTTTTTCTTTTTCAAGGATGTCCCTGCTGATTTCAGCAAGACAACAACAGGACACATTCTGTGTGGTGGATCTACTCTGAGGAAGGTGGAGACTATTCTCAAGAACATGGATCACCCACTTCACAACACCTTGATGGACCAAAGGGCAAATGGTGGTGGACGGCTCCTCTCTCTTCGCTGCAGGACAGAACAATTTAGAAGATCTTTTGTGCCAACAGCCATCAGGCTTTATAACTCTTCTGTAAATAATAGATAACTCTTATGTAAATAATAGATAACTTTTATAGACATATTACATGAGACAACAGACAATTGAACTTCCCTTCGGGGATCAATAAAGTTCTTCTTCTTCTTCTTCTTCTTCTTCTTTCTTCTGTACGAGTTAAAGCAGTGCAGTAAAAGAGGGCGGGTACTAGACTGGCCTGCCTGCAGTCCAAACCTGTCCTCCATTGAAAATGTGCGGAGCATTATGAAGCCCAAAATACCACAACAGAGACTGTGGACTGAAGATCAGCTGAAGTGGTCCCTTAAACAAGACTGTGAAAGAATTCACCTCTAAAGCTTCAACAGTTAGTGTCCTCATTTCACAAAGGATTACATGACCCTGAGACCAGACCTTGAGCCAGGTTTTTAGGAACGTGCTACAGACATCAAATTAAAAATGAGCGAATATTTACAGATAAACTATCCAGTTTATCATTTTGAACATTCAGTATCTTTGTTGTGTATTCAATTAAATTTAGATGGAAAAGGATTTACTCTGTATTATGTTTTTATTCATGTTTTACACAACCTGCCAACTTCATTAGAATTGGGGTTAGTACTTCCTGTAAATGCATTTAATGACTTTTTGTTAATGGCTCTTAGAGATGGAAAGTATGGGTAACACAGTTCTGCGAGAACGATGATTCATCACGACCAAAACATTAAGTGACTGTCCAGCGTGCTGGATCTGCACTCTGGTGCTGCATACTTATAACAGCATGCATTAACTCTCTCTAAATGGGTTTCATCTGTCTGTCTCCAAATCAGCTCGAGGAAGAAGAAGATAGCAAGAAGCACTGAAACATATCAAGTGTGGGTATCAGTGTCATGTATCAGTGAACAGAAAAACATTTCTAAGGGGAAATATCTGCAAGATTATCTGTGATGATTTTTTGTCTCAACACATTTGACATCACAATCCAGTTACATAGATTCTGGGATTAGATTTGCTGAGAACTCTCAAACTTCCCAAGCTGTTTCACACATCTGCAGTCGGTCCAGTAAAGTACAAATCAACTCTACCTTTGAGGAGTGCCTGAAGAATAGCCACATCCACATCCCCATGACTGTCCTCGCCTATTCTGAAGACTGTCAGCAGGTGAGGCTGTTGGATGATATCTTGAATCTGAGAAAAGCAGAATTTGTCAGGCAGTAATTGGCAATACATGAGCGCTAAAATCTCTGGATATAATTTAAATGCATGGCAGAGTGTTCTCAGTACATAATAAAAATGACTGCCATACTTTCTAACAACACCTTCTGATGCATCAGCCTGCTCACCTGTCTCACACTGAGTCCACATACCCTATACCCATGTCCTGGTTCTTCAACCACTCACCACCAGATTGTTCAGTCTACCTCTGTGAGGCCCAGCTGTGTACCCTTGTGCTTAAATTTGATTACTTTTTTTGTGTGTTTTTCCTGCCACTAATATTTCTACTGTACTCAAGGATCAACCTCAGCCAAAAGTCTGCCATCTTCAACTCTCGAAATATGGGATTATTGATCAACCTTCCCACCTCTGGCCCAACCATCAGTCCTGGATCAATCTACATAGATTCACTTTATAGTTGTACAGATTTATATAGATTGGATCAGTCTATATAAACACCTTTTTAACTGATTTGACTGTGTTCCTGCCCCCACCCCCCCAATTATCCTAACCCCAGTGAAGCCTGGTGAATCGAAAACAGTTTGAATAAATGTTTAAACTAGCCAAACAGCACAGAAATTTTATATGTAGCTTTGTAGAGATCAAAAGAGCTCCAGCAACACTTGTAGTTTAGGAAACACCTTTATTAGACCAACACGTTTCAGCTTGTGGCCTTCATCAGGGTCATCAGAAATACATTACAGACATTTAGGTTTGAATTTTAGAAAGATTGAACAATTTGACCAGTCATGTGCAATTACACCTGAGTCAGCCAATAGAATGGTTGCAGTGGTGTGTCTATTCTGTCACCATGTGGTTTTGGACCGCACCATCCAATGGAAGGCCTACATGATGGACCTAGATGGTGCCACTGATACCTCTCTTTGGACACTCCCCCTCACCCTGTTCAATTTTCTCCTACCTACCCTTTTTAAATGTTGTTTGTAATGACCCTGATGGAGGCCGCGGCCGAAACGCGTCGGCCTAATAAAGGTGTTTCCTAAACTATAAGCTCTTTTGATCTCTACAAGACCTTTTCTCTCCGAGCACTTTGGAAGTTGATAAAGTTGTGCCAGAACTTTTGTCCTCTGATATGTAGCTTTGTTTTGGGCTACGATAAAGATCTTTTAGTTTGTGTGGTTCGAGTACGTGGGATAAAGTTCTCTTTTGAGCGTCAGCTGTTCTCAGGATTTGTTATTTCATTATAAATTTGCATCTGGATCAGAATGATTGACGTCAGTTTATCTTTGATACCAGGAAAAAAAGTGAGGTTAACTACATGACCCTACACAGTAAAGAGCAGATGATCAAATCCAGATGATTCTTACTCAGATTCATGCATTTGAACAGTTAGCCCCTGATCTTCCACCAAGGGCTCTAACTATGTCCAACTCCAATTTGTTTAGTGATTTTTTGGATATAAATATCTTTAATACAGCATCTGTACACTAGATAAACATCACTTACTTACATTTTAGCAAATATAAGCTCAAAAACTGGAAAATAAAATGATGACAATGCTTTGTGTCATTAACTTCAGACTCATAACCTAGATTATATGAGAAGCTTCTCGATTTTGTGCTTGTGGTGAGCCTCAGCTTCCTCACAAACCTTTTTGGTCCACTCGATGATCTTCAGGTCGGGGAAGCTTTCAAATTCTTGGCCAAAGAAGCGCTTCATTAATTGGTGGATGTAGGCGATAGTGACCCGGCTTAACGGTTGTCCTGCTGCCTGGGCGATCACGTCTGCTATTCTCCCGGAGCCCTCCATTATCACACATGGTGTACCGCACAGCATGGAGTTATAGATAGTCTGAGAGGAGAAACACAGAAGTGTCAGACAGGAAGACAGACAGAGAGAGGGACAGAGACAGAAACTGATGACTCACATTCAGAGTGCCGGGTCCTCCATCCAAAACCACACACACCACAGGGATGGTCACTCCACTCTCTGGAGGTTTGACAATGAAAAGTCAATATTAAAAGCAGGACAGATAACCAGATCAGATTTGAGATATACTCTGAAATGGGTTTCTGCTTTTGTAGAAGCTGCATCGGTTATTTTTAACCTTTGATTCCAAGGCGCTTTCTCGAAATGTATTTTTCCAGACAGCTACGCAGCTCAATCTCCACACCATATCGCCCCTGGGTACCATCATCCACCAACAGGAAGTGGGTGTGGTTGTTATCCAGGCAGGACAGCCGGCCCTGGCCCTTGAGGTCCATCGGATAATGGGCTGGAAAACAACCCTGCAGGAATTGAGTAGCAGGATGAGGAAATAAGGAGGAGGGGAACAAATCTTCCTCAAAGCAAAAGCGTTCATGTGTTTCTTTTACCTCTGGATGCACCAAAGTGTCTTTGTTGTGAATGATCCCCCACGTTGCCACTCCGATAGCCACAATCTGTTGGCGAGTGGAGTCGCTCAGGGCGTAGTCTCTCACAGCCTGGCCTACATGCTTCATCACGCCTGTGTGTGTACCACCAGTGATGATCCATGCACCTGGGAACAACACAGCATATGTCCTGATTCCACACAAACGTACACGTCAGATTGAACCGTGTCAGTAAAGAGGCCATGAGTCGATTTTCTTTAATGTGACGAGTAGACTCCAGATTTTCAATACTCAGACTCCAGATAAAAATCCTTCTTACACTTTGACTTTTTACACTGTGTTACTGGTAACACCAAAAGACGTGCTGAAATGCAGATTATGTCGTCCAATCAGAAAGCTAGTTTCACCTTTCTACAAGTCTATCTGGTTTCTGACTGAGTTACTCCTGTTTTTACCTAGGTATTTAAAATACTGATATGAGTCTGATAGAAAAAGTGCATCCATGGTTTATCTGCTTAGCGGCAGAGTCTTGTATTACTTAAGTTACCCACTCACTGTAATCTACCCTTAAAACAAAGAAAACTCTCTCATATGGAAAACTTAAATGCTTTTCTGGAAGCTGGCTGCTGGGATATGCTGTCATTTGAGCATTATTTAAACCTGGTATCAACATTCATCCTGGTTGACTGGATCATGGGTGAAAAACTGCTCACTTGTGAAGGGCCAAACCTTAACCCTAATATAAAAAAATGTAACTGTTGATATGTTTGCAGAATCTTTTTAGCGCTGTTTCCCTACAAACTATGAGTTATTTGTTTTTGTTTTTGAGTGCATGTGCCAAAAGATTTTAATTTCAGATAGACTACAGGCAGTAAAAAAATCTTACAAAGCACACATCAGGAAAAACTGGAAAAGCCACGAGCAGAGGGAAAAAACCCTGGACTTATTTGACCTATCCCATCAAACATCGGACTGAGAGGGAAATCCCTCACACATGGTGGGCTTACCTGTTGTCTGGGCCACTTTGATGAGACCTCTGTGGAACATGCTCTTGATACGAGCCTTTAGATAGAAGTTTTTGGCCCCCCCAGTCACTGAGATAAGCAGGTTTGGAGGGGAAAGTTTCCACTGTTCAGTCAAAAGTTGGTACAGGATCTCAGGGCTGGTGTCTGTAGAAACTCGTGCATACTGAGGATAGATGTACAGCGAGGGTTCAGTAAAACAGGCAGAAAAGTACTTTTGTTCTAGTATTTGAGATGAAGTCAGGATGTACCTTGCCGGTCCTCTGGCCCAGACCACCAAAGTTGATGTCTCCAAAAGCATCTGTAGGCACTTCATGGATGTGTCTGTGTTTATTCCACAACTCGCCAGTGAAGTCTTCAGGCTTGATGGCTTCATCCACATGTTCAATCTTTAAGTAGCCGCACTTACAGACATCCTCTTTGGTGGGACAGCTAAAACTCAAAACAGTCATGAAGACATACAGATTAGTCAGCGACATAAAACATATCAGTTAAACCAGCTGACAGACAATTTAAAAAAACAAAAACTTATCATGTATGTCTATCCTGACAGGGAATGAGGGAGATGTCTGAGCACCACAATACTAAAGAGCAGATCATCCTACCTGACATCTTTTTCAAAGAAGCCACATTCCCTCTTGTTGACGTTCTCCCTGATCCAGGAGGCAAAGGCACAGCGCTGGAAAGATGGAGACAGAGACAGTTGCTTAGAGGGACCAGCTGCACTCTTCACAAGACTATGAACCAGCCGGGACCCTGACTCAGATTCCCCCATCCTGAGGATAACAAGGTGGGGCTCGGAGCACAGATCTGCTTCAGGATGAGAGCTAACTGCATGGCAGCAGAGAGGAGCCTCTGCAGTGGGTGCTGCGCTCTGCTGGGGCTGCCGGTTCTCACTGCATCAGTGATGTCAGAGCCGAGCTGAAGCCGAGCCGACCGCTGAAACCCGATTAACCTCCCTCTTCCAGGACAGGATCGATAGTGAATTACTGAGAGTGGAGCATTTTCACGCCAAATTCATCAAAAAAGACAGGAGTTTATTTATGATTGATTGAAGACAGAAGTATTTGTTGAACAAGTAATATAAAAGAAATTGGTGGAAGTATCCAGCTATGTAGTAAAGCAAATAAGTAAAGTTTCACATGTAATGGTACTTTGTCACTCCCAGTCCACTAAGTTTTAAAGAGATAAGATAAACCTTTATTTATCTCAAGGTGGGGATAGTTGCAGTTTTAAGAGCTGCTAAGCAAACATGTACTATGTTACATGTATTTTACTCCTAAGAATAGTCATACAAAACAAAGAAAGTATAAGCCATGCTCTGTAATGAGTAAAGTATTACAATATCCAGGACTTCATAATATACCTATTTTATGTTTTATCATAATTTTATCTTAGAAAAATATTCTTAAAAGCCATTTAAAGTTCCAGAATCTTGCTGTGCCTTTCAATAATTTTCACACACATCCCACATCATGGTTTTATGACTTTTTACAACATGCACAACACAGATACAGAAATAATCTGACGAGAACACACGCTGGATTCATTTATGCTTTAACTGTGGGGCATGTGCAAGTCAAACACTTACCTTTCTGAAATGACACACCACTTGATCCAGTTGAAATGTGTCCCGCTGCGTCCGTCCATGTGTCTCCTGTGGGGCAACCTTATTTGCATACGTAGCCAGCATTTCTGTGAAAAACAACAAAAGCCTAAAATCATTCAAAATCTCTTTGTTGGCAGAAGTATTTAGTGCTTTCTATTGAAGGAGACAAGAGGGAGAGAGCGCTCTTCGTCGATCCATAAAATCTGCACAGCCTGAGTATTTGAAAATGCTTATCTTGCTGACATGTGACCTGTTCTGCATTATCCTTACTTCCTCTACTGACGTTGTTTGAGAAGCTCTTATCTCGAACAAAGTGGTTTGCAGTTCTGCCTATGTATAATCTAAAAGTAAGACATAGCATTAGTTCACACTTACCAACTGATTCAGTCATGGTTATCAGCGATCAGGTGGACAAAGAGGCTATTTTGCCCTCTTCCTCTTTACACAATATTAGTTTCCTCCACTTGACCCTACAAACATCACGTGACTTCTCCATAAAAGATAATCTGCTGTTCACTCAGGCCACTCATTACCACCAATTAAATGTGACTTTAATACACAGAAGCACTCTTACCAAGTTAAGAGTGTCCACATGCAGACCAGGGTGCATTTCAGTCAGTATCTGCAGAACCTGGGAGAAAGAAAAAAAAGAAAGTAAATAAAAACCTCAGCTATGAGTTCACATCCTACCTCTGCTTTCAATGTTTCCTTTCTCTGAGACAACTTAACAAGAACAAGGCGAGAAGATTAAGTTATTTACGGTACACCGCTTTAAAACCCTCTTCCATGTCTGACAGCGTTTTCTTACGTGTTCTTCACCAGGAGTTACAAAGCACTTGTTGCTAGGTGACTTCTCCAGTATGTTAAACCAGGGATCCTGTTACTGAATGAAGCTTCGGTTGGTCCTTAGTAATTATTATATCCTAATCTGGGAGTAATAACAGTAAACATTAATTACATCTGTTATTGTTTCTGAGCTTAATATTAGTTAAGCCTGTGTCACTTATCTGATACATGGTGCTGTTTATTTACTTCAGTGTGTCAAGGCTCCAGTAAAACTCAATTATACCTGAACACATGTAGGAAAGACAAGAGTTCGTGCTCCAACAACTTTCTCTGTCAGGAGGGCTTGGCAGGGGAAAAGCCTGTTCCCTGCAGCCATAGCCACCCTAAACAACAGGCCCCGCTGATCTGTCTGTCTGCTATTGTGTTGTCATTTAAGTTTGTCATTATTGTTGTTATGTATGTCATTTATTGTTGGTGTGTATGTCGTGTCCGTTGCCGTCTGTAATGTACAATGCACTGCCAGTGAAGACAAAGCTTCCTACATGACAAATAAATCAAATCAAATCAAATCAATCAAATCAATCATAAATGTAATTAAAAACTGTGTCACACGTCACCATTTTTCACATCAAATATATTTCTAAAGGTGCTATTGGCATGAAATTTTCACCAGATGTCGGTAACAACCCATGCAATCCACACACACAAAGAAATCAAACCATAGATTACGTAAGTTGCGTATACTGTGAAATGACAAAGGGAAAAGTATTGAACACGTGAAGAAAGGGAGGTGCAAAAAGGCATGGAAAGCCAAGACACCAGCTGAAATCTCTCAGTACTTACCTATAAAAAGGTGTCTCCGGTAACACACAAGAAACATCTCATGATGGGTAGAAGTAAAGAGCTCTCTCAAGACCTTCGCAACCTTATTGTTGCAAAATATACTGGTGGCATTGGTTACAGAAGGATTTCTAAACTTCTTAATGTTTCAGTGAGCGCTGTTGGGGCAATAATGCGGAAGTGGAAAGAACATCATTTCACCATAAACCAAGATTTCTGACAGAGGAGTGAAAAGAATTATCAGAAGAGTTGTCCAAGAGCTAAGGATCACTCGTGGAGAGCTTCAGAAAGACCTGGAATTAGCAGGTACAATTGTGTCAAAGAAAACAATTTGTAATGCAGTCAACTGCCATGGCCTGTATGCACGCTCACTGCGCAAGACTCCATTGCTGAAAATAAGAGCATGTTGAAACTCGTTTAAAGTTTGCTGCACAACATTTAGACAAGCCTGTGAAACACTGGGAGAATATAGTCTGGTCAGATGAGGCCAGAATTGAACTCTTTGGATGCCATAATACACATCATGTTTGGAGGTCAAATGGCACTGCACATCACCCCAAAAACACCATACCAACAGTGAAGTTTGGAGGTGGGAACATCATGGCGTGGGGCTGTTTTTCAGCATATGGTACATGCAAACTTCAAATAATTGAAGGAAGGATGAATGAAAAAATGTACAGAGACATTCTTGATAAAAATCTGCTACCATCTACCAGGATGATGAAGATGAAACAAGGGTGGACATTTCAGCAAGACAATGACCCCAAACACACAGCCAAGTAAACTCTCAATTGGTTTCAGTGAAAGAAAATAAAGCTGATGGAATGACCCAGCCATTATATATGGCCAATATATATATATATATATATATATATATATATATATATATATATATATATATATATATATATTTTATATATATATAATATATATATATATAAATATATTATATATATATATATATATATACATATATATATATATATAATATATATATCCTTTCTATTTTCAAGTCTTCACAGCGTACAATCAAACGGGATTAGGTGCAGTGAGCAAATTAACCCTGAAGTGTTATACTCATGACAGGTAAGGACATCAAAATTTCTACAGGTATTTCCACAGTAATTGACTCCTCAATGGCAGGTCTCCAACAGTTCTAGGTATACTATTCAAACACATCAGTAAGACATAAAACCTGCATTTTTACTGTTCACACTTTTGGAGGGTACTGGAAAACAGGAAACAGCTATCTCTTTCACTTAATTCGACTGACCTCTGAGGCTGGGTTCTGCCTCCTTTAACCAAGAAAAATGCCTTTAAGAGTAAAACTCTGGATTTTTACTCAAAGAAATAATTATGATGTTTTTGGGGGTAAATACTGCTTTGAAGTAGGAATCCCAAATCCATCCACAAATATACAAAACTGAACACTATCGAGAATACTAAGCATGACTTTTATCATTACATTCTTATAAATGAACAGATCTCCTTCTTGTTGGAGTTTAAAATCATTTGTGTTTCCTGCCTTGATCTATTTAAGGGAGTAGATTGCGTGTGTGTGTGTGTGTGTGTGTGTGTGTGTGTGTGTGTGTGTGTGTGTGTGTGTGTGTGTGTGTGTGTGTGTGTGTGTGTGTGTTTACTGACTTTATCATTTAAACCAGAGAAGGAAAAGGAAGACACTAATATGAACATTTAACAACAATCAGTCTATTTACAGCAGTAGACATTTTGTGTATCTTTGGGGTTTTGTGTTCTGTATCCTGTCTGTCTGTCTGTGAGTAAATACAGCCAAGACTTCAACACTGAAAATAGCTCCTATGTAAAAGTTATTCTTTGGTAGCAGCTAAAATAACTGAGTATAACACCCACAAAAAGATGTTTATGAATACATGCATGTTTAAAACATACTTACAAAACATTGAATAATGTTCTTGTTGTCATACCGTCATGACGAAGCAGCTCAAAGCCAAGGAAAACGTAGAAAACGTGGTTTTCGTCCGGCTCGTTGAAAAGGCCTGCTTTAGTTAAAACTTAAGGAGGACGCCATTTTGTGGCCTTATAAGGAAATGCAGCAACAACATAAACATTGACTGGGTATTGACTGTACAGCCTCTCAGAGCATCTGTAACTCTAAACTAGTTTCTGGAATTAAAACATATTCTCATGGCAGGTTTTCTAAGTCACTTTTCAGCCTGTTTTGTCAGCCTGTAACAGCTGTTTCTACATTTAATATTACATTTTAATTTAAACAGAAAACCCTAAATGAAATAAGTCTCAGGACAATGTTCATCAGCAGAAATAAGCTGAACCACAAACCAGTAGATCTAGCACTTGACTATCATCAGTATCACGGTAATTGACAAGTTGTTTTTCCTGTTCTTATCCATAAAATGTGTAAAAACAAAGATAAGAGGCTCAACCACTTCATAGATTGATTGGTAAAGTTTAAAACGTAAGGCTTGTTGTATCTGATAATTCCCTCCACAGGGAAACATCTTTCTTGTGTAACTAGTTCCACCTATACTGGGTGTTTATGTTCGAGCAGAACAATCCTGCAGACCTTGAGTTAACAGATTTTATTTGTCTGTAACTCATTAAAATTCACTTTGCTGCACTTCACTTAACCCATCAAAGGAGCCTGTCAGGTGCGGTGAAGGTCAGAGGTGCACAGCAACCGACTGTACTTTTTTATTGGTAAAGTGCGACAAAGGCCAAACTTAAGGTAGCTGAGTTTACGAGTGACCAAAAACTAATTATCTGATTCAACTGCAGGCATCTCAGAAATATAAGTGTTACTCTGGAAGAAAACAATATTTGTTACAGTTGCTAGAGCTGATTTTAGACCAAGGAAGTGTACCTACAGATCGGTTTGAAATGGAAAAGGCAGTGAATCCCCCTGGAGAGATTAAATGAACCACCAGTCACTTTTTATTTTGATATGTGAAGTTTGAAGTTGGACAGCTGGATGTTGATTGTTGTTCTGGATAAACACCACCAGGTGTCAGCACATCACCAGTGACCTCAGCATTACCTTCCTGTGGCCAGTCAGGTGAATTTTCACTTAAACCCAACTGGAGTAAGATGTAATTTTGACTGTTACACATAATAAGAAGTCACTGGGAGGTCAAGAAGAAAACTTCAACAGAATCTGCTGTATAGAAATATTTCCAATCAAAACTTAATTTGCTGAATTCTATCTTTAAAGCATTATCACTGCTTGAAATGATTCATTTTTAGGTCTGTCAACTGTCAGAAAGTTGTCCATCAGTATTGTCTCCTAAGGCCCAAAGGTCAAAACTGTAACACAGAGAACAGACCAACACTCCCATGGTTTACAGCACAATATTTATTCAACAATATACAGATTAATTTCTCTACATCTCAGACAGTTTCTTATATTTATCTTGCTTTCACCTTTGTACATTGTTTATTTACACAATTTAAAATAAGTCTTTCTCTCCATTTATACAACATCAATAGTACAGTGTTATCACATGGTCCAGCAGCTTCCAGCGAAGCATTTAGTTTCGACTCATGGTTGATAATCTATTTAGATTTCATAAACCGACCGATGTCTTTGAGCCACCGAGCAGCAAACTGACAGAAGGGCTCAAACATGCACCAAAAGTCCGGGTGTGGCTTTCTCTCTGTGAGGGCAGTCAGGGGACGAATGGATGGTCTTCTTAGTTTACCTACATGAGAGAGGTCCATCGTTCTGTAGCACCACAAAGGGTGCAGAGACAGAATCACTGAATAGGGACACTGTTTGGGACTTGCACCTTGAAGATGAGCTCAAATGAATCTGCCCCACCCCGCCCAGCAGAAACCAATGAAAGCCAGTACACCAAAAACAAACAAAGGGGGGGGGTGGAAATGTTGCATAGAATCAATTCTGACTTCAAGAACTGAAAATTTGGTGCTGCCATTTTTTTTTAAAAAGTGGCTTTTTTTTTTTTATAAACTCCTGAGACCCTTCCAGACCGCGTAAATATTTTTTTGGTTTTAAAAAGAAAAATAAATAGCTGTACCCTTAGACTTAAACAAAAATAGCATTGTGTTGGATGTGACATCACATAGAAGTACTACTTTAAAGAGACTAAAACCCTGCATTGAGTGTATACACATTTGCACATCTATATATATCATTTCTTTAACTATCTTGAGGAGAGAGGTGGATGGATTAAAGTGCATTATACTGCAAGAAAAAAAGCCCACAGTTATCACATGCAGGGCGGGAAATGAACTTTGTCCTCCAGCAACAGCGGACAACCAAGCGTAATTTTTTTACTGCTTGACTTTGACCTTTTTATTTTAAGAAAGAGAATCTCTACAAGTTGATTTCTGAACAAAACAGAATGACAGTTGAGTTTTAGTACAATCAAAGCTGGCGTTCATTTCCCGCCCTGATCACATGCAAATAACACCAGACACTGAGGGATATCTGTCTATGCTTGACTCTAAGATGACATACCTCACCAACATGGCTGCTGGTAACCTTAGTCAGGGGCACTCATATTAATGACATGAACACGACACCAGATTTTTAAAACAGCAAAAAAGGTGCCACTCAGCTCACAGCATAAATACAGCAAAATGGGATCACAGCTCCACGTGGGAGCCACACAGCACAGGGATGACAGCAGACAGGCCGGGTGCAAGTGTGAACTGTAGCTGCACTCCTTTCCTCCTCTTCCTCCACAGTTCAGTCCAGCAGAGGGTTGAAAGGAGGAAGGTGAGGAGGACAAGAAACCAAGGAACCGACAATTGAGGCTCTGCGGCCTGAAATGTTTAAGGCTGAAGCGCACATTGGGGGCTCACAGGGGGGGACAGGGAGCAGCAGCTATGAGGGTTTCCAGCACGGTGAGGGAAGCATGATTGTGTGGGATTTATCACTGCAGACCGAACTGACTTTTATATATATTTATCATTCATTCTCAATTTAAACAAGCACGTGAGCAAGACATGGAAGATGCAATACGACGACTGACATCCACAGTAAGTACACAGACACAGAATATACTGCTTTTACACGTCAACAGCTAAGAACTGATTGTGAAACTACACTGTGTCACAGTAAAAAGAGGTCATGGCAAACAAAACAAATAAAACAAAAAAAAGGTGGAAGCTGCATCTAAGGGCACATTGAGCCACACGTCCAAGCATCCCTTTTATATGTCCCTCTCCTTTTTTAAATAAGACCCTTAAACAGAAAAAAGGCATTTTAACTTAAGACACCCAAGAAAAATAAAAGTTCCTTAAGAGGAGGATGTGTTTTGGCACATCTGGCAAAGTCAAGGATGGGACTCTGGGTTTGGCTTGTTGGCTGTTTCATGCGTTTGAAACAGTGGTGCTTTGCAGGGGGGCAATAACATGCAGACAAGCGCGCCATGTTCAAAATCACTCAGCCTGGGCAAGGAAGCACTACACAAGGCTAGAGCTAGCACTGTGCGCAGACGCAGGCATTTAACAGCAGAGATGATCCAGCTCCATGCACATGAGGATTGAAAAAAATTGCACTTCAGAAATCATTTCGTAAAAAAAGAAGAAGGGGGAGGAGGACATTTCTCAGGGAGTTGAAGTAATCAGGTCAATCCCAGTGTTGTTTGATAAATGACAGAAAAAAACCTGAAGACAGTCATGTTTCTGATTGCAGCTGTTTTTTGTGCATGATGTGATTGAACTCAATTGAAATGACAAGCTGTTCAGTCATGACTCCTCTCATAACCCCCAAATATTTTCAGGGAATGGGTTACAAACTAGAGGGGCTCTTTAAATCCTGCATCTGATTGGGAGACAGGAGTCTGAGTGGCAGGTGAACGTACAATGAGGTAGAACAGAATGTTTCTTGAGCATCCAATCAGAGCACACAACACAAAACCACCGTCGTGACTCGGACACGCCTCTAGAGGGCACTAACTCACCGGCTCAGGACATGACATTGACAGCATCGACTGACGAAAACGCCCACAAGTGCTTCGAGATGGAAGGACATATTAAATGGTTTGAACCACAATAACAATCCAATAGAAAATACAGTCATTGCCTTTAGCTTCAGACACAGACTTGCACTGTCCACGCTGTTTTTTTCATCCAGTTCTCCCTCAAGATTCAGCTTCCGATTTCAAATCAAGAATTCCTCTTGTAGCTGCACAGTAGTGATTTCCTCAGTTGAGTTCAAACTTTGGGACAAGACAAACTTTAACCACATTCCAGTTTGGTTTTAAAACAATCTCAGAAGTCTTATTGTACAGATCAAAGAGCTGTTACGTCTAAAAGAAAATGGGCATGGGCTGGAAACTTAGTCGGACTGATTTCTGCCCAATCATTGTCGGACAAGTAAAGAAACAATCGACCTTCTTTGGATTGTGATAAAAAAATAAGTAAAATGACTTTCTCGATAAAACCATTCCTGCTTAATTTAAAACAGCAATTAACAAGGAAGATAATCAGCAAGAATGATTGCACATGAGCCCAGGAATGAAAGGGAAGGAATGAAGACAGAGCAACAACAATCTTTGCTCTTCTCCACATGAAGTGACGTTAAGTGTTATTGCTGATTCATTTTTGACTGATTCAGTCAGGAACTCAACAAATTAAGAACTGAACTAAACAGAAATGTCACACCTCCTACAGCTGGTGTCACGTCCTTCTTCAGGACTGCTCCACCGCTTTTCTTTGAGGAATGCTCCACTTGGTCACTTTCACACCAGTCTGTAGATACAGCAGTTCATCATTCACTACTTTACTTGCATTTTCAGTGATGCTGCACCCACCAGCAACAACTGCAGGTCATGATTGTAAGTTTAATGGATGTTAAAAGGGTGGAAACACAACTTAAGAGATCTCAAGATGTGCCCCTCCTACACACACACACACACAAACACACACACATTGACACAGATACACGCACACACACCACAGCACAGATAAGAAGACATGGGTGTCAAAGTGAGACTGTAAAGAGTTGCAGAGAAATACTGCATGAAGATGTGTGTTGTCAGCAGGTACTTGTGTGTGTGCGTGTGCATGTATGTGTATGTTTGTGTGTGTGTGTGTCTAGCATGCTCTGCACAGCACATTAGACCTGTGATATGATCTGCATGTTGAAGCTGGGGGAGCGGGACTGCTTGGTGAGAGGAGCTCCAGGAGAGAGGAGATCCTGGGCGTCCTCTGGCCTGATGAGGTGCTCCTCCTTCAGGCTGATGGTGGAGTGGCGGTGGGAGCCAACCACCGGGAGCCCCCCCTCCTTGTCGGAGCCCCCCGCCACCTCCCCTTGCTCCTCATCGCCTCCGTTCAGGTTGAAATTCATGCAATCAAAAGACTTGCTGGAAGAGGTGCTGCCAGTCCGCACCAGCATGGGCCCTGTAGGGAAGCTCAGGTGCTTCTTGATGGGGCTCAGCTGGATGGCGTCCAGCTTGATGCTGGCTGGAGGAGACTGCTGCCTCTGGTGGTGCCTCCTCATGCTAACCTGGTGAACTGCGGACAGATCGGCCTGCTTCTCTGCCTCCTTCTCTCGTTCCCGCTCCTTTTCCCGCTCTCTCTCTTTGTCGCGAGACAGCCGGGCTGTGATGGCTTTCTTGATGCTGCTGCTGCTGCTGTTCAGACTCCCCCCCCTCGGCCCCACACCACCGCTGCTCGGCTTGGTGCCGCTGGGCTGGCTGCTGTTAGACGCCCCTGAGGAGAAACCTTCGTCTGGGTCGTTTATGTTGAAGGAATCTTCCCCGCCGCTCATCCCATCAGCATCTGATCACCAGTCACAGACAAACACAGAGATAAAACATGATAGACACGCATTAAGGTCAGAAAGATGGAGCTTTAACTAAGATTCTCCACCTGATCCTGAAACAAACCTTTTCAAACCAAAGTTACAGATTTTAAAAATCGGCTAAGATCGTTTCTAATTACAATAAAGTATTAAAATTTTGAATGCAGCCACATTCCTTCATCCTCATTTAATATTTTAGCTGCTGCTTCCTGTAAATGTGCTTATGACAAACTAAAGGTAAAATGAACACTAAGATTTTACATGTTCAGACTATAATTCAGAGAAATTAGCATATTTTGAACAGGTTAGCACACAACAGACCACACAGCTTCATTATCTTGCACATTATGTACCAGAGATTCATTTAATAACAATCTGAGCATCGACTTTCATCATCCTGTGAGGGTCAGATTGACTAAATCTTTTTGTTTGGAGAACATGCGAGATGTCTGATAAGAAAAAGAAGGACAAAGTTGGTATAAAACATTACATTTGATATCTACAGATGTTCCTGAAACACTCACAAATGACTTTGCCTACATAAATAACATCACTAAAACGTGATCCATATTGGTTTGAAAGCTAGAAAGGAAAAAGACAATACAATGAGTTAGAAAAAGCAGATTATCAACATTCAGTTTTCAGGGAGAAGCCTGTTAAAAAAGAAGAAGACAGACAGGATCAGCCCCCTGTCTCTGTCATGCATCGTTGGGAACAAGCAATACTGGAGGACAGGGGACTGCAGGCAGCGTCAGAAAAGAAATGGAGGAACCCGAGAAGAAAAAAAGGGTCTGGACTGACATGCACATATCATGAGGAGAAGACGCATGCTCTCCTGCCTCATCCCTCCTCCTCTCTCTCTCTCTCTTTCTTTCTCCTGCAGCGCTGACCCAGCGGTCACATGGTTGGCCGACCGAGACGAGCCCGCCAATCTGTGGAGAGCACTGAGGCGAGTCCGTACACCTTATCAGATCGATAGAGCTGACAGCCCACACGGCTAAATGAGCCAGTGTGCAAGACCTCGGTGGACAAACCAATCCCAAATGAAGAGCTAAAATATCTCCAACACCTGAGAAACACTGAGGCAATTACAGGACTGTACAGAGTTGGAGCAAATTTGAACCTTCTGACTCCAATTCTGCTTTGGAAATGAAATCTGCTTGAAAGTGACGATCCACTAAGGAAGCACCTTTTTGATTTCTCTTTAAAAACCTCTTTGTGGGGTAATTTGCAACAAGCCTGAAGTGCAGCCTCTTACTAAAGGAAGTCTATTAAAGCTCTGTTTGTGTCAATCTGGCACGGAGTGGTCCCTCTTCTCTCTTTGCTGGTTATTTTCTATACACAGCATGTGTAGTAGGGGTGGGAATCATCAGTGGCCCAACAATACGATATTATTGCGATTTCTAACATTTTGCAATACAGTGAGTATTGCAATACCATATATTGCGATCTATACAATTTCTTCAACTGTTAAACAAACTTAGCATTTGTCTTTCCTTTATGTTTTCTTATTTACACTGTATTTTATTTTCATGTAGCACATCTTGCAAACCTTATATATATATTTGTTGCACTAACTTTCTCCTGCTCTATGATGTCACCTCTGCCAACCTCACTGGACAAACAGTTGATTTTAATTTTCCATTATCATAAATTTGACTTCATATTAGCAATTAATTTGAAAAATCAATACTTGGTTAATGAGACGATACGACATATCACCAGACAAAATATTGCAATACTAAGCCTTTCGATTTTTTCTCCCACCCCTAATATGTAGGTAGTTTATTTCTCAGCAAAAATCACAATAATGCTCTTTTAACAGTCTGGTGTATCAGTTCATAATCTTTAAAATGGATGATTTATAAAAAGCTGTTGCCTCAGCTTGTTGATCATCCATCACCTGACCTGTCCAAGGGCAGAGCTTTACAGCATTTAAATCCACTTTAAAAACAGCTGTTTATCGAAATGCTCAGAGTCTGGTTTGCTTCTGTGTCTTCAGCTAGATTCTAACCATGAGAAAGATGTGTTGAGGTTAGAAACATCCGAAGGTTTAGAGCTTTCTGACAAAATAATCTTATCTGACTTTTTCTTAAATGTTTTTCTTAAAGTTGTTACTATGAAAAGCTCCGAAAACAAAGTTTCTGCAGCTTGCTATTAGTCCTTTCCTCTGACACTTAAACCGAAAACATACAGGATCTGTATTGAGTGAGTTCCGTCAGTGTCACGTCTCTGCTCCGTTAAGCAGCGCTGTTTGGATATACGCTAATTTGGATACAATTCAGTGACTGTTGAGCCTCTACTGTATGTGAAAAAGCAACGTGATAATACAGTTTTGGTTTTTGCATGTTTACTCTGTTTAATAAAGTAAACTATGTTCCTTTATGCCGTGCTGTTAACCTCAGACAGCGTTAGCAGATCAAAGTCCAGTTGGGGTCCACATGGATCAGGGATTGACCATCAAATTGTTCTGTGTTACTGATAAATCCATAACCAGGAAGTATTTTACATCTTTATGAACTGATACACAGTCAGGAGTCTGCATATGGTGTTTTATTTTGAAATTTACCAAATGACATGCACGGTTTTCATGCTTGACATCCTGTCTAGAACAATCTTCTCTGTGTAGATTGACAGGTGTTGGAAGCGTAGAGCAGCAAAAATAGACTTGGTATTTATCTTAAGCAGAGCAGTGCTCGATATGCTTCTAATACAGAGCTGAGACGCGTCCTGTATGCTTTGCTGCATTGATTAGAATGGCAACGTATTTGCTGTGTGATACGCGCGGACTCACGGATCCTGTATGTTTTAGCCTTTAACCTACAGTTATGAGGGGAAAGCTAAAAGATATCCATTTAAAAATAAAATCCTCTCTCTGATGGTTGAACTTGTCTTTAAAGCTCAAATGAAGGCATCAGTATGAATTTCTGTTCCTGTTTTATCACCAGCTGTAAGCGTCTCTTTCTGCCAAAGCATGTCTAGACAGTAAACAAGGAAACTGACTGCAAAGTCCTGAGGAAAATATTACTTAAAATCGAGTTACTCTTTCTTCAAAATGCACAGTTTGTCAATGTGTCATGTGAAAAAGATGGGATGGCCCGGACAAACACTGACCATAAAGCCAGGGCGATGAGCTGATCTGTTGTCAAAAATATGTATACACTACACAAAGAAAAAGACACACACTAGACAAGACAAAATGGGCCGTAAGATCAGTCTGGACAGTATCAAAACGCCTTTTTCTGTTCTGATTATTAGGATTTTTGAAACTTGTTGATTTCTCCTGACATGGCCTTGTCCCTGGAAATATTAGTGTTTTGGCAGGAAATCAAGAAGCTTGCTGCAGCGTGAGCATGCATGATGTCGGGCCTGTTCCCACTCACTGAGCTGAGGAAAGAAAAATGTAAAATGGCGGAACCAAACATTAGCATACACCAAGTGGAAAACAAAATGAGAGGCCTCTTCCTGCAGAGTGTTGATGGCAGCAGATGGGCGCTGCTGGCCTGAGCGACCCTTAAACTTGTGGTGCTGGCAGTACAGAAACAAGATGTCCAGTTTTTTGTGCCAGTTATGTAAAGCCGATGATTTCAAAAAGACAAAAAAAAAAAAAAAAAAAATCTATAGGATCAGTTTTTGAGAGTTCAGAAAGCCCAAGCTGCAGGCAGGGAAGAAAACATGCTCAGTGAGTGAGAGGGGCAGCAGTCTAGAGAACTTTGGAGGCATGATGAGGAGAAAGAGAGGATATGACATGATGACATAGCCCATGCAAAATGGCCGCTAGCCACACTTCCTTCAAACCCAGAATAGGCGACTCTTCCGCTCTTGGGATGAGCTGAGAAAATAATCTGGTAGCAGAGGGGGTTGTTGGCTGAGGGTCTTAGAGACTGGATGAGTTAGTATACTCTGGGGAAGTGAAGAGGCAGCCAAAAATGGGAACGGCAGAATTAACCCTCTCAAGCTGAGGAGGGGCAGTAGGAGGAGGTGAAGTAGGAGGAGGTGGGTGGGGATGATACAGATCGAAAGGGCACCTCCTCCTGTGACCCACTCTGCTCTGAATATCCGCCCCTGTCCCCTACCCTCGAATGTGATGGGGGGAATGATGCTGCTGCTGCTGCTGCTGTGGTGGCTGGGAGGACGCCCTCCTTGCTCCTCTTTGGCTGCAGGGTCCCAGGGGGTGTTGTGGTTGTTGTAGAGGTGCTGGGCGAGGCTAGGAGGATTGACGACGAGGCTCAACTCTGCATCGGTTGAGTAGTCAAAACAATCTGGGAGTCAACAACACAGATGGGGAAACGTGTTTCTTTAGTGGCAGCAGGCCTCAAGTGATCGGGGCCTCATCATGGGCTCAGCAGGACTAATAGCTGTCTGAAAACTCATGTGAGGAATATAAAAAAGAAATGAAATGGTACTCCATGAAATTAAAATCCCACTTCTCGCCTATCTACTGGGTAAAATGGAGTCAGCAGAACCTACAGGCACCATTTTGTCATGAGTTTCTTGTACACCACAAACCTTCAATTTAACCAGTGATACAAAGCACAGCACATACTGAATAGACAAGACGAGCAAAATAAGAGTAATACAGAGCAGTGAGTGGCACAAGCACTGGGACACAGGGACTGTATGACCATTATAACATCAATACCTGACATGAAACACCTTTGGGTTGATGCTAATGGTGTGACTGGTTTACACAGAAACAGAGAGCCTATCTATACCGAGTATTGACAGCAGGTCCTGGCTGCTCAGATCACAAGTGGACAGAAAAGTTGACTTTTCTGAGATTTTGAGTTTTAGTTAGTTAGCTATTACTAAAAAAAGGGGGGAATGGCATCCTCTTTTTTAGCTTACTGACAAATGTTCATCCTGTGAACTCTGAATGAACACGAACAATCAGCGGTCTCACTCACCTTCCGTTTTTAAGGAGACACTTCCTTTTACCAGGACTAGGGCTGCGTGATATAACCTCAAATCAATTTCACCATATATTGATCAGTTCACCTCGATAACGATCAAAAGATGATAACTACTCCACAAGCTGCTCACCCCCTCACACATTAACTTCGTCTACTTCAGTCACCACTCCCACGACTCCAACATTTGAACCGTCCTTCATCTCCTCACCTGTCTTTCCCTCTTTGTTACGGACTGGATGGGGTGGAGTTTCTGACATAGGACAGCATTTTAAAGGGACATGAGACCATACCCTACCTACACACATCCAAAACCAACTTTTGACAATGAATGTATTGACATGAGCAAAATGACGTTGGTTACTGTTATAAATTTTGGTATCGGTAAATTTTTGGTTTATCACTCAGCCCTAACCAAGACTCTGGTGTTCACAGAAGTTTCCTTCTCTGAGATCTGTTCTTGGCTAAAAACTAAATCTAAGGATATTCTTGCACATTTGAGTGCTTGACATGCCAAAGCAAAAAGACTGTATCCCGTGTTTCCCTTAATTTAGCACTTCAATGTCACTGAAAGAAAAAAATGTAATCTGCTTTAATTTGAATTAAAGACGTGTTTGGTTTTTTACTTTTTTAATTAATATTAAATTATAAAAAGTATAAAAGTAACAAAGAGACTTGAATCAGGCCTGTATGCTTGAAACATTCAAAATCTAAATAAAATGTGCAACGATGGAGGTCGCAACTTCAATGAGGATCCATATCGATAAGAAAACTCTTAACACCTTCCTTTACACACAGGTACTGAATGGCTGATCTGTCACACGTTTACTTATTTAGCAGTGGCAGCTCTCAGAATAAAACCAATTATCAAATTTTATTAAATATGACAAAAAAAATGCGATAAAGTCAGCGTCTCTCTTCTGTCTCAGGCAACTTTACCTTTTTATATATGATGTATGTCCTCCTCTGACTACAGCCTTCTATGAACAACTGGTATCACTGAATGAAACTTTTTATTTTCAGGATAAGGGCCACAAAAATAAGGGCTGCACTACCTCAGTTTCAGAACTACAGTCTGGTTTCATGTATGCGTGGATATCTGAGCTGGAAACTCTCAGCATGGGCTTCAAACTGACAAGGACATGACACTGATCAATTCAAGACTAGGTGCAACAATTCTGCAGTTTAATACCTGGTTCATGAATCTGCCTTTAATGAGAAATTATCAAACACAAATAACAAAAAAGGAAATGATGAATCTTCTCCACAGCCTGGGACACCTCTTAAAGAAAGTCACCATCTGCACCCCAGACCACTTTAAATTGCAGTCAGGGTGATCAGGTTGGGATGCGTCCTGAATATGTCCTGATAGTTCACAACTCCACTTAGACCTGTCCACTTGTGATCGGGGTTACACAGACTGCATGTTAATACCGGGGCCAAAGAAAGCGTTTCAGGTTGAACTTTCCTCTCACTGCCAAGGACAAACAACAGAGAAGTCATTCTCTCACCTAAGAGCTCCTTCTTGTGGATTTTCACTGATCAAAAAAAAAAAAAGGAACAGCTTGTAAGATTGGACTTTTAGTCATCACTGAACACTGGTCTTTTACTTACGAAACTTTATCGTTCCTCGGTTACTATTTCGTAACAAGGACATTTAAAAGAGAAGAGTGGTGTCATGGATCTGGGCTGCTGCTCTACTAAGATCTCTCCTGCACTGAGGCCACCTAGGCAGATTCTTCTATTTACACGGTTGCCGCAGTCTTACCCTCTCTCTTCCAGCGGTGGCGTCGTATGGAGGCGGTGGTGATGGCTGAGATGGAGATACGGCTTATAGTGGGCGTCACCTCCACCTGGAGCACCTTACGCCCCCTTGGCTCATCGGGTGCGCTCTCTGGCAGCGAGTTCTTCATGGCGTTTCCCAGCTGGAGTTCATAAACAGAAAACAAATGAACAAAAACGCTAAGAAGTTATAACCTAGAGATGATAAAAGATTTAAAAGCCTGATGATGACAATGATTGTGCGGGTTTGAAAGACAGTGGAGTGCCAGTGCTGATGTGACGGTCTTACCAAGAGAGGTTGGGAGTAAAGCTCCAGCTGAGCTCTGTACAGAATGTCCTCCAGAGCTTCCCGTCCCATCTCCCACTCTCCATTGTATCTGCATCAAACAAAACAACAACAAAAAAACTAAAGCAACACCGTCATTTAATAACGACATGCTGTGAGCTTCTGTGAGTAAACAGGAGTGTCTGAACGGATGCCTTGATGTCTGAGTCACATCCTCCTGAACTATTATTAGTTATTCAGTCAGGCCTGCAGCTATATAGAGAGAGGGAGGGAGGGAGGGAGGCAGGGAGAAGTTAAGGACATAACCAGTCACACTGATTATACCTCTCTGCTACACTGCTGTCTCTTGAACCTGAACTGCATCGTTTCTCTTGGAACCAATTCATACAGCTTTCTATGGTATTCTTTTTATAGAAATAAAAATAAATGTTGCTCTAAAAATGTTAGACACAAATCTTGTAGCTGCGCCCTCCATATTAGGCGATAATAGAATCTTTTTAATTGCAGATTCATGCTCAATAAGTGTGTAATTCAGATAAAATCAGATGTTTCAAAATCAAGACCTATTATTATCATTAAATACCACAAAAAGAGGCGAAAATAAGCTAACAATGAGTGAACTAGCAGATATATACTAAAGAGGAAAAAAAAAATAATAAATAAAAAATAAATAATAAAAAATTTAGATAAAAACCGAAATTTCAAAAAGTTGAAATTTTGACTTTATTCATGTCGACTTTAATCTCAACATTTTAATATTTTTGATCTCAAAATTTGACATTATTCACGGAATTTTGTAATTTGGAAATTTCAACTTTGATCTTGAAAATTTGACATAATTTCGATTGTTTTAATCTCAAAATTTTGACTATAATCTCGAAATTTCGACTTAAATTATTTTTTTCTCTTCATGTGGCCCTAATTCTCTTTTGCAGATATAAATCAACCAAAATGAGTGACAGTGAAAAGATATGCTCAACACATGATAAGTTTAAGACAACAACTTCGAGTACAGTAACTGAGATCAACATTTAATCACATACACAACACTTGATCATATATACACAGCAGATTTGAAAATGCTGATCCGACCAAGAGCAGAAGTGTTCATCCAAATCTGGTTCTCTTCCTAAGGTGTTGGGTTGTCTTCAGCTTGGAATAGTTAATGGACACATGATTAAAGGATAAAACATGAAATACAAAAATAAAATAGAGAAAAAAGGGTAAAAGAAGGAGAGCACAGCTGATCTCTCTTTGATGTTGTCCTGCACATGAAACAAACCCACAGCCAGGGTTAAATGCCTAGGGTCCCCTGTAGACTCCAGATAAAAGGGACAGCATGAATGGGCAGGTAAAAACAGACTCTCTGATGTTGTTAAATTGGGACCATCAGTCCAGAATACATTTCAAACCTCGCCGAAACAAAAGACAGAAAATTAGGGTTGTCTCTCTGCTCTGGTATCCCTGCATGTCTCTCATTCTCTCTCTCTTCATGTAGTTTGAAAGCGTTAAGCATTAGCGGACATATTAACCCAAATCCCAGACTGCCCTCTGCGGATGCCAAGGTCCCTCTGCATGTGCAGATTCATGTTTATCTGTGGCTGGTGTGCGCCTGCTCAGGCCAGGGGTGACTGTGAGAGCTCACACTGAGGTGACCTATGGTGGGGATTACTAAGAAGGCTGTTCTTCTTACACACACACACACAGACATGCTCACACAGTCCTGATTGCTGCCGTGCTCCCTCATGATGGGGGCCATGCGGCAGAATGCATGCTCATTCTCTTGGTACGACACCCTCGTTACAACGTGGACTCCAGCCACAAGCCTATCAGGGGATCCATCTCAGAGAACGAGCTATCATCGAGGAGACGTAATCAGCTTTGCAGTGACTCTGCTCAGAGGGGACGAAATCACCTGCTCCCACAATGCACTACAGATGTAATCAGTCAGTACAGTGAGGAGCGTCTGTCCTTGGTAGACTTTAGGTGTATGCCATGAGGAGACTTTTCCACCATACATACCAAGGCTGCACGATATTGGAAAAAACTAACATTGCGATTTTTTTAAACCCTGTGATATATATTGCGATATTAAGCTAAGCAGCTAAATATTGTTTAGCAGCTCATGAAGTTAACCACCCCCACCCAACATGGGAGTCACTAGAGCTCTTTAAATCACAAAAATAAGCATTTTCCTGCAATTTTCATCTACATGATATACATTCTTTTGGCCATATATCACCCAGGGACATCAGGAATAGGAGCACATTATTCACACATATTCACATCATAACCTCACAGCCAGTGTTGCCAACTTACAGCCTTGTTGCTATATTTGGCGAGTTTTCAGACCCCTCTATCTATTAATTTAGAAACTTTAAAAAAAAAAAAAACATGTCATCCCCTCCCATCAACTCATGATGCAACCATTGCTTTAAAGACCACCTATGCATCCAATCAAAACTGTATAGAAAAGATTTACTGCAGTTTGACTGAGATCAAGTCTGTCATGATTGCAGATTTTGATTGGCATTTTTTAAAAATTGAATGGAATGTCCCCCTGCACTGCATTTTTTAAAATTGTGGTGATGTCACCGAGCATGACTGATGACATCAGAGGTTAGCCATGAACTCAAACAGAAGTCTCTTCACCTCCAGACCGAAGCAGTATAGCCAACGTCTAGGCGAGCGACAAAGTTTGAAGAATATTTCAGCCGAGTCAGCCAAGTTATAGAGAAGAAGAGCAGTTTTCTTCAACCATGACAACTCCACCTCCATCACCAACGTACCCTGCGGGTTTGGGGTTTAACACCCCCCCTCCCGCAGCAAAAAGTTGCAATGGAGATTTTGAGGAGTTAACATTTGAAGATCTACTCAAGCTTGATCTACAGAGCCCATTGGACAGTCCCCACACAGTGTTCAAGACACTGTGTGACAACATGCTCTTTGAGGCAAACCACCTTACAACGCAGAGCCAGACCACTGATCCTCTGCCTTCATTTTCACCTCTACCTTCATCACCAACACACCCTGCTGGTTTTGGGTTTAACACCCCACCTCATTCAGCAGAATGTTCCAATGAAGATTTTGAGGGTGTGACATCTAAGAATGTACTCAAGCTTTCTGACCTTCAGAGGCCATTGGACAGTCCCAGCACACTGCTTGAGACACTGTGTGAAGATAGTGAGCTGCTCGTAGATTACATGCTCCTTGAGGCAGACCACCTTACAGAGCAGAGGCTGACCACTGACCCTATGGCTCTCTTTTCATCTCTGCTTTCATCATCAACAAACCCTGCTGCCCCTCATTCAGCAGAAAGTTCCAATGAAGAGGTTATAGACTTAACATCTGAAGATGGACTCGAGCTTTTTGAACTACAGAGCCCATTGGACAGTCCCCGCACACTGTTTAAGACACTGTGTGAAGATCGTGACCTGCTGACAGACAACATGCTCTATGAGGCAGTCCACCATACTACACAGATCCAATACACTGACCCTCTGCCTTCCTTTTCACCTCCACCTCCATCCCCAACATACTCTGCTGGTTTGGGGTTTAACACCACCCCTCACCCAGCAAACAGTGGGGCTGGACGGTTTACTGAGGTCACAAGTGTTGAAGATGCTCTTCAGCTCTTTGACCAACAGCGTCCATTGGCCAGCCCTTACACAGCGTTTAAGTCAAATGAGCCCGCTGTTTCTCTTCCCACAGCCTCCAACTCAAGGTAAGTATTGATTCAAATTACTCAAACTTTATTTTATTCATAAACGATTGTGATAATAAGCAAAGAGAATGGAAATGACATTAGGCATACCTTAACATTTATTCAATTAAAAAAGTTTGATAGAGCAACAACATTAACTTTCTCTCTGATTTTGACCAACAGGAAAAGAAAAAGGGAAATGGAGCAGGAGGACAGCTCGTACATCAAAAAGCCACCAAATGCCTTCATGATGTTTATGAGGATGTACAGAGAAAATGTACCAGCTGAAGTTGCAGAGAAAGGGAGCGCAGAGACGAATGCTTTCCTCGGCCAGTGGGTAAGTGTGTCAGGACATGGTTCACTCGGGTTTAAATAAATCAAAGATTTTTACTTTATCTTTTCACTGTAACTGTTAATGTTGCTTTTTATTCACTGTCTCATGTAAAGAACTTTTAAAGGTATGAAAGTTTGCATAGAGGAAATGTTGTACACTCACTAATGAGTACCTGGTGTGCACCAGGTGTTGTTCATGCGCAAGTGGATGATCCAGTTTGGAAATGAGTGTGTTTCTGACGGTATGTTTTTGTCTGTTCACAGTGGAATGAGCTTACAGAGGAACAGCGAGGGGACTTTAAAGAAATGGCCAGAGTGGAAAAGGAAGAACACAGTCGGCTGTACCCTGGTTGGTCAGCCATCAACAACTATGTAAGTACACAATCTATGCACAGCAGCATCACAAATGTTGTGATGTGAGATTTCAAAAGCAGCTTTATACTACTGACACTGCATAGTCTGGTGTTACCAGGTATCAGAAAAGTAACAATGTTGTGTTGTTTTTCAGGGCAAGAAAACGAAAAGGATGACGAAAAGTGCACCAGCTGCAACTGAACCATTTAATCAGTACCCATACTAGCAGCAAAAAATGTATTTAAAAAATCAACTAAAGAAAAAGAAAAACAATTAAAAAAAAAAAAAATAATAAAAAATTAAAAAAAAATAAAAAAAAAAAAAAAACAGTAACTCCGCCAAATTGTCTCAATTGAGTCAATTTTGCCGGTCCCCAGCCCGGATAAAGGAGGAGGGCTGCAGTTGTGACATTAAAAAAAGAAGAATCAACAGAATAAAGTTCATTTGTTGTTCTAAACATATTTGGGGTGTTTTTTACTCACTTTTTTACTTACTTTTATCTCTCCCACGACATTGTTCCTCTCACTTACAGCGTTCATTACAATTTTAGGCTATGGGCCAGAGGCCAGAATTTCACTATTTAGTACACCTCAGGGTGGCAAAGGTTCATCATGATTTTTGACAAGATACATGTCTGTGAAAACTAGCACAGACTCATTTCAAGGTGAATGTATCCCTCTCTGGGAGTGTATACCGTGAGTAAATCACCTATGGCTGTTCCTTCAGTGTACCTTCCCACTCACAGCAGTTACAGACATTGAAAATTACATTATGGAGATGGTCGGTCTTGTTGTTTATGGTCTCATTTGCTTTTGCACACCATATAGATACATCACTGTTTAACTGAGTCTGTTTCACAACCAGTCAAAAACTCCTCACAGGAGCTTTAATGTGAAACACACTTCATGTTTTAGTACTAGTCTACAAAAAATATATATCATATTATATGTACAGTGCTCGGCATAAGTGAGTACACCCCTTCAGATTTGTCAGAAAACCTTTAATTTCCCTTTAAAATCAACATTTTCTATGTCAGACTATATAACAAAATATTCCCCCAAATGTAGGCCATTGATTGCAAACAAGATTTTTTAAGTTGCACACAAAAAAGGATTTTTTTTCAATTCAAAATCAGGATGCAAAAATGAGTACACCCCAATCAAAGTTCTGGGAGCAAAGCTAAATTTTAGTTACCATATCATCCTTACTTTCATCTTATGGTAAAAATGTTATGTTAAACTCAGCTTTGTCAAAACTTTGGAAATTGTACTTTTGCTTATCTAGATATTGTGTAATACATAATTTTTAATAGGGGGTGTACTGACTTATGCTGGGCACTGTATATGATAAAAATAGAGCTGACAGGGAGGGAATGTGACAATTTTTTATGCAAACACAAAACACCATGTAGCTCAGAACTGGTTGATAAGTAAATAACTGCTAGCTAACATTTTGCTAAGTGTTTTGTAAATAGAAAATACATACATGGCATGATAAACTGCAGTCAGCATCTGCACCATGAACTCAGGATCCAGCAGCACCCTATTGCACGGTTCCCTCCAAAGCTTCTGCTGCTGCCTGGGGAATCCACAGACACACAACCTAAGGAGAGAAAAACAAATAATCAAACGAGAAAGACTGGTGAAGTAAAACAAGCATGAGAAAAGGTTAATGAGGGAAGACTAGGCTAAAGTTAAGAGGTGTTTGACAGTTTAACACGTGTTTATCTGCAGGAAATGGTCCAGATCGGATAAGGACGACAAAACACCAATATCCTCCCTGGATAAACACACAAAAATGAAAAACAGCTCAGAGGGAGCAACATTTACACAAGCACTTAACACTTAAGGAGGTCAGACAGTGTAAAGAGGATGGAGGTATTAAAGGTGTTCACAGTGAGGGTGAAGTCAAATATTAAGTTCTTGTGCTCTGACATCTCCACATCCACAGCTTGGCCTCTGTCTAGACTCAAGCTTGCTTCAGGCGTTGTCGGCTCGCTCACAGCAGGGAAAGTCTTCATATCCTGACTCGTCTCTGAGCCGCTGGTGGAGCAATCACTGGGCGTCGGCTCCTCTTCAGAGCCTAGTATTGTAAATCCCACATCTATCCTTCTCTCTTGACTTAGGTAGACAGACAGACTCAGACAGGTATCCGGCAGTTGCGTGTGGTGCTTTCACTTGCCCCATCACATGCAACTGAAATCATACTTATCAAATCCTGCAGCAACAGGGGCAATCAGTAACAAGGTCAGTTTATGGCTACAGGGCAGAGGAGGTGATTTACACTGGGTTCAGGAGAGAAAGCAATGGAGTGAGGAGGAGAGGGTGATTACAAACTGACCGCAGAAAAGAAAAACTGCAGTGTGGAAGAAGATAGAAACAAACAAGGATTTGCATGTGTTTTCTCACCGTGAGCTCATTCTGCAGACTGACTGGTAGGAGGATAGGGGCATGTAGACCACGGCAGAGTTGTAACAGAGCATGAGGAAACACAGCACCTCGAATCTGCAAAGTCACATCATCAACAAAAAAAAACTTAAAAATACAAACAGAATATCAGTTCTCATTTAATCTGAGTTAAACCTGTTCCTGCAGTTTTGTTGAATGCTTGATCACATCGTTTCTACCACACTTGAAAGAATCCTTTTAGGCGTCCTTCCAGCACCTTATTTTTTCTTCTGTGAAAACTGCTGGTCTCAGCAGTTTTGTCCATTGTGAGCTACTGCACTGGATGCAGATGCTTAATACACTGCAGTAATCACCCTTCAGCTCTCTGCACACACACACATCATCATCATCATCATCAGTAGTGGTGTCGAAGCAGGACAAATGTAGAGTGAGTGAGGCGTCACTTCAGATCAGTTCCTGGTGGATGAACCTGCAGTGATTTTATGTCTCCAGGGTTTATAGGTCTGAGTTTAAAGAACATTGAAGGGGTCAGGTACTTTCGTCTAGTACCTTCACTTGGTTTTTGATGTTTCTGTTTGGGACCTAACTTATGAGCGGAGGTGAACAACACCCTGATTTAGGTGTACAATAAAATTATTATTTCTGATGGAAACTAATGAACTCTAGATTATGAAACCTGTTTACTCTAAATTCTTCAAAAATAAGAACTTTTATTTGAGATTGGGTTAATCACTAAAACATCTGTCTATTCCTGCCATCATGTTATTGTTGATTTGTCCAGTTGTTTGGTTGACGGGAGCACAATGACGGACACAAAACCTATATATCTATTTATAGTTTCTGGATGCTTGTAGTTTTTCAGTCCTGCAAATATCCCATATTACAAACTACAACATGTACTGTATGTCCTTGGAGACTTCCTATTGGATTGTTCTTTTGGGTGCTGGAAAGGACAACAAACCAATCCTTTGTGTCTTGCATTTGTATAGAACACATATTTAAAGACTGGCTGTTTAATTTGAGGAAGTGACTTTCAGCCAAATGTATGAAGTATTTTCGAATCTCTCTGTTGTAGGATAACTGTGAGGAGAAAATGTTTAAAAAATCTAAAACATAAATAAACATCAATTTTTATAATAAGAGTTTGTACATCTTTAAGATAAATACCTGAGAAAAGTCACTTTCTTTAGATCAGTTAGCATCTAAGCTGTCTGATGCTGATCCTCTGTGTCCACAAAACAATACAGTCAGTCTACGCTTACAGCCTGACAACAAGGTGAGTACTTTGAATATTGTACATTTCATACATCAAATTAAAACCAGGGAAAGAAGTCACAAGCACATCTCTAAAAAATTTTAATTTTTTGTGAATTTACTGATGTTTCGCGCAGAGAAAGATTTTGTGTAATGAGGGAGGATGTATCTGTTTGTGTTTAAAACTGTTTTCTGCCTACAATAAAAAAAAAACAAGAAAGTACCCTCAGGTTTAAGCACTCTTAACACCTTTGTCTTGAAGAGGCAGCCTTCGCCAAACCATGGGAGAAATAAAAAGAGGAGCAGGTTGTTTGTGTGCCTCTCTATAGACGACTTTTGGCATGACATATGAGGACTGACTTCAAGCCCAGGTACACCACAAGGTGTGCTTTTTATTGCTCTTGCTTGTAATTTTTAGCAAAACTGATCAGAATGAAAGAAAATATAATATTAATATTATTATTGTTAATTCTTATTTGGTGTGTGTTCATATTGAGAGAGTGTGTAGGATGACCATGGAGAGGACCTGCTGTATAAAAAGGGTCGTAACTGACTTCGAGTCCAGCGGGAGGTAAAACGCCCGGTTGTATATCAAGAGTGGGAGTGAACTGGCTCTCCCAGGAGCTCGGGGTTTTCTCCTCATAAACAGTGTCTCAGGCTGAGCCGTACAAATGGATTTCCAGATAAGCTATGAGGTGGAGCCCTGCTGAAATCCATTGAGTTTATTTATGACACTGTGTTCATCATAACTGAGCTCCACAGCCACACAGGACGACCGCTCTTATCCGTGCGGCCCGTACATTATCAGCTGTCATAGACCCGATGTGTGTCTATCTCTGCAAACTAAACCTGTGCATAAAGTGCAACTCTGCTCATTTTGGCAGCGCAACAGGCCGTTTTTCTGGCAGGACTCCAGCGTGCTTAATTACTATGCTTAGATTATCATTCATACAGAGTAGCAAGGAAAATAGTGAGAGCCAAAAAAGCTTTCAGGCCTGCTGAGTATGACCAGAAGAGGCAGGGTTATGCTCTGATCATCTTAAGAGGTCTTTTTTCATCTAGTGGGAGGTGATAAGAGGTGAAAGAAACCATTTTGTTTAAGAAAAAAGAAAAAAAAAGAAGATAAAAATATGAAAATTAGAGGGAATGATAACATTCAGAGCAGAGACTGTATATCAAAAGAGACGTCTTAAGTGTTTCCTGACTGCGAAGCCAAAAGATTAAGAGCTCCTAAGCTGTCTAGTAAACATCACCTCCCTCCTGTTAACAGATGGGACTGGGGTCAAATCAGAAAATTAAAACACACCTCGAATAAATCTTACTCAAATATGTTTTTTTATCATTATAATTAGTTCTTATCAAAGTTGGTCACCTGCCACTAGTGTGCTGTAGATTTTACTAACCTAAGGAGTTTTCAACATTTAATCACAAAGTTCAATATTGAGTACTAAGAGTAGGAAGAGTGTGACATCCGTCTCATGGCACCAGCTTTGTGTTTTTTGGCTTCACATCTCATAACTCGGCAGAAATGAGTTCACGCGGTCCGTTCTATCTCCAGTCAATGGCGCAGAGTGGCGACACCGCCTGTGTTTGCTGAGGTGGAGCCGCTCATGTTGCTGTCGATTCTCAGTATCCAGAAAAAGCAACACTTCCTACTTTTAGTCATTCATTCACAAATGTATCTCAGCACTGTAATTTCATCTCTTCTTTACGATGTTTGTACAGCCTCCCTAAACAGCTGTTGGCTTTTAAGTGTTACCTGTTCTGGGCTGTGAAGGTCTCCCTCTGAGGGTGGAGGCCGCTGTACACCACTCTGATCAGGTCATGCTGACAGAGAGCTCCCTCTGTCAATGCCATGGATCCCAGACTTGAAGGCTACGCATACACAAACACAGACACACGAAAGACAAACACAGTTAATTAAACACTTGTCCGTCTTTTACAGCATGCCAGCGCGTTGGCGACAGTGTGAGTGCAGGAGAAACCCAGCAGCTGTGCGTTTCAAGGTGACGCATTTGGGCTTTTGCTGAACTTCCTGCTGTCGTTACAGTTCAGCCTTAGAAGCTATTTGAATTTAATTGACTTTATTTTCATGGGGACCAATTCATTTAACAACACAGCTTAGAGTTTACAGCTCGAAAATACAAATTTTGTCCCTAGTTAGGCCTTACATATATGGTGTAATTATACAGTATTTACAACATTCATAAAGACACAGATGCTCCAGTGTTTACACGCCGGGCTCTGAGCCACAAGTTGAATAGCACGGATGCGTTGCTATGAAGCCAGGTAGTAAACGAAACCTGGACAGACGAAAGAAGGATGTAAAAAAAAAAAAGAGAAGGGACTTTCCTAACAAACGGCAAAGAGCTGTAAAAGTGACAGTGTTTTCATTGTTAAAAATACATCCTGTTATCTTCTTGCTAACACATTTTGCAGATTATTTTGATGTGTAACATGTCAACCAGGAGACACATTACGGGCTGAAAAGAGGACATGCTTCCTCCTACTGTCAATAACTCCATTCTTGCCCAGTGTATGTAAACTGGGACAAGGACAGTGGTCCAGCTAAATCACCTAATCATGCTTCGACTGTAGCGCGACCTAGCTGTGCATGTATAGGTACCGAAAGACTGATTACACTTGAAGCTTCAGTGTGAATAAAGCCACATCATTGCAAGGAACAAAGTCACCTCTGAATTGAACCTCACTGATACTGCATCCTTTGTTATTAGTTAGTGGACAAGGATGGAGGAAGGACTGATTCAGAGAGAGAGAGAGAGAGAGAGAGAGAGAGTATGACAGTGCTGAAGGCCGGAGAACAAGACCACATGATACCTAGAGCCTCACTCCAGCCAATGAAGCTTGTTGGGATTCACATACACTCACGACCCTGCACCCGGTCCTGCCTCTCTGCTTTCTTCATTCTCTCAGCATGGAGGGGAGAGCCTCTCAAGCTTGTAATTACTGCGATAAATGGCCCTCAGCACATGCCACACAGTGTAGTCTCATCAACACTCACAAGGACTCTCACTCTAGCACCCGCTTAAGGTCCGCGGTACAACATGAAAATATACTGCTAAGGGGTAAAATCTGGAAAGACTGGACAGTCAGAAACAATGTTTACCTCTACGTTAGGAAAAAAGGTTCAAAGGTTGGTATTTCTTTTTTACTGGATGGAGAAGAAACCAGCAGAGAGAGTAGAGAGTGAGAGAGTGACAAGTGGAAAAGAGGCTACTGGAATCAAACTGGGACCACCTGCTTGACAGGTTACATAGGAAGCATGACTTAACCACAGGGCAGCACAGGCGAACCCTCTAGGTTAGCATTCCTTTTTTAACACCTTATAAATGAGTAAATAAATGAACTTCACCCCAACAGCCAATAGTCCTATTTAGCAGTCAAATCTCAATACCTAAATGTGCAGAGTAAAGAAAGAGGAATATTTAGTGATGTCTAGGTATCAGACTCTGGATTTTAATGCTGCCTTGCTCACCCCTCTCATCAGTAGCCCTTGAAGACAAGAAGCTCAGGGTGATGCAGAAGTATGATCCTTCATAACTGTTTCATAACATAATACAATATACCTTACATTATTTTGGACCCTTGAGTTACCGCTCAGATCAACAAAGATATCATGATTACTGTAACAGCTGGAAGCTTGGCTCAGTGTACTACAGGAACACCAGTTACAAAAATCAAACTGCTGAAGTGTTTTTAGATATCAATGATATCTTGCCTTTAGATAAAAAAAAAACAGCCTTAAAATATGTGGTAGGAAAACACTGATTCCAGACAATTAGCTCATTAGACAAATGCTGCATTGCATTGTTGTTGTTTGCTACTGTTCACAGGTAATTGACCTCGTGCAACTGTTACAGCTATGATACACATTTTCAATGTGTTCACCACAGTTTGAGGGATTTTAAAAAAGAAAATAATTTTTGTGGAATAAAAAGTAATTGCAACTGATTGGTGCACTGATTTGCTAAAATCCAAAAGTGCATTACGGACTGTAACACAGACATTTTAGAAAGAGACTGTAACTGCAGTAAGACGACTCAAAGTTTTTCACAGTCTGACCTGTTGATCATTTCTTTCTTTAGAGAACTTAGAGCAGAAACAAACACATACTATAATTTTACTAGTTTCACACAGGGTTACTACACAGTTGAAATGTCCATACTTTTCCATACCGTACTTTTTAGAATTGTTTTTGGAAATTCCTGTTTTCTATTTTAGAAACCAGTATTTATTTTTTACTGTGGTAATAGTCTGGAAACCTTAATATTTTTCCATGCTTTATTTGTCATTTACTATACTTTTTAAGACCTGGAAATTGATCAAATTACTTCCATACTTTTCCATACTTGCGCAAGATCCCTGCTCATGTTACAACACTAACTATTCTCTATTCTTGTGTGTTGTCATGATTTGTGTTGTGTCTGTATATAAGTTAAGTAAAACCATTAAAATATGTATCAATCCACCTAAATATCTATCTAATCAATAAACACGGTACTTACTCACAGCTACAAATAGTTTTTATTTTTCTCAATCATCAATATGCATTCATCTATTTTACTTGCCTGCAAAAGTCTTACGTCCTCTGCTGCAAAATAATAAATCCAGCACAGCTTGAAATGTGCATCGTTTGTGTGTGTAAAGCTGAGATCAGCAAAGGGTTGATTATATTCAAGGACTCGCCAGTCAAAACTGAACAAGCTGAAACTCTGCCGATCTCAGTCACCAACCCATCAGTGCATTTCTGATACACCTGCATTGTTGTCAGTCAGTTTAAGAATCAGCACGAAAATGAGAAAAATGGCTTTGGCGGTGAGATTCTGAGCTTGATGTATCCTACAACAAAATGGCAGCAAACTTCCCTGCAGGACTCTGAGATTAAAAGCTTTCAGCTGTGACAGGACACACACAGAGGGGTAAGCCCTGTGGCTGAGGTTAATTAAAATGGCGAAAAAAGGAGGTATCATCTTCCAAATAGCCACTTTGGTTAGGTTCTGTAATGCTCAGAAGTCAGTAAGAAGGTGGAAAGAAGAAGAGAGGACAGGAGATAAAATAAGGGGAGGGATCAGAGGAACAAATAAGAAAGACACTGATTGACATTTCAGACAGGAGCCTCACCTCATGATATACTGACGGTTTGGACAGAGATGGGATTGTGAAGGAGAGGAGCTTGCTGTTGCCGTCTTTGTCCACTATCTCCTGCAAAAAAAACAAAGAGAAGGATGCAGAGTCAGAAAAAGCTGCATCATTAAATAGTTAATTCTCATTAATGTGGAGAGTTGATGTAAATCTGGTTTGAGTGCAGACTGCCACTCTAATAAACAACACAGTTCAGCCCCTCTCTGCAGGCAGCAGCGTACTCTTTACTGTCCCTCACAGTGTTGTGCAAGTGTAAAACCAATCTGCTGGTACACGTTATTGACCCAGACAGATTAAATGTCAGTGGCAGCACCCCTACCTCTCCATCCTAGTTTTACACAGCCAAACATAACACAACGATAAATGCATCCTTGTAAACTCTGCCATTTCTACACACATTCCCTGATTATCTCTGCAAGTCACGACCGCGGTTAAATAACAATGAATCTAGATCACTGAGACGTAAAGCTGAGTAATTTTTATTTGGCAGAAAGTGCTTGGTATTCTGACTTTGTTGTGTAAACCAATTACGTGCAGCAAAAAGGGATTTGAGTGTTGTGCAAGAATTATCAAAGTAATTGTTTTTACCTCATGTGAACACAACTGGAACTGTTCACAGACGTGACTTGTTTTTCTTTGCGTGTGTTAAGTTTTTATTTGCATAATCTACATGAGATTTAAAAAAGTTAGTCAGGCTCTGCTGCACCATTAAATATGGATAACTATCCTTTGAGTGCTATGGTTTACATGGTCAGGTTTTTATTTTCTTCATGTGCGAGGCCAGGGCTTGTGAAATAACACAAAGAAATCACAAAACATCACATCCAAGCGGGTCCATAATCTAGGTTTTGGAAAGCAGCACCAAACTGGCTTTATCCCTTTATCTCCTATTCTCTGTAAGGCTACAGTTGGTCAAAGCCTCGTGCTGCCCTTCACTGCATGGCAGTATATCTCTGAATATCTGATAGGGCTGCTGAAGGCAAAGCAGTTTATCAGAGCTTAGCTGTCACTGACCACAGGCAGGAGGTATATGAGCATGCAGTATGAGTGTTTGAGGGTGTGTTTTACTGGTACAGACACAGAAATAAATTATGCATGGATATACCTTGAGCCATGCTTCCTGACATGTAGCTCTTTCTATTGATATCTGCAGCTCTTAGCTCAGTTCCCTGAGGGTGTTTCCCGGTGATGCAATCTATCCAGGGTCCATCCATTAAAAGGGTTTCTCCCTGTAGATCGTCTTTAATGTCAACAGACTCACAGCCTCACTTATGTTCCAGCTAAATTAGTACAGGGCTCAAGAAAGATGTGCACACCAGTTTTTTTTTTAAATCTTTCCTACATATCTGTTTGAAACTGTGACACAGATACATTCATGGCCGTCTCTATGGTTACAAAAAAACATACACAAACATCAGCCTTATACTGCTAAAAATACCACTGCAATTATACTCCTGTCTTTGATGGCAGTTAATTTGCAAACACCATTATGCAATCCTCAAAGTATGAAAATGAGGTTCCTAATGAATGATGAACTATATATAATAGATAATAACTATATATAATTTATTCTATAGAAAGTGGAGAAGTAAGGAACAAAACCAAGGCTGTGTATGTGAAGGGGCTCTTCATCTGCCACAAAAATTTCAAACCAGCCTGGGCAGCCAGTCATCTTGTTGTGTGTTGGAAACGGTTGAGCTTCCCCACAGAAATGTGTAAACTGAGGTCATCCTTGTGCAGGCCATTGTGATTATCTTTATATATACCGAGATGCTTTTTAAGATACACCTCCATCTCTGCAGTCATGGAGAGGCTCCATTGCATCCCCAGCACTCACCTTATAATAAAAAACTTTAAAAATACGGGATGCAAAATGGCGCATATAAAAGAAACAGAAAGCAAATATGCAACTTTCTTTCTCATATTTGAAAATACGGGATGCAAAATGGCACATACAAAAGAAACAGAAAGCAAGTATGCATCCTTCTTTCTCGTATTTGAAAACACGGGATGCAAAATGGCACATACAAAAGAAACAGAAAGCAAGTATGCATCCTTCTTTCTCATATTAGAAAAGTAGGGATGCAAAATGGCAAATACAAAAGAAACAGAAAGCAAATATGCATCTTTCTTTCTCATATTTGAAAATTAGGGATGCAAAATGGAACATAAAAATATCTGACACCTACCAGGTTATACATGCCCAGTAGGAGTGCCTCGATGCAACCATTACTCTGGCGATCCCTGCTAGCCGTGACGCGCAGGTATACCCACACCAGCTCAGGTAAGAACTGCAGGGTGAAGCGGCGCAGGCGGTCTTCAGAGCTCCTGTACAGCTCGAACAGCTGGTGGCACACCGGCTCCAGTAGCTGGATTGGAGTAGGGGAACCATTAATTAATGTGAATAAATACGAACTGAGACTCTTGTGTACAAACATTATGTCGCTGTAGTTGGTTAGAATGAAAATATGACATGGAGACCTTAAATTACAGCCAGTACTTGATAAAGAAGAGTTGAAATTCATAAATTCATCAGATTAACACATATAAAAAAATCAAGAGAGATGCAATAAACACAACATTAATGAGAGAAATAATCAGATATTTTCTCCCATTTCTGAAAGTCCATATACCATTAGAAACATAACTCCATAACTCCTGAACAGCCCCTATTTCAAAGCATGAATGAATGTCAGCCTGACTGCACCACAGTGGAGTGGACAGACGGAGGGAAAAGTTTTGCAGTGGGTCAATAGCGGGAGGCGTGTAGGAGCAGAGGGGATAAATCACTACAATGGAAGTCTGGTCAGATGTAGTCTCAGGGGAGCCAGCTGAGCCAATGTGTTTATACTGTCTAGGGGTCAGTGAAGTGAGTGCCCACACAGCACTTCTGTTTGTGTGTGTGTTTGTTGCTCGTGTGTGTGTTGCACTGTGACTGACCCCGAAATAAGCAGCTAACTTATTAATGAACTTGGTGAGGCATTTGCCCCTCCGTGTCCTCAGCTAGAAACACACAGCAGTCAACCATGCACTGGAGCCTGTCCCTCTCTCTTTTCTGTGCACACAAACACAAGCACACGCTCTTTTTATCTCTCCCTGCTGGGTTGCTTGTCTGATCATAAATGGGATTGCATAACTAGATTGACAGCACTAATCGAATTTAGGTCCTCAGTTGCCTGACACCCCAGCTCATTCATGAAAGATGGGGAAATGAGGGGCACAGACTGTATCATTGGAGTAAAATTAAAGCCAATTGAGATGCATACGGTGCCTGGGGCCTTTGCTGAAAATAGGATCATTTGATAAAGACAGAAAACACTACTATAGCTTTACTAGCACAGGAAACTGCCTAGTGCATGAAAACAGTGCATGCGATGAAGTACACTTAATACTAAATGAGGTTTGTGACCAAGTACAACATCCTTGTTTGCATCTTTGAAAATGCATGTAGCTTTTCCTGTGCGTGCAGCAGATGTGAAGAGAGCTGTGTGTGCATCTGAGTACAACACACTGTGCGTCATCTCACAGGTGAAGCTCCTGGCACGACGCCCGTCCCTCACACTCCTCGGAGAACAGCCTGCCTGTGTTTTCAGCGTGCATGTGTAGCCTGCAGACACCGCTGTGTGTCAGTTTCTGTCTCACCGCCAGCTGAGACTACATGATGTGAGTCACAACCAACACATTTCCCTGAGCTAAAAAAAAAGGTCTTAACTTGAAAGCCCCGTATGCGGCCTCACCTCATTGTTGGGGTCCTGGATGACTCTGTACAGTGCTGGCACCAGGGTCTTCTTCAGGTGAAGGCTGCCAGCATAGCTGTGAATGTGGGTTTCTGGTAAGGTCTGGAGAAAGGGGAAAGATTCAGAAAATGCTCACAATGCTTACATTTTCTGTAGGAGAAGCTGCAGGTATGAAACATGAGGTGTATGCATCCAAACGTCACTATCGTGGTAAAGATGGACATCTGATCTTTCAAAGTCAAACAAACTGGAATGACAAAGACTTCTGTGAAAACCTGAACAAACTGTGTTTGATCATCTTGTTGCTTTAGCTGAAGCATCTTCCAGCACAGTTACCATCACTCATCACTGTTTGAAATCACTCCCATTGTTCACTCATTCACCTCTTCTTATGTAACATCCACTCAACACTTTACCTAACAGGCAGTAGTAAATGCAGATTTTGGACAAATATTCATCGATGTCTTTTCTACTATCACTCACAGCTAGAAGAGCACATGTCTCATTTAGAGTTAGAAGTGAACTTCTTTGTGTCTATCTATTACTGAGTGACAGTAAGTATGAGCGACACGACTGCAGGTTAGGTTGAATAACAGAGTGATGATTTCTGATGGGCTCAGAACATCCTGGGGTCGGATTCTTTAAATGGTCAAGATTGAGAGTTTGTCTGCTGATGACAGACGGCAGAGAGATATCCACTGAGCACGGCCCAACTATGGTCATTTTGAGGACAGAACACAGTGTGCCTGCCCGGCTTGTACCACTCACACAATGACTCATACAGATCTATTTGCCTTGCTATTCATCATACTCCCTCTTTCTCTTGCTTTCGCAATTTTTGTGTGCTCCTCTGCCATCCGTCTGAATACAAAAGAAGAGGAAAAATCTTTTGTTTTGGCCCGTGTGTACCCTTTTGTCTGAGTTAAGTAGCAGTGTCCCATGCCAACATTCCCAAACTGCTCAGGGTTGTTTTGCTGACACTTTTTGAGTATTAAAAGCATCTCAAATATGGATGTGGAGCTGATGGATGTTTAATAAGGTAACAGACACAGGGGACGAGGGTTATGTGTGTTTGGTTTACTAAACAGTTAAATACAGTCACCATCACTAGCAGGTACCAGAGTTACTTGCCAGCTTCTGTTGTTGAGGGCCCAAAATGAGCAGAGTCACCTGCCATCAGATTGGGCTCCTCAAATCAAAGACTACTGCTGTAATGCTATAACACTACCTGGATGTAAACAAGCACAGATGATGGACGGACAGAATCTTGTTTTATGGTGTGGTTTGGCTCTACACTCACAGATATATTTAGGTCTCATTGCAAACAAAATTTCCATCCATTTGAATGACTTAGATTTAACATGAACAGGCCAATCAACAAAGGAATCAGATTTATGTAATAATACCAATAAACCCAATGTGTTAAGGATAAATAATGAAGATTTATGTCTTCATCATTGACAACTCTGATTTGTGTCTGATTTTTTAATTAAACAAATTTTGGTCGATCCACAGTTCTTCATATTTAAACTATATTCATACATTTTTACTGATTAAATTGAATTTTTTTCCAGAATAACAGATTTTAAGAATTTGAATAAATGAATTTTAAACATTTTATAGTTCAAGTAAAATCAAATGCAATTACTTATGTATTTAAAAATTTTTTTTTTGATTGGTTAATGGGCCGAGTCCGTAGGACCAATCGGGGAGGAGCGGCAGATTCAAGAGGCTGCCGATTGGAGCGCTTTGGGGGCAGACACTTGGGTTCACTAGATTCTTTGTCAGGAAAATCTGTGTTGGCATTCGTGTGTGGTTTTAATTGGATTTTATTGTATTTCTTTTTTTTTTTGTGGAATTATCAGGGATAGGGAGCTGCTCACTCCTCAATTTGTTTTAACTGCTGTTTTGATTTAATTTCAGAGAGTAACATTTTTCCACTCTAGTTTAGAGTCGCCTTTTGTTGTGTTGATTTGTTTCTCTGAGCCGCACTGCACATCCCTCTGTTTCTTGCCTCAACTTTATGTTAAACAGCACCTCATTATTTCTTTTTGCAATAAATAACATTTTTTACATCACGGAACCGGGGTTTTATGTTGCGTCTTACTAACTCACGAGCTGGATTGTAACAACTTCGAAATAAACTCTGCCATGATTCATTTTTCTAAGTACATCTGGAAAAAGGAGATAAAGTTGATATATTACCCACATATACACAAGTACAGAAGATACATGGCATCTCATAGTGTGACACAGTGTGGCAGTATTGTGATCTTGAAAAAGGAGCTGTGTCTGGTTAAACTGGCACTTGACCACTTGACCGGAGCATTGTGTATCCAGCAGAAGCATGTTACGTAAGCCTGCATTAAGTAGCCATGTTAGCTAACGTCCCTGCATAGTTAACCTGCTGAATGTCAGATTCGTCTCATAGGATGACTCAAAGTGGATCTGTTCTTGTAAATGGAAAAATGCTCCAGGTTGAGTTAATGTGTTGACCCTGAGCTGTGATTCATTATAAGTATACAGTGATGAAAGCACAGTGGACCAAAGTCTAACCTGTCCTTACAAGGCCACAGTTCTTGCATGAACTCACTTAATTGAGTTGCCATATTCAAAGGCTTGTAAAATTGGAAGAAATGACGTGCAAAAACTTGTAGGCTCAATAGTTTCTTTAATCAGAGCTGCTACACCCACAGTTTGTGGTTTTCTTTATAGGAAAAAAAAGCCTCCAAAGATGACCTCCAGGAGAACATTTCACTGAAATGAGTCATGACCGAAAAGCAGAGGAGGAGACAGCCTTTACCTTGAATTCTGAGAGCCATTCTTCGACAACACCACGCTCTGAACCCAGCATCTTCTTCAGAGACCCCCCCTCGGCTGCCTGGTGGATGGACAGAGATCAGTTAATGCTTATTTAATACGTACAGTTAGTGCTTGCAATGATGGCAAAAGCAGGTTCATGTTTGAGCCAATTCACCATTCTCAATGTACTTAAACTTTAAAATTCGGCCAGCTATTTCCATTATGTATATCAATAAGACCTAAAACAGGTGGACCTTGATGCCTCCGAGTGTGGTAGCTGTGAAAACAGACGCACTGTTACACAAGGAGCAAATTCAGCGATCTCACCAATCACCATGGCTCCGAGACAACATGACATAACAGGAAGTTATATAGGATTTCCCTTGAAAATAAAACTGTGAAATGCCAATATTGAAATTAACACACAGTTTAGGAACAAGATGATTTAAATGGCATCAGTCTGACATGATTTCAACACAGACCTCGGGGAAAAATGCACCAAAAGCTCTTTAAAATGAAAAAATAACAGAAAAACAAAGAAGTGAAATAACCAGAGATCTGCTGCTGACCAGCATTTTCTCACAGGTTTTATCCACTACACCTATTCAAACAAACTCTAATCTCAGGCAACAGTCACTCTTATCCATGCTCTGGGTCTCTGCATGCAGCAGCTAAAAATAACTTCAGCAAACTGCCCAAAATAAAAAGCCATTTCTCCTTCAGACTTCATCCCATGGAAAAAAAATTAATTATCCCATAAAAAGGCTAGCTGCAAAGGAGACGTGTGTCTCAGAAAGTGTGTGTGTTCAAGTGTTTGTGTTGAGTGAGAGGTGGAATATTCGCACAGTCCACTGACAGTTGGGGACGGATTAAAAGTCATTTTCAAGGATCTGCAGCATGCCGAGCTGCAAACATAGACAGGAGTTTGACAATGACAGCGCCAGAATTCTATCACACCACCTGACAAGTATCAATAGATGAGTCACATTTTTTTCATAATGAATGCATCTGTCATCAAGAGAAGATATCAAGGTCAAACCAAGGTCATTCATGAGACATGAGTCAACAGTTGAGTCATCAAACACACGAATGAATAAGGACATACTGTGAGCTTGAGCTGTGGTTGATAACTGTGTTGTTTTAGATGTCTGTTTTAATGTGTTCAGCTGCAACAACCCTCCAGGAGGCCTACCTCTGGTTTTGAGTTGATGGGATTAGGGATTAAGGCGAACTTAATATATTCTAATTTCTAAACGGAAGATCCAATTTGAGGCAATTGCCCTTGTTCGTCTCCTGCAGCCGAGACACTGAATCTGATACCTGCATGACTCCAGACAAATCCCCCGTCTGAGCTTTTTACCCGATTCTTTAGCTGTAAAAAAAGGTGAATTAACACTCTCCTTAACTGTTCTCATAAAAGCTTTTTTTTTTTATATCAAAGTCAGAAACAAGGAGTGACAACAGTTGAACAGGGGTGAGTCACGCTTTTTTGAGCACTTGCAAAGTCACTGATTCATGAAAAAATATGTGAAGAAATAAGTGAAAAAAAAAATTCTGCACAACGATTACGCCCAGAGAGTGAAATAAGGAGGGTGACTATTCCATTCTAAGTTGAGTAAGTCGAGTGAAGACTGATGAGTATATTTGCTCGACATACCCATCCCTACATAGATGTGACCCTTTCACTGTCCACATCATGCTCCTCCCTTTGCGCTTTCACAGCAAGAGACATGTGACAGAAGAGGGATGTAAATAAACTCCTTGCAGCTGGATCTGGGTCAGTGTCCTTGGTCCTTGGCTTTCGTACATGCAAGTAAACACGACCACCCGGGCAAACGGATGAAGCTTGGACAGTTTGTCAAAGAGCTGAACAGTCTACTCTGAGAGAAGTGGACAGATGTGAGAGTAAAGAGCTGTGTGGACAAAAAAAACAAAAACACTGAGAATGTGCAATTGCAGAATTTGTCAGATTTAAGCGACCGCTGCTTCCAGTATCTTTCTGTGAGTCTTAATGCTCAAGCTAACAGTAAGCCAGAATGGTGACACACCCCTGTTTGATCTCATTAGTTACACCAGAGTCATTACAGGCCGGGAAGTTTGCAAAAGCTCCGAGGCCTCTCTAGATTTACATTTCACTTTCTCTTCATTTTCAACCGCGAGATGAGACATACAGCATCAGTACTTTCCCTAAATTACTGCAAATAAAACTTGTTAGATAAAAAAGTACCCAATTCTTTTATCAATCTCAAAACAACAATAAAAAGTTGAGTATTTTGAAGACTACACAAATCTTCATCAAGGCAAACAGGCTTTGGTTTTCTTAAGCAGGCTTTCTGTTTCTCTTTCATCTTTAGGACAAAATTCAACTCTGTATACCCGGTTTTTCACCTCAGATAGAAAAGGTCCTCCTTTAAACAAATCAAATGTAAACCTTTATATGGTCCTCTGAATTGTACCAGGAATTGTAGCACAGCAGGCTTGGAGATACAAGATCACTGATTTGTTCAGCGTCTAGAGGGGACAGAGATCACGGTCACAGCTCTGAGCAGATGACAATCTGAACCGGTCTAATCTTTTAGTGCCAGCGCTCTCCTTTAATCTGTGAGCGTGAACTGAAAGGCTCCATTTAGTTAGCTTGTTCAGCTCTTCATGAAAGGCTGACTCATTCATTTCCTCTGGCTTGTCAAACTGTCAGAGACTTGCTGAAGTGAAATTCTCCATCCGCTGGGCAGGCTTATCAGTTACCATGGGAACTGCAGTCTGGTGACTTTCAGGCAATGGCAAATATTCACCATCAAGAAAATGACCAACGCTGGAAAAACAAATAATGTTGTAGATGTAGAGGAGCAGTGTGAGACAGGGCTGGGCTGAAGTGTTCAGACAACAGTGTTTACAGAAAGGACAACATCCCCTTATTTTCACTTTTTGTGAGATGAGAAGCCAAAATACCTCGACAGGGCTGACACGCTGCGCTGTTTCAGCTGAGGCATGTGCAAAAGTGACCCGTCGATGTAGGACTGACGTCACGCCTGTGATATCAACAGAAACCTGCACTTATCTCAGCAGAACACAGCAGAGCAGATGAAGAGCTGTTACTCATGACGTCACATCCCCTCTGCTTAAAAATGAATAACTACCCTGATAAAAAAAAAGAAAAAACTCTGCACTATCTATGTGAGCATAATAAGAACTGTCCATAAATCCAGAAACCCTGTATGAGAAGAAAAAGTTGACCTGTATTTTAATTGACCCCAGTTGCATCTGTCAACAGCTGGATTTATGACTGAGACTGCTGCCAGTCAGCAGAGAAGAATCTACATCTTTAGCGTCACAAACACTTAACACTCATGATGCCCCCTTTTAAACACACAGTGTGTGGTCCGGACCAAAACCATCTTAAAACTACAAATCCCATTTCTCTAAACAACCAAGCACAAACCTAAACAGGCTGATCATGTCGTATTCAAACACCATCTTTAACACTGATAATTAGGTATGACCAGTATGAGATTATTGGAGATATTTGAAACTCATTTCAGCCTACACTGATACCAATGCAAACGTGCCTTTAAGTCCCCGCTGTCTCTCATGAACGAGGATTTACCTTGAAGTCCTACAGACATGCTCTGTCCTACAGACCAGACAGCAAAGAATAAAAACATTTGTCTCTACTATCAACAATAAATGTAAATTTTACTATAAATAAATACATTTTACTGACACAGGCTCATGACCATTCTTTGTCAGAAACCCTGTGTGCTTTAAGATCATAATTATTGTACAGTTAAATTGGTAGTGTCAAAGAGCTGTTGTTTTTCTCACTTTTGCATCACTTGTGCTTCATAAGCATTACAAAGAGCTGTTTTGTTGCCTGTTTATATCCCTTCATAATACTTCCATAAACCTGACGAGCTGAGGCTCATTGTTGGCGTACATGAGCTGTCATCTTGGAGGCATAATGACGTGTCTATCGATTATCACTACTTCTAAAAATACCCAATTTCTAATAACCTCAAAAGTTTGTGCAGAAGTCTTCTCAGTATTAGGTTTATGTAATAAAACTGAGATAAAGAAGAAGAAGAAGAAGAAGGACAAGGAGGATAAGAAGAAGCAGAAGGAAGAGGAAGTGAAAAAGAAGAATGAGGAGGAGGAGGAAAAGAAGAAGAAGTCATAGAAGTGGAAGTGGAGGACAGGGAAGCAGCAGAGGAAAAGAAGAAGAGAGGTGCTGCTGTTAATTAAACTGTTCTAGTGATGAAAACAAAGGGCTGCAGTTGGAGGCATGTTAGAGATTGACTGATTCACAGTTATTATAGAAATCAAAGAATCTGAGAAATGAAAAATGAAGTCAAATAAATTTTTTTCCCTCTTTTCTGTCAGTAACAGTTTTAAGACAAAACCTGTTTTTGTAATGTTTTTATCATTTAAAGGCACAAGTAAGGCAGATCAAAGTAAAAATATTAAACCTGAGGGATAAACATGGACTGAATTTTTCACTAAAAACATTTTTACCTCCGACAGAGCAGCAGAAATCTATTAATGGGATTCTTATGGGGAGAGTCACAAAGAATAAAAAGCTTGCTAAAGTTTCATGTTAAGTTTGTGGCAGATTCATACAAAGATATTTACAAGACAATATTGATAACAGAAATCTATTGATCCATTTGTACTCTGAAAAAACACACTCATATCTTCTAATTCCACATAAAGAGGAAACGGTCAGTTTTCAGTCTTTAGAAAAACATGTTTGTAAAAGAATCACCTGTTTCAGGTAAGTTGGAATAACATCTACTTCCAGTCTCCAACCCTAATAAGACACAAATTCGTTTCTCATTTACAACCTCAGATGTCACCTTCAGGTGATCATGAGAGCCAGTTCAATAGAAAATGTGAGGTGGTCAGTGGGGTGTGCTGGGCTTACCTCAGTGTCCCACAACTCAGATCTCCACTGGGAGAGGCAACTGGTTCTCCACAGTGTCACACATCTGTCAGTCACTGAGGGTCACCTGTGAGGAGGAAATAAAAGTGAAACCATCCATTAGATCATGACAGGAAACACTCTCGTTCACATTCAGCATTTACTGTGATAGTATGGCTTTAAAGATCATCATTTAAACATATTAGGGCTAGTGTTATGATGTAATTGCTGAATCTGAAGATAGGGGTGTCCCGATACAACTTTTTTACTTCCGATACAATACGAATATTGTTGCCTTCAGTATTGGCCAATACTGATATTGGCACAAACTTGTGCATGACAAGTCTTGAACTCATCTGCTATGCCTTTTTTGGACTTAAACAAAAAAAAAAAAAGAAACTGCCACACTGCCAACATCACTCCTACTCCTTGGTACTTTGTTAGTACCTTAGTACAGACTGTTGTTGTGATTACATGGAGATTTTAGATGCAGGCCAATATAATCCGATATTCGTTTTTTTGCTGATATCAAACTAATATTCCAATATTAATATTGTAAGGATGCTTAGCCCATGTTTACACTTTAAAAAATGGAAGGCCCACACGAATGATCATTTTGATAAGCTTCACTGGTTGCAGATCTGGGTTACAGCTTCATCATGCCACAAGTGTAACAATAATTTGGTTTGAAACTGTTCAAGTATATATAGCGGTCCACGTTTCCAAAACATTCCACTTGCATCTTGTTGAGGATAGTTGTCGGAGGCCCATGGCCTCAGAAATCTAGCACCAAAGTATCCGAGGTATTTGAGTGACACAGCTCCACCACCCTAAAGGCTGACATGACTAGCTAAAGAAAATCACTAACAAATATCGTATTGGGATATCCCTATTTGAAAACGTGAATTTGAACCCTTTTCTAGCCTGTTATAGTGACATGAAAAAAGGTTTTTAATACACCCACTTGGACAAGAAACAGTTTTTATCTAATTTGTTTTCACCTAAAGTTTTAATTGACAGACTGATTACTGAAACCAGTTAGTGTTTGTATTCCTGAACTATGAGGAAAGTTACAAAAGACAGTTGTTTCAAATGTCAAATGTCTTTCTTTTCAGACTAAGTAAAGACAGAACTTCAAACAGAGCATGAAAGACTGGTTTAAGATCTTTGAATATGGGACATCAGTTTGGCTTAGGGGTTCAACCGCCCTCTGCAGACAGACTGTTGTCCTTGGAGCAGGTTACATTTCAACACAATAGCTGTGGCCTTCTGAAGATAAAATGCAAAGCAGCTGACAGCACACTGACTTGGAAATCAACAGTTGGTTGCTCCACCAGCTCCACCCTCCCCCAAAACATGCACAGTGATCACATTAAATGACATAACTGTGATATAAATAAACATTATATATAAATCAATTACACTCCTTTGAAGGTTATTTTGAGGAACTGCAAAAGGAGTCAATTTTCAACTTTCCTTTTGTTGCATAGCAACAGTCAGCTGGCCAACTAGTTGTCCTCGCTTGCTAAAAATGCATCTTAAACATCCACACCCAAAGTATTTACTGAATTTGGCATAAAGAATGAAGCTCCGGTGAACACAGGAGAAGACAGTGAGGCCCTGAGCAGCAGATAGAGCCACATCGCTGAGCCCCTCATTTCATGTGGAGCGTTTCAAACACAGCCTCGTGGTTATCTCAAGGACTCTTACATTAGCAATTCATCACAAAGACTCGAGGAAATTACCATGCACAAGTCCCATCTGTCTAGAATGATGTGTATACCCTCTCTATCTAATGAAAGCTGTAAAGAAGCTTTTCATTTTCCTTTGGCCAGATAAAGGGAACTCATTTTGTATGAGTCATCAAAGCCCTGGGTAACAGTGCCGCCAGGTTCGGTGAATACAGCAAAGGGAGGGAAAAGGCATGAATAATACAGCTCAGACCAAATCAGCAGCATGAATGTATTACATAGGAGATGACACCACCAGGCAAACTAAAGGTTAGACGAGCAAATATTTCAGCTCTCAAGGTCTTTAAATGTTATCAGCAGAGTTCTGAAGAAATCCATATTTTTCTTTTAATGTTTTGAAATGATGTCACAGAACTTTACCAACCTGTACAGACTAGCAGGGGGGCTCAGGGTACACAGTGTTCATACTGAGCCGACCATCCTTTTAAAATCTCTGAGTGTATAAAGAAGCCATGGTAGGAAATGTCATCAATCAATGAGTAACGCTGTTTACTGGTGGCATTATTGAACACAGCAGTAGAGATGACAGATATGCAGTAGATATGCCTCAACATTTGTGTTACAATGCGATGAGTTTAGAGTAAATTAGATTTTACTGATTTAAATAACTTACAGGCAATAATGAACTTTATTTTTTTGATGTTGTAATTTATCTTGCATGCATTGTATTAGTGCCAAAAAAGTGCATTTTTCCCATATTAAAGAGCCTGTTGGGAACTTTATGTTATTGTTGATTTTGGCGCCCCCTGCAGACAAAGTGATACCTCTTTTCTCTTTGCATGTGTAAGAAGCATTTTCAGACAAAGAAAAATCCCTCCTGGCCTACTTAAAAGCTCCTGTGGGGAACTTTTGTTTAAACCTGTGAGCTAAGCAGTCTTTGCTTGTTTTTTTCTTCTATATACTTAGGTAGTGTCTTCTGACTAAAATGTCATCCTGCTAAATGTTGACAGACAAATGTTTCATGTATTCTGAGTATTTCATGTGGAAAATTGTAAAAGCAAACCTGGTTCTTCAGCTGCTTTAAACTAGTTTCAGACATTAAAAAATACTATTTTGTCACCCTATAAAAAGAATGGCCTAGGTCATTATTTGACGAAAATCAGTTTTTGGCCTAAATCATCTCTTGATAATGCTGGCCATCTCTGGTAAAATCACCTTAATCCTTAGTGGAAAGGATCGTGGCACGATATAAAAATCTACAGTCTTCTTGTTGGTGGTTTTATTTGCTTCATTTGTATTTTTAAAAAAAGCATCAATATGAATTTCAGTTTATTTCATAAACATAAAAAACTCAGAGTAGGTACGATGTGACATTTATAAGATCTCTAAAAAATTACTCTGTAGACACATCGTGACATGTGACTACAGAGTAGGCAGTTTTCACCTACTTCAACAGTATTTGATATTCCCCAAATAATCCTTCCACTGTGCATGACTCTTGTTTGCTCTTTGTTTTAAGAATACAGCTCTGTTACAATCAGGAACAGTGAAAACAAGAGGATCTACATCAACAAAGTCTCTCTGAGGACCTTTCAAAGAATACCAGACAAATAAAAGAGACAACACTGTTCCAGCTGCAGTGGATTAGTCTTTGAATGACTGTACAGGCCTGATGAAATTTAGTAGGTGCCTCAGATTATACAGTAGGAGACAATGGCTGTGCTGTAGCAAAGAAAAGCTCTAAATAACAGTCCATCTCAAAAAACGACATATGGTTATGGTTGGTAACTGTAAAAGGGGAGAACGCAGCTATATCCTTCTTCCTGGTTAAAACAGAGAACAAATGGCTGGAGCTCTACAGAACCGTGACTGAACACTTTTTCCCAGACTTCATCCCAGTGTTTTTATATCCAATTACAACAACTCTGTGCAGTTAGCCCAGCCGTCACTGTTAGCTGAATAAGTCAGACACCTAATGAGGCCTGTCAAATGACAATAAGCACATTTTCCTTCAAGCGCCGCTCTTCCTCTATGCAGGACCTGCTCATTGTCCTGCAGCGAGGCGCACTAGGGAATTGGAGAGTGCCAGCCCATCCTGTTTACAGCACTTCAAACCCCAAATCACAATGACATTACTAAGCATGCTGTTTCACCGCTCACACGGTTGAAGAAAAGCCAACAAGCACTGCAGTTGACGACAGAGCAGCTTTGTGAGGTTACAACTAAATGTCATACAATACAGTAGATCATTGAGGAAGTCCTAATATCAATCATAGACAAGAGTCAACAGCTCTTCAGAATAAAATGACAAACATCAATCTTTATCAGGAACAAATGATATTCAAGGTTGCTGCACACATACAAACACACACATACACAGTGCTGCTCTGCACTGCCAGCTCCCTTATTTACATAGACACGGTTTACCATCTGGTACGCCCTTTGTTACCAACTCTGCTTCCAGTTTTATAACAGTACAACTTTACTCCACCTAAGTGGCTACGTGTGATAAAAGGCTTATATCCTGAGGTTTGTGAAAGGGGCTCAGAAGTTGTCTACACAACCATGCTGACAACTCTTTGGAGCTCAGCTATGTCAGCAGCATCTTAACATGCAAAAAAAAAAAAAAAAAAAATGATGATGTTAACCTGCAGCAAGTTTCATTTATATATTTACCGTTAGGGCTTGGCGATATGTTCACCTCGATAACGATAGATGGACGATAACTACTCCACAAAACCACTTCTTATTTAAAGGGGACCTGCCATAAAAATGTAATTTTTGGGGTTTTTTGTGTCAGTTAAGGTCCATATTATGTTCGTCTTGTGTTGTACATGTGAAAACAAACCGTTACGTCATTTGCATTCTGTAAAGGTTTAAAATAAAGGAACGAGTAAACCAGGCCAATAGAAAAAGCAGGTCGGTGTTACGTTGCGCCGACGTTGCTCATTATAATTCACGAGCGCGTCCTCGGTGAGCCGCGCCCACTCTCTCGTTCTCGTACTCAGTCACAGCCAGAGCGAGACCTAGCTACCGCTGTATCCGCTATGGGTCTCTTCCAAACGACCGGTGTTTCCTTCGGTTCACTGCCGGGAAAATGAACTTAAAGCTGGGCAGAATGAATGAGAAAACACCGCTGGAGATCTCCAGCTTCTTCCTCAACTTCCACCTCCTCTTCGGACTCGGAGTCTAAAATATATGGTCTAATACCTGCCGTTTTTAGCCTTTAGCATAAGGTGACCAGACGTCCCCGATTTCCGGGGACAGTCCCCGTATTGGATGATCTTTCCCCGGCAAAAGCTATCCCCGAAAATGTCCCCGATTTAAGCGTTTCATTAATGAGAGCAAAAATGTTGCGTGTGGGCTCGAACAACGGTTATTACAGTAGCCTAATCGGTAGGAAGCACAAGTTAGCAGTCCTGAACAACAGTTCTCACGGGGGTATTACAAGGGGCATGCGCTGCTACTAAATAGTACCGAGACTTTGTCTGTGATCACACAGCCCCTGCAGCCCCTGCACAGCCGCCGCCACACCGAATATCCCCGGATATCATTACAGACATCTGGGCACCTTACTTTAGCACACATTAGCATATGCTATTAGCATTAGCATAATAACAGTGGATAAACCGAAATCCGAACCTCCACTGCTGAGCCAATCAGAGCACAGCAGGCTTCACAGCAGCGATCCAATCAGAGCAAAGCTCATTACCATAAATGTTAATGAGCCAAAACCAGTTGGTTTTCCTGTAAGGTTTTTTAGGCATACTAAAACAAACCATCAAATAACTTTTCAGCTAAAATTATGTTGCAAACATGATCAGAGGACATCAAGGATTATGAAAAAATGATAAAAATGGGTATGAAATTTTGGTGGCAGGTCCCCTTTAATTTTTCTGTTCTTTAAATTTTCTGTTTATTGCCTAGCCCTATTTTCCATTAGTTTTGCATTTTAGTATACAAATAATTTATACTGATACCAAAGGACAACTTTTGCTAGCAGAAGTATCATCAGGTTTTTAAGTATTTGGTCATGAACGAGAAGACTACACAAAGTGAAATTCTTTGTATTGTATAGATTATTTATGAGCACCATCCCAGAGATTTTTGATTACCTGAGCAAAACTGATGTCAGGGAAGTGCAAGAGGAAAAGACAGAGACCAAGAGTCACTGGGATTTGGAAAAGAGCAGGCAAGTCTCTGTAGACCCCTCTCAACCCAAACACAGTTTAAACTCCTCCCCTCAGGTCGGAGTTACAGAGCACCATATGACAAAATAACCCAGCACAAAGACAGTTTCATCCCCGGGGCGGTTGCTCTGTTAACAGCCACAGAGCTGCAGAACAAACACTACACTATGAAACAAACACTCTCTGTGTCCGTAATAAGCATTTATCCTCATAATCCTCCTATTATTAAAATCATCACACTCTTACCAGGTAAACAACATCCTCACCTCTTATGAATGTTTACACTGTACAAGAAACAGACACACATGTATATCGACTTCATGTAAATAAAACCACCTGTCACATTATTAAACACTCTTTTTTTTCTACCATTCATCACCTTACACTCCTCACTACTGCACTACTGACTAACAAAGTCCTCTGTGTTGAATGTCTAATGTAGGTCTGTACATATTAGTATAATATTTCTCATCTGATGTTGATGACAGAGTGCAAAGTTTACATCCGTTCAATTCCTTTTCTGTGCAAACAGACCTCGCCAACGCAAACAAAACCGATTCTGTTTCTGTTTCAGCTGTTTGAGTCCTCAACATACACTCATTCAAAAATATTAGGGCTGTAATCAACCAAAGAAATTCTTGGTCGACTAAAACGCTGAAATTGTGGACTAAAAATCATCTCGACAGAGCGCAGCTCGGCGGGGTGAAAATATACTGATATCAGCACAATAAGGCAATCAAACACAAATATCATATTCAGCAAGCCACCTGTCATTGCTTAACGTGGACGGTCTTCGATCATCCTATCTCCAGCCGGTCTCCAGTGGGATGAGCGAATCCAAAATGGTGAAAAAAAGGGGAGCGTTCTGACACAGGCTGTGAACATAGACTGTATATACTATGGACAATCTGGTTCCGCTTACCGCCTGTAAACGGATTTGAAGCCAAAACGCTCTCAGTATTTTCTGGATTTTTCTCCATTTCCTGAAACCAGCGCTGCGCAGTAGCGATGCGCGCATACGGGCGTGCAGTCGCCGAGAGTCGCTGTGATGACGCTCGGCTCAAACAGCGTATCCCCCGGGAGATTTATGACCTATACTGCAGCCCATCAACAGAGGGTGCTGTTCTCAGAGTGGCTTCACCCAGAGAGGAGGCAGACTCTCTCCGTTCTTTATACAGTCTATGCCTGTGAAATAGGGGTGCTCTGAAAACACCCCTATTAACACTTGGTACGTTCCTCCTCATAGACTGTAAATTGACGTGGAAAAAAATTGAGTTGACCAATCTGAATTTTGGTCGGCTCAGCACATATCGACCCATAAATCGACCAGTCCACTAGGACTTTACAGCTCTAAAAGATACTGTCACGTTTATGGCTGTGAAACTAAAATAGAGGGGCTGGAATACTGGTGACAATAAGAGAAGTTAATATAGAAATGAACAAGGGGCCATTAGCAGCCCAGACAGACAGACAGGCTGCATATCTAATAACAGGGCTGTTTGTAAAATAATCTGACAAAATTATAATCCTTGTGAGAAATAATTTGAATCAGTCCAAGATCATTTTTGTAAATGTTTCATCTGAAAAGTGTGTGAACAAGCCATGACTTCACCTGTCCTCTCTGCCAGCTGTCAGGACATCCAGACCTGATAACAGCTGCGGCATGCTAATCGACATGCTGTGCAACTCCATAAACAAACCCTACAAGCATGCTAATCAAGTCAGCTCTATGACAGACAGTCTGTGTGCTAATCCCACTCTGCTCTACTGTTTACTGTGAGTGTTTACCAAACCTTCAGCTTAACAAACCTTTTACCGGCAGTCTGAACTCATTAGCTGCCAGTCGTTAGCATAACTTGTGATCATTTGGATAAATGAAAGTTCTCCTAAAAGGTGACACTTTGACACTGGATGCTTTCACCGGCAATCATCTCCTTGGTGGCTGAAGTTTTGTTTCAAATGAGTATTAAAAATAAGGCTCCCTCAGGCTTCCAACAATGCTCATCATTCATGGCAGAGAGATGAATCACGAGGGTCTCCGTGACTAAGTGACTCATTAAACCAGTGTAAACAAACGCAAGGTTAGAGCCCTGAAAAGTACAGAGAAACTCTTTTAACTGTGCTGCACCAAGAGAAGAAGAGGAGGAGCTACAGACCGCTGCCTGTCTACAGCACAAACATTCTGGGAAGTCTCTCAAAGAGTTCATTATTAGCATTAAAAAAAAATTAGCGAGAAGTGGTAGTGTAGGACTGACCTGGGAACATTCTCAGAGGAACTTTGAGTGAGGAAGAGACAGAAACTTCTACCTTGATGATGAGGAGGTGTGTTTGCCAGAAAGATTTATGACCCTAATCACAGAGTCAGGCAGATACTGTGTTTCATTACTTTTGACAAATCTCTATAAGATAATTGTGAGCCTACTAACTGCTTGAAACTAATGCTCGCTTGTGCAGTGGCCTCTTCACATGTTGATGTTCGAAGCAGTATTTCCCACACATACTACACCTGGGTGGGCCAACCATCTAGACATTTTTGTGTAGGAGGAGGATGTCAGCTGTTCTGTCCCCCTTTAAATGCACTGATCACAGTGTGATGTGTCCTGTCAAATATAAACCTTCTAATCCTGTTGTCTTAATGGTTTTCTTACTGCTGACTATACTCTGCACTCCTTTGGTTTTACTGCGTCATTAATAACAAGCCTCCCTGCACAGGGCACACCTACTGTGAGAGCAGAGGCACAGGGAAACGGCTGAACTACCCTAGAGATCTAATACCTAGATGCTGTGATCACTTAGTTCAGGTCACACTGTTGTTGTGTTGGCTTGGAGACACGCACCAAATTGATCACTACAAGGTTCAGTCTGTGGAATTTAATTAAATCACTGTTATTGATTGTTGGGAGCGCATTTCACCTATTTTACTGTCTTTCTGTCAGTGCTGTGCCTTGATGAAAATGACAATAAATGTTAATCAATTACCCGTTTTTCCATGATGAAGACAAGCTTCAAAGCCTCAACAATAAGAAAACTCAGATGAAAATATGTTCATTTTGAAGACAATAAGACATTATTGTTTTTAGGTGGAAGTAAGTCGGATGTTTCAAATTCACATTTTCCCCACTGCAGATCTAAACTGTCACTCTGAAATACCAGTTAGTCGAGAAATGCAGTGTTCATTTTGTCACTTGTCTGCAATGTGTGCACTATAATCCTCTTCACCTCTTTGCTTCTTTTGATTTGTTATCAATTTTCCCAGCTGTATGTTGAGCTGCTAGAGCCACATCAAATCCGTGTCAAAAACCTTGTTTTAGCAAATTTACCAAGAAGTTTCATAGCAATGAAAGATGGAGATAAGATTAACATGCGGTGAACTCCGCATTTGTCCACTTTGCCTGTCCAGTGGTGTTTCTAGAACTTAAGAATAGTAGGGGCTGATCCCGGATTCCCTGGCCCCACCCCATAAACAAGAAATAAAAAAAATAAATATATCCATTTTGACCACAGGAAGAATGTCTGACCTGGAGCAAGGATCATTCCTCTATATTATCCTAGGAGATTAGCAGGGACGACACAGCAGAATTGCATTGTGGGAGAGTCTAAACAAAATTATCCAACCAAGGTGAGGAATCTAGATTATACTCAAGCTAAATTATTTAAATTAGAGTTAAGAGTGAAACACAACAGATTTAAGCACTAGTACAACTTTGATACCAGTTTCTTATCGATTAATCAAGTTGGTCTGAAAACTGAAAAGAATAAAAAGTGACAATTTTTTATTGTCCACATAGAGTGCCTTTTGATAAAAAACACAAATATTACAAAGATAACGACCTGAAGGACAACTTGTGGAGAGTCATAGCGTTGGATTTCTCATATGACGATAGTTTGTGTGCTATAACAGTTTGCTAAACATCTTTGCTTTAACTTTCATCTGTGCTAAAATCGCATTGAGCTTGATGTGTATAGTCAGGCGTGTCAAAATTCACCTCCGAATATTTCATAATTTTGCGTCGTATATTTGCGTTGTTCCCGGTGTCTAAGGACCTTAAGGCTAAATCTAGGATAGCAGCTCTCTTAAAGTGATGTTAACTAGGATCCAACCTAAACCTTAAGGGGAAACACTCTGAAAACATAGTTTTCCTGAGTGTTGTCTCAGAATATCAATTACAGGAGCAACTCACAAGGAGTCTTTTGAAATAAAGCAGCTAAATAGTTATGAGTCAATGAGTTCAATTTATGATTTACTAAATTAACTTCCACTAATTTTGACCCAAGATGAAGTAAACTCAGCTCTAAGCCCATCTAAGACCTTGTATAGGATTCTGAACCATGGATGTGACCCCCCCAAAAAAAAACACCGGACACACCCAACATCAGGGGTATTACGTTGGGGTTTTGTGATTAACACTATTAGTTGCTGCATGACAGAAACAACTGTTTTTAATCTCATGCCAGTCAAGTCCAAGCATGAGAAGTTCTGCAACCTTTATGACATGTTTCAGGAAGTGAATGTTCCATCATCTGAGGAGAAACGTACAAACTTTTGAAGGAGTCATAAGTGCAGAAAATCACTGTCAGAAATGCAAACGCTGCTGTCGCATTAGTCACCAGATGTGATAGCTAAGTGCAACACTTGTCAGCGTGATGTGTTGAGAGATTTCCATAATACTCAAGTAGGAGATGGTGTCAATGTGCTGCAGGCAACCTCCACACAAGGGTTATGGTGATGGGTACAGTTTGTCTCATTAGCACCACAGCTGAGAAACTCTGCATGTTCATGTTGTTTGTTAACATTCAACAGGCAGCCGCACATAAACCAGTAGATGAAATCAAAACTGATAAACACACATACAACTATTTATAAGTTGGATAATCTGACTGATTTGGGGTCAAATGTAATGCTTCAAATTTGGCCTAGAGGCAGCGGAGGAGGAGTTAGGAGGGTGAAAAGTAAGCTGATAGTAACCGATGGTTCAGGGTTCATCTGCATTGTTTTTATCTCAGCAAAAGTTAAAAAAAAAAAACTTAAAAATAAAATGTCAGAAAACACATTTTAACACAGGAAAAAAGAAATTATACAACCTTTTCAATGTGAGTTAACAATAAAGAGTAACAAAATTTTGAGGAATGCCCCTTTTTCTAAGGGCCAAATACTCTATGCACAACAAAAGCAAATGGTTGAGTATCGAATCAGTCAGGTCTTTAGGTATGGTGTGTATTCTGGACACATTTCTTTATGGTTATAAAACAACGAGCATGAGGCTGCACTCAAGCAAAATAAAAAAAAAACACTAAATAAATAAATGTAGTAGGCGGGTACATGTTGCTCTGCACGTTGCTATGCACAGTTCTCTATTTATGCTTTCTCACATTATAATCTCTTGGAAAACATCAGGCAGAATGCTTCCCTTTTTTACTGTGCTACAATAAATCACCGCAGTGGAGGGATGTTTCCCTTTGACATGTGATTTTAAACGTTGAATACAAAATATTATTAGAGATGGAAACAAAGCCCATGAGTGACACTAATGACAATGACTCTCTTAACCTATATCAACAAATGAAAGACAGACAAGAATAGCCTTAGAGGAGGGATAATAGAACCGTTCTAAATCTGTGGATCTGTGACTGTCTGTCTCAACTTCTCCTCTCTGCCCTAAATGAGCAGTGCCAGGTTTCAACAGTCCAACACTGGGGATTTTTCAAGGTCAGCTTAGCTCAGTCAGCCATGAATTATTGAGCTTGAGCAAGCTCTGTGCCTGCTCACTTCTGACGCTGTCCCTCTTCTTTTAAGTTTGCTCTTTGAGACACGTGACAACATAGATGTCCAACCATCATGGTGGGACTGCCCGATGGTCCTTGTTTGGAGATTTTCTTTTTATATGACCTTTTAAAACAATGTGGTCAGATCACACAGGGTCAAACACAGAGAGGAAAGGGAGGATGCTGTGTCCTGTTAAAGGGATAGAAATGCATGGTGGCTGCTGGGAAAATATATGTTTAATTCAACACCCGACGCGATGCAATACGAATCAGTTCAATACGTGACTTTACTCTACAATACACTATGATGCGATGAAATACAATTCAATACATTGCTATACAATATAATCCGACTCAGTACAATATGATTCGGCTTAATATGATATGATATGCTACGATGTGATACAATTCGATAGAACTTGATAAATTCAAGTCAGTACAATACGCTTCAATTGAATATTGTACAATATGATATGATACAATATAAAATAAGAACTTTATTGATTCCCAAAGGGAAAATAAATATAATAATCAGAATACTAGACACAAGGTGATACAATACAATAAGGTATGATATGTCACTAGGGTGTACCGATTCGATATTGATATCGGATATCGGTCCGATATCAGCAAAAAATGTAATATCGGCCTGCATCTAAAATATCTGATATCAGCACTCCGATACAAGCAGTCCATTCCAGACTCTTCTCCAGCACCTCTATCTAGCAGCCCCCAGATCCAGCATGTAGAGCCCATGTGATTACAACATCAGTGTGTACTAAGGTACTAACAAAGTACCGAGGAGTAGGAGTGATGTGGGCCCTGTGGCAGTATTTTTTATTAAAGCCCGAAAACAGCGTTGTAGCTGAGTGCAAAACTTGTCATGCACAAGTTTGTGTCAAAATCGGATCACTATCGGTATTGTCAATATTGAAGGCTACAATATCAGTTTTGTATTAGAGGTAAAAAAGTTGTATCGGGACACCCCTATGTGTTACAATTTGAAATGATATAATATGATACTATTCAATACTATACTATATGATGTGTTTCGCTGCAATACTAAGCCTACTCGACAAAAGTACTTTAATGATACAGCAATACTGGGGTAATCAATATATATTGCATAACCACTGTATGACAATTTTATGTAGTATTAAAACAAATGACAAAAAGTGTACAGTGATCATTTTGTATTATTTGGTGTTTTTGCATTTTTTTAGATGTTCGAACAAATGTAACTAACTCGTGCAAACTCGTTCACCTTTAATGCTAAAAACAAACGCTCTTCTGTTAACCTGGGTGACTGTACTTGTAACACTTCAGGTCCTTTCACACCGGGACCGTTTTTTACGTGTGGTTATTTCAGACGTCAATATTTTTTTCGAACCCGTATCCTGTCAATACAAGCATTCACATCAGCGACGTTTTCCCGTCCTGTGATATTGCGGCATTTATTTTTTTGGATCACGGTCGATTTTTCTAAATTTTCGCAGACTGTGTGTCCACCTCTGACCAATCAGATTGCGTGTTGTTGCAACGTCTGATTCACCGGTATATCCAACATGGATATACTTAGCCATGACCGGGTAATTGTTTACGTGTCGGAGAACAGAGTGCTTTTTGATAAAAGACACAAACATAACAAAGATAACGACTTGAAGGACAACTTGTGGAGAGTCATAGCGTTGGATCTCTTATATGACGATAGTTTGTGTGCTTTAACAGTTTGCTTAACGTCTTTGTTTTAACTTTCATCTGTGCTAAGTAACTTGAGCTCGTAAGCTAACATTAATGTATTATAGTTTAACGTGCTTATCTGGTACTGGCCCTGGCTCAGTACATGCTATCATGACAGACAGCCATCTCAACAAGAGTGTCTAATCAGAACTGAAAAACAGTCTGCTGACTCGTCTGCTGTATGTTTTGTGCATCATGCTAGTTTGTAGCTCACTGGAATGCATTCCTCATTGTCAGTTAAACAGGTAGTGATTATGACTTAGGACTCAGTGGTCTGTTAAGTCCTCCTCTCTTCTTCTCTTATCTTACAGCCGTCAGCTCCTTCTTTGTCCAATAACTGCTGTTCACACTCCTCTCATCCATGTCAATACAACCCCTTCAGTAGTGACGCGGTAAGTCAAATCAGCAGTGAAAGCTATTTGGAGTGCCATATTTTTTCAATTAAAATAGCTATATTTCACCCTGGTGTGTCAATACCTGCATTACAAAAGGGGAAGATTGCTATTTATCATAGTTTTTGTCCTTCCCCTAATCAATATCAATACTAGTTTGACAAAATCCTGACGATACTCATCCTCACTCAGGAGTCAAGTTACAAGATTCAAGGCTAAGTTGATGACTAATGTGAGCTCTGCTTCACTCTCCTGATTTGCACATAAACATGTGGTGCAGGTTTAATGCATAATAAGCAAAAAACAAACACGAGCTTGGCTAATTTTGTGTGCCGCCGTCCAAGAGTTCCTCTAATACATTCAGTATGTCAGTCTCAGAGGAATTTAACTCATCCTCTTTGGTGCATATGTGTTTGCAGGTGGCGAGGCACACACACACACAGACTTTATCCAGACACTTTCCCTAGGTAGAGGGATTAACTCTAATACCTAATGCAGTAAACCAGGCAGCTGTAATCTCCATCCCTGTGACTCGGTTAGTCGTAACAAGAACCAGCCACTCACCGCTGTAGTACGCTGTCTGCACAGGAATAGTACTGAGTCTATTAATAGAAAATGCAGCACTAGAAAATTACCCCAGTAGGGTTTACTGGGCAGAATGATGGCCTTGTGAAACAGGTCGGCCCACAGTTACACCTCAGTCAGACACCAGTTTACAGAAAGGGCTCTCTATGAGTAAAGGTCAAAAACAGACAGGAAGCTGTGACTACTGTCAATATGTCCCTGTATGAATCAATAGTACTGCCTCTGGGACACATGGACACAAACACACACTTGTGCAAAAGAAAAAAAAAACCACACAGGTAATAAAAGCTACAGGTAATGAAAGAGACATAAAGGAGGAGAGATAGGTGCATGGCTCAGAGAAGAGGAAGAGAGAGTGAAAGATTGGCCACGCGTTCTCCCTCGCATCTTCTCCTCCACTCTCATAGGCCGGGCACGGGGAACTGAGGCGTACGCACATCCTAGGCTAAAATTAGATCTGCTGCAGCTGCAGGGCCAGACGTATTGGGATGGGCCAACTCAGTACACACGCTCACACACATTCACACACACACATACAGTTCCACCAATTAGACAGGTCAGGCCACTATACACAGCAGCACAGGTGAAAGCCAACAGCATCCTGCCGACTTCCTCCCTGATCAAACACACAAAGGCTGTGATGCAAATGTTGTGTGCATTCACATCTACATACAGGATGAACAAACACACCCATGCATGCTGTATCCAACCCTCCAGAGTGCCCCACAATAACCTCCACTACACATGATAGCACCACAAGCACGGAGGAAATCTTGGCTCAGGCAGCTGATCACAGTTGCAGCAGTTACAGCATTTAGTATACAGTCTTCTGCAGAATACATTACAATTATGTTAACTACAATGTGCTCAAATCCCAGGCACTGCATATGTAACAGGTGTAGTGTCTTGACATTTGACATTGAAGCTATTTTGTGATGGTGTCTGCTGTACATGTGCAAGGAGTGTGTTGCACCTGATCAAAAAATGTCTGCTTTTCTAAAACAGTTGGACCCGTCACTCTCTGTAAGTCTCAGCTGTGTAATGACCAGTCTCCAACAGTTCTTAAAACATCTGTATCAGAATCCTCAGTCTGAAAGCTGCTGGTCGTATTTGCCTTTCAGGTCATACAGAAGCATCAGTTAAAGTTAACTCATTCATGGACAACATTGTTACTCACCTTTGCCTGTATGCCACATACAAAGGGAAGGAGTACAAACCTCCCCCACTTTATATAGCACACCTTTAAGTTGATTACACCTATACCCAGAGATAATTCCACCCTTATCAAAGTATTAAAGTTGATACGAACTTAAGTGTTAGTTTAATCATTTCAATCTAGGCTTCTTATTGCTGCTACATTCTTGATTTCTATTCTCAGTAGGGGTGAACAATATATTTTGGATCCACATCTAGAGGGGCTAATTTTTATTTCACTTCAATTGATAGGAGCCCAGAGGGAGTGACAAAGGAAGTTCAAGTCCCATTACAATCGTTTTTTCTTTTTACTACTTGAAGTGTTCTTAGTGGTCTTTAAATTGTGATCATAAAGTTTTTAGCCAAAAAGTGTGTTACCTGAGTTGTTTTTAAAGGCTTTTCTTTTGCAGAGCTCCAGTAGCTCATTAGCAATTCACCTCTGAGTCGTGGGCGGAGGCAGCACTCCTCTTCATGCTAGCTTGCAGCCTAACATTACTTGTGTAGTAGAAGAAGCAGGTAACATAGGAGCTATTCAGCTCACAGACAGGAATGTCTTTAGGAGCATGATGAAAGCTACTATTATGATTATTTTTATTAGGAGCATTGCAATCTGCGAATGCACGTGCTTGTTCCGCGATCATCCTCTCTATTTTTCTGAGTGTGGCCTGTCTAGCGGGGCTCTGGAGGCGGAGCTTGGATTTTCTACATAGGAAATCTCACTGTGTCTGAACCTGCAGTTTGGGTCTGCCAGAGATTCACAGCAATTTGAATGAAGAAATACTCAAAAATGCAATTTTTGCATTTACTTTTTTAATTATATATCCTGTAGCATAAGAAAAATGCCATATAAACATGTAAAAAACAAGAAAAACATGATTTTCATCGGAGTGGGTCTTTAAAGAGAATGCTGACTATCTGATTTTACAGATTAATTGCACGGCCCTAGCTGCTATCAAGCAACGTTCATATTCATCTAATGATATCAGGTTTTTCCCATTTTCAATCACAGCATCAAACAGTTATTGGCCAGTGTTTGATATTCTGCCATAGTGTACAGAATTATTCATAATTTTGTTCCTAATATAAATATCAGACATGCTCTACTATATATAGAACTGTATAAATTAATGTATTTTTCCATTTTAAATGTTGATTAAAAAAAAAGTCTACAACATTTCACTGGCCATGTTGCTGTATACGATTGTAATGTACATGAAACAATTGCTTTAATAGTTATGAAATTATCATATTTTATCAAATACAAATAAAGGCAAGAACAACAACAACAACAGGGTTATTAAATATTGGCCATCAGCCATACTAATCTCTAATTATTGACATTGGCCATTGAAAAAAACAATATCCGTCAATCACCCCTCAGAAGTTCACTCCCAGTTGAAACCACAGACATGTGAGCGCTCAGTCCACACAGTATTTAACACAGCTGCTGCTGACAGTGTGTGAGCACGGTGTGTGGGGGAACAGCTGACCATTTAACTTTACTCAAGGGACGTGGAGGAAAACACTGCACTGCCACATAAGCCGCTCAGCACTCTGCTAACAATGGGCCACCTTGAGGTTTTCGTGACATGCCAAGACCACTTCACAGCCTGCAGACCCCAGGACCAAAGCCTGCATGACCAAAGGATTAACAAGGTGGAAAACAGAGGAGAGTGGTAGCTAATACACATCAACTTTAGAAGATGGGGGGCCCTGCAAAATCTGCTGAATGCAGAGAAAAATCAAACCAGAGAGCTTGACCCCTTTCTACTTCCTCCCACCCCAGAGACTCATAATAGCTGTTAAATCAAATTGTTTCCTACAGTATGAAAACCAACAATAATGTGGGCCCATTTCTGGCTCCATATTTCCCACTGCAGCAGACGTAAAGACATTAAACTAGCAGGACAAAAGCAGAGTTCTGTTTGCCACTAAAACCATGTTCATAAGCATTACGAATTGAGCCTCTGCCAGGCACTGGCTGCTCATCAAACACTCAATCACTGAGTATTTTTAGTACCTACATGCCTAAGAAAAAAACAATTACACAGAGCAAGCTGTTCCATCTTTTTGTACTAAGTTTACTGGTTTTATTTGTGCGTGAGGTTGCATATTTTGAGACACTGCCATCCTTCTGCAAGCCGCAAATGGCTTGACTAAACGCAAGGAGCCACACTTCTCTCTGCTTCAAAGCCACCATTTTCCTTCCATGTCTTCTCTGTCATATTGCAAAAACAAATAACTGGCAATAATGGAAAGGCTCCTGGAATCAACTGGGCTTTGGCACCTTTTCAACTTTCGTCGGGCGCTGAGTCGTGACCGGCAAGCTGAGCAGGAGAGCGTGGAGCTGATCTACAGGGAGGTAAAGCCCAGGAGAGAGAGCACTGACTCTGAGAGGATGATGACCCGTCTGCAGCAGCACGTACACAAACTGTACATGCTGCTTTACAGGGTTCCTACACAGTTAAAATTTCCATACTTTTCCATACCCTACTTTTTAGAATTATTTCTGGAATTATCTACTTTTCTATTTTAGAAAACAGTATTTTGAAACTGTGGTACTAGTCTGGAAACAAAAAAATTTTCTATACTTTATTGTTCATTTTCCATAATTTTTTAGACATGGAAATTGATCAAATTTATTTCCATACTTTTCACACTTGCATAGGAACCCTGTCTTTATTAACCCAGAGTGAGTTTTTCCCCGTCATAACACATACAAACTGTTAGTCCAACACATCAGTTTCATGAGCTTATACTGGGTCAAATCTTCCACCCTTGACAGACCAGACTCATGAAAAGTTTTAGGAGAGTGTGCAGCAAATTCTCAGGCTAGCACCACAGGGAAAGTCATGCAAAAAACAAGCAACACCTTGGCTGGTGTGTATGAAAACAAAGATAGCTTGTTGGAAATAACACACGGTAGCATCGCAGCACAGCTTGAAGCATATCTGGACAAGGTTTTGTACTTCATCTGTGTACTATTTCAGGAGTAGTGGGTAAAAACTTTTTACTGTATCACATAAAGAAGGTCCAAAAGATCCTAAAGTTATTTATTAATCACAGAAGTTCTGTTGTTTTTGGTGTGGGTAAAACATGTGTGATGGTCCCTTTCTATAGCACTTTGACCCCTGGAGCCTGACCTCACTGATCAGGTAAAAACATCAAACATTCACCAGCACTAACTTCTCCAGTGAGGATTTGCTGCTCCTCCTTTTACAAACTAAACACTACAAGTAAACTATGAGGTAAAGAACAGCTACAACGTGAGACGATGCATCAAATTCAAATGATAAATCTGAATTTTAGCTTTTTTTCCCCCCTCAGAAAAGACTAAAATTGATTAAGATATTAGTTTTGATTAGAGATAGACAGATTGTATCAGCTGGTTGATCAATTGCATTTTTACGTGAATGAATTTGACATCATATTAGCATCATCCGACATTAAGCGGATATCATCTTTATCTATTCTAAATGAAAAACAAATCAAATCTAAAACAGCTCAAGACTGTCAAATTCATATTTTCTCCAGGCTTGTCTGTTGTTATGTTTCACAAATTCACCAATGCCTGTCAGTCAAATCAGCTGTGCCTCTGATGTGCCATACATGTCACAATAATAACTTCAGAATGAGCATGTAAAAAAAATCCGCCCATGCTTATGCCTCCAACACCACATTTTGAAGAAACAGCTGTGTATTTCCAAAGTGATAATTGTTTTGACATTTTTTCGAGCGAAGACGCCACATACTAAATAACTCCTGCTTCTGAAATCAGGGGATTAGATCCTTTTCTCTTCCAGAGATGAATCACCTTTAAACATGGGGAAATCACAGCAGGCATTTTCACTATCATCTATTTCTTTGGTGTTTTCAGAAAAAAAGAATCTGCAGAGTAAGTGTTGATGAAAAAAAAGCTAATTGCACAGTTATTATGGTGAAACATCAGTTTCTTTCCTGACAAGCTTTTGCAGAGTTGTCTGGATGGAAATACCATTAGCTTGGGCAGTATACCCTGTGAGTCCTAAGCCTTGTTGCAATCAGTTGCGAGAGCATTGATTCATTAACAAACAACAGAGTACACACACACCATCCTGCCCCACCTCTTTGGAGTCCCCAGAGGAACAGTAAGAATTCTTGTTTGGCTGACAGGGAGACAATGTGGGGGGGCTGAGAGAGCAACATACTGTACATCACAGAGACAGCCAACATGCAGACAGACCTCATACCTGGCAGTGCAGTGAGTCAGCAGCCCCACAGCTCTGTCTGCATGCCAACCACATATCCAGCTGATTCTCAAGGCTGTCTGCAACCTCAGTACAAAAAGACTCCACTGGTGACTTCATGTAAGTACATCAAGATCCAATTTTGAAGTTGAGATCCAGAAAAACACATACACAAAAAAGCCTCAAAAGATGCAAGATCACCAGAGTCTCCAGGACAGAACTGCAAGGTTTCTTGTTTGCTGGACTCGGCAGCAAACATGGCAATTCAGATTCTCTCTGCTGGAAGAGGAGGAAGTGCAGGGGGGCTGGCTGCCTGTGTGATCTTCTGGCTCTGTGGGAGCAAGTACAGTGGAAAATAGTCCCCACTGCTAATCCATGGCAGGCTAATTACAGCTTTGATCCCCTAGGCGTGTGCATCAGCTCAGGTGGGAGGGAGGCAACACACTCTGGGGCTCAATACAGTTACCGTTACATTTGTTTTGGTTTAGAGCTGTCTCACTGACTGAGCTCACATCTGCAGCAGATGTGTGCCTGACAAAACAGTAATTTCAATCCCGTGCAGAAATGTCACAAGATTGGACTTGATCTGCTACTGAATCCCCTTTGAAGATTAACAGTTTTAGACAGCACATGCCTCTAGATCAGTGTGATCACAAACTTCACAATATGATCCAAGCTCACCAAAAAAACAGGCAGAATATGCTGCCATTTATACCAGCAGGGATAAAAGAGAAAATCACCTCTTTGAAATAGAGACACAGATTAAGTGGGTAAATGGAGATCCTGTCTAAAATAGGCCACAGCTCTGATGATAGCCTAGTCCCAAAACACATGATGGCACACAGTGAGCGAATGAGGAGGAGAGAGGAGGATGATGACTGAGGATGAGCAGCAGATGGCAAGGAATTATCTGGAACTTTAGCTCCACATCTTTGCCCATGATGCCATTATTTGAGGGGTAGTAGCCCACACTTCTCATGAAAAATATAAATCCAAGCAGGATTTATTTGACTCCCCTCAGAAATGACCAGCTAAGGCACATGATAACTGGCACTGCAGAGTGGACAGCAATGAATAAGTGATGTTGTTGGCTGTAGTTAAAGGGATATTCCAGTGTTAAATTAATTCAGGGTCAAACACACTGTAACACTGAGTTAGACACCCCCTTGACAGATGAACGTTGCCGACTGCTTGCTTCTCTAGTTATACCAACTTTAGTAACGACCGCACGATAGCAATACACAGCAGTCTCAGGAGCCACATACTTCATCAACAGTACATATAGGATCCCAGCCCTAGTACCAGCCACCAAACATCTTTTTAGCTTTGCCTGGTTTCTTTAGCAAAGAGACTAAACACAACTCACCTACTCTCTTCAAGCAGCCGCTTGTTAGTCGCGAGACCTCAGGCCAGTCCATTACAGACTGCTGCGGGATGATGCAGCTCAAGGAAGAACATTTATGATCATTTCTTTATCATTTCCTTGAAGTTATAATCATCATATCATTTTTCATTAATTAATCATTAATGATTAATCATTAATCATTTTTCACTGCAGAGGCAGTAGTTCTTCTGCCTAAGAGTCTCAGTCTGATTGCATTTCCAAGAAGTAATAATCATAAATGTTCTTCCTTGAGCTGCGTCACCCCACTGTAGTCTGTAATAGACTGGCCTGAGGTCTCGCTACAAACAAGCGACTGCTGGAGGAGAGTAGGTGAGTTGTGTTTGGTCTTTTTGCTAAAGAAATTAGGCAAAGTTAAAAAGATGCTTGGTGGCTAGTGCTATGGCTGGGACTCTATGTGTACTGTTTATGAAGTTAGGTGCTGTTCTGAGCATTAATTATGGCTATAGAGTGGCTTTTTGGTTGAGGTTTGTATATGGCTCCTCAGACCATGGTGTATTGCTATTGTGCGGTTGTTACTAAAGTTGGTATAACTAGAGAAGCAAGCGGTCGGCAACATTTATCTCTTGAGGGGGTGTCTAACTTGGTGTTACGGTGTGTTTGACCCTAACTTACATTTACGCCAGAATATCCCTATAACGCTGGGCACTGAATTCACAAATATAATACCAGACAGATATAGGAGAAACTCAGACCCAGTTAAAGGATGTGGGTGTAAGCTCAGGGCTTCAAATAGCTAAAGAGATCAAATGTTCCCTGAGTGAAACTGGATATTCAGTCTGCACTCTTACCTTTGTTTACTATGGCAACTGTAAATGAACAGGTCTTAGTCACATATACATACTCAATGCTCACACACTGTACACACACTTATGTACAGACAGTATAAAGTGGTCATTCAAATCAATGTCAGGTTATAGTGACTGGCAGAAAAAAAAAACAGTTAAATATAATAAACAGATTTCCTTAAGGCAACTTGTCAGACCCAACCTTTTAATGTTACTTTACATCGTGAAAGGCACATTAAACAAGAAGCTTCTTTAACAAATAAAAAAATACACAAAACTGCCAAACACTGCAATATTTAAACTTCCGCTCATAGTTTTCAAAATAAAACAGTAAACAAACAAGCTGCTGCGTTTTAGTGGAGATCAACTTTAAATGCCCCCATGGAAACACAGTATACAGATGATCATTTTATAGTGGGTGACACGAAGAAACTACCAAAGTGATGTTTATCCTGCTCAGGTCTCTGTACGCAGCTGTTAGCCGTTTAGTTAACTGCTAACTAGCTAACGTCTGTTCTGACGTTGCCACGACAGCCTGAACCTGTATGCCGACGTTAGCTGCCTTAGCTCGGCTTACATGCTGTTAGCGTGCCTGTTTCAATAAGCGGCTGTTAGACATCTTCATCCTTATTTATCTATACCAGTCGTGACCGAGCAGGAACGACAGGCTGCCGGGCTCAAACACTCAAGCATCTGCTTTGTGGTCCCTAGCTAAGAACAGTTGACTTTAAATCGGCACTGCCCTCATCTCACGGCTTTAACTCACATCAACACACCAGAGCTGATGCTGTTCCAACTCACCAGCAGCCCCCTTGGCTGCGACTGCTTGGAAAATCCTGAGTGTTTTACCAGTCACGGGGTAACTACACACTCACCTCCACCGAAGCTGCTTATGGCAATGACACGCTGTGAGTTGATCGGGGAAGGAGGGAGGTGATCTCCCAGAGCGGTCACCCCGGTCGAGTATCTTTCCTCCAAATGATCCTTCTATAAGCGAGCTGGAGCTGCACCTCCGTATGATCTCTCCACACTGCAATGGTGCTGAACAGCGGGACCAGCGATTGGCCAGAGAGAGCGGAACTCAGTGCGCTTTGGTCGCTCCGGCGACCTGCAGGGGGAGCAGCACTGATGCCTTCAAAACTGTAGGAAAACTCAGCTTCGTACCCTGAGAGCACCTGTGTATTGACCGGGGATACAGAAACTTAAAGGATGTGATTTTATTTAAAAAAAATATATTTAATGTTTTTTAAACTTACAGTTAAAAAATAGATATAATGTGTAGTATATATGAATTTTATTACAGGCTCAAGTCCCAATAGCATGATTTACACCACAACATTAAGAGAAAAAGACAATATGTAAGAAAAAAAAAACATAGAAACATAAAAACATAAAAACATACTCTTATTCACGAGAGTCTTAAAAGGCACCCATATCAATGTTTCTAGTGATATTACTGATTTCTGACCGAACTGCACCTGGGGCTTGTAAGCATCATTATAACCCAGTTCTGTGACTTATCAGGTCGAACCATGAACCTAAAGAGGACATGAAACATACCACAATGGCATCCTCACTTGGTAAAAAATCAATTAGGAGAGAGTCTGAGATGTTTTTTTGTGTTAAAATCAGCTGTTTAATAGGAAAACCGCTTTCGAGAGTGTATTTACGACATGCGCACAGCGCCATCTTGAGTTTACGACAGTTGTGACGTCACCGGTTGTGCAGGAACAGAGCAGTGAAATAGTTGTTAGTATACGTGACTCAATTGCTTACTGTAAGATGTCGGAGGACGAATATGGTGGAGGTCTATGTGGATTATTAACCTGTTGGAGCTGGATGACTGATAATGCTGACTGTTTTAGACACCAGAGTGAAGGAAAGACATTTTTCCCTCCGTTATTTTATGTCAGATCTCTGTTAAACAGTGGAGACTCTGGTGATGAAGTTTATTACATTAAATACCGATGTTTACATCTGATCGCTGCTGCTGCGTGCATGTGTGAGCTGCGGAAAAGCTTTGTAGAATCACCGGCGTTTCAGCAACAAATGATGAAAATGCAACGTTTGTTTTTATTTCTTACGTTGTAAAATTGGTTGGAGCAGCCTGGCACAAAACAAAATACCCCTCCTCTAGTGAGTTTACTTGTTTTTGGCTCTCGATTCGCCATTTCAGCCATCCTAATCTGCTCTCATTCAATTGTCAATACGCAGGCTACACAATCGATTACGTCACGCGAAGTAGCACTGCTTTACGGTTCCCCGCAGTGTCGCTAAAGTGGAACTTCAGTCACAGTTTTCTAGAAATGTATTACAGTTTGAGAGTCATGAATACAGTGATTTGTGAAGTCGATAGGCATTCTTAAAAATAATAACTTGGGTCAGTGTTTCATGTCCTCTGTAAACATCAGGTTTAATTGAATAATTTTAGTAATTTAATTAAAAAGTATATTAATTGAAACAAAAAAAAAAAAAACAACAAATAGTGGAAATGCAACTCCCTTTTCCGCGTGCTATCAACTGTCGGCATACAGAGATAACAGAAACTCACCTTTGTTTATTTTTGTGTGTAATCACTCTTCTTTCATACAGACAAATAAGATATAGCTGTAGAATATAAATAATATTCAAAAATTACATAAATAAAGGACTTTTGTTTTTGACTTTTGTTTTTAAAAATAGCTAGACAAAACAGAAATGATTTCACCCCGTTGTAGTAAAAAAAAATCCCACATCATACATATGTAGGTGTATTCACGCAAATGAGACTTGAGTTACGTAGGTAAGGGGCTCTGTGGGATCCTATGACATTGGTCCCTTTAAGGGGTGTTTTTATTCAGGCCACGTTGTTGCTTTCACTTTCACTTGTTGAGCCGTCGCCTTTGTAGCAGAGTTTCAGACTGTACTACTTTAAAACATGTGCATGTTGCATATATCTGCTCCTGGAACTAGACTAAGGACCTTTTTGCGTTTGAGCCTGTCCGCAGTCGACGAGAAGTAGTCTAAGGCTTTCCGTGTTGGTTTGCATAAAACAGGTACTTCCCCAGCGATTGTGCGTCAACTTTCCAGCGCAGTGCGTTAAATTCCGATTTCCTCTTTGATCGTAACTTTATTTTGAGTTTTCTGCTGCTGTAGGTAGTTTATATCAGTGATCTCCTCGGGATAGTATGATTTAAACGCCACGCATCTGCTTTTGTTGATCGTTAAATATGCTATTGTCTCTCTCTGGTCAAGTGAACGCAATGGCTGTTGCAGAGCAGCACCAGCTTCGTGTGATCAATCAAGTGGCAGAGGCTCTCAGCACCTCAGAACGCAGGAAGATCCTTTACCTGTGTGGAAGTTTGGACACGGATCACAGTGAGGCGTTTGTGAAGGAGATACTGAAGTCTAAAGTGCTCAGCCAAGAGAGAGGTCACCTGCTCCTTACAGAGCTGCTGTTGCAGCTCAGACGTTTCGATATCTTGAGGAAGGTATTTAAAACCAGCAGAGATGAGGTCGAGAGGACTCTGACTTACATACAGTGTCTGCCACGTTTCAGGTAAGTCCTGTCTTATTTACACTTCAACAGTCCATTTTAGCAAATGCCACTGTGGTGATCATGTTTCCTCTATCTGTAGAGTATTGATGGCTAATATAAGTGAAGATGTGACTGGTGAGGATCTGGACAGTGTAAAGTTCTTGTTCAGCAGCATATTACCGCGTGAAAAGAGGGAAAACGCAAAGGTAAAGTTTTTTTTTTCATTTGTGTGGGAGGGGAGTTTTGGTCACTTCCAGAAATAATTACAAAGACTGACTTTCCGTATCTCTGACAGAATTTCCTGGATGTGATCATTGAACTTGAAAAGCTTGATAAAGTTTCTCCTGAGCAAGTGGACTTAATAGAGGAATGTTTTAGGAACATCAGCAGAGTGGACCTGGCTAAAAAAGTGATCAAATACAAGACATCAGGTGAGAGTGAAGTTTCACTGTGTGACATTCACAAAAAGTATTTCTCAGGACAAGAATGAAGAAGTACAGAAAAAGGAATTGAAAATGAATGACATTCTTGGGTGGCTGTGTCATAAGAGTGGGTGGTCTGTGAAACAAGACACCACTGTAGGACTGCTGGACTAATACAGAAAGTTAAAGATGCTTTATAAAGAAAGAGAAGAGAAACCAATCACAAAACTTCACTGCTCACCTGTTTTCCATTAGGTTTAAAATACATAAAATTTGCTTGTTTCTCCTTTTACAGTTGCAACATCTGAATGTCAGTCACCTCAGCAGCAAATGTTCAGTGCTCCTGTGAGTATGACATAATTCTGCAAAAGCTACTGTCTATAACTCACTCCTTTATACAACTTATACTTCTGAAAACATCTCCTCATTAGAGTCCAATTACCACAACGTACAGCTCTCACCCTCCACACCAAACAAGACAAGGACAGTACCACCTCAGAGGTAAGACTGGTTTCATTTAACTTAGTAACTTTAAAGGCATTGAAAGCGTCAGACATATGTGTTTGTGAACAATAATTCAGAGTAAAAGTGTATTTTGGGTAATAATAACAACTGGGAAGCCCCACTTCACCCTGTTTCTCACTTTGATTGCCAGATAATTGTATTACTGTACGTCATCAAGCTCCAGAAAGTGTGCTTGGGGCTACATACAGAGAGAACAGCTGTCAGGTAGGATTTCCCCCACCTTTACTGTGGTCTTTTTTGTCCTGTTAACATGAATAGGTTCAGTTATTGAATTACATGAATTTGCTGCTCTCCTGTTTTACAGAGTCAACTGAGCAGGTACAAATTCAACTCTAATCCCAGAGGTGTTTGTGTTATCATTGACTGCGTGGGAAATGAGGGAGGTGAGACACCAAACACCTTTAAGCAAATGCTTTGATCTTTATCACTTAATTGTACTGTTTTTATGCTAAAAACTGCAACGTTGGGGTTGGTGATGTTTGCTGTGGAAAAGTGTCTCTTTTACATTTTCCCATCCCTCAGTTTAGAGATATGGCTTTGTCATCAGGGGTGTCAGAACATTGACTGAAAGTCCCATACAGGATCTTTAATATCAAAAGTAAAACATTCATTACACAGAAAATAAACTTGTCTGACTCGTTTCTGTATTAATAGAGTGACAGCTCTGATGCACCATGTTGTATGAGTAAAACTGGGTGTCACCTCCAATACAGTTAAGTAGACTCCGCCAGTTATAAAAAGTGCCTCCCTCTAAAGGTCGTGGTTCAGAGTCATGTGTATATAAATGGCACATAAAAAAAGAAAAAATAGAAATTCTGTGACACAAATTAGTCTTGTTTGTTTGGTAAGTTATTATTGTCTTCTCTCTATAAAACTGTTGTGAGGAACATATGGTTTACGTTGTTTTCGGCAACCCACAGGGACAAAGTGATATGTCTGATCTCCTTTTCTTTACATGTAAAAGTGGTGAATTCAAACTCAAATCTCACAATGTTGTTTGTTAGCAGTAAAATATTTTACCCACTGTAATTTATTTTCATAAAAAATAGTCTAAGTGGTGGTTTCTTTAACCTACTGTGGTCTGACACCTGCGCCCTCATATAGTGGTACCAGGCGTAAACATTACAACAGGGGAATGATATGCCTCATTGCTGTTAGTTTCTTTTTCATTTTAAGATCATAAAGAGGTATCAGTATTAGGTTCAGTCTTTTTCAACTTGTCTCGTGACAAATTTGAGGGCTTTTTATGGTGAAACCCATTCCCCCAGTCTTCTCTATTTGTCACCCTCCAGCAAACTGAAAGCCAAAAAACTAGCAGTGACATTTGATGTAGTTCTCATACTAACTAAAGAATAAGAACTTTATTTATCCCCAAAGGAAAATTTAATATATTAATTCAATGTATATATACAATATTGCCCAATCCTGTTCTTTTATTAAACAAATTTCCAGTTGAAGATCATTCCTGTCACTTATGTCCACAGGTATCAGAGTTTTATTTTTCCAGTCTAGATTACCATAGTGCATGATAAAGAAGTGTAAATCAGGACTTCCTCCACAGGCTCCAGATGGTTCGGAGTGATGTTGCTTGAATTTTAAGAGATGCCCAGATACACACTAAAACTAATAATGTGATTTTGTGCTTGTCACCGTCCATCAATTTTCTTGAATATATCTCAACCTTTTACTGATTATTTGTAAAGCTTTGACAGCCTCAGTCCAAAATGTGTGATTGCTCTATTGACTCCCCATGTGCCTGGACTCCAGACACCAGGGCATGGAGCTGTACTGGTTGTTGGAACTTGGCAGTTAAAGCCCTCAGACTGTGAAAGTCTCTGACGATTACAATAAGACAGGCCATGTATTCATCCCTCTAAAATTCTCCCTTAACTCATAATAAAAGGCTTTAATAAATTTCTAGATTATGTGCTGTTTTATCAGTCTGATGACTCATTTTATGTGTTTCTTTCTGCTTCTCCCTTTTCTCTGGCTGTTCTTTGGTGGAGCACTGTCACCTTGTTCAGAAAAGTGTTTTAGAAATAATTATTTCATATGTTTTTTTTGTCATAATTTGTTAATTAAGCTTAAACTTAAATGCTGGATTTCTTTCAATCCTTCAGATATGCTGGAACAGACATTTAAGGCTTTCCACTTCAACGTCCTCCTTCACAAGTGGCTGAGTGTGAATGCCACCCTCTCAGTTCTCAGAGAGACGTCCAGACACAGAGAGCACCTCCAAGGTGACGCTTTTGTTTGCTGCATCATAAGTCGGGGCACTGAAAGTCACATCCTGGGTACAGACACTGATGTTGCAGGTCTTAGTCTGGACAGTATCCGGCGTCTTTTCACTGCAGAATCATGTCCCATGCTGGCTGGCAAGCCCAAACTCTTCTTCATCCAGAGGTACCACGTACCCGAGTTTTTGCCCTCTGCCAGGCACTGGGATGAGGATCTGGAGACAGATGGGGTCTCCAGGTGTGATTTCATACCTACAGATGCAGATGTGTTCTGGAGTCACTGCTGGACAGATGAGAGGCAGCTTGAGGAGGAACACCATCGCTCTGCCTACCTGAAGGCTTTGACTGACACCTTACAGAGAAGGTACAGAACATTTATAACCCCTTTAGTACCTCATACTTTCCATACAGGCTATAGGTGGTAGCAGCTGAAGGGTAATCTGTTGGTTTTCTTCTGCAGGAAAACACATCTTGTTGAAGTTCATACTGAAGTAAACGGAGCCATCTATGAGCACAACAGGAGGAACCCTCGATATATCTACAACTTTGATCTGAAGCACACTCTCCGCAAAGATCTGTACTTAGAGTAGCAGAGCTAGTCACCAAGACTTTCATTTACTCCTTCATACAAGCAGCTAACCTTTAGTTTTCTTGTGCAGCCCATTCTTGCCATAGAAGAACGTCTTATTTATTATGTATACAGTGACATCTGCTGGTTGAATTCATGAAAAACACTCTGATTAAATATTTTTATTTAATGTGTATTTTTTTTTTTGTCTCTTAACTTAATTTTGTCTCTTACTTAATGAAACTCATTATGTTTAAATCATGTGCAACTCATTATTTTTATTATACAATTTGATTTATTTTGTAAGCTGATGATATTCTTTATAGAGCAGCTAAAAGAGGTAAGGTTAGGCTATTTTTTTTTTTATTAATCTCAATCATATTTATTACCTTCAAAGCCTGTATAGAAATGTGATAGCAGTTATGTTCTGTTTATTTTGTTTATCCTGTGCATTAACACTTCTAATTCAAAATAATTTTGTGTTTGGAGAAATCTGTTTTTATATGATGGCTTTTTTGTTTTTTATTTATAATCTTTTTTTTTTACATTGTTGTCACAGGTTGGATTAAAAAATACACATGTATTTACTTGTTTGTGTATGTATACAAATTGTAGACACCACTATTATAACTAAGCTGGCTGATAGCCCAATTTCATACATAAAGGTAACATGAAGTATCATTTAACTATTATTACCATTATTAGAATTATAAAAGGCAAATAAGCTCTTCATTTTAAAGAACCACAGTGAAAGTGATGTATTCCTGTGCCACTGTGTAACTTGCATATGTTACCTTTATTAAAATATTTTAAAAGATTTTACTTATTTACTTGTTAAAAAATTTTTGTTTCATCTCTTATGCATGATCTTTTCCCACCCTGTCTTTGGCCTCTGCAGTCTTCCTCTTCCTCAAAGACTACATCTCCTCTGTTTAAAAGGATGCCCCTTCAGGGCAGTGCTATCAAGGTGCTGCTGAACTTAAAGCTTGAATGATACTATACAACTCAGCTTTTTCAGTTGTTAAAGCCCCTGTGGCATCTGAAACAGATTGAAAATAATGTAATGTCTCTTTATGACCTACAAAAGCAAACTAGACCATTAAACAACAAAATGGACTATTTCTACACACTTATTTGTGATACCTATAACCAGTGCTATGGGGCAGGTGTCAGATGTAGTGCAGCTGAAGAAAAACAGCCTTTCATAAAAAAAGAAAAAAGCTTATACTTTTAACAGAGGGTGCCAAAATGACCCAAACTTAAAATCACACCGGAAGCTCCAAACACAAGTTTGAAACAAACACTATACACTGAAGTGACTCTCCATCTGAATGGGTCTTCAGCTTATGCACTAGAACCTGAATTAATTTTTCCAAGACTTCCACTTGAACAGGCACTTCGTTCATGCTTAATTTACCAACTACAATTTGTAAGACATCTCAACTCCTATGAGTGCTTGTATAATAAATTAATCATTAACCTCGTTCAGTTCTTGAATAATAACTTATACTTAACTTTTCTCAAGTGTTAACACTTAAATTGACTCTTAAAATTAGTTCATTCTTAACTGAAAATTTGACTTTAACTTCTTTTGTTCTTCATATGTCTTTCAGTAGGACTATTAAATGCCTTATACTTTTCCAAATGCTTTAACAGGTCAGCAAAGGGCAGAGTATTTTCGTGCATGGAATATTGTTGTGGTGTTAGTGATATTCTATTGAATTTTATAGCGAAACAAGTTCTGTCTGTAGTCATTTCCAGCCACATCCAGGCTTATTTGTGCTGCAATTAGTGATTAATTCACTATGACTTTCCTGTAAAGCATGCATATGATGCATATGGTATGCATACTGAGGAAACACTTTAATCTAACACCTAGTAAATGAATAACCAGAGAGCTATGTCTTTGAGACATCTAGATAAACAGCCTAGAAATTAGTAACAGCATAGGGGAGAGTGGGGTAAGTTGAACCACACTCTGTTGCTTAGAAATGGTAAAAGAAATTGATCATGTGACCAAATATTTAGGAGATGGGCATCAATTCATGGAGTCTGTGAAAGTTAGAAGCACATGGGTGAAGGGGTTAGACATTTATTTACAAAACAAACAAACAAAAAAAAAAACCATCAATTGTGATATCTATGAGCTACAACATGAGGTCAAAACCCAACATAAAAAGTCCACCATTTTAGCTCAGAGGACTAATAAAGTCATAATAGTAGTTCTGGGGTAAGTTGAGTCAGTGACTCAAGTGAGAAAGTAAAGGAATATGATGAGAGGATCAGAGTTTCAGTTCAGGTTGTTGAAATGTGTCACGTTTTCTTTTCATAAATACAGCTGTGAATGTTCTGAATCACTTAAAGGCATTCTCATGTTAAAATGGCTTTTTAGAAGACAGCTTTTTAGCAGTTATATGCAGTAATAATACTAAAAAAACATTATTGTGACTGTTGAATTACAGATGATAGATAAAAATACACATGAATGTGAAGAAGTGACTGTTATTTGGGGAGAGAGAAGGTGAGGGAGGGCTGGGGTGGAGAGTGGGGGAGTAGTAGGGATGTGGCTCCCCCCTCCTATGGTCAACCTACCCCATACACGGGGTAAGTTGACCACTTTTTTTGGCACGCTATATATATGAATTTTTATATGAATTTTATTACAGGCTCAAGTCCCAATAGCATGACATACACCACAACCTTGAGAGAAACAGACAATATATTAAAAAAAAAAAAGATACATATACACATAAAAACATACTCTTTTTCACGAGAGTCTTAAAAGGCACCCATACCAATGTTTTCACAGATATGAATGATATCAGATATGACTGCTATATTATCAAGAAAGTTATTTTTAACACCCATTCTTTTGGTTTGCAGGGATGCACAACATCTTGAAATATATGCAGATACACTTGTTAGAGACAAAACTATGATTGCCTTGATGTAGTGATCCGAAATATGAAAAATTGCTCATCTTACCCCACTCTCCCCTACACTTCAGCACCACGCAGCACTGTTGTTGTAACAGTAGGAGGCAGCCAAGTTTTATCAGGGAGCACCAGCAGACAGCGTGCAGCCACTCAAGCGCGCTCACAGTCACAGGAGTATGGCTCGTGGACGCGCACGGTCGAGGCTGCTGTTGCTATGATGCAATGGCGACTGCGCCGTGGGAAGCGAGCGAGGAGTTGAATGAGTTCTCTCCACAGTTGAAGTGAGGCAGCCGCGGACACCGTCAGTGCCCAGGGACAGACTCCGAGACACTTAACAGTGGCCCTGTCCTCACTACGCTACATGGAAACACACAGCCAGGTGTGTCTGCTAGCCTCACAGCTAGCCGTGTCATGACGCTTGGAGAGATTTCTCACACATCTGTACGACGTTGCAGCGACACTGGAGAAGCACCAACACCCTGTTTGCTCTCCTTATCCGAAACCAAGTGAGAAGGAGGTGTTGTTTTATTTCATTTCTAGTCGCATTGTTCCCTCCACCTGCGACTCAGTGGACCTATTTGTGCTTCTTTCTGGACCACCATGGCTGAGAGAACCTCCAGCGGGTTGCTAACGATGATGTTGGAGCCCACGCCGGCTGTCGCTATGACCCTGCCGGCGGAGGTCCGGGAGAAGCTGGCGGAGCTGGAGCTGGAGCTTTCAGAGGGTAAGTTGACAAAAACATGCACTAAAAAGTAATGCAGCGTGTGTCTAAAGCATGCTGTATTTGTTGCCAGAGGGGTGCTTTAAACATGCAATTGTTTGACAGCTGTCAGAACCACCGCCCTGTATATTGGCTTTGTGGTTCATGTTTGAAAACATGCCAGCATCCCAGAAGTCCCTCTGCTACTATCAGTCATCCTCAGGACTCAACTTCTGCTCTAGTTATGTCCTCCTGACTGCTTTCTACAGGGAGAGCTCATCTAAACCTCTCTTGTTAATGACTTACACTGATTTTTATTATTTTCTCACTTTTAGAGGTGAAATTGAGTTTTTGAGAGAGCTGAAAGGCATTACCAAAGTTGGCCAGATGACTATCTACCACAACGTTCAACAGCTGAGCTGACACACCCATGCTGCCCTAATGTGGCCCTGTGTTACACCTGACCAGAGAATTTGTATTCTGCATAGTTATGAGAAAACTGAGAGCCAGTTTTGTTCTCATCTTGTATGGCCAGTTGTCAGCTGAATTACATTGCCTCCTATTTTTAAAACCTTAAATCAGTCTGCAACAGGAAAAGTCAGAATACAGAATCTCCACAGATTGTTTAACAACAACAGCATGGTCTGTAGTTTTTATATAAGAGACTCTGATGATCCTTTTGGACATTTATCCCAAAATATTGCCAATGTTGCTGCTGACATGCACACTTTGTTTGAGTGCATCCTTGTCTCTGGTGCACATCTGTTTAGGTTCATGTGCTTTCTTCATGTTTCGACTATTTTAACTTCTACTATGGTTTTGGGGAATTTTATCACTAAACCTGCAAAAAGAGGCTTTGGTTCACAGATGTCTCGTAGTGGCATGCCTTTAAAAGTACTATGAGATCTACTTTACAATCAACACTCCTTAAGTGAAGTTATTTTTTGTACTCCGACATTGAAATTTAATTTAATTTTAATTGAATGTATATTTTTCGTCATTCCCTCTGGTCATGCTTGCTGCATACTCATTATACTCATACTCATTAGAAAGAAGGATGTCTTCATAAGTTGGTCCCTCGGCTTCAGTCTGCTACCGAGGCTGCTATGGCATGTTATTACTTTTCCATACAAAGCCCAATATGCTAAGAAAACACTTGATTTAGTACGCTACCTGATGGCTTTACTACAATGAATGTTAGACACACATGTTCTGGATGGCCAACTTTATGATTTAGCAGTGATCAAAGCAGCATGATTTGCCCAGAAACTCTCTTTTTCACATTGTTTGGTGCTCTGAGGGTATTTGAAACTAAGTAAGTTGTAATTACCTGGCACTTTATGGAGTAAAAAAAGCTGAGTTTATTCTCATGTTGACCTTAAATCTTTAAATGCAGAGTTGTAGTGCACTGTTAATAAGAGTCATAAATTAGGAGCTTGTTTTTCCTCATGCTTCGCTTTTGTTTTTCTGTTACCTCAATGAGACCCATTGTTTTAGTGTGATCCGTTATTTGAGCTGCTCTCACGTGGAGAAATTAGCCGGGCTTTGGTCAAATTATACTAATTAATGACCTACTTGAAGTCTGGTAAGCTTTGGAGTTTGACCCAGGGGTGGGACCCTAATTCTTGCCGACTTACAGGAAAACTTTAGATCTACCATGAAGCTATTGTAGTCTGAGAACTTGAAATAATAGACGAACAACTGATCCGTGGATGAATTCAAGTCTTTTCTTTTCCTGTGTTGACTGGCTGCAGCAGCAGCTCTCCAGGGTGAGGACTAGGACCAAAGGTGCACGCTTTGATAAGCACATTAACTGCCACCAAGGCCCCCTAATGGGATAGACGTGTTTTCAGGAGCAACCACCAAATTAATCTATATCTGTCCAGTTTCCTCTTCCTGCTCTCCACATGTCACATCCTGCCATGTTGGAGCTCTGATAGCAGTATCCCCCCGCTGCCTCAGTTACCCTCTGCTTCTTCTTCTTCTTCTCTCTGTGGCTCCATGCTACCTCGACTTTCTCCCTGATCAAAGAGCAGAATGTCATTCTCTTTTTTTGTATGGAGAGAAATCAATGTCTTTCTTTCCTCTCTCAAAATCCTTTTCCTGTAAGCGGCTGTGAACTCTTCACCTCATGATGTTGCCCTTCAGTTGCCTCCCCAATGCATCCTGTCTCAGGATAGAATAGACGTCTAGGCTTTATTGGAAGGAGATGAGAGCCTGACAATCCTGCAGGTTTTCTCTCCTCCTCATTGTGCTCTTCTCACGGGGATTTAAAGTCAGGCATGTCTGTGTCCCAATGAGGGATACACCATGGTTCTTTTCAGCGTGCATGAGCGTAGAGGGACACTGTATTATTCATGATATTGAATAGACGGGTCATGTATGTTTTCTTAAGTAGTTAAGTTGATGAAGCAGCCATTGGAATAACATCATGAGTCTGAGACAATTCAGACTCCATAATTCTCCTGTGTCAGCAGCCTCAGCCTGCTGATGTGAGAAATAAACAACTTGTGCACTCATATTGTGTTTTAATGGAGTGTGGTTCCTCAAGAGATGCATTTATTATCAATTTATCTTTCTATTTCTTAGCGAGTGTGTGTCTTACAATGTTCGCTTGTTCTTTTTATTCCCAACTTCACTCAAGACTGCTGGTACAAATATTATCCCTGTAGCTAAATAATCAGAAAAGGTTTTACTTGAGAGACTTGGGACGAGTATAGTGTAGCAGGATTACTAAATAATGTGAATACACTTGGTGAGTTAAAGCAGGATTCATTGTTAGTGTAAAAAGTAGACTTTATGTAAGTAAGCCCCTGAAAAAAAGGTGACTGTAAATCTTTTTTTCTCTCCATAACTAGGGGTGTCCCGATACGATCTTGATATCGGTCCAATATCAGCAAAAAAACGAATATCGGATTACATCAGCCTGCATCTAAAATCTCCAATATCAGCACTCCGATACAAGCAGTCCGCTCCAGACTCTGCTCCGGCACCTCTATCTAGCAGTATGCAGAGCCCTCGTAATCACAGCAAAAGTGTGTACTAAGGTACTAACAAAGTAGCAAGGAGTAGGAGTGATGTTGGCCTTGTGGCAGTATTTTTCATTACAGTCCGAAAACGACATTATAGCTGAGTGCAAACCTTGTCATACACAGTTTTGTGCCAATATCGGATCAATATTGAAGGCTACAATATCGGTATTGTATCGGAAGTTAAAAAGTTGTATCAGGACACCCCTATCCATAACAGGAATTCCCTCCTGGGGATTATTAAGGTATTTCTGATTCTGATCTGATTCTGATAACTTAAGATATTCCTAACTGAATAAGTAACGCAAAGAAAAAAAACATCTCCAGGCATTATTGCTAAAAGAAGGATTTGAGATAATGCAAAATATGCTGACTTGCTTGCAAAACGGATGCATATAGCCACGCATGTTGGTTTCCAACCATGCTCCAACTGCCTCTTAACTTTCACTTGATCCAAGAAAAGGGAAAACCGCCTCCAAAACACCCAACAAAAGGTCTTACTTATGGTATCTGTCTCTAGCAAACTGACATTCCTTCATCATCTCACAACCCGGCTATGGAAAAGGTCTTGTCTGTGGTATTCCTCCTCAGCTGACCTGGATGCAGATAAGCGGTCAAAAGTTGGGGCGTAAAGGAGGCCAAGAAGACTGATGATCCCTATTATCTCCTGCAGGGAGGAAAAAAGGGAAAGAGACATGTCTGCTGAGTAATTCATAGACTCGCTCCATCATTCTCTGCTTCTGCTCCCTCCTCCTTTGTTTGCTCCCTAAACCCTCTGATTACAAAGTCATTTTTAGTCCAGTGCTGGTGAATACTGGGACTGCCAAACCCTCGGGTCGGTCATTACATTTGTTTGGCCTGCTCTATTTCAGCAAACATTTACAGGGAGGCAAATCAGGTTTTTTGGTAGTTTAGCTGGTGCTTTGCTTGTTTACTGTTGTCGCGTTGGAAGAAGATCCATCAGCATGAATTTTTGGGACTGTGTTTTGAGAGTTTTCTGCTTCATTATAGGCCAGATTATGTGTTCAGTTTAATGACAGGCATTGCTTTTATTTGTTGCTATTCTTATCTGTATCCCAGTATCGGCTGCCTCAATGACCCAATTTCCCCGTGGCAATCATTAAAATGACACCTTATCTTATCTTTTAGATTAGGTGAAACTTTACCCACTGTAGGATGCAGAATGCTGTCAGGTGGAAACTTTAGTGAGGAGATGGGGATGATTTAACTTGCGCTCTGGTGACCCTTGGCGGAGGACTAATGGTGTTATGGGCTGTAAATTGTTGCTCTTAAGGTAGCACCGTTACCTAAAGTCTATTTTCTCATGGTTTGAGAGCTCACTTGGGCACATAAGTAAGGCTTGGGGGCTCATTGCTATCAGTCTTACTGTTCCCTGAATATTCTGCAATGTTTGCAATAAACAGTAAGGTCCATAACACCAGGATAAAATAAAGCTGTGCCATGTGGGGAATGTGTACAGGCAGAGGAGGGGAGAAACAACAAACACTAAGTGTGTGATAGTAACATTATTTTCAGTTTTAGACTTATTAGAAACTAAATCAAAATCTTCGCATCACTGAGACTTCATACAACCATCAAAGAGCTTTCAAGGGCAGTAAGACACAGTTGCACACCCATACCTAACAGACTGACTCATAATGCGATTGCTCTGTTTTGCTAAAACCATGAACTCAGTTTTGAGGGGAGTGATTGTCACCCTTGTTTTGTATCTATTATTGCAATTTAATACTGCATCTATAACAGTAAGAAGTTTACAGTTAGTGTGATTCTCTCTTTGGCTTTGGTTTACACTGATACATACACTATCTCCACAATATATCATAAAGAATCACAACCTGCATTTGTTCACCAATGTTTTTCCTGTGCATTTTTAGGCCATCTTGAACAAATCAGGTCTGCAGACACTACAGACAGGTTTGTCAGTGTAGCTGCTGCAAAACTACATCAATATCCCCTCAAATGACATCAGATCATATCTAACATGAACCAACACGGGTTTGACAAGTATTCTGTTCTGACTCATAGAATAACTGAGTCTAATATTACCTTTGGCATAAATATGTCATGCCCCCACATCTATAGCATAGCCCAATTTTCTACTATTTTATGATTAATTCAAAATCCATCTAAACATGCTTCTGGCTGAGTTAACCAAGTATATTATCTGTAGAAGCTAAGTTTGTACTTTAAGATACTGAGATGCTTGACCCAGAGTAACCTGGTTGATGCGCCGCGCTACTGGTTTCATACACTACCGTGAGTCTTTGATGATCAGTAAGAGTCTGAGCGCTGTTCCTCTGATGCAGCGAATATAAATTGATTGTGATAAAAATTGCCCAAGTTTGAGCTAGAAAAGCTGGAAACGTCATCACACACTCAAGCCAAATGGTCAGCACTTATAACCAATCAGAGGCAAAGGAGGGCAGGACCTTCCCTTAACAACTACAGCGTCCCAGCTGGAAGTGAGAGGACAAAAATGGAGTCTACTTCAACTTCAAGTGATGGCGAATTGGTACACCTTTTGTTGTCTCAAAAGTAAAAGAAATGTAGCACATGGGTGCATCCAATATTACAAAAAGAAGAGAACTTGGTGAGTTTCGCTGCTTGGTTCAGGAGCTGAAACTGTACCATGATCGCTTCAGAACCTATTTTCAGATGTCCGTTGGACAATTTGAAGTTCTGCTGAAACAATTAGCTCCAAGTTTAAAGAGGCAGAGGACTAGACACTAGTGTTGCGATGGCTTTCTGTCATGATAGCATACTGAGTCGGGGCCAGTACCAGATAAGCACATGACACTATGGTAACAACCGTTACCATACGTTAGCACAGATGAAAGTTAAAACAAAGATGTTTAGCAAACTGTTAAAGCACACAAAACATAACAGAAATTCGACGCTATGACTCTCCACAAGTTGTCCTTCAGGTCGTTATCTGTGTAATTTGTGTGTAAACGATCATAAACAATCAGCCGGTCGGCCATGTTGGGTATACTGGTGAATCTGATGTCGAAACATCACGAAATCTGATTGGTCAGAAGTGGAAACACAGTTTGCGAAACTTAAGAAAAATCGACCATGATCCGAAAAAATAAATGTGGCAGTATCGCAGACTGGGAAAATGTCACTGATGTGAACGCTTGTATTGACAGGATACGGGTTTGAAAAATAATAAGGACGTCCGAAATAATCGGACGACAAAAATGGTCCCGATGTGTACGTACCTTAATATTGTCCTTTTGCACACCCCTGGTTTCCAGAATAGATGGGCAGCAACAGGATGGATCCTCAGAGAGGTTCAAGGTAGGCCTGAACGATATATCGTTTGACTATCGTCATCGCGATGTACGTGTGTGCGATAGTCACATCGCAGAGCCTGCGATATTGGAGGTGAATGAACTCATTTAATTTCAAGGGTAACCGACTGAGATACACTCCATGTGACTCTGCATGTGCTGTGCAGCGATCCACCAATCGCCTTCGTCCTTAACTCAGTTGCCAATCAGACTCACTTCTCAGTTGCCAATCAGACTACCCTGCCAGCTGTCAATCAAAATCAGGGAGGAGAAAACCCACCCCTGCACATGTTCTGCACATGGAGGGAGACGTGTGTCCGCTGAGAATTACTTTCGGAACTTTACTCATGACTATTAAGCCCAACAAATAAGAACTGTATGGGTTTTAAATTGTACATTTCCGTGGACCACTCTACTATAAGCAGTGCACGTTTTGCGAGGTGCATGCAATTCTCGGAGGACATGCGTTTCTCGGCACAACACCGCTAACAACAACAACAACGATCGCAAAATGAACAACGAACAAGCGAAAACCACCGAAAATGAAGATTTGTTGCCAAAAAGAAAAGGAAAGTCAGTTATCTGGAATTATTTCGGTTAAAAGAAGGATGATGTTGACCAAAACACGTCTTCTGTGTTCACGTGTTGCCACAATAACGTCCCAGCACAATAAAAGCTAAAAATATCTCTGAGACAGACAGAAGCCGTTCTACTAACATTCACAAAAAGAGGTAAGATCAGAGCAGATTAACTGTCCTCAAGATTTCAGCAGTGCAGCATAACATTAAGTGCTATTCAGGTCATCTGGTGAAAATACTGTATTTTTAATATCGCAATATATATCGCAGGGTTGAAAAAATCGCAATATTATTTTTTTCCAATATCGTGCAGCCTTAGTTCAAGGTATAATTTAATACAATAGCCCACTCAATAATAGGTTATAAAGGCTCATTATGCAATCAAGGTCACAGCTCTGCAAACTAGGTGGTCTAGCTTTGGTGACCAAGCAGCGTCATAAAATCTCCCTTTTTGGAGAGTGTGAGTGTGCAGGAAACCCCAGTGAGCTGGCCTACAGATCTTGTCAAGGAAAGACCGCTATGACTGCTTACTGATCCTGACTCATTCCTTTCTGCGGTCACCAGCTCCCACCAGCAGCTCATGAAGAAACAATATCCTCAGTGAGTTCAGCCCATTGTTCAGAGGAAACAAACATTTCTCCCAGTGTAAAATCCCTTTGTACATGAAGAGCTTTCAGAACATGCAGGATTTAGGACAATTACTGAATGGCCTGTGTGTTGAAGGCTGCTTAGCTCTGTAATAGGATCCAGAAGAGAAGAATGTTCAGCCTTGGAGCTAGCTAGCTGGCTGCTGTAAAGTCCAGTTCAGAGATAGAGAGGCGGCCGCCATAGTGGAGAGGAGAACGTGGTAGAGGGTCATAAATATTTCAAGGGTGTGCCTCAGAGCAGAGTAGAGCTTCAGATTCTTGTGCTGCTCTCATGTGCTTCAGCCTGTGTGTTCAGTCCATGCACATGGAGTAAGTGAGTGAGTAAGTGTGTGAGTGAGTGAGTGTGTGTGGTACTATGGCTGTGTTGGTGGGTTGTTAAGGTGCTTCTTTCCATTTATTAACCACAGAGCAGTGTTCATTTCCAGTTATTGTCCTGGTAATATCACTGCGTTTATTACTCTCCTCTGTCGGTCCCGTCTGTTTTCTTTTTACAGCACTCTTTAACATCCTGTCAGTGTCTTTATAGGAGCCATGCATGTTTAATAGATAACAGAGCAGGAATGTCATGTAAAAATATCTCCTCTGCTTTTAGCTATGACAGGAAAAAAGAATGGTAAAAATAACCGTGAGGACTAATTAGAAAGCAAATAACACAAGCTGACTTTTGATCAAGTTTTGACCTCTAACCTATCGTTTTTTGCTGTATAACATTTCACACAACACTGAAATGAGCCTTTAATTCCAAACAAAGATTGTTAACACTTCCATATCTTGAAAGCTTTTAACCACAATAGTTTTAAAGTTTGTACTGACACTTGGGATAAGATGTTAAAAAGAACTTTTTCTCTGCATGCTTGCAAAAATAATGACATTTCTCTCTCTTAAAACTGGACTCACTGATCTACACGCATTATTTCGTAGGTGTTTATTGAATTTCACCCCTCCTGATGAGTCTTCAAACTAAGTGAACATCATTCTTTTGTTATGTTTTTTTGTTGCTGGCATTATGCTCGCTTAGTAAAAATGTAAAATGTATAAGATCTGTACTCATGAGGAGAAGGAAGTGCTTGTTTGTTGAATGGAGGTCAGATTGATGATTTCTGATTCCTTCCAGGAAGCTGGGAAATCCAAATGTTGATAGGATTTTGCAAACCTGCATCGAGCAGATGGAGTTTTCAATCTTAAGATGGATTTTTTTGCGGCACTCAGATGCAAATGTCCGTTTAGGGAAACAAACAAAAAAAAAACCCCATCAATTTACTGCTTATAGAGCCAGCGTTCATCAAGGCTGACTGTGTTCAGTTCAGTTCAGCTCGCTGGTTTGTGGCTGGTTAATATGTCTTCTACAAATCTACTACAGACTGGAAGTAGAACAGGTGGAAAACAAACTCTGCCCTCCTGAAAACGGAATGACTCACTTTGTTGCTGTTGTTTTGTGTCTCTCTCTGTTGCGTTCAGGTGGGTGCATGAGAAAAGGTGTTTTGTCATTTCCAAGCACACCACTGACCTGATCTCCTCCCCTCTTGGAAAGTTGATGCAAGTCTCCTGCCAGGTCCCCACCCTGCCCTCCTGCCACAGATAATCTTCTCTGTGGTTGGTCAGATGGTGCATCTTCTAGTACTGAAAAAACTAGGGATGGGAATTGATTAGATTTTATTAATATCATTGCCATTATCGATTCTGCTTATTGATTCAATTCTTTAACGTTTCTTTTATCAATGCCCGTCTTTGACTTGAAAAAAGAGAAGGATTGGTTTTCACCGTTAACTCAAAATTTTATTGAGTCTCTGATAACAGAAAAAGTGTATGTCACCTTAAGTGAGAGTCTAAAATTATTCAAATGACTATTTGTACTGCATTTACTTCGGTCAAATTAGGGTGACCATATTCTGGATCCCCAAAAAGAGGACACTACTACGCGTGGCAGAGTTGCATGAAAAATTTTGAGGGTTTTTAAAGTCAGGTTAAGTGTTTTTTAAGGGCTTTAAACTCAGTTAGTCCATGCTAAACAAACTCAAAACTTCCCCCCAAAAAAACCAGCACATTAGAAGGACTTTATAAACTCCCCTGGACAAGGCTGGATAGCCCCCCAAAAAGGACATGTCCAGGTAAAAGAGGACGTTGTATAAACACCAGACATTAGTACCTTCCATGCTGTGCTGAGACGGAGCAGCAGTGGCTGACAACCGGCAGAGAGATTCGAATACATGTGACTCTTAATATTTGATAGTGTGCCCTGTTGACAAATGTTTAAGTATGTTGCTGGTGTTTCCACCTTTGCATGTTATAAATGCTCGACAAATGTTGCGTGTCGCGCTGTTGTTGTCTTTCTTAGTAAAATTAAGCCACGCTTTAGATCGTTTCTGCCGACTTTCTGCCTACATACGCCATGATTTTACCTCAAAGTCTCTGTTCAAGGCACCGTAAGAAAGGAATCGTTCAGGGAATTGTTAAGATAGACAATGTTGATGGATTGAACCATTTGGAAATAGTTCTCAGCAAGAACTGGTTCTCCATTCCCATCCCTATAAATAACTAACATCTCAGGTTTAGTATTTGTCCTTCATTATAATGGATGGTAGTATTGGTACACTTGTGCCCACAGCCATTAGACTTTGTAATTCTTCTGTAAATAGTAGATGACTTTTTGAGACATGACAAATGAGACGACAGGCAATTGAATTTCCCTTTGGAGATAAATAAAGTTCTTCTTTTTCTTCTTCTAGGTGCAGTACATTTGGTGCATGTGGTGTTGACAGCTCATGTGTCCTTGCTGTGAGAGAGAGAGATGGCACATGCAGTGTAGAGCAGGGTATTGCTTTGGGCACCGGCTCCAGTGAGATCTGCTGACCAAACAAGCCGCATGCCCCACTTCAAGGACACATTACAAAACTCACCCTGTGCATTCTCCTTCCTGCCACGGCTCTTTTCTTCCCTCATTCAGCTTCTTGATGTCAGTTCTTCTCTGTCCACTTACCTTCCCGTGTGTGTGTGCATAATTGAGCTCTAACCCCCCCGTGCCCACCGAGATGACTCAATGGCTTTCTGTGAGATTTGAATAACAGAGAAGGTATAAAGTGTCAGAAAACTGATTTCAGTGTCAGTGCTGTGAATGTGAAGAGATGTCTCTCAGAGAATCTTCTATTATTCATGTTTCTTGCATAAGTGGAGGATGTTCATAACATTTCTACTGCAGTGTTTTCAAGGTGCTGAGGGATTTGGTTGAGAGGAGAGAGGGGTGGTGGGGGGAGTGCAGGGCTGAGGTCACAGAGCTGTGCAGGGAGTTTTTATGCTTCAGAAAGTCTTTCAAACCTCAAGGTAAAAATTCATGAAATGCCCTTTTAACAACCCACGGAGCAGTATTTATTTGATGCGAACTCACTTCTCTCAGTGGATATTTGATTTCAAGCTATTATATTGACAACTAACACAGTTTCCACAAATGACTGCATTACTTGACAAAGCCACAATTAAGGACTTTACAGTAAGCGGTTCTCACTTTCTATTGCTTTAGCTATTACTCTCTTTGATTAGGCTCCTTATTTTCAAGCTCGGTAAATTAAATGTTGAGACCCTGGCAGTTTTTTAAAAATAATCAATGGTAATTAATTCTGCAGAGGTGGTGTAATGATGTGCTGGTCAGCGCCATAAACACCTATTAGCTTCTCTTGACCTTCTCAGGCTGGGACTCGGAGTAGCACAGCATGTCAAAGGATTGCGTGGAGCCCATGAACTTAGCTCTGTGAGCAGCTGGCCTGAAAGCAACCATAGGTTTTACATATGGTGGAATAAAAGCTGTAAAGTTAATCTTTTTTAGAGTCAGGGTGGTTTATGGTGCTGAGGAGCTCATATGGAGCTTCTGCCTTACTTACAGTCTTTTTTTTTGCTGCAGAGAGAGAGAGAGAGAGATGCATAAAACATCAATGCCCAAAATTCAGCTTCAAAGAGATGTCTGAGGAGACAATAAAAAGATTAGATTTTTTTTTTCTTTCAATCAATGTGTAGGTTTTCTCAGGTGTGACGTGCAGATCAAAGATGTGCAGGGCCCTTTGTAGCAGCAGCAGGCTGCATTGTGAGTCTTCCTGGTGGAAAACAAACACACAGAAAATGTCTGGAATGTGCCTTGACCTATCAACTTCACCGTGTGGAGAGGGTTTTTCAAACCCCAGCCACTGCTGGAGGGCTGAACTACACACAACAAACATGAGCACCACCTTACAGGTTGTCCTGGCCTTTTAAAAGAGGAAGGCTAAGATTCCCCTGTAATCTGTTCTTGTAGGGGTCCCAGCAGAATACAGGGGGGGAAGAGATCAAACACGTCTGCGTGAGTTGTTTTAGTGTGAGGCATAAGTCTTTTTTTTTTTTTAAACATAAACCTACTTTAACTTTCCAGAAAATGTGTCTCCATGTGCGCTCCGAGCATGCAGGCAGATCCAGGTGAGTCCTGCTGCTGTTGCTCCGCAGAGACTTTCCCACCAGTGTGTACTTGTATATCCAGAAAGAGAAGAGGGATACAAAACAGGACAAGTCGGGACTGAATTTAAAGCTCCTAAGGCATAACTGACAAACTGCGAAGTCTGTTTCAGCATTTAACAACCACTAACTAATGCTTGTAAGACATAAATCATCTGGATAAACAACAGAGCCACCTCTCTGCTATAAAACGTTTTCTCCTCTAAGTTGGCTCCTGGTGGTAGATTTAAGAGCCGGGGCATTTTCATTTGAGGCATCTTGTGCGGAACGAGTGCATCAGGCTTATATAAATGAAGTCTTTCCAGTGAGGCTGAGTCAGAACCCTGTGAGTAGGAGAATGAGGTGCAGCTGAAGAACCCGCAAATAAATATAGAAACGTGAAAAAGGTAAATAAAGACACATGAAAAGGTTGATGATGTGAGCAGCATTTACAAATACTCAGGTTTTAATGGAGGTACAAATGCATGTTATAAGGTATGTGTGGATGTTTATCTTCTGTTATAGACCACCATGCTTTTGTTCACTACTGAATGTAAAAATAACAGTAATGTATTGTTTTAAAGCAAAGAGCGGTACTGCAAAGTGTTTAGGAACTAAATGTGGACAATTTGTACGTCCCTTAGTGCAAAAATTGGAAAGCTGTGCAAAGGTTTTCACTGCAGCTCAGGACCATAACCGCTAGGGGTGGGAGGAAAAAATCGATAAAGCATAGTATCCCAATATTTTGTCTGGTAAAATATCATATTGTCTCATTTACCAAGTGTCGATTTTTCAAATTAATTACAGTTTAAATAAGACAAACATAAAGGAAAGCCAAATGCTAAATTTGCTTAACAGTTGAAAAATTGTATAAATCACAATATATCATATTGCAATACTCACTGTATTGCAAAATCGAAAAAAAAAATCACAATAATATTGTATTGTGGCCCAAGTAGATAATATTGTGTCTTGGCCAAAGTATCCTGATTATATTGTATCATGGCCCAAGTATCATGATAATATTGTATTGTAGCCCAAGTATCCTGATAATATTGTGTTGTAGCCCAAGTATCATGATAATAAAGTATCGTGGCCCAAGTATTGTGATAATATCGTGTCGTGGGGTCACTAGTGATCCCCACCCCCAATAACCGCCAATTTTGGAGCCATCAGTTTTATCGGCTCCTGAAGTTCAAAGTTCTCCAGTTAGCAGTGCAGGAGGAATTATCGCTTCTAATATTTCTTGACCATTTTATCTTTCATCTGAAGATTTGGATGCAGCAGTCAATGAGAGATGAATATTTGATCAAAGCACGGTTGCAGCTTTTATTGTATAATTGATGTAACTCAACCTGACCCAGCGTCTGAACAGCTTCACTTCTTTCTTTTATAATATTTGAAGCCAGAAGATAACTCAATCCAATCTGTAAATCAGTAAATTTACCATTGCAGTGGGCCTTTTAAAGTCAGGGAGTACGTGCTGTCCAAGAGATTGAATCAAATCTCCATTCCTGAGTAATGATGTATGAAGAAAGTTTTTCATTCTGTATATGTTCAGACTCTAAAGTAATCACTATGTTGTTTTCTCTGGCAATGCTACCACTAACAGGCCAGATGTTTCACTGATAAGAAGCTCAGAGAGGAGAGTAGTGGTAAAGATTTTGACTCTGGACTGAGGCTTCAGAACGTGTCTGAAACAAGTCTCTTAGCTTAAACTGCATTTAACCCACACCCCAGAGATTTGGACAACCTTTTTACACAGTGTTACAAATGTGGAATCTCAGGCGTCCAGGGAGGAACAATGAGTCTAAGCTGTCCTGTAATCTAATAAAACACATACACGTACACACACACAAACACGTCATGTCTGTGTGCTCTTACTCACTGCATACTTGGCATAGAGGTCACAGGCCCTCGCAGTCTGTGGTCAGCGGCCGAGCACCCTAAGTATGTGTGCAACTCTCTTCATGATGACAGTTGGAGCTCAGTTGTTGAATCTCAGAAGTCTGTCCTTCATTCCTCGAAACCCCTCCCTACAGACTGCTCTGTCACCATCCTAGAAACTTTTCTCTAAACTCTCTGTGTCTCATCTTTAACTTGTAATGACCAGGAGTTCCTCTTAAGAGCTTGTCTTGTTCAACATCCCTAATAATACCTGGTCGTATTTGCTGTGAAGACAAACATATGCCATGCAATCTTGAGTCTATCCTTTCTGTCATTAGCGGGGAAGAAGCAGTCAAGTCTGAAATTCCTACAAGTGGCAGAAAGCTGTTGGCAGACTCTCCAACTGTGTCATGCCCCTCATGACACACGCACACACTCTTCCTCACGCTCACATTCCTGGTGCAACTGACAGTTTTTGCAAAGTGTGTGTGTGTGTGTATGTGCAAGAGTGCGCCACATGACCTGGAAGTGTGAAAGCTAACACATGACAGAGTTTGTGATTAATGCAAATCAGACATTATGCATATGGTGGTGCAACTCTAACACGACTTAATTAGAAACTAAATGGCAGTAAGTCACCTTGCTTTGAGTATGCAAATGTATCAGAGCATTCAGTGCTGTATGCTGGACTCTAAAACATGCAGCATACCTGCCATTGAGCTGCATTTTCATCGACATGGTATGATCAGTTTTGCCTTGTTGCTGCTTTTAAAAAATCAGTGTATCTATCTAATAGAAGTGCAATAGTTTATTTTCTATTAACTAAATGACGATGCACAGATATCATGTTAACCAAGCTGGGCCACAAACCAGTGTTTCTAATTCAAGGTGAAATGCTCTTAAAGTCCACTCCAGACTGGCCGAACAGCCTGCTTTCGTGAGGTTAAACTCTGTGCTTCCAAGTCAAATCTATAAAGGGAGTAGTATTTACATGTCTGTGTCTAAAACAGGGACGAGTAGAGAAGGAGTGGGAGGGATAAAGAGATCTGGGTTTAGAATGTCTCTTACTTACACAAAAACAGCTGGGGCATGTCAGATCTCAGGGAAATCGACATTTGCTGCTGTTCGTATTACTTGTTTTCAGCTTTTCTGTACCACATTAGTGTGCTTTTGCTGCATAGACTGACACTGGAAGACATCCCAGTACTTCATGCCTGTTTTTTTGTTCAGTTGACTTCTCCCTGATTATAGTTATCCTGATGCAGTAAATACCATGTTCAAACAAACGCTTAGAGTTAATACTATGCACTCAGCAACACTGTATCCTCATATTCATTCAGGTAAAAGAGCCGTAGTGACTGCTGTCAACTCTGTATTTCCATATCAGCTTTTCCAGCTTATGTGGCACTTTTGAAAGCTTGGTTTGCAATCACTGTGCCTTTCATAAATGTAGATTAATCATGCAATGTAAAGTGGAAAAAAGTACTGTGTATCTTTGTAGAAACTAAAGCCAAAAACATACAGAATCCGTATTGAGTGCGTTCCGTCAGCCTTGTGTCTCTGCTCTGTTGAGCAGCACTGTCTATCGCTCACAGGATGTGTATTTGAAGCGTAGCAGCAGCATAGTTCAGCCCCGGTCAGCTGGGCTCAGTATAGAGGAAACAACATGCTCACAACAGGTTGTTTTTCCTTTCTGTGGTCTATTTCCTGCTAATTTAGATAAAATTCAGTGACTGTTGAGCCTCTACTGTATGTGAAAAAGCAACGCGATTTTACGGTTTCGGTTTTAGCAGGTTTACTTGTGTTCAGTAAAGTAAACTTTGTTCCTTAATGCTGTGCTGTTACATTCAGACAGAGTTAGCAGTTCAAAGTCCTGTTGGGGGCCACATGGACCAGGGATTGACCATCGAATTGTTCTGTGTTACTGATAAATCCATAACCAGGAAGTATTTCACATCTACAAGACCTGATACGCAGTCAGGAGTCTGCATATGGTGTTTTATTTTGAAATTTACCGGATGACATGCACGGTTTTTTAATGCTTGACATCCTGTCTAAGACGATCTTCCCTGTTTAAATTGAAGTGTGCTGGAAGCGTAGAGCAGCAAAAATAGACTTGCTCGATATGCTTCTAATACAGAGCTGCGACGGAGCTGATGCGCGTCCTGTATGTGATGCTGCTTTGATTAGAATTAGAATGGCAACCTATTTGCTGCGTGAAACTTGACGTTACCAAATGCCCTCAATGCGAACCGTGTATGTTTTAGCCTTAATGCTCACCCACCTTTTTCGCTGAATCAGCAGTATCATGTTTTAGTATGGCATTAAGTAATTTTGATACTTCTTGTTGATGTTTCACACAGATTTGCTCATAAAAAAACAAACATCTACATATATTTAATGCATTAATTGACAGTTATTGCTTTCAGGAGTGTGATGATAAACGGTTCACGGGCCTCATCAGGGTCGTCCTCTAGGCCTTGACCTCTGACCCTCTGTTAGTGATGCTGCATCTGGATGAAGGCTGAATTCCCTGCAGGTCACAGAAGACGAATGAAAGGCTAATGCAGAGTTTCAGTAGCGCTGCCATCAATCTACACTTTCTCTGTAGGGTAAAAGGAATTGGCCTCAGGCTGGGAACCATGTGCTGCTACCGCCTCCGCCTGCCCTGATGAACATCTGAGACCCCTGAATCTGCTCTGTTCTTTATTATTTTTAATCCAGCATGATTAATCTGCACATCTTTGTGTGTGTGTGTGTGTGTGTGAACATATACAGTGTACCCACGCTCCTCCCTCCTTCCCCTGGGTCATGCACTGTTTGTTGAGTTAGGCTGCGGGTTTGGCCCTCATCTTACATGAATGTGAGGATAAGTGCTAAAGCAGATCCTGCACTCGCCACCCTGTCTGTCTATCCGTCTGTCTTTCTGAAACTGACAATTTATGCTTGCTCTCAGTTTCTTCCTTCAAGGAGTGGTCGAAGATCACTGAATGCCTTACTCGGAGGAAACTGCTTTTACAAGACCTAGCCAAGATGAGGGTTAGCTTTTGACACCGAATCAGCTCCACTTGTTTTCAAAGGGTCTGGTAACAAGTTTGACCCCATCCTTAGCAATCTAACACTAGTTACATAAATAAGCTTTTCTTTTTTTGTCTTCACGAACTGTTTCCTATTAGTTGTGTTTCCTGGAATGTTTATTTAGAAGAAATAAAACAAAAGTTCATGCATTCCTGCAGGGACTTTTGGGAACCTTTGGCTGGATCCTGAAGAATGGTTGTGATGTCTGTGGTTTGAGTTGAAGTGATTTAGCTCACCACTCGCTTGTTGTTTTCTCCTGGAGAACAGTTCAGTCTGTGTCAGGCCCGCAGCTGGACTAAAGTGTTACTTAATTGACTTTGAAATAGACAGTTTTTCTTTTTTTTTTTTCAGATTATTTTACTTAAACACAATAGGCGTTGACCATAGTTTGAAACTGATGCAAAGATTTCTTTACAAATAGTTAACTCCGGTCTGTTTGTTTGCAACTTCACGTAATGGACTCCCAACGGACCTGCATGAAACTCTTTAATTTCCCTGGTGAGGCAGATGCTTCACCACATTAACTAATAGAGGCCGATTAGCCTGCAGTGCAGTTGGCAGTTATCAGCCAGCTAGTGTAAGTAAGCCAGGGTGAACAATATGAGCACAGCTGACTCTCTGCGCCTTATCTTCGTCTTGTCTTAGAAGAACAGCGAGCGGTCCTGCGGCTGCCTGGTCCAAAAAGCTGCCTGATTTTTTTTAATTGTGGGCGTTTGTGGAATGTGGAGTTGGAGAAAGGCCTGGGAGGGCTTTGGAGGCATTTTCGAACAAGCATCTTATTCAGTTGTTTTCTCCCATGTAAGGGGAAGCAGCAGTGAGAACTGGCAGAATACCTCAGGAGACTGCTGAGACGGACCTCAGGCTGTTGTCTGGCAGATGTGAGCAAACAGACCTGTGTGTTTGTACGATATAAGACTGCACGTCATACATCATACATCTGTGATGTTCTTTACCTGAAAATAGTAAATCCTGGGAAATCTATCGCGGGTTCACCCTAAGGCTTTTCACTGTTTGTCAGACTGAAGGTGTGTGCACAGCGCACCTTCAGGACATGTTGCGTTTCTTTCAGAGAGAGTGTTTTGCATTTTATCTTTCCTACATGTTTTCGCAGCACAAATTTTCCAAAGCTGAGGATTTGTTTCTTCCCTCTCCCCTCACACACGTCTCGAAGAGCAGAAAGCTTACCTCAGCCCACCCCAGCCTGGAATCTACGATTTGTGTTCTGGGTTCATTTATGTCTATCTGCCTGTCAGACTCCTCGCTGAGACACTCAATCAGGGGTTTGACCAGTGACAGTAATTCTCGAGGTTTCAGCATGGAGGATATTGATTGTGGAGCTGAAACATCAAGAAGTAAAGTAAAAGAAAGAATTGCAGGCAGGTTGAGAGAGCGTGAAGTTGAGATTTGTGGAAGTGAATGATAGAGGGAAGATAACAAGAGCTGTTGGGTGTCAGGATAGAAGTAAAGGATAGGGTACAAAGAATAAGAGGGTGGAAAATCAGTTTAACATCTTAAATAAGGATGTGTGCTGTAGGAAGGTCAAGATAATATAATTGTGTTTTATAACCTGAGATTATTTTACTATATAACTTTGAAATCTGTAGTAATTCACACGCTCTAACAGTAATCAATGACATTGGATTTGCATACTAATATTGTATTGATGTAATTGAGTGCTTTGAATTGATTCAACAGACATTATCATCTGATTAGACAAGTTGAACACACTGATTTCATCGCTGGAAAAAAAAGCCAGGAAATATCACTCACTAATTGCCATCATTGTCTCATGCAGATCTTACAACAGAGATGATCTCTTATTCAATATAGTCATAAATGGCAGCTCTTAATTGACTGCACCATGATAATGGTTGTATCAATGCCTCCAACTAATTAGACTGAATTAGACTGAAACTGAGGGAGCAAGTCATCTTTATTTTGGGATTATCCTCAACCATGAAAGCAAATTTCAGAGCTGTGAACTTTCAAATTTCAGAGAAAAAAGGTTACAGGCTTTCAAAAGTATCCCACTGAACTGGTTTCTGAGAGGAAGACTCATGAATAAGTGTACAGTATGTATCCACACTCAGTAGACAGAGCTCTTTGTTACACACGAAGCCTCCAGGCTGTGTCGGCTATGAGAGAGGTCTGTTTCGATCTCGCTCACAGCTCAGGTGCAGCACATCACAATGAAAGAGGACGAGAAAACTGGTCGTCGAGCATTGCTGCGGAGCACGAATCACCTCTCTGTAAATTGATCTGGTTGTGAATTTGCTTTCTGATGAGTGGTTAAATGATCCCAGGTAGCAGGTGTTTGACAGTATTAGTTTCCATTCAGGAGGTTGTTTAGATGCTGACAAAGTGAAAGGACATTAAACTGACACTCTCTACTTCCTGGCATCACAAACCTGGAGCTCTATGTGTTCTTAAATCAGTCAATTATAAGAAAATGTTGAGAAACCACCCAGGTTTCCTGCAGCATTTTACTGTGAACTTTGGTCCTACACTGACTGTATACGCAACATATATATAGTATATGTGTTAGGAGTTTAAAAGGTACATATACTCTTAATGAGCTGTCTCTGTATGGCACTTTCAGGTCTGTGCAGAAACGTACTGACCTGAATATATGCAGTAATTCACATTCAAGGTCCAAAGCTTCAGTTTGTAGATGGCAGAGGAGCAGGAGAGAGAAAGCGCAGCTACAGTAAAATGCAGTAAAAACTCAGAATAATCATTTTTGATTACGTGACTATTTTGGTTCAGATATTAATCCACAATCAGTACCTCAAAATGAATAGTTAAATCTTTAACTAGTAGTTTACTCAATATTAAACTGAGCAATTATAAACCTGGGGTTAGAGGGAGTCCTTACTTTTAGGTCTTTGTTTTTGCTCTACCCATATTCAACATATCAAATCCAAAGGGTTGGATTCCTCTTAAATATACAGCTTCATATCCACTGAAGCATAAATGAAAGCTGTAGTTTCCTCTTGCTCACTACAGTCACCTCACTGTTTGTCCGTGTGTGTGAGGCAGAATAGGGTGAGGTAGGGTCCTCTGCACAGCACTTTTTAGTCCCAGAGAAATCGTTCAGGTCTCAATGGACCGCTGAAGCTCTGATTTTTGTCCATTCATGCCGTTTGTGTGCTTCCTGTCTCATGCTCGGGCCTTTTAAAAGTGGCTTTATCCCAGAGCTGGGATGTGTGACTGAGCAGCGAAGCATCCCTGGAGCATTTCTCTTGGGAGAAGCTGCTCCTCTTCATCTGCTTACCCCTATACCATGCTGCTGGTTTACACATGTATGTGTGAACCTTTACTATATGTGCCTGCTCAGGCAAATGTGAAAGTGGATGATGTGTGTCCTGTGATTGCACAGAGGAATGTGTGCTGCGTTAACGTCTGCAAGCAAAGCACAGTCACGGGTCAGCAAGTGCCTCAATCTGTTATTCCCAGATCCCTCTCTCTCTCTCTTTGGCCCCAGGAGCTGGGCAGCTTGCCTGCAGAGAGGAGAGGTGAGGCTAACACCATCCTGCACAGAACCACTACACCCCTGTCCTTAACGTCCTTCAGCATGAAGCACCGCCCTCTTAATTGGCTGATGAGTCAGTGTGTAGGTTTTTCTTATCCAATTATGGTGCTGCTTCACTGTCATCATTGAAGTGTCAAGTAAAAGGTTTAGACATTAAAGGGTGATTTCCACTGACCTTTTTTCCTACTCTGCTCCTGGAGTCCCTTTCACACATGAACTCCAGACAATGTCAGGCCATTGAGTTCCTGACATTTTCAGAAATTGCTCTTTCACACACATCCAACACAGACACAGACCTCTAATACAGTCATCTGCTCTGCTTTTATTTTGCCCTTTTTACTACCATAACATGTGCGTTGTCTCTCTTTCTTTCTATGTCATCAGCAGAGACACCACAGGCAACAAATATGACATATGTAGTAGGGGTAGGAGAAAAAATAGATTCACATAAGTATTGTGATTTTTTGTTGGACAGTTTTTAAATCGATTTTTATGTTCAAACTTTTTTATTTTTTTTCTAATTTAAGAATAAATCTTAAAAACTGACTAACGTGTGATGAGGATTTTTGGGGGAAATATGGTTCCTGGAATAGTCAGTGGACAATCATAATCATTCAACTGTTTCTCTGGTGTTAAAAATGCAGACTAAAGATTGAGGAAAATCGACAATATCGTAGAATCGTAATTTAAATCGAAGCGGCATCCAAAAATTCGTCGAAGGATCGAATTGGGAAAAAAGCATATTGTCAAAGCCTTAATATGTGTGAGAGATTTCTCACTACATTTTTGACAGTGAATTTTAATGTCATTTGGATCAAGAGGAAAACTGTTGAAGATTTTTGTAAAATATGTCACGCCATAAAGATTAGAACAACGATGCCGTGACAATAAAGTCTGGATTTGTGAATTTAGAGGTATTAACCAGCAGTTTTATTCCATCAAAAATTTGTTTAAGAGGTTTAACTCTTTTGCAATTATGTTTTATGGGAGAAATTCAATAGTCTCCCTCAGGTGTTTATTTGAAGTGAACACAGACTGTGGTGGAAGTAAATCTGTCAGAGGACGTAATGGATTTCTTGGCCAGTTGGTTTGATCAGCAGTGCAGTAAAGTCTTGAATGGATGAAGAGTTTGCTGTGAGGTAACTGGTGTAAATAGTGTTATCAGGCAGACTGCAGGAGGAAGCGTCCGTCATCAGCTGAGCGATCAAACCTTGGCTCTCCATCATGCTGGTATTTCCGACCACTGGATGCTGGACCCTGTTCCTCTTTGTGAGAGACGGATATTGGAAAGGTCATGCACTGATGAGCGGGTGTGTTTCCAAACACAGGCGCTACATGTGCTTCGAGTACAGGACTGAGAAAATAACTTCCCTTCTAGTTTGAGTTTTATTTTAAGATATGTAACGTTGGAAATTGTAGAGAGGCCTGAAAAAACTCTCAGATTCCTGCACAAAGTAATGCAATAACTTAAAATTTGAAAAAAAAAGGGAAGAACATGTAATTTATGTTTTACTCGGTTGCACTTCAAGGCTCTTGCAGCCACTTGCTCTTTAACCTTTGAACTCTTTAGTCAGCCTGCCAGCTTAGATTTAGATACTCCCTTTGTGGATGACTAGCGCTGTCCACACGCTAGGGTCATACGCAACACACACACACGTACAGACACACAAAAGCCCCGAGTTCTTTCTTCCGCAGTCAGAGGCCACGGCTTCAAAGAGCCTGTGCCCTGTGGCTCACCTTTTATGCCTCACCTCCATAATTACACCTTTGAGCTGAAAGCTACGTTGGTCTGAGTCCCCTCGTAGCCGTTAAGCTAAAGGCCACTCGAGCTGCAGATGAGCCGTTACAGTGCCACTAAATTAACCAAAGGTCAATGAGGCCACACCTGGTGGGCAGCTTGGCTTCCTTGCATTGGATGCGCAGCTTGTGTATGTGGTGCATAGGCGTGTGTGCGTGAGGCTGAGACAGAGTGAGAGGGAGAAGCTGCTCGGGATTAATGTTATTGAATTCTGTTGGAGGAGATTAATGGAACAGTGGTTTCATTAGGATCAAGAGCATGAGAGCGTATTGCTGTATCCTCCACTTGAGAGAAAACTGCAGTGAATGTATTACAGCTTGTTACAGTCCTTCCCTTATATCTTTCCTATATAGTGTTATTCATGAGTCATAAAGCCCAGTCTAAACAAAAGACAGTTTCCATGTCTTCACTTGTAGCTGGGGGTGTTTTGGATGGAGGTTGCACTTCTGAAAGATGAGACTGAACTCCCTTCTGGACATCATGAACACAGAACTCTAATTATTTTACAGATCCTCTGAGGAGGACATTAAGGATGGTCTTGAAGACAGATGGAGAAGAAATACAAGAAGACAGGCTGAGATAAAGAAAGGGCACAGGGAGAAAGACGAGTAATAAAAGCCAGTGTTCCTCCTCTTTTGTGCGGAGTCAAACTTGGCAGATCCCCAGGCTGCTTTCACCCTGATGTCATCGAACATATCTCTGACCTCAGCTAACATCTTGCCTAGCAGCGTAGAACCAAGTGATATGGCAACCAGATGACTGATTCGCAAAATTATCCAATGACGTAGTGCTTTTTGTACTTTTCTTTTTTGTGTGGGACCTTTCTCACCATACATGGTCACATTGAATCATGTGTTGCCTCCAGACACAGAAAAGAAGAACACAAAGCTTTGCGTGTGGTTTGTGACAGACCCTCTGAGGTCAAGAATATAAGTTACTCATCCTGGAGATAATGACATTCTCACTGTCAGTGTTAAATATCAATTAGGGAGCTTGACAAAATTTCCTATAAAGCAAAAACAGCTGACCAGGCGCTGAGCGAGAAGTTTGACATGGATTCAGAATTATTTGTTCACAGTTTCTGATAGTTTTAGGGTTTGAAGGAACCTGCCCTTTATACACCTCACAGCAGAGGATTAAACACAGTGGACATCCCACTCCTTGTTTGGTTTCAGAGGGGAGGAGGTGGCTTAGTAGGAGAAAGAGTAGTCATCTTTTATAAGGGTAACTGTCTCTGGGTTAAAGGGATATTCTGGGTAAAATTAAGTTATGGTCAAACACACTGTAACACTGAGTTAGACAGATAAATGTTGCTGACTGCTTGATTCTCTAGTTATACCAACTTTAGTAACGACCGCACAATAGCAATACACTGCGGTCTACGCCTCAATGCACAAACCTCAACCAAAAAGCCACTCTATAGCCACAAATAATGCTCAGAACAGCAGCTAACTTTATCAACAGTACATATAGGGTCCCAGCCATAGCTGTGCCTGGTTTCTTTAGAAAAGAGACTAAACACAGCTCACCCACTCTCCTCCAGCAGCTGCTTGTGTGTGGGGGAGCCCCGACAAGTCAATCACCGAATGCAGCGGAGTTGCGCAGCTCAAGAAAGAAACTTTATGATCATTACTTCATGGAAATGCAATTAGAGTTCTTGTTTATCTTGTATGTGCACCGCAGACGCGGTAGCTCTTCCTGTCTTAGCCTGATTCTGCCTTGGTCTGATTGTGTTCCCATGAAGTAATAATCACAAGTTTTCCGCTGCACTCTGTGATCGACTTGTCAAGAGCACTACAGCATGGATGGGGAGTTTTCCTCAAGGCAGACACAACTGGGTAAGAGAGTATAACTAACTAATGTTAACAAACCCTGGGTACTCTTTGGTCAACTGGCATCACTAACCCTGACAGAGGAGATCACACCAATCACATAAACAAGGAAGAGTGAGCAACATCTGACCAATCACAAGCATGAATAAGAGCATAGTCAGCAGATTATCGTATTTTACAACCTCAGAGCAAACTTAAAAATGTGGATGTTAAATATATAATCAACACGGCTGCATTTAAAATAAAATGGGTGCCGTTAGATAGAGGTGCTGGAGCGGAGTCTGGAATGGACTGCTTGTATCAAAGTGCTAATATCTGAGATTTTAGATGCAGGCCGATATAATCCGATATTCCAATTTTTGCTGGTATCGGATAGATATTTAATATCAATATCGTATCGGGACACCCCTATCCACCATCCAGGTTTCTTATCATGCGGGTGCTTTTATTTCACCTCAGCATTGCCTGTATTTTGTGACATGGACTAGCCTGTTTTCAGTGGCCGTTAAGTGTTTATTGTGTGTCTGGTTCGCACGTGCAGTCAAGTGTCTCCCTCTTTCTCTCTCCTGTCTTTTGCCTTTGAGTCTGTTAAGGTGGGGGTTAGCTCCTGTGTGTGTTGTTTGAGCTGATAGATAGCGGCAGACCGGCCATGACGTGTCCCTTGTTTCCTGTTGGAGGCCTACAAACACACGCACACCTACTCCGGTCTTCTTTACAGTGTCTCTCGTCGGTGTGTGTTCACCTCATGCTGCTATGCTCTTTTTCTTTGTCGTCCTCTTGTTTTTCGTCTCCCGTCATCTATCATGTGTCTCTCAACCATAAACATAGCTTATTCCTTTTCAGAGTTTAGTTTCTGTGTCAAACCCTTCTCCCTCCGCTCTCTTCCACACCCTTCATTCTTCCTGCCTCCTGTCGTGCCTGTTCTCGTTCCAGTGCTATTCAACTCGACTTCCTGTTGTACTTGATGAAAAGTGGTTAAAGTTATTCGTATGTACAGCAGCCCTGCAGTGTCGCTGCATCTCCAGTCTGTTGGACCTTTTAAGGGAAGGATCCAAAAAGCTCTGGCTGCCTCAGGGAGATGTTTAGCTGATGATTTATTGTAATACCTCCTTCACTATCTCAATTCTAGGGTTTCATTTTTCCAGGATGTTGCAGAAATTCACGACTTGAGTCAGCATTGTGTTCAGACTTTGCTGTGAGATCTGAACCTAGATAACTTCAAGGAACTGATCACTCAATGGGGGCCTCTGTTGAAAATGTGGGTCAGATTTGCTGTAATAACGCACCTTATTTAACAAGTTTGGGTTGGACGGATGAAATAATCAGGTCTGTCAGTGGAGCTGCTAGACCGTGTCCTGAGTCAGAGAGCGCATGTTTACATTAGTAATCCTTCCAGCACAATGGATGTGTGTTATCCATGTCACTCATCAGATGTGGACAGTGTGCTGCATAGGAGATAATACCAGCTGAGTGCCAATAGCTCAGGTTTAACAGGGATCTATGCTGTAAGCTTCCTGCTATGTAGGTTATGTCTTCATATCATGACAATCTGGCTGGATTAGGAATTAGGATTAAGCTATTGTACAGTATGTCAAACTTGTCTTTACAGTGTGCACTCACGCCTGTGTTATATTTATTGAGAGAAAGCAGTGCGTGCCTTTGTGCCAGTACATTAATGCATGCGTGCATGAGCATGTGTGTGTGTATGGATCTGTTGCAAAGTGCATAAGGAAAAAAAACCTGATTGCACCTACATGTGGTATATGTGTTAAAAATGTTCCTTTTGCCCACTGGCAAACAGAGCAATAATGCTGGGGTGTACAGTGAAGGCCACAAAGGGGGCTGAGAGAGGATCCGACAGCAGTTGGCTGTAAACTTACTCAGCTGGTTTTACTCTCAGTGAGGAGTGGAGATATGAGGAGAAAAAAAACACACAGCCAGGTTCACAGGTTCACAAAAACAAACACAACACAAGGTGGGGGCTTTTTCAGAACTACACACAGTATTTGAGTGTGTATATGCAAGAACACAGACCAACAGATGTGTGTTTATGAGTGTGTGTGTGTGTGCTTATAGAAAAGAGGGAAACACTTTGTGAGTCACAGGTCGACATTAGGATCAGTTCAGGATGTGTTTTGGAAGGGAATCCCAGCGTGAAACAAAGGATTAGTAGGGCCTCTCGTGTGTGTGTGTGTGTGTGTTATTTAGAGAGTGAGAGAATGAATGGAGTGTTAATGTAGTCTGTTATTAGTGTATTGTCCTGTGCAGATGTGGCTGGAGGACAGAGGGGGATTTTTTTAGTGAGGTGAAAGAGTTCAGGATCTCAGAGGGGTCAAAGGTGATTGATGAATATTTAGACATTTAGAAAGGTCTGTAAGTTTTTTGCTTTATTAGGGCCTGCTTCCACTAAAAGTACTTGTTGCAGTGTCAGTGCCCAAAGCATTTATTTGAGAGTGCTGCTCGTTGCATTTGTTTTATAAAACATCTTGAAATATCTTAAAAACAAGAGGTAGAAATGTGTTGTAGCAGCAGCAGTGGCAGCTCTTAATTTAGAAATTGTGACCTGAAAAAGTGGGTGTGGTCCTCTGTTTAGACCCCAGTTATAGATTTTGAAATCGCACCTATCTCTCCCTTATTTTGATTGGTTGATAATGAAGAAGTCAGCTCTGTGAGAACAGCATTAAGGAGAGCTGAAAATGCTAAGCTCTATCAGTTGGGTGTAGAGAAAATAGGCCCTACCAGTGCAAAACTGCTGCCAGTGGACACAGGCCCTTTTGCCATTTGACTTGATTGTTGTTTTTGTTCTGTAATTTTTTTCCCCTTATTATGAGTCTGTTGATATGCTGTGCCAGTGAAAAGACAGGATGTTTCACTTCTGTGGAGTAAAGTGAAAAGAAGGTTTCTGTTTGACAGTTAGATTTGCTGCATTGATTTGTATAATCACAGTTTTTTTTGTCTGTGAGCAGTGTGTGTGTGTGTGTGTGTGTGTGTGTGTGTGTGTGTGTGTCTGTCTGTCTGTCTGTGTGGTCCTGCAGCCTCTGAATCCTGTTTGTCTTTGTAGCATTCATCCCACATTCTGCCTCTTTGTCTGCCTGCCATATCGAGGTGTCGCCTTGTAAGCAACATGTGCAAACAGCCATGTGGACTTACCTGTGTGTGCATGTGTATTTACTGGTTTGTTTACATTTCCCACAATGTGTTTAGTATGCACACAAGCACTCGTAGAGACAATTTGTGAGGGTATTTTCTGCTGTGTGTGTGTGTGTGTGTGTGTGTGTGTGTGTGTGTGTGTGTGTGTGTGTGTGTGTGTGTGTGTGTGTGTGTGTGTGTGTGTGTGTGAGTTACAGAGAGACAGACTATGCCAGCAAGGCAGGTGTCAGGTGGAGTGACAGGTGGCAGCTGAGAACAGGGAGGATTTCCTCTTTTTAGTAACGGCTGATTACCTCCCCTTCCTTTCTCTGGCCATGCACAGTGAGTCTCAACCAGGAATCCCCTTTTAGGTTTGTATATTTGCAGTTTGTCAACATTGCAGAGTATCTAGTTAGTTTAAAAAGTGTAGAATTGATCTTTGAAAATGTATTTGAGATTGTAAAGAAAATAAAAATGATCCAAAATGTGTAAAAACTTAAACTGGATCATTGTGTCTCCTACAAGCATGAAAAGTAGGGTTCATTTCCTATTACAGTTAACAAACAAAGGAAAAATTCATCTAATTTTCAAGCTGCATATAGTGAAAATTTAACTGTGAAATAAAAAAAGATCACTGTGGTCATCATGGACATGAAAAGTTAGAAACAGTAAGTGTTGTCACAGATGGTCTAGTTTGTTTTTGTAGCTCACATCCAGGCGTCGGTATTAATTTCAGTCTGTTCAAACCTCCTGGCAACAGTTTAAGTAAAAACATTTATTTTGACTCTTAGATACTCTGTCAATATACATTTTTAGACTGAATCATAACAGCTGTGTGCAGAATTTCTGAAAACAGAGATGAGATTTTGATGTAAAGGGGAGCTGACAAGAAAGAGGAAGAGGGAGACACACAATGACAAGGAGAAGGAAACGGGGTAATGGAGGGTTAAAATAAGCTGTTAGTGTGAGACAGGGAAGGAGGAGGAGGGATGCAGTTGTTTGTTTTCCACGTCAGTCCTGTCTGAGGGATCTCCCCCGTGGGAAAAAGACATCTTTACCATCAAAGAGCAGACAGATACTGTAAAACCGCCACTCTGTCTCCTCTCATACCTCTGACTCACTTATCGCTGTCTTATCTCTGCGGCTGCATTAGTCAGCTGCAAGTTGAATCGGATTCAGTTACAGATCAATATCATCTCCTGGTGGGCTGTTGTGAGCCCATAAGGCTTTCCTATTCTTCCATAAATCTGCCCATTATGTGTGGAGTTTCCCGGTGGCACACACACACTCTCCCTCCCTTTCTTCTCCTCATGTGTTGACCCCAAGTCAGTCAGGGTCTCTTGACCTGCCGTCACCCCACCAGATTAGTTGCCATAATTATCACACTCCATTAAACTTCCATGAACAGCTGAGATGGCCAAGAAGTGAGGGGCCCAGCTGTCTCCTCTGTGGTCTAATCTGCGGATCCTCATCATCCTTGTATGTGTGCCTCAGGTCACCATACAGGCTAAACACACGTATGAACCAGCAAGCATAGACAGGATCAACCCCTCTGTTGTTAGATCTGGCGCATGTAAACACACTGAAGACCCAAACACGTCTTCATTCTTCACACTGGAGTGGACACAGTAGGGATTAAAGAGCTGGAAGTGATTACAGCAATAAAGAGAGTCTATCAGTGTGAAGTAGGTTAATAACGTTTGTTTGGCTTTCTCTAAATGTTTGCTTTAGAGGAGGGTGTAGAAGAGCTCTATGTATTTTGGTGGGTGGGCTGGAGTTGACAGCGTGTTAACAGTTAACATGTTAACTATGTCAGTTTAACCAGACAGCTTATGAACAAGTTTATCTCCACATATGTCGTCTGTGCTTGTTTACATCTGGGTAGTAGTAGAGCGTTTTCTCTAGGGATGGGCGATAAACTGAAAATTTAGGGATACCAAAATTGACGACAATAACCAACGTCATTCTGCCCATGTCAATATATTCGGTACCAAATAAATAAAGTTGGTTTTTAATGTGTGATCTCATGTCCCTTTAAGACACTGTCCTATGTCGGAGGTGTGACTCCACCCTACCCAGTCCGTAACAAAGAGGGAAAGACAGGTGAGGAGATGGAGGACGGTTCAAGAGTTGTAGAGGCTGGAGCGGTGACCTAAGTAGACAAAGTTAATGTGGGAGGGGGTGAGCAACTTGTGGAGTAGTTATCGTCCATTTATGGTTATCGAGATGAACTGCTCAATATATCTTGATATTGATTTGAGGCCATATCGCCCAGCCCTAATTTTCACATTACAGCAGTATGCTCCAGCTTAGGCATTTGAATAAAAATGTTATTAATTCATTTGAATTGTTGGTAATTCTGGTGCAGATTAGTTAGGGTGATAATTTTTAGACGTTTACAAATCAGGAAGGCTCTTGCTGACTTTGGGGATCAGCTTTCCTCGAGCCTCTGCTAAGAAAGTGTTAGCATCATCACTCATGTGGTTTTCCTCTCACTGTCTCTAACGTCCTTCTTTCCTATCTTCATACCTCACACACACTCTTGCCCTACTCTGCCAGTCTTGTAAAACATGACACCGTCTTTTCATTTCTCCACTCTGTTTAAATCAATCTTGCCGACGGCTGCTCTCATGTCTGACTCTCTGCTCCTTTTACTCTCTCTGTCCTGTCATCTCTTTGTTTCTCCCTCCTCTGACCTGTCTGTCCAGTGAAGCTGGTTTTTCCGGTTGTTGGTGGCAGCGTGTTGACATTTCCCTCTGCTGATATTTAAAACGTGACTCCAGAGTTTGTGCATGTTAAATCAAATGCATATTTAAATGTTACACATTCTTGTAAACCGAAAGTGGTACAGACATCCTAGGTGTATTTGATGCAGCTGATTATGAAGGAACCTAAAATGAAAGTGAGACACTAGCCATGTTAACATGTGCAAAATTTCTTTATCTGATTAAAAATGAGAGGGATTGAATAATCTGAATCCACTGTTTATATGGGCGCAAAGTCAAATGATCCAATCATGACGTGCGTATACATGCACCGAATTTTATTTAGATTAGAAGCATTTGGACATGCGCATAGTTGTCTGATTTTGCGCAAACAACTGCAGAAGAAGAGTTGTATTTAAGCCTGTGCTGTCAACAAACAAACAAACGCAGTAGTGGCTCACTTCATTCAATTCAGGAGTTTTCCCCTCTGTTAAATGTTGTCACTAGATGGCGCCCTTGCCTACTTATTTTACTGTTCTGTCAAAGGTTGCGCTGTGCGTGCAGATGTGACATCATTACATCGTATGTTCGCCTTGTCATGTTATCGAAGGAGCAGACGCAGCACCTGCGGTTGTGTTTAATGCCAGAGTGTTAAAAATGAAACTTACTGACCTTGATACACTAAAGGCTAAAGAGTGAAGACCGAGTTAGGTAAGAGAGTCACGATCAGAGTGAGTGTTTACATGGACGCGTTAACAATCGGCATAAACTACCCCTCTCGATCGGAATGCAATTTCTTTCCGATTAGGCTGAATAGGATCAGAATCTGCTGAAAAGGATCGGAATCTTCTGATCAACACGTTTACATGACGCTTTTTTATTCATATCAGGTATTTATTCTGGTTATTTGTGCCCATGAAGAACATGAAGCAAAAACACACAACAGTCAAACAATAATAAGATACTGCTGCAAATAAAGCCAGCAAAGGTGGAAATTTGCCTGGCTGCCTTTTTCTTTGGAATAAATGCTCTCTGTGTTGATTGTTGACAGATTTAGAGGCTCATAAAAAGTCTGTGAAAGTGTGAAATTACACTAGCATTAAACTAGTTCTGAAAACCAAACAGAAGAGCAGAGTGTTTTTTCATTTATACTCCCGTATAAATAGGATGTGAGGAGAAATTTTTAAAAACTAATGAGGTGCAAATGTGTCAGACAAATTCATACTAAATCTGTTCCAACACTGGCAGGTTTGGAGGTAAAGTTTTCATTTTTGAACAGCTTGGTGATTAATTCCTGGTTTTCTTGGCCACACAGGGAAGATTAAACAGAGGCTGGTTAGGTTTATTTTGAGGAAAAAAAACAAAAGGTCCACATTTTTCGGGCCTCTCTTCAGGCGTGAATCAATAGAGCTTGGTGAATAGACTCAGCTGACATGACATATGCTGGGGCTGAGTGCCTGACATTGATGATTTATTCTGTTCCCTAATGGGTCGTGAATCTGATCGATTAATCAGCAAGGATCAGGTGTCCAATCAGAGGAGCTTTAATACTTGGCATGTGACCACCTAAATGTGTGCTGGCATCGCCCCATCACCCACTGAATCACCCTACACTCTATTATTGTGCTGGTCTCCAAGTCCAGGACCCTCTTCCTGGTTACTCGCAAACACAGTGTGTGTTGTCCCTCCCTCTTAGATCCACACACACACACGCCTTCCTCTCCCCTCACGGTGCTCCACACCAACAGGAAGGAGAGAGGAAACAAAGAGACCACTTCCCGTGCGTACAGCCAGCGTGCTACACAATAGAACAGGAAGTGCCTGGCAACTGTAAGAGAGGCTGCAGAGTGTGAAGGAAAGATAAAGTGCTCTCTCCATCCCCCTCTCATGCCTGTCATTTTCCATCACCCTCTCTGTAAGGGCCTGACCTTCTCCTGCCTGCCTCTGTTTATTTTGCCTTGATGTCCTCTTCATGGAGGATCAAATATTCCTGCTTTTATTTTCAGGTTTCTTTCCTTTTCCAATACATTTGCTCGACTTTTTCTTAATTTGGTCTCATTCACTGAGGGAACAATCAATCTTTTCAGTGCAGTCACGCCCCATGTCAGACCAACTCTCCAGAGGGCTGCTGCTGTCACCATGGCGACCTTTGCCTGGGATGGACAATCTTGGACAGCAGGGGACTCTGGACTTTACAGATGCTCAAAGCCTTGTTTTAAATCAAGCCTGCTGGCCCGGCTGCATTGAGCAGACTGACTCACATGCTGCCAAAGGTCGTCAAAAGAAATAAAGCAAAGTTAAAGCAGTCATGACGCAAAGATTCAAGCACCTGAGTGGCAGCAAAGACATGAGAGAAGAAAGAGTTAGGACAAGGTCAGTTTTTCTTAGAAAACACATACAAACACCCAAAAATGGAGACTTAAAAGGATCCACGACTACTCGTCCTGGCCCATCATGATTCATCCCCTCTCCCTCCCCTCTGGATGTCCACTCTTTACGATTCCAGGCTCCAACCTTCCCCTAGTGTTACTCTCGGGAGGAAGGTCTTCACTCTGCTCACAACTTCAAAGAACTCCCCCCTCTCCTCCTCCTCCTCCTCCTCCTCCCTCTTCTTCCCCCCCTTACCTACTCAATCCCTCTCTTCCTCTATTTGTATTCTTCCTCTTCTCTCCATTGTTCAATCAATATCTTTCCCCCTTTTTTCTGCTTGCCCCCCTCCCCTCTTCTTTGTTGCCTTCTATCTCTCAGCACCTCTTTCCCTTTCCTACCCCTTCTCGTACTTTTTTTTCTCTCGCCGTCCTCCTCTCTTCAAGTGAAACACATCAAAAGCATGCTGTCTTCCTCTCTTGTGGTGGTCATTTATCCCAGTGGTTGAGCTGGGAGGCGGGCTTCATGCCAAGGCCAGGTATCCTCAGGGGAACATCTGGAAACACACACTGCACCTTATCTGGTGAAGAGAGAGAGAGTGGAAAAAGAAAAAAAAGCCCATAAAAGGAAATTATGTCATACTTTGTGAAATATGTACCAGGCATTGTTAGTGAGTGAGTGGATGCTGGAGCGATCCCACTGAGACCCAACAACAAGGCGATAATCCAGAATGACTTGCATCTATTTTCTCTTTTTTACTTTCCATCTTCACAACTATTTTTAGAGAAGCTTCCCATTCCAGGAAACGCAATAAAGCCAGTTGTCACAGCATGAAATACTGCGCTGAGAGGCTCTGTATGGCATCTATTTAAATAGCTGCAGAACTCTGTACCACATAATATCTCCCTTCAGTCAGGATTTTGCAGCAGGCCTAACTATGGGTCTCCACAATGACATGCCTCTATTATCAAATTTCCTGCTCTGCTGCTCTGTCATGCTTTCCATGAGAGAGAGAGAGCGACACTTCTCAAGTTAAAACGCACTGCTTTTGCAACTTTGCTCTGATTTATTTGATCTCCTTAAGGTAACTCTGTAGTTTGTGTTGTGTTTGCTCATTGTCTCACTGAAGTTAGTTAATTCTTAAATAGTTTGCAAAGTTTGTTTTGTCTGTTTCCTGCCAGATCATGGTTGCTACTGGAAACCACACAAAAATATGCAAAATAATTAATGTGCAAATGTACGGATTGTGCTCATGTCTCTGTTCAGTCAGTGGTGACCTTCAGTCAGAGGCAGCAGGTAGTGTCTGCTATGCTGTACAGATTAGTTCAGCTTGAAACGAGCTGCAGACTTTCATTAGCATTGTAAATCCTTTGAGGGTCAGCCACGGGCCGGCATCACGCTCTCAAAGGCACAGTGAAGAACAGACATCTGTCACTCACCCTCACACTGTATATACAGTATCTCCTCCATCTCTGCTTGCAATGGCCCACATCTGCATTATCAGCGTTGCACAGAAGAGGGCAAAACTCATTGATAGGGATGTGCTTAACTGTCTCTGAGATCAGTAGGTGCTCTTCAGGCTAAGATGTACCCTGTATGACTTTTAAACAATTCGAGGCTCATACTTGGATGAAACAATAACATTACTTGAAGTATGTGATTGAGTTTTTCTGCTTCATCACTGTAAACTCTGCAGCAGACACGTTTTGCATCTTTTCTTGCTTTTGCTTTTGCTCCCGTGATCAGCCGTGTCTTCCTTTCTACTATTTATATTAGCGGACTATTTCAACACAGTGTTTCGGAGTATGAGCTTATCAAACCAATTACTTAACACTGTGTAAAAGAATATAGAGTCAGAAATCTCAAGAAACAACATGTGGAAAGAAGGGGTGGGAATCACTACTGGCCCCACGTTATGATATCATCACGATACTTGGGCCAACTGTTTAGCCAATATAACATTTGTCTTATTTACACTGTATTTTATTTTCATGTGGCACTTCTTGCAAACCTTATATATATTTGTTGCACAAACTTTCTCCTGCTTTATGATGTCATCTCTGCCAACCTCACTGGACAAACAGTTGATTTAAATTTTCCATTATCATAGATTTGACTTCATATTAGCAATTTTTTGAAAAATTGATCCTTGGTAAATGAGATGATACGATATAACACCAGACAAAATATCGCAATACTATGCTGTATCGATTTTTTTCTCCCACCCCTAGTAGTTAGAGATTAGTATTTAGTGCATTTTCATTACCTTATCATTTCAGACTTCAGTTACTCAGTTTGGAGGACATTGAAAATGATCAAAATGGAGACAATAAAACCAAATAGTTGCAAGAACACATTGTTGACATGAATTGAATATTATTTTTTTCTCTTTTATTCCTTAACCTTGCACTTTTCTATTTTCACATTATTCCCTCACAGCCACATGCATTTAAAATTGATCCAGCTCCAGTTCAAACCTGTCCTTTGTTTCTTTCCACACATCATAAACAAATCAGGATACATGTACAGTTTTAATGGTTGCATCTGCTCTCTCCCTGCAGCAGATTACCAGCAGAGTACCAGATTATATCTCTTAAAATAATAGAGATCATCCTTTCAGCACTCTGAGTTTAGCCCGCATGTAAACACAATAGTGTAAACATAAACCCACATGTGAAGAGGATGTGTACTGTGGCCTGTACGGGTCAGGGGATGGAGTGAACTTTTTATTTGTGCTGCAGGAGCAAGTTGATTGTTTTTTTTTTAAAGCTTGGCCTTTGTTAAAGAGAGCTGATCAGACAGAGCTCGGACTCATTAGGAGAGCACTCATTAAAAAACACGCTCACAGACACTGTGATAGATGAGTACAGGCTAAGCGCTGCCACTTCTCATGCACACACACACACTCTGAAGACAAGGTTTCACTTCAGCACTGTGTCTCAATCTGTCAGGATCTAGTTATGATAGAATCAGGCTTTGTCTGCTTCATACACTTACTCTCTTGGTCTCATACACTCCTCACACATCTTTGTGCTGCTGCTGCTCCAGGCCATTGAGGAATAATGCTGTTATAGTCTGGAAGCATGCTGTAATGGTGAGGTGAAATGTGATCAAATACGATAAGGGAATCTTCTCAGAAAAAAAGAAACGTAAAATAAAGAAATAGATGAAACTATTAACTACTTTGTACTATTTCAATGTGTTAAATGATAATGTGGTAGAAGAACGAGAACAAAAAGAGAAGAAGAAGCTGTGCAGACAGAGAAGTGATGGTGTGGATACCATCAGGCTGCACATCCCTCTAGCACCCTCTGTTGGACACATTAGACAAATGCCCACCACTCACTTGGAGCGAGCACTCATACGGCTGGTAGAGATAATCTCAGATTTGTAAGTAAGTAAGTGTTTTTGTACAAGTTTATATATAATATATTTGTGTGTGTGTGTGTGTGTGTGTGTGTGTGTGTGTGTGTGTGTGTGTGTGTGTGTGTGTGTGTGTGTGTCTGTGTGTGGTATTAATTGTGGTTCTTGTGCCTCTGAGTAATAGACTCATTAGAACAGGAGCTGTGCACATGTGCTCCAGCTGGACTGTCTCCTTATACCACCTCTGCTCTCATTATTATAGTGCCTGCTGTGTGTGTGTGTGTGTGTGTGTGTGCGCGCGCATGGTGAGGTGGGATCTCATATGGGGCTACCTTTAATGAGCTCTCTCTTATTTCTCTATCTCTTTCACTCACACCCACTTTGACACCAAAACTTAAACACATATTTTCCTCACTGTCTATAATCGGAAAATGATCAAACAGTGATTGACACACATCCTCTGTCTTCTCCTACCTTAACTTTCAGTCTATGTACAGTATTTGTTTTCTCTTGTCTGACAGCGACCAGATGTCCCAGCCAGCCCTGGTCCTGTTAACACGAGCCTGGGCTGTGTTGAGCTGTGGTGTTAAATTTTAAAAGGCTTAAGTCTGGCCTTGAGAGCACTATCACTGCTCCGGTATAATTGTTTGGGTACGGCTAGAGGAGTGCCATTTGGCTGAGGAAAGTGAAAGTGCCACCACGCTGAATTATAGATGAACAATTTTGTAAGTATACATCCTGCAAAGTGTTGGCAAATGCAAGCTTTTAAAAATACGTCACAAGCATAGATTGTTTTTGAAGGTTGGTATTGACTATTACTTCCTGACGTCAATAAAGGAAGGTTCTTGGTGAATGAGCTTAACTTTAAAAAAGGTAACAGGGAGAACTTGAGGCGCTTCTTTCCTGAAAAATGCCGTCTCAAATGCGCCGGAGCGTTGTGTTTGCGGTGCAGAGAGGTTGTAAATGAAATGTGGAGGAACAGATGGTGTTGGAGAGAAGGTGAGGCTTGTGGTCATCCTTGTCCAAAGCCTGCATGGTGAGAGTGGCCTGTTGTCCTGTTTGTTTGCGCCGGAAACAGGGAGAATCATAACGGAGTGGTGAGTCATTTAATCCATGCATGTGAGCAAAACAGAGAAAAACACTTTCAATTTTGTATCTAGATGTAATCTGTAAGGACTCCATGAAAACCTTTTATCTCTTAACATAATTCTGCTTCTCATGCGTTGCAAACTTGAGTGCACCAGCAGGCGTTGTGTGTGTCCACTTGCTTGTTCTGAAGCTCTGCCCAGGTGTTGTGTTGATCCCCACACACTTGGATAGTGCTTCACTCTCTGTAAACTAGGGAAATATAAGGTCTCTCTTCAGTGTAGATGACATGAAACAGTGAGTCTTTAGTACAGTTTGTGCTGAGCAGGGTAAACACGGCACATGTACTTTTTCATTTAATCATAGCACTGATGCTGGACTCCCCTCTGAGCCCCGGTCATGAATCACAGGCAAGAACAAAAGACTTTGCCATATGGAGCTGAGCTTGTTATCCATAGCCCCTGACATATAGATATGGATACACAAACACACACACACACACACACAAATGCCCAGCTGGGGCCACGGCTTCTATCTCTTCTATGTGTGTGTCTGTGGTTGCACGCTCAAATTGGATTGCCATGGTGCCCCTGTGAAGATGTTTAGCTGTTTTGTTTCTCTTATGCAAAGACCCCCTGCTCTCTCCCACCCTGCTTACCCACACTATAGCAAAGGTGCTGAGGTGCAAGTGTGTATGCAAAGGGTTTAATGGCTTAGGCTGTGTCAGGCTGGGGAAAACATGCTCATTCATATGATAATCTCCAAACAAAGAAAAAAACAATAAATCTGTAAAACATCCTCTGAAACTGACGGAGAAGGGGGCAGATCCCACCGAGCCGCAGCTTCAGATGGGACACCAGCTTGCGTATCTCATCTCAAACATGGGAGACCTTTGGATTTAGGCCACAAAGACACACAATGGAAACTGTTTCTGTCATGATAATAGTAGCCTAAGCAGTGTTACCGCTGGTAAGGACAGTAGGTTATAGTTGTTATTGTGTCTGATGGTTTAACATTGAGGAAAAAAGTAACTATCTTAGCATATGACGGGGTATAGCTGCCACTAGGGCTGGGCGATATGGGCAAAAGTTTATCACAATATATTTTTTTCATGTCAGTCAATATCGATGATATCACGGTATAAAAAATCACTTGTCAATCTGAAATGTTCCCTGTTACCCTCAAATGAAATTTAACAGTACTTATTGGTAGCATGTCTTTGGAAATACAAGAAGCTACTGCATCTGTGAGGTCTTTGTGTCTCTTTGACATTTTGTCGAAAGGCGTTGCACCAAACAAAGCAGACTAAATGGTTGGCTGTTTTGGCGCCATGGGCTCCTTGCTCTGCTCGGGGTTCGTAACCTTTTACATTGTTGGTGCTCTGCTGCGTGGCACTGCTTCAGGTGGTGAAAAAGATTTTGAGGTATTCCCCAACTTTGTGTGAACATGAACTCGACATAATTTGCAGAGCACACTTCTCTGCTTCATGTCCGACCTCAAAAAACAAAATACCTCCACACCACCGACGTATTCATGCCAGTGTTGTCAACGATGTTGTCGTCTGTTGAGCCTTCATCTGCGTTTCTGCCAGAGGTAGCACTCATTTTCTTTTTTCTCATCGACAGTGCTGTCAGCGTCATGTGTTAAAGTGCTATGGTTGCGTGTAGCTACACAGTGTTTTGCTACTTGGTTCTAATTCAGCACATGATTGGTTCAGCGCGGCGCAGACCCGAAGCAACACACCTTTTCATTGGCTATTAGTGTGGTCTACCAAACCATGGGAGAATGCCAGCTATTGAAAAGCAAATTGACTTTGTTTCATATCGATATTGAGGGAAATAAATTTTTAATATATATCATTATCGTTTAATCACCCAGCCGTAGCTGCCACAAAGTTTGTTCTTACTTTCATGTCCTTATCACTCAATGAGACGTCAGAATATCCTGTGGACATCCTGAATTCCTCTCAGTAGCCTTTAGAGCCATCTTTCAAGAAAAGTGTGTTGTACAGACAAAATGCCATTGTTTCAGCAGGCTTGATTTGTGCGCACATTTACTTGAGTTTGAGGACATGTTCAGACAGTGAAAAATGTCCTGTTTCGGGAGCTTGAGAGAAAGAGGAATAAGAATAAAGAGGCTTATCTCCTGCTGCATCTCTGTCAGTGCTTTGACCTCAATGATCAAACAGGCTCTTGGCTGATAGTTGCCCATTACAGTGCTTTTTAAAACAACATACACTATAACTAGCAAAACAAGTCCAATTTATTCACTTTCATGCATCAGCATTGAGTTTATTTTACAGGTCCTCTGAGGGAGGTAGAAGGTCTGACTGTGTGCTGTAGAGCTGAAAAGCATCTGGACAGTCACAAGATAACCCATCAGGGCCGGCCGCTCTGGGTCTTTGACTCTTTGAATAGAGATTGAAGGTTTACAGATGTGAAGGCCTGAATGGACGACACCTGAGAAACTTCTTTTACAATGAGAAACTTAATAACCCTCAACATCTGATATCAGCTTTGCCATGAGTTTTCTCAACACTGGCTCAGGTGTTTAATGACTTCATATTAAAACAAAACATCTTCTTGCGTGTTAAAAGACACAGCTGGACACAGCTCCAGCTTTAAAATTAGGTATCATGCTTTTTGTTGTAGCCGCTTGAGCTTTTTGCTCTCTGTAACTACTCCACCAGCGCTAATGGATTGGCCAAATGACAGCAGCACACATGATTTTATGCAGCTAAAGAGGGATATTGAAAGAGTTGCCACCAGCAGGATGGATATATTGAACTGCATCCCATAACTTAATCAGCGTGGAGTACAGTTGGTTGGCACTTCTGAGTCTAGCATGAAGACAACTGTAGTTTTTACATGGGGGTGGTGTAGCTGCAGGCAGACGCTATTCACAGATTCCTGTGTTTATTGCCAGAGTGAGGCTCCCAGCCTGGTCATGCCTGTCACACAGATGTCTTGCTCCACAAATCACACACAGGAACCTAAAAACATATAAGCAGCATGAAAGGAGCTCTATCATTGGAGTTTCAGGTGGTTTGACATGTTGGTTTTTCAGTATGTTTAAATATAAAAACCGAGGTAAACCTGCATGACACTCCCTGCATATATAAAATCAATAGTTTTTATGGCTTGGCCTTTTGTTTGCTGCTCTTTGTTAGAGATGAAGCTTGTTTTTATTGGAGCATGATGCTGGTTAGGAGAGGTTGTCCTGTCGTCTGTGTAGGAGAGACGTGTGTTTACACCGCTGTCAAACTCTGGCTCAGAGCCAGACCAGCAGCACATTGCTCAGTGCAGCCGGGGCATCATGCATTTGAATGGAACAGAGATTAATATGTTTGGACTGGAGCCACATCTCCCTCACACAGACACATGTTCAGATATTTGTCTGTAAACCCATTGATAAGATATTCTTTCCTCATGGCTTAACGCAGAACCTCACATTTCGACCAGATTTAGAAACATGATATTTAAGATCTGCCTAAAAAGTCTCTATGGTTGAAAAGATACTCCTGTTCCTGATCTCAAATGTAGACACACAGGTGACCAGTTCATTCCTACACTCTAGGCATGTGTGTGTGTGTTCGTGTGTGTGTGTGCAACATCCCCATCTGGATATTTGCTCTTGAGTGGATCAGCATCTGTCCCTTTGTGAGGACTGGTGCAGGCATCACATGTATGTATGTGTGTGTGTGCGCGTGTTTCTTTGATGATGTGTGTGCGTGTGTGTGTGTACAGTATCAGTGTTTTTTTCATCACTGTTAATTATGAACCCCCCCACCCTCCTTGTCTGCTCCCCAAATCAGTGCACAGCTGCAGGCCCCCCCTGAGTAAAACAGCGCTGCAGCTAATGTCTTATTATTCACGCTGTCTGTCTGCTCACCAGCCATACAGAGCCTGGGGGACGGAGGGAGATTTGGGGATGTGTGAGCATGTGTGTGTGTGTGGGTGTGTGTGCATATGAAATGAGGGAGCTATGTATTAGCAAAGTGGTAATAGAGGGCTCACTCAGTCCCCTAATTCATTGGCGCTACTTAATTAAAAGTGATGCGACAGTGTGATTGGAGCGGTTGATGGATGGAGACCAAGACATGCCCAGACCCTCTAGGATCATGGATATCAGTGCGCGTGTGTGTCAGCATGCGTCTGTGTGTCAAGTGAAAGGAAGAGGAAGTCATTACCTTTTTAATCATATTCTCCTTAATGTCTTTTTCTGTTTTCCTTCCTTTTATTTCCTCATCCCCCTTTTTTGTCTCTGGATTCTCCCTAAAGCCTCCCTCGTGTTCGCCCTGCCCCCCTTTCCGTTTCTCCAGCTGGCTCTCAGTGTCAAGCTCCTTGTCATCTTCAATCAACCCCTCTTTTCTGTAACACTTAGCCTTTTTCCTCCCGTCCCCGACTGTCTTTAACCTTCCAGTGGGATGTGTGTCAGAGAAATGATCCAACACTGTGCAGACATGTCATTGAGTGTGACTCAAGCTGTACAGAAGAATAAATCTGGACTCACTGTATGTGTTGATGCTTTGATATATTTTGGCTTCATTGAAGGTTATCATACTGCTGTGCTCAGCTGAAAGCTGCTTCCAGTATGTGATTCAGTCTGGAATCAGACCATGGAAGCTGGTCTGTGACTTCTCTTATGCACTCCTGTTTTTGCTGCATTAAAGGCTGTGATTATACTTAACTCTGAGACCCCCGAGTAGAAGCCCTCATGTAATGTGATGGACTTGAACAGAGCTGTCTAAAAGGGAAAATCAGAGATGTTTCAGGATGAAAGATTAATAAACCTTTACATTAAACAAGGCAGACTAATATTTATTCATTACATTTCCACTTTTCTCACTGGTGAGTTAATCCAAGCTTGATTATTAAAGGATACCTGACTCCACATGTTTTGAACTGGAACTCTGACTTTACGTTAGGTTTCATCATTTTGACCCTTGTCTTTGTGTCTTAATTTATCTTGTCCTTCACATGCTTTGGTGGTTGTTTATGACAATCCCATCCTGCTAGCTTTTAAAAGTCAAATTTATAATTTATTTAGAATATCTTATGCAGAAATGATGAAGACAGGGCTGGTAAGCTGGTTCTGATTCTGCTTCTTCAGCTGCAAGGACTAGACTTACTCCGTCACACTGGTTTTTAATTACTGTAAAAGTTGGATTATGTGTTTTTAAAAGATCAATTGTCTTTATTTCACAGATTTCTTTAGTTAAGACAGAAGACAAACCAGTATCTTAAATATCATATATAAGAAGCTGAAAGTAAGACTTTTCTGGAAGAACAGAAGTTAAATACTGAATTTTAGGATGGTTTAGGATTAATTTGTGTATCTAAATTAAAGGCGCTGTGAGGAGACTGATTCCTCTTTATGACTCACATAGTTGTTGTTACTAGCAGACTTGATTATTTCTTCATACAGAAGTTTTAGTGTCTGTGTTTGAGTTGGATTTTCTGTAAAAATCTCCCAGTTAAATTTTGGCAGTGAAATATGATAAGAAGAACTTTATTGATCCCCAAAGAGAAATTCAGTGTATCCTGGAGTGTTTTTCCTTCAGATTATTTACTCTTTACATAGTATCAACGCAGGTTTGACAAAAATGCTTACACATTGTCTGCTGAAGCATTGTGAAAGACAGGGTAAATCTACAACCAGGGCTTTACAAGGTAACAGAGCAAAACGGCTCTGAACGGAATTTCATGTTGACGCTGGCTTGTGAATGTTTCACTGCTCTTTAAAAACAAAAGAGTTCAACTGTGTGTATATTTGTGATATTTGTAAATTCACTGGGACACCAGAGCACACACTGTGACATTGGGGTTGAGAGGGGTAAAGCCAAAGTAGGAAGTCCGATCATAGTTTAGACCCAAACTTCAAATAATGGATCAGAGTTTGCAAAATTCAGTCACTGGTACAGTGCTGTTGTACTTGTCTCCTCACTCTGCATCCTGCCCTGAACAAAGAAAATCAGTGTTAAGAAGATCTGATTTTCGTGCACTTGCTTCCACAACAAATGCAGATGTAGGCAAGAGCCGCATCTTTACATCAGTGGGTGATGTGCATTCTGGGAAATCATCACCTATTTTGTCACCAGAATCATCACAGCATCAGAGACGCTCTAAGAAGGGCTGGGCGATAAACCGAAAGTTTACTAATACAGAAATTTACGACAATAACCGATGCCATTTTTCCCATGTCGGTAAATTCAGTGTCAAAAAAATAAATAGATAAAAGTTGGTTTTGTGTGTGTAGGTAGGCTATGGTCTCATGTCCCTTTAAGATGCTGTCCTATGTCAGAGATGTGACTCCACTCCATCCAGTCCATAACAAAGAGGGAAAGACAGGTGAGAAGGTGGAGGACGGTTCAAAAGTTGTAGCGGTTGGAGTGGTGGCTGAGGTAGACAAAGTTTATGTGGGAGGGGGTGAGCAGCTTTTGGAGTAGTTATCGTTTATTTATCATTATCGAGGTGAACTGCTCAATGTATTGTGATATTGATTTGAGGCCATATCGCCCAGCCCTAGTGCCACTTTAACAGTCTTCTTTATCAGGCTTTTTACCGGGAAGCTTTTCTATTTGACGGTACTGTATGTTTCCTCTGTAGATTGTGTGTATCACATGTGAACAGCCTCTTATCTTATGAGCTTAAGCCAACACACAGAGTATATGTGTTTGACCCACTAAGTTCAAGGTCACTTGTAGTTCATCTCAGTCTGTAGAAACACAGGAGGTGATCCATTGTGTGTATGTGTGGGTGTTAGCTTAGCTGTTTTTGTGTGCGCTAGCAGGCAATAATTGAGCCTAATTATATGCAGCTATTCACGGAAAGTTACTGCCACAGGGTGAATAGGTCTCTAATTTCGAAAATGAAATAGCAATCCACGCGCACGCACACACACACACACGTGCACACACGCTCAGGCAACGAGCCCACTGGGACAGCTGTAGTACTCTTTCTCCTACCAGTCTAAACACACAGCAGTGTTTTCCTGCACATCAAAGGGCTCCCTGCACACAATAAGCCATATTTTACCCCTGCAAAGCTCCTACTGCACTTTAAAAATTCTCACCTAGCAATTTTAAGGAAGAAACTCCAGGAGAATAAGAGCTTGAAGAGGTTAGAGAAACTGTATCTGTATAGTATCATCGCAGCCTGATCTCTCTGTCCAGGTGAATGTGTGATAGATCCACTATAAAGCAGATTCATATAAATAAACCTGCACCTGTGGACTGCCAGATGTTGTTGCAAGCATTATCTTGTGTGCTACGGTCGCCTGCATCTGTATGGACGCTTCCTCTTGACAATGAGAAAAGGTTTGCATGCTGTAACTTCACCTTTCCAAACGTGTTTTAACAGGCGAACAAAGCTTCCTCCGTAGTTCTCGTACAGTGTGTGCATGTGTGACATTGGTATGTGGGAAGGTGGGGGGCAGGGGTCTGCTTTTGACACCCTAATCCTCCAGCCTAGTTTGGCTTTGTGTGAAGACCTTAGCTGGGAGGAGATAGATGGAGAGAGTGAGGAGAGAAAGAGAGAGGGAGCAGAAGAAGGAGGGGGTATCAGGGGCAGTCAATTGAAGAGGAGGGGGGGTGATAGGAGCGTGGGGTTTGAGGGAGGGGAGTGATGGGAAGGCAGAATGAGAGAGATGGGGTTCGTTCATTCTGCTGCTCTCTCTATGGAAGGAAACAAAGGATGCTGAAGGGCCTGACTTCTGTCAGCTGGACTCCTTAGTTTTCCTGTTTTTGGCCGGTTAGCGTCTGCTGACCTGTTTGCCTGCCTGTATCTACACCAGCCTCCTCAACTCTTTTTATCTGCCTGTGCATCTCTCTGTCCCTGCTGAAGACGTCTTGTTGCCGATGTGAGTTTTTCTGCTCTTGTCCTTGCACGTTTAAAGTATCCCATAGAGGTCTTCTGTGGTCATTGCATACTATACTTTTTCTGCTTCTGCTGGTTTGTGTTTTTGTCATTTCGACAGTCTAATAATTCTGACGTGGATAAATCTGCAGTGTGAATCTGCTTCTTTGCTCTTAGTCATGTCTCTACTCTTTTTAATCTTACAGTGGTACTGGACACATCTTTTACCACTTTTCTGTCTAAATCAGTGCCTAGAACAGCATGCCTGCTCCTCAGGCTGTGGATGAATGAGGCAAATGTCACCCACAGCTGACAAAGCCCACCTGAAAGAGTCCCTTATAGTCAACCAAACTCTGCTCTAATACACACCTCTGAGGTTCACACTTCATCTATATCAGTAAAAGAGGTGACATGTTAGTTTTTTTTTTCTTCCAGAGAGCTAATGCCACATGACAGCCGGCTACATCTGCTTTTGTTAAAGTCTACACACGCACACACACTCACTCACACAAGCCTAGAGAGCAAGCGTGCCCTAAATATTTAGCTGTGGTTTTCTGTGGCTGAAGGGCAGACGGCTTGGTTTGCTGGCTTGGCAGAAGTTTTGGCACACTGTGGGTCAGCCCTGGCACAGGAACTGACATTAAGAGTGGGTGGGGCGGGCTGTCTCTGCTGTCTGTCACTTTTAAAGAGGGACGTTTGGCAGAAGGGCAAAGACATACAGCTTTTAACTTAGAGGAGACAGGCATATTGGATAGATCATCAGCAGTTTAGGACAAATAGTACGACACTGCAGAATTATCTTGATGTTGATATGTTCATCAATGTTTAATCAGGACATTCATTTAGAGTCAGATCTCGTATCCTGGTGTCGAGCTTGTCATCAGTTGAAGTCGATGCACAAAAGAACTGATTTCTGACTAATATTCAAAGTGTTGCAACACTGCTCTCTTGTTCAAACTTCTTAAATATAAAGATTAGTTTGTGTTTTTGCTCCTCCATGAAAACATGCTGTAGTGTGTCCATGAGGCAGCCAGGAAAACTGACCTTTAGAAGTCTCAACACACATACTAACTCAAACTTGACAGTCACACAGCTCAAGTTTAAAAACCGTGCAACAGTGTGTGCATTACTGTTATCACAATCCAGAAGCTTTGATTCATGCTTGCAAAAAATCAGATGATTAAGATTCCTGTTTTGATGCCACAGGGCTAATGAGAGGCAAAATAAATGAGATTTTCCTAAAAATAATGTTCAACCAAAACAAAATGCTTCCTTGAGTCATTATTAATAATCCCAAGGAAGTGTTTTGCGGTGTGTGTGTGTATCTACAGAAGACATTCTCTCTGTCTGTATTTGCTCATTTTCTGACTAATGCACTTACTTTGTGGGTGTCAGTCACTGTGCAGCGCTCTGAGGCTCCCTGTCAACAGTCTGCAGGTCACGACCGATAGTAAAATGCACATCATTGTCATTCTCCTCTCTGTCAAATGTAATATTTGTGTCTTTTTGAAATGCTAGTAAACATCTGTGAATTTCCCAGTTTGGGATCAATAAAGTATACCTTCCTACCTACCTACCTACCTACCTACCTATCTATCTATCTATCTATCTATCTATCTATCTATCTATCTATCTATCTATCTATCTATCTATCTATCTATCTATCTATCTATCTATCTATCTATCTATCTATCTATCTATCTATCTATCTATCTATCTATGTATGTCAATCTTAAGTGTTTCCTGTTATTCTTAAATGAAATTTAACAGTACTTATTGGTAGCATGTCTTTGACAAAACATTAAGCTACTGCATCTGTGAGGTCTTTGGGTCGCTTCGACGTTTTGTTATAAGGCATTGCACTAGAGTAGTGGTTCTCAAGTCCAGTCCTCGATATTTCCCTGCTCCAACACACCTGGTTCAAATGATCAGCTCGTTATCAAGCTCTGTAATGGCTTAATAACGAGCTAATCATTTGAGTCAGGTGTGCTGGAGCAGGGAAACATCCAAAACTTGCAGGACTGGACTTGAGAACCACTGCGCTAGAGAAAGCAGACTGAATGGTCGGTTCAGCGCGGCGCACATCCATAGCAACTCCCCTTTTCATTGGCTTTTCTTTAAGCCGACCAAAACATTGCAGAATGCTGAAAAGCATAATGACCATATTTCATATTGATATTGAGGGAGATTAATTTTTGATATACTACATTATTGTTTTATTGCCCAGCCCTAATCATGCTATTGAAATGTGTCCAAGTATTAACATGTTTTATAACCTTCATGTGTATGCAGCATGTGAAAGTGTATGTATGGACCCTGCAGGTATAAATAAATTAGAGCGGACGTTCATGCCTGGCCGTCTGCTTCTGAGAGAGCAAATGAGTGTTACCATGGAAATAGGTAGATGTTGTAAATCAAGCCTCATCCTTACAGTACATAAGACAGAGCTCCTCTTCTCCATCCCGACCATCTGAAATGCTTTGTGCTACCTTGTGGAGGAATGTGCTGCCTCAGTATCCGAGCTCTGTCTGGGCAGTTGTAGGGTAATTCTCTAATGGGTCTCAGTAGAGGACCAGCATCACTCAATAGTCATCAGTCAATCGTTGTCAATAAGACGAAGCAAAGGACAGTGGGCTCTCTTGCTGTCACTGTCCAGAGCGTCACAAGATTGACCGTCTCTCTTTCCAAATTGGATTCAGTGCCTGCAGAGAGGAGTGTTTACCGTTACAACATTGTGCCAAATAAAAATGCCTCCCGTCTCTGGGAAATAAAACCCTGTAGATGGATGGATGGCAGCTATACAGCACACAGCATGTATTAATGATAACTCTGAAAATCTGGATATAGGCTGTGATCGTACTCTGTTCTTTCTATCTGCTCTCCTCGGCAGAGCTGCAGCAGGTAATTAAAAAGAAAGGTCAAGAGATGAGTGGACTTCTTTGTATGCAGGGACAGCGAGCCTTGGAGGGTTTAGAGGAGGTGAGGAGGTCACTTTGGAGGGATAAAGGCATTAACATAGGTGGGTTAAGTGAAAGGTGGAAAAGAGAAGCCAGCCCTCTCTGTCTCACTCGTCCTCTTTCATTTCATGATTCCTCTCTTCCTTTGACAGATAAGGCGCTTACATACTGCTGTTTCAAGGCAGGATATTTACGCCCCTGTTTCTCTTAGTTTGTAAGCAAGAGGTTACGCCTCTGAAAAGTGGGGGAAGAAGATGGTGAAGTGTAGTGTCCAAGCCCAGGTGTAGGTGTGTGTGTGTGTTAACAAGTGGCAGGACGACGCCAACATTTGTCTGTGTTGGGGTGTTACGGTGAAATGATGACTGTTTTGCAGAATTGCAGTCTACAAAAGTAAGGCTGTTCTCCCTCATTGTTACCCACTCCTCCCTATTACCTTGTCTCCACTGCTCTTTTGAGATATACTCTTTCCATTTTTACAGCTCAATGCATGGCAAAGCCTGCTGTCAGTGCAGAGGGGTGACAGAGGTCGAATAAGGTGTATTATACAGCTTTTCCCTTGGGGCTGTGTTATTTGGAATGGGCGCTGAGCTCTCCTCCATACGTCCATTCATCTCTTTCCTTCACTGTCTCCATCTATCCTCTCTTCTGTCTGCTATTCCCCAGGCACAGCAGCACATGCTGACCCCTGAATCATCAAATCATCCTGTTTTTAGCCTCTAATGGAGGCACTTAAAGCTCAAACACTGATGTAGAATCTGAACGTATGTAGGAAGTCATACGCATTTGTAAGCATAAGCACAACCACTGAGATCCACTGGGGCCTGAGACTCTTTTGTTTTTGACTCTGTCATTGTTTACCATTGAATGTCGTTCCTCCATATTAACTGACAAAGCTGTTTGTTCTCCGATCAAACGATTAGCTTCACTGAGACATAACTTGATGGATCAGTGTGTGCTAGGGGCCGCTCTGCCACTGAGGCCTCCAGCCAGAATTTGGAGCTGTCCGAAGAGAATAGGCTTCTATTGTGTGGTTGTCAGGCTGGCTGACCGCTGTGGTGTGCACACTCAGGCACACATACACACACAGACTTACACTGATGTACAGGCAGACAAACAGAGACACTTATCACCAGAAAGAGTCAGTGTCAGGTCAGCCAGCCCAGCCTGTGGACAGCGCTGTATTGTTGCTAGCCTCCAGCTCTCCTGGACGGTCAACAGTAAGAGCATTCAGCTGTTAGTGGTGAGTCAGGACCGGCGGACAGCACAGCAGCCAGTGTGACCAACAACACCTGCCTTTAACACCATCACATTGTTGTGTTCAAGAGGCTCTGACTGATAAATCAATAATGAAACTTGAGGGACTCTAAATCAAGTCAATTATCAATAGCAGGGGCCTAAACAATGCTTTGTGTGACAGGGGGGCATCAGTATGTCTTTTATATCATTAATTAATGTGAGTGAACTTATTGCTTTTTCACTTGGCCTGCCCTCTACAGCGACACTCACCTCCTATTGAGTGGTAACATCAGTGGAAAACCTTACCTCTTAGCCGATGACTCTTGTTAGCATTTCTTTCTCCCTGCATAAACAGCACGTCATGTCAAGTGGCGGTTTGACTTTGACACTCAACGCAGCCGGACTGTTTGACTGACATGTTTTCCGAGAGGCGCCTCTTTCTTCCTCAGCTTTGTCCTCTTTCTTTTTCCGAAATCCATCTGGAGGGTTGTTAAAGCTTGTCTGAGAATTCATAGAGAGGAGCACAGCTGTATAGATGCTCCTGGTTCATGTCTCAGAGGTGTAGTTGGTCAGCCCCCCTTTGATAGTCCCCAGTCAACAAATGTGTCTGATGTACAAAAAACGTTGACATCTCAAATCAGCAAATCAGCCAAAGCACTCAAGTTGATGACAAATTCTGTCTCATTGACTGGCTAATGTTAAAGAAAATGATGTGTTTTCATCCTTCTTGCATTTTGGTTAAATAAGACATCATTTCATTTTTTATTTCTTATAATAAATGACAGAAGTAGTGATATTAAGTGCCAGTTAATTGCTAACTGTTTCGCAAAGGTCGGACCTACAGTATATTGTTGCCAGCACATGAAGCTCTTGTAGCTAAATTTTAAATCTGGTTGCCTCACACTGGAGCAGCAGTTCTCTCCCAGTAACAGAAACATTCACACAACAACGGGTGTGACAATGCCATGATGAATGCCAAGTGTCTTATCGCTTTATGAAGTATGCATCCATCTATTTCCAGTGTGCATTTAAGCTAGCTCTTTTAGTGACACTTAACTGATGGTCAACATGTCAGTGTTTGTAATTTAAGGGTTTTTATGGACATCAGTTTAACAACATTTTAAGAACAGATACCCAGTAGTGGTGGGAGAAAAGATCAACACAGCATTGTATTGCGATATTTTATCTGTTGATATATCGTATCGTCTCATCCACCAAGTACCGATTTTTTCAAATTAACTGCTAAGAGATTTTGTACAACAAACATGGCAGCAACTAGGGAGGGACTTAAGGGATGCAAGCAGGGCAAAAATAAAATAGAAATGACATGAGGTTTGCAAGAAGTGCTACATGAAAATAAAATACTGTTGAAAAATTGTAAAAATTGCAATTTATGGTATCGCAATACTCACTGTATCGCAATATGTTTAAAATCACAATAATATTGAATCGTGGCCCAAGTATCGTGATGATATCGTATTGTGGGGCCAGTAGTGATTCCCACTCCTAATACCCAGAGATCCCATAGAAGTCTAGTAAAAATTTTTAGAGTTCAGCTCTAGATCTCTATCATGCCACAAGGTCACGATATTTCTCACTTAGCCTGAGTTTCCATGGTCCTCTGCTCTAATTTTCCTCCTCCTGTGCTGTAGTTGAATTCCTGGTTTGAAAACCCTTTACCTTGATATTCCTCTCAAACAGGGCAATTAGAATAACATGCAGCGAGATCTTATTTAACAGACGGCCTTCTAATTATGTGTCAGGAGACAACTGAGACAGATTCAGTTCATGCTGACATCAGCAGAGTTTTTTCTTCTGGTTAAACACTGCGAGGGAAAGTGTTCCAGACGCAGCAGACAAATGATCTTTTAAATGCCTCTTGCCTTGCTGATGTTACCGCTCAAGTATTCAGGAGGAATTCACCACAGTACCATATCTGTCATCTAACTTATGTTACCTATACAATGTCATTTCCTGTATGAAGGTGAGAGAGGAACATTCAGAGGGTGCAGGCTGGTCATCTGCTGCCACAACCCTCCTCTGGTGCCCTGTGGTGCCAGTGCAAGCGGCCAGAGAGTGTGATCCTGTGGCACTTGTGCACACACGCACACACTCGCACACTACCACAGATCAGCCGAGCTAATGACTCATCTCTCTTCCCCCCTCCCTCCCTTCTCCCTGTCTGTCTGTTCCTCTGTTTTCCTCTGTCTCTGTCTGAACAGGGGACATCACTCAGAAGGGCTATGAGAAGAAAAGAGGCAAGCTGTTGGCACCGTACATCCCACAGATACAAGGTAAGGCACACAGGCCTGCAGGAGAATTTACTGCCCAGAACAGAGCAATATTTGCTCTGGCTGCCTGTTAGCATAGCAGCTAGCATGGAAATATAATGCTGTCTATACAAAGTGAAGAGTTAAAAACAAGCAGGATATTTGCAGGAGTTTGGAGAAGAAAAAAAGTAAAACATGATGAGTGTGCAAAAGAAGAGTAAAGAGGAATCACAAATTAGAAAATGTAAAGAAACAGAAAAAAAACATGTCTTTCAGGAAAAGGAAAAGCTGATTTTTATGGCAGATTGAATTTTGTGGGTTCATAAAGTTGTTCATACTCGAATTGCTCTGGTTTTTCCTCTGCCTGTGTATTCTTGATGCTTCGGGTCAGGACTCTAACCATGGTCCTGTGACCTGTGAGTCTGTTATTAACGCTACAGCCTGCTTCAGCTGTCTGTCATGGTGTTTATTTGCCAGTGCATATACTGTATGTGCTAACTAGACTGTCATGGTTTTGTAAACATAAGGTGTAGCTGCTGGAATTGTAAGTGGTCTAGACCTGGTCTCATTAACTTTAACTGAGTGTGCTGCGCTCTCATAATGTAAACACCAAGCATTAAACTGAAGGTTGACTTTTCTTACTAAGTGTGAAGTATTGAGAGGAGTGTTTTGGGTTTGTTTTTTTAATTGCCAATTTGTGCCTCTCCTCCTGTCTTTGGTTGTAGGGGGCTTAACTTTGAAAATGAAGGAGGAGAGACGTTACCAATCTGAATGTTCATGCTCATTGTCTGTCTTTGTAGGAGTGGTGCATGGATGTATATACCAGCATAGTGTATTTTCAGCTCTGGTCGTACAGTCAGTGAGTTCCAGCTTCCTGGGCAGACTCTAAGGTCAGGGAGGTTTGTGGTGCAAATGTATTGTCTGTACGCTAAATACTTCTCCGTCCTCCATCAGAGGTCCGCGGCAGTCTTTGGTTTGGCTTGATATCCAAACACCAGGAATCAGTGGAAACCAGAGTCTGGTGTGGGTTGCGCGCTCAAGCCTTTCCACTTAAGTTTGGAGGCCTGTTATTGAGCTTGAGCCGATCATCTCCTTCACCCTGTATCATACTCTCTCAGGCCTCTGCCTCCTTGTTATCCTGGATTTATGTGCCGTCTCTCTGTTGTTTATTGTTTGATCCATTCAGTGTGGATCCTAACAGCTGAAGACAGGAACTGACGGATTTAGAGCTGCAGTGGATGGGCTTTTAAGTGAGTGAGATTCTATATATACAACACTGGCTTCCAGCTGGATGAATACATTTGGTGGAAATTAATGACACATCTATCCAGCAGGATGAATCGGCGTGTTAAGCTTTAACAGCTTCAGGCTTGAAATAGTAGACCAATAGAGTATAGGCTGAGCTCCATACAGAATTTCATAAGCTGTTTTATAGCCTTGTATTTCACACTTGTCATATTGTGGAGCTGTACATGTGCCAAGTGCAGTAGAATAGGTGGAGGAGATTGTTAACATCTATGCTAGAAATGATGTATTGTCTTTCTGTCCTCAGTGTGAACTCTTTGGAGGTGTTTTTTCAGGAGTTGACCCCTCTTGGTCAAACATTTCGGGATGTTGGGTGTGTTAATATGAATTTATCATTATTAACTAGGTCTCTGTGGAGGATGTGATGTTCCTCCCATGTGCAAATAAAGGTCTGTGGCCAGCCTCGTCTTTTCTTAAATCATGTGTGTTGATTAAAAGTGAATTTTTCTGACTCTGACCACAGTTGCCATCCACTATTTAAACCCAGCTCATGACAAATACACAATTGAACTGCCGTGTGTGTTAGTCATTACCCAAGCAGTGTGTCATCAGGAAGCGAGACGCCCCACACGTGCCGTCAGCCGCCACACCGGTTAAATGTCGGCTTCAGACAGGTGCTGAAAATTCATCAGGGCTCGCTGTGAACCAATAACAACATCTGCTGTGACAGAGCACACCCCTCATTGGCTATGTGAGGCTTGTCTCTGAAGCGCGTTCTGCCCAGCAACGGGTCTGGTGTCCTGGCTTGTTTTATAGACCTGTCTCCTCTGGGAGCTGGAGAGCGGCTGTAGTGTGACTGGGCTGTCAGAGCAATATAAGGGACCAGCATATATAAATGTGAGTGTGTGTGTGTGCATACTCAAGGGATGCTCTGTGAGTGTGTGCATGATTGTGTGTGTGAAACTCCGTGCATTAAGTGTCCTTAAAAGTCCTCAGTCCTTATTGAATCTTGTTTTGAAACTCCTGTTTTTAAACAGATTTAGTTGAAGCCTGTGAGAACGTTGCTCAACATTTCTGTGTGTGTGTATGCGTGTGTGTGCTGCTGTCTCAGACTTGCTGACTGTGTGGAGCTCACTGATCCCCGCTAAGCTGCCGCTGAAAAGCCGGGCCGGCTGATGGCTGGTCTGCTGGCCGGGTGTCTGACTGACCGGCCAGCTAGCTGCTGCTGAATCTAGCTGGCTGAATTTGGCAGGATACAAGTTTGTCTTCAAGGGGATTTTCTCTAATGGGGTGTACATGAGATAAGCGGCCATTCTGCAGGGTTTGATCAGTCACAGGCCAGCAAAGGTTGCAGCATCACAGCGACCTCAAAGCTGACCACAGTCTGGCCAGAGATGCTGCTCAGCTGTGCTGTAAACCCGGTAGTCACTTGATGATTTGTACCGTCTGTTGTTGCACAATGTGATGATAGCTGCTGTAACATTAGATCACTCCAGAGGATATGATGTGCTCTATCACCCCAGCTCGGTCATGTCACTGTTACTGTGTCCATTTGTGTGACTTTTTATCAGTAGAATCGGACTCCTGTGGGTTTTATTGATCAGTCCACCAGACTTGAATGTGATGCAGTATCTCAGCTGATCCCCAAAATGTACTCTTTTCAGTAAATTACTCATCTTTGAAGCCAGTAACAGTTCTTCCTCTCAAAGCCTCCAAAAGTGTTTGCATGTAGCAACAAAGTCAAGAAGTCTTACAAAGCTTCTTTTTATTTCACTCAGACAGGGAAGTCAGGCTGTGCGGCAGAAGTAAAAGTTGGCCTCTCACTGCAGGGAGTTAGGATCTGGTTATTTGTAGTGTTACCAGTGGTATGGCAGTGCACCTCAATGATGAAACTTGAAGGGATTAATGTCTTTGTTAGCATCCAGCAGGCAGTTGTCATGGAAATAAATGGAAATAGTCTTCAGAGTTGTTAAAGGGATATTCCGCCGTAAATCTAAGTTATGGTCAAACACACCTTAATACCCCCTTGAGAGATGAATTTTGCCGACTGCTCACTTCCTTAGTTATACCAACCTCAGCAACGACCACACGATAGCAATACACAGCGGTCGACGTCTCCACATGCAAACCTCAACCAAGAAAACACTCTATAGCCACAAATAATGCTCGGAACAGCACCTAACTTCATCAACAGTACATATAGGGTCCCAGCCCTGATTAGTCGATCACCAAGTGCAGCGGATCATTTCCACGAATAATCATCATAATAATCATTTTGCACGACAGACACGGTAGTTATTTTGCCTTAGCGTCTCGGTCTGATTGCATTTCCATGAAGTAATTATCATACAATGTTCTTCCTTGAGCTGTGAAACTCCGCTGCACTCGGTGATCGTCTCATCAGGGCTTCCCCACAAACAAGCGGCTGCTGGAGGAGAGTGGGTGAGTTGTGTTCAGTCTCTCTGGTAAAGAAACCAGGCAAAGCTAAAAAGATGTTTGGTGGCTATTGCTATGACAGGGACCCTATATGTACTGTTGATGAAGTTAGGTGCTGTTCTGAGCATTATTTATGACTAGTGGCTTTTTGGTTAAAGTTTGTGTGTGGAGCCATAGACCGCTGTGAATTGCTATCATGCGATCGTTACTTAAGTTGGTATAACTAGAGAAGCAAGCGGTCGGCAACATTCAATTCTTGGGGGGGTGTCTAACTCAGTGTTATGGTGTGTTTGACCATAACTTAATTTTACGCCGGAATATCCCTTTAAGTGTTCCCTATAGAAAGTCTTTGTGCCACCCCACGACCACTAAAGATGCAAATTTACTGAGTTAATTTGGGGATGACGCATATTGAAACGACATTTTAATCTTTAACATGCAGAACTTTATCGCCCATAATAGGGGTAAGATGAAGGTTTTCTATCAATAATTGATGGATGAAGAAGTTAATCTGGGATAAGTAAAAGAGTATAGGAAGACGAAGTGAAGTGGTAGACGACTAATAGCCCTCAAACTGTGACCTTCCTTCAGGAGACAGTCTCAGGCTCCCCCCTCCGATTCTCACCTCGAGTCATTTAATGAGGTTTGAATAAGGATTGCATAAACCAAAAAGGATGGATCACAGCCTGCATCACACAGAGCAAAGAGAGGTCGATGAGTCTGAGTGTTTGATAATTTTAGTAGGCTCCAGTCAGATGATGTTGTCTTTTTGACATTCATGGTGCTTAATAACCTCCTCTCTGTTACCACTGTGTAATTTGCATTTGCCTCTCTTGGAAAGCTTGAAGGCGTCTGGAAAGCTGAAAGAGAGTCTGGATTAATTAAAGTGAACGCTTTCTCAACACCAAGCTACAGTATTAGAAGAAAGAAAGCAGCCTAAAAGGGATTACCTTTAAGCTTTCAGATACTTGATCAGGCGATGCTTTGACATGGAGCGTTTCCCTGCACATGGTGTAGAATATATGAACTAATATCTCGGTTTTCAACAAATGTATTTGTGTTTAAGAAAAATCTAACTTCTAAAAACTAAACTGTCCTGTCCTGGTTTAATCTTGTCCACCCACAGGTGTAGATCCATCTTTGCAAATTGACAACAGGATCCAGTCCTCCTCCCAAGCAGTTCTCCCAGGTTCCAAACACAACAAATCTCGAGCGGCCAACACTCGGGATGAACGCTTCAGATCTGGTAAACGTGTGTCCATGCTGCCTGAGAGTTTCACAGCCCAGTACTCTTCTTTTATTGTTTTGATTAACTGTTCATGTCTTTTCTCTTAGATTTGCACACAGAAGCCGTCCAAGCTGCTCTGGCGAAGTACAAAGAGAGGAAGATGCCAATGCCCTCCAAGAGACGATCTGTGTTAGTTCAGTCTTCTGTAGAGGCATGCACCCCGCCAGGTAAGACCCCTTTACCCATAAACCAACTGTTCACCAAGGACAGAGTTTGCTGGGTTTATGTTGTAAACACGTGTTCTCATGAGTATCTGAGCGTTGGTTGTGTTCAGTGATTGAAGGTGATGTCGTTGTCACTGGAAAGAAATGTGAAATTCGATGAATGTGGCCATTCTTTCCACTATAAAGGAGTCTTTTCTCACTGATGTGTTCCCAGGCAGACCTTCCCACATGAGTTGCATAATAGAAGCATAATCAGATTTTTAACATAGTGTTAAAAGTTTGACCTTTTGCTTGCTTTTGTAGAAGTTTGTGTTGTGTGGGCCGGTTCATTTGACAAGTTTTCTTCTGCAGCTTCTTTCAGTGAAAGAATAATTGTCAAACAAACCTTTTGTGTTTTATTTTTCTTCAAATATTTTTTTGAATCTGTTTCTTCCAGTCTTTGAGATATTAGTGGGATTGAATGACAGAAAACTTGCAAGTCCCTCAAGCACTGCAGTGGCTTTTTCAGTGCATAAGTTAATTGGTGGGGGGCCTTAGAGCCTCATGTTCTGGGTAAAGCGAGAGTACACAGCGGTGGACCAAGTAACCGGATTAAGAGCTCAGACATTGGAGTTTGGACATGAGAAGGAGGGGCTGTCGTCATGGTTGTTTTTAGTCATTCTCAGCAATCTACTGTAATCTATTGAGGGAAAGTACACCAGAATGACCGGCATACCCACAAAATCACACATTTCGCATTTGATACAACTGACTCTACAACTATTTTTCAAGCAAACAGATGCTGAGATCACATGATCGAAGGTTAATCTGAGATACTGAGACAATAAGTTGAGTTTTTGTATGAGCAGGCCACGATTTTGTGTTTATATACACATTCACATGAATTAACACTTTAATTTTCTGTCCCTTATTTTGCTGATCTTGTCACTCTATGTGTCAGATTTCACCATGTGTAGAATTTGTAGTCGTGCCCACAACTATGTTAAGAATGCCATCCTAAAATGATATACCAATTTAATGTAATTTAACTGAGAGAAAATACTTATTTTAAACAACATAAAGTAAATGTAGCTAATGAAAAGGCAGTAGTTCATGAGATTCTTGCAAACATCTTTATAAGTTAACAATAATAGGGATCTTATATTTATAATGTGGAGGTAACAGATATAAATACAGATGCACAACAGTATGACCACTGACAGGTGACGGGAGTAGCAGTGATTTCCCTGCTGCAGTTGCACCTGTCTCAGTTGATGTGCTCTGAAAGTAGAAAACTGGGGAAGTGAAAGAATGTAAACGACCTTGACTGGAGCAAAACTGTAATTACTGGATGACTGAGCTGGAGCATCTCCTTAACTGCAGCTGGGCTTTGGGGTGATCGGTACCTTCAAAAAATAGGAATCAGCAACAGGGTCCTGGACAGCCAAGTCTTGCTGATAAACACTGGAGTGTTTGTTCTGATCCATCTGTCAATGTAAATGTAGGTGCTTATGACGGAAAGGTGTCAGCAAAGTGGGGCACTATACTTGGTTGTGTGGTGTCCATTTTGATCCCTCTCCAGGTCCTTACACACCAGGGCCGACGCAAATGTAGAACGCGAGATTACGAAATATTTGGGGAGAATTTTGATGCGCCTGACAATACACATCAAGCCCATTGCGATTTTAAGACTTTCCGGGGGGAAAAAGACGTGTGAAAGCGAGAAGACTGACACAACAGCAGACTGACTGTTTTTTCAGTTCTGATTAGACTCTAGTGTTGAGATGTCTGTCTGTCATGATAGCATGTACTGAGTCAGGGCCAGTACCAGATAAGCACGTTAAACTATAATCCATAAACGTAAGGTAACAACCGAGACCTAATGGTGCTGTGACAGCAACGCGATTGAGTTTGAGACTGTGAAAATACATATGGTATGTTGTATCTGAACAGGTTAGCTTACAAGCTAAAGTTACTTAGCACAGATGAAAGTTAAAACAAAGACGTTTAGCAAACTGTTAAAGCACACAAACCATCGTCTTATATGAGAGATCCGACTCTATGACTCTCCACAAGTTGTCCTTCAGGTCTTTATCTTTGTAATATTTGTGTCTTTTATCAAAAAGCACTCTGTTCTCCGACATGTAAACAATCAGGCGGTCAGCCATGTTGGATATACCGGTGAATCTGACGTCACAAAAACACGAAATCTGACTGGTCAGAAGTGAAGACACAGTATGCAAAACTTTAGAAAAATCTACCGTGATCCGAAAGAATAAATTCCACAATATTGCAGGACGGGAAAACTTCGCTGATGTGAACGCTTGTATTGACAGGATACGGGTACAAAAAAAAATATTGACATCCAAAATAATCGCACAAAAAAAAAAAGTCCCAGTGTGAAAGGACCTTTAAACCCCAGAAAACACCGACAAAGGACATGTGAGAACCAGAACTGGACTGCAATTGCAGAAGGTGAAATGGAGGAACAGAAAGACGAGATCAGGGCGTTGACTTGGTCTTCAATCCACTGAAGTGTCTATTTGACGTACTGGATAGCCAATAGGAGTGGATTGATTTGTTGCAAAAACAAGTAATTGAAAACCAGTTTAAGGTCACAGTAAGTTTCAGAAATACATTTGCTGTTTGGTGCATTAGAAAATTGAAGTATCTGCATCAGATATGGTCTCTCTTTTTTCCTCTTTCTCCACCTATCTCTACATCCTTAATCACTTTCCCTGACTCACTTTCTTCCATGTTTTCATGTTTTTATTTCCTGTTTATCTGTGACTAATACTTCTTACTCTATTTCAGTTTCTTTCCCAGTATATCCGCCTCCTTGTTTCTGCTTTGCATTTGTTCTCTGACCCCCTTCCATCTTCTTCTTCTTCTTCTTCTTTTTCTTCTTCTTCTTCTGTGCATGTGTGTCAAGGTTACCAAGATAGTTGGGAGAGATTGTAAAGAGGCAGTGGAATAACAAACAGAATCATAAATGCGAGATAGCCCCCATGAGTCGGTTGCTTGTAGAGACATTAAATTTGAGGTTGTTATGATCAAACCTCCTCCTGCCTCCCTCTGGCAGCCTCTGCAAGGCCACTAGAAAAGCTTGTGGAAAGTAACAGATATTTTAGTATTTTCTTCACTGGTGGCTGAACTTGTGGCTACGTAATGAGTGATTAGACCTTGATGTATCACATGAAGGCTCATTAGTGTCGATGATATCATGCTGATCACACACACATAGGCTTCATCTGTTTCTAAATGTCTCACTCCTGTCCACACAGAATAGATTTTCCATTTTATGAGGGCTTTATTTGAAGGATTGCTTGATTTCATTTCAATGATTCAAGACATGTGAGCGAGTTCTGTGGTTTTACTTGGCGAGAGCATGGAGTGCCGTGTGCTTCATCAGTGACAGATAATTGGAAAGAGTTTTGGTGTTCTTAGTGGATTTGAAAACACTTCTTTTTAACTTATTATTTTGTGTCAAGCAGATGATGTCTTGGCTTGTTCGGTTCTTTTATTGCAGCCATTGCACAGCAGACTACAGAGCTCAGACTGGCCCGCTTTGGTTTAACTTCAGTGATTTGGCTGAAAAAAAAAACAAATATTTTGTTGGAGCTCAGTCGATGAGGTTGAAAGTGCTCGTTTTGAGCGGTTCTAACCTTGTTTGAAGTTGTTCCCGTTTGGTCTATTTTTGCTCAGACCAACTGCTCGCTGATGCCTCCAGGGAGAGATGCACAATCATCAGTGACTGGGTTTGAGTCCAAGCCATTATACCATAGCATGCTGTGCTATTAATACAGAAATATGATTTTAAGGCAAAATCAGATTTGTTATATCTGTTCCACTTTGTGTTGTATTTTCTGCTACTATTGTAATGATTTGAATGTTTTTGCTCTCTCTCTTTAACCCACCACCTTAAAGCAGTATTTAAAGGGATATTCTGGTGTAAATTTAAGTAATGGTCAAACACACCGCAACACCGAGTTAGATACCCCCTCGAGAGATGAATGTTGCTGACTGCTTGCTTCTCTAGTTACACCAACTTTAGTAATGACCGCACGATAGCAATACACAGCGGTCTATGTCTCCACGGGCAAACCTCAACCACTCACTCTATAGCTACAAATAATGCTCAGAACAGCACCTAACTTCATCAACAGTACATAGAGGGTCCCAGCCACAGCACTAGCCACCAAACATCTTTTTTAACTCAGTCGTTACTAAAGTTGGTATAACTGAAGAAGCAAGCAGTCTGTACCATTCATCTCTCGAGGGGGTGTCTAACTCAGTGTTACAGTGTGTTTGACCATAACTTAAATTTACGCCGGAATATCCCTATAAAATACTAGTCGGATTATGCTGACATGAAGAAACTGAAATCTGTAATATTTTTAATTCGATAAAATAAAAATCAATTAGTTGTCATGGTTGCCAAGCTTTTTAGAAATAATCATAATATAAACATTGTGTAAATCTTCATAAGGAAACAACCCTCTGTAGATCTGCCTCTTTCTCTGTATTCATTTAAGCTCATAGCCTAGTTTTTAGTACAGAAACACAAACTAACTCCCGTTTTCTCACAGCATGTGATTTGTATTCTTCAAATAAGAAACACTCTGTTGTCTGCTCTCAAAGTCTGTCACACTTAATCATTCAGCACAATCAGGGTTTTAATGTGCCTGTGTGTTAGTGTGGCTCCTTTCAGAGGCAATCAATATTAAATATACACAGGACAAGCAAAGTCAGAAAACATGTCATCTAAGCACCCCAGTTTCATCTCCATCAAAATCATGACCATCCCACTATCTTATATGTACTCTCCGCAGTATGTATGACTTAAGTATTGCATCATCAGCATATGCGGTAAATCCCGCTGTCTTCCCATTCCCGGTTTTACTTCCTTGGCCATTTTCTTAAAGACATGATAGACCTCCCCCGTTTCTGTTCACTTTTGTGACGCTGCCCCTTCTTGACCTGTCAAACACAGACACCTCCTCAGCGTCAGAAGACGAGGGCTCGCTGCGCCGGCAGGGACGTCTGGCCACCTCCACACCCTACCAGGGCCACGGCCACCCAGCCGTTGAGCACTGGTTTAACCGTGTCATCCAGGGTTCGTCCACCTCATCCTCCGCGTCATCCACCTCATCCCACCCGGGAGGGAGATCTGTCACCACCACCACCAACACCACCACTGCCCACGCAGCCCTCAACGCCAACGCCGCAGCTACCGCACTGGCGGACCTTATGGCACACACCCAGCTAGGTCAGTGACACACCTGCAGTATTACACTTCATCATATACCAGTTAGCAGATCTGTGACAATCCTGTCCCCTTTCATAGACAAAGTACTTTTACTCATAGCTAATCAAGCTCATTTGCTTCCCCAAGATAATCAGGGAAAGCCAAATATGTATCCTGGTTGTTTTCAGCCAGCATTGGATTTTGTAAAGCAAGGTAGCCATGTTGGATGCTATAGTGTATTTTCTGGATGTAGCGCTCTCAGTATCCTTCTGTGCAGGTGCAAGAATCCTGATTTGAGTTTCTGAGGTGACAAGGATGGTAAAATTAGATTCACTGTCTTACATTTGCCGACATCAGCAGAAGCTTTGTGCATTCAGTTACTGTCACACGGGACTTTCTAATCTGTGTCATGTTGCTCAGACTGATTTTCTACAACAATCATATCGATCGCAGACAGACAGACATCATGTCTTACACATTTGTTACAGTTGAGGCCTTATCTCCCCCAATACCTCAAAAGCTCTCAAAGTAATAAGACAAGTGGAACCAGCAATGGACTTCTTAATTATGTGTCTTTAATTAGTTGTCTCTGTCTACCATCTAACTGTCATTCAGTCATGTGAAAGGCTTCACAGCCACTTCCCCATCAAAACACCACATTCCATGTTACCATCAAGTGTCACTAGTGTCGCTATTTAATGAGATTGAGTGGATTTATCTCTGCAGCAGCACAGTGAGACGTGTCTTGCTTGTGTGCATGTGTGTGTGTGTGTGTGTTCTCGTGTCTGTATGTGCTGCCAGCAGAACGATATCCTATTAGGATGGAGCTGTCTGATTTCTAACCAGCCTGCCTCCCCTCAAGGTTGCTGTCATAAAGTAGCGACAGTGACTGGAGCTGAATGGAGCTGTAAATAAATGCCTCATATTTTCCTGTGTCTTGGCCTCTTCCACTTTGATTCTGCCGGTCGTTTACTTCAGTAGAGAACGGCTGGTCGGCCATCACCCATGAGCACCATTTAATGGTTATGTAGAAGGTAAAATAAATGGATACGTTTAAGTAGTTAAGGAGGAAAAACTCATCTCACATGCTGCAGTTTTCTATAAAGATTTACAGCAAAGTCTCAGTGGCATTATCTTTCAAATGAAGAATTTATGGTAGATGAGGAAGAAGAACTTTATTGATCCCTGAAGGGAAATTCTGTTCTAATCAAATGACAAAGCTTTCTCAAACTGGCCAGACAACAGCCAAGCAGCTTTTTCTGTCAGTTTGAAGCACACACTCGTGGTTTTGGAGAGCTCAGTGACTTCTGTGTCGATGTTCATTCTGTTTTTTTTTTTGCTGTTCTTCCTCTAGTCTGCTAATGGGGTGCACACAGCACAGCAGGAGCTGCCAGTCAACTTTTTAAACCCAATTCTGGCACGAAAGAAATAATCAAAACTGAACTGTTCAGAAAAAGAGAACATTCAGGCATAAATCAGCAATGAGAATGATTTATGATGACAGAAACTGTGCATAAGAAAAAATAATTTGACTTGTACCTTTATTGAATGGTTTGAGCCATGTTTTACCTGTTCACATGGAAGAGACAGGAGGTGAGCTCTGGATATGTAGACTTTTCTTACAGTCTATGTGTTGTTATTGGTCTCACTGATTTGGTTCCCTTAAAGTATCATTTGTAAAGTTGGTAAGTGTTCAGGCGTTTCCATCGAGGAGACTGACTGTCTCTTAAAATGTTCAAGTTAGATTAAACAAAAGGTTTCACTTGAAGGGGTCAGCAGAAAACAGGCTAAAATTGAAGCTTTTGCTGCGCCTTTAACCATACTATACAGACATTGTGTTCTGTGTGACGCATGATGAGGACAATATATCTGCTTCCACAAAGACATTAATTCATTCATTATAGTGGCAGGCAGTTGAAACAGTGGAAAAATAACGTGAAACCCTTGTTTAGATACACCGTTTTGCAGGGAAAGATTTTGCACTTTGCAAAGCCGCCCCATCAGCGTTTTACAAAGTAGACTTTCACTGAGCCAAAGAGAAGGCCTTCTATTGACCTTGTAACCCCCCTGACACCCCACTCATCACAGATAACCACTCAGCACCCCCCGATGTGACGGGGCTGTCGGAGCGCTCCTCGCTTCATGCGGAGCGGCCCCAGGTGGCCTCAGTGCGAGGCGTTTCCCGCGGCTACAACCAACACACCAGCGTCATGGAGACTGCAGATGGTGAGTTTCCTATGTGTGTGTGAGCTCCGTCTCGTGCACACATACACACACTCATGCACGCACATACAAACATACATGCATAAACTCAGTCACCTCCCTTTCCCTGTCTCCCCTGCTGTCTGTCCCTCTGTCTTCTTCTTTAGTCAGCCTCAGACTGGCACAAGCTGCTGACCAACCCTCCTGTGTTGCCATAGTAACACTGAACCTTTCCAAAACCCCCCTAAGACAAGACTTGTCTACCTCGATGCTAAACATGTCATTTACAGTGATAAAAACACACAATCGATAATGAGGAATCCTGTTTCTTTTTGAGTGGAAAAAGGTGAAAAAACTCATCAAGGCAGAGCAGGAAACCTTGTTATTTGAGGTGATTCTTGTGCTCATTTCTTCTCATGTTGTTTGTGAAACAGTGCATAAAATGAACAGCCCCCAAACATCATTCATCATTCACGCTACCTCGTCAACTATGCAGCTGGTATTGGGATTTAGACGCTATACGCAGTGTAGCAGTGGATGACCTGTGAGATCAGCTGCAGAGGATGTGTCATTAAAGTGTATGAAGTATCAGTTTAAGTTTAACTTTCCCTAAATCATCTGACATTTCAGTAGAAAAACTCAAAATTGTTTCAGAAGTTATTTTACAGTGTTTGCATCGAGGCTGTTTTCTTGAAAGAGTTTCCACCCGTGACAAGTGGGTCGAGCTGTCTGTGAAGGAAGTGCCAATGTGTTTCTGCCACCCCTCCTTCTTCATTCATTTTAACATCAGAGCAGCGACACTGCTTTGAATCAGTGTCCAATGTGTTAATAAACAAGCAGCCAGAAAAACTAGAACACAGAAGAGCTATTTTCTCCCTGCCATCCACCCTCTGTTAGTGAGAAGGTGTTTGTTTTGGGGGTTTGAATGCTCATGGATGCTGATCAATGCTGCTCATGCTGATACAAAGACAAAGAGGATGGGTTGGACCTATGGATTTATAAAAAGAGGTGTAATCAGTCTTATTTTTGTCCCTTTTGTTTGGCTGCTTGTTGTTCAAGATGTTTTAAACCCACACTCCTTATGCAAGTCTCACCAAGTGAGTCATTAAAAAGACGACAAAAAGAACAAAACAGAAGACTGTACTCATCATCATCTTCATCAGGGTATAACAACTACAAAAGTGTGTGTCTGAGTGCTTTGTATACCTTTCTCTCACCAGTGTGTATCTGCTGATGAACTCCTCTAGTTCACACATTCACAAAGTTAGCTGGACTTGTTCATTGACATCCCAATGTGTCTTTCCTCCAGGCTGTGAGTGGAGAAGTGAAGGATCCCTCAGTTTAATGGATGGTATTTATAACCGTTCCTCCAGCTCTATGGCAGTCTGCTTTATGTGCACTCTGCTGCGTGTGCGTTTATGTCTGTGTGTCTTAGCAGCTTGAGCATTCGCACTATCTCCAAGCTGCGGTGAAAGTAAATGCTTCTAGGTTTGATGACACTGGACAGACATGGTGTGTAAATCTCTTGTCCATTAGAATGTAGCTGTTGTGAATTATTAGTCTGTTAACACTCTGGTTTCTGTCCTCACACTGAGATATGAAGACGGTTCAGTTTATGTTTCCCGCTGTATTGTGTAACACAAGCTTGTTAGCCTGTAGCCACACTGTGGGCTCAGCTGTTAGTATCACCATTTTGATAACAGCTCACACTAGAAATCATTCAACACAGTGACCTGGTTTTTTCATTTGTACTCTGATACTGGTGCTGTATGGTTCGGTTTCTTGACCTGGTATACTATTGTCAGTGAATCTTGTACCAGACATAAGAACAATAACATGTTAATGTTACTATTCCTGATATTGTTTATTCTCCTGTGCTGTAAATCACCATTATTGTAAAACAAGACAGAAAGATTATTAAAAATAGACATACAGTTAATTAGTTTTGCGGTAAACTTGAAGTAAAATCAACAGACATACCCTTACTAAAAAGAAGTTTGTTTAAGTGTACCTCAAGTATACTGTTTTTTTTTAACTAAATATGCTTTCAGTTTACTTTTTGTGGACTTTTCAGACATATACTGAACAAAGTTAAGTATATAACTTAAGTATACTTAGCTTGTATTCAAGAATTATACTAAAAGTCTAAATATATTTAACCTATACTTATACATACGTTTTTGATTAAAATATACTTGTGTATTTGTGTCTTGGGTTTAAGTGTACTTGGTCAACAAATACTTTCATATTTCTTTTTAGGAGTATATTTTTATAGAATATACTCTTGAAAAGATAAGCAGTACAAGCTAAGTATACAAATATGCACTACTAATTAAATGATAGCACACCAAAAGGTAATTGTGATTATGCTTCACAGTCGGCGCGCACCTGTGACCACAGCGGGGACCACAGTCCCCAGCATGAGGTGCACCTCTCATGTTTGGCACTGTGGTACCCGCTGTGGTCACGGGTTCCATTCCCGTCCTGACCATGTGCTGCATTGCCCCCCCCACCACCATGTCCCACATTGCCACTCTGTTCTACCCATTGAAGCACCCCACACACACACACACAAAAAAAAAATAATGATAATAATAATAAGTCAACAAATGAAAGTGTGCTTCAGAGTGTACTTTTTTAAACTAAAAGGTGGACTAAAAGTCAATTACTAGTAAACTTATAGTATACAAAGAACTGAACTTTTATGCTTATTAACTAAAAATGTTCCAATTTAGTCCAAAGAAATATTAAATTAGTATACTTTGTAGTATACTAAAAGTACATGGTCGGTAGTATAGTTGATATACTTATGCTCAAGCATACTTAATAAAATGAACTTTAAGTATACTACTTTTTGCTAAGGGTATTCCTGGTGCTGGGAGTACCAGGGAAGCAATAGTGTCCTAATCCACTGCTAAAAATAGACCCTAATGCAAAACAAATGCAACATTTAGTTAACAATACAATGCCTAAACATACTAAAAAACCCAACCATGTGTGTTGAGCAGTATGCAAAGATTTCTTCATGTTTAGAAAAATCAAACTGAGCTTGAGTCTAAGAACTAAAGTAAGTTTAGAGATATGACAAAGTAAGCGAGTAACTTTCATGTAGTTAGTTGTTCTGTCTGTAGGATTTGTTTGATAAGAAACATGGTGTGAGGCCAGTATTGTCGTAGTTTGTGCTTTAATTCTGTCATGGTGTTACGATAGAGAGGAGGGATGTTTTTAGGTTGAAATTAAACAACAGACAGTGTTCAACGCAGTATTTCTGTGCTATAGGTGGATAATGATGAAGTTAGATATAGTCGTCATCATCATCACAGGCAGGTCCTGGTTGGATGTGATACTAATGCTCAGGGCGTTGAGTGGGTGGGGTTCAGGGTCCTCAGATGTTGTCCTGTGTGTCCAGGGCTTTCTAATTGGCCCATCAGGTGCAGCACTGACCCCCACCTCTCTGCTCCAGCTACATCTGTCCCGACACATGGAGGCAGTGTCTGTCTGAGCCAGGCTTATTATAGTAAGATAGATCAGGCGAGCTGTGTGCAGCTGTGGCCTTCGTCTCATGTGGCGCAGACCACTCCTCCCAAATTAAGTAAGAAATCATTCAGAGGGAGAAATGTCTAGTGATAAACACATACATGTCAAAAATCTGACTTTGTCTCTCCATCTGATTGTGGTTGAGTTGTTTCTCTCCCTTTTCTAAAATTTCTATATTAAGAAGGTTCATGTCTCTGCGGTGGTGCTGTTTGAGTAATTTTTCCTTTTCTGGTTCAGCATTTCAATGCGCATTAATGATAAATGTGCATTTAGACTTGATTTGGCTCCAGTTGATTTTAGCCTCCCATCATGATGAATTTTGCAGAGCTCATTTAAAACAGAAACCTTTCCTATGAATCACTTTATGTAGAGAGGACACCTTTGTTGCTAGGCAGCAGGCAAGGAGGCTCCTGACTTTCTGGTTTCTTCTACCTGTGTGGTTTTATTAGAGACAGTGTCTTGGTGGAAAGACTGTGATCGGTACACCTCCAGGTGAGTGTAGAAGACCTCGAGCTCCACCGTTTTGTTGTGTCACCGCAATGTGAGTGTCAGCTGGTTGTTACTTTGTCTCATTAGAGCCGCACAGTGACCTCTTCTCTTCTCTTATCTGTTCACTCTCATCCATTACTTTCTCCTTACTTTATCAATTTCTCTGCATTTATCTTCTTCAACTCCAACCCACACATTCTCCCTTTGCCATGTCCGCTTTTCTACATATTCTTGTCTCGCCATGTTTATTTCCCTCGCCGCTCTACTTTTCATCCCCTTCGATCTCATTGTGTAGGTGTTCCAGTCAACAGCCGCGTCTCCTCCAAAATCCAGCAGCTGCTCAACACTCTAAAGAGACCCAAGCGACCGCCGCTGCGAGAGTTCTTTGTCGACGACTTTGAGGAGCTTTTGGGAGGTAAGCCAGCCTAGAGGGGGTGACATTGCCTCACTTAAATCAATAAATCATGAAGAAAAAGATTCCTGTTTCTGTGGCATGATCGGCATACTGATCAGATCTGCAGCAGGAAGTTTCTCTGGACTTAGTTTCTTAGGCAACAGCTAACTTCAATCCTCCAGCTCTTCCAGGAAAATCACTCATAATTCACCATTTTCAATCCCTCTGTCACCGTGAATATTCAAAACTTCCTTGTTACATTCATGGACTTACCCGGTTTACCCCGAGGGTAAAGTTTGCTTTGTCCTCTAACTAGTTCTCTTGTGTATCTAGTCCAGCATCCAGATCCTAACCAGCCAAAGCCAGAAGGTCAGCAGATGAGTCCCCTTGAAGGAGAGCCTCTACAGGGTGGTATAGAAACATGGCTGAAATACCTTGCACAGCAGTGGACCAGCCCTGTGTAACCATTTCCTCCATTCCAACCAGTCCATGGTTGGTTTTGGGTGGTACTCTACCAGGCTGAGTAAACATTGTGTAAATGAACAAGCAGCAGGAATAGTAACACATCAGCAGGTAAGCATAAAGCCTCCCTGACTCTGGCACAGAGAGTGTGGCATGGCAAGCCTCGGTGTGAGCAGAAAAACACACAGAGCTGAAAATGACAGCTGGCCGGACTGGACTGGATCTATTCCCGAGATAGGGTGTTTTGATTTTAATCTTCTCCTATGCCCCAGTTGTAAAGATGTAGATCACTCTTAACCACAGGGTTCAGGGGGATGTGAAGGGAAAATAGTGATGGAGAGATGAAAGTCAAACCAAAGAGCAAGTAGGGTGCTTGAAGGAAGATGGAGTTTGAGGGTGAAGAAAGAAACGTGGCCTTTTCAGTGGGCTGCAGCAGGAAGTTTCTCTGGACTTAGTTTCTTAGGCAACAGCATAACTTCAATCCTCCAGCTCTTCCAGGAAAATCACTCATAATTCACCATTTTCAATCCCTCTGTCACCGTGAATATTCAAAACTTCCTTGTTACATTCATGGACTTACCCGGTTTACCCCGAGGGTAAAGTTTGCTTTGTCCTCTAACTAGTTCTCTTGTGTATCTAGTCCAGCATCCAGATCCTAACCAGCCAAAGCCAGAAGGTCAGCAGATGAGTCCCCTTGAAGGAGAGCCTCTCAGGGTGGTCAACAAATGGCCTCCCTCCTTACCAGCAGCCTTACAGCGATGGGGAACCACTCAGCCCAAGAGCCGTGTCTGACCGCGCTGGACAATTCTGGGAAGCCGGTTTACACACTCACTTACGGTGCGACATGGCGCTCTTTGTCTTTTGTGTCTGTTGAAAATTAAAGATTACTGATAGAGCCATAAGAAAATATAGCTTTATTTATCTGATCATATTGGAATATATTTGTTAGGTTTTCAGTAGGTTCAATTATTGCAGCAGGAACCATGTTTGAGGAAAATTTTCAATGAACATTCGATCAGTCCGGCCCTCGGCTTGTAGCTAAATTTTTTATTTGGCCCTCCGTCCATTTGACTTTGACACCCCTGATGTAGATGGTGTCCCACTGCAGCCAGTCAGAGGAAGAAGATATAAATGTTTTGGCTTCATATTTGGGGGACTGTTGTGCTGTCCATCTTTGATACACTACAGTCTATGTTTGACTCCCTATGTGTTCAATTCTGTAGGTAAACTCTGGACCCGCAGTCAGAAACTGGCCTACACTCTTCTGAACAAGCTGAGCACCAGAAATGAGCCTCTGCTCATGCCTGGAGACAGAGTAAGTCATGAGATTTAACAGGGGTGGTCAGATGTTACATTCTTTGATGCATTATCAGCGGACTGGAGCGTCTTAAAGGATATTCAGCACGTGCAAAAGTAGAAAAAAAGGCTTCATTTTCTTAAACACCAGTATCTGCACATACTGTATTATCAGTGAATGGAAGCTAATGTTCAGAGTTAGATCTTGAAATGATAGTTTCTGTACACCATATCCTTCATTTTACTCTACCCTTTCTGACTACCAGATCATCTCATAACCTGTGTGTGATACCCCTGCAGGTTGCACTTGTTTTCCCCAACAATGACCCGGTGATGTTCATGGTAGCGTTTTATGGCTGTCTGCTGGCAGAGCTGGTACCTGTGCCTATTGAAGTGCCGCTGACACGAAAGGTAAAAGAGAAAAACACTCTCCTGGGGACATCAGGGCATTTTTCACATGTGCTATATAACTACTGAGGAGCAGTACTGACCCCTGCTGGACAGTTGACCCCCTGATTGACAGAGAGGCTGGAAAGAGAGGCACAGTTGTTTTCATGTCAGTTTATTTATGATTGAGTCTGACCCCTGTATAATATTCAGAGTGTTATAGTTTCTATCTATCAGCTCAAAATGAGCCACATTCATCCACATTAGTCACACCGGCTGAATCTTAATGTCTGCTCTTGATTGTGTCTTATAAGCATGCTGTTGGCAGATGCTGTGCAGTAATAAACGAGGTTTGAGCGAGGTGAAATGATCTGTAACTTCAGTCAAAATATTAGATCACAGACCAGCTGACTCTGGAGTCACACATTTTTCCTTTTTCTCTGAATGTCTTTCCTCATTTTCTTTGCATGTCCCCCCTTTTTCTTTCTTTCCTTTTTTGCTCTAAACCCACCTAATGTCTTTTCTCCACATTATAGTTGGCTCATCATGGGGCTGGTTTTTAAACTTATTTGCACAGCCGATCTTAAATCAGTGTGATGAAGCGCTTTGCAGCTCAGCAGTGGAGTTATTTTGTACAATGATTGGCCGTCACTCTGCTTTCTCACCTGCTGCTGCTGCTCTGATGTACAGTGCTTCAAGGTTTCTTCTTTTGTCGTCGCCCTTCTTTCTCTGTTTCTATTCCCATATTCCCTCGGAACATCTCCTCTCAAAGCTTGTATGTCCTGAAGTTCTCGTTGTTTTTTATAGATCATTGCTGCATTCATACTTTGCCAAACTTGATTGTACGAACTTCAACGTTTTTTTATCTCCCTTGGTTCACCAGGATGCAGGAAGTCAACAGATCGGCTTCCTGCTGGGCAGCTGTGGCGTCACGTTGGCACTGACCACCGACGCTTGTCAAAAAGGCTTGCCTAAAGCACAAACAGGGGAGGTGGCAACATTCAAAGGTACAGCCTGGTTTGGTGTCTCAGTTTTGACTGTCTGTATGGTTTGAGTATGTTTGAACTAGGGCTGCTCGATTAATCAATTTTAAGTCAGATTTGATTATGAAGATGTTAAAAATTGTAATCGTCAAATCAATTTTCCTCTCTATCATGTCTCGTGCCTCCAGGCCACCGTAGACTCCCCCTTCCTGTGGGAGTGCTCCCTAGTTCCCACACACACACCAGTGTAAACAAACATGGCGTTTGCAAAAGAAGGCGATAATTTCGTGGCTAAATAGGGCAAGAGCAAGTCAGTCGTGTGGAATTGGTACGGCTTCGCAGTTTCAGATGAAGAGCGAACCACTTCCTGCTGTTAAGTCTGTCTGAAAGCGGTATCAACCTGTGCACACGGAAACGAATTCAGGAGTAAATGCTTAAGTTTTTCGTCGTATCGGCGTTTCATCCACATGGACATGGCGTTGCGGGTGACTATAAACTGTAATTTTTGTTAATGGGTCAGAGACTGCATAAATCTGTAAACGACTACCATTTCATCTCCGTGTGGATGTCTATCTGCATCTCTTGAAACGATTATGTGACACATAGCGCAACTCTTTCATGGCGCCTGCGTGTGTCCGACCAAAACAGCCTTTATACGCATGCACTGTACTCTTCTTCTGTCTTTTGTGCATTTCCTCGGCAGCGTTACAGCACCACTTACTGGCTTGGCATATGCACAACATCATTGTTAGTGATTTTGTTTCCAGAGATGATAGAAAAATGTATTATCAACGTATTATAAGTGAAGTTTGGTGAAGTTGTCACTGAATAAAAAAATCGAAATGGAAATCGAGTTTTCAGAGAAAAAAATCTGGATTTTATTTTTGGCCAGAATCTTGCAGCCCTATTGTGAACCATCCTCCTGTCTCATCTCTGCAGGCTGGCCTCGGTTACTGTGGTTTGTGACAGATGGGAAACATGTTGTGAAGCCTCCTAAAGACTGGTACCCTCCAATACGAGAAGCCAGTAATGATATAGCCTACATAGAGGTAAGTGTAAACCCTCTGAAGTTACAAAACAGGAAGAAAAACTCTCATTGTATGGAAAATTAAATACTCATGTTTCACTGGATCCTTGTGTTATTACTTTGAGGTGATATCGCTTATTTATATTCATGGTTTTTCGTCCCAAGTACAAAACCAGCAAGGAGGGGAGCACCATGGGGATCACAGTGTCGCATACAGCCATGCTGGCCCATTGTCATGCTCTCACACAGGCCTGTGGCTACACTGAAGGTGAGGACAACTCCTTGTTTTTACTCATTCTTGATTTAGCTGTGTGCTCTCCTTCATCACTTTCTCATTTTCTAACAAAGAGAGAAGCAAAGTTTGTGAAAGGAGAGAGGAAAGAGGTACTAAAGCTGGCTTTCAAGAAAACATACACGCTTGAGTATGAGGAAAAAAAACTAAACCAAAATGTATGTTGTGTTTTTTCCTGTTTATTCAGCAGGTTAGATAGTGTAGTGCAAATCCATTTTTTTTTTTTTGCTATACAATAAGAAAGATCCTCCCTGTGTCGCTCCCCTTATTCCCAGAGTGTAATTACAGTCTAGGATGATGAATGCAGCAGCTCGGCTGGTTTGGTTTCTCTCCGTCAGACTTGGGTCAGGTCTACTTAAAAAGAAACAGAACATAAGGCGGCTCCTCTACTCCGCTGTCCCACTTTTACTCTGAATTATTCTGCACCAACAGCCCCTTCAGACTCTCTAAAACCCCTATGATCGGAATTTACTTATTACAAGCCGTGTTTTGTGTTCAGACTAATAGGATGATGTGTGATTGCTCAAGTGAAATTTTTCAGATACAATTACTCAAACCTTTTCTCTCACGCTAACCTTGACTAAATCTCTGTTTTGATTTGCAGCTGAGACCATAACCAATGTGTTGGACTTCAAGAGAGAAGCAGGATTATGGCATGGCGTCCTGACTGTGAGTGGACTGACAACCAACAGTGAAGCTAAAAAGAGGGTTATATGATATTAAGTAAAGGAGCTTTATGCTCACTTAGCTGTTGAACTGTCAGATTTTCTGACTGACTTCTGACTTGATCTGTAATCAAACATCCAAACTAACAAAGTCCTGATGAGCAGAAATATCTTATCATAATTTAACAGTAAAGCAGCAATATATAAAAGTATCCTGTTTACTCGCAGCACATACAGAACCTGCTGCTGCACGTTATAATACCTTAAATGAAAGCCCAGCAGAGGAAACATACTTGATTCCAATGTTTCAAGTCCAGCTTGTTTGCGGTGACACCAGGTTATCTTGAAATGCAGTGGCGTGACATATTTTGATGCTTGTCTCCGGTCTTCTTGACAGAGTGTCATGAATCGGATGCACGTGATCAGCATTCCTTACTCTCTGATGAAAGTCAACCCTCTGTCCTGGATACAAAAGGTTCACACTTACAAAGGTAAATCAGCCTGAACAATCCACCGTTTTTACCATTAATCTGCTTCTTGCATCACAGCCCTAAGAAGGATCAAGTGCTTTGTTATGAAACTGAATTGGATCCAAATTTAAGGAGCCACACATTTTGTTTCTACTTCAGATTTATTCTTAACTGTGCTAGTTGCTTGTAGCTGTGTTGATTCTTGCTGCAGATTTGACAGGGCTTGATGTATTGAAGCAATCGTTTGTCACTCAGTGATTTCTAATTCATCTATATTGGTCCTATGGAGGTCGAGGGTAGCTAACCTGCTGCACTGAATCAAAGTCATGTCCTCCTGCTGAGTCACCTGTTGGCGGCTGAGTCAGATCATGCTGCTCTTTGCCGTCAGATTTGGTGATGTGTGATTGACTGTCAGGTTGGATGACAGAGGTGTCGATTGATTGTGAGTCTCTCTCTCTCTCTCTTTCTCTCTCTCTGTGTGTGCTCCCCTGTGCAGCACGGGTTGCGGTGGTGAAGTCAAGGGACATGCACTGGTCCCTGCTGGCCCAGAGAGACCAGCGGGACATCAGCCTGAGCTCGCTGCGCATGCTCATCGTAGCAGATGGAGCAAACCCATGTGAGTCCACCAGCAGGTTCTCATTTCATGAAATAACCTCACAGACAGCCTGAGGTCTGACGAGATAACCACTGATTTGTTTTGTTTGTGTTCGCTTGCATGTCAGTCTAACTGGCTTTGTTTGCGTGTAACGTGTGTGTATGTGTGTGTTTTCACAGGGTCGATATCCTCCTGTGATGCCTTCCTCAACGTGTTTCAGGCACGTGGGCTGCGACCCGAGGTGATCTGCCCATGTGCAAGCTCTTCAGAAGCCATGACTGTCGCCATCCGCAGGTGAGCGGCTGCAACTGCACTGCAAGATCAAAACAAATCACATGCAACATGAGCTGTATCCTGCAGGAGGTGGCGGAGGAGGAATGTTTGTTACCCATAAACAGAGAGACAGACGGCAGCTTTCTGCTTATCATGAGGCTTAGTCCTGGGGAAGGATTTGGATGACAAACTGACAAAAACCGGCTTCAAAGTACAAACCAGTTCTATTTTTAAACAGAAATCCCTTTTTATAACAAGTGTGTGTCTAGAAATGTTGTAATAGATCTAAAGTATCTCACAGCCTCTTTGTCTCCCTCTGAGATGTCAGTGCTCGTGTAACTTAAGTCATACCATCAGGCACGGCATGACTAAGTCTACCATTTGAAAAATACACTGTGCATCTTTAGTGTGAGTCTGCATTTGTTTACTGTGTTAAGTAATAACAGGTATAACTGTGGTAATACTTGCAGGCCTCCAGAAATGGGAGTTCCTCCACCAGGGAAGGCGGTGTTGTCTATGGGTGGGCTGAGCCACAGTGTGATCCGTGTCGACACAGAGGAGAAACTCTCAGTTCTGACGGTGCAGGACGTGGGACAGGTCATGCCTGGAGGTACGGGACACTACAGTGTTTAATAACAGCCTGAGATGCATTCAGAGCATGAGACTGAGGTGAAAGAGTTTCAAGTTGAGAGGTTTTGAGAGGTCATGATGTAGGATTAAACAAAGAAAAAGGACCCAAAAATGCAGAACTAAGGATTTATTAGAGCAAAAGCAAAAAGTAAAAGTCCAACTAAAACTTACTCTCAAAATGTCCAAACAAATCCAAAATTAAAAAAAAACACAAGAAGCAAAATCCAAAGAATCAAATGGGCACTGGGAAAAAAACAGAAGGAAACAACTGGGCCAGTGGTTCTCAAGTCCAGTCCTCGAGGCCCACTGTCCTGCATGTTTTGGATGCTTCCCTGCTGCAACACACCTGATTCAAATGATCAGCTCGTTATCAAGCTCTGTAATGGCTTAATAACGAGTTAATCATTTGAATCAGGTGTGTTGGAGCAGGGAAGCACCAAAACATGCAGGACAGTGGACCTCGAGGACTGGACTTGAGAACCACTGAACTGGGGACACAAGCATACGTTGACATGGACATATGCGCACACACACACACACAATGAACGCACCAAGACAGAGGGGAAGATAGGGACTATATACACACACTGGGAAATGAGTAACGGTTGAGGCAGACAAGACGCAGGTGAAACTCATGGGTAATTAACAAGGAAGGGAAAACTAGGGAAGTAAAATCAGACTAGAAACACAAGGAATCAACTACAACAAAATAAAACACTGAAAACTGATCCAAAGAATAAAACACAGAGAACAGGAGGGAAACAAACACAAACTGAAAACTCACAAGACTGGATCACAAGAACAATAGGGAACAGAAACCATAGACTGTATATAGGGTAAAACACACAGAATATACATTCAAATAACAAAACCAGGAAAACACTAGATTAACAGAACATATCATGACATTTTTATTGTTTAAAAAGAAACCAGACTGTTTTCTTGAATGAGAAGAATCATGAGCACCTGTTAATGTTATTGTTGATACACCTGGTTCATACCTTTGTAACACTGAAGACTAAAAAATAAATCCTCTCACTCAACACATGAACCAAATCCCCAAAACAGAAACCAGAAAAGCAACTTAAACGTCCATTTCCAATAAAGTTGTATAACTTAGTTCTCTGATTCTTATTTTGTGCCTCCAGCTCTGGTTTGTGTGGTGCGGGTGGAGGGGACCCCCTACATCTGTCAGACAGACGAGGTTGGAGAGATCTGTGTGAGCTCAGGTAGTACGGGTGTAGCTTATTACGGCCTCCCAGGCATGACCAAGAACGTCTTTGAGGTTTGTGTCTGATTTTATTAAGTGAGTGTTCATTTTGCACTTCATCATCCGTCTGTATGTGTTTGTAACAGTGTAATATCTTTTCATAGACAATCCCAGTGTTAGCATCTGGGCTCCCGATCAGCGACAGACCTTTTACCAGGACTTCCCTGCTGGGTTTTGTTGGTCCGGTAAGTTCACTCTTCCATTCCTAAAAAACTTCTTGTTTACTTTCTTGTACCTCACTGGTTCTATATGTTCAAGCTTTTCCAACAAATGCAGCTAAGGGAGACAGTTTTCACCAGGAGTCTCTCTCCAGTGACTTACAGTAATTGGAAAGAACATTTTATTACAAGGAGGTCTGTAAACCTTATGTAGATGATTTGTGACAACAGCGTTCACACTTTCAAATTAAAAAGCTGTGAGGGTTTGTGTCATATTTACACAGTCAGCTAGAAGACTGAGTAATCCAGGGTCAGTTTGAAGAACAAATTAAAGGCAAACTCTGCCTGACTTATTATTTGCTGTCATGTGGTGATGGTTTTTATTCCTGAGCTGAAAACACACTTCTTCTTTCTGTAGACTTCACAGCTCCGGGGTGTAAAGATGACAAAGCCAATGTAGAAATGTAAATGTAGAATTACTTCATGACTCAAAAAGTGTCAAGATTTACCCACTTAATAGTTTGAACGTTGGGTTTTCTAACAGGACAGCCTCGTGTTTATTGTGGGGAAGATGGACGGGCTGATGGTGGTCAGTGGGCGGAGACACAATGCTGATGATGTGGTTGCCACGGCGTTGGCAGTGGAGCCTATGAAGTTTGTGTACAGGGGGAGGTAAGAAAGAAGGAATCTGTTAACACACATAACAAGTTTTCTCTACTCTTCTCCTTGTCTGTCATTTTTCATATACATGACTTTCTCGACTCTTTTGTGTTTCAGGATAGCAGTGTTCTCTGTGTCTGTGCTGCATGACGAGAGGATCGTTGTTGTGGCCGAGCAGAGGCCAGACGCCTCAGAGGAGGACAGTTTCCAGTGGATGAGCCGTGTCCTCCAGGTGCTCACTGTGCTCTTTCTCTTTCACACCTTATCACTTTATTCATACAGTAAAAATGAGGACAAGAGGAAACTTCCTTTTTGTTCCTGACTAAAGCTCAAACTGGACCAAAGCACAAAGCTTCGGTTTGTCTGATGACCTTTTTTTTCCTTGTCTCCAGGCCATAGATAGCATCCACCAGGTCGGAGTGTACTGTCTTGCTTTGGTACCTGCCAACACGCTTCCTAAGGCTCCCTTGGGTGGCATCCACATATCCGAGACAAAGCAGCGCTTCCTAGAGGGCGCCTTGCACCCCTGCAACGTCCTCATGTGCCCTCACACGTGTGTCACCAACCTTCCTAAGCCAAGACAGAAACAACCAGGTAGACCAACCAATGTCCTCACATTCACCAGGTTTGGAGATGAATGCATGCAGACTAACTCTTACCTGCTGTGTGTGTGTATATCTAATGCCGTGAATGTCGACCCTGACTCCAGGGATTTTAATGATGATGATACTAATGAGACTTTTGATGCACAGAGGTGAGTCCTGCTTCTATGATAGTGGGCAACCTGGTGGCAGGAAAGAGGATTGCACAGGCCTGTGGGAGAGATGTGGCCCAGCTAGAGGACAATGAACAGGTTTGTGGATTCACTTCCTTATTTCACTCACTCTCATCTCTAGACATGTGTTAGTGTCCGTATTAGCGGGGGCAGAGTAAAAACCACAGAGGAGAGGACATGGTTTTGAGCCCCTGCTGTTCTTTAATTGTATTCTCTTCGCCCACCTTGTACCTCCGTGCCCCCTGTTGTTTGTGTTTGAAACCATCACTGTCACAGTTCTTGTTTGTGCTGTAGTTGTGTGTTACTCTCATTTATTTTCTCTACAGCTGAGCTTGTGTTTCTCCTCTTCCTCCTGTAGTTCCTGTACATACAAGATGTGCTGCAGTGGAGAGCACAGGCCACACCAGACCACCCTCTATTCCTTGTTTTGAACTCTAAGGTATGCTCCCTCGATGTAACAGCAGTTTACAATCTGAATGAATGAATACCTGGAAATGTAGTTTGTTAATAGATTTGAAAAAGTTGGATGGTTAGGCTACTTTTGGATAGTTTAAAACCTAATTAATCTAGGCACTTATTGTTGTGTTTTGGATCTCCAACATGACCTACAAGAATTAACCCTTAGTTCCTGTTAATTTTAAGCTCCATCCAGCCTCCTTTGTCCCCAAAACGGACATGCAGATAAGTGTTCATAAAATAATCTTTTTTTAATTTTTTACTTTTTTCAACTCATATCTCTCAAAACTCCGCTCACCGCATGCCCGGTTATAAACATGGACGCAGATTTGCACCCATGCGTCCTCGCAGGAGCAAACAAACTTTTCCTTACACTCTTAGACATCCATATCTAGTGGCAGGTAAAGTTTCATTCAAGTCTGATGATGTTTAGTGGATGAAATAGCGCTTCAAACATTATGAGTCCATAAATAAAGACCTTCGTACACGGCACTGAAGGAGTTAGAATTATGTGCTGGCACAATCTCTTGTATCACTGTTGGAAAGTAAAATTTGAAACCCTGGTGATCGACTGACTACAAAAAAAGGTTGTAATATGTTGATATGGTGCCATAAACACACGGCCAAAAAACGTGTTTTTAATGGAAGTCAATTGTCCGTTTTGTAGACAAAGTTGGGTGGACGAAGCTAAAATGCTGCGATAGAGTTCTACAGGCGACATTTTTTTTTTTTTTTTTTTTAATATGAAGAAAATAAAAACTCTCACCAAATTTGATGCCCCAGTTTTTAAAAATGTGACTGTCAGCTTAAAATAAAAATGAAAAAAATAACAAATGTCCCTAGTAGGAACTGAGGGTTAAATCCACCAGGAGACAAAAGCTGCCTCTATGCAAATCTTTAAGTTTATTTCTAAAACTTAGCCATACTTATACCTCTCTTCTGCTCCTCAGGGTACAGTGGCTAGCACAGCTTCCTGCCTGCAGCTGCATAAGCGAGCGGAGCGGGTGGCTGCCGCACTCATGGGACGCCTCAACACTGGAGACCATGTAGCCCTTGTTTACCCGCCAGGTGAGAGGTGCAACCCATGACTGTGCTGCTTGTCCATTTATCCCTGTTCTCATGTCACATATTTCTAAAGGCAATGAATGAATCAAAATGATCAAAACATTTGTGTGCAGGAATCGACCTGATCGCCACCTTTTATGGGTGCCTGTATGCTGGCTGTGTGCCTGTCACTGTCAGACCTCCGCACCCCCAGAACCTGGCAACCACCCTGCCCACTGTCAAGATGATTGTGGAGGTAACACAGTCTGCTGAGCTGCATCATAGCGCTAACCTGACCCCTCACCTCACAGTTCTAATACTTACTGACCTTCTTCTAATGGGTTCTCTTATCGCATTAGGTTGCATGGAGATTAAAAATTACATACATACGTGTACTAATGCTGTGATATCTGTTTGTTGTAGGTCAGCAAGTCAGTGTGCATCCTGACCACTCAAGCAATAATGAAGCTGCTGAAATCCAAAGAGGCAGCTGCTGCTGTGGACATCAAGAGCTGGCCCACGGTGCTGGATACAGGTCAGTGTTAGACACAAAGAGGACACCTGCTGCAACTGGAGTGCAACAATTAAACTTGAGCAATTTTTTTCATCGTCCAGATGATCTCCCCAGGAAGAAGAGCCCCCAAATGTACAAACCCCCTACCCCAGAGATGTTAGCTTATCTGGACTTCAGTGTGTCTACAACAGGCATTTTAGCCGGGGTCAAAGTACGTTTGATGTTACAAATCTCAATCGTTTCAATTATTCATTTTTTTTTTCCTGCAATTATAACCAAACTAAATTTAAAACATAATCTGCTTCTTTTTGTTGCTTTGATTAAGTCTCTGTTTGTGTGTGTTATGTTATCTCCTCCAGATGTCTCATGCTGCCACCAGTGCCTTGTGTCGCTCCATCAAACTGCAGTGTGAACTCTACCCATCCAGGCAAATCGCCATCTGTCTGGATCCGTACTGCGGCTTGGGCTTTGCTCTCTGGTGTCTGTGCAGGTAAACCACCAGTTACAAATAAATGAGAAGAGCTTGAATCCAGACTGAATCTACATTTTCCTCACTCATTTAACTCTCCTTTTGTATTTCTGGTTCCAGTGTGTACTCAGGGCACCAGTCCATCCTGGTTCCTCCTCTGGAACTGGAGAGCAATGCGTCTCTGTGGCTGGCTGCGGTCAGCCAGTATAAAGTCCGTGTCACCTTCTGCTCCTATTCAGTCATGGAGATGTGCACCAAGGGCCTCGGCTCACAGACTGAAGCACTGAGGGTCAGTTTTTTGTCTTCAGGTGTTGAGCTGTAACAAACTGCAGTGTTTTCCTCTCCCGAGCTTTAAATTTGATCATCATTGAGTCCTTTCCTTGCTGTTCTGTTACTTACTACACCATTGTTTTTTTTTCAAGACACAGTCAGGGTACTTCACTTTTCTGTACCTCTGCACTGATTACCTCCTGCAGCACCTGAGATTGGATTTTTATTTTACAAATCATGTCTGCGGCTCAATACTAGAAATAAGGTCATAAGAAGTTTTATTAATATGTAAATGCAGTTATTGAACTACTTTGATTTGAGCCTCCACTATCACCTTTGCAGATTGAACATTGTATTATTACGAGTATGGCAGCCTGTTTCCTCACAGCTTCAATGGAAATGCGTTTTATTTTCTCTGATTAAACTCCTTCTTCCTCTTCTCCAGCTGCGAAACGTGAACCTGTCCTGTGTTCGTACATGCATGGTGGTAGCAGAGGAGAGGCCCCGGATCGCACTCACTCAGTCATTCTCAAAGATTTTCAAGGACTTGGGGCTCTCACCTCGAGCAGTCAGCACCACCTTCGGCTGCAGGGTGAATGTGGCGATATGTTTGCAGGTAAGAGGGTTAGTGGTCCAGAGTCTAACAGATCAAATAAACCCTATAAAACCTTGAGAGGGTCGATTAGCTGCAGGTTTCAAGCCAAAATGTGGGTGAGGATGTTTTTAAAAGCTAAATGTGAATCGAAAGTACTTTAGAAACAAGTACCACACACCAGCAAACAACATGACGCCTGCCTGCTGTAAAAAGGGATCGAGAGTGATAGATTCCAAGAGTAAAGAAACTGTCAAAAAATGTATTGATTGAAGAAAATTGGAATCTAACAGCTTTAATTGAAAGCCTTTCTATGAAATCTCTGGTTAGTTGTCAGGTAGAAAAAAGTTTTGTTCCCTCATTTACGTCTTACGAATTTACAGAATAAAGTCAACCTAGAATTTTTTGGCTATATTTTTTTCTTTTTAAGTTTTCTGCAAATGTACACATCCTCTAAAAGTTTATATGACTGCAACATCTTCTTTTAAATCCACTAAACGAGGTTAAGGGATTCAGTGCAACTTATGTTTTTGAACTGGAGTGAAAATACCCACCAACCCACCCACTGACTGCTTCTCAGTAGGACTGCTAGTTGTTTTTTTCTTTCCACTGGTGGCTCCTACAAGCTGTGTTTAGTTTCCTTGCCATTATTCGTGGTATTTTTGTTCATTTAAGGAATGTTTGCATGTGTCCACGTACATCAATCTACCTGTATATATATCTTTATTTATCTGTCCTGCCCTGTCCCGTCAGCCCAACAGGTTAGGGAAGCTGGCTGAGCAGGTAACTGTAGGAGAAGAGTTGCTGTTTGCTCACTGGGCTGCTGCTGAATCTGTGTGTGTGTGTGTTTGTGTGTGTTAGTTTTGTCGGTGTGTTCATGTCTGCGGTTTTATTTGTCTTGCATGACCATGGTTAACTTTATTTGACTGATTCTGTAGTTTTTCTTTTTCTCTGATGAGCTTCACTCTTCATTTTCAGCTCAGGCTGGCTCCTGACCATTGCTTTATGATCCAAGGTTGTATGTAATGTGCTGCTGAGATATAACATGAGCTAGCTTCATGAGCTCTGCCATGATACAGTTCATTTTAGAGGAATTTTATTTGGAGGAGCGCTCAGTAAAAACGAATGAGTGATAGGAACCTCAGCCAAAAAAAAAAAAAAAACAATAAACAGTTACTTTATGTTTGTTTCTGCAAGTGAAAGGACAGTTTTTCTCAAGTTTAAGGGCTAGCCTTTGAAATCCCCGTATTGAACATTTACAGCAATTAAAGGTGGGGTAGGCAGGATCTGAGGAAGTGCCAGTTTTTGGGAGAAATCTTGAATGTAAACGGTACCCCTCCCAACCAGTTTTCCCCTCAGCTCCTCCTCTCCCCTCCCTCTCTGCTCCAGAAAGCTCCACCCACAAACAGACGCTGCTGCTCTCTCGTATCGTTCCAATTATATTCAGATATAACTCAGATAAATACTTCGGATGGGGCACAGTTGACATGAAAGTAAAAAGCATTGGTGCTACTGTAGATGCCAACAGACTACCAGCAAACACAATGTTTGCAGGACATCTACAACTAGGATGAAGTGACATTTTCCAGGACCCGAGGTCAACAGTTTAGTGGCACTACAACACACAGCAGGTCCTGTTTGACAAGAAACACTTCTGTTACAGACACTTGGCTTACTTTGTTAAAGTGGTTTACCTGTCCAGCAGAAAGGTTACAGGGTCCGTAAGATCCTGAAGCACCCTCTATCGTTTTATGTTGACCTGGCTTTTTAGCTTTTGTCCAGTCTACCTCCTTTTTAAGCGCCCGTTATTCTGCCAGTGTCTCTGGTATTTACTTTGTTTTATTGCTTGTGTTGGCAGTCGTGGCCAAAGGAGGATTCAGACAATTTTCCGAACTTTCTGGTTGGTTTCGGCTGTCCGATATTGTAGCACGCTAACTTTGTTTGGGCTCGTGAACATTATTCGTGGAGCGTGCCTCACAACATGAGGAAGCAGCGTCTACCTCACAACCAATCAGCATTAAGGAGCAGTGTCCGCTTCACAACCAATCAGGTCGGCAAGGTGGAGAACGGCTTTGTTTACAGTCAGAATGAACGGCCCGCTCAAAACTTTTGAAATGTTGACTACCCAGGCATAAGAGAATTCAGCGGTATTTGTGATATTCCCAAATGTCATCAATGACTAATAGCCATTGACTGATATTAAAAGCTTTTTTGTATATACACCATAAAAAAAGATGCTTCTTTAACGGATTCCTGCCTACCCCACCTTTAACTGTAGTTTCTTTTGGCATTTGTAGAAGACAAGAATTGGTTTATTTCTATAGTTTTATCTGCTGATAGATTTTTCTGAGAACATTTTCTTTGGGTGATTTTTCTTTTCCAAATAAAACTTTTAAAGGAATGCTACTCACAATTTGAGTCTGGTGTTTACAATGATGAACTAGCGTGTCAATTAGGTTAATAAAAGTACAATGTTGTCTGCTAGTGACACATTTACCAGGTCCACTAGCCTTATAATGTTTTTTTTTTGTTATTGGCATTACTAATCTCTGGATGGAGTCTCACTGGTGTTTGCTGCTGATGCTGAAGCCCCTGCTAAATAAATCAGCCCACTCGCTCTGTGTTTGACCTCACGGACAGAAAACCCTGACTCACTGCTGGCTAGCTTCTGCTCTGGCTATATCCTGGCAGAAGATTGATGGTAAACATAATGTGTTGTGTCTTGTGTTGCAGCAGTAATGATGACAAATCCAGAAGCATTTAAAAATCCATATCTGACAACCAGAACAGTACTTGAGAAATGATCCTTTAAGAAATCTGGTGCATTTAAAGAACTCTGGACATCTAATCCAAACAAATGATCCTCATTTACCTTTTTTTCTGACTTTTGTGTGCTGTATTTGTTACTGGGGAGAAATAGTAGGAGGAAATAAACACTTCATTTATTATTTATTACTTACAAGCTTCCAAGAACTGGCAGTGGAGCATTTCCAAACCCTCTTACACTTGTATGAAAACAAACAAGCCTCATTAGAGCGGCTGAATTTAACTCTGCAGGAACTTACAGTGTCTGTAGTCCTAACTATCCTGGCCTGGCTGGTTGGCTGGCTTCTGGCTGCCCCCTCTGCTTTGTATCACAAGCAGCTTCCACCTCTCCTCCAGGCAGTAAATAGCCTCAACGTGAGAGTTTTGAGGGTCACATTACTGACTTTTATTTCTGTCCTTGTTTTCCTCCAGGGCACAGCTGGACCAGATCCCACTACTGTTTACGTGGACATGAGAGCTCTACGGCACGACAGGTAGGAGCCGTAGCACCAGAGTGGACCCTATACATCCCTACATAAACATGGCTGTGGTCTCTGTGACATTGCCCACTGGTTTCTAAAACAGCTTTGAAGCTTAACAACAGTGCTCAACATATGGCAATGCTTTTGTCGAACTGATGCTTCCCTGATGGGTGTGTCTGTCAGATAAAGTATTTAACAGATGGCTGCTAAAATCACTTTTGTTTATATTTTTTACCTGCAAATGTTTGCAGCAATTGATATTTACAAAAGTGGATTAGGGCCACAAGAAGAGAAAAAAATAATTAGTTTTTTTTTTTTATTTACGTTTCGAGATTAAAGTCAAAATTGAAAAAAGTTGAAATGAAAAAAATCAAAATTTCGAGATTAAGGTCCTCCAAGTTTGTTTGTTTTTTCCTTCATAATCTTCAGCACAGTCTTTTTAGAGTCCAAATACTTATGACCACACTGTTTTTGTGCTAAAAGAGCAAGGATTTCTGTCGCACTGAATCCAGTTCTGAAGTACAGCTTTACAAACTGTTCTACAGAGGACGTGTTGTTGAGTGATGAGCGACAATGCTGTTGATTAATTGTCATTCATCTCATCATTATGACTTTATTCAAGAAATTTTGTCTTTATTTGCGTCGACTTTAATCTCGAAATGTTGACTTTTATCTTGAAATGTCATATTTAATCTCCGTCCTGTAATTATTTTTTCTCTTCATGTGGCCTTAGTCCTCTTAAGTAATGCTTAACTTGAAAGTTGAAAAACAACAGGAACATTTTTACACCTTTTGTCTTTTTTTCCAGGGTTCGTCTGGTCGAGAGAGGGTCGCCTCACAGTTTACCTCTGATGGAGTCTGGGAAGGTACGGCTAGACCCCCTTTACACAGTGATGCTATGAAGTAAATATTCCTCTGTTTTTCTTCATGCACAGTTGTTTAACTCGTTGCTGTGTGCTGTTGTAGATCCTTCCAGGAGTGAAGGTGATCATTGCCAACACAGAGACTAAAGGACCTTTGGGAGACTCACATCTAGGAGAGGTATTGTCACCTAGAGGTTATCAGAGAGACTTGACTGTCACCTATTTAATCCTTCAACAACCAAAGGGGTTACATGAGCTGAAGTTACGTTGCTTTAGTCAGCTTTCATTCTTTGTGTTATAGATCTGGGTGAGCAGTCCTCACAATGCCACAGGCTACTACACAGTTTACGGAGAGGAGGCGCTGCATGCAGACCACTTTAACACCAAGCTCAGCTTCGGGGACACCCAGAGTGTGTGGGCGAGGACAGGCTACCTGGGATTCCTGCGGCGTACTGAGCTGACAGATGCAAGTGGAGGTGAGAATTATCAATGCTTAAAGGTATATTCTGGCGTAAAATTAAGTTGGGCTCAAACACACTGTTAACACCGTGGTGTCTAACGCTGAGTTAGACACCCTGGCGAGAGATAATTGTTGCCGACTGCTTGCTTCTCTAGTTATACCAACTTTAGCAATGATCGCAGGATAGTAATACAGAGAGCCACGTGTTCAACCAAAAAGCCACTCTATAGCCACAAATAATGCTCAGAACAGCACCTAACTTCATCAACAGTACATATAGGGTCCCAGCCATTGTACCAGCCACCAAACATCTTTTAAACTTTGCCTAATTTCTTCAGCACAGAGACTAAACACAATTCACCCACTCTCCTCTAGCAGCCATTTGTTTGTACAGAGACCTTGGGCGAGTCCATCACTGACTACAGCAGGGTGACGCAGCTCATGGAAGAACATTTATGATTATTTCTTTATGGAAATGCAATCAGACCGAGACGCTAAGGCGGAAGAACTACCGCGTCTGCAGTGCAAAATGATTATTATGATGATTATTACTTCAAGGAAATGATAAAGTAATGATCATAAATGTTCTTCCTGAGCTGCGTCACCCCCCGCTTCAGTCGATGGACTCACCTGGAGGTCTCCTTACGAACAAGCAGCTGCTGGAAGAGAATGGGTGGGTTGTGATTAGTCTCTTTGCTAAAGAAATCAGGGAAAGCTAAAAGATGTTTGATGGCTAGTACTATGGCTAGGACCCTAAATGTACTGTTGATGAAGTTAGGTGCTGTTCTGAGCATTATTTGTGGCTTTAGAGTGGCTTTTGGGTTGAGCGCGTGGTTCTCTGTATTGCTATCGTGTGGTTGTTACTAAAGTTGGTATAACTAGAGAAGCAAGCAGTCTGCAACATTCATCTCTCGAGGGGATGTCTAACTCAGTGTTGTGGTGTGTCTGACCATAACTTAAATTTACGCCGGAATATCCCTTTAATGGGGTTTGAAAAGCAGATCATTTCTCTCTATAATGATAAAACTGGAAACTCTGAACCAATCCAATACACGTGTGTTTCTTCTGTGTGTATCTCAGAGCGTCATGATGCCCTTTACGTGGTGGGCTCTCTTGATGAGACTCTGGAGTTAAGGGGGATGAGGTATCATCCCATTGACATCGAAACCTCTGTTATCCGTTCACACAAGAGCATAGCCGAGTGGTGAGAAGTTCACACCAACTATTGATCACTATTTTATCACTATTTATCATGTTAACAGAACATTAGTTCATTTCATATAACCTGTTCTCCACCTCCTCACTCCAGCGCTGTGTTCACTTGGACCAACCTCCTCGTGGTGGTGGTGGAGCTGGAGGGATCTGAGCAGGAAGCCCTGGATCTGGTCGCTCTGGTCACCAACGTCGTGCTGGAGGAGCATTACCTCATTGTTGGAGTGGTGGTGGTAGTGGACCCGGGCGTCATCCCCATCAACTCCCGGGGAGAGAAGCAACGTATGCACCTCAGAGACGGATTCTTGGCTGACCAGCTGGACCCCATTTATGTCGCCTACAATATGTGAGGGTCCTGCTGAAGGAGGCTTACTTTACCCTATGTGTGGCTTATCACAAAAGCAGACTCCGCACAGTGGAGAACGTGGAGGTTTATGGATGTTGCAAGTGCAGCATCAGTCTGAGAAATCAAGTGGGGATGATATATAATGATATATAATGCAGCAGAATAGAGATGAACTCAAAGAGCGTGAGAAAAACCTCATGTCTGTTTCTCTTTGTGATTTCTTGACCCAACAAACAGCGAATTAAAGGGCATTTTGGCTCTTTTGAAGTGAGTTTTATATGTATGACAGAGCCTCTGACTCCAGGACACTGTGAGCAGTCCAGCAGGTGGTTGAGTTATGAAACTTCACTGTGCCATTAACAGACTTTTACTTTGTCAATATCCAACAGTATAATTATTGGTATTATTATTATTATTTGTGTTTTCCATATGTGTGCCGTAAAACCGGCCAGCTGCCAGTCAGGCAAACCTGGTTCAAACATGCTCTACCTTGTTTCCTGTTTTGCAGAGCCTCCTGTGCCATTGACAGCTAAAATCTTTCAAAGTCTCTCCCTCATACAGTTTCATCACATCTGTGGGGAGCTGCTCCTCAGATTAAGCTGCCTCCTAAAGTGAACCCTTATTTTTAATGTTCAAGCTCAAATCTTGTCATCAACAAAGCACACAGGAGCAGATATGGAGGAGGGGCAGACTGTGCGCTTTGTTGCTCATTTTTAGTGCTTTAGTTTGTAGTGTCAGTCAGTAACAGAATACTTCAAAATAATGTCATGGTTTGACTCAAACTTGTTCTTTTCTAAATCTTTAATGTGTAGCTTAGTTTGTTTTTTCATCTGAACAAAATGCAATATGTGTGATGTGAGAGATGATGCATGGAGTAACAGTAAGTGCCGATCATTTGGAGTCATAATGGGGGGTTGCTTGCCATAAGCAACGAGCCAAATGAAATGAATTAAGCCTTAAGTGTTTTTTCAGACGCCTGTTCCTATCCCAGAGCCTGTTTGACTTGATTTTGTGAAGTTTTTCAGCTGTTGGATAGGCTGGGAATATGCAGAGGGAGGTCAGTGGTGGTAAATCCTGCTCTTATTGCACCCAAAGTCTTGATTAAGATGAATATACTTGATCCTTACATCCAGCCATTACAAAAACACTTCTTTGATCGTGTCTTTTCCTTTGGTCAATAGTTTTGAATGTGTGTTTTATAGCAAAAGGACTGGAAGAAATAGTAGCTGATGTGGTTTAAAAGCAGAATGTCTCATCTTCATTTGTAGTGCCATACAGGTGAATGAGAGTTGTTGTTGTAGCTGCATGTGCCATATGCCTATACCTCCCACCTTTTCTCATTGACTTTGTAGAGATTCACTTCACTGTACGTTGCTTCTTTTTCTATGTGCACACCCCTTCAGAAACAGGCTTTGGCCTGCTGTAAGTATGTACAGGTTTTGTGTAAATTATTAATAGATGGAGATTTTAGGAATGCAAAGACTGAATCTGGAATATATCTGAACTTCTCCCTCACAAACAAAACAAATGAATTCTACTCTTGTGTGCGGACATAGAGAAGAGCCGTGAAAAGCCTTGTGAGCATTTATAAGGAATCAAAGTACAGCAGAAACTCACCGTATCCAAGATGAGTGGAGGCACACTCCCAGCACAAGGTGAAGACTGTCTGGCTTTGGTGACTGCAGAGATTACGGATCCTTCACAGCAAACTTTTGTTGTTAACATATGGAAAGATACATTTGTCTGATATATGGTTACTTGTCATTATTTTCATAACATGATTTCCTAATGAATAAAAAGTGCTTTTAACTTAAACTGGTTGTCTCCCCTTGCATCTAGACATGTGGTTGCGGTGGTTTCATGCCACTTCTCTGTATTCTCTCCTCTCTAGTCTACAAACACAAAATGAGTCAAGGAATTGGTCAGATCACAAGTATATATAAATATAAATAACATAATATGATCATTTCATGTTTCTTTTTTATATTTATTGAAGGGATATTCTGCCGTAAAATTAAGTTATGATCAAACACACCATAACACTAAGTTAGACACCCCCTTAGCAAAGAGACCAAACACAACTCGCCCACCCTCCTCCAGCAGCCGCTTGTTTGTGGGGGAGCCCTGACGAGTCAATCACCAAGTGCAGTGGATCATTTTCTTTAAGTAATAATCATAATAATCATTTTGCACTGCAGAAGCGGTAGTTTTTCTGCCTTAGCGTCTGGGTCTGATCACATTTCCATTAAGTAATGATCATTAATGTTCTTCCTGCACTAGGTGATCGACTCGTCAGGGCTCCTCCAGAAACAAGCAGCTGCTGGAGGAGAATGGGTGAGATGTGTTTGGTCTCTTTGCTAAAGAAATAAGGGAAAGCTAAAAAGATGTTTGATGGCTGGGACCTTATATGTACTGTTGATGAAGTTAGGTGCTGTTCTGAGCATTATTCGTGGCTATAGAGTGGCTTTTTGGTTGAGGTTTGCACATGGAGATGTAGACCGCTGTGTATTGCTATGGTGCGGTCGTAGCTGAAGTTGGTATGACTAGAAAAACAGGCAGTTGACAACATTCATCTCTCGAGAGGGTGTCTAACTCGCTGTTACGGTATGTTTGACCTTAATTTATTTTTATGCCAGAATATCCCTTTAATGCCAACAATGTTTTTTTTAATATTTTAAAGCTCCTGTTAGGACAAAGCAGTCTTCACGTATCCTGACCACTACATGCTCAAGTAGTAATTTTTGACAACAAATCTCATCCCGATTTTTGACCGTCAAATGTAGTATTTATTGTAAATATTTTTAGTGGAAATTGTAAAAACAGGTCAGTTTTTCAGCTGTAAGGTTTGAAACTTTCCCCTAGCATTTATTTCAGACATAAAAGGATATAAAATCTTGAGTCTTATTAACGCTGATCTTGTTTGATTTGTTATATCATTAAGAGGCATTAGGATTAATTTGTCTATTAATAAATGCCCTTCAGATTTTTCTAGCTGTTTCAGGTGAAGTCAATTGAAAACCAAACTGGTTACAGACCCCTCCAGATAATTACTGTGGAGATCATCAGCACAGTTAAGACTGATTTTCCTTACACAGGGCAATGACATGCAAGATCTGGAAGCTAATAACAACAGCCTTTTATTGTCCACGCAGTCATGAGAAGGAATCTTATGAGTCTGGATCAATTATCCCAACCATCTACATAGTTTTACCATGGGTGCCTTTTGAATGTTGAATGATGAGACTTTTCTACAGCCTGATACTTATTAGTTCACTGACTTTATTAATGTATCATGTACATGGCATGGTAGATGCATGTGATAGTAACCTTAATTGCAATCTTTGCAATATATTTAGCAAAAGAAAACATGTATAACCACTTAAACAGTATAAGAACTTGTTTAGAAACAGAAAAATACGTGGTCGGTGGAAAAGTGCTCATAGATGTCCAGTTCTGCTGGATCTAAGTAAACCAAATACAAGGACTGGTTAATGTTTGCCAGTCTTGGGAATCTCCATCACAGTTTTTTAGACCACAAGCATACCCCTAAATCTGGACAAGAAAACAGTCAACACAATTAAAAAAAAACAAAAACAAACATAAATTGGATCCTTACTTTAAGTAAACAGTATCCAACCAAATAGGAATGACTCTGAATTTAGTCATGAAGCTGAATAAAAAAAACAACAACAACAAAAAAAAAACATTCATTTGCAGTAGAAAAAGGAACTGTGAGTATATTTACCTTCAACAATGTAGTGATCCTGAGGAAAAAAAATCAACTTTTAACAACAACAACTTTTAACTAATCAACAGTTATACCGTATATCTGAGAGAAAAGAACATAACGCATTCAACATCACACATCCTGAATGTAATGGTCATTAGTGACAGCAATCATGTAAAACACAGAAACCTCTGAGCTTGGTTTTTCATATCAAAGTCAATTATCATCTTAAACAGCAGTAAGAACTTACATGTGATGCCATCAAGCACATTAAAGGGTTTTAAATTGAGTACTTCCAATAACAATGTAGTTATCATCACTTGAGTCTTACAAACTAAGAAAAAGAAAGAAAAAAAAACATGTAAAATGAAGTTATTATTAAGGATACATTTCAATTACCAGGAAGTCAACATCAGTGTGTAGCTTCTTAGAAATAGTCACATTGTGCATAAGAAAGGTTACATAGAGAATTTACATATAGATGTTCAGTACTCATCATGTTGGTCATTAGTCAGCACATTTTTAACATATGAAATCAACTTTACAAAAAACCATTTTACACTTACATTCTTGTCTTGTATTATATAAAGGTGATGTGAGTCGCCCTTTCAGAGACTAGTGCCAGATAAGTACTGAATATTAATTAAAAAAAAAAAACAACAAAAAAAAAAAACCTTACAAAGAACACAACACGCCTGACTGTCTTGCATCTCTAATTCACATACCCCTCCACTTTAGTGAGAAGCTTAGATGCCTCGTTGATTGCCAGGATTTCATTTTCTGATTTGAACTGGCCGTTTGGAATATGAGGAAATCGGTGGCAGTTGGGATACTGAGTCTTTTTAGCATCCACTCCAAGCATAATCAGTCTATCAACAATTTGAGGCAAATCTTTCAGCTGGGCATTGTACAGAGAAACTTGCTCTGCCATGGCTGAAATGGAGGTGCAAGAAGGATGTTCACCATGCCTTTTATACTCTGCAGCTGTAAGAGACTTTTCCACTGCCTGATGGACTTTAAATAGACACCACTCAGTGCTCCCACCACCAACGTCTTTCTGAGCTGCATCAAGATCACAGCGGGCCTGTTTACACCAACGCTTGGCCTCCTCTTTGTTTGGCCTTGGGACATTTTCATTATGGGTCCAAAAGTTGTAGGAGCGGTTACGTCTGGAGAAATTCTCCCGGCCATCCCTGTGACGTCTGGCCTCTTGATTCCACTGCTGATAGAAACCGCTGAAATCTGAGTATCTGAAATTTGAGCTGCTCCTTGGATAGGATGATCCTCCAGTTTTCTGAGTACCTTTGCCTTTGGTGGGCTCGGTAAGTCTATTCATCAGGTATTTGAATGCCTCAGTAGCGAGCAACTGGCAGTCTGGGTTTTTGTCAGGGTGCCATCTCAGGTACAGACGTTTGATGGCTTTCTGCTTTTCCTCCTCAGGAAGAGTCCAGATCTCTTCCAAACATCTGTCAATATCTTCTTTGGCTTCATCAAGAGAGGTTGGTAAGGATGAAGAAGATGAAGGCTTTGAAGCTGACTGATTAGAATGTGGCACTGCTCCAGCTAGAGGCTCCAACTCCATGCAAGAAGCTCCTGCAGGTGTGCTTGTGGTCCCTTTAGATTCTGGCTTTGTTGGACGTTTGAACTGGAATAGGTCAAGACAGCTGACTTCAACTGGCACATCTTCTCCAATATCTATTCTGTATCGTCGTGAATATTGCCCAGAGTGACCAGGCAGTTCTTCCACAATGACAGCATAAATATACCGGTCCCCTGTGCTATAGCCAACATATTCCCCCTCTTCAAAGTTATTGAGGATGTTCTGGTCCAAGGAGTCATGCCATTTATCAGGAATAAATGTCCCAGGACGTGGGGGGTCAAGGAGGGCACTTTTAGTTTTGGCACTGTCATGAATCCCATTCTTGGCCAGAGTTTTCTGGACGTCTCGCATAGTGTCACACAGAAGAAGTTGTCCAAGGACTGGGAGATGATTCAATGAAATTTTGTTCCCTAAAATTGCATTCATCTCCTGTGACAATGTTGTGATGATGTCATTTAGCACCTTGAGTTGCACATCATTGTTGTGTTTTAAGTAAAAGAGACACCCCTGTTGCTCTTGTTTAACTAAAACGTCTGTTTCAGCTGCAGTTTGTGGTAGAGGCTGTTGATCCACCCAGAGCTGTGTTTCCAGTCTTTTGCAGCAGAGGATTTGAATACAGCCAAAAGCCTTTTTGCACATGTCGTCAGCATCTTCTTCTGTTATGTCTCCCTTGGAGTGCTCTCGGATGAGACAAATCAGTCCATGTGTTAACATCTTAGAAGAGAGATGTTTCTCAAACCATTCCCTGAATCCACACTCAGTTCCAAACTTACAAGGCTGCAAGGTTGATTCTACTATTTTCTCCTCTGTATATTTGGACAGCATTTTTGGCTGAAATTTTGGAGGCAGCAACTGCAGCAACCTATAATGAGCGTAGATGTCACGACCCAAATAGCATTCACTGAGGTTCTCAAGCAAGAGGAACTTGTCCACCAGTGCTGCTTCTAACCTTTTGGTCTCAAACACAGTGTCATTGTAGTAGAGGTCACACAATGGATACAGTTTGCCATCAACTGCAGGGAGGTACAACATCTTTACATCATTAAGAAGGGGTTGCTTTTGAGACTTAACTAACTGAAAAAGCTGCTGAACAGCACGTTTCACAGTTTTCCGTTGGTTTGGCTGTAGATCAGGTTTATCATGGGAGTCTGCATGAACAGCTGCCAGGACATTGCTGTACTGCTGTGCAGTGGGTTGCTCATTTACACCAACTGACTTGAAGAACACTTCAAACTTAACATCCTGTGGAGAAATTTTGAACAAATATGGCCTGAACTCAAGGTGATCGGAGAATGAAAAGGCTGCATCATCAGCTCTTACAAGTTTTGTGTCATTTTCAACCAACACAACAGGAAAACCAGCCAGTTCTTTGCCTTTGAACTGGGTTCCTTGTAGGTATGCATATGAACTTCGAAACACACTGGCACGAGTTTCAATCAGGGCCGCATTTTTACAGGGTGACTGACATATATTGCTCATGTTACTGGTAACACATTGTGAGGGTGGTTCTTCATGAGCTCCTGCATTTTTTATCTGTTTGAGGAGATTTTGCATCCTGAATGGCAGATGTATGATAGGCATCGATGACCAAATCAGGTCCTGATGCTTGGGATCACTTTCCAACAATGATCCTCTGATTTTCACAGCAGTTCCCTCAGCAGCAAATGGTCCATGATAGCTGCACAGATCCTTTCTGATTTTCACTGGAAATATGAACTTGGTGTCAGCTATGCTCTCCAGCAAATTTCCCTCTTTGTTTTTGTCTTTACTCACAATGGAACAGGCTTCTCTGAAGAGTAATGATGATTTCTTTTTTAACTCATCCAATGGACCACTTCCCTTTGCCTCTGATTCAATCTGGTTAGCAAACTTTACAATGTCATCGCCCGTCACAACATGCTTCATCCCAAGTTCTCTGAGTAGCTGTTTTGTTTGCTCTCTTATTGTGTAATTTCCATCACACAGCTCAGTCCAAAAATTTTCAGGAATGAATCTTTCTTGGGGCAACATCTTCTTGTACAGCTCAACACTATCATCAAAGTAGTATGATGCTTTCTCCAAATTGCCTTGAGAGTTGCGAATCAGCTTCACTGATTTCAATGAGAAGATGACTTGGTCCCTATCCTGAAAATAGCTGAAATTGAGCGGAGGTGACAACAGCAGCTTGAGGCATTGAATCATCAGCCTCTCTGTGAATGTGTGTACAACAGGCAGGATGAACTTCATGAAATACTCCAAGTCATTCATGGTTTGGATGTTCAGTGTGTGTGTTAGCATCAGATTCTCTGGACTGTTTTGAAGACAAATGCTGTTGCTGTTGTGCAAAAGAAACAAGTCAGGAAATAATCTTGAATGTATGCTGTTGAGGATGAACACCTCTTTGTGTCCATCGATCCTCACTCTGCTACCATCTATTGTTTCAAATATTGGTAGAGATTTCAGTTTTCTCTGATAGTCTTGTTTGTCTTTTGACTTGGAAACTCCAGACAGCAGGAAATTCTGAAGCTCTTTCATGTCATCAGAGGAAAGCTGGGAAAACTCATTGTGTTTCACTTTGTAGACCTGGTCTAACACAGAGCTTTTGTCATTCACATCCAAGAGTTCAGGGTTTAGAAGAGTGCGTCCCTGTATTTGAAGTGTATCAGACAAGAATACACTGTCAAGCTTCAGAAACCCCAGTTTAAAGAGAATGCCTGAGATGTCTCTGTCCAAGGCAAACTGAATCACACTTGGCATGTCTTTCATTGTTTGCAGTAAGTGCTTGTTGTCTAACCTTGGACACACCACAGGAAGAATACAGCAGTCGTTGAAGTGCGTCTTCACATCACTCATTGTCACACTTGATTTCGACTGGTTATCACTGTTTGATGTTGCAGCTTGGATGTTGCTTGTTAAGAACATCCAAAGAGGTTTCAACCACTTCAACATTTTCTCATTTGGGATATGGAGGCCCGTGGTTGGTTCAATTTTGCATGTCTGGAGTTTCTGCTTAATTACAGGCTTCAGAAATTCTGCTGCACGGGAAACAGTCAAACTTTCAACAAGCTTCAAATTTTGCAGAACCTGAACATGGCCTCCGTTGGTATGATAATCTGCAAATTTGTCCTCATTTCCAGAGAACAGGCGGTCATATCTTGATATCAGTTTTGGGGACTCAGAGTTAAACACTCTCAAAACTTTGTCTTTTGTAAGGAGAAGTGGGAGCCCATTCAGTAAACCAGAATTGTTCTTGGATACATTTAAGTGGATATCGCTCAAGCAGAAACTGAGAAGCTCTGAACAGCTTTTTTCATCCCTTATCAGGGTGGAAGTTATGGGCAGGGGTAAGTTCTTGTCTGTCATGGCTGGGTCATTGAGCGGTTTCTGTCTTAGGAAAGTCTGCACAGTTGAAGGATTCACATCTTTCACTTCAATGCCAGCAGCTCTGAAACCTTTCCAAACTTTCTGCATTGCCATGGAAAAGGGAACCAATGCCATCCCAAGTCCTTCCAAAATTGGATGCATCTTATCATACACTGAGTGTGTCATATACAGTGCCTTGGTTGGTTCAGTTGCTCTCACATCACACCAGTCAAAAGAGTATTCCTGAATTTTTCGTTCTGCAGTTGTACGTATTGAGCTCCTTAACACTGGAATCACTGGGAGGCCTTTTTCTTTGATTGATCTGTATACTTCATGGACCATTTCATGCCACTCCTGAGCAACATCCTTGGACACAGACGGCCAAAAACACAGGAACAAGCTGCTGAAGAAAGTCTCCAAGTCTGTTTGTGGAACTTTCTTACCAGCAAACTTGCGGGTCATGTAATGTAGAAGATCTGCATACAGTGGTGCAATGACATTTTGCTTTAAAGACTCATTCCAGTTGGATTTTTTACTTTGACCATCTTCTTTCCATAGGCTTCTTCTGGCAGAATCTACCTCAAAGTTTGCATTGACATGCACTGGCAGTCTAGTTTTCCCTGGCAAAGGAAGTGAACAAAAGGCTTCTCCAACAAAGTCTTCACGGCTGGATGGTGGAATAAATGACCTCTGGCCAAGCTTACAGCTCACGCGAGCTGCTACTGCTGCTTCAGGAAGCTTCTCTGTTTCTGCTTTCCCCCCACAGTTTTTGAGGGAACCAAACTGCTCAGCAATGATCCACTTACTTTGTCGTTTGTCTGAGGTTGAGATCACAGTTCCATAAACAGCTGTGTGTGGTGATGATGGTTTGTTTGACTGCAGTGCATTTAGTCTGAGTTTTACAAAGGCATCTTTCTCCTCTTTGCTACTCTGTGGCAGACTTTTTTCAACTGTGAAAATGGTTGTCAGTTTCTCTGAATGTTCATCGATTTTATGGACTTGTATTTTGCAGATGTTTTTCAGAAACAGAATGAGTCCTTCAGGATCTTCAGAGAGGACGGAGCATAGTTCTTTCATGTCCTGGTCAGTGACTCCCTGCTTGGAAATGTTAGAGTTGTTTGCCATCACACCCATCCTTAGAGGTAACCTGAACATGGTTCCTTCCTTAAGAGGAAACTTTTCTGGTAGAAATGATTTGTAGACGTCCATGTACATACTCTTAAAGGTGTCATTTAATCTGTAGCCAGTGCCAGCTGGTGGTTTGTCTGAGTAACTTTCGATGAATTTTTGATTTGGATCAGAAACGCAGAGTTTTTCGTCTGCAGTGAGGATTGAGGGGCAGTCAGTAAGATGGTACACAGAGTTAAATCCAACCCCATATTTCCCTGTCTTTCCTAGAGAGTCGTGCTTTCCTCCCTCTCCCAACTGTTGAATGCCTTTCAGGTCAGCATCAGAAAACACCTTGTTGTTGAACACACACAGTGCCGGGCCTTGCAGATTATTCCATCTCTTCCCAAATGTCTTATCTTTGCTATGATGCCGTTTATCCCAAACAAAATGGATTTCTGTTGCCTCTGCATCATCAGCATTTTGGATAAGCTCTTTAAGGATATCCTTTTTTGCTGGATAGGCTGAAATGATGTTCTTAATACGAACGGTTAGTTGTTCATGCTGTTCAAAATGAAAGGCAAATGGTGAGATGTCCTCAACAGTGCAGTTCTTCAGGGTGTGATGCCTAGTTGTTTTGATTCCAAAGTGGCGTGCCATTGGACGTGAGATGTTCTTGTGACATAATGTGACACCTGCAGCCACTTCTGGCAACCATGGGCTGTCATTGTAAAACAACTCACTGGCACGCTGTAATACACCATGTTCATTTGGTATCAGAAAGTCCTTTTTTGTTTTCTCTTGGGCCTCATAGATCCCGTTGTTCAAAATTGTGAGGCAAATCGATAGATCACTCTTTGGAAGGGGTTTGGTGCCATGTTGAGAGTGCAATTCCTGAAGCACAGTTTCAAACTGACTGAGTGTAAAGTTTTTTGCGACACCCACATTTTCCCAGAGCCTCCTATAGAAACTATAGGCAGGCGGAAGTACATAAAGATAGGGTTTTGCTTCAAACTGCTCATTTTCTGCCACTCGGTTCACATTCACAAATGTGCTGCCCACAAGAATGAAGGGAAATGAGTTTGCTCTCTGTGAAATGAAGCTGGAATCCCCAGAACCACTGAGCTTCTGATCAAGAAACTTGTAGCATTCATCTGCTATTTCCTGAAGCATTGATCCATTGGTGGATTTGGATTGCTTAAATGCCTCTTGCAGCTGCTGAAACACTTCCTCTATGCTTGGACTGTCATGAACTCCCAACATTTGCAGAACAGGATCAGTGTGGTGTATCTTAAGATTGGCATGATCCAGCACGGGTTGTTTCAAGTTAACAAGAAGGAGGCAGTTGTCACTGAAAATATCAGTGGGCTTCCTGAGTGTGATAGTCTTTCCTTCTTTTCTTTTCTTCATTGTATCAGCAGGAGAAAATGCTGGAAGAAACTCAGTCATCCTTAGTGTTTCCCAGTGGGTGGCATCTTCATCATACATGTGATTCTTCATGAGCTCAAGGAGGCACTTTAAATGTCCATATGCTTTCTTTCTGTCAGTGCTCCAGGTCTTGGTGATGTCACTTGCCTTCTCTGCAATGTCTTTCAAAGGTAGACTATCATTCGCCATTCCAAGTTCCAACAAGCGTTGAATCCTTTTAGGAGAACAAAAGTCCTTACTGGTACCACCAAGCAAGCGTCCCTCCTCTGGTTCAAAAAGGCAGGCTGCTTTCCCAGATGGATTCACAAGTTTTGTGATATACTGTAGTTGGTTGCCTTTTGTGGGGATGCATGGATAATGCACCAGGAGATTGTCAATTTCTTTGATGTTTAGGTCAATGGCATGCAGCACAAGAGCATCTCTACTTTTTGGATCCATGGTATCAAGGTTGTTAAACACCGCTTCTTGGTAAAACTTCTCCCACGTCCATGTTCTGTTCTGCAGGATCCTTTCCAGGCCAGCCTGTCTGAAGCTATTTCTTAACCACAATGGAAGAGAAATAACGTGGTCAGTTGCTTTTGCATTTTTCCTGCACACCTGCACGGCAAGTTTGCAGATGTCTTTGTCCTCTTCAATGCTCTCATGTAGAAATATAGCATTGTTCATTGAGCACCAGCACTCTCCATCACTAAAGAGTTCTGGACCAGTGGAGGGCTGAGCAATGGTACTGTAAAATGCATCCACCAAAGGCTTGAATGTTTCATTTACTCTCTCCCTATCAGGCCAAAAGGTGTAATATTGGTACTTTTCCAGTTGTTGGTTTTCAGACATCTTCTTTAGTACCTGGAGTGCAGTAACATACGCTGTCACTGCAGGATCCTGGAGGAGGGCTTTGTTCCAGTCATGTTTTACTCCACTCTCCCACAGACCTTTTCTGTTGCTTGTCACAGCAAATGTGCCGTTTACATTGACTGGAAGACCTGTTTGAATGGACAGAGGAAGGAAGCAAAATGCTTGTCCAACTAGATCTGTTTGTTGTGGAGCTAGTTTTCCTGTTTCTGGATCATTTTGCAAAGGCACTGCAACTCCTCCAATGGGTAGAGAGAACTTTGCCTGTTTGTTTCCCTGCAAGGCCATTTGCAAAGACTGATGTGTTCCAAAACAGTTATACAGAAGCCATGACTGGGCTTGGATGACACCAGATTGCTCACTTGTTATTTGGACAATGCTAACTTTGCAGCAGTCAATAACCTCTCTGCATTTTCCATTGAGTGTCTTCAACGATTTTTCAGATTGGAGCTGCTTGGACTCACTGGTCTTATCAGGAACAGTTGTTGTTATCAAAGTGGTTTTGGAGAGATTGAGCACTGTTTTTATGTCATCATTTCTTGGTGGAGTTGGTACATCGTGAGCAATGCTTTGTAGAGACAATGTATTGACGTTCTTCAGAAAAAGCAAATGAGTTTTTGAATTCCTGGTGAACTCCTGTTGAAAAGTGACAATGTTGTCTCTGTAGTACACCCTTGAGCTTATCTCTGACTTGAGAGCCTCCTCGTCAGATCTGAAGGGTAGCTTGATCAGAGTGCCTGGATAGGGCTCAGAGAGACTTTGTTTGGTGAAGTCACAGCCAAAGAGTCCTTCATATGGCCCAAACTGGCCGGGAAACCAGCGGAAAAGTCGTTGCTGAGAAAGATCAAGTTTGATTCCTGGGTTTGTCTTATGTTTGATGTGTTTCTTGAGGTGAGTCACATTGGGGTCAAGTATGAGAAGATGATTGCCACTGAGAATGGAAGGAATATCAGTCACATGATACACAGTGTTGAATCCAAGTCCAAACTTTCCAATTTTTTCCACCTTGTCTTCCTTTGAGGCAGAGCCAACCCTTACAACGTTTTCCCAGTCTTCTGCTGAGAACTGCTCATCATTGAATGCCCAAAGACAAGGACCCTGACAAAGAGCCATGTCAGGGTCAATGAGGCTGTTAGGATCATCTTTGTGCACTCGGAAATCCACCAAGAACTTACAATCTTCTGCTCCAGCATCCTCAGCATTTTGAATGAGCTCTTTGAAGACGTCACTTTCTTCATCATACTCTTTGAGAATGTTTTTAATCCTTGTTGTAATAGGTTCAGATTGTCCACACTGTTCTATTCCCACCAGTTCTGGAGCAAGGATGTAGGAACTGAGAAATCGGATGTTCAGCCATTCTGCTGTTGCTTTTGGGATTTCCTCATGAATTACATAAATTCCTTCCTGGCTGTGCTGAAGATCTTTCAACCCATGTTTACTTACATCACAGAAGACAGCTGCTGATGAGGACTTGAGAGTGTATTGTTCACCCTCTGTCAAGACTGGCACTGGGATGTCATCGACAATAGTCTTCTTCTCTCTCCAAAGCCAGTTAAGAATTTCTATTGTCACTTTTACTTCAGAGGAACTTGCAAGGGGCTGTTGCCTCCCTTCAGTTGTTTGCTGGATTGAATGAAGAATGCCGACAATTTCTTCATCTGAAAGAAATGTTTTTAGTCCAAACTGCTGGAGCAACTTCTTGTAGGGCAGGAATTCACTTGGCACCTTCCCCATGTAAGAGCTCAAATCTAGATTAGCTGGGTAGTCCAGAACCAGATCCTGAGGTGAGACAAACTGGTTGCGGCACCAAAGCCAGCATGTGTCCTTGTTCATTATCTTTGTAAATTCTGATAAGTGGTCTTGCATGTGTTTGTAAATGCTGTGCAGCTTTTTTTTGAAATCCACGTTTGTGTCAGGATCATCCATTGTCTCTGCTTTCGATGTCAAGACCTTCAAATTCTCCAATACCTTTCCAGGTGGGGGGAGACGTTTCAGTCCGAATATGCTGCTTACTCTGTCGCTGAACTCTCTCACTAGAGGCATTACAAGTCCAACAATGTCCTCATACATAGAATGTCTCATTTCATCTGGACAGAAGAAACAACTTCTGAGGGATTTGTCATTGTAGTTGTTTCTGTCATCATCAGGTTTTGTGCCTGGTACCCATTTGAGCATTTTGAGGCAGTTAAGTTGTTCTTGGGAAAACTTTGAAAGTAGGTTATTGGTATCCAGCATCTTCAAGAGGACCTGAGCTTTTCTGAGAGCCTCTGCTTGGGAATTGACCTGCTGTTTCTCAATCAGTTTGGCAGCATGAATCAAGTGATCAGGTGACAAGTCTGCTTCTTTAGTTAGCAATCCAAGATCTGTTAGACTTTTGAGCATCTGCAGCGTGTGAGTATAGAAAGGTGGTGGGAAGAAGTCTGAATCAAAGAGTTCCTTGAAAGTTTGAATCCTTGGATCTAAAAAGCTTGAGGTCTTTTTCAGGGCTCCATTCACTTCAATGAAGTTCAAGTCCTTGCATCTTCTCTTCAAGGTCTGATTCTGAGAGAAAAGGATATCACCATGCTGCAAAACCCAGGCCATGATTTTCTGTGTTTCTTCTTTTCTGCAGGGTCCCCTCTCAATACTGTCAATGAGAAGATTTGTTGCCTCGGCTGTGTCTAATAGACTGGTTTTGAGCAGCTGAAACAGTCTGCGATCAGCTTCAGTTGCACACTTTACAACTGAATCGGGCATGGGGAACTCAGTTGGTATTGTCAGACCAGAAATAAGAAGCACAGCCTGTTTGGATCGGGCTGCAACACAGCGTCCCTCCATAGTTTGAAACAGAGGCAGCTGTGAAAGTAGATCTTTCTCGCTGACTGAGAGAGAATCCAGACGAGACAGATAGTCTTTCAGCTCTTCTTTTGCTTCATGAGAGGCTGTCTCTAGTTCCTTGATGAGTACCTGAGAATCCAAATTCACCATGGCCGTCATGACACTCTTTGGGGACGGGCTCAGTACATATGAGTCCAGATCTTCATGTTTGAGCCACTCATTCCCTTTTACCACTGTGCCACCAACTTTGTTCACCAACTGAGCTATCTGTTCTGGCAAATTCATGTGTTTGTTTCTCTCAAAAATGAGGGTTGTGTTTTGCTTTAGTCTCGCAAGAAATACAGGCTGACCATAACACAAGGGACTAACCGGTATTAAGGGCATGTCAGTGAAATTACTTGACTCTGTGAAGTGAGCGTTAAGAAAATTCCAGAATTCTTGGAGCCAGTCTAAAGGTGGATGATGACTGCTGCTGGGGTCCCAGGTAACAAGCCCTGCTCTCTTCTGTTTCCAGTCAGGTGGCAAATAGCTCCTCATATATTCAGCCACCTTGTTTGCATCAACATTGATGACTTTGAAGAACTCTGAAAGAGATTTGTGAAAATAAAAGCATTAATCATCAACTTTATGGATATGTGAAACCAGAACATAAATTTAATCTATACTGACTATCTTCCATATTGTACAAGCCTTACTTTTCTTGGCCAGTTCTCTCAAGTGGTCTCTGCAAGCTGGACTGAGATCTTCAGGGATGAAGAGATTCTTGCAGCACGGCAGCAGGGCTCTGCACAAAAAAAGAAACTGGTAAGTTGTGCAAGCATAAAAAAACTACATTTGATACAGTTTTTGCAACACTCAAGCACCAGAACAGACACAGTTTTAATGTAAACCATTAAAAAAACTAATCTATTACAAAATTCTTGAAATGACAAGCGAGTGTTGGCCAGTACAAACCAAATTCAAACATCCATACATAAACTGGCAAAATGATAGCCTTACAGAACTCACTTAAGCACAGAAACATTTGTCATTTGTGTTAGGAAATTAAGTATGGAGTCCAAAAAATCACATTGAATATGGAGTTATGGATAAAACTTGTTTGATTATAATACAGTCATTTCAGAACGCTATACTCGATCTATAGCACTGTCTTTGGTTTGTAAAATTTCTGAGAGATGACTAAAACCAACAAATGTGTTCACTACAACACTGTTTCCAGGAGATTATTAACATTTTAATTCAAGACAGTTTGAGGCTCTACTTACTTAGCAAAAGGGTGTGCATCAAAATTGGAACAACATTAATCGTTTACTTGAACAGCTTGTGAAACCCACCGGTGACTACATCTACAGAATTAATATCAATAATCCTAAGGAAGCTGTCAATCATCTAGTGACGTTGACAAGGTTAACAAAACCACACAGCAGAAACCAAATAAAACAATACATGTTCACAGTTAAATAAAAAAAATAAAAACACAATAAGAAACAGACAAAGGTTTAGCAGAAATCAAAAGGATAAAAAATGAAAACCCTACCTTGGAAACGAACTGCTGTCAACCAAAGCGACATCTTCCTCTTTTTCAGTGAAACATCTGAAAGTACCATCACTGAGGGGGAGCAACTCAAGACCTGCAAGCTCCCTGTAGTTTCCGTCACTCAACACGAACTCCAAAAGGCAGAATTTGTCCTCTTTGGCGATGGTGTGCACACCAAATCTGCGGAGTACATTCCTTAGTAAAGTTGGGGTCACGTGTTTGAGTGTGCTCAGGTGTGGGTATGCCTCATTAATTGCTTTTGCAACATTGGTGGGCAATGTGACAAGATTCTCCCCACAGGATACTAGTGTTTTCCTAATAGCTTCCAGTGTGTCAGAGCTTGTTGGACCATTACAGGGGAACACGGCTTCTGATGGGGTGATGAACTTTTTTTCGTCTTTGGCTAGAGACAAGAGGGCCACATTCTCTTGGAATAAGTGACGAAGAACATCCAGTGCAACTGCATACCATTTTTCACGGTGCTTTATCTCTGCAATATCAGGCCACAGCCTGTACACGGAAGAAACAGGCAGGGTAGATTTCTGAGCAAGTCTGATAGCATCCTGGATCATCATGACATATGCCTCTGGGAGCACCTCCTTCATCAGCAGCTCATTCCACACAGCATGTTCATCATGTTTCTGGTCTTCCTCTTGCCACTTGATGTGTCTTCTGTTGTCTGTGAGGCCAAAGCAGGCGTTGATATAAACTGGGAGTCCTGTCTTGTTGGATTCATTGTTTGGAAGAGGTAGAAAGCAACTCAGTCTGCTCTCACAACTGTCCCTCTTCTCACCACAAGGGAATGCCAGGTCCACTTGGGGAAAAAATTTCAACTTTTCTGCAAGAGAATCGAGATCTTCTACATTGCCGTCTTTCATGGTGCATGTCGTCAGCAGCCATTTGGATTCTTTGTGTTCTTCTGAGTTGACGGTGATAAGTTTGAACCTCGTCAAACTTTGAACAACTGACTTGTCTTCTGACTCTAAACTGACACCTGAGGGGACTGAGGATTTTACTTCAAGTCTGGTGTTTGCAGTGCCATGTTCAGTGATGTGCACCAAAGAAACTGAGGTCACATTTTTCAAGAAGAGGAGGCTTAATTCTGCATCTACGATGAAGCTATCGAAAAGCTCAACCACCTTCTTGGAGTCGTACAGATTGTCTGAAATCTCTGATGCTTTGTTGCGCAATGGGAACCTGAAAACAGTTCCTTCAAAGTACTGATCCTCTTTGATGACTTTTGACCATTCTTGTCCACTGACAAAGGAAACTATATCTCGATGAGGTTGAAACTGATCACGTATGGTCACAAGGGCTTCTTGGTGCTCTTCATCATCCAAAGACCAACGGAAACCACCATTCTTCTCTCCAAATATTTTTTCTTGAGGGTCCATGAAGCCAAGGTACTCTGAACTGAATATGCTTGGCACATCTGCAAAATTGAAACAGATATTTTCCCATGTATTCCCCAAACATGTTCTCTAAAGACCAAAGGATTAACAGAAACTGCTGGATATGTATTTTTTTTAATTAGTTTTACCTGTTATGTGGTAAATGGAGTTGAAACCAATCCCAAACCGTCCAACTTTGTTTGGGTCATCACGCTTCACACTCCTCCCTGCCCTCTGAATCCCCTCCCAGTCGTCATCACTGAATGCTGCATCATTGTAGGCATACAGAGCAGGACCTTTAAGAGTGAAGAGACATAAATGAGCTACAGAAAGTGCATGAGACATCTAGTGGACACATCAGTTAGTATGTTTATGTGTACATTTTAGACAAGCTTCAGTTGACCGGGTGATATAAGTGGATGACTGCCCCTTTCTCAGTATACAACACTGAGCAAGAATCAAATTATTAACAGACACACAACTAAAAAATTTGTTATGGTGAATGAGATGTATGATGAAAAATGAAAACACCCTCAGCAATAACTCCCTATACCAGAGCCACCAACCAATAGACTGTGGGTTATTGAAACTGTTACGGCCTTGATAATCAAATGACCTATACACTCACTGGCCGCTTTGGGGGTGTAGTCAGAGGGTGTAACCTGATACTAGCAAGGTGTACCTAATAAAGTGGCCAGTGGGTGTATTTGGTCACCCCAATGGTCTCTTATTGTCAGGAAAAAAACTGTTTTCACTTGGTAATGAGACAAAAACTTTGACAATTGTCCTCTTTAGTACCATTATTTTTGCTGAAAACGCATTTGATTGAAGTTGAAAACCGTGCTCATACACTGCTTTTCTTTTAACGTTTTTCATACCTTGGTATTCTCCCAACCCTTCGGTACAAAGGCTGTCTGTCCCATAGCTCCTCTCATCATGGATGAAAACCACTTTTGTGGCTTTGGCATCATCTGCATTTTGAATAAGCTCCTGTTGAAAATTAAAAACAACAACCATGAATGTAGCTCAAAAGCCAGAAGATAAATATCACGCCCACCCAGTGTATATACACAACTAAAGCTTTCAAGTTAATAGATAAGTTCACTGTGAGGTATTATCTCGTGTGTTTTTCACGTGTCAAAAAAATATCACTGGGCTTTTTTTTTCCTTTTTTTTTTGATCCATGTCCAAAAACAAAAACAATCAAAAAACAACCTGTGTTTTTGAATTCAACTACATTTATACAAAAGCATCTTGTTACAGATCCATAATGGGTGTACCACAAAAGCATAAATCATACAAAGTCTAACAAGGGGGAGAAGGAAAACACTGATGGATCCATCTGTAGTCATCTCATGGGCAGTGGTACACCTCACCCTCTAGTGGCCAAAATCAGTATAACATAAAAAAAAAAAAAAAAAAAAAAACACAAATGAGTGACAAATTTTTAAAAAAACAAATGTTACATATCTTTTATCCCTAGATATCATCCTCAAAAACAAACAAACAAAAGAAACATTAAAATAATTTCCAGCCTTATTTACAGTTTGTGTGAAGAACTTTTGAAAATTTAATGTTTTGCCTGCTCTAACACGTACCAGGAACCATTTTCAAGATTTCAGATGACAAGACATTTTCTAAATTCGGTGCCTCTGGGTTTTTGTAGTTCTGTAGAATGTACACAATATACAAAAGCATATGAAGTATAGTATAGTGAGTAATCATCAGTATTTTTCAGATCATGACACTGACCTTCAAAATCTGTCCACCATCTGGATATCGACGCAGAATATCTTTCAGGTAGTCAATGAAGGGCGGTGCCGTTGCCCCGAAGGACGTCCTAAACAATGTGAGAGGGTCAGATAGCATAAAGTTAAAATGGAAATCAACACACAGGGAGTCTTTTAGTAAAAAAGGAGAAAATCATCTTACCGGGATTTTTTCTTTGTCTTGGAGCTCATCCTTCCTGGCTCTAAAGAAAAGAAAATTCCAAAAACATTGGAGAAAAAACTTTAAATTGTGACAAACTCAAAGCCTTGAGGCTGAGGGACTCCAAACATACACTTTATTTTATCTCATAGATAAGATGCTCATTAGTATTGGCGAATTTTGTCAATCAAAGAAAACATGAACCCCCTAATAACTTTAAAAAACAGAGCCGTACAGAAAAAAGAGCACTTGAGCACAAACCAGTCTTACTGTAACTTCATGTCAACATCGCAATCAAGGGGGAGAAAAATTTATGTACTGTATGTAAACTGCCCTCAGTTTTCTCAGAGTGGCTTCATCCAGAAAGGAGGCAGACGCTGTCCATTCTATATACAGTCTATGGCTCAGAACAGCACCTAACTTCATCAACAGGACATATAGGGTCCCAGCCACAGCATTAGCCGCCAAACATATTTTTAGCTTTGCCTGGTTTCTTTAGCAAAGAGACCAAACACAACTCACCTACTCTCTTCCAGCAGCTGCTTGTTCGTCCAGAGACCTCCAGGGATGAGTCCATTACGGACTACAGTGAGGTGACGCAGCTCAAGGAATAACATTTATGATCAATTTTCATGGAAATGTAATCAGACCGAGATGCTAAGGCAGAAGAACTACTGCGTCTGCAGTGGAAAAAAATAATTATTATTATGATTATTACTTCAAGGAAATGATAATGTAATGATCATAAATATTCGTCCTTGAGCTGCGTCACCCTGCTGCAGTTGGTGATGGACTCGTGTGAGGTCTCCGTACAACCAAGCAGCTGCTGGAGGAGAGTAGGTGAGTTGTGTTAAGTCTCTTTGCTAAAGAAATTAGGCAAAGCTAAAAATCTGTTCAGTGGCTAGTACTATGGCTGGGACCCTATATGTACTGTTGATGAAGTTAGGTGCTGTTCTGAGCATTATTTGTGGCTATAGAGTGGCTTTTTGGTTGAGCACGTGGCTTCTGAGACTGCTGTGTATTGCTGTCGTGAGGTCGTTAGTAAAGTTGGTATAACTAGAGAAGCAAGCGGTCAGCAACATTAATCTCTTGACAGGGTGTCTAACGCCTGGTTCACACAGGAGGCCGACGCGCGCGCTTGGCTGTTCACACATAAAGCGTTTTCTGCTGCGCTCTGACGCGCCGGTCAGACATCAACTGAGTGCTCAGCTTAACTTAATTTTACACCGGAATATCCTTTTAAGGAACATGGTGATGGTACAGCAAGGGTGGAGCCACGCTTTTTAGGCTGGAGTAGCCAAACTTGGGCTCTATTGCAGGGTTGGCATCGTGCATCATTCAAGTCTTCACACATAAATGAACATAGTAATCCATTCTATCTAGACTGACTACATTGACAATTATTTTTTTAGTGTCCACAAGGTGTTACATTCCTGTATAACTAATCTTCTTAAAAGTGTCAAATCTTTAAGAAGATAATGTCTAAAGTCAAATTCAATAGTACCAAATAAAGAAGTGCCACAGCAAAATACCAGAAGCCACTGGCAGCTTGTTGTAACTGGTTATACCAGTTTCCAGGTATGCCATGGTTTGACAAGTCATGGTCCCAAAACCACTGATAGTAGCTTTAAAGTTTATTGTATGCTCCAAGTATTCTATCATCACAATCCCATGCTGGTCCATGGTTAATTTGCAACACAGCTGAAATAGCTTACTATAACACATGTCCCGCCTCTATTCTAAAGGTGGCTGATAAAGTGGTTTATCAGATAGTAAGGCCACCCCTTAGATCCACACCTGGGTGCATGTCGTGCCACCAAAGTTAAGGAGTCTGACCAGAACCTGTTAGTAGCCTTTGAGGTCCCACAGGATGAGGTGAACTTCCTCCCCTCAGAGCTGTAGAGTGAGGGTTTTTCAATATGATCAACATTACAAGTATAAGGAAGCTCACAAAGACTGTAATATGCTCTCTAAACTCCTCAGGCCAATCAAACCATCTGTCCTGTATCTTCATCTGGAAACAAGGCCACTGCCTTAGTCTGAAGTAGATCCGAGGGAATTAGATTGCTTTTTGGTTTTGTTAAAAAATGAAATTTAATAAGACAAGGGGGAAACATGTTCTATTATATTGAGCACTGGCCATAGTTCATTGTAGTCCAAGGTAACCTTTTTAGAGAAAAATTACACCAATTGATAGATACGTTTACAAAAAGACTCCAAAACTCTTAACAGTAAAAGTTTAGAAAAGTTCCCATCTGGTGGACTAGTTGAAATCCGAAAGAGGAAAATGTACATCGAATCAATTAAGGAAATCATGAAAAAAAAAAACATGAGACAGTAGAGGCAAACACAATATCCAACACGTCCAAACAGGTTGAATTTACAGCTAGGCTAAATTTCCCTACATTTTCTCCTTCTTTGGAAATGACAGGCCATATTGATTAGCTAAATGCTGCTAAACAGTGAATAATACGGGAAAGTAACAAACAATATCACTTTACCTCAGTCATGGCGGTTAGAGATGCATCCACTTCTTCGTAGTTGCGGCGATCAGAAACAAAACTTACACCGGCTCCTGTATTTATAACCGCTGGTAACGCCCAGTCCTCTCGGTGAATTACTTCACCTCAGTCAGGATCACATCGCATTTCTTTCGTTTCCACCAAAATCAGGCCAGCAGTGCTGTTTCATGTAAAATGAAACTAACAGGGCAGTGATGGAGCAATTCTGGAGACAGCTTTTCCAGCTAATACAGGGAGATGAAGAAACGAAACTTAACCGACTCAAGAGGATGTAAATGATAGACCCCTCTCACCAAGTACTAACATTTAAAGTTCAATCACTAAAATATATAACCTTATTACAACTTATTGTCCGGTCAGGGGAAATAAATTTCTCAATTTTCAAGGCGGAATCATAGTACTCTTGAATGTCGTATTCCCGCGTCACTCTGGCGAGTTTACTGACATTAAATGCCTCTCAGACATTTCTCTCATATTGAAGGAAAACATTTATTCCGCCACACGCTAGATGCTGCTGCAGCCTGTGAGCGGCACAAAAACTGTCTCATCCAGGAAAAAGCAGACAGATGAAACCCGATTCAACAGACAGTCATCCTTATACTATCTCTGTGACAATGAGGTTTACCAGATCTATTATATGAACGCGTTTAGATCATCCACGTTGTTTTCTCAGTAAGGATATACTCGGTATGTCAAATCTTTGTGATTCATCGTTTATCGCATCCTGACACTCGCTTTCATGTGCAAGAGCCGAGGCCTGGAAATACAGTTAAATTGCTCAGTACGCGCATGTTTTCTTGCTTTGTATGAATTAATATCTCTTACGATCTGGTTTTCAGGTCATCAGCCTGGTGCTTTGGGTGATTGTGAACTGATTTGCACCCCGACGTAAGTAACGAGTTATCAATATGCTTGACCGAGTCTCTCTATTAGGCTATTGTAGTGATAAAGATATAGGGGAGAGTGGGGTAAGATGAGCCAAAGGGTAAGTTGAGCCACCCTCTGTTGCTTGGAAACAGTAAAAGAAATTGATCATGTGACCAAATATTTAGGAGATGGGCATCAATTCATGAAGTCTGTGAAGGTTAGAAGCACATGGGTGAAGGGGTTAGACATTTATTTACTAAAGTAAATAAAAAAAAACATTTTTCACTCTTGAAAGTGAATTTAGTCTGTCATAAGCTTTATTAGAATTGTGTTTAGACCAAAAAAGATCATTTTAAATTTGTTTTATGCATCAGTTGTGATATCTATGAGCTACAACATGAGGTCAAAAACCTAGCATAAAAGTCCACCATTTTAGCTCAGAGGACTAATAAAGTCATAATAGTAGTTCTTGGGTAAGTTGAGTCAGTGGTTCAACTAAGAAGGAAAAGGAGTCTGATGAGAGGATCAGAGTTTCAGTTCAGATTGTTGAAATGTGTTACTTTTTCTTTTCAAAAATACAGCTGTGGATGTTCTCAATCACTTAAAGTCATCCTCATGTTAAAATGACTATACAAAACAGCTTTTTAGCAGTTATATGCAATAATAATAAAAAAGAATTGTTGTACCAGTTGAATATGTTATAATAGATAAAATACCCATGAATGTGAAGAAGTGACTGTTATTTAGGGAGAGAGAAGGTGAGGAAGGGCTGGGGTGGAGAGTGCGGGGGTAGTAGGGATACGGCTCAACTTACCTCACTCCTATGGTCAACCTACCCTGTGTATGGGGTAAGCTGACCATAGGAGACCACTTTTTTTTGGCATGCTATATTATCAAGACAGTTATGTTTACAGTCATTCTGTTGGTTTGCAACATCTTGAAATATATGCAGATACACTAGTTAGAGACAAAACTATGATTGACTTGATGTAGTGATCCGAAATATGAAAAATGTCTCATCTTACCCCACTCTCCCCTACCAGGCATCTTTCCCAGCTTTATTCCTGCTCAACTTTCATCTATTTCAGGGTACCCCATGATGTGTCCTAGGATGAAAACCCCACCCCCCAGTCTTTGCTAGCAGGAAGCACCATGTTGGATAAAACCGGTGATAACACACAGCAGACTGTGCAGTGCTCAGACTGTGGGAGTAATTTCAGCCCACCACAGCCTGGCTCTGACCCCGAGTCTACAAGTGCTGCTGCCTCTCCTGAGCAGCAGCAAACCAACACCACAGAGAACCCTTTAAAATGTCCATCCTGTCAGACTGAAAGCAGCCTACCCAATGGTAGACGCCCACACAGACGCATCCGCCTGGACCCTCACAGCTGCAGCCTGTGCTCCAAAACCTTCATTTCCTCCGCTCACCTGACCCTCCACCTCACCACTCACAATAAAGAGAGGAAATTTAGATGCAGCACATGTGGCAAGTACTTCCACCAGTCCTCTCACTTGATGGCACACAAGTTAATTCACAGCGGGGATAGGCCATTTAAATGCCCTGAGTGTGGCAAGACCTTTGGCCGTGCCTCACATCTAAAGACACACCGCCGGCTCCACACAGGTGAAAAACCCTTCAAGTGCACCTACTGTGAAAAATCGTTCACGCAGAAGGCCGGACTCCTTGCACATGTGCGTTTGCACACAGGGGAACGACCCTTCAAGTGTGAGCAGTGTGGCGAAGGTTTCCGCTCTCTGCCTGCTTTGCTTTCTCACAAGGCTCAAGAGTTGCCTGGACACGCCAAACCATCACCAGCTTCAGCTTCAGCTCCAGCTCCAGCCCCAGGTCCAGCACCAGCACCTGTGGTCAGCCAGCCTCAGAAGACCCAAACCAGCTCAGAGGATCTGAAATGTGGAGTTTGTTGCCGCACCTTTGTACGGTCATCATACATCAGGCTGCATATTCGCCTAAACAAAGGACAGAGGCCCTATCATTGCAAAGTGTGCAACAAAACCTTTGTCAAGCTGGATACGTTTGTGAACCACTGTGATAAACACTTACGTCAGAAAAGGGATAAAATCAAAGAGGTGAAAGACAGAGTAGTGAAACCTCCCCTGTTTGTCCCGCTCTCCAGACCTCCGGAGTCCTTACTCTCTCAGCCTCTGTCTTCAGAGGTCAACACACGCTCCAGAGCAAAAGCTAAGATTAAAACAGAGCCATGAGCAAAGGACTTCACTAAGGCAGAAGTCTGCAAACAATAACTAGTATAGGTGAGTTATGTTATGTTGTGTCATGTAATGTCAATTTTATGAATAGTTTTAATCCTTACTGGTACAATGAAAGTCACATGTTTACAAATGATCAGAGTAAGGGAAAAAGCTCATCAGTAATGGAATGATTCTTATTTTACTGAAATGATTTTACGAGTTTTATTGTATTTATCTTTACAAGCAGTGTGATTTTATGTTTTAATGCCTATTTAAACTCGTCTAATTCAGAAGTTAAAGTCTATTTCATGTCAATTGTAGGCATAAAAATAGGAAAAAGAATAATCTCAAACCATTTCAACACATGGTTATAATGATCACAGAAGTCGATTGACGTCTGTCACACCTGTACAAAGTACAAACAGTGTTGTTTATTGTAAAACGATATGCAAAGAGTGAAGACCAACAAAAGCATAGTGCTGTGGATATTTATTTGGTTGCACTTTGAGACATCCTCAAAATCGGTCTGTTTCTGTTCTTAACCCTTCTGTACTTGTCTTGCATTCTTGCTCTGTCAGCAGTTGTTTCAAAGTTAAAATAATGCTTCACAGACTTTGCAAACCTGGAACTACATCCAGGATCACCCCCTTGTTTCATGGTGTGCTAAATCACCAGGGTCTATAGTTCAAAAGCTGAAGGTCGACATGTCTCGCTGGATGAGCCTCATTTGACTGTCACAGCCATTCAAACAAGACAGTCACATGTTATTCCCGGTCAGTAGCAGCTCACAGCTGATACCTCACTGACCCTGACCCCCGCAAGAACTGCATTATAGTGGATCTCCTCTGCAGATGGGGGATCTGTCACCTCCACATGGGGAAACTCTTTGTGCCAATCTATGGACAGAAAAAAACACAACAACTTAGGAACTGATGGAGCTGAAAGGTCAAGTCAGGATCCTGGGGGACCAACAGTATGTATGTAATAGAGGGGCATTGCAAAAAGACTCAAAACGCTCAGTGATGATAATAAATGGAATTTGTTCAGTGCTTAAAATATAATTATGTTGCATAATGTAAAGTTAAGGTATTTGCCTTGCAGTTTTCTGTTGCCTCTGTGCTGCTGTGAATGTTCCAGTCCAGGCTCACGGTCATGTGGCGTCTCCAGATGGGGTTCCTGTGCAGGGCAATGGTTCCACTGATGCTGTCCCCTACACACACACTGACTGGCTTGTCTAGCATGAAGAGAGTCTGCTTCCAGTGTGTTGGCCTAAAAGGAAATTGGAAAATATTGTCATGCATTGCAATTTTGGTCTTCTTCAGACACTGAAAGACTAAATATACAGTCTGAAGTATTTGTAAATATGCATCACCATTTCTTATTATTTAAAAGATGTTTAATGGCATGTGATATCACTGAAAGCACTTAAAGAGGCGCCGGGGGCAGTGAATAAACTGTCTTTTCATTCTGATGTAACTGTAGTTTTTGAACTTTTTACTCAGCATGAGGCCCGGTGTTTAGCTCCACTGTTGCACCTCCTGTCTCCAGGCTGTCGAAATGAACCGTAAACCAGGCAGTGAATCCATGGAAACTACCCGGCTTATCCACACAAAAATGAAACTGACCCTTTATTTCCTGAAAAACGAAACACAAGAGTTGTTTTAAAGCCCTACTCTTTTCCTGTGAAGTGATTTCTATGAAAGGATTGTACACACCCATCATACCTCCAGGTCTTTGACTTGTAGCGTGTACATATCCAGAAGAATAACATCCGAGGGAGTGGCGAGGCAGTCAGCGGGTTCGATGAGGTGGCTGAACTTTGGCTTGGTGAAAAACTCCTGCTGTGCCAAGGGCCTGCAGAGATGAAATGAAACTTAAACCACCAGTAGAGCAGGTTGCTGTTTGCACCTCATGAACTAGAGAGAAAAGGAAAACATGGATTTTAAAACGTGTAAGATCACTTATGATTCAAAACAGATTATTTATGGTAGCGCAAGTGTTGACCATATTAATTCCATTCATACAGTAAAAGATAAAATCAGCCTATCAGACATTATTTGTCCCCAGTTATTAAAGCTTTGATTCTCAAGTGAACTTGACTAAGTGATAACACATATTGATATTTTGTATTATGATTTCTTCTGCTTTTCTAATGATCATGGTTTTTTAAACTTTGCAGCATTCCTGCTTTTCGAACGCATGTTTTTTTTTTTCCACAACTTTTGTCGATACTTAACGAATTTAATGATTTACATGTTGACCAAACTGTAAAAATAAAATTCTAGTTCAACAATACAAAAAAAAAAAACACTGGTCGAACAAGATGACAACTGATAAAGTTTTATAGGAGTCATCTTGTTCAAGCATCTAAGCACTGACAGACACCAAGGTACAACTACACATTGACACCCTCAGGCTATGTCTGGTACATTCTGTTGATGAATTCAGTAAGTTATTGTAAAAAATGTTCCGATTGAAAATTGTCAAAGAAAGAAAAGGAGTCGCTGAAATGCTGTGATGTAAATGACAACACAAAATCATAAACCTCATCAAAGTCTTGTGAGATTCAGTAACAGGAATGCTGAATAACTTAGTTTATAAATGCCACATCATGAACTAGGGCAGGGGTTTAAAACCAGATTAAAACTGATTTTAAAAACACTCTTTGAGATGAAGCTGAGAGCAGCAGAAAAATACTGAGTACGACTACTGCTATTTCCTTTCCTGCCTCTTGAACACAAAATCAGAGCAAAAGTAAATTTGCTAACCCTAAATCTGTGCAGAACAATGATGCAAGTGAAAGTTAAATCTGTGACCGTGTTTTCATAGCAATGCAGAGTGTTTTAAAGTTAACTGAATCCCTCTTAACTTATGATACAATCATGCGTTTGAAATTAAGTTAAGCACTATGGACTGTAGATTCTCTTGTACACAGTACATCTGTTCATCACAGCCCAGTGGCATCAGCCCCATTTGGGTGTTACTGTCATTCAGTTCACCATGGCAACCATACCTGTGGCTTCAACTATGATTGTCATGTATCTTTCATACATGCCAATCATAGTTGAAGCCAAAGGTATGATTACCATCCAGCTTTATGGGAAATAGCTCATGAAAAACTGAGAATAGCTACCTAGCTAACAGCCCTTACTGAAGAGGAGTGAAGTCCAGGCCATAGGGTCGCTCCCAGAAGGCCATTTTCTCTTCGTAGTAACTGTGGGCTTGACACGGCACCAAGGTGAGGGCTGCAGACGAAGGCCACATGACTCCACCTTCCCTAAGCCAGCAGTCCCTGGCCTGCAGAACTGACTCAACCATGAACTCAAACTAAAGCAAACAAAAAGAGGAAGAAAAGTATATGACCTCCACTAGGAATTTTGACAACCTCTGGAGAAAGGCTCAAATTAGGAAGAATCTTCACACCATAAATTACAATATATCATAATTTGCAATTTTGAGAGAGTCATTATTACCAGCAGGCAGTTTCCCATCCACTCAGACACCAAGACATCCACCTGCTCAGGAAGCTCCACTTCTTCAGCTCGTGCCTGGAGCACAGTGACCACCTCCTCACAGCCGTTTTGCTTCACCAGCTGTCTGGTGTAATCCGCCATGGAGCTGGCCTCCACAGCATAGACCTACATTAACACAGAGAGACCTGTGCAGAATGACCTTTTTAAACCATGTAGATGCACTCTTTCTCCAGCAGATGGGAGTAGAAGTGCACAATTGTTTGATTAGGCGTAAACTTAAAGGTAAAAAAATAAATAAAAGCAGGTGTTGAAGCTGGAGTAAGAAATTTTATCTGTAACATATCTGAAAAAGGAATGTAAAATTTTCAAGATATTTAGAAGATACTTAACTGCAGTGAGCTGACAACAAAGTATGTGATCAGGTCATGAGGGGGCTTATATACTATGTAATAGAAAAAAGGTTGTATAAAGCCTTGTGTTTAAATATATCATAATTTTGTTAAACTAAATGGTTGTTTTATTTTGTGGAAATCGTAACCATAATGTAACTTGTGATTATTATGGTGAAAAACCATCTGGCCAATACAACTGACCGAAAAGCTCGGTTTTGAAACATAACTGAAAAGTTTGGGGTATCTTACTACCTTTTACGAACATGTTTTTGAGTTTTGACAAACCAGTAACATCTTGTGATGGCTGCATTTATAAGGCTGGGGTAGGATAAGACTGTTTCCAAAAGTAAGTCAAAACAATTCAGATAAGGGAACCCCATACTCTCTCCTCACAGCACAGCACATGAACAGCAGCCTGCATTTATGTGTGAAGAGCCACAGTGTTTGAGTAACCGGTGTTTGTATTACCAATGATGGTTCTGCCAGCTGGGCGCAGAACAAGCTGATGATGCCAGTCCCACAGCCCAGGTCCATCACCACCTTATTCCGCAGAGAGGCACTGTTGCTGAGAATAACCTGCCGATACGCCTCTGTGCGGCTCTTGTCTGACAACATCTCCAAGTGAAGCCTCTGTGTGACACAAACACAGTGAAACAACAGCTGATATATAACTTAGCATGGACAACCTATTAGCTGAGTCATACAGATGCAGAGAAACAAACACAGTTAAACACCTAAACCTTGACTGACAGACATAGACTGAGGAAGTTAGAGCTTCAACCAGGAGAAAGGGGCATACGGCTCAACTTACCCCGCTCCTATGGTCAACTTGCCCCATAAACGGGGTAAGTTGACCATAGGAGACCACTTCTTTTTGGAATGCCATATTATCAAGACAGTTATGTTTACTCTCATTCTGTTGGTTTGCAGGGATGAACAACATTTTGAAATATATGCAGATACACTAGTTAGAGACCAAACTATGATTGCCCTGATGTAGTGATACGAAATATGAAAAATGGCTCATCTTATCCCACTCTCTCCGACTGCAAGAAAGCACACGTGATATTTATCTGTCTGTGTTGGAGAGACATTTGAGAGCAAGTCTGGGTACTATTTACTCATAAATCCTAAGTTTAGCTGAATCAGAGGCATTTCACTACATAAAATGACAAACATGTTAAATCAAATATGTGAGTCTATAACCAGCTGTTCAACTCACTTTATCAGATGGAACCACTCTTATTTTTTGTAGTATCAATGTAGAATGCTAAATATTGCTACATAAAATATGTATATCATGAATGAAACTTATAATGATAATGATATTAGAGTAATAAGTATTGTTGTTGGTAGTGTTGTTTTTCCTAAAGGCCACACACAGTCAACTTCAAATACACTTAGATGCTCTTTACATCAAGCTCTACATTTCTGGCACATGCAAAGCATTGACATTTCTAACCAGAGTCCCATAACTGCCAAAATACTCTTCATCTTGCCATGGGTCATCTGGACAGGCGTCATCCTCCCCCTCCTCTTCCTCGTCGGTGGCTCTCTCGCGCAGGTAGCTGGCAGGAGCGTAACCTATGACCTCGCGCACCTCTGCCCACCACCACTCCGACGACGGCTTGGCGTGTACGAGCAGTCTGTCCCCGCAGCTAAAAGTGAGCTTCGTGGACAAAAACAGGGGAAAGTGTACAAAAGAGAAAGTTGGAACTTAATTTTCTACTTTAAGTGTGCGGTTGTATACCAGTGTGAGTCTCTAACCTGGTCGCTCCCAGCTCCAGTGAAGTCAGACAGGGCAACATACTCTTCAGGGGAAACATCCCCCTCGTCCTCCGTCTCGGTCTGCATGTCGGGTTGTTTCGACATGCCAGGCGTTTTGTTTCTTTGTAGAAACTGTTTCACCGTTTTCACAAACACCCCGACATTGTGCACTTGTGCGAAACAAGCGCTAAAATCTTCGCTTCAGCTGACTGGGTACTACCACTACTTCCTGTTTTGACGTCGGAGAGTTAAGGTGCCTTCACGTGCTTTCGGAAATATCGAAGTTGTAAATTAAACATGACAGGAAAGTTACAAAATCCCTTTCTAGTGAGTCTTCAAACCGGCGAGCAAGATAAAGACAATGCGTGGTAAAGTGGCATGAACAGTGATGGCGCATCCTCGTTTGAATAACACCCGGAATTTGTTAATGAGAAATCAAAGCATTGCAGTCGTATGTATATTTCTCTATTCATAATTTCTTCTTGATTCTACAGCACCAGCTCCAGTCTCGAAGTAATTATCTGTAGTTTTGGCACAATACACAGATAATATGAAAGTCTCCACATGAACCTGGCATCAGCCTCATGTCTGAGTATAAAAGAATGGCCTTTCAAAGGTGCATTTGAAGGCACCACAACACAAAATAAGCCTAACTTCCAACAGTGTACAGTTAGAAGGTTTCAACCATAGACTGTATAATGAATGGACAGAGTCTGCCTCCTCGCTGGGTGAAGCCACTCCGAGAACAGCACCCTCTGATGGTGGGCTGCAGTACAGGTCATAAATCCCGCCTCCGCCAGCAAAGCTTATGGGACTGTGGACAAACTTTAGAAATTTATTACACAGAACATAATTTTTTCTCCCCACTGCTTGTGATGTTGACATGTAGTTATTGTAAGACTGGTTTGTGCTCAAGTCCTTTTTTTTCTGTACATACAACTATGTACATTCTGCTGTGATACAACTTGATGTAAACATACAATAAATGTGAAATATAGCACCTATGAAACTATTCACACAGTATTTGAGTTTGCACTGGGTACATATGTTTCTGTATATTCTACATTATAAACGTGGTTTTAATACCCAGTAATCACTCTATATGTCACTGACGCATGGATAACAATAACACTACGTCGAGGTAAGAAATGATGAAATGATTATGATGTAACCCAAACTGATCTCTGTGTTTGTGCTCGTCTCTGCTGCTGGAAACCTACCACTCAGTCCTGGGTTTGATCAGACCTCACTCGAGATACTGAGCTAATTTTAGGGTTGACGACATGGTAGATAAAGTATTGTAACTAGGCTCCGTTGTGATTATGATATACAATCATTACTTTGTTTACAGTGTTGGCATAGCTGTTTACCAAATATGCATCACCATTCAGACACATATTTCTTACATACCTCATTGTTGCTTTCCTACAAAAAGTCAGCCACACTGAGTCTCAACAGAGATTTGCAGGGCCTGTGTTTGTTGTAAGCTTCAGTTAGATTTTTGTTCAGTTCAGGCTAAATGATATAGAATTAAATACCACCAGAAATCATTGACGCAACAGTATGAAAATTCTCCATTGTAACTTTAAAGACATGGCACAAAGAGCGCTGAGTTTTCCTCATTTTCCCCGCTGGAATGGAAACAGAGGATAATTGCACGTTACATGGCCTAAACTGTGATAAAATTAAGCTGTCTTTAGTTTGCCACTTCTTAAAGAGCAAATATGTTTACCTTGATTGGATTTAAAAGGGAAATGCTACAAGGATGACATTTAAAACCCATCCTATGTCCTGGTTTACCTGGAAATAATCTACCTCTCAATCTAAAGAAACACCACTGACAGAAAACTCGTTTGAGTCTTATTCCAACCCTTTGAGTTTAGCTAAAAAAATGTGAGTAAAAATAAAAGTGTTGCGTTTATATTTTTGTTCAGTGTACTTAGTTACAAAGGTCAATGAATTGAAGGCAAAATACACAAATAAATTTATGAAAAAGGAAAAATATGAGCCAAAAAATTTAATGAAACTGTATAAAATAAAATTATTGGATAGATTTTAATTTTGTCTTTCACGCACACGCACATCAGTCGTTGCCATGGAGACGGAAAAGGGGTTATTTAAATCAGTCTCCTGATTTAAGAATAAATATAGATTCCCCTTTGCTCTCAAACTTGGTAAAGAGTTGCACGGAACTTTTGGCTGTGAGAAGCAAACTTTGGAGAAAGCGAGAAAGAGACTACAAACCAACTGTTTTTTTAAAAACAACCCACCGGAGAGACCGACGACTGTGCAAAAACCCCCGAGAAGTCTGAAGATGGCCTCCAGGAGACCTCCTCACCTGGACCACCTGCTGCTTGGAGGGGAGCTGATGGACGACCATCGTGCTGCTTCGCTAACTTTCACTTATAACGTCTTTTAATATTAAATTTATGAAGATGCATCGAGTTACTGGATTAATATGAAATTTAAAAGCTTCATGGGAAACCTGTTTTTTGGCGCATCATCAAAACTTATTTCTTAAGTTATCCTTTCACTGAAGTTGGTTAAAACATTTTGAAATTATTTCTGATTCACTGATATTTGATTTCTTAGAGAATATTTCAGGTCCGTGAACAGTAAAACTGCATAAAGTTACAGATTTTCTGCAGCTTTCTTTTCGCTCATTCTCTTACATCTTACTGAGTAAATTTGTTTTTGCAAGTATAAGTTTAGTTTCCACCTTTTGATAATATTTTTAATAAAATCCAGCTTTTAATTTGTATCTCAGACTCTTCAACTTCATATACGTTAAAAATTTTGAACACTGTGAAAATATAACATTGACTCATTATATCAATGCTAATTAAAACAGGACAGTTTATATTTTTTTGATAATACAGGGACTACATGATGTTTGATTGAAGTGTTAAAAGTCTTTTCATGTGTTCATGGATCAGTTGATGTAGAACAGTTGTGAGAAGTTTATGTGAATTCAGATTTATGAGATTTTGTTCAGGTTTTTTTCTTCTGTAAGACAAATATTGTGAGTTAAAGGGGACAGAATTTTAACTCTGGTTCTAAAATGTTCTGACTTTTCCTCATCAGACGATGTGATCGTCGTGGACGACCATCCAGTGGAAGACAACATCCCTGATGTCATCGTGGTGTTGGACGACATCCCAGGTGACATTGTTCCTATCTACATCTCTTCCTCTGATGATGATAGTGATGATGATGTTGTTGTCGTTTTGGCAGGTGGAGATGAAGGCAACAACCTTATTGAGGTTGTGGACTTGGAAGACAGCGACAACAGTGAGGAGACTGACTTTAGCGACGATGGTGACTCTGACGACAGTGACTCTGACGACAGTGACACTGACGACGGTGACACTGACGACAGTGACACTGACGACAGTGACGACTGGGACTCTGACAGTGAGGACTCTGGTTACGGCTCCTTGTCTGAGGAGGAGGAGGAGGTCGTCAGACCTGACTCCCCCCTTGACCAGGAGCTCCCACCAGACGACTTCTGGCTGGGCTGGCGCCAACTGTCTCCTCCTGTTCCAGCTGTTCTTCCAGTCCCCGCTGGTCTGCCTGTTGATCCACCTGCTAGTCCTCCTGCTGGTCACCCTGCTGGTCTTCCGGGTGCACAGTCCTCTGTCCATCAGGGTCCAGAGGACTGTGCGCCCTCCACTTCAGGGCTGGTCTCCTCCTCAAAGAGAAGCAGAGAGGAGAGTAGCCCTGAACAGGTAAGTGAGAAGAGGCAGAGGATGGGAGATGAAGATGACGATCCAGTTCCTTCAACTTCATCAGACCTCAGCTCCAACACAAACAGCAGACTCTGTTTCAGTCTTTCCACACTCTCAAGGTGGTATGCGGACAGTGACTCTGACTGAAACAGAGGCTCTGTTTGTTGTTGGAAGGGGTAGTTGGAGGGGTAGGTATACACACACACGCTCAAACATGCGCACAAACACAAGTCACAATAAATATAATTATTGATGATTTTTTTTTTATAAGATGGTAGATGTCTGCAGAAATGGTGAGTAAGAATTAATGCCAGTGATAAATATATTCTTTAAATTTGGATTCATTGAGTAATTCAGGGATGATTATTCCTTCTAACTCTGTTCTCGTTTCTTTTACTTACAGAGATGCAGCAGCTGACAAAAGTGAGCTCATAACTAAGCGAAACAAGGTTCTGGAGCAGATCAGAAGAAGGGATGGGCGAGCAGAGGACCAGCTGCAGAGCGGTGGCAGCTTTTCTTTTCATTGACTTGGTAAGTTTTCTTCTCTCTGAGACTGTAACAGTAACAGAGGTGATATGAGGTCATCATAAACTTTGTTTTAAAAATATGAATCAGTGCTGTCAGTGTGTGAGCATCTGTCCCTGTTCTGCTTTAAAGATCCTGCAGGTGGAGCACTCAGTAGCTCAGCTGTTTTTTGAGCATGTGGGCAGAAACCTTGAGCAGGACCAGACTCAAATTGGACACAAAAAGACGATGAAGAGGGTGAGACCAGACATAAGGAGAAGAATATTCTGGACCAGATGAGGAGGATGGATGAGCGAGAACCAGCTGCTGATGGGTGGAAGAATTTTTGTTGTGAGGTTGGTAAATCATCCCCTCTCTGAGATTACAGCAGTGACAGTAAAGTTCATTTTGGATATGTGGATTACCAAAGAGGTCTTTGATACTATTGCAGTTTTCACAACTACTTGAACACTTCACTTTCCGTCAACACAAAGATTTCAAAGTTGTCTTCAAGTGTTTTCTCGTGTTTTTCTGTCCTGTAGGGTTGGATTCCTCTCTTTACTGTTTCCGGAGGTCTGAGTAGAAGTGAACCAACAGATCATCCCAGGACAAAGACCACTCACTCACAGAAATATTTAGGCCTTATTGCATATACAAGTTTTGAATCACTTAGATTCAACATAAACAGGCTAATAAACTGTATGTGCTGCATATTTGTCAGTCAAATGTAAATGAAACTATTGAGAATGAGATTTATGTAATAATTGCAATAAACCCAATGTGTTTTGAATGAATAATGACAGATTTAAGTATCCATCATTGATAACTCCATTTTTGGCCTCAGCCACACACTCACATGCATGTTGTCTAATTTCTTATTACACATGCAAACCAGACTCTGACATCATTAGAAACACCTCAAAGAGTTTTGGATGAAATAATTCATGGTCAACATAATGTGAAAAAAAAAATCAAAATTCATCCCAGCAAGATAAATGCTGAAATGACAGCAAAAAAATTCAATTGATAGGACCTGTCCTTAGAAGGTTTCAACCAGTGGCGATTGCTCTAAGACTGCAAGGGAAGCTCAGCTTCCATTAAAATGTCACCCCCCCAAAAAAAGGAAAAGTGGTGAAATACGTACTGCTGTATGTACATTTCATTAACTAAATACGCGCTAGAAAGCCTTCATCTTTTGTTCAGAATCAGCTTCTTACCACACTGTGATAAGAAGCTGATAATCACAGGTAACCAGCACAACTTCGTTCTCATTCATCCTCGCAGCGCCTCAGCGCTTTACACAGCCGGACGCTCAGCGTCTGCTGACTTCAATGTGGAAGCTCAAAGTGGGTTGTTCCAGCAGCGAAACTAGTCGCTCATTGGATAAATGCTGGGCTTTGTCCCGCCCATCGGACGCTCAGCGTCTCTGGAGTTCTATGACGAGAGGGCGGTCCCAACTTTCTGGCGGACACTGAGCTTCTGCATCCATGATTGGATGTGCTGTCTGAGGTGAAACCTTTTTTTGATTGACAGCTAAACAAGCGAATCAGCGATCTTGAAGAATAAAACATCTACCAGAGCATTTTCCAAGTTATTCATTCCGTTGTTCTTAACTACTCTGGAGACTTTACCGATCCTCAGCGACTTTTGTCTTTGTTAAAAACGACTGCCGTTGTGTTTGGCGACTCTATTCTGTTACATACTAATAAACAAACACAATTATGATGTAGGCCAGAAAAATGAGCTTCCCCTCCTTGAAAGACCAGCAGCCGCCACTGGTGTACACATATATAACGGTTATTACAGCTGCTGCTGCTGTTCGGTTGCCTTCAACCGACGTACACTTTCACGTTCAGAGTATTTCAGATTAAGAAATTGAAAAACAAAACATACCTAAGTCATCACACAGTACGTATATAATTCTATGATGTAACATCTGTAATATTTATCAAAAGGTTTTCTTTCCATGTAAACGGTCACAAAAGAATTAAGTACTTACAATGTTTATTGTAATATTTATTATTAAAAATCACCCAACAAGATTTTACACCATATAACAACAATAAGAGAATCTGTATGTAGCTACAGCTAAAGAGTTTATGTTTTACTTTCTCAAATAACCAAACAAATTCTCATCCTGGGAGCAGGAACATATAAACAGGATGTTTGTGCTTATTTTAGTACTGCAGTGTGTTTGAATGCTGTTGGACATGTAGAGTTTTCTTCTTGTCTCCAGCCTTGGCAAGAAGTTTCAGCCATCTTTTGTCTTGGATTTGAGAAAGGGCTTATGCAGCACATCATAAAGGCGCCTTGCCTGAAATGATAAAATGTCATCATAGTTATTTAGAGCTGCAGTGTTTAGTATTTAGTGGGATCTGGAATATAATAAGATAAGTTTTTTTTTTTTTTAACATATGCCTGATTATGACATTTGTTTTGTTTTCATTAAATGGGAGTGCTTCGATGCAGAATCTCACTGATAGATATCAATTAATGTTCCCATTTCTACACCATGTATCTTGGACAAGTGTTCCCCATTCTATTGTATTCTATTCATATGGTGCACATGTACTGTAGTATGACTCACTTTTTGTGGTCCAAGGCCTGGGCAGAGAACCAGATCTTCTTTAGTGGCACTAATGATTCCTTCCACAGACTGTATATAAAAAATACTATCACTTTAGGACATCCCCTCTCAGAACATCACCACATGAAATAACAAAATTAATTTGTAGTTCATAATGAATCAGTGAGTGAATATGTCTCTGTTCATATGGATAACAGAGCAGCATGTATTCAAAGATGGTACAACTCACTGAAAAAGTGGATAGCAAGGTAATGGCATCAGTCTTGTTTATAGACTTCACAGTAGTCAGGCAATCTGTCACCTTGAGGGAAAAAAAAAAGTTTTCAGCCTGCAGGTTAAACTTGGGCAAATACAATTACGGCATAATAATCATATTAAATATAGAAATGGACCTCATAATATCAAAAAATCCACAAAGGATTCACAAACCTTGGAAAGATAGTCTTTTTCAACTTGCTCCTTTAGTAAGTCTGCTGGTTTCTTTTCATATGATTTGTATGTTTCCAAGTAACGTCCTGCCTCCTCTGGACTGTCAAATAAGCATGACAAAGTATTGACGTTTTTTTTTTCTCCCATTTGTTTAATACATTTTGTACTGTAATTGTTGCATGCAGTTGCACTGAGTGCAGGTGGGTTCACCTTTTACAAGCACTAAATAAAAGCTAAGTATATGAGCAAGCGTGTTCATTTGTTTTTAGTGTTGACATGCAGAAAAAGGAAAAATGACCTTACTCAGTCACAGCATTTAAATTTTTCAATTTTGTGTAAAATTGCAATGCATCAATATCAACACAAAAAAAAATCTAATTACCTTTTATACATTATAAGTGTTGAAATGAGATGCTTAAAGGTAATGACAAATATCCACTAACGTATAAAAATGCATGCATCATAATAAAAAGAGAAAATTCTATCTTCTAACCTTTCACTAGACAGGGCTAGTGTGGTAAACATTATAAATGAGTCCAAAGATATTCAGATTTATTAACAAACTGTTCAGATTCTTCAGGAATGTGAGGAAGGCCTTACCTCCAGGCCAAAATGAGAGTGCAGTCAGCCATGATGCATATGCGAGCCAGTTCCTTCAATGCATGATGAGGATCTTTCTGTGAAGGAAAGAAAAGTCAGAGAGTAAATCAAACTTAATCTTTAAAGCCTCACAACTTGAACACAAACTCTAGATTTGATGCATATCGAGATTTCTTGTTTCTGATGACACAACTGCAGTATGATAAAAATACATGCTGTGACTGGTATATGTCAACTCTGCCTCTTACAATTTTCATTATGCAGTAGTGAGACTGCCTGCAGCCGAACACTTCAGACTTCAATTGCACCACCCTTAGTGAAACTAATTACATTGGAGCAGGATTGACAAATTAAAAGTTCTGCATGGATAGTTTACATGACAGCTCTCCCTTAACGGCTAAGTGCTAGAATAGGCTGTTTCATTTGGTTAAATGTAACACCGCTGAACCATCTTATCCTTGTTAACAGCAACATCATTTATCCGAGCTCTGTTTTATTCAACGAGCCAGCATCAGAGTGTAGAGCTATTTCATGTTTCTTTTGTTGAATCATTTATCCTTAAAGCCCCTTTTGTGCATTGAGGGTGAGCAAAACTCTCAAGTGATAAATGATTTTCTTTCAAAAAGATTTATATAACTCTTCATTTATACTAACCTTTTTAATCACACGCATGTATTCTTAAAACTTTGTCACTGAAAAAAGTGCTGTGTGACAAAACATCAAAACAACTGCTCAAGATGACACTCCATGCTTCATATAAATGATTAGAACAATGTACAAAACCCAATTCCATTGAAGTTGGGAAATTGTGATAAACATAAATAAAAACAGAATACAATGATTTGCAAATCCTTTTCAACCTATATTCAATTGAGTACACTACAAGCGTAAAATACGACAACGGAGACCCCGGACTGTTGAACAACTGAAGCTGTACATCAAGCAAGAATGGGAAAGAATTCCACCTTCAAAGCTTCAACAATTAGTCTCCTCAGTTCCCAAACGTTTGAGTGTTGTTGAAAGGAAAGGTGATGTAACACAGTGGTAAACATGCCCCTGACCCAACTACTTTGGCACGTGTTGCAGCCATGAAATTCTGAGTTAATTATTATTTGCAAAAATAAAAAATTAAGTTTATGAGTTTGAACATTAAATATCTTGTCACTGTAGTGTATTCTATTTAATATAAGTTAAAAAGGATTTCCAAATCATTGTATTCTCTTTTTATTTACATTTATCACAATTTCCCAACGTCAATGGAATTGGGTTTTGTAGTTAGATTTGATAGGAAAATAACTCTTACTTGAGATATGTCAACTAGACCTATTAATGGATTATCTTGATAAATGCAGTACAAAATAATGAATGTAACACCATAAGAATGTTACTTACCACATCCACTTGAACCAGTAACACCCGAAGACTAAAAGTCTGTCCAAGCTGTTTAAGACGGTCATGGATATAGTTTGGATTGAGGTTGTGATACCTAAGACTTTCATCCAAAAGAAGAGCACAATTAAACAAAAATAACCGTAAAAGGATGCATGATTCATTTTGCACATCAAATATTAATGGAAAACAGTTAAACAAAAAGATTTTGCAGCTTGCATTGTGTCAAAGAAAGCCTGCAACATTCCTTTCATGAAAATATGAACATTTCGAGCATGCATAATCACACAATATTCTAGGAGCACCAAACAAACCTGAGGAAAAGAGCACAAGTTGTCAAGCCTAAGACATAGTCTGGCACCACCTCTCCAAACTCCCAAGGAACACTCCTCACAAATTTCAGAACAGGATTTCCCCTCTGAAAAGATAAAATTGAATTAAGACACACACCTCTGTAAAACCAATCTCACAAGCCTAAAAACTGCTGCACTTCCAAACTCTTGAAACCTGATGATTCAGTAAGGCACAGACTCACTAAACTTTTATTTCATATGCAATTCTGATTTGGCACAAATGTGTGAAGAGCTTGGGTGTCTGGATAGGACAGCATTCTTGCAAAGATCATTTTCATTTTGAGGCATACCTGTCGAGGACTGACAATAATACTACTGCCAGACCCCACTGGTTTTGGACCTGAGCTGAGGCTTGGCTCTCCCCCTTGGCGGTTCCCCTCCTTCTGCTCTGTACCAGCCGCCTGTTTCTCCTCACTCTTCTTTGCCCCTTCAGATCCATCTTCTGTCTCTTTGGCAGACTTCTGAACTGTGTGACATGTTTCCAAATCTAAATCTTGTTGTTTTGACTTCGTAACATCAGCAGTTTCAATCCTTGGCACCTTTGACGGACCCTCTTTTTGAAGGGGAGCAGCAGCATTGTTTTTACTCTGGACTATATAGTCTGCATATGAAAGGGGTTTGCCACCAGGCTGAAGATCAGGATCAGGCTTTGATGAAGATGAAGATGAGGCATTTTGTCCTCCTTTGAAAGACGACTGAAACTGTGGCTTTGGCTGAAATAAAAGTACACGTAAATCCCGTTAGACTAAAATAATAACATAAATAACACTTGGAGGCAAGCTGCTATATCTATGTTTCTCTAAGTTTTATTAAAAAATTGGACATTTTAGTTTTGAAGTTGTAGTTTCATGCTAAAAGTCAGCGAGCTAGCTTACTGATTCTAGCCGCATTAGAAAATGGGCGCCAATCCAGCCTAAATACTGACCGGTGTTCTTTCTTTGGTGAAAGCAGAGTCGTCCAGATTAATGTTAAATCTCTTCTTCATATCTGTAGAGTAATGGGGGAATTATAAAGTAACACATGCCGCTGACTGGTTTTTCAGTTACGTCCGGAAACGCTGTCTGGTAAAACTATAATAACAATGCTGCGATTTCCGGTTTTGGCTCCTTCAGAATAAAAGCCCCGGCTTCATTGATAACCAAAGGGGAGATCGGGGTAAAATGAGCCATTTTTCATATTTCGGATCACTACATCAAGGCAATTGTAGTTTTGTCTCTAACTATTGTATATGCCTATATTTCAAGTTGTTGTGCATCCCTACAAACCAACAGAATGAGTGTAAACATAACTGTCTTGATAATATAACATGCCAAACAAAGTGGTCTCCTTTGGTCAACTTAGCTGGGATAAGTTGAGCCGTATCCATACTACCCCCTCACTCTCCACCCCAGCCCTCCCTTACCTTCTCTCTTCCTAAATAACAGTCACTTCTTCACATTTGTGTGTATTTTATCTATTAAACGCTATCCAACTGGTACAATCATGTTTTTTTTATTATTATTGCATATAACTGCTAAAAAGCTGTTTTGTCAAAAAAGCCATTTTAACATGAGAATGCCTTTAAGTGATTCAGAACATTCACATTTGTATTTTTGAAAAGAAAAGGTAACACATTTCAACAATCTGAACTGAAACTCTCCTCTCATCAGACTCCTTTACTTTCTCAGTTTCTCAACTTACCCCAGAACTACTATTATGACTTTATAGGTCCTCTAAGCTAAAATGGTGGACTTTTATGCTAGGTTTTTGACCTCATGTTGTAACTCATAGATACCACAATTGATGTATAAAACAAATTTAAAATTATCTTTTTTGGTCTGAACACGGTTTTAATAAAACTTATGACAGGCTAAATTCACTGTCAAGAGTGAAAAAAGTTTTTTTTTGGAAATAAATGTCTAACCCCTTTCACCCATGTGCTTCTAACCTTCACAGACTCCATGAATTGATGCCCATCTCCTGAATATTTGGTCACATGATCAATTTCTTTTACCATTTCCAAGCAACAGGGGGTGGCTCAACTAACCCTTTGGCTCAACTTACCCCACTCTCCCTTATATGTTAAGAAAAGGGATAAGATCGAGTGTGTAGTATTTAAGGGGAAAAATACAGTGCTATGATCATTTTCTGTGGCATCTTTTTTAGGTTATCTGCTACTTAGTCAGGTGCAAATATGACTCGACCCCAAAATATTCTAACAAAAGGTTTCTCAGCTGTTTTTTTTTTTTTATAGTATTAGATGTCCTTAATAACATACTAAAAGTTTCCCATAAAGCATTGCAAAATGTAGTGAGCATCCGATGGTCACTCACCGGTGGTGGGCACCTCGTCATGCATTGCGTCTCCAGCAGCAACGTCACAACGGTAGTGAATTCTCCGGTGATTGAGCTCACTACATAGTCAGCTATATAGTGAAACCCAAAATGGGTGTTAGGGGTCAGCGATTGAGTGATTCATTTCGGACACAGCCAATGTCTCCATCCCATCATGGACGCCATTGTGAAAATGACACCTTTCTAACGGTCAAACTTTGGTAAACTTTTAGTATGTTATTAAGGACACATAATACTGTAAAAAAACAGCTAAGAAACTTTTTGTTAGAATTTTTTTTTTAGGGTAAGGTGTTTTTTTCATAAATGCACCCGCCTATACTTGTGACTCGGCTTCTTTTGGGGTTAAAACTAAGAACAAACTGTGTATTGGCCGTTGAATTAGAAGCAGGAAACAAACAGACACATTCAACCCAGACGTAATATATAAATATGTTGCTTTATTCTCTAACATTTAAACCACACCACTTTTCAGCCTCGGTGATTGTTAAACGATTGTAACCGTACACTGTGGTTGTAACCGTTACCTTGGAGTTGCCTGGGAGACAGTGACGCCGCCATTCAAACTGCGAAGCATGGCATGTTGGGATACCCTTTCCAAACATGGCGGATCGGGTAGCTGGCTATAGTTGACTGATAGCACATTGAAGATTGTTTGATGAAACACAACGCAAGATTTCAGCAACCTTTTTTGGTCTTCACGGGGACTGAAGCCACAGGACAGACTCAAGGTAAAAACGTGTTAGAGTTTTGACCGCCGTAATGAGCTAAAATGAGCTTGCTAAATAAGAGGCAGATAGGTAGAGGACCGCGAGCATGCTAACTGAGCTAGCGGGGTTTCATAACATGATCAAGTTTTAGGGTTTGTATGTGGTTCAGCTCGGAGGAGTGAAAAGCAATATTACTTTGAAAGGAGAGGTTAAATAGTCACGGCAATCTGAAGTGGAGAAATGTCCAGCTAACGTTAGCTACAGTGGTTTAGTTATTGACTAGCGGCGCAGGCCCAGCTGTGGTTATCTAACGTGTCGATGAACTGGATCAAACTTTCTTTCTCTCTGCGTCTGTATGCTCCTACACTTACATGGTCCTGGCCATTATACTCCAGATAGCCTAACTTTCCTTTAGCTACTGCAATTTACGACCTGTACTCACATGTTTGCATTTGTATTAGACGAGTTAGCTTTAGCCTCAGCTCGCAGAGGCGCCAATGCGGACCAGCAGTGCTGGTTTTCCTCCCTACCCCGTACCCTGATGGTAATGGATTGTGCTACTGAGTGAAAACCTTTGTCGTGTACGGAAAGTTCCCTGCACAAAAACATTTAGTATACTGTGAGGCTGTCTGAGCATCAGCAGAGCAAATGATTGATGCATCCAAGAGTTTTGATCACAGGAAACTACTTTACCAAGTTGAATGCTGACTAAAGATCATGTTTAATAACTGTTTAAGTAGAACTGTGTGTACTTTAGACGTGATGATACCATCAGCTGTTCCAAAACATCTAATCTGGTTTAGAAATGATGTGTTGGATTGAAGGCTTTAGTGGCTTTCAACGGTGAAGTAAAATGTACGACGATAGATAGAAAATATATCTTTTTTTCTTCTTTTTCCCCCCCACCGATGCTATCATGTCAAGTAGATTCTGTATGTGTTCTGTCCTTTCCTGCATCTGAGTACTGCTAAAAACACTCCTTTAGTTAAGTTCCATTGGACCATTTTGAGTGTGTGCACCTGTGTTTGGTGTCACTAACCAGATTATTAGTGCAAATGTAAGTCATTATTATTGTTGGTGGTGGTGTGGGATTAGCCATGCTACAGCTCGGATATTCTGTAAGGTAGCTATAGAAAATATACATCTTATTTTGATACTGCAGTCTTTGATGCAAAAGTTAAAATACATGTTTTCTTTTCTAGTGTTGAATACAGGAGCAGCAAAACAGTGACAATAAGCCAAAATCAGGGGCAGGGGGAAAATGGAATGTGCAGTGCACATTCCTTCGGGTAAGTGGCAGATGGGACTCAAATAAATCTGTATTTCCATTTCTGTTTAAATTTAATTATTTTATTCAGTTTTCCCACAGTTTATTTTCATTAACACTGTTGAGGTTAAACAAAACATACGAAGTGTGTTAAAACATAACAGTATTAAAAAAAACTTGCTAATATCCCTTTGAAATTCAAGTCTTCTGTTGTCTTTTAACTCACAAAACTAGTATTGAGGTGACATGTCCAGTGAATGATGACAGAGTGAATGAAAACTACTTTATCTTGGTGCATTGATTCTGCTGTATACTTGTTCAATCTGAAATGCTGGCTGTCCTGTTTAGGTGAGGATGAGGCACCTGAGAAAGATGATATAAAAGCCAAGGAGGAAAACGAACCACCTCCCAAGAAAAACAAGAAACACAGAAAACATAAGAGCAAAAAGAAAAAGAGGAAGAAGAAGGGCGAGAAGGAAAGTAGTTCAGAGTCAGGTGCTGAGTCTGATGCAGAGCCACCACCTCCACCAAGACCTGTCAGGACCACCAGAGCCAGGTAAGAGGGACTGAGATTCAGCTTGGCATAGATTTCTTTTTTCTACAAAAGAGAAAGAATGAATGAACAGGATATATTTTATTTATTTATTTATTTTTCCCAATGTGTTTCTTCGCTCTTTAAAAGCACTGAATACTAAGAACCAATCTGTGTTATAGACATATATTTCTGTGTCCTTGTATTTGCAGTGCTAGACTGGCTGCTGCTGCAGGAGGTGGAGAACATGTTGGGCAGAAGGATGAGAGCAAAAAGGATGCAGTTACAGGTAAGATATCCCAGAATAAAAATATTCAGATTTCTTTGATTAAAATGGATTATGGAGGTGTTTGTGCTGGTGAATTAAAAAAAAGTGTCTTCCCCTATCTCAGATCGCGCAGACACAGAGGTAGATTCAAAATCGAAGAAACATAAACGACACGCTGGAAAGAAGAAGAAGAAAAAGAAGAAGAAGGATGAAAAACAGGAAAAGAAATCCCCATCTCGTTCTCCATCTGAAAGCAGCTCAGCCTCAGGTTCTGAATCAGAAAGTGAAGGAGGTAAAGGGGCTGGTGATAGCAAGTACTCCTCAACTGCAGTATCTGATCTGCAAGAGCCAGTGTCCAAATTGCTTCCAAAAAGCAAACGAGGGGAGGAAAAAGGGGTTTCCATTCATACGCAGAAGGCTGAGTTCCTTGTAATGAAAAAAGAGATTTCAGACATAGATGAATCTTCAGTTATAGAAAGAGGTAATAATACTAATGGATCTGAACAAGATTTGAGGTTTTCCTCTGAAGGCCAGGATGAGATAAAACATACAGCGACAGTTCAGGTTAAAACAGAAGGAAGTCATACTGGTGGTACGTTTAGTTATGCCCAGGAGCTCCCTGACATCATCCCCAAGCAGGAAAGTGCTACTCCAAGAGATGAACAAGCCCTGAAAGATCAGGGTTTTCAGAGGACAAAAGCCAAGGAACAGGATTCCCCAAGGTCCCATTCTCCTTCTCCCACAAGGGTCCCAGATATCAAAAGGTCTGCCTCAAGTCAAAGCCGGTCTCCAACCCCTGGTTTCACCAGGCTGCAGGCTGACACTCAAACAGCAGCAGCATGTGAAGGACGCTCAAGAACCCATTCCAGGTCAACCTCAAAAGGAAAACTTTCCGCAACTCCTATCAAAAATCTTCAGCTATCCCGCTCTCTTTCTCGCTCTCAGTCCCCTAAACCTAGGAGGAAATCACTGTCCCGCTCTTCAAAGTCTCCCAAAAGAGCTACCTCTCGATCACGATCCTCCTCTCGCTCTATCACTCCCAGGAAGGTTTCAAAACCCCTAAGGAAGTCCAAGTCCCCTAAACGTCATGGAAGCTCTATGTCTGCTTCCCCAAGGCGACGCAGAAGTTCCCCATCCCCTAAAAAAAAGATGTCACGATCCCCTAAACGTGGTGGGCGCAGGTCACCCTCTCTGTCCCGTTCTCCAAGAAGAAGTCGAAGATCAGAATCACGCCCTCGAGGAAGTACAAGGCGCTCTAGAACACGCTCACCTCGACGAGGTGGTGCAACTGGCAGACGTTCCCGGTCACGTTCTGTCAACCGAACCCGTCGCTCTTGTTCCAGGTCCAGACGCCCTGTTCGTCGCTCCAGGTCACGCTCACCAGCAAGACGTACTGGAGGCAGGCGCTCCAGAAGTCGATCCTTGTCTCGGCGTAGGAGGTCCCCTCCCCCAAGATCCAGGCGCTCACGTTCCCGGTCATTCCGCAGGAGCAGACGGACACGATCACGTTCCATTGTAGTCCTAAAGCGCAACAGGCGCTCTAGATCCAGGACCCCCCATAAACGGACCAAATCCAGGACCCCTCCTTCGAGACGACGGTCTAAATCACGGTCTCCAGTCAGAAGGCGGTCTAGATCTCCGCCCAGAAGAAACCGTTCCCCACCAAGGTCTGGCAAGCGGTCCAGATCTCGCTCATTGTCACGAAGGCATAGGTCAAAGTCACACTCACCACTGCCTGGCAAGAAGAGGTCCAAAGCCACAAAAAAGAGTGGAAGAAGGTCAAAGTCTAAATCAGTCTCCCCAGGCTTGAACAGATCAAAGTCCAGGTCGAACTCAAGCGATGGGAGGTCTGACAGCTCCTCTCCAGCCAGATCCACATCCTTCTCTCCCATTAAAAAGGGGAAGTCTGCCTCTCCAAAGGCAGACCAGCCAGCTAGTGGAAAGGCAGGCGGAGAAAGTGGAGGACTTCCAGCTCCAGCAGGTCAGACCATTGACATTTTTATATGAACTACAATATTGTAATGTTACACTAACCCTTATAAAGGGGGAAATGACAAAACCTACTTCTTATCCCTACAAACTTGAAATCAGTTCTTTGACTTCTAAAAAATTTCAGGTTTGTGGATCATGAATTTCATTTGTTATTTTATCCATACTATGCAGGTGCATGGAAACCCATGACCTCAGTAGCTACCCCCAGTCCCCAGGCGGAGAGCTCCTTAGAGAGGTTGCAGCCCGAGATGCTTGCTCCCAACCAGGAAGAGGAGCACAGAGAACCTGCCAACTCATGCAATGAACAAGGTGTCTCCAGGTCAAGGTCCAGTTCCAGAGAGCCTGAGACTGCCCAGGATGGGTCCAATTGTTCAGAGGGCTCAGATGAGGAAGAATCTTCATCTCCAATTAAAACTGCCTCAAAACGCCAGAGAAGCTCCTCAGGTTCAGCATCACCAGGAATGCAGAAGAAACAGCTGTCACCGGTGGATCGCAGGAAACTTTCACGCTCAACCTCATCGCCCCGACGATCAACATCAAAGTCTACATCCAGAAAGAAGCTGTCCAGGTATGTTCTGCGTGTGTATGTGCCGATCTTAGGTCAAGAGTTTGTGTTCTGTGGGTCCAAATTTGTGTTGTAAGAAAGGTTGGCAGCTACCAAAATAACAGTTAAGATCAAACAATGATTCCTTTTTTCTTCAGGTCAAAGTCTCCAGTCAGAAAAAGAGAGTCCGTATCTCCAACAGAGAAGAAAAAGCGGCGGTCTAAGTCTCCTGCACGGAGGCAAAGGTCACGCTCTGGTACGAGGCGAAAACGGTCAAGCTCCAAGTCCAGAATCAAAAACCGGCGGTCCAAGTCGCCTGCCCGCAAGAGGCGATCCAGAACTCGCTCGCCCAATGCCCGTGGAAGGAGAAGGTCTAAGTCCACAGACAGAAACAAGCGATCCAAGAGCCGCTCCACAGGCCGGAGAAAAAGATCCCGGTCAGGAGACAGAGGCAGACGATCAAGGTCTCGTTCCACCGATCGCAGACGCAGGTCCAGGTCCAGGGGAAGAGGAAGACGGCCAGTATTTCGCAGCCGTTCATTTGATAGACGGGACAGGTGGAAAAGGGAACCAAGTCACTCTCCAGTTCTTATTCTACGCAAACAACGTCGCTCAGGGTCTAGGACGAGACGCAGCACGAGCAAGACTCCTCCTCGGCTCACTGAATTAGGTGAAACAATTGAATAGAGATAACTCATCTTAACACAAAGATGTTGCATGAATGAATCATCTGTTTTAGATTTGTTCTGTGAATTTTCCACAAATTCTGCCTCATCTTGCTCTTATCCTCTCTACCAATCCTGTTCCCTCTCTGCTACATCACAACTGACTAGGTCTCTCCTGCATGGTCTTTTTCTTTCAGACAAGGACCAGTTGTTGGAGATAGCAAAAGCTAACGCTGCCGCCATGTGTGCGAAGGCCGGGGTGCCCATTCCTGAGAGTCTTCGACCCAAAGCAATCCTCCAGCTCCCTTTGCCTACTCCATCTCCTACCCCACTCTCCCTACCTCTGCCTTTACCTCTCCCAATGGGCATGGGGATGCCCAACATGCCCAATATGCCCAACATGGGTCCAATGGGACTGCCCAATATTCCAGGAATGCCCAGTATGTCCAATATCACCATGAGTGCTGCGATGGCGAGTATGACAGCAGCGACCATGACGGCTGCCTTGACCAACATGGGTGCTCTGGCTGCCATGCCTCCTCTTGCCCCACTTCCCACTATCACAAACAAGCCTCCCCCTAGCCTTGCTCCCCCAGCACCCACCCTTAACCTGGACCACATTGAGGAAGTTAAGAGGAAGGTCACTCAGCAAGCTAATATACACACAATTAAGGAACTCACTGAGGTAAATTTGGGTATAACTGAGTGAATGCACAAATTTTAAAGAAATACATAATTAGAAGTCCCATATGATGGTGTTTTTAGCTGTTTACAACAGGTCCTAGTTGTCTTTTAAACAACATTTTTAAATGACTTGCAACAAGTCAGTGAAGCAGTCCAATATGAAGCAGTCCATTACTTGGACTGAATAGAGATATTTGTGTTGGTTTTTGGAATCAACTCAGCAGTGGCTTGTCTGTTTCTAACCTTTGACATATAGACTCTGCCACACCAAATCAAAACCATAACACTTGAATGCCTTAGTGAATCACTTTTGCTGTTATGTCACCGCAGAAACACAGTGAAAGACAATTTTTCTGTAGTCCTCCTGCTAAAAACACTAAATTTTTTTTCCTTCAAAGTGGAGGATGACAAAAATGCGGGTATAGGCAAGGAAAAACATGTATTTCATTATATGGGACCTTTAATCAAAGAGTATTTTCATGTCGTTTATGTTCACTACTATGCCAACATAAAGTAATTTTGTTTTTGATTGTCTTTTTGCAGAAGTGCAAGATGATCGCAAATAGCAAGGAGGAGATGGCTGTCGCTAGACCCCATGTCTCCGATGATGAAAGTTAAACCTTGAGGCTGTCACGGTAATTACTGATTTCAGTCTGCATTTGTTGTACATGAATGTGTTGAGTTTTAATTTTAATCTTGGAGAGGGTAGGACAGTAGCTGGAGCAGGAGGCTGGGTGAAAGAGTGAGGTGTGACATTCAGGACTGGTGTCTCATTTTCCCTCATATTTTAATAATGCTTTATTAATTTAACCTTTCTGTGATGTGGACTTGGTATTTTTTTTTGAACCATAGATATCCCTCCTCTTCCTTTTGCCTAGCGTTCCCATTGTCACCCTCTCTTTTGAGGATCCATTCCCCTTCCCTATGTCCGTCATCATTTATAATCAAGATTAATTGAGCCATTTATCAGCGACTTGTTAAAACACAATCAAACCATTCATTGTTTGAGATGGTTTTTCCACTCCAATTTTCTCATACATTTTCATCTGTTTAATGACCCACACCAACCATTCAGCCTGCTGCTCATTTTATAAGATAGCAGACACGAAGATTTGAACAGAAATTTTGAAAGCCCTGGTAGTTCTCTAGTCCCACGTTATTGCATGTTCTCATTGTTAACTTTATGATTATTGAATTCGTCATGTACAAAGACGACTTATTTGACATTAAGATAAGCCAGATCAATTAACTCTAAATCTCTCTAAAATTTATCAAGAGTCTCTACCTTAAAAACGCTGCATGCATTTAAAATTTCTGTGTGGAGTGTTTTGCAGGTACTGGTACAGACTAATAATGCTTTGACTTCTTAATGAGCTACACATGCAAATAAGACAGTGCTGGAGTGCGTGCATATGTAGATGAAGGCCAATAAAAAGTTTATACCATAAATAGTTTACACCATCATGAAGGTTTGAGGGTCTCACCCAGAAAACTTTTAGCACCTAACATTTCCCTCTCTCCAGTCTTTTAACTTTTTATGCACCAAATTTTGCATTTATTTAAGACATGCAGCTCTGCAGAAATGTTTGAGCTGTCGCAGTACATAAGAAGCCCATTCAAATTCATATGTAGCTTTTTATGATATGTCTAGACAGCTAACTGAGATCACTTGGAGTAGCAGACATTGTTCTGATTATAAAATTAAAAAATGCTGACTTTTAAAAAGTATCAGCCCTTCTCTGAATCATGGTCATCTCATTCTTTTTCATGTACTCAAATTAGTCTGCTCCTCTTATGATGATCTTCATCAGTATAATATTTTATCTGCAACACGACTCCTGTTTTCAGACGTTTCACCTGTGACTCTGTTATCAGGTGAGCCTCATGTCAGGAGAGTTGTTGATTGTGATATGGTAAAACATTCAGAGTGATATCAAAAATGAGACATTGCTGTGCCAACAGTGCCTGTCATGAGAAAAAACAGTGGGAATACAGACTCTAGTCCTCAATGTATGCTAGCGGCACAGACAGAGGACACACTAGTTTGTTGATCAAACCATCATGACGGTGACTGTGAATAGCAATTAAAATGTGCCACGGTCAGCAAATGTAGATGGGGCTCCTTAAGCAAGTAGTGTATATGTGTGGGAAACATTGGAGACCAAAATCTGTAAGATACACCATTTCTGTTTTTCTGTTTTAAATGCTTGAAAGGGCAGCAGTAATGATATTTCAGTAGAAAATTCAACTCACACAATTTTGAAAGCCTTGGTGGTTAATTAAAAAGTCTGGAGGTACTGGTTTGTCCGTGGGGTGTGTTTACTCAACATAGACCCAAAGTCCTTACTGAACCTTGAAAACAAATAGCCAATACTCTACCCAGTGCTCATTTAAAAAATGCTATAACAAATGTTGACATTGTCTTCTTCTCTGATCACAGCCACTCCGCTCAAAGGACTGAAGGAAAACTGTCGAACTGAAGGACATGCCTGGAAGAGTTCTCTTTGGCAGCCAGATGACCTGACTGAGCCACAAAAACCGCCAAGAAGTTCACCCTCGTTGTCACATTTATGATATAGGCGCACCTGTACCAGCCACTGCCCCTCCCCTCTCTCCTGTTTGCTTGTGTGTATGAGAGAGAGAGAGAGAGAGAGACGGTCACCTGTGAAACCACTGACAAGACTGGACACACTGACATGTGTTGTCTAACTGTACGTCATGTATAGTAAGTGTAAGTGTGTGTGAATGCTGAACAAGTGCGTGTATGCGTGTCTATATAGTGACTCTCACCTGAAACTCCTCAGTGTTGCTGCTCATTTAAGCAGTCGCTGTTGTGATGATTGAAGAGGAAACAAACCAAACTAACAAGTGGCGCAAGTGTTTTTGTAAAAAGAAAAAAAAAAGTTTCTCTAGATTTGTTTTCATTTTATTCTTTCTGGAAAGACTGTGTGAGCTGGAGACCTCCTCCCTGTTCTGCGGTGTCCCCTTAGTTATCTCCAGTCTCTGGTTTTATATACAATTAATGCCGATAAAGTTTTCCTAGATCCTCACATGTGTTTGTTCCCTCAACTACCCTGGATGTTTAAAGAAAGATAGTGACTACAAGTTGTGGATCCTGGGACAGAGTGAGCAATTGGATTTTTCTGCAGGGGGAGAAAAACTGAATAATATTGGCTGTTGTAACTTTGATTCCCAAACATCAATCACTCTGTAAGTGCTGCCCTGGGTGTGATTTTTGTTTTCTCTACTTGATGGCACCAAGTGGGGAATTATCCTTGACTCTTAACAGGTCTTTTCGTTTGGGTGTTTTTAAGATTTTCTTTTTCCAAATTGGAAACGTGTTTGCTGTAGAGTGAAATGCTACAGTTTGAACATTTCCATCCTAACTGCTGCTGTGGTTTGTGTTCTGCGAAAAACAAAAATCTTAATGTTTGATAATTAGAATTAAAGATGCAGAAAAGTTGAAAAGAAAGTTCTTGCTGGTTATTTACATGGTAGTGTTTTAAGAGACATTTGAAGGGTTGGTTTTTATCTAGTTTCTGGGGGGAACTTTTGATGCCTTTTTTTTTTTTTTTTCAGATATTCAGTTTGACAGCAAAACAGAACCTGTCATAACCAAATTGACTGGACCTCCAACCAGCAGACTTGAGCTGTAATATATTTTTTCCTGCTAAGACGGACAAAGACAAAAATCTAACTTGCTGTAAACATCAAATTTTGAATGGAGGAATTGAACTTTGTGTGACTGAACAAGCAGTTTTTTTTTAAACCACTTACCTTTTGTTTTTCTTTTGCTGTTGTTTGGATTAAAATATACATTTTATCTCATGTTGTTTTTTTTTTTTAAATTCATATTAAAAGGGGCACGTATGCGGTACACCAGTTAGCTGGTGGTGACCCGTTCTGGTTGGACCTTCTGTAGACAGGTTTGTGTTTTATTCAACTGTGCCATTAATATTTTTGTGTGTAAGACAATCAGGATCTTTGTTCGGAGGAAAGGAGAACTTCGATAACGCAGCATCATGTTCAGGAAAGATACTGATTGAGGGAAGCTAACAAAGCAAAAACCCAACAACTCCTCTAATCTAATGAGAGATTTCAAACACTCTCAATTGTGAAAGTCACCCTGACCAGTCATGGGTTTTCCCTGTCTTGGTGAAAGGAGAATGTGTTTGGTAAACATTTGTCCCGGCGGGCAACATAAAAAAAAAGATGAAAATGGGGCTTTTGGGGAAACTAGCACCGTTGAGTTAACTTCTTGATCAATCCCTCTTTGTCAGTGTGCCACACCCAGGGCTGTCAAACTTGAACTACTGACTCTGTACCAAAAGTTTTCAACTGTTAACTCCCCTGAGACGGTCTTCAGCTGTTTTAATGGCAGAGAAACAAGTCAAAGAAATGCATTTTAGGGTCCCTTTTGGTCATTTGGGTATAAATTTGCTTGCTTTGTACATAAATGTGTTGATGATTATTAAAACCTCAATGATCTGTAACATCTCGTGTTGTGCTCTGTTTTCACAGCAGCCCGGCTCTTGACAAGTGTTTCTCAAAGTGGCTGAAATCTCTCACGATTACAGAGCAACAGGTCTGTGATGCACTCCATCCCTAACCTCTGAATAGAATGGAATAGAACAGAATAGAAGAAGTTTATTGTCCGACACAAAAAAGTGACAGAAAGAATTGACTTAAAACTGAAAGTAAATGTTGGCCGTGTAAAATCAGTTATCAAAGACTGTAAGAAGATTGTCACACTCAGTCAAATTTGAGAAGTCTTTCTGGATTTGGACTTACAATAATTAAAGGTAATTGAAGACTAAAGCTACACAGTCTTTGTCTCACAAATGCTGAGAGTGCTTTATAACAAGGAGAGGTACACAGACTAACAGTACATAGGTAACCCTGTGGGAAGGTCCAGAACCTTTTGGACTGTGGGATGGATCCATGTCAGTTTTTCTGCTTTCAGCCTTTACTCCTCAGATTTGAACAACTATTCACTGACCTACACATTTTTTATTAGATCACGATATTATAATTAACACTCCAGTTTTTGAGGAATCCAGTCCGGGCTGCAAAGTAGCTTTTGTTCAGGGTGACACTGTAGATAAGTTTGCTGTGCTGGAAATTAGACTGCACCTCCAGGTGTGAATATGGTCACAGAATAAGTGTCAGGTGCAGTAACAGGGGCCCAGTTGTTCACAGCTCAGCAGTGAAATAATTTTGAGATACAGACCAACAAAGAACAGTCAACTGATTGATCAAATTTTGTCTTGTTGCCTGAGCAGCTTTGCATGTAAATACGATGAGTAATCGAGGTGGGCTTGTGCGAAGCTGTTTCTTTTTACTCTGATATACTAAAATGACTTTTCAGAGAAGCTGTGCAGTTATGAAACCGTCCTACAAGTGGTGCAATTTCTCTTTAAATCCATTGTGGTTTTATCATGGATAGAGGTTTTGAACTTCAATATCCTTAAAGGGACTTCTCACTTCAACATATTGTACAGTAATTTAAATAAGTCGGACGAAAAGGTTTTAGTTTTCCAATGCTACATTAGCTTATTGCCTCAGGTGCTAGGAAGAAAGGAGGGTAAGGCATGAGAAAACCTTAATGGCTGAAAATACTGGATTTGAGTACTGTTTTAGATAAGTTAATTTTGCCCAAGGTTTCAGTACACACAACGCCATGGCAACCTGTACATCTGGATGAGAAACAGCTTAAACATACATGAGCTCAGCTATCTAAGCATTGAGCAGCGCTGTGGATGATGATCCTTTTCTAAAGAAACAAATAAGAAACAAACAAAAACCATTTTTTTGTGTCTTACAAATATTTTATGAGAAGCGACTCCTTCAGTTGGCTTGATTTCATAGTGTCTGACAGATCAGAACTCATTCTGCAATTTAAGTCAGATTAAATTAAATCAAGCAACTATTTTGCCTCATGTCCATCTCACTCAAGATTGAACTGGTTTGAAAAAGTTGTAAGTTGTTACCACTCTCAGCATATTCTTGTGTGGGTCTGCTGTTACGGGGGAGGGCAGGAGAGTTTATGCGAATGCTGCCATGCAAACTATTTCTTCTCCCCGCACCATCCTAAATTAATCTGTTCGTATCTGAACACGAGTGGATTCTGGTGTAGGAAGTTTTCAGATTTTCATTTGTGGTCTGGGTAGTTTTGTGTGCTGGTGTTTTAAGCAGGCATTCACTTTATACAGAAAAACAGTCTCAGTGTGCGCTGAAAGCAAAAGGGACAGACTATATTTGCCACAATGCAATCCCATTTTCAGTCATTCAGTGAAAGTAAAGCTCTCATTTTTGTCCTTAGAAATCTGCATCCAAGCACAGCTGACAGTATCTTTTTATAGACTGTGTGTTATAAACTACTCCATTCTTTCCTCTTCAGTTACCAGTCAAATTAAAGTGACCCGCACAAAACAAGATTTTTGTGGCAGTATGTTCTTTATTACGGACTACCGGCTTCATCAAAAGCCCCGAAATGTTGGTCACAGCCCCGAGAAGCTTTAAGGTCATCAGAAGATAGTTGATGGGTTCTGAGATTGACCTTTGATTAGAGGTTGTCTTCGGCGTAACGAGTTATTCTTTCTACTCTCCTCCAAGATCTAAAAAAATGATGAAGAGCACATAATAATGGAAAAACAGCCACTTCCCAATACTGCAAAAGAGCCCTTCTTAGATAGTAAGTCAGCTGCAGACAGAGGAACATATATTTGTCATGTATGCAAATGACACATATTGAAGCAGACTCTCTGACAGCAAAGTACAGATAAAACAATCAGTCAAAGCAATATCAATGTTTGAGCTGGGGCTCCTCAAAGCTCCTGTGAGGACTTTTTGATGTTGATGAAACAGACTGAAGTACATTTTGATGCCTGGCTGGTGATTTTTATGTCATAGGTCTTGATGCTTTCAATCAGTGCGAGGGGGTAGATGTCAGCTGGACAGCTGATAAAACTGCCCCCCCCCCTTGTTTTTCTCCAAATATACACATTAATTGTTAAAAATAAATGAAACACATCATCTTTTTTTTGGCCATTCCTTAGTTAACCTGTGTGGCACTGTGGAGCGCACCAAAGGACATTTAAGGTGCCCACTAATTACTTCAGGTCTTGCGCACAAGAAGCCTTTTGTTTTTTGACCGTGGGTTGGCGGCTGGAATTTGTGTTGTATTAATTGGTTTATGGTGCTTGAGTTTGTTTAAGAATAAAAGGATTGGCATATTTAAAAGAAGCTTTTGCCTACAGAACTTTGATTGTTTTAAACTTAATGGAGCAAGTAACAAATGGACACTCAGTGGACAAACAAAATCTAGGCTAGGGGGCGAGTGCATAACACGTGCGTCACAGGGGACAAGATGTGCAAAAATTGCTTTGTCCACAGGGGGCACCAAAGTTAGCACAAACAGAAAGTTCTGCACAGGAGCTTTAAAATGAACTGAATTAAATGAAGACGTTTTGACCTCGTCTGCAGCGGCTGAGTGTAGCTCCTTGGCTAGTACCCCACCGGGAGTCCTTGTGGGTAATACACAGTAGACTAGAACCTCATAAAACCCCACCCCCCAAAAAACAGAACTATCCCTTTAAGACAGAGCCCAGAAACAGTTTTCTCTTCAAAACAAGTTGGACCACTCTTGCCTTGGCAAAAAAAAAAAAAATGAATATAAAAAGTAAGTTTTCATCCCCCTTTCCTGACCCTCCTTCCTCCATAATAATTTAGTACCCTCCCCAAGGACAAAAAAATCTGCTACAAATGTCTTCATCAGAAATGCAGGGCCAGTTTTTTAATTCCACATTAAGTTTCCAATATTGCTTTCTTAATTACCATGTGTGGATAAGGTCTGGTTCTCTTAGAGGGAGTAACTCTTTTTAGATATTCAGGCCAATTACAGTCCTTTAATTTGCAGACTGTAATTACATTAATCAGTAATTAGGGTTACAGGGTATCCTGTCAGTGTCTGCATGTGTGCTTGTTTATACACAGCAGTCCCATTTACATGTATTCGTATGTGGGCTGCATACTGAGCAGCTAGTGAGTCATTGGATTTAGCAGATCAATGACTGTGGGTCGATGGATGGCTGAGTGCTTTGCAAAGACCACCCAGCCCAAGTACTCTGTCAGGCCGCCAGGAAAAGAGGTCACATACTCAAATTTTCTCTCTCTCCTCCCTGCTTTCCATTTTCAAAATACAGTTTTCTGTCACAGCATTTCTGCGTAGTCTACTCTACTCTACACACACACACACACACACACACACACACACACACACACACATACACATATACACACAAATACACTTGGGATAAGCCGATGAATTGAAGCCGTGCTGGAGTTCTGGATCAGAGTGGAACTTGTTTCACTACAATGTGAGACAGACTAACGAAGACAACAGAGACAGCGAAAAGAAAAGGAGAAAAGAGGATTTGAGAGAAAAGAGAGGTTCAATGAGATGAAAGCTGACGAGAGAACAGAGAAAAGGAAGGAAAGGGAGGGAAGCTGACAACAAAACAGAAAATAAGATGCCAAATTTTGTGGAGAGGGATTAGGAGCTCAGCGTACAGGAGTGAGGGAGCTGAGTGGGGAACTGTGAAAGTGCATGTACTGGTCAGAGGAGTACAATAAAGGTTGTGACTTTGACTGTGCTTGTCGCTTTATTGTACTGTCAAAAGCGTTAGTGTGTGAGTATGTGTGTGTGAATATTTCAGTTCAAGTGTGTGTCACGGTGTCCTTGACAGGGCAGATTTCAGCCAAACTGAAATGTTGTAAAAGCCACGAGTCTGCTGCAAAATCAGAGCCTGAACACTGAAGACTGCTTGATTGGAGACACACATGTTGCATGCAGGTATGTATAATTCATGATGGCACTGAGAGGGAGCAACTATAGATTCATTTATGGATGAGTGAAGTTAACTCATTTGAAATATTCATGCCATCTGGAAAAGCAAAAATGCTACTTCGAAATATGCTTTTCAATTTCATTTCCAGATTGAAAATTTAAATATGTATTAGTCTGCACATTTGCAAAGAATATTCAAATATCACGAGGGTGGTCCTCAAAGACGTCTTCAAATCTATTAGTGATGTTTGAAAGAAGACATGCTGTTTGAAAGGGGCAATGGTTGAGTATGAGAACTTATGCTGTGGCACAGATATAAATTCATCACGCAAGTATCTGTATGCCAGGATATTCGGGCATAAATTTAAGTTAGGGTGAAACACACCGTGACACTGAGTTAGACACCCCCTCGAGAGATGAATGTTGCAGACTGCTTGCTTCTCTAGTTATACCAACTTTTCTTCTTCCTTGAGCTGCGTCGCCCCGCTGCACTCTGTGATGGACTCGTCTAAGCTCTCCCTAAAAACAAGCGGCTAGTGGAAGAGAGTGGGTGAGTTTTGTTTAGTCTCTTTGTGTAAGAAATCAGGCAAAGTTAAAAAGATGTTTGGTGGCTAGTACTATGGCTATGACCCTATATGTACTGTT